AGGATTAATCACGTGACTTAGCTACTTTGTAGGCTTATAAATAAGTCATATGTGATGCTTAATCAGCAAACCGCTTAGTCATCACTATTGTGGTTGCCTTAATATATAGGTTTGAAGTTAGATTATCAAGTAATCTTTATATAAAACCTTTGACTAAAGGCTTGGCAAGACCTTTGATTAATCTTTTAGCAAGCTTTTTAAGCTAGATTTGCAGCTGTATTCTTAGGCTAAAGGGTAGCTAGTTGGCTTTCTTAGACCATACTTAGGCTTAGCATACTAGTAGGTTGCAACAACTTGTTGTTAGTCTTTAAACCTAAGCTAGTAAGTTGCTACGCTTTGTTGCAAAGCTTTATTGCCTTGACAAAAGCAGCTAGCTAGTCACTTAAAATATAGGCGCTGTTTATATAGTATTGGATTTGCCTATGCAAGTAAGAGTAAACATGGTTGATATTGTAGGCTAGGTAGCTTTTTGGGTTTGTAGTAGTAAAAGCTACTTGTTTGGCTAGTAAGGTAGTGGCAGGAAAGTCTATTGTAAGGCTAGCTAAGGCAATATTGACCTAGGCCTTTAGGGCGTAACAAGTAAGGTAGGCAAGTAAGGTGCAGAAGACTAGTTGTATTGTGTAATTGATTGTTTTTTTTTTATATTACTTTAAAATTAGCTAGCTAATCTAACTGACTATATAGGAAAAATTCAGTCTTTTTGCTTTACTTAATCTACTAGATTAAACAACTTGATACCTTCGATTGTCTAATCAGACTAGGTCTATAGGATCTAATTGTTTGAATTAGTAGTAATATGTAGATTATACACTTACAAGGTGGTGATATGTATCAAGTGGTTTAGCAAGGTTTAAAGGTTTTAGGTGATTTGATTACCTACTTTAGACTTGCAGGGCTACCCTGTTCTTAGGGTTAGGGTTGTCTTTGACAGGAAAGTCTGTTTGACTTTAAATGCAAATTATAAGGTAAGGAGATATTATGTGACTTAGCTACTTTGTCGACTTTTAAACAAGTTACTTATAATGCTTAATTAGCAAACTGCTTAGTCATTACCATTACAGTTACCTTAATATATGGGTTTGAAGTTTAGATTATCAAGTAATCTTTATATTTTAAAAGTCAATTGCTAGTCTTAAGCTAGCTTTAAAAGTCTTCTCTCATTAAAGTCTTGCCTTTTCTTTTGCATCTTGCTACTATTTTCTTAGCTTATGCTTTTGTAAAGTATAAAAAGCAAAAAAAAAATTGTAAAAAGATAGGCTAATGCCTTGCATAGAAAAAGAATATAGTAGTAAGCATATAGGTAGAAAGGTAAGTCTTATAGTAAGCGTAAACTTTAGCTTGCTTTTCTTTAATTGTACGCGCAAGAAAATCTTTATTGCTAGCAAGTTAGAGCCTTGGCAAAACCTAATTCTAAAAGCTTAGGTTACTACCTATAGTCTAACTATTTTCCAACCGCTATAAAGGTCTTTACAAATCAGCTATACTAAACAAAGTCTAAGGTAAGAGACTTGAAGCTAGAGGAGATGCAAAGTACTAAGCATTTCTAGCTGTATGCCGCATTTCTAACCTATCCTAATGTAACAAGTAGAATTTCAACCTTTGCGTGCAGGACTAAGCGTAGACAGGATTTTATGCTAGGCAGCGAGGATGCATAGTCTGCAGGTACTAGATAATCGACTTGTCATTCGTAGCGCTAGTCGTTCCACATACATGTCAGACAGATAAATATGTTATAAAGGGGAAAGTCACTAGTGTACGTCTTTGGAAATAAGGACTACCTTGCTTCTGACTTACACATCTGAGATTTTCTGTGTAACGGCTAATGCCTGATATGAGCGGGCACGTTGTTTAGCTAGAGTTGGTAAGATAGGCGGTAGACTGCGATACGTAGTAGGGATAGGCGGATTTACCGTTCCATGGTTCAGCGTATTATCTATTATCAAAAGCCGCTATAATAGTAATTACTGTAAAGGAGGCTTGGTCATATCGTGTTCATTGTCCACGCAGTTACCCTATCACCGTCGACAGAACGCCTCCCATCTAGCCCTCTCACATCGACTTTGCATCCCCCCTTCAAATATTCAGGACACATGTGGCCGGCAGAATTGTCCGTCAGAGCTCCGATCCTCTGCCGCATCCCGGTAATCTCAAACACGAGAATAACCCGGCATATCACGGTCGAGGCCACGAACCGTGCCACAATCTGCATGGCATCCGAGGTGCTGACAAACAAGATGCTCGAGAAGATTAGCGTGCCGTAAATGATGTGCGAGACGGTGGCAATCGAGGTGACCCAGGTGCAAAAGATGAATAAGCTGGACTTGTCCTTGATCTTCAGTTCCAACCGAAATCCGTCCCCTCCATAAACACAGGTCTGGAACTCATTCCCAAAAAGCCGCGAGAGTCTCTGCCCAACTCCGTACAGCCGTGCCCTGAACCAACCCAGCCCGTCAGGAGCACTGGAAGAGGGAGAGTCCCAGCCCTCTTCCCGCACGGCAACCCGCAGCCGGACCGTAAACGCCCCCCACGCATGCAGCAGCAGCGCAAAGGACGCCCACAGGGCCGGGTGGAACGCCGTCTCCGACGAGAAACTGCACACGGCCTGGATACTGAGCAGATAACTAAGATGCGCCAGATTGGCTACCGCCGCGGCTGCGACAAGGTATTCCGCGACCAAAACCAGCGCCGCCATTGTCTTCAGGTTGCACCCCGGCAGGCCGACGCTCAGCGGCAGCGGCGATGACCTGCTCATCAGCTCGACGGGGTCGTCGTAGTCAAACATGCGCATGGGCGCCACAGCCGGGGTGCCCGCGGCGAGGAGGCCGGCGAGCAGAGGCCGGCGGAGAGCAAGCAGGCCCGTCTCGACCGTGTTGGATCCGATGAGACTTAATGTAGTCGGCAGCAGGCCGAGCAGCACGGCGGCGGCGGCCATGTTGGCCTTGGTCGACTCGGTTGCCTGAGATAGGAGGCAGTGGACGACGCGACCGGACAGACAGCCCACGTAGTTGCATGAGTTGGGGGCGTCTTGGTTGATGTAGGCGGCGAAGACGCTCCGGCAGGGGCCGTTGATGAACCTTTGGAATGTGGGGCCGTACTGGGGAAACCAGTGTTGGAAATGAAGGGGGAGTGTATCGTCTTTCATGGCTTGGTTTGTGGTGATAGGAACTTGAAGTCAGTGTAAAAGGGGAGACCAGCGAGAAGAGCGGCGCCATGAAGGAAAAAGGACCTACTCTGATATATGAATCCTTTGATGATGTGGCGCTTTTGGTTGGTTCCTTTGATTTCAGCAGTCCCAGGCAGAAGAGGTCTTGGCACTTCCTATGTGGGCATAGCGTGGCTGAGAATAGCTGCAGCTGAACCCTCCTCCTGCCCGAAACGAGCTTCTTGCAGCTCAGGATTTTGATGGCGTGGTCAAACTGCGCCGCACGGGTGGGGGATATGGGAAAGGCAGCATCGCCTCGCCTGTCCACGCCACGCAGCACCATCCACCGTCGATACTCGTAGATGTCCACACAGGCCCCAGTCGTCAAAGCTCCACAAGTTAAACCAGCAACTCCCACAGGTCGTCATGGTTGTGCCAGGTACTAGTAGGTAAGCCTTGGGGGGCGTACCCCTTTATTCTAGAGATGTAGACTATTACAAATTGAGCTGGTCTCAAACCAATTTCTCTGCTCCCACGCGCAGCAGTGTGGCTTACATCGGGGGGTCTTATCCGTCCTATGTAACAAGCAAACAGCCTTCTTACGTTTGCCTCTCGAAACCCTGTGCTTTCTCCCAAATCAGTCACACTTATAGGCACTAGTTTCCTAGCACAACTCGTACGGGCAGATAATAGATCCTTCGAACATTACCTATGACTACTACGCAACTCTCGGCGTGACGCAGACCGGTGATGAAGCCCTTATCAAAGTGCGAGCTACAAACGCCTGGCCAAGTTGTGGCCCCTGGACAAGGACCTCAACAGTCCCTAGGCAACAGCGCAGTTTCAGCTGGTATGCTTCTCCTGCACCCTTCTCCACCGATACTGACATGAAGTCCCTCCTTCTAGTTACAAGCTGCTTAGTCCACACTTATAGACCTAGTCCAATACCAGGACTACAGCACCAACCACTACCCTTCTATCCGCTCCCGAGTCCCTCTCGCCACCACCTCCCAAACCGATCGCGCCTCTGAACCTAACCACGACCTTGACAGTGACACTACCAATGAAACAATCGGCTACACCATCCACCTCTCGCAACTTGACACCTCCCTCAGAGCCCTCCACACTCGCAAATTACTACTCAACAGCACCCTCTTTGAAGCAAAGCACGCTCTAACCCGCACCACCTCCTCTCTAACCAACCTAACCTCTTAAGCCACCGATGCCGCCGCCCAAAACTCGTGGTCCGCCGACTTTTTCAGCTCCAAACAAATCCCGCAAGAGAAGGAAGCCCCCGCCTAGCAGAGGATAGAGCAGGCGACAGGCAAAACCGTGCTCAAAGCTGAGTATAGGCGGAGCAAAGCGCTTGTGTCTAAGCTGCAGAGGGATATGGAGACTCTAGAGCAGAAGATCATGCATCAAAAAGATACCCGGGCGTATGTGCAGCACTGTCTGCAGGTGGCGGAGGATAAAGCTAGACAGGCAGCAGAGATGAGGCTGAGGTAGCAGGAGAGAGAAAGGGAGGCGGCAGCAAGGAGGGAGGAAGCAGAATGGAGGGAGAGGGAGAGGAAGATGAGGGAAGAGATGCTTAAGCAGGTATGGAAAAGGGAAGAAGCGGAACGGAGGAAACGAGAGAGGAAGTTGAGAGAGGAAATGGAGCGTAGCAATTCAATTACATAGTGGTTGGATTGGCATAATCTTTGGTAAATATTTGTTAGCAAGTAGTTTATTGCGCGCTAATTTGTTTTACTTTAAGTATAGTGGTTTATCACAAAGCGCTGTCTAATACCGTAGAAAGTCTTATAAATATAACAAAGACTGGTTTTTAATTCTCTTATGCTACAACCTTTCACACAACCTTAGATAACTACCTGTCGATCACTAGCTAACAATATGGCTACCACTCATCTTCTCACTCTTTTCGTCCCGCTCGTTCTGCTCAGCCGTATCTTTTGCCACTGGAATACCCAGTCCTAGCCCTGTGGACGGCAAGAATTTCAACCTATACGCGTATGACATTTGTGGGAAGCTAGTATTACTTCTATTTCACGCCGACGATAAGCTCCTGCCAAACCCAATTATCAGCCAAATTCCCCTGCCAGCATATTAGCCCTCTGCTTAAGTAGGAGCTGCTGTTATCACAGACTATGAGCTAGCCAACACAATTAACAACCTCGTGCCTATCTCAGGTAAAAGCCAGCTGCCATTGCCCTTCTAGGCCTCCCCCGACGCCATAGCCCCGTGAAGACCAAGGCAACTTGTGACCCACCATTTGTAAAACTGGCTTTGTTTGTCCCTTCCCTGTCCTCGACTCGCCGTCCCACCAGGTCAGATTCACTACCGACACCAGCGCTGACAGCATCATGGCTGAAGTTCTACAACTTGGAGAACCACGTAGAACTACTGGATTTCGAAGGCGACGGGCTCCTCTACCCAACGGCGTTCTATGCACTCCCTACAGTTCCATCCTCTATCGCGTAGTCCCAGAGGAGTTTGTATGTTACCTTGCCCCAGCCAGGAACCTCTTCCGTGTTTCTATTACACATATCTCTATATGCATATGTCGGAGGTTACTGTTGGAACAAGTCAATGTCAAGTGAAACTGAAAGGATACACCAAAACTGGGCACTCCGTGACAGCATTATAGCATTAATAGCTCTGGATATATGAGCCTTGACATGCCACGTTGAATGCCCAGTTGAACATCAAAAGGTCATATTCTGGACCCTCTGATCGACCAAGCCGATTCCTAAAACGGGACCGAGTTCTCCGTTTACCATGCAGTAGTGGCCTCTCCAAGACCTCAAAGGCATGCCAGCCTCAGCCAAAGTCCACCCCGAAAACCTGGGGGTTCTAGGCTTTTTGCGGATCTGTTCCGCCTGCCCCAGCGGTAATGAGCTCGGCACTTTTCATCACGCCCCCACTACCCCGAAATAAGCAGGAGTGCAAGAAATCTGGTCGATCGGGCTGCGGGGTAAGGCCACTCGATTATCGACTGACCGGGCGCTACTGGCCGTTGAAGGGGCGCCAAGCCGTTCGTTTGGGGTAGACCCTCCTACGTAGCAGCCGCTGACGACATGGAACCCCACTGCGGCCGTCTATCACCCCGGGAAATGTTGGCCACCGCCCAGGAACATTGGCGGCATGCATGGTTGCTGACCCTGGCTATGGATCGACCAGGGGCGAGAAAGCATGAGCGAGATGGGCGTCTTTATAACTGGCCCTTTCTTCCTGGCCCCCCGGTTTCTTACTATTGACGGTAAACTTGGTCGCAGTTTCATGTCTAGCAGTTGACGATGGCTTCCTCCAGTCCCTCATCCGAAAAGACGGCGTTGGCCGAGGCAGAGATTGGCCAGCAGCCCGAGCATCATGATGCTCACCACCGTCATGACCACCACTTGCGTTCCAAGGAGCTTGAAGAAATTGAGCGTATAGATGCATTGGCCACGGCGCAAGGGACGACACTCGAGTCCTTCGCTCACTTGGACGAGAAGAAGATATTGCGAAAGGTTGGGCGAGGATGGTGGTTCTCGATCGAAACAGGACTAACCTCTCGTGAAGATGGACCTGCGTCTGATCCCGATGCTTGCGCTTCTCTATCTCCTTTCGTTCCTTGACCGTAAGCGTTCATCTCGACACAACGGAGCTTGCAAGTTTCCTTCTAACCGTTCCTGCAGGTGGAAATATTGGCAACGCAAAGATCGAAGGGTTGCAGGAGGATCTCGGGATGCGCGACCACGAATACAACTGGTGCCTCACCGCATTCTTCTTCACATATGCCGCCTTCGAAGTCCCGAGCAATATGTACGCACACACATTTCCTCTTCTCAGCATTTCAGACAGAAAAGAGATACTGACACGGAATGAAGGCTCCTGAAGAAGCTCCGCCCCAGCCGGTGGCTGCCTTTTATCATGGTTGGATGGGGCACCGTCATGACTCTGATGGGCATTGTCAGGAACTATCACGGCCTGTTGATTGCTCGCCTCTTTCTGGGCGTGGCGGAGGCCGGTCTCTTCCCCGGTGTCGCTGTAGGGCATCCATCTGCACCGTCACACCTCTGCCGTCAAAGTGCTGACCCCTAGTCGTAGTACTATCTAACCATGTGGTACTGCCGCCACGAGATCCAGTTCAGGCAGGCCCTCTTCTTCTCCGCCGCGTCTATAGCCGGGGCCTTCAGCGGCCTCCTGGCCTTTGCCATCTCCAAGATGGACGGCGTTGCCGGACTGGAGGGGTGGCGGTGGATCTTCATCCTCGAGGGCATCGCGACTGTGGCAGTTGCCATCATGGCCTTCTTCGTCTTGCATGATTTTCCCGAGACGGCAACCTTCCTCACCGAGGAGGAGCGTGCTTTCGTCGTCTTCCGCCTGAAATATCAGGGGCAAGCTCAGGCCAAGGGCCAGAACCAGGCACGCGTTGCTGAGGCTGACGAGTTCAAGTGGAAGTACGTCCGTCAAGCATTCGCTGACTGGCAAATTTGGGTCAACATCTTCGTTTATTGGGGTGTGAGTGATTGTGCTTCCCTTCCCATAAATAATCTCGGGCGTGCATTGATCGCTGACGCGCAATGAGCATACAGATCGTCTGTCCCCTGTATGGGATCAGCCTCTTCCTCCCAACCATTATCGCCAACCTAGGATATACGGCTAGCAAGGCTCAGCTCATGACTGTGCCGATTTACATAACCGCGGCCATTCTAGCCGTGATATTCGCCTATATCTCGGACAAGGTTGGCAAGAGGAGCCCCTTCATTATCGCCTTCCTCTGCGTCATGATTGTCGGGTTTTCCATGTAAGTCTCGCACCCTGAAGATGTCTCGAAACGGCCAGTGCGGTGTGGTTTATTTTAACCCGAAACACAGGTGTATATCCGTCGACCCGACAGAGAAGCCTCGCGTCGTCTACGGTGGCGTTTTCATCGCCGCATGTGCCATCTATCCCGCATTTCCTGGCGTCATTACCTGGCTGGCCAACAATCTATCCGGCAGCTACAAGCGGAGCGTGGGAATGGCCATTCAAATCGGTGTCGGTAACCTTGGCGGCGTAAGTTCTCGCGAGTCAAAATGACTCTCGTCCCCTGAGAGACATTGATCGATCTAACTCGAGCTTAGGCGTTCGCCTCGAACTTCTACCGCGCACCGGATAAGCCGCGCTACATCCTTGGCCACGGCTTGGAACTTGGGTTTATCTCTGCGGGTATAATTGCGGCGTTGATCTTGGTCGCGGGCTATTCGCGAGTCAACAAGAATCGGGAGAGGAAGATGGCAGAGGGCAATGATTATAGCGTCGAGGAGCTTTCGGGTATGGGCGATAAAGCATGCACCTTCCGGTATATGTACTGAAACCCTCGCGGATGGCCAGCTTGGTATGAAAGTAGAGATAACAGCCACGAGCAGGTTGGGGGCGGTTCATTCATGATAAATAAGAAGGCCCTATAACTCTGTGACCTAGTTTCTAGCTGAAGCTAAAAGCAACCGGAATTAATGCTCCAATACAAAATTCTTTGTCCATGTATCCCCGGGGAAGCCCGTCATCCACGGTAATCTAATTAGTTACTACTTAGAAATGGAGTTCCAGATGTCATCTATAGCAGCGACAACATGGGCAGGGAGTGGTCCTTTGGCAATACCCGCCAGGTTTTGCTCGAGCTGCGACGGCCTGCTCGCACCAAGAATGACGCCGTCACCAAGCCCGAGACTCGAGTGGTGGTAGATCCACCGCAAGCTCGCCTCCGCATTGGAGATATCCAAGGGCTCGATCGTCTCCCTGACACGAGCAATGGCATCATGCATTTCCTTCTTGTCGTACTGAGCCCGGAAGAATTGACCCATGACGTTTCCTTCTTCAAAGCGAGTGCCCTGGGTCTGTCCGGCAGTGAACTGGCCCGTAAGAAAACCGCCGGCTAGGGGGCTGTTGTTGTTGTTGTTGTTGTTGTTGTTGTGTAAGAAGGAGCATTGTCGGAAGATGTCAACTATAGAGCGAGGATGGATACCTCTTACCTAAACGCATTGAATGATATCCCATTCTTGCGAAGAACTGGAAACAATGTCTCCTCTACTCCACGACAGATGAGGTTATACTGGCCCTGGTAGACGCTCGGTTTGACGTAGCCTTTGCGCTCGCATATTTCGATGAACTCGGTCAGCATATCTGGAGAGAAGTTGGATACTCCGAGCTGTCAAGACATGTCAGAATATGGTAATGTTAGCTTCTGTGCTACGATCCATCTGAAAGATGAAGTTTGAAAAAATCGGACCTTCTTAAACAACCCCCTCTTATACTGAGCATCTAGACCGGCAGCTTGCGCCTCTAGAGGAGTCTGGAGGCCGGGCATGTGGCAGTACAGCACGTTGACCGAATTAGCCGGGGCATCATGCATCCCCAATCTCTCGTAACTCTCCTTCAGTGATTTCTCGATGGCGGCAGGCTGGAGCGAGCCTGAAGCATCACCAACGCAGAGGATCTTCGTGTCGATGGTGAAGCCCTGTCCCGCCGCGTCAGCTTTGCCTAGCAACATCTCGAAAGTTCCGGGGTTGGTTGGTGGGTAGCGGCCGGCGGTATCGAGTCTGGTGATGCCCAGTGCTCGCAGCGTCTGGGCGTGGTGTAAGTGCTGCCAATCGAGGCTGAGCCATGGCGAATGTTCGAGTCTGGGACATCCAAGTGGTAGGTGGTCTTTGAATCTCGCCTTTGTTTTTCTTTCCTCAGTTGCGTGACCAGGATATCCAAGTGGTCTGGCTGGCTGACAAATAATTACAGGTTGTTGGACATGCAGCCATGAGAACCTGACCACGCTAACAATTGCGGATCGAGGTAGCAAGACTTGATTTAATATGATCGGTTAATGGCTGCCGAGAAACAGGGCAAAGTCATAAACCCTAGCCCCTGGAAAAAGGGAGTGGGAAAATACAAACAACAAACAAGTGGGCGTATAAAATGACCGTCTTTGATTATTCTTTGCTGGGTGGCATGATGGGAAAACGCTTAGTGGCCTGATCCTAAGTACTATTGCGTCAAGAAGAAAATGATAAATATAGGAAAAGGGGCGTCTTCATAATGAGAATGCCAGCATGAGTAAAGGAAGGCATAATAACAGTGGTCGTTCGACTATGTAAGTCAGTTAGAGGGCTGCGGAGTAATGGGCCACCAATACATAATTCCATGTCGTAATTAGAAGCACTCGAAGTCGTCAACGCTGCTCTTTCGTCTTGATGCTGTATCGCCCAGCGAACGGGGCCAGCTGACTCATTGCATTCGGCAGCATTCCATTCGGCAGCAATCCATAAGGCAGCGAGCAATGGCAATGAAGCTTTGTCATGAGAACTCGTATTTTCTGTTATATGACGCAAAACGCTGTGCTGCTTTCTCCAAACGCAACAAAACAAAAAGCGGACGCGTCAATCTACATCCATACTTCCCGACGACGTCGGGAGTGTGGTTGCGACGGTTATCGATGGAGGGTCATCGTCCTCCCGTTTTCCCCCATCCGACATGAAAGAACTGTTATGGTTTCCTTCTCGCTCCCCACCGACGCCGATTCCGCTGCAGAGCCTGTACTCGCCGTCCTCTTTCCGCTCGATGATCCCTTCGTCCAGCGCCCACTTGGCCAGTAAACGGTCGACTCCCAGCCTCTGTGCCTCCCCCTTTTCCATATGCCTGCCCACGTGTTCTGTCCATTCGTCCCACGACCCCGGCCCCTCAAAGACGGTCTGGCAGTCTGACTTGGGACAGGCGGACCGCTGAGGCGGCTGCCGGCGAGTGACGAGGCATGATTGGTGCATCTCCTTGACGTGGGAATCCCACTCCACCTGCAGCTTACTGTCGCCCTTCGCCAGGGCCTTTTTGATGGCAAACGGCGCATGCATTCGCCGTAGATGCTGTGTAAACAGGTCTTTCCGGTTGAACTCGTTCCCCTTCCCTTCGGCCGTAGATTGCGGACACGACGAACATCGGTAATATTGCAGGCACAGATGCTGGGAGGCGATGTGTCTTTTCCACTCGTTCTTGGAGCCGAACGTGCTGACACAGCCGGCAAAGGAGAAGGCGCAGGGAAACGGTCGCGTGTGCGCGGCAGCAATGTGCTTCCGGAGAGAAGACGAGTCCTTGAACGGGGCGTGGCTGCAGAGGGTGCACCGCGTCTCCTGCCTGGGCGTTGTCTGTTTCAGGAATGACCTCCTCGCCTTGGGCTTCGAGGCCATCATGTTGTAAGCAGCGCTGCTGTGGTAGTCGTCGGCGCCCGAGTCATGGGCATCAGGCGAGGAATCCAGGGGTTCCTCGCGTGGCCTCACGTCGATATTGTCACCAACTCGTGTGCCGTGGGGATCGGCCTTCGAAGGGGTTCCGTCATGGTTATGTCGGACGTGACTCAAGGCCTTCAGCTGCTCGGCCGCCTCCTGCACTTCTGCAGAGTCTTCGACGTCGTTTTTGGCGCCGCCGATGCCGGGCAAGCTCTGGCGACCATGCGGCAATGCGGCCGAGCCTGCTGATACCCGGGCGGCAGGCAGTGGTTCTCGGGCATGATTTTCTTGGCGCAGGGGGGTCTCGGGCTGCACGGCGGGGTAGTGGCTCGACGGCTCCCGCCGAGGTACGGCCGGACTGCTCGCTGCGACTTCGCGGGCTTCGAGGAGAATCCGGCCGTCTTCGACCTCCTTCTCAGTGGCCGTGACCGTGTTTACGGAAGATGACCCGACGAGGCTCTTGTAAAGGTGAATCATGTTGTGCGAGCTGATGTAGCCCAAGAAGCAACATACTTTATCGTGCTGCACGACATTCCAAATCGACTGCGGCATCGATATCAGCAGCATTGTTGGGGGCCCGAGAAACATGCCCTCGACCGTGATATTCGATGCTGCAGGTGGCGTGTTGTTCAGCCACTGGTTGAAGAAGGTCATGTCCGGACTTGCATCGCCGACAAATGTCGTACAGACGAGAACCCTGGCCTCATCGAATGTCAAGCTCACAACAGTACCCGGCTTGATCAGCTGATCTTCTTTACTGAGTCTTGAATTCTGAATGTCCGCATCGGTAGAGTTGGGAGGGGATTGGCCTTGGGCTTGGGCAGCTCTCGGAGACAAGGGTGCTATGCTCAGGCCTTGACCCTTTCCGGCAGTCAGGCTGAAGAATACCGGCGTCTTGTCCTGGGCTGGGTGGTTGGGTTTGCCAGTCCCGTTTGCCAGTCGCGACTGGGAGGCTTCTTGTTGCCTCAGGGCCAACATATCCTCATAGAGACGCTCTGCACTGAATGGCTTGCTGGCGGTGCTCAGCTTCAGCAAGGACTCGGTTAGACTGGCCGTAAAGGACTGGGAATCAGAATCTCTCGAGCCCTGTTCCGGGCTGTAAGCAGCAATGGCCTGCTTGAGGCCGTGGCTGCCGACCGTCGCGGCGTCTGGCACGGCGCACGAGTCGAGAAGAAGTAGAATGTCCGACTGCGCATCCTCAAAGTGACAGCGCACACCATCCCATTTCAGCTTGGCGGCTTCCTCGCGGGAACTGCTGCAGCGGAGGAGTCAGTGGGAGCGGGTCGGGTCCCTTGAGCGATTGTACTCACGATGCCCAATAGAGCCGGTTGTCTGGTCCCACATGGCCGTGGCCGGCGTAGTAGATGATCAAGAGATGGTCGGGCCGGGCGTGCTGGAGAAACGAGACCATCCGGGCGCCAAGCTTGATATAGGGGTTGGGTACAGTTGGGATGCACCACTTTTCGGTGTGGTAGTGGTATTCCTCGCGGAAGACTTTCTCGAGGGAGAGAAGCTCCGATTCGACCGACGCGTCCTCCTCCCACCGCAACATCAAGACGGACACGGCGGTATAGGGGGATTTGCGGCTCTGGCGGTCGATGAACATGGCGGCATCTTGCAGATGGCGGGCGAAGGACTCGAAATCATGGCGCTCCGGCACGGCGGGGGCTGCGTCCTGGGGGGTAAGGCAATGCTGGGTCGGAATCTGCGGTGAGAGAAAAAGTCGTGTCAGTGGGAAGTCAGGGAGCATAGCATGACTGGGGGCAGTGGACCACCAACGTTCTCGACCGGAAACGGCTGGGCAGGCGACGCGGGCGGCGGGTGCGCGGATTGTTGGGTTGGCGGTTCGGGGATCTTTGGGGCCAACCTTCTCCGTTTCGATGAGGGCTCCATACCGGACGACGACAACAGCGGACGATTGGCGGCAAGGCAGTCGACTTAGAAGAACCGTCAGGCCGGTCGGGCCGGAAGCGGAAGCGATTGCCCGAGGAGACAGAAGGGTCCGAATTGGTCAAGGACGGTCGAAATCTCACAGCAGGATTGCGGAGAGAGAAGAGGGAGGCGGATGTGAGATGAGGTGAGGCCGTTTTGGGTGTGGGACGGGGAGTAAGGCTGTGTGGTTTAGCTGGGCAGGGCCAGTGACCAGTCGGCTCTGAATTAGCCTCGTGGATGGGGAGGACTAATGGAATGCAAAAGGGGGGCTGTCTGCTGTCTGTCCAACCAGAGGCCGTCCTGCCACCTCGAGGGCGCGCACGGGCCATGCAGATGACGCCAGGCTACTACACAGTAGGTACCTAGGCCGGTTCTTTTCTGCTTCTCTCTCTGCCTTGTCTGCCGCCTTCCATTGTGCGCCTTGTCTCCTCCCATTGTTTCCCCAACGAAGGACACAATTGTTCCCTCTAAAGAACCACCACATTGTTTTCGAGGATTGAAGTCTCCTACCAAGGTTGTCAGTCAGTGGAGGTAGGTACCTAATCTTCAGTGCCAGCGACTCCGGGCACATTTTGTTCCTGCCTAACGCATCCCTGGTTTTGCCAGCCTTGATGCCCTACCCCGCAACCTACACCTACCTTCCGTCGTTCTCGCTCTCTGTGGTCGTCTGCATCTCCCTCGCTACCTAGGTACACTCTAATTAGCATGAGAAAGCGAGCATGGACCGAAGTGTGCCGACACGGCCAAAATCTTGCCAGCGCAGCACCTGCAGCCTCTACCTCCAGTGCTGTTGATTGGAGAATGGCTGGCACGCTACTAATGCAACACCGGACTCCTGGATGATATGATTCGCCCAGACTGGTAGTCTGCGAATACCTTAATACTCGAGACCTATGGTGGTGCTAGTGGCTCGCCTTGTTGACCACGACGGCCTCATCTGTCCACGATCCAGGGTCGACATCGAATGTGACAATGCACCTTGTCTCGGTGTGCACGTATACCAGCCTCCTCGACGGCCAGCTATTTTGGTGCAGCAGACTGATGCCTTGCTCAAATGGCTTGTCGCGTTACCTCTGGGAAAGAAAGCTTGCCGTGGCGGCTGCCCTAATTTAGGTAGCGCATCACCAAAATCATTCCATCCAGTCACAACTTACCTCCGTATTCCCTCCATGCACCTATATTCGGTCTTCCTCTCCGCTCCGCCACTGCACTCCAACGCAAGCGAAAGAAATAACCTTTTCACCGCCAGATCGTCCCCTAGCTAGCCGCCTGGTGGTTTGGTTCCATTTTCATTTCCTGCATCAGCGCTCTGTTTTCCCCCACATTATTTACCGATCTGTTTGTTTTTTTTCTTTGCTCGTTCAAGACCCCCCGCCCCCAAGCGAAGATCTTTCCCAGAGACATCATTACGTCTATTGTGCCCGTTAGGACAAGTGTCCAGCCCATCATGCTCGGGACTACAGCGCGATGCTCGGTCTTGTCTTCATGGATGGCATTAATTGAGCCCCTGTCGCCCGGCGGCGACAGACACGTCCTCGAAAAGCCTCTCCCCCAATGTTCACACGCATCACAGAGGGAAAGGCGGACGGGCGAGTAGCTTGCGTTGTGATCGCCAGGTTGGGTCGAAAGGCTAGCCCAGCCTTTCTTGTCTCATATACGTAGACGGCATGAGCCACCACTGGAGGACTCGATGCCCAAGTGGGCTATGTTGTGATAGGGCCACCTTAGACCTCGTCCTCCTTCGCACCTGAGTCCAACCAACCCGAATTACCAACCGAGTTAGGAACGTGCCTCTGGATCCCCCTTTCCGGGAACGTCCGGTTAAAAATATATATACAGGGCTTTGGCCAACAGCCGAAACATCAAACTTTCTGTTGGATATAACTGGACGACTCTACTGAGTACAAGTAACCAGGTGATACCGATGCGCCAGGCTGTGCCATGTTCCAACTCCTCGCCAGAGGAAACCATAGAAAAGGTCGCGACTGGACAGCCAAACCCTGTGTCCAATCATGATAGGGTCTTCCGTCATTGACGCCCCTGACTCCGAGATACAAACATTGAGGAAACCTAGAACAACACGCCTTTTCTAAACATGCGTGTCGTGACTACTGGCAAAACTGCCCCTGCTCCCATGGTCGGATGCCGCGTCGACCGCCTCTGCATTTGCAGGTGCTCCCGCCCCTCGTCCCAGCCAGCGCTGGAGACTCAAGCCGGACTTCATGGCACCGCTCGTGAGCTCCCAGTTATCGAGGCTCATCTGCAGCGTGCTGTTGGTCAGCATCGACTTCACGGACCGGTCGTGCGGCGTACCGCTCGCCGCGGGGGTGACGGGCAGGACAGCCCAGTTGAAGACGCCGAGGACCCCCTTCCAGGTTGCCAGGGGGACCCGCCACATGGTTGTCCAGAGTTGTAGGAAGTCCGCCTGTGCGACAACAGAGCTGAACGGCTGACGTTCCATGATGGCGCGGCTGTACATGAGGGCCGCCAGTCGAACGGACTGATATAGGTAGTCCGGGGGTTCGGGCTCCGCCCGTGGCACCACACACTCCTGCCCCTGTTCTCCTTTCTGGCCCTGGATTCCCGAGCCCGTGCCAGACGGACCACTTCTGGCGTCCCCTTGCTGCACGTCTCCATGCGTGACATCATCACTGACTTCCACACCCCCATTATTTCCCGATCCCTTATCATCCGCGGCTGCTCCTGCAGGAGCAGCTGTCGAGGGACAGCGCACAAGCGGCGAATAGTCTGGGAGTTTGGAGATCCGGTCATGGATCCAGGCCGAAGTCGTGCATACCTTCTGAAGTTCTTTCGCGGAAGCCGCGTCCGAGAGAGCTAGCACGGTCGAAATGAGAAACCTCACGTCATCGAGAATCGACGCGGTTGCTGGATGGAGTTTGAGCGCTTCCGCACAATCGATGAACCGAGGGAGCGGAGATACGAGGGGAGTATTGTGTGCTAGGCGCAGAGGCACTTTCGTGCTCTCCAGGAGTTCGAACTCGGGGCCATCCTGGAGGAAGGGAGAGATTTCGAAGGAGAGAGCGATGGAGTTGTCGGAACTATGCAATCGTCAGCAAGCCTAACCCTGATCCACTGGTGGAAAAAAATGTCCGGGGAAGCGCATACATGATAGCCAGCCTGCTGATGAGGCCATATAGACCCAGGTTGCGGAATCCACCTCGCAACCGGATCATCTCTCGAAGCCCCCGCAGATGGGCGCGCAAGTCGTTCGTCTCGCCCCAATACCACTCGTCCACGATGAGCTGAATTACTGCGGCTATCACCTCGTCACTGGACGAGGACTCGGAGCGAAGGTGATCGTTTAGAAGCCTGATGGACAGGCCTTTGTGGGCCATTGCCACTCGCTCGTCGAGATGACCCGTCTCGCTGAGAAAGCAAGCAGCCGTGTGAATGGCCACCTGCGTCAAGATTGGCGTCTTAAGGCAGAACGGAACATAGTACTTATTATAGGGGTTGGAAGAGTCTGGGTTGCCATCCAGCGATGCCTTGAATCGGGACAGAAGGTTCACAACTACGGCGCATGTCAGGGTCGATAACCGGCGGAGCAACGTCCCACCCCACCAATGGAGGACCTATTGGTCAGGGCAACGTACATATTCTTAGGAGATCAGTATCCTGCTTGGTAGGTGCTGCTGGCAGGTGAGGGGCCTCCTCCGCCGGGCTGGCCGCGAGCCAGAGATGGCTGTACGAGGTAGAGATGTCGAAATTCGCTATCCAGGAGATAACCTCGTCGGTGTTCGCGGGGTGCCATTCGGCGCTGGAGAATCGGCTGGGGATTGTCTGCGTTCCCGGTAATGGGCTGGGAACGTCGTAAGCTGCATCTTGGTGCATGGCGCAAGTGTCGTCGCAGACAGGTAGCCCCGATGGTCCCAAGGTCCCCGGAGCGGCTGCCCACGGGCTGTTCCATGGATTTTGGGACGACACTAGACCGGGGAACTGGGTCGGGACGTCAATCCCTGACCATCGGACAACCTCGCCAACCTTCGGATCATGTAGTTCGGGCCATGGCATCTGCAGCGGTGGCTTTGGTCTCAGCGATAACGGGGAATCGCAATCCGCGGCGGCGTCCGAATAGGTCGTTGACTGGGCCAAGGGTAGGAGGCCTTGCGAGGTTTCTTCGACATGGCTAGCAGGGCGCCTTTGCTCAATACGTTAGCGGGCATGTCGCCAAGCAGAGAAGCTGTCGGTGTGCCAAGATGATAATTACCTTTCCGTCGACTTGTACTCGCAAGCAGGCTGAGGAAACCGGCGGGCGCAGTTGCTACAAGGCCGACCCTGGTTACACTGTGGGTCGAGTTTAGCACGGATAAAACAGGCCACCAGGAAGGAGGCCGGGCCAGGGAGGAGACAAGGAAGGAGAAACATACTCTCTGCTTCCTTCTCCTGCACTCTCCGCAAGAAGTTGTGGTCCTCTCCACACGTGAAGCGCGTGCCACACGCATGTGCATGGCTTCGGGTATGCTACCTACGGTTTGGACGAGAGGATTGGCCGCTTCGGGGGAGACGCTGCTGTGTATATGGGGATATAAGAGCTGGCTATAGGGCTGAACACAGAGGCGGTTCCAGACGGGCCTAGACCACGACAGGGATGTGGGACCGCCAAGGGGGCTAGCATGTGAGACTTTGTTTGGCGACCAACCAGGGGCCAGGGAATAGGTCGGTAGCGGTAATAGATATTTGCAATACAGGGAACGTGATCCAGTGAAAGAGATAAGGTTACGGGAGGGAGGGGGGTAATTCAGAGAAGTGCCGAAGCCGGGGGGAAGCTCAAAGTGTGAAACAATCAAGGCGGAAATGAAGAAACATCATGGAGCAAGTCCCTAGCTAGATATACCGGACACCGGATACCGTGATGCAGATACTCGCCGTGCTTTCAAGCTTGCGTGAATGGCGGGTCGGTATTTTTGGAACAGATGCAGGTCGAAGGGCTGAACCGACCGAATCAGCACTCGTTGCTCCACGACAACCCATCATCGTGAAGAATCCGTCCACCAGGGACACCACCACCGGAGGCAGTGCTGCAAGACCCATTTGATCGAGTCAAGCCGAACTCCCTGAATGGTTCACAGAGATCCTCGGCAAAGGGGGGGGAATGGCGAGACCAATCGATAGACGTGACTTATCAAGGAAGACCAAATTCCTTGCTGAAGAACCCCGAACTAACGTTGCATACAGGTATTGCTGCCTGGAGGGGATGTCCTTGATGATACCCCCTTATTCACATGCAGGATATGTCCGGAAGGGAACTCTGTAGCCATCAAATCCGTGGTTACCACGTACGAGAGCCAGAGGCCACGGGAAACGGGAGGACGGCGTGAACCTGACGGCCCCCTTGCAAGTTGGTTCCCAATTTGGACCGGGGCCGCCACAGTCGCCCACTCGCTCGCTACCTTGCCGGTACGCTACAACCCCCGGCCGACCTGGACTAGGACGACGGAAGATACCGTTCTTTCAGAAAGGCAGTGCATGCCACGAACCTGGTAAAACCCCGTATTTTTTGTACGAGATGAGGCCCCAGCCCCCCTAACGTGGCATCCGTATCCGTGGAAGGAAAAAGATGGAGTCTATCCCCAACACAGAGGCGTCTTGCGGTGGGGACGATGGCTGAAACGGAGTCTTGGTAAACAAGGACATTTGTCCGTCTCCCCGGGGGAAGGGGGATCGTCGGGCTTCTGGGCTGAAGCTGCTGAACCAAGCAAGTATCCTGGACCGCACGACCACCGTGCGCGCGTGGCGCTACCTAGGCCGCCATGGTTCATACACACAAGTTGATAGAGGTGAAGACTCGATCCTGGAGGATTTTGAAGTCTTGGGAGTCTGCTATTTTCTTCTTCCGCATTGGGGGATTTTTTTTAAGCTTAATCGGCAAGCGAGAATGATCGGCATGGCTATTTGGAGCCCTGTAACGTGACGTAGCGGGGCCCATGCGAACCATGCCGTTGGGTCGATACCCCAAGGCTGCTGCCAACAGCACTGGCTGAGAATAAAGAGAAGGAAAAACCCGGTTTTTGAGGAGGCAGTGAGCGGTCAAATTGAAAGTTTTACCACCAGAGTTTATTTCTAGCCATTGCGTGCTAAAGTCCTTCTTCCCGTAGGCCAACAAGCACCCCGAACGCCATCCGCTTCCCGAGGGCGTGTACTGTAAGCACATAGGTATGCGTACATACAGGCCCTCGGCTAAACATCCCCTCTAGGTATCATAAACATCGTGTATCAGAAGTCATACGAGCCTTCATCGCATATATCCCCACCCCCTCAACCATGACAACTAATATCCATGGCGTTTGGCTTGCAATATTTCGTGCTTGGCACGCCGCATCTTCCCCTTATCTTCCCCTATAGTCCGGTTTCCTTGCCATGTTGACAGCTGGGGGCGGCTCGTCGTCCAGGGGGTAAGGAGGCGCAGCGCCGGGGCGCCGGCTCCCGCCAGTCTGGTGTTCAGGAAGGGGCGTCTTGGGTGGGAGTGGCGGGGGCTCAATCCGCTGCGGCTGCTGCGGGTTGGCTGGCTTTGTGCTAATTGGGTCCTTGTGTCGCCGTGGTTGGTCTTCGGGGCCGACCACCGCAATCTTGTCTGCTCCTGACGCGTTCCTGTACTGCGCTGGTGTGGGAGCTGTTATCACGAGCCGGTCAACATCCTCCACCCCGTTCTGCGCTGCGCCTCCAGTCGGGGTTGCAGGCGTGCCTGCGCTAATAGCGGTCCGTTGTGGGAGTGGTTGGCTGCTATCCCTTGGCGACGAGAAGAGGCGCTCGCCCGAGCTTCTCGGTGGAGGGGTGTTAGTAGTCGGCAATGGTAGATTTTCAAGGCCAGACTCGTACGATTGCCTGCTCGACGGCGTATTAGGGACTGGCAAAGTGGGCATGTCGCCCGGGAGCTCGATCGCAAAAGGGGATGGGATGTCGCACGAAGTCTGGACCAGGTCCGGGACGTTCGCTGCAAGGCGCTCCAGGCGCTGCTTGGCGAAGTGGATCTTGGCGAGCTTGGTCGAGATGCCCTGGACCATATTCTGTTCCTCGTCTCGAGCCAAATACCTCCTAGTGTTGGTGCTGATGTCGGCCAACCGGTGCCACTCGTTCATTCCAAACTCACCAACTCCAACCTCGACGTTCAGCCGATAGTAATTCTCAATGTTGACGTTGCGCCGGGTAATGTGCTCCCTCTTCATATATTCGTGTATCCTCTCGCAGCCTTCGATCTTGCTGATCAACCTTCTCCTCGCCTCTGCAAATTCCCCAAGGAATCCTTCGTACCACATGGTCGAACTCGCGTCGCTGCCCCTGGGCCGCTTCCCCGTGCCCACGCTGACAAAAACGCCAACATCACGACCCGGCCATTCGTTGACCGTGGCCTCGTCCAGAGCGTGAATGGACGGGTTGAAGTCGCCGGGACCATCATCATGGAACACAGACTGGCCGATTTGTATCGGCTTGAATGCCAACCCGATGGCACAAGTCGCTCGACCAGCCTCCCATATCCTGCAATCAAACTCCGGGGCCGGTTCTCTCCTCGAGTCGTACGAACGGAGCAGTGCGGGGGCTCCTCCTTTGGGGGTTCCTTTGTACATAGCAGTCACGGCCCTGAAGTGGTTTTAGAAAGGCGCCTATCATGAGGTGCAGCGCCCCGGGGGGGGGGGGGGGGACACTTACGTCTTCGTTCGGTTTTCCCGTTCATCGTATAGGAGAGCATTGGCGTTGCCACCCCTCGAGTTGAATAGAGGTCTTGACATTTGGGCGCTGGGACTCCTTGCACTGAAACTCACGACACTCGCGTTGCTCTGGTGCCTCCGAGGAGCCGCCGCACTGGAGCGAGAAACAGCGCTGAGAGGGGTGGTGGCGTCGAACTCAAACTCATCGTTTCCCCCACGCCCGTATCCGGTATGTTCCCTCACGCACTCCTTGATAGCCTCTTCCAGCTTAGTCGCCTTGAAAAGGGTGGAGCGGTAGGGGATGCCGGCGATTGTCTTGTCCGTTTCGAAGACCATGCGAGTGAGGCGCACGTACAGCTCCTTGCACGTCTCGAGGTCGAGTCGTAGCCGGCCCAGCATCAAGGCGATCAGGCCTCCGGTGCCGGTGCCGACGATGAGGTCGAAATGGTCGCAAGGCCTCGGAATCTCGTTTCGGCGCGGGGCTCTGCCTTCTATCTCGACAAACGTGCGGTGCATCAGCTCTTGTATGATGAGGAACATGGAGTAGCCGCGAACGCCTCCTCCATCTGTGATAGCCTACTGTCAGTCTCACGGCCCTGGCCTCATGCAGGCTGAGGAATCTTACCAAGAGTCAGGATGCGAAGAGGGGGCCCCTTCGTCGTGTCCTTTCGTTTCAATCCGTTGCTGTCCATGACGGCGGTCGGCGACGGAATCGGTTCATACGCGAGAGAGAGATACAAGTATCTGTCGTCTCTGGAGAGCAGGAAATCGCAGTGCTATTGTCGATTATGAGGCGGTAGTGACGCAAGGCGACAGGGACAGGGCGACTAAAGCTTGGGCCAGCCAGGCGGACTACTATGTAGACGAGGGGAGTACCTTTTTTCGTCTGTTCGTACCCCGGTCGATAACGCCACTTGACTCAGAATCAGCAACAATAACGAAACCTTAATATCGGATCGACTTCAATGAGGAGATAGAAGCAAAGGCGGATACTCTGAAGGTAGGAATGGAACAGCGCAAGAAAAGGTATTACCTCGCGGTTGGCGGCTTCTTTCTGCCAAGTCGAGATGTGGCAGTGCAGTTACCCCGACGAGTGAAGGTCCATCATGAGAACGATTGACGACTGCCTAGAAAGTACCTGCTAGGTACCGGCGGGAGTTAGGGAGGCCCCCGTCACTGGGCCTTGGCCCCTGATACTATGACAGTCAAGTGGCCATAAAATCCGAGACATTCTCTTTACTTCTTTTCTGACTGCTCGGTTCCACAATTATATTCCTGAATTGTTGAACTGTTCGCGGATCTTCGCGGGATAGATCATGTGTGGCTGAGTGAGCAGCTCGTGACAAGATGACCGCTACGGCGGTGCCGCCCGTTCCTATTGGATCGCCACCCGGCTCGGCTCGCGACCTAATTGCAAGGGGTATCGCAGCACGGTTCCAAGGGTTCCTCTTGTGGGCCGCGAGTCCCGCAACGGTGGTTCTTCGCGATCATGCACGCGGGAGGCAAGGGACCTTACATGCGGATGACACGTAGGCTGGTAGGTCTATTCTTCACTGGGCCCGGTTTGGCATTCGGGTCAACTAGGTTCCATACTTGTCTCTTTGTTGTTTACGTTTCGGGTTCGTAGCCGTTCAGTTTCTCCACAAACCCCTTGTCGCTGCAGTAGTGAGTAGACCTGTCTGTTGCCATCCTGTCGCCTGCGGTATAGTGAAAACATGATCCAGTGAATCAATTCGCATTCATAGATGTTGAGATAGAATTGATTTTGTGTCTTATTCCACAAGATTTCGCAAGTCCCTGTGACTTTCCACAAGCCCGTTTTCAACTTGTGTGCAGTCGTCATGGCGGGCGCAAACCGACAACGTTGATCTCAACGACGTCATAGGCGCGTCTGTCTGCGCCTACCTATCAGCCTATCTCACCTCGACTCTCCCCCTTCCGCTTGGTACACTCCGGGTTAGGAACTGTTGCTCCTCATCCTCGTCCTCATCCTCAACAGTCCCCGGATTTCCGGGTACACAATCTCAAACAATGCTGTCGTCGTGCTTTGGACTTTGCAAGCCCTCGTCCTCTGAGGACCGCGAACCCCTGCTCCCACGTTATCAAGATGACACATCACTACAGAGAGAGCTTCATCAGAAGCTTCATACTTACCAGATGCTTCGCGCCTTGTCGAAGGGGTATATGCCGTCGAATGAGCAGGTCATTATCAATCTTCGCACCATCTTGGCAGCTGACCTTCTCAACCCGGACAATGAAGGACTAAGTGACTCCGGCCAAGCCCTCGTACACTATACGAAGCAATGGCTGAAGCAATTCATCGAGATGCTGCAGCATAAGAACAGCGAAGATCAAATCCAAGACTTCATATGGAACTTGTCTAACGCCAGGGTGTCGATCGATATGGCGGCCGTCGCCGAACGAACGTCGAGGGCAAAGGCAAAGGCAGACACTGCGACCAGCAAGTCACCACGGCTTATATACCTCGTCTTTGCTTGAACTGACCCTTCGTTAGCCTACAAGAGCTTGCAGACCGTGTGCTCCTTGCTACTGACCAATTCGGATTTCCGACTCTTCTTGTCTGACTTGAACACCGTTGGTCGAGAGGTGTTCAAGGACACAGCCTTCGCCTTGTCAGAAGCCTCCAAGGATGCTGGCTTGAAGCTTGAGCCATCAGAGGCGGAGCAGGATGCTCTGAAGAATCCCGGCGCAGATGCATCCCAAGAGCCCACTCAAGGAGACTTGCATGCCCAGGCGGCCGAGGTATCCAACGTCCTCACTGAGAGCGCCACGAAGGTTATGCAAGGGGTAGATGATAGCGTAGCCGGCAAGGTCCGGGGGCCTGAGAAGGACACAATGTTGGCCCGGCTGAAACAGGCAGTTCAGAAACTCCGAAAGAGGCCGGACTACACGGATTCTGTATCAACGCTATCCCTCCTGCTCAAGCGTTATGCCATGGTGTATTCGCATGCCGTCCAGGATGCAGTCCAGGCCACCGAGGAAAATGTCGAAAGGAATGAGGAGACAGATCGCGCTGTGAGCAATTTCTGGAGGTTCATCAAATCTTTTGGCGACAGCGAGGAATGGGACGAGCTCGAACGGAGGTTCAACAAGGTTATGACTTATGGTCAAGGCAATCCCCAGTTTGATGATTTTATAAGGCAAATGGGGAATGCCCTCCAAGACATGCTCACGGACCCGTCCTTCTTCGACAACGCCGAGCAGCGATTCCAAAGACTTCGCGCCGAGTCTCGCGAGCTCGCCTCCGAATCCTCCCTGAGAGCGGACATTGATGGGTTACTTGGGAAGCTTCAGTCAACCTTCCATTCCGTGCTCCGGGACCAGGATGTGGCAAGGCTGTTGGATACGTCAACTCGCATAGCCAAGATCCTCTCACCAGCACATGAGTACACCAATGGAGAGTTGATCACGGACTCCATGCATGTCTTCGTACCACTGGTCGTCCAAGCCATCCAATACGTCCCTATTCCCCGTCTAGAAGTCTCGACACCTCAAATCGACCTCCTGCTGGAAAATCTCATTCTCGAACCTGGTGTGACCATAAACCACTCGTCGTTTCTGCCATACAAGCTGCGGATCGAGACTTACAATGACCTGGAGATACGGAAGGGGCGATTCCGGACCACCTCAGCTGTGAAGTCTCTCGTCCGAATCAAGATCGACGGCATCTCGATACGGGCCGAGGAGGTTGGATTCTGGCTTCGACTGCACACGGGCATATTCCGTCTTGTCGAAGAGGGCATAGCCTCGTTCCAACTCGATGAGCGGGGCATTGACGTCCATCTCGACGTCGAAGTCGGCAAAGACAGGCTTGAGAAGATATTGTCTCTGCGGGCGGTGCGTGTGCATATCCACAAGCTCGACTACAAGCTGCGCAAGAGCAGATTTTCCTTCCTCTCATGGATCTTCAAGCCCGTCTTGAGCCTCATCATCCGCAGGACCATGGAAGTTCAAATCGGATCGGCGATAGCGGACGCCCTGCACTTCGCCAACCGAGAACTCGTGTTTGCAAGGGAGCGGCTGCGGGCAACCCGCATTGCGGATCCGGACGAGCTGGGGACGTTTATCAGGGCCGTTGCCGCCCGGCTCTCACTGCCTGAAGATCCGGATGTCCGCACGCGCGTTGGCGTTGTGCAGCCGGGGGAGGGCGTCTTCAAAGGGAAATACGCGCCCGGGAGTGTTGTTAAGTTATGGAACGAGGAAGCTGGGGAGGCGCCACAGCGCATCCGAGAACAGGAGAGAGATGGCTGGCGAAACGACATATTTGATGTACACACGAACGGTGTAGCGTAGATCTGAGGATGGTTCCCTATGGGGTTTTACATATCTGACATATTATGGCGGCGAGGAGGCTCGCATCTGATGAAGGCAGAGAGGAGGGCAAGTTTGTGATGGATGCATGCATGCTATGTAGGTAGGGAGGTACTCGATACTTGAGATATGCATCATTCCGAGTTCTAGGCACACGAGAAAAGTAAAAAGGTGGGGACTGACATTCGCTGCGACATTACTACCAGAGTATATGCAGTAAAGAACTTCGAAACAAATCCAGACCTGAAGAAACGACCACTTTGACTTCATCCTTAGCCGCATCTCAGACGTTAATCGCCTGGCCTCACCAACAGCGCGTCATTTGGCTCACTCCCTCCCGAGTCGCCGAGTTTGGCGTCGACGGAACCCCTGCAATTTAGCGTCCGGAACTTGCCTTCAACTCGCCTGCTACCATGAACTTCCCTCCACCTCCCTCATTCAACGATCCCCAGCTGTTCCCTCCGCCTCCGGCCGCCCCCACGTCGCGCCAGACTCAAGCTACACCGTCCCGGGAGCAGCAGGGTGTAGCATTGCCCCAATCGGCGTCTCAACAGCAGCAACATCATCAACAGCAGCAGCAGCCGCAACTCCAACAGCCGGCTCTCCAGCAACAGTACCATCAACAACAACAGCAACAGCAGCAACAACAGCAACAACAGCAACCGCAGCAACAGCAACAGCAGCAGCAGCAGCAGCAGCAACAACAGCAGCAACAGCAACTGCTGCTAATGAACGGCATTAACGGCGGGAACATGCCCGGGGCCATGGTCGCCCTGCCCGCCCCGGCGGGCCACCAGGCCGAGCTGACCTACATCTACGGAATGGTCGAGGAGCTTAGCCGCCAGCTAGCCGAGAACAAGAGGGCATTGGAGGAAGTTGTCGCCGGCGTCGGTCGCGTGCGAAATCGGGCCAGGGCGCATCTGTTGGGCAACGACGACCTCGTCGCTGCCGCCATCGACGATGTCAATGGTAAGCCGACCCAAATTTAACCAAACCCAGCCTCGGGGAGATCCCAGCTAATGTAGTTTCACACCTCTCAAGCCCAGGAACAGAACCTAGACGTCCAAGTCTCCACCCTCGCCGAAGCCCTAGAGAAGGCAAAGTACAGCCGCGACGAAAACGCCGCGCTCCTGGCGCAGTACGCGTCGGTCCTGTCGACGATGCTCCGGCAGTTCCACGAGTACAAGGCGCGGCACGTGTCGGACGTGGCGGCGTGGCACCGCAGCTACCGGGCGCAGCTGGCCGAGGCGCGGGCCGAGAACAGCCGGCTGCGCGAGCAGATCTGGGAGATGCAGGGCAAGGCCGGCCAGGCCAACGAGGCGCTGCGCCGGTTCCGCTCGCGCTACGGCGAGGACGCCGCGCGCCACGACCGCCTCGTCGACGCCGCCGCCGCCCGCCAGGAGCTGCGCTTCTGGAAGCGCCTGGCCATGCCCGAGCTGCCCGACGACGACGCGTGCTGGAGCGACGACGACGACATCGTCGACCCCGCGGAGAAGGAGCGCCTCAGGCTGAGGGACCTCGAGTCCAGGGCCGCCGCTCAGGACCAGCTGGACGGTTTGGGTGACGGCGGGCTGGGCGACCAGGGGAGCGGCGACGAGTTCTTTGGGTCCCAGCAGGAACTCTCGCACCCCGGCTCGATGGGCGGCGTGGCTATGCAGAGGGACGATTCTTCGGCTATGGGGATGCCGCTACCGCCTCCTAGGCCTTCAAGTGCGTCGAGCACGGGATCATCGGGGCAGTAAGCGGCCCTGCTATGTATGGCTTTTGTTTTGCATCTTGTCGGTGTTTTGTTTGGGCGGGGTTCCAGTGCTTCCGGCGTTCGGGAGGGATTTGAGGGGTTGGCGTGGTTCTGTCAAGTCTCGAGTAGATGTATATGATATCCCAGGCCTGGGTCACGACTGGAGAAACTGTTGGCAACCGACACAACTAGACTTTTGTTTCCAGCGCTGCCAAAACAGAAAGGCCACAGAGTTGAAAGCTACAAGCCGAAGGGCTGTCCATGTTACCAGCTCGTTTTTATTTCCAGTGCAACTGAAGTGTGCTCTTGGATGTCTAGATGGTTATATACCCAGTAACTAGGGGGGTAAGCCAACTCTACATATATGGAAATTGGATAACAAACAGCGATATCCAGGTTTACACGCCTGACCTCCCTCCTCTCCGGAGGCGGCCAAGGGCCTTCTCAACCTACGGCCACCTGACCCATTCAATGGCCTTATGTGGAACGCCGTCCTACCTTGCCACGGCCAGCCGGTCTAGAAACCCAACTTCTCGAGCCCAGCCGCCCTCTCCCTCTCGACCTCCTCGTCAGCGTGGCGAGCGAACCGCTTACCCATGAATCCCGTAGTAACGTCGACGGACTCGAGTGGCACTAGGAATTCCCCATCTCCGTGCGCGACCCGCTGGAAGCTGGCGAGCATTGAAAGAGAGAGCGAGAAGTGCAGGGGATGCTTGACGCAGCGGAGGCCACATATAATGGTATACGGGAAAAGCGTGGAGAGCGTGGGGAGGAGAGGATGCATATATATAGTTGAAACGGACCTGGAGCTTGGCCAGATAGGCTTTGTGGATGCGCCCTGCCCATGCTCAATTGAACCCCTACAGTAGGAGCGTTTGCTGCGCCCTCCAGCTCTCTTTCTCCTCCGTCGCACACTCTTTAAGCTAGGTCTTGGAGCATATTTCGGGGCCCCAAGCCATCAGAGAAAGCGAGTATTCCCCTCGGCTTCCTGAGATTGTGCAGGCCCAAGGAGATAGTAGGAGCCCAGTTGGAACAGTTGTCTTGGCAGCACAAACTTTTGCCCATGTAGTCATTCCCTTTCAGCAAATCAAGCCCATTGATTATCCTTACATTCCGAGAACCTTCCATTATTAACGCCAAAAGCCTCCCTGGATGTACTTGACACCTTGACACCACAAACCCAGAAGGTTTTTTCCATCACAAGACCAGCTTGGCTATCCACTTAAGAAAACAGAGCAGGAATAGAAACACGATCGAGCCAGGTTTAATATCCACTCTGTTCCTGGCGGGAGTCCGACTTCGCCCCCTCTCCGGCGTCCTGAATAGCCTGCTCGTCACCTCTGAGCTTGGCAAAGTATGTTTTGATGTCCTCGGCGCTGATGGCTTGCCCGCTTTCGGCAAATTGCTGGAAGAAGGGCTTCAGCTTGTCCTTGAGATGATTATAGGCCATGACGCCCTCGATGGCTCGCACTCGATCAACGTTGCGCAAGGCACTCTCGCCACGGTCTAGCAAACTGCCACTGCCGTGTGTAGAACCCCCGTTCTCGGATCCCTCCTCCGAGACGGGTGGTTCGTATGTCTCCTCCTCCTCGAGAAGCTGCGGATGAGGAAGGAGGAGGGGGAAGCAGGACGAGCAGCGGCAAATGTTGTCGCGGAACCCTTCCCTGAAGAAGAGGGAGAACCTTCCTTCTGGTGCGGGTGGGAGAGCCGCTAGTTTGCAGGTAGGGGCCGTTTCCGTTTCCGTTTCCGGGCCCGACTGCTCAACCTTAACCTCGCCGGAAGCTTGGACACTGGGCTCAGATAGATCCTCGTCGCTCTTTTGCCGTTTCACGTCCTGGGAGTCTGTGCGCCCTTCTTCTGCTTTGCGCTTTTTTGAGAGCTCCTCTGCTTGCGAAACAGGGGCGGCAGGCTGCTCAGTCGAGTCTCCATCCCGAAGAAAGACAGGGGGGAGGAAACCCGCTGTGCCAGCATATCGCTTGATCCAAGGGAAGGCATCCACGCACTTGTAGCACATAAACCCTTCAAACTCATCATCCCCAGGGAAGCCGGGAGGCGGAGGGGGATCATCATCCTCAGGGCCTTCCTGATTTCCACCGTCGTCCTGGGCCGGCGCAGCTGCATCCTCCAAAATGGCAGCGAGAGAGGCGTTCTCAATGGGCTTGCTTTGATCCGTCTTGATGGCACCAGTGGCTGGGGTCTTCTCGAACCATTTCGGCCCCAACCCAACAATGCAACCTGGATGCCACCAGTCCTCACCACAACCGCCCGTCTCATGTGTGCCAAGACCTAAGCATTGAAACATAGTACCTTTCTGCTGGAAAGGGTCATAATCGCATTCGCATCCGCAGAATTGGTTGCGAAAGTTCTGATTATACTTGTTGCCAGCAGCGGCCTCCTCGGAGTGGACGCCACCCTTGGTGTTCGTAGCTGGGTTAAGGCGGAGAGTGCAGGGGCTGGTCTCCGGATATCGAGTCGTACCGCAGTCGCATGTAAAGTTCCTCTTGGTGAATATCTCGACAAGTGTGTGTTCACCATGACACTGCACAGAGCACGAATAGCAGATACCGGCGGGGGATTCGTACGGCTCGCTTGCATTCGCCGGACGGGGGTTGCAGGTGAGACAGGCGAAGACACTCTGGCGAAGGGGACCAAGTGGTTTGGTGCAATCCTCGATACTCTGGGTGCCATGTTAGCATTGGACGAGATGAGGGGGTAACAAGGCGGCGCGTTATGACGTACATAAGGGAGAGCTTCGCGTGCATCGGCCTCGAGCTGCATCTGATCGCGAATGAAACTGTCGGGAGTGTCAGCATATCTTGCGAGGGCAGTATATGGAAACGGTGTGATTGTACTCGGCGGCAGTTTGCGAGGTGTCCGACTTCTGAGAGAAGCTCTCGCTTCTAGGCTTGGTTGGCTGAGCGGGGGTCGCAGCGCCGGGCGAGGCCTGAGGAGCAGGCGGAGGGTCCATGATGTGAAAGTGGTATCGATGCCAATTGGGAAACGTCGATTGTGATGGGGAGTTAAGCACGACGGTCTTTTCCCTCTCTGTGGGCAAAGGCATCTGCAGCTGGCGTGCCTTGCTTCGCCAGCCTCGAGTGTGACGCGCGACAGGTTGTCTTAGTAATGACCCAAGCACTTAAACGCGAAACGCCCAATTTGGTTTAGCGTATCAATTAACGCGGTCGCGAAAACGCGACCATATGTCGAGACGCGCCAGGGGCTTGAACAATTTGGCACCCACTCAGCACCCGACACCCCTCCCTCCCATCCTTTACATCGACTCTTTGCCAAACATACTGACTCTCTCGACATACTTCTATGATTATCGAGAACTGTCGCAAAGATGAGGTGAGACTTGCCAGTCATTCACCCGCATATTCCGATTGCACATTCAGATACCCACACCTCTAGAATCGACATGGCTACCCCTTTTCGGGTCCCAATTTGCTAACTTGCCTTCTGCCAGCTCCCCACTACGTGATAACATGGCCTCAGCCAACCGTGGTCTTACCTCTCGGGCGAACCGCAAGCGTTCTCGCACCGCTGGCGACGATGGCACATCGTCCATTGCCGCGGCATCTAGCCCAATGCCGTCTTCCCCGCCTGCCTTCAATATCGCCCATGGCGGCGATGATGACGAAGACATCGAGGAGGATGTCGACATCCAGGACGATCTTGATGATCTTGACGAGATGGCCGAGGACGATGTCGATCTCTTCCGCGAGGGCTTCGAGCGCGACTACCGCGCCAAAGAAGATGATACCTACGAGGGGATTGATATTGATGATGAGGGAGAATTCGACTCGATGAATTTGGGCGAAAGGAGGCGCCTCGAAGCTCAGCTTAGTCGCAGAGATCGAGAAGTCGCACGCCGGCAGCGCATCCCCGCAGCCTTCCTTCCCGGCGAGGATGATGACGGCGACATTGATCTTACCGCCCAGCCTCGTCGCCGCAGACATCATTATGACGAGGACCCCGACGATGAGATGGACGCCGACATCATGGATGAAGAGCTCTCGCTCGAGGCTCTGCAGGATGTCAAGGCCTCAAGCCTGACTGAATGGGTCTCCCAACCCGCCGTACAGCGCACCATCAAGAGAGAGTTCAAGGCCTTCCTGACAGAGTACACCGACGACAGTGGCTCGTCCGTCTACGGAAATCGCATCCGAACGCTTGGCGAGATCAACGCCGAGACTCTCGAGGTCTCGTATGATCATCTTTCAACATCAAAAGCTATCCTCGCCTACTTCCTTGCGAATGCCCCGGCCGAGATGCTAAAGCTCTTCGACCAAGTTGCTATGGATGTTGTTCTTCTCCACTACCCCGACTATGAGCGCATCCACTCCGAGATCCATGTCCGCATCTTCGATCTCCCGGTCCACTACACCCTGCGCCAGCTTCGCCAGTCGCATCTCAACTGCCTGGTGCGGGTCAGCGGTGTGGTCACACGCCGGACCGGCGTCTTCCCGCAGCTGAAGTATGTCAAGTTTGACTGCACAAAGTGCGGTGTCACGCTTGGGCCCTTCCAGCAAGAATCGAATGTCGAGGTTAAGATTACCTACTGCCAGAGCTGCCAGTCCCGTGGGCCATTCACTCTGAACTCGGAAAAGACCGTCTATCGAAATTACCAGAAGCTTACTCTCCAAGAGTCTCCCGGAACTGTCCCGGCCGGTCGTCTTCCCCGGCACCGAGAGGTGATCCTCCTCTGGGACCTCATTGACAAGGCCAAGCCTGGCGAGGAGATTGAGGTCACCGGTATCTACCAAAACAACTACGATGCCCAGCTCAACAACCGCAACGGGTTTCCCGTCTTTGCAACGATTCTTGAAGCCAACAACGTTGTCAAGTCCCACGATCAACTTGCTGGTTTCCGACTCACTGAAGAGGACGAGCATGAGATCCGCAAGCTCTCCAAGGACCCCCAGATAGTCGACAAGATCATCAACTCGATGGCCCCCAGTATCTATGGCCACACAGATATCAAGACTGCAGTTGCCCTGTCCCTGTTTGGCGGTGTTGCCAAAAATACCAGGGGCGCTCACCACATAAGAGGCGACATCAATGTGCTTCTCCTTGGTGATCCAGGCACAGCCAAGTCCCAGGTCCTGAAGTACGTCGAGAAGACTGCACACCGCGCCGTGTTCGCCACCGGCCAAGGAGCGAGCGCAGTCGGTCTGACGGCTAGTGTCCGTCGAGACCCCTTGACTAGCGAATGGACGCTTGAAGGCGGTGCTCTCGTGCTGGCAGACAAGGGAACCTGTCTCATCGATGAGTTCGACAAGATGAACGACCAGGACCGTACATCGATCCACGAAGCCATGGAGCAGCAGACCATCTCCATCTCCAAGGCCGGCATCGTCACCACTCTCCAGGCGCGGTGTGGCATCATAGCCGCGGCCAACCCCATCGGTGGTCGTTACAACTCCACTATCCCCTTCTCGGCCAATGTCGAGCTCACGGAGCCCATCCTGTCGCGTTTCGATATCCTCTGCGTTGTCCGCGACACGGTGGAGCCCGAGGAGGATGAGCGTCTGGCACGCTTCATCGTTGGTTCCCACAGCCGCAGCCACCCGATGAACACTAGCCAGGGTGAAGAGTCTATGGAAGTCGAGCACGGCTCCGAGAGGGCCGAGACCCAGGCTACCGAGGGGTCTGCGCCCCGTCACGGAGAAGCCGAGATTCCCCAGGAATTGCTTCGCAAGTATATCCTGTACGCTCGCGAGCGCTGCACGCCGAAGCTCTACCACATGGACGAGGACAAGGTGGCACGGTTGTTCGCAGATATGCGAAGAGAGAGTTTAGCCACGGGTGCCTACCCGATCACGGTATGTTTGAGTCCGGCCCGGAAGGCAGAAGCAAAAGTATGAGCATCATCATCTAACAGTGTATGACCACAGGTTCGCCATCTCGAGGCCATCATCCGTATCAGTGAGGCCTTCTGCCGCATGCGCCTTTCTGAATACTGCGCGACCCAGGACATCGACCGCGCCATCGCGGTGACGGTCGATAGCTTCGTGGGGAGCCAAAAGGTCAGCTGCAAGAAGGCCCTGGCCCGCGCATTTGCCAAGTACACGTTGGCAAGGCCGGGCGGGCAGCAACGGAGAGGTGGAGCAGCAGCGAGCAGGACGAGCCGTGCGGCTGCTGCTGTAAGGGCCTGATTTCCACTGTCTGGTTGGTAGGCAGCCGTGCTGCTTTGGTATTTTGACGGGAGTTTGTTGGCGTAGTTGGGTTTTGACCAACCACTTGCTTGTATTGAGGGCCTAATAAGGGGAACTGGGGACCTGGCTTGGTATGTAGGTAGACGCTGATATGATCAAATACGATGTAATACAAGACTGGGACAGGCAGGTATACCGTATGATGTACCTCCTTGAATGCTCCGAAGCCGGTTGTCAGGGATGTTCCCCGCCCCCTTGGCCGCAGCTTCCGCCTAACTCTCTCCTCATAAACAATCAAGCCATGACACGGGCTGCGTCCCCCGCCCGCAGCTGTAGTGGTGACAACGCAGCCGATACGCCATTAGGGGAACTCCCACAGTTAACCCGTCGGTGAGAGGCTACTACGGAAAGCCGGCCAGCCTGCCCGGCTAGCCCCGCATCGACCCCGGGCCGCTCGACTCCCTATTGGCCTGGACAAACTCCGGCGGCGGGCGGGTGAAGTTCGGGGGATACAGAGTTGGTGGGGGGATCAACAACCAGCAAGGAGACCCTTTTTTTCCTTCGCAGAAAAAACTTGGGCATCAGGCATCTCCTCGCACAGCGCGGGTTCAGGAGTACTTGGCTCAGCCACGCACTCTCTTAGCGATGCGGACCAGAGACTCTTCCCAACCTGGCCTGCGCTTGGATCGGCTCCGCAAAACTGTGCACTGTATATACTGTACCTAGCTAGATAGGATAGATGGCATGGAATGCAGCTTAGAACCAAGGTTGGAGTTTGGAGTTATTGCAGGACCACTATAAATAGTGTAGTGCCCTGCCCTTGATCGTGTACATGGCTCCTCCCTCGTCCCTTCTTTCTCTCACTCCTGTTCACTGGTCTCTCTTCTCGTCCCCCCCTTAATACTTGTTCTCCTTATCGAACCCCCCGTTTCCAACCCGTACCAAGCGATCCCCTTCCGTCCCCCACCTCCGGTCCCACCAACAGACGGAGTTAACCATGGCCGACATCAATGTAGAGGAGGTGCTCAAGAAGCTCACTGTATCGGAAAAGGTTGATCTCCTGGCTGGTAAGTCGGCACGCCCACCGGCCGACCGAGTGATCCGTCTGTCCCCGGGGATGTGACGGAGCGGTCGGTCGGTTCGGCGCTTGAACCCGTCCGACAAAAAGGGAGGCCACAAAAAGATTGATGTCCCATAAATCACCAGGAATCGACTTCTGGCACACCAAGGCGCTCCCCGAGCATGGCATCCCGTCGCTGCGGCTGACCGACGGGCCCAACGGCGTCCGCGGGACGCGCTTCTTCAACGGCATCAAGGCGGCGTGCTTCCCGTGCGGGACGGCCCTCGGCGCGACCTTCAACACGCCGCTCCTCCGGCGGGCCGGCGTGACCATGGGCGAGGAGGCCAAGGCCAAGGGCGCGCACGTCATCCTGGGGCCGACCATCAACATGCAGCGCTCGCCGCTCGGCGGCCGCGGCTTCGAGTCCATCGGCGAGGACCCCGTGCTGGCCGGGCTGGGCGCCGGCGCGCTCGTGGCCGGCATCCAGGAGACGGGCGTGCAGGCGACGCTCAAGCACTTTGTGTGCAACGACCAGGAGCACAAGCGCAATGCCGTGCAGGCCATCGTCACGCAGCGGGCGCTGCGCGAGATCTACGCGCTGCCCTTCCAGCTCGCGATCCGCGAGTCCCGGCCGGGCGCCGTCATGACCGCCTACAACGGCGTCAACGGCGTCTACTGCAGCGAGAACCCGGACCTGCTCGATAGGCTGCTGCGCCGCGAGTGGGGCTGGGACGGCGCCGTCATGAGCGACTGGTACGGCACCTACACCACGAGCGACGCCGCCAACGCGGGGCTCGACCTCGAGATGCCCGGCCCCTCGCGCTTCAGGGGCGAGTCCCTCAAGTTCAACGTCCAGACCGACAAGGTCTGGGGCCACGTGCTCGACGAGCGCGCGAGGGCGATGCTCAATCTCGTCAAGAGGTGCGCCGCCTCGGGCGTGCCCGAGAACGCGGAGGAGGGGACGCTCGACACCCCCGAGACGGCCGCCCTGTTGAGGGAGATTGGCGGGGAGAGTCTGGTCCTGCTGAAGAACGACAACGATATCCTGCCCCTGAAGAAGGATAAGAAGGTAAGGAGTATGCCTTGCTTTTTGCCCTGTACAAAGGGGGAGAGAAAAAACAGAGAGGAGAGGGACAGGGGGAGAGGGGGAGTTTCCAAGCTGACCACATCACTAGACTGTCGTCATCGGTCCCAACGCCAAGGTCGCCACGTACCACGGAGGAGGGTCAGCCTCGCTGGCCGCATACTACGCGGTCACGCCGTACGACGGGATCAGCGCCAAGCTGCCCTCACCGGCCGGGTACAGCGTCGGCTGCTACTCGCACAAGATGCTACCTCTGCTCGGCTACGCGCTGGAGTCCAAGAACGGCCAGCAGGGCATGACCATGAGCGTCTACAACGAGCCCCCGAGCGAGAGCAAGCGGGAGGAGACGGACTCGATCGAGCTGCTCAAGACGGAGCTGCTCCTCGTCGACTACTACAACCCGAAGCTCAAGTCTGCGCTGTGGTACGCCGACTTTGAGGGCTCCTTCGTCGCCGACGAGGACTGCACCTGGGAGCTCGGGGTCGTCGTGTGCGGGACGGCCAAGCTGTTCGTCAACGGCGAGCTCGTCGTCGACAACGCGACGGTGCAGCGGCAGGGCGATGCCTTCTTCGGCTCGTCGACGGTCGAGGAGAAGGGCTTCCTCAAGGTCAAGAAGGGCGAGACGTACAAGGTCAAGGTCGAGTTCGCGTCGGCCGTCACGTCCAAGCTGGCGGGCAACAACGTCCTCTTCGGGGGCGGCACCCTGCGCGTGGGCGGCTGCAAGGTGATCGACGCGGCGCAGGAGATCGCGCGGGCGGCCGAGCTGGCCAAGGACGCCGACCAGGTCATCGTCTGCGCGGGGCTCAACGCCGACTGGGAGACGGAGGGCTCGGACCGCGACGGCATGGACCTCCCGGCCACCATGGACGACATGATCGCCGCGGTCGCGGCCGCCAACCCCAACACGGTCGTGGTCATGCAGTCGGGCACGCCGGTGCACATGCCGTGGGCCGACAGCGTGCCGGCCATCGTGCAGGCGTGGTACGGCGGCAACGAGACGGGCAACGTCATCGCCGACGTGCTCTTCGGCGACGTCAACCCCTCCGGGAAGCTCAGCCTGAGCTTCCCCGTCCGGCTACGCGACAACCCGAGCTACCTCAACTTCAAGGCCGAGGGCGGCCGCACGCTGTACGGCGAGGACGTCTACATCGGATACCGGTACTACGAGTATGCCGACCGCGAGGTCCTGTTCCCCTTCGGCCACGGCCTGAGCTACACCCAGTTCGAGTTCTCCGGCCTGTTCGTCACAGAGAAGGAGGGCAAGCTGTCCGTCGCGGTGACGGTGAAGAACGTCGGGAAGGTCAAGGGCGCCGAGGTCATCCAGGTCTACGTTGCTCCCAAGCAGGCTGCCAGGGTCAACAGGCCGCTGAAGGAGTTGAAGGGATTCGGCAAGGTGCATCTCGAGCCGGGTGAGAGCGTGCAGCACGAGATTGAAATCGAGACCAAGTACGCGGTGAGTTACTGGGCCGAGGAGCGCGCCCAGTGGTGCGGGGAGCAGGGCGACTACGAGGTTATCGTCAGCAATAGCAGTGAGGTGAAGGAGGGCAAGGCCGTCAAGGCCACCTTCAGCGTCGCCGAGGATTTCTGGTGGACCGGATTGTAAATAGAGGCCAATATGGTATTCTAGCTGGATTCTAGATAAAAGTTTGGTTTTATCCTATTCCTAAATCAGAGAGACGTTCATTAGACAGAACAGAGGAATCTCCAAGAGCTCCGTGCATAAATAACGATGGCTGGATACTCAGACTCTCAAGGTTGCTCGGGGACCTTGAGAGAGAATTGCTCGAGTGTAATGTTCTATGGTGGTAAAACGTTGAATAGGCACAGTGGGAGGAGGTGTTGGTTGCCGGTAGTGGCCGTGAGGATACTGATTTGAGCCTAGCGCTTGGACAATTCAGGGGTCTGCTTGGTGGGGCGGTCAAGCTACTTCACAAGGATAGCGTGAACTTTTTTTTTTCTTCCCCCACCAATCTCTCCCGCACCCAATTTTCACAGCTTCCCTCCACCAATTCGCACCACAGCAGATCACGAACAAGATGGCACAAGGCTCAGTAAAGAAGAACGCCACGCCCGGCCCCGGCAAAGCGAACAAGACGGCGAAGAAGAACGCGATCATCAAGCCGAAGAAGCGAGGCAAGTCGACCGGGGAGAAGCTCCAGAAGAAACTCTCGTCCGGCATGGTCGCGAAGACGGAGAAGCTCCTGGCCGAGAGGGCCGGCCACCTCGAACTGCTCGGCAAGTCCAAGAAGGCCGAGAAAAAGAACAAGGGCGCGGAAGAGACGAAGCAGAAGGGCGGCAGCAGGAAGTTCGGCTGATCAAAAGTCGCCATTTCCAATCCCCGTCCTGGTCACTTTGGGGTACGGCCATTGTCGGGCTACGCCAATTGACATAACGGCGGAACCTCGCCGGTCTCAGGGCTACAACGTGTTTTGCAGAGGGGACCGCAAATGTATGGGACGGCAATGGACGGTGGTTGTGTGGAGCATTTTGGATATTTTCCTTGTTAGTCCCCCCGCGGAGAGTGAGGAGTTCGCGACTCGCAGCGAAAGAGTTATCTACTGCGGGCTCTTGGCAACCGAGGTCAAGACTTCATTGACGACGGCGAAATCCCTCTCCACGTCGACTCTCCAGCTCCCAACAGCTAAGCGGCAGGCGCTGCGGCCCTTCCACCTCGTGCCGCTGACATAGATCCGCCTGGTTTGGTTGATCCTCCGTACCAGATCATCGTTGACGCGAGGGTCCCTCGCCCCGAACAGGACGACGATGTTGGTGTGCGCAAGAGGGGCGTCCCCGTCCGGCAGCCATTCATAATCCTCCGAGTCCCGGACGAACTCTGCGATGCGGCGAGCCAGCCTCACCTGCCGGGCGAGCATCTGGGCGATTCCGTCTCGGCCCTCACTCACCAAGACGGCATAGACGGGCAAGGCGCGGAAGCGCCGGGAGTTCTCGAGGCCGATGTTCAGAGGGCTCGGGATCTTGGAACCGCCTTGGGATGCCAGATATGCGGCGTTTGGGTTCGCGAAGACGCTTGAGAGTATGGATTGGTTACGGCAGAAGAAGATACCCGCATCGTAAGGCTTGGTTGGTAAAGTTAGACGGACAATGGGATAGCGGTATCGATGATCCATTGTGACGTACTACGTTCAAGAGCTTGTGGCCATCAGCCGCTATGCTGTCTGCCAGTTCAAGACCTGCTGTTTGAGCGCGAAGGCCCAGGAACTCGTCCAACGGGGGGAGAGCGCGGGCGAACAGGCCAAAGGCTGAAGTAAAACAATAAAAACACATTAAAAAGATCCAAATCACAAATGGTCATGATGCAAACAAAGCAGGTGTAGTGGTGGAAGTCACGGACGTCGGGGACATACCTCCGTCGACATGGATCCATGCACCATAGCGGTCAGCAAGGCTCCGGAGTTTCGGCATGTCCAGAGCATTCGTCGCGAACCTGCCCGTGTTAACCTCTCCAGCGCTCACGGCAATGATGCTCGCCACGCCGTCGCGGGCCAGCTCGCGCTCAACGGCGTCGAGGTCCAGGCGCCACGGTTCGTCCTCGCTGACGGGCAGCTCCTTGACCGCATCGTGGCCGAGCCCCACCACGCTGGCGGCCTTGGACAGTGAACTGTGGCCCATGGTAGTCAGCACCTGGATCTGCCTGACCCCGGCAGCGAGGCAGGCGCCGAGCAAGCCCGTCTTGGCTACCGTGGCGCCCGACGAGTGCGGGGGCAGGCGGCTGGCAACGACCATTTCGCGGCCACAGGCCAGACCCAGGATGTTGCTGGCGGTGGCGCCGGTGGTGATTGTCCGGCCGGGCCAGTCCGCCGGCGGGCCCAGCTCCAGCAACGACACCAGCATAGCGAGGGCGCTGTCTTCCACGGTGGTGCTGATGGACTGGTCCGGCAGGTGCACTTGCACGTTCTGGTCCAGGGCCGAAACGATGTTGTCGGCAGCCTCGGCGACGGGTAGTACGCCCCCCGTGACGAAGCCATAGTATCGTGGGCCGACGCTCTGTCCGTTCAGGGCCGGGACGATGTCGTCGAGCAGGTGGTCCAGCGTCGCTCGAGTCCCGCGACCGACAAGGTAGGCCGAGCCACCTTCCTGCGGTAGGGAGGCTTCCCCAGCATCGAGGGAGGCTTGGGGCGGCAGAGTGGCGTCGTCCCGATCGGACAATGTCGCCCGAAGCCGCGCATATGCGTCGTCCAATGAGTCAACCATCTTCTAGCACAGGTGTAAGGAAGAAATGTACACAGTACACCTATATCCCAGACCGTATATTTGCGGAATCCATTCTTGTGAGTTGGCGTCGTCTCCGCCAAGGGCTTGGCGGTCCGTGCGTGCTCGGTACTACCATACTACGTGTACCACAGTATAGTCCTCCCGTCGAACTCGGGCACTGAGGACGGCGATTATCGCGAACCATGGAAGCTAGTGCAGATGATTTCCGGCTTGCTGGCAACTCCAAGCCCGCATGCAGGCAGGGGTAAGTAGGTGGAGGTGGTGTAGATCTTACCACGCCAGGACAATTTAGTCGAGGTTGTCTTTTGCCTTTCTGGCCAAGCTTACAGGAGACGACATGGAAGAAAAATACCGCCCGAGCCGAACGTTCCCTGCGTCTCCGCGGCGGGAAATATGGATCCTACAGGGACCAGCATCACCGGCGTCCCTGTCCCTAATCAAATTAGTATGTACGTACGTAAGAAATCGCACTTTCGGGAAGTGGGAGTGGGCAGATCCCGTCTATCTATGTCTGGTTCAGTTTTTGCGACCTGCGTTGTACTGGACACTACCCAGGTTAGGTACCTACTTATACGTGTAGGTAGGTAGGTGTGTATTGTACGTGGGTGAGGCTTTCCATGCTCTCGGGACTTGACTTTGGGGTCAATGAGCTAATCCTGCCGTGCCATGGTAGATCTCCAATGGCGCCTCGGGCGTTCCGAGGTCGGGAGTTGGCGGATCTGGATGCCGATGGGCCCTTCCCAGACTGCTGGGTCACAATTGAGGCCCGTGTCACTGACACGTCCCCTCCTTGCCTTTTGTGTCTTGCAGACCCAAGCTGCCGGGTCCTGCTTCCTGCTTCCTTTGTTTCAGCTCCCTACCGAGCTAGTGTAATAAGGTAAGCTCGAGGGTGGGCCTGCTTCCCGGGCTGGGGAGCTGGAGTACCGCTGCCGCTGTTGCTGCCGCTTACGGATACTTGGGTCATGGACCTATAAATCATTCATCGGCCCTTCTCTAAATGCAGTGCATAACTAGTTTGCTGCTCGCTCGCTCTGCGCTTCTTGAGTCCGTCTCTGCATTTCCATGGAAGCTCTGCGATGCGATGCGACAGATAGACAGAAGAAGAGAGACGGCGAGGTCCTGGTCCACACTACACAACTACCTACACTACGCACTACACACTACACACAACTACCTACCTGCCTTGGTTTTAGCATCATAAGGCTCTTGTGACACAAGGCTAGGTTCCTCGTCCCACCCCAAGAAGGCACTGCGCAGCGGTGGCGTTTTCCACACTCGTCCCATGGCATCCTGTCAGAGCACGTCCGGGGGTCTGGACAACTTCCAATTTACATTTGAATCATACCTTGACGACAACTCGCTTATTGAGCCCGATGTAAGTCCCCTGCGTCCAGCCTCAGTCGTGATACGACTATTTGGCGCCCGGCTGACATTTTATACCCAGTCGGACTCCGCGGAAGCAGCAATGTATGTATCCTCCTGCATCGTAGCTCAGCTCCATCCTCCTGGGTTGGTTGGGCCGGGGCTAATAACAGACTTTTGATGCGTGCCGCACCAGTGACTCGCAGTCCCTGTCAGAGAGCATCGCCAGATTCGAAGAAGTCAATGGGAGAACCTATCATTCCTACCGTGCTGGTTGTGCGTCCGGCCCCCGCGTTACGTACTTGTTAGTTGGTGGGCAACGACTGACGGGGCTGTCGTAGCCTACCATTATCCCAACGACGCTACAGAGAAAGAGCGTCTGGATGACCAGTACGAGATCGTCAAGATCATTCTCGACGGTCGGAACTACCTCGCGCCGCTCTCACGTGAAAACCCTCCCCGCCATGTCCTCGATATTGGCACCGGAACGGGTACTTGGGCGATCGAGATGGGCGACGAGTTCCCCGAGTCCCAGATAATCGGCACCGACCTGTCGCCAATACAGCCGTCACACGTGCCGCCCAACGTGAGATTCTTCGTCGAGGACTCGTACGTTTTCCTGGCCCCTGAGAATCGGCCAGGCTAGGGAATGCTGACAAGCTGATAACCACACGAAGGAGCGAGGACTGGGACTACCCCCACAAGTTTGACTACATACACACACGCGTCACCATCGGCTGCTGGGCGGATATGAAATCACAGATCATCAAGAGGGCCTTTGACCACCTGCAACCGGGTGGCTGGTTCGAAGCCCAGGAGATTTTTGCCCTGCCGCAATGCGATGATGGGACCATGCCTGCGGACAGCTGTTTCCTAAGATGGATCCTGGACATGAACCGCGCTTCCGAGGCTGCCGACCGCCGATTTCTCTTCGGCGACCAACTCGAGAGCTGGCTGCGGGAGGTCGGGTTTGTCGACGTTCAAGAAGCCGTCTTCAAGCTCCCCATCAATGGCTGGCCGAAGGAAAGAGCGCTGAAGTACATTGGCATGATGTGGCAGCGCAACCTGCTTAGCGGCCTGAGCGGTTTTAGTCTGGGCTTGTTGCATCGAGTTCTTGGCCGGTCCGTGGAAGAGGTCGAGGTAAGTGGGATCGCAAAACCATGGCGTTGACGATGACCTGGAGTAGGACCCCGTACTGATCAGAACTCTCAACATAGGTGTCCCTTGTGGATGTTCGGCGAGACCTCTTCAACCAACAAGTGCATGCCTATCAGAAACTCCATGTTGTGTGGGGTCGAAAACCTCTACCGAGTCCGAACCCTCGGTGACTTCCAGGCCAGGGAGAAACAACCTCAATACAGGGTTGCAACTGGCCGCGCCTGCTGGAGCAAAATTAGCGATTGACGGGCCCCAGCTGCCTAGCTAGAGGGATCACAGGTGTGAATGAATCCAAACAACGCTCGTTTTTGCCACCCCGCTATTTCTCTCTTCTCGGATGTTCGTCGGTATGGGTCTATGGGTGTATGGTGTGCTCAGCAGTGGCGTCTCCGACAAAGGCTGTTTCGAGTTATCACAGGATGCCCGTTGATGCCTTGCGGAGCTCTGGGCTGGGTTGAGTTCAGAGTTGTGATTCAGGGGCCGCGCCGGCCGGTAAGCGGGGGAATACAAGCGAGCCCCTAATGTCTAGTGCGTCGTTCGCTCCCGAGGAACCCAGTCGCTATCTCCGCGAGGATGCAACACTAAGAGAACGTCTGGAAACTTCGGCCACCGCTCCGGCGACTCGCTAAAGTTTGAGGCAGTGGTTCGACCGAAAATATTTGGATCAATGTGAAAGAGACGCGACTGTTTGGCAGGCAAAAAGGACCTTGAGAGCATCTAAGCAAGACGTCGATATGTGCGACCGCAAGATGGGGATCCTATATGTGAAGAAGACAGTTCGGGAATGTTCTGAGCTGCCAGCTCATCAACTGAATAACAATAATGTGGGCATTAGTGTACGAGGATCATGAGCTTCGTCTGGTGGATGGATGACAAGGTTGGATGGGCGTACGCACAGATGGGAAAATGGCGCTAGATACGGATGTACTTACCCCACAATTTATCTGAGTGGATTGCGCCCAGCCGGGCTCGAGTCCCAAGTTCATACCAGGGGATTCGTTGATATTCGCAGTCACGACCATCCACCGACAGGCATTTACTTCCTCGGGTCTTCGATTGGTATGGGATTGGCTATCTATGAGAAATATTACAGCTGGCATATTTTGTTTGCAATAAAATACTTAGTAAATGCATGATGATCTACGTTGTAGGTACCTAGTGTTGCTTCGTGAGGGTTTGCTTGGGTACCTAGACCCTCTGCAATCTGCGAATAGTAATCCTTGCTATCGCATGGGAGCCAAGTGGGGGGGCAGGGGATCCTCGAGGGCCTCGATGGCATGGCATCCCCCTTTTCTTCTCCTCCCCTCGCGATCACTTTCCTGTCGACTCAATGGCTTTCATACGGAAAAGTTCAGCACGTTGGCCCCTCCGTCTCGACCGGGTTCGACTCTCCTTTTAACCAAGCGACTCCGTATGCTGGTTGGTCTTGTTCCATCTTGTATTTGTACAAACAATACATGCCGATCGTTGACCACATTCGCCCGGCTCACAGCGCTTTTTCTTTCTTTTTTTTCTTTTTTTCTTTAAAGTCCTGTGTTATCCGTAATTCCGACTATCGCTTCTTCCTGGTCATTAACACGGTCCTGTTAACGCTGTTTTAATTGGACTTTATTGGGAGCTCCCCTGTTCCCGCCCTGCCTTCCGCACCCGCGCTGACTCGCTCTCTGGGTCTGGGTCTGACGATCCGGGTAACTTAAACAGTCCCGCTGGTCGACCCAAAACAATCAACTCCCGCCAACGGCCCAACCTACCTGCTGGCAAAACATGTCTGCCCTCAGCAAACGGCAGCAGGCGCGCAACGAGAAGGTCCTGCAGGATCTTGTTCGGAATGTCCCAGGAAACAACGCCTGCGCAGACTGCTATGCGCGGAATCCGGGTGAGTGGCTCAAACATTGCCGCGTCTATGCTCGAGATCGTGGCTAACCTGCCTGCCTCACTGTAGCTTGGGCATCATGGAGTGTATGTTGCCAAACTCCCTCCCCCCTGGGTCCAAGAGTCCCGAACCCGCCACGCAGTCCCCTCGGGTCTATACATACACACACATCAACATTGCCATTGTCCCGGCCTCCCCCGCCGACCTGACGATCGCTAACAGCCTTGGCGTATCTAGTTGGGCATTTTCCTTTGCATGCGATGCGCCGCCATCCACCGCAAGCTTGGCACTCACATATCCAAGGTCAAGTCATTGAGCATGGATAGCTGGTCAAATGAGCAAGTCGAGGTGAGCTTGTGTTCCCGGCGGCCTGACTTGGTGTGCCCCAATCACTCACTCTCTGCCGCAGAATATGAAAAAGGTCGGCAATGTTGCGTCCAACAAGTCCTACAACCCGCAGAGCAAGAAGCCGCCCGTCCCGATCGATGCCGATGAGGCCGATTCGGCAATGGAGAGGTTCATCAGGAAGAAATACATCAACAATGGCTTGGTTCCGGCAAGGAGGTACAATACTGGCAGCACCGAGTCTGATGAGACTCCCCCGCCGCTGCCCCCGAAACCAGCCAGCCGGTTTGGCTTCCGAAGCCCCTCGTCCATCTTCCCGTTAGGGTCCAAGGCGAAGAAGGAAGCCGCCGCTAGAGAGCCGCAAAGTCCGCGCGACGTGTCCCAATTCTCTCCTCGTCGAAGCAAGCCGTCTCAGATATTCGGCGCTACTGTCCACTATGACGAAGGGAATGATACGGAAAACAAGCTGGCCAAGCTTCGCAGCATGGGATTCTCCGACGATCAAAGGAACTCTTTGGTTCTGAAAGGAGTCGATGGGGATCTTGAGCAGACAATAGATGCCCTTGTACGACTAGGCGAAGGTCCCCCGCGCCCTGTGCGCTCTTCGACTGCCCCTCTGGAAATTTCCGTGTCTGCAAACCGGACATTAACTCCAGCCAAGAGCGCGTCGTTCGGGCCAGACAGAGCTTCGTCAAATAACCCGTTTGATATGCTCGATACGCCACCTGCCCAGCCGCAGTCATCGCAGTCAACGGGCACGCTGCCAAACAAGAACCCATACCTCAACACAAACCCCTTCGGGATGCCCGCACAACAGGCGAGTGCCACCCTGGACTGGGCTTTCCAGAACATGTCCCTGGCACCGTCGCAACCCCTTTTCCCCAACCATACAGGCGGCATTCCTACTCCTCCTCAGCAGCCACAAGAAATTCAAGCAATGTACCAACAGCCGACGACTTATCCCATCCAGTCCCATGTGCAGCAGCCGAACTACCCGTCGGTTTTGTTTAATAATAACCAAGCTAGCACTCCACCGCTCCAGTCGGGCTACAATCCATTCTTCGCAAACCAGCAAGCACAACAATCCCTGACAGTGAACACGGCCGCCCTGCCGGGAGGTTTCGGGAACAATCCGTTCACTCGTTCGCCGACCAGGATTCAGTCGCCCCTGCTTACCCAGATACCCGAGCAGTCGCAGCAAAACTTTTACAGCTCGGCGGCCCAACTGCAGCAGCCCCAACAGCAGATGAACAATCCTTTCTTCGGGCAAACAATATACACGCCACAACAAGCCGCTCAGCTGTTGCCACGGCCGGACAAGGCCTCGATCATGGCCTTGTACAACTACCCACAGTTGTCTTCCAACTCGTTCCAGGTGCAGCCACAGGAGCAGAATTCAGCTCAGGCAACAGGGCTGGATCAGATGCTAGGGTACCAGAATGTTGCACATATACAGCAGCAACAGCAGCAGCAGCAACAGCAGCAGCAGCAACAGCAGCAGCAGCAACAGCAGCAGCAGCAGCAGCAGCAACAGCAGCAGCAGCAGCAGCAGTACCAGCAACAACAGCACCAGCAGCAGCAACAGTACCTGCAGCAGCAGCAGCACCTGCAGCAGCAGCAGCATCCGCAGCCCCAGCCCCAGCCCCAGCAACCCGCCTTATTGAGCCCACCACACGGGAATAAAAATCCCTTCTTCAGCAGTGGCAGTGTTACAGCAGATTCGGCCGCAGTGAATCCATCGTTGGTCGATCTGACGTCGGGCAAGCATAACGTCAGCCGAGACAGCATCCTGGCCCATGGCTTGGAATGGTCAAACGGCCGGCATAGCCCCGATGCATTTGCAAGTCTCAGTGCGAGAGACATGCGCTGAAGGGCTACCGTCTTGCGACGGGGGAGGACACTGACCATTGAAGACAGACGTCTTGTATATACGCAGAAATCATAGCGTTGTATAATATAATGCAGCCGACCCGTCTGGGTACGATGGACTTTTACACCCTTAGAGGCAACCCTAGGTGTGATAATAATAATCGTGTCGATTCTTCAATTGGGTATCATTCGGACGAAGAAACAGGGTGACGAGGTCCCTCTGAAGTCACAACCCATACCATTAACCAAACCCCCTAGTAACGCCAAGCCCACAAGTAGATAGATGGTCGAATGCCAAATCCAGCAGTAGCAGCAGCAGCACAGTTCCGGGGGGGATAGACATCTAGAAGCGATTGAGAAGATCATTAACCTTCCTCCTCTCGTCGACCTCGACATCATCCACGAGCACGGCATCGACCTCCGCCCTGAAGAGACTGCTGCTACCACCACCACCACCACCCCCACCCCCGCCAACCCCGCTGGCGGCGTCGGCCGGCTGCTCGCGCAGGTGGCCCAGCCGGGCGCCGACGCGCGCGAGCAGCATGCGCATGCGCTCCAGCTCGCGCTCGACCTCGCCGTCGCGCGTCACGAGGTTCTCCTGCACGCCCGCACCCGTGCCCGCTCCGTCGTCATCGCCGGAGGCCTGGAACGGCCGCAGCAGGTCGGCCATCTGGCGCAGGCGCAGCGAGGTCTCCTGGGCGCGGGCCCGCGCCGCGTCGAGGGCCTGCAGGCGCGCCACCAGTTCCGAGTAGCGCCGGGCTTCCATTGGGTGCGCGTGGACGTCGCGTTCTGATTCCCAGGTTGTTGGGAGGGAGTTGATGGTTTCGGAGTTTGCTTTTAAGGGTGGAACGGGGTCGGTTAGTGAGGAGGTCTCTCAGAAAAGGCAGTAGACAGTGAGTGGGTGGGGGAATCTTTTGATCCCAAAAATACGTACTCGGATCCAGCCCGGCGTCCAATCCCTCCGCGGCGCCCGCGGCACCCTCGGCCGCGGCCCTGTCGCCGGCGTTCCAGTAAAGCTGGTCGATCTGCTCGGCGACGTGGCGGGTGGCCTGCGGGGCGTAGACGCGGCGCGCGTGCTGCTGGAGGGCGTGGTTGAGGCGGAAGAGCGCGTCGTCGAGGGCCTTCTCGGGGATGCCGTCCGCGGCGGCCGCGTTGGCGCTGTGCCAGTGGCGGGAGGGGCTCAGGGGCTGCGAGAGGTGGCGCGTCTGGTTGGCGAGGAAGCTGCCCTTGAGCGAGAGGATGGTCGGCGGCTGCGGGGCCATGGCTTGGGGGCTCAGAAGGGGAATTCAACTGGGGCTTGATCAAAGACAGGCGGTCAAGGGAGAATCATGGAGGCACATGGGCGTTTTAGATTGGGCTGGTTGGGTTTTGTGACGGACGAGGGCATATTACGCGGTGGACTTGTCTTTAGTGGGGTTGAAGTGATCGCGGGGTTCGAAAGCATCCCCTCGCCAAAATCATCTTTGCTAAGCCGTTGGAGCCAGACAGTGGGAGTGAACAAATCAAGTCACAGAGGGCTTGTTTCCGATAGCATAAGTAGCTTGCTCGAGTAACAACTATATCAATGTATGTACACACATAATCCCCTGAAGCAGCCTCTTGTCGAGTCTTCCTCACCTCCATGAGCTCGAGTTGAATTGGCACGAGTAATTCGCCTAGCCACGTGATGCTCGTCGGAAAATCCTCGGCTGCCGACAACGCCATATTGTCATCAGCTCGATTTTTGTAGCTTTCAAATGGGAGCTACGACAGTCTTAACGGTCCCCATTGCAAGGCCAAACTTCTCAGTGCGCTTGCAATTGAAGATCTACAACATGCACAGGTATGCGATGCCCTGGTCCTACATCTCATGCTTCTCTTCAATTGACTGATCCATCGCCCAGGAGTGCCATTTATTAGCTCTCTTCCACACCATGCGGTCACATTTGTCGCGAAATGTGTACCGACGCCTGCTTTCCCATTATGGCTCGCCTCTCCCGTGCCTCTCCTTGTCCGCCCATCCCCTGGCCCAGCATTCAGCCCGACAGCCCCGTCCTCTCATAAGGCGCCCCTCGAGGAGGACCTTCTTCAACATCTTCCAGAAGCCGCCACGGGAATTGAAGGAGGCCGAAATCGAACCAGGCTATGTCACCCTCCTCCAGTTTAGAAGCTTGGAGGTAGACGGAATCCGCCTTCCCCCTCGAGATGAACTGCTGCAGGGCTTCCGTACCTTCTTCAACCACAAACTCAGACATCAAAAACCACTGAATTCGACCCAGGCCTTTCTTGCCGTTCGGTTACTTCGCCACCTGGTTGAAGAACTCACCCTTCAAGACCTTCGATCAGCACGAGATGCCGTCTTGATGCCGCCGAAGGAAGCCTCGCCCGACCACCTTGAACTATCTATAAACCTCTATGAAGAAATCAGGAAACGAGCCGTGCGGGAGGACGAGGTCGACGAGTCTCAGGCAGAGCTGAGTAGTGGCGGACTTGCTGGTGAAGCAAGTGCCGAAGACTTCAAGCAATACATTACCGCTGTCACACAGTATGGTGGCTCGGTTGAGGCTGCTGCCCGGCTGACAGACTACTGGCAGAAGCTTGTGGATGGGGATTCGATGTATAAGGGAGCAAAGGCCCTTTGGGTACTAGTCCTCCGCGGGCTTGCCAGGGAAGGGAGAGAGGAAGACCTCGTTCGGGAGGCTGAGAAAGCAGAAAACCTCGGCGTCGAATACATGCCGCCGTTTCATGAGGTTATGACGACATTCTTCGCCAGCAGGGACAGAGTCGAAGACACGAAGCGCTGGTTCGATAAGCCAATCTACGGGAAATGGTTACCTACACCCGAGACGTACAAAGAAGTGCTAAAGCTCTCGCTACGCAGCGGGCAGCAGCAGTGGGTCCAGACCGTTTTTCAGAGTCTTTGCGACTCGAACCCTCACAAGGCTCTCTGGGATGTCATCTTCCAATGGGCCGTTCTTGCGCTGAATAAAGGGGTCGACGATGTCAAGCAGATGATGGAGACGATGGTCCAGCACACCCAAGACGACAAACGAATCAGGCCCGACACTGCCACCATCAATGGGCTCGTGGCAGCTGCCATCGAGAAAAAGGATCCTTACCTTGCCGAGAGATTTATCGTCCTGGGGAATGAGATGGGCATCGCGCCAGACGCGACTACATATATCCTGCAAATGGATTATCGAATAGACGCGAAGGACCTTGGCGGAGCCAGAGCAGCATATTCGAAGCTGGAAAATTCACTTGTGTCAGCCGACGAGGACCTCCCTGTCGTCAATAAATTCATCCGCGCATTATGTGCGGTCGAGCCGGCCGACACCGAGCGAATACTGGATCTCACAGGCGCGGTTGAGCGGCGACACGTTGCGCTAGAACCGGATACGGTGGTCGCCTTGTGCATGGTATTCCTGAAGACGGACCAGCAGTACGAGGTCATCGACACATTGTCTCTCCATACTGTCCAGTACAGTTTAGAGGAGCGAGAAAAGATCGAGAAGGCGTTCGTAGCATACTGCTTGGACAGAAAGAACAGCACAGCGCGAGTGTGGGACGCGTATTCCCTCCTCCGCCAGTTCTTTCCAGAGACCGACCCCAGCGACCGTGTCTTGCTCATGAATGCTTTCTTCGATCGCAAGCGACCGGACATGGCCTGCCACGTTTTCGGCCATATGCGGGCACACGCCAACCCTTCACAACGACCGACGAGCAATGCATATGTCCAATGCCTGGAGGGCTTGGGCAGGTGCCCGGACATGGAAAGCCTCAGGATGGTCCATAACATGCTCAAGATGGACACGACGGCGCAGATGGAGACGAGGATATACAACGCCCTCATGATTGCGTACGCCGGGTGCGACGACGCCTCGACGGCGCTCGATTTCTGGAGCGACATAACGAACTCGGCCGAGGGCCCGACATACAACAGTTTAGCGATAGTCTTCCGCGCCTGCGAGGTGCTCCCATTCGGAGACCGCAAGGCAAGAGAGGTGTGGGACAAGATGCAGAGGATGGAGCTCGAGGTGCCACCGTTCGTCTTCTCGGCATACTGCGGGGCAATAGCCGGACAGGGGCACGTGGAGCAGGTGAAGAGGCTGATCTTGGGCATGGATTCCGGTGTTGGATACTCGCCGAATCTCATGACGTGAGCTTCCCCCCTTCCCCCCTCGCTCTCCCCAGGATACCAGACCGGGAGCGCGTACTAACTCGACCTGTAACAGCCTAGGAATAGCCTATAACGCATTGCCCGGCCAAAACCAGAAGGACGAGTTCGAGGATTGGGCAAAGGAGGAATATCCCGAGATCTGGGCCCGGCTAGTCACGAAGGGCCGAAAGAAGACGGTCGAGGGCCTATACAAGTTTAACCTTGTGCGAGACATCAAGGCTTAGCCTGATCTGATCTGTATAAAGAATCTATATAGGCTTGTGTGCCTGGACTTATACTGTACAATACTCGGAGAGGGCAGCATATTGTACAAATAGCATGTCTAAAATGACATTACATGACCGACCGAGTCAGCTCTTTTCAAAATCTCGACTTGGACGACCGCGTCTGTTCTGGCATGTTGTAGGAGTTCTTGAGTAGGATCATGGGATGCCTATGCACGCTGGGGTGCAGGCCCAGCCCGATCGCTCTCCTGATGGTGCGGGCCATTTTCCGCTGGTTCACCGGCCGCAATCCTGTTTCGTTGCTGTGCTTGATCCGGCCAAAGGGCGTCATATACTCTGAGACGATGGAGAAGTTCTAGTTATCCCGTCATCCTTGGTCAGCACGATAGTTTGACAAAGGGTGACGCATGCACATGGGACACTACTCGGGGGAAAGGATGCCTACCCGATACATGTCCAGCGGGTTGACGCCCAGCATGTCCAGCACGTCCTTCTTGGGGCTCCCCTGGCGGCGCCACTTCTTCATCTCGAAGGGGCTGAGGTCGTGGGGCGCGTAGACGTCGCCGGCCCGCCACTGGCGCGGCATCTGGCGCAGGAACTGGTCGCTGATGGTCTTGTGGCGCAGCGTCTCGGCGATCTCGGTCCGCCGCCGCGCAGCCGTCCGCCGGTACTTGTCGCCGTCCTTGTAAATGTCGCGAAGCGCGTCCGTCGGGCTGCTGCCGCTGCCGCTGCCGGTGCCGGTGCGGCGTGGCGCGGGGCCAGAGTCGTCGAGGTTGAGGACGCGGCTACTTGGGTCGCGGAGGTTGCGCACTGGGGCAGGCGACTGGTCAGTCGGGGAGTTTCGGCGGTGTAGGGGATGGGGGCCCTTTGTCCCTGGGCTGAAGAGGTGGGATGGATTTGCTTACATGCTGCTACTGGCGACGTTGTCGAGAGCTCAGCTCGTTGAGCTGAGAGATGGAATTGGCATTGCCGAAGCGCCGACGGCAATTGTATTCGGGGGACCATCTTGTTTTTCTGGTGTAGAGCTCTCCTGAGGCTGCGCACCTTTCAAGAGCGTTCGTGAGAGATGTGGTTGTGTCGTGTGTCGATGGGGCTCTGTAGATAACCTAGCCTGTTGTCAGTCCTGTAGGTCGAGCTTTGAGCGGAAAAAGATTCTGCCGATGCCTCCCGCCTTCCGTCTTGGGTCGCCGCCCCGGCCGGCAGCCGGCCCGGCACGGACCGTTATCTTGAATGCAGCTCAAAACTCCGCAAGACCAGAGCCTCGATACTTAAGACGACCTCGCATTCAAACTTTCTCTCTCTTGAATTGCAATAAGCCTGATATCTTTCAACTGGGCCAAAAGAATGGGATGCAAATGGAAGTACCATAAATCTAGGCTACATCTCGTATTGGTACTCGGCGAAGCCCTCTACTATGAAAGGCATTGCGAGATTATCTGGGAGATCAAGATTCTGATCATTAAAGACATTATCAACCCGTTCATCGTCCTTTCCCAGAAATGTATAACAGAACGAAGCTGGACATCTAGGGTCTTCTGGGTTCGTCGCATCCTCAACCAGGACCATCTAGCAGTTACGGCATGACACCCTGTTCGCGGACTCGGACTCGACTTTGCGGGGGCCTATTTCTGGAATGCCATGACAGCATACCTGAAACTGCCGTTCGAATAGCCTCTCCTCATGGCCCGGAATGCCTGTAGGAAAGCAATGCCGTCCCGGCCTTGGCTGAGTGCGAACGCCCATAGAGACGGATTCTGGACAAGGGACCAGGAAATATCCCTTGTTCCTCTTGGTTAGCGCGACGTCCAGCATGGATGGGCGAGGGCTGCATACCAAGTCTTGCTCACATCTTTACTGATATCTTTGGGCAGCCCAAACTCTTCCAAGCCGGCGGCGGTGGCAAGTTGGGTGTATCCTGCCTGGGTGCAGAGAGGAGGTAGGAGCATTCCATCTGTGCCCATGTGAGCAAAGAGTGGGCTCCAGATGCGGCACGCTGTGGTGCAGAAAGACTCTCACCTTCGATCGGCTTGATATCGCTGTCAAACTCCTTCTGCCCGAGAGTGTCTGCCTTGAACCAATCGGCAACAGCCAGTTTCCCTCCAGTTTTCAGAACCTTGTAGGCATTCTGGAAGAACAATGCCTTGTCTGGGAAGTGGCTTAGAGCCTCGCTAATCCACACAGCATCAAAGGTACCCGAATCGCCCTCGAAGACGTCTCCCATCTTCTCGGCATCTAATTCGATGAACCTGATCTTTCCCTTGCCGAGCTTGAGAAATCCGTCTGCATCTTCAGTAGCAACGGTCCCGCCTTCGGGTGTCTCTTTGCTTGCCTCTGCCTTGGTGAGGCGTTTTGCTATCTCAACCTGCTTGGTCGAGATGGTTAAGCCAGTTACAGAGCATCCCAACTGGGAGGCGAGATACCGCGAAGTGCCACCTATGCCGCAGCCGACATCGAGGACCTTGCTCCCTGATGATATCTGAGACAAGTCCAGCAGAAGGCGGATCAAGCTGATCTGAGCTACTTCCTTGGAGTCTCTGGCCTTGGACTCATCCGTGGGCCAATATCCATGGTGAATGTGTTCACCCCTTAGACCCGCGTTTGTCAGAGTAGGCACTTTCTGTCCAAAAAAGGGGAACCCCAACTGTCTCCAAGGCGGACTTTCCCCTGCGAAGCACCCCTCTGGATAACCAGACTCGTCGCGTCTGCGACCAAATCCGACTTCGGGACTCCTTAGACATACCATAAGCTTAGGTAATAATCGCTGGCAAGGTCGTAGTGCAGCTTTATGCGGTCCTTGAGGGCCTGCATGGTGGTGTGGCCAAGGCCCATAGGAGTGTCATATTGCTTGCTGAGTTCTGTGGTCTCGCCCGTTGGAGAGGGAGTCAAGCTGGTTGTCATCTTGATGTGTCGCTTTTCGCTTGGCACTGTACCTCAGGTGTTCGTCGGGAGGTTTATCTCAAGGTATCCGTAAATGAGACGAATACACAGGAGGAATGAAGGTTTTTTTTGGAAATCGCTAGCTACTGCAGATCGGAAGCCTCCCCAAGGAATGCCGCCCTCCTTTGTCATCCATTCTGTACAATGACACCTTGAACCCCGGCTTCCTGTCAAGAGGCGGGGGTCGAGGTAGTTCATAGCTCACCGCCCGACGAGCTTTAACGTGGAACCTACCTACATAGTAATAACCTCATCACCCCCCAATCCAAATGCAAGCCAGACATGCATTTCATTCCGCCCATCACCCGCCGCCATCCACTCCGTACATATGTCGACAATCACATCAGGCAGGCGGCTGCGGGTGCCACCAACAAACTGGCCCGGCCGGTTTGAGGCCCGTGTCAGACTAACTGGTTGTTGTTGAGAAGGCCAAGATAAAAGCTGGCCAATTGGGATGCCCGCTCCCCGCCCGACATTTCCCTGCCTACATACTGCGTGTCTTCAATCTCCGTCACAGGGTTCAGACTCGTGGGACGAAGCTGCCAACGAGCCCAGTGACCCGGCATTTGAAAAAAAGAGGAAATGATGTTCGCCTCCGGGGTACTGGCATTTGGGAGGTTTCGCCGAGTTCAACGAGCGAGGAACGGGCAGGCAAAAATCGTTGTCAACGCCATGGCCGCCCCATCTTACCTGCATTCCTATTCCTTGCACATCATCCGTTGCACTGCATACATAATACACAGTGACGACCTTGGCCCGGAAGCTAACTCCGCGTCATGCAATGACCGCAGCATAAGTGGCTTCGGACTTCCCAATCGTAAGCGCTTCGGTGGGTAATTAGGTACGCAGTACAAACAGGCTGGAGTCGCCCCCTGCCGACGATCCATGAATGGCGCCCTGTCGCCTATTTACAGTGCCCCATGCCCCGATTGCCCCAACAGCTGCACCCGATGTAACTTTGTCAGATCTCAAAATCCCCGTTGCCGCCATAGAAAACCATCGCCAACGATCTGGACAGTTCGATACTCAGTCCACAAGCAGACCCGAAACGAGACACAAGCCAGCCGCCGAGGACGACCCGTCGTTACCAAACCTGGCGGGCGCTTATTGCACCCAATTCCAGGCAATTCCAGGCCCTGTCACACGCTCTGAAGCTTCCAGTGGCGCCAGACTCCCAGGTAAGCCCCAAGAGCCACTCACAACCACTCGTCACCAAGAGGCGAAGCACATCAGAGACGGCCCCGTCGACAACGACCTCCAAGTTGGGGGACGAGACGAACGCGTCGCAGAGAGGCCGGCCGGGACTCAGACGACGGCATTGTGGCCACATGCGGGTCTCTTTTCTCTACGAGCGGCGTTGATGCTCCCTGCCATCTCAGATGTTTAAAAAACCCAAACCCCTCCTCCTGCTGAACTTGTGAGGATTCAGATAGTTCTGTTTCCCATGCCTGGTGTATCTCATTTCATTTTCTTTCTCACCACAGCTCTCCTTGTGTAATACCTCTTAATTTGTCTCGAAACTACCCGCCCTCGTTTCTCTCGTTTTTCTAGTTTGCAGTTGCTGTTACCCGCTTTCACCCTGCGGGCAGCATTCCTCTTCATTCAAAACCCCTTATTAGGAAGGCACCGAAATTTCGAAGACGCGAGCTAAGACACCATGCCTCGCAGACCGCGTAGATCCCTCCATTCAAGCTGGTCCAGCTGTGAGACCATGGGTTCGTTCCCGGAAAGCCCGACCAGCATCCGGTCCCTCAACAGAGACACGGGCTTTCCGGAGCCGTTCTGTGGCAGTAAGTCCACGTCCACAAGATGTCCTAGGTGCCGTCCGGCCACTAACCTGGTGCCCCTAGGTCGTAACACCACTCTTCCACACCCGGACGCGGACCTCTCCCCGGATGCCTGCATCTCCGACGACAACATCGCCGCGCACCGCGTCTTGTCACGGCATCGACCGTCTTTCCTCATCAAGCACAAGCACACCATCAGCCACGGTATGATCACCCCGGCGATGGAACGTCGGCACGGCGACCCGACTCTTCTCGAGGAGGAGGAACTTGCCACCGTGGACAGCCAGCGCAGCCGACGATCCACGCGGGACGGCAACGAGAGCATCATGTCGACCGAGGGTTCCAGCCGCGGCGGCTCGGGGGGGTCGCACTCACACAGCATGGACGGCCGCAGCCCGAAGTCAAGGGGGAGCATTTTCCGCAGGCTGATCCACCACTAGACGGCACCGGGCATCGGCACTCGTTTTGGATTTGGTGTTGGCATACTAGCAACTGGAGTTTGGAGGCTTGCGCACTCGGGACAAAAAAAAATGGCGACGCTGGTATCCTTCGGCCATTGGACATCACTCATTCTTCAGGCCTGGAGCGATTTTCCCCTTTGTTTGAGCATGGAGTTTTCGGTTCATTTTCCTGGACGACGATGACGAATATTATGACCTTCTTATCTCGGGGGGCGTGTCGGGGAACAACACCACCGCCACCGAGAGTCTCGACTTGCCCTACTGGATGGGGACGTCCTGATTACCTACCCTAACCGCAACTCTGTTGCCCGCCTTCCTAGAACTATGGGGCGTCCCTCTCTTAAAAAACTTCATCTTTAGACTACGATCGTTACAACCCCGAAATAATAGACCCAATCACAGCTATCTCAACCGTCCCCAGCTGCCCATTTGCCCTTGTATGACTTGTCAACTTGTTTCGCCTGGGCAGAAACCGGCAATATGGGAAGCCCATGCAGGTGTTGCAGGTGGAGATCCCTGCCCATTGTTGATCCGGCTGCCCCTCTATCCCCCTGCTCCCATGACGTACCTACCTACCTCCCTGTAGGTAGGTAGGTAGATTCCTATTCTCCTCTGGTGTCCCGCAATCAAACCCCATCAACTCCACCCAACACCCAACACCCATCCCCAACATCGGATCACGATTCAGCTGCCCCGATAGGTCGAGTAGCCGTAAGGGGAGAGCAGCAGCGGCACGTGGTACCGCTGGCCGTCGTCGACGCGGAAGACGACGGCGACCTCGGGGAAGAAGGTGGCGTCGTCGCCGCCGAAGTAGGCGGCGGTGTCGAAGCGCAGGGTCCAGCGGGACGGGCCGGCGAGGTCGCCGAGCACGTCGTCGAGCGTGTAGACGGGCACTTCGCCCGAGCTCGTGGGCGACGAGTAGGGTAGCCAGACCTTGATGCGCCCGTCGTCGTCGGTCTGGCTCTCGAAGACGCGCGGGGCGCTGCCGTGCCCGGCGCCGAGGTTGGCGTGGAGGCCGCCGCCCGGCGTGGGAGGGGCCGTCGGGCTCAGCTCGAGCTTGACCCGGATGCCGCGGGCGGGCTTGCCCGTCGAGGTGTCGAGGACGTGGCAGGTGATGCGGTCTTTGGCTTCGTCGGTCGTTGCCATTGTGGGTGGCGGTTGTTGTGGAGGGGCTATTGTAGATCTCGGTGTTTCTGCTGGTTCATATTCTGCTTCTCTCGTGGGGTGAGATGTGCGGGGTTGTCGTCTTGGTTCGTTGAGACGGAAGATGTAGTTCAACTATAACACATTAACTTCTCGTGGTGCCAGAGGAGAAGTGGCGCTTTATTTCGGATCTGAAGTCGAACAGGGCAATTTCGGAGTTTGTGAACACGTTTATGGCATGCAGTTTGTCCAACACTTGCCCGTCGGGCTGCAAGCACAGCCTCTAATCATCGAAAGGGTGTCACCAGAGAAGGCGTCGCTCCGCCACATTTCAGGCTCCAAGTAGCCAATCCTTGGCAAGTCTGGCATAAGAGCGATGGAACCAAGAAACTGTTTGCAAGGCTACTTGCACGTAGGTATGTATTATTTAGGTTTACCTTCATTATTACGGGCTCAAGAGAGAAGGGACGTTTGGGTTTGTGTCGCACGTGGCGGTAGGTTCCTTGCAAGTTGCCAAGCTTTCTCCCCAAGTCCCCTGCCACCAGTGACGTTGCGGCTGGCCTAGAACACAGACCATCTGCGACTTCGTGCTTCCAACAGCTTCTACCATAGCAAAGTGAGAATAAAAAAACGACACGTAAAGCCGCCACGATCGAGGAGCAAATCGCTGCCGAGTCTGCGCATTTCCGACATTGGATTGGACTCTCCAGACGGGCCCAACTAAACCTCTCTTTTCGCTTTCTACTCGAGAATAACGTCGCATAATACCTTTTCCAAGCGATTCTTCCCACAACTGAGACAGTCCTCCTTGTGGCCGACTTTCGCCCGCTCAGTATATAGCCCATAGCGCACAGCTCCCAGTCTGAGTCAACCGCGCCTCTCTGAGCGAACAGAAATCATGTCCTCGGCCCTCGTCAACGTCGACGACCCGGACGCGCTGGAGCCGACTCTGCAGTCGATCCTAGACCAGCGGTCGCTCCGGTGGATATTCGTCGGCGGCAAGGGTGGCGTGGGGAAGACGACGACGTCGTGCAGCCTAGCCATCCAGCTGGCCCGGGTGCGCCGTTCGGTGCTGCTCATCTCCACCGACCCGGCACACAACCTAAGCGATGCCTTCAACCAGAAGTTCGGCAAGGAGGCCCGCCTGATCGACGGCTTCACCAACCTGAGCGCCATGGAGATTGACCCCAACGGCAGCATCCAAGATCTTCTGGCCGGACAGGGCGAGGAAGGGGGTGCCGCGGGGGGTATGGGAGATGTGGGCGGAATGGGAGGCATGATGCAGGATCTCGCCTTTGCTGTAGGTCTTTCCCCACCCTTATCCCTCTCCTTCGTTGCAAGAGGAAGATTGGGAGTCCCTGTGTTAACCGCCGTCTATTACGATACAGATCCCTGGTATTGACGAAGCCATGTCCTTTGCCGAAGTCCTCAAGCAAGTCAAGTCGCTCTCCTACGAGACCATCATTTTCGACACGGCACCGACAGGCCACACATTACGCTTCCTACAGTTCCCGTCGGTGCTTGAAAAGGCGCTGGCCAAGGTCTCCCAGCTGTCGTCACAGTATGGACCACTCCTCAACGGCCTGCTGGGTTCCAACGGCACGCTCCCCAACGGGCAGAACCTCAACGAGATGATGGAGAAGCTGGAGACACTACGGCAGACCATATCAGAGGTAAACACGCAGTTCAAGGACGAGGCCCTCACGACGTTTGTGTGCGTATGCATCCCCGAGTTCCTGTCGTTGTACGAGACGGAACGCATGATCCAGGAGCTGGCCACCTACGGCATCGACACCCACAGCATCGTCGTCAACCAGCTGCTGTTCCCCGGGCCGGGCTCCGACTGCTCGCAGTGCAACGCCCGGCGGCGGATGCAGAAGAAGTATCTCGACCAGATCGAGGAGCTCTACGACGAGTTCAACGTCGTCAAGATGCCCCTGCTCGTCGAGGAGGTCCGCGGGAAGGAGAAGCTGGAGAAATTCAGCGAGATGCTGGTCAAGCCGTACGTACCTCCGTCATAGGCCATGCACGACAGCAGTGAAGCTGCAGGACCGTTTGTTCGTCCTGGATATTTGACATGACTGGGATGAGGGTTACCCGTGGGCAAGGCGAGCGAAAGCAAGAGCGCCCGGGGGCAGGCATGTCCAGGGCATTGCGATGCCAGAGCCACTTGCTGCCGCTCATAGGTTTAGGCGATTACCCAAGTTGCCGTGCATATAGATCGATGTTGGAGTCAATCCGCGGTGGGAACGACCTACCTCTGCGATATCTCGCTGTGTCTTCGCCCACGCTTCCGCGGGACACAAGTAAATAGGCCGACGAGTCGCCATCGAGGCAGTTTCGGGCAATAAATAGACACAATATAGGATAGCGTGGTTTTACGACCATCTTACGGACCCTCTAGCGTGGTGGTTTATTCGTGATTAGAAGTCTAATAGGGGTCCGGATGGCAACGAGAAACTTTGGTGTCTTGATGACGCGACGTATTTGGTATGCAGTCAACATCCATCTAGCCAGTGGTCTTGCCTCTCTATTGCTATTACTACCCCGGAGATGCTGGCCCTTACGCCGAACAGCAATTGCCGCTGAGTTGAACTTTTCAGGGGCAAGCAAAACTTCTTGAAAGCACCCAGACATGCCCCCATGGTTATTTCTCCCAGCACAACTTGCAGGGGCAACAACGTTTTTGGTCCGTCTAGTTCCAGTAGTGGATTGATTATCCATTGCCTGAGATTGCCCCTTCGTGTTTGTTTCACGGTACTGTTTGTCTAAGCGCAACCAATGTAGTATTTCTGAGCCTAAGAAGTAGAGATATATCACCCCTAAGTCCAACCCTAGAAAGCCGTGGAAACATTTGCATGCACTAGGCCGTCAACAAATACAGTTCCTTTCAAGATTACGACTTTCGGTTTTGTCTATGGGGGCAAACCTCCAAGTTCAAAGGCTACCTAGCTACCCCTGAAACGACCTTGTGTCTTTGGTATCACAACCTAGAGTCCTCGAAATGGCACATGTGGGAGTACTTGACCTTCAGTTTGCAAGATGTCTTGCAGAATTAACTTGCCTATCTGTCTTGACAGTTTCTGACCAAAGATACTTCCATTGGTATCTCTCGGTACAGTACCCCTTCTCTTGCATTTTGCCCGCCAGGACTTCCCAGTGACCAGGGGCATTTACATAAACCCCAGAGCATCAGGGACAATGCGCCGTGAAAGCACCTGAAGTCGGCACCCTGACAATACCGGAAGCGTTCAGACCATTGGTCAGAGCAGGAGGTAGTCATGGGGATGTACCTTTGTACCTTTGCCCTCCCCTGAGATCGCAAGTCTGCTTAGGCCACCACCTCAACACTGCTCTCGCCGTCGCTACCTGGTACCTCAGGTAGGTACCTGCCTTCTTCGTTACCCTAGCGATATCATTATCAAAATACATATCCCCAAACTTTCCTTACTTTACCTCCTTTACCCAACAACTTCTAGGTACCTACCTACCTTACCCATCACCAACGGAGAGTCCTACCTCTTCCTCCAACCTACCTCCCTCTGTGCCCCCAAATACATCACCGATTTCAGTATTCCCTTGACCTTCCCAAAATCTGAGATACGAGAGAGAAAAAGGAAGACGCGGTGGGTTGTTCCTCTTCCTCAGATCACCTAGGTACGTCATATCGATCCCGAGGGCGTCCAGACGCAGCAACAGCACCCTTGATCACACCTTCCCTCTCCACACGCGTCCTGGACTAGGCCCCAACATTTACACTCTGGGTACCGTTAGGCAGGTATCTAAAGTACCCTACCTCAGTTCCCGTCCTTCCTCCTCCCAAATTTCATCTCCAAGTCACGGGCTTTGCGCAAGACGAGTTCCCAGACATATCTTCCTCCATCACCATCCTCTCCCACATACAGCCAATTTTCCCCTTCCCCATCCATCCCCCTCTCATTACCCAGGTCCATCAGATATAAACAGCGGTTTCCCTTTCTGTCCCCCCTCACCTTCAACCTCATCACATAACAACACACCAAGGAGACACTGTTCTCTGGGCTAGGGAGCCTTACTAAAGTCACCCTTCTCGACCAGATTATCCTCACCTAACGACAAGCATACCTCGGAGAATAGAGTCCAAGACATACACCGCAGACATGGCGGCTCCGATGGACCCAGACAAAGAAGCCAGGGTAAAGGCAGCCATGATGGTAAGCCAACCCAGCACTCATCTCGAAGCCCCGCTTTCGCCCCTGATTCCGTATCCCCTGCTGATCAAAGAACACAGGAAGAGCTTGGCAACGGTCGTTTGGAAAGCCTACCTATGGATGATCGCCGGCGGGACGAACCAAGAGGATTTGGTCGTCAGAACCCCGCCCATCAACGTCCCACGATGGCCCAACAGCCACGCCAATCCACGGTTGCTGGAAACCTGTGGCAGGGTACGTTGTTCACAAACCCAACATGATCTTGACTGCACATATTCTCGTTGTGTATCGTAAGCTAAGTTTTCTCAGGTGCGATTCAGTCAGGTCTGTTTGATGACGACGACGCTGCAGCTGTCAAGGGGCTGGATGATCTCGGTGGTGGCAGGCTCTACGCCACTCGAGCTCAGCAGGTGCAGCACCATGCATCGAACATGCTGTCAGGCTTAGAGAAGAACACCGACGTAGCTCGGTACTATCGACAAAGGGGCAAGGAGTTGCCGCCCTACGCCCCGTTGCACTTCAGGAACAACCATATCTCGGGCCGGGGTACCCCGCAAGGTAATAGGCATCAGAATGCCATGCCATCGTCTGCATTGCGACAGATGACCAACCAGCCCATTCCTTTGGGCAACGGGCCTCGGAATACATTCTCGCAGGACGTCGGGACGTCCCTTAGTGGCCCAACCCGGCAGACCTCACCGACCCACGGACCTAGCCAGACTCCAGCTCAGGGTACTTCTGGTACCTTTCAAGTACCTAACAATGTTGTCACCCGGGCCAGGGTAAGGTACAGCTATCCAAGTGGCACGCAGCCTCCCGTGCCAGGTACCGTCTACGTGACATCGGCACCTCCACCCCAGATGGGGCACTTCATCATCCTCGTCAGGGATGAAAAAGTGTGCGACTGGCCTCTGAGTGCCTGGAGTAACCACGTGGTCGAAGGCAATGCAGTCACCATCCACTTCAAAGGCTTCCGCGGGGGGTTATCGCAGTATCACCTATCGTTTACGGACCGGGATATTCTTGTGGACCTGGTCACCAAGGCCTGCCGGATGCGCAATGGTGAAGACCCGAAAGAGGTGCCTGCCCACCCCCCCGGAGATGAAAATGGCACCCATCGCAAACCTCAGGAGGTGTCTGCTGAATCAGTCACCGCTTCAGTGAAGGGACCTCAACGCCATGCCCAGCCTTCTGCCCGGCCAGGGGGCCCAGGTGGTGCAAAGGAGCCAACCAAAGTCATTACAGCTCCTCGCAAGATCGAAGCTGCCTCAGTCAAACGCCCTGACAGCATCCCACCACAGAATAGTGCCACCAAACCCATTGGACGACTCATCGAAACTGGTTCAAGCCCTACCCCGGACCGCATTCTTGAGATACGGAAATGGGTGGACAAGCAAGACTTGGCAGGTCCCACAAAAGCCGGTGAACTTATCGACTTCACGTCTCCCGTCAAAGCACCCACCTCTGAGTGCATTGGAGACCATGTGACGAAAGAAGGCAAGCCAGAGCCTCCGTCCTCATCTGAGCCGAACGATGTCGACTTGTTCGCCGTTGGCCAGACCAAGCCCTCTCTTGCGTGCGCTGAGCACCAAGAGCCATCTGTGTTTGAGTTGCTTGCGACTCTGGACGCTAGCCAATTTACCGTCCCTGCGCTCGAGGCTTCTGGTGAAGATGCGGGCACAACCGAACAAGAGGACGGGGTGCGTGAGATGCAGATGCACCTCTATGCTGTCCTCGACCCCATGATCGGCCTGTTCCATCTCGCAGGCAAGGCTGGCCAGACCAATGAGGAGCTGGTGGAGACTGTCAGGAGCATCAAGCTCACCATAGTTGAGAACTACCGCTCACTTGCCAAAAAAGGGGCATTCTTCCCGAATGTCTCGGAACCGGCGAAAGAGAAGGTATTTGAGGAGTTTTTGGCCAAGCCCATCGAACCCCCTGCCTCCAAAGACGTGAGCGACTCTGCCCCAGTCAAGAAGCGCGACGAATCTTACAACGGCGGTAATCCCTGCTGCGACCAAGAGTGCTCCTTCGACGAGACGGTGGTGACGGAAACGACGGACGACTCCCAGCTCTCGCTCATTAGGCGCATTGAGTACACCGACAAGGAGTTGCTAGCACTGAAGGCACGGGCAGCGCCCGCCCCAGCTCGTTTGGCTGCCTTGGACTTCCTGCCGAAGACCACCCCCGGCAACCAAGCCGGAAAAGGATCGGCCCCCGCAGCTCAGCGGAAGACCCAGCCAAGTTTGGAGGGCAGGGTGCCTCCAAAGGCGACCGCCCCGGAACCCAAGGCGGCTCTCCCGATGCCAAATGTGGCTGTTCCGGTCCCCCAGGCCGCTGCCCCCATGCCCAAGGCCGCTCCCTTGGAGAAGGTGGAGAACAGTCTGACTGCAAAGGAAAACACCGTCCCTCCCCAAGGCAACCCGGCCGGGGAACGACCGAAAGCCTATAAGGGCCTCACAAACTCGAGATGGGCCGTCGAAATGGTCTCCATTCAGAAGAAAGAAGCATTCACCGGGCCCGAGTTTGAGAAGTACCCACGCCACAGTGCCCTGGCTGATCTAGCAACCCTTTCATTCGGGGGTCCCGCTTCAACTGCATTCGGGGGCCCCGTTGGGACTTCATTCAGGGCTCCTACTTCAAGAGCATTTGGAGGACCCGTTTCAACTGCATTCGGGGGTCCCGCTGGAACCGTACTCAGGGCTCCCGTTTCGACTGCATTTGGAGGACCTGTGTCAACTGCATTCGGGGGTCCCGTTGGAACTGGACGAGAGTCGACTCGGAAGTAGACGAGTCAGAATGACCTTGCAACACAGCAATAAGGAGGGGCAAGACAGAGCTTGCTGAAGAGAACCCTCCTCTTGTGCTACACATCCTGTATAATAACACATCCAATCTGCTCGCATTGAAAGTTCCTCGTGGCTTTTCATCGAAGATCCAGAGAGGGGGAATAATCCCCAAAAAATAATAACAAAAAATAAAAAGACGAGGAGAAAAGCGATCGAGGAGAGACAAGTGGCGAAGAAAAGATTGGCAGAGAATACTTAATTCTTGGTCTCTCCTAGAGAGCGAAACATGTGTAAGATAGGTCAGAAAAATACAGAGAAATTCTCCGAGTCTCCCATTCAATGCGTGACTCGCGTGTGAGCCGGCATCCATGAATGGCATTTTCCCTCCTCCGAGGTCTATTTCTTGAAAAGGGGGAAATACCGAAGGCCAGCTAATCTCAACTGATTCATAGCAGGGGCAAGCAGAACCTAGCACTAAAAACGGGGGCAAACCATCCATCCCCCGGACCTTCTCACACATGCACCCACGCCCCATCCTCCCTGCTGGCGATGACCTCGTCGGCGGGCAGCCTGAGGCGCACGATCTCCTCCCCGTTGGGCAGGTCGTTCTCGACGGCCCTTCGGTCGGCCTCCTCTTCGGTGGCGGCGATGCCGGCGGCGACGTGGCGGCGGCGCAGCCTCGCGCGGGCGACGGCGACGTCGGCGACGTCGACGAACCAGCGCTCGTCGAACAGCGCCGCCGCGGAGCGCCAGGGCTCGCGGTCCAGAAGGACGTAGTTGCCCTCGACGACGACGACGCGGTGCGAGGGCAGGACCGCGATGGTGTCGGGCGCCGGGTCCTTGGTCGCGTGGTCGAAGGAGGGGGCCAGGATGGTGGTGGCGGCCGCGCCCCCCGAGCTCGGGAGGAGGGGTGCGGAGCGCAGGGCGGCGATGAGGCGCGCGTAGGCGGCGCCGTCGAAGGTGAATTCGGCGCCGCGGCGGGCGTGGGCCGTGATCGGGTCGGGCATGGCGGAGAGCTGGGCCCGCGTCAGGTGGTAGCCGTCCATGGGGACGAAGACGGCGATGGGGTGGGCGGTCTGGGAGGGGGAGGAGGGGTCGAGGGTCGCGTGGCGGGCGTTGAGGGCTGCGGTGAGGGTTTGGGAGAGGGTGGTTTTGCCTGGGTGGTGGCGTTAGAGGATGGAGTTTGAGACTCGGGAGGAAGGGCTTACCGGAGCCGGGGATGCCGCCTATGGCTATCACTGTAGGACGCGTATTGTTAGCATACTGAACACCCGTTATCATCTGGATGAGGCAAAAAGAAGGAGCGATGAATTGGACTGTGAGTCAGCCGATACAAGTGAAGAGAAAGTTCGGTGAGTTGAGAGTTCGTCGCCGAGCATATGAGGTGGCGAACCGCGCCTCATGAAGCATACTCCATGGCTAGGGTCATGGCGCAGCAATTTTACAAGGAAATGCTCCAAATATGAATCTCATGGAAGCATTGGATCATCAAGAGGCTTACTTAGCCGGCGCTCTGGCGGTGTCTTGAGATACTTGTCCCACACCTTATCCACGAGCCTGGTGACTTGTTCCTCCATTATGCGTGTTCTCTGCCAAGTTTGCACGGAAGACTTCTTAAAGCAAAACGGCTGGCGATAGCTCGTGGAGTTTGGTTGATAACCACTGGGGATTTTTGATCTACTTCACTCGGGGTTTCTGGCAAGTCCGGATCGGTGCTATGTAGACAGCGGGACCGGCTCCGTAGCGCACCGGCCGTTTACGGCTTCCCCTCTCTGCCCTGATTCGCCCCATCCGCATCAACCTAGTGCTGAATAATTTTTTGTACGGGCTGCGAAACCTACTCTGATCAACGTCCCATAAGGTTTCGGCGTCTCAACAATCCCCCCGCCGGACAATGGACGAGGAGGTGGATTCGGGACTGCTCAACATCTCCATCTCCGATTCGGACGATGCTTCGGGCTCGGAGGCCAGGGGTGCCGCAGTGTCGAGGGCGGAGCGGAACGCGCAATCAGAGGCCGCCTTTCAGCAGGTGAAGAGTGAATACCGGCCCAAGATCGAGAACGGCGAGGTAAGGAGGCGACCTATGCTTTAGTTTCCCATCCATGGCGGAAGACACAATCACGACGTTGCTCACAACTTAACCCCCGCGTGGTCCACCAGATCTGGAAGACGATTCGACTCCCGCTGGGCTCCTCGCTCGCCAAGTCGCAGGTCCAGCAAGTGCTCCACGCAGTCGAGGAGCTCTACTTCTTCCGCAGGTATGACGACGCCGTGAGCTTCGTTCGGTCGGTTCTCAGCGAGGAAGGAGACCCGGAGGGTGGCCTGGACGATGAGGCGAAGGAGCTGCTTCGATACTACGAGGTCAAGTGCATGGAGAAGGCGAAGACGGGGTCGGGGGTGTAGCAGCGAGCGATAACCCGCGTGCCAGAGCCCATTTAGGTACTCGGCCAAGCAAATCCGATAGGGAACAGTTATGGACTAATCCAAAACTCCCCGTCACTTCATAAGTCACTTCACAATTGCAGATGGGAGATATATTTGAAGTCAGAGAGGATATGGTTCTCTTGTCCAAAAAAAAGTCTACGCGTCTATCTTCCAAGTTGTCGAGTCTGACAGCATCAATCGTAGCTGTTGAGCAGCCTCGTGCGCTAAAAATACAGACACAATAGTTTAGGGGGGTTCTCCAGAACCAGTAATTACAAAAAAGGGTATTCCGGAACTCCCAAGATCAAATGTGCTTGCTGATGCTGTCCTTCGATGCTTTCAAATGCACAATGCCGCGACGCCTTTTTTTTTTATCCCCCCAATCGCCTTCGCCCCGATCTAATTCTTTGAGTGCCCATGCCGTGCCGAAAAAAAGTGATGGTTGGGAGAGATTTTACGCCGGGAATGCATACATGGGTTGTCGGGAGTATATTCATGACGGTTCGATCGATGGATTGCCGACCAAGTCGTTGATGAGGCGCCTTATCGAAGGGGTGGGATCCTCTCAAGCCACTTGAGCGTGCGAGAATCTGAAGTTGCTTGCTTGGGATTGCAGGACGCCCATGCGTTCGCGCTCCCTCTCCTCGGCAAAGGCTCTCCTGCTCATGGCCAAGACGGCCTCGAAGCCCTCTTTGCCCTTGGCGGCGTTCTCACGGAACCGCTTGACCAAGGAGTCCTCGATGTTGTTCTTGATGCGCTGCCAGCCTCCGCAGAGGGCGGTGATCTTGGCATCCTGCTCGAACTGGGTTTGGTGGTCGTTCAGCGGCTTGTAGATGACCGTCTCCTGCACGCTGATCAGGTTCGACCACGTGAGGTTGGCCGAAACCATGGTGACAGTCTTGTGCGCAGGGTCAACATAGGACGTCTCGAGGACCTGGCTCTCCTCCATCCCGCCCATTAGGCTCTTGAGCCATTCCGGCGCGCTCTGCTTGCATGTGATGAGGCGCTCGGTGCGCAGGATGCCGGTGGCCGGGTCGACACTTCGTGAGACTGTGTCGACAGCGACCACATGAGTCGACTTGTCGTTCCATGGGCAGTACTTCCGCCAGTTGGCGGTTGATACTTCCTCCCAGGAGTAGTTGAACGTGACGGTGTTGGAGAAGACTTTCATCGTTTCCTCTTGATAAGAGTGCTGTTCGATGGTTGATATCGATGATTGGAGTGAGTTGGTCGAAGTCTTTTTTACCTCCTCGGTTGGAGATCTCCGGAACCGGTATTCGCGGCTGGGGAATGTCGGAACAAAAAAAAGCTCAGTATGGCTTTCACTTTGTTGATATACCGTCTAGTGAAGGTCGTCGGGGAAATCCATAACTTGACGTACGGCCTATGCGTCGTCGAAGCTCCTACAATCTGATAAAGAGAGTGGTTTTGCTGTTTGATCTAAAGAAGGACCAAAAGGGAGGGAGGCAAAGGTTTTGTCATTTTATATGCGAGCTCAAAAACTTCGAGCACACGAGCAGGAGCCAAGCCTGGATTCACGGGGTTTGCCTTCGCCTAATTATCCCGATACGGAAAGAAGCGGGTACTGGAGAAAATGCCTCGGAACGGCAGACGGGGTAGCGGATCGATTAGACCAATCACCATCACTCCCAAGGCAACCGGCTACAGAAGGTGTGGCAAATCGAAAACTTTTTGATCGCCATCGCAAGCGGACTTGCTGGTCTCGATCTCGATAAGGCTGATCCGGATTTTGCTTTCTCAGTTGTTTGTGCTGACGTTGATCGGCAATAAGGAAGCTAGACCTCAGTGATTGTCTTAAATCCTTCCAGCAATATATCCAGCCAATACGTCACGAGCCAGGACGGCGGTCTCGATTCGACTCGGAGGTCAGGGCCAAGCTCCTAGTAAGTAGCCTAGGAGTGAGTCTGGCTGTAAACCGACAAGATGATTCAGCCTACCACAATCTACCGAAGTAAAACATTACATCATCCCCGACTCAAGACTTGGGCCTTCCAGGGAGCAAGGAGGGTTTCCCATCCATCCGACCTCAGTCTTGGCACCTAATCCGTTAATAGGCTTGCGAAGTATGGTTGAAAAGGGGTTGTTAACAATTGAAGACGGCCAACGCGAATATTCAGAGCCGCGGGTTATAGCTACACATCCGGCTATCTGAGCGCCGATTCTATCCCCGCCGGATACTTGCCGGTTGGCGGCGGTGGTGGAGGCAGGCAGGCGTTACATCGTGCATGGGCTGGGCTGAGGGCTTTTGTGTGTCCGACTTACGAGTCTAGGTTAGAGGACAACGACGTGGAGCTCCGCTATTTGGTGTGCTTGCCGGAAGCAAATCAAGAACGCTGCAACACCGGCAGAAGAATGTGTGCGACCAGGCTTTAGAAACGAGGCGGTTGAGCAGCCGCTGTGTTGATATAGGTATTTGGCTTATGAAGGAAGGTGTGCGGCCGGGATGGCCACCCAATCGGGCGTCTAGATTGGCCTCGCCAATCATAGATAGACGCCCCCCTTCTGCACCGTGCCAGCATGCAGACATGCAGGCCTCTAGCCGGCGACGTTAGATTCCTATATATAAAGGGACCCCGTCAGATGTCGATCACAATACGCCCCAGCCCTCGGCTCACGCAGGACAGCATGGATGTGGCCTTCTCCTCCTGCACGAGTGCAGTTCCGCGGTGCTCGACGCAGCCTTCTTTGACAGTGACCTTGCAAGTCCCACAGTTGCCGACCTCGCAAGAAGACTGGATACCATCAAAGTGCTCCTGCAGGACTGCCAGTAGCGTCTCTTCCCCACCTACCTTCAGGGCGGCATGTTCTCTGTTGGCCACGACGACCTCGAACGGATCACCCGAGATATCCGCCTCGAAGGACTCGAAATGCACTTCGCTTTCCGAAATACCCTTCGCCTTTACCTCGCGTGAGGCCTCCTCCATCAGGCGCTTTGGGCCGCAAAAGTACAGGTGGGAATTCCAAGGCATACCGGCAATGATGGCTGCTATGTCCAACCGTTGGCCCTTCTGCTTGTCGTAGAGCAGGACTTTATCTCCCAGCCTGTCTAGGCGCTCCTTGAACGGTATCTCGTCTGACGAGCGCACCGCATAGTGCATGACGCAGCCGTAGTTGATCTGCTTGTATGCTTCGACTAGCGCTAAGAAGGCCGTGATGCCGACGCCGCCTGTTACGAATATATGGTTGCTGGCCGCGCTGGCGATAGGCACCGCTGCAGTCACCGACCCGACTTGAAGGATGTGGCCGACTTGGGCTGTCTCGTGCAGGTATTTCGAGCCCCCTCTGCTGTTCTCGCCCAAAGCAATGCCCAACTCGAGCTTGTTGATGTCACCACCGACGATGGAATAACACCTTGTCAGCCCGTTGCCCAGCTTAATCTTTGCATGTGCTCCCGGCATTAGCCTCTCCGGATTGACTTGATGCTCAACTGCCTCGAGCACAAAAGAAGCAATTCGCGGCGTCTGCCGAGTCCTCTCAACAATCTTGTAGTCCTTCCACTTTGCATCCCCTCCCCCACTCTGTGCCCTCTTTTCCTTGGATTTTGCCTTGGCCACCCTCTTTACGAAAGTGCCACGGCTCTCTTGGCCGAGTTCCTCGATTGCAGCGAGTTCCTCATTCTTGGCAAGATCGCCCTGGTTGCGGTGCAGGTACTCCTGCACGCGCTCAATCGTCCATGCCGGGTTCGGTCGCTCGACCAGGCGGATCTCATCTCCCACCCTCACGCTTCCCTCCTTCAGTACCCGGTAATACCAGCCGGTACGGCTCGTTTTCCACGTGTTTGGCGCAAAGTTCTTGAGCTGGAAGCGGTGATTCAACTTGAAGCAGGGCTGCCGCGGCAAGCTGACCTGCAGCACCACCTCATCGCCGACCGCCACGACATCACCGATGCATACGTTGCGCTCATTCATATGAGCCGTCACGAAATTCTCCCCGAAGCCTCCGGGCCGGAATTTCTCGGCCGCCTCCGGAAACTCCTTCCGCCAGGCTTGGTAATGCGATGAGCAGTCTTCGGGCACCTAGGGTCAGCTCCTCGCCCTTCCAGATCCAAACAGAGGAGTTGGAAAAGGCTCACTCACATCCATGAATTGCCTTTTCCCTGCCGCCATGAAACGTGTAATCATGCTCGTCGCCTTCGATGCCGCCAGATGCGATCCGCACAGCGTCTTCACATACAGTCTTGTCTATTCCAGACAACACGGTGAGGCCCTGCAGCGGCTTCATTTTGCCTCTGCGAATCTCGAGCAGCCTGTCGCTGGTGAAAGCGGCAAACAGATCAATCGCGGGTTCCTGGGTTGCCGACATCTTGGGAGAAAGTAGACTGGGTGGTAATTGACAATTTGTTGGAGAAAGAGAGCGTTCCGGATTTGTTGCCAGGGAGAGGCACAGGGGGAAAAAAGGGGGCTGCTTATACAGCACCTATCCATGATGATAAGGTTCACTAACAATTCTGTGATTGGTGTCTGTCGCCACCCCTTAGCTTCATGTAACGTGATCCTTCACTGAATAATCGCCTTTTCACCTCCTCTGTGTGCGTGCTAATTTTGGATTCCGTCCATCACATTCCGGGCTTTAAACGGACTTATCCGACATCTGGCCTGTATAGGTAGGTTGTAGTCGGCTCCGGGCATCAGCAACACCCAATTCTTTTTTTCTTCTTCCTCTTTTTGTATACAGCAAAGAGCCCATCATTGCGAGGAACAGGCTCGCAACTTGACAATAGAGGGAGCCGAAGAGCAATTGACAGGGGGTATCGACCCTGCCATTCGCACGAGCAATCCGGCAAAATTGCTGTTCACGACCAATCGAAGGGTCTCTGCATTTTGACCTATTCGTCCTTGGGTGCAAAAAATATGATGGATCAGAATGGAGGAAGCTGGCTTTAGTTACTTGTGTGGAAATCCTTGGCCTCCTATGAATTTGGGCGGCAATGGGACGACTAAGGATCGTGATCCAACCTGGTTTCTCGTATGGCTTCGGGCTTCAATTTGACGACGCCACCATCATGCCACCTTGTTGGTGCGACGACTGTTCCGCGGCTGCCACGGTGGAACTGTAATGGAAACCAAGCGCTCTCCCACTGGGGAGGCTGGCTCTTCCACGCTGGCTCAGTAGCTGCTGCCCATAGCCTGGACCTCCTAGGTGCATTAGCTGGAGGATGATCAGTTGGCTGCAGGCCTCGTGGGCCGGATCTTGGCCGACGAGGGGGATTGGCTGCCAAGGGTTGACGATGGGGAGGTGGTGCAATCGGAACTTGGTCCGACAGCCAAGGAAGAGGGGAAGCAGGGTTTTCCTCGGCGTGAGAAGAGCTTTGTCTTGGGACGCTGGTAACCGGCGATGAAGGAAAATTGAATACCACAAAGCGCGGAGCGCATGCGCTTCCCGAGGTGAGCCTAGTTTTGATGAAGGTGGAGGGGATCAGCAGCATGCAAACCTAGGTACCTTGTAGCGTATCGACAAGGTCAGAGGTAGGGGATACACGTGGAGGTAGAGCACGCGACATCTCCAAGGAATCAGTAGGTTTCCCCACCCGGCGGTGAGGACTGGAAACAGGTTGCAATGCGAGCACGACAGCAGAGCCTCAAGTTCACAACACGAGGGAAGATTGGGTAGGTAGGTGTGACACCGAGGATAATTGCATGTGTAGGAGGGGCTGGGGGGCTCCTATGGAACTGGGATGACAATTTAAGCACTGGATTTGATAGGCCCAACCATTCCTTGGGGAAATGCAACGTCTCCACCCAAATCTACTTTACCATGTACAGTCGTTCGGGGCAGAGCCGCATTGATGCCCGCACTGCTGACCCTCGCGGCCATCTGTGTGCCCCCAACTCCTAACTCGTGAATCGAAACCGGAGCCTTAAGGATGTCTGTCCGACAGGCAGTCTGCGAATCATACAGGGACCAGGTGTTTTCGACGTCTAGTCATAACGAACCGGCCGAGATGTTTGAGTTTCACATTGGGTGACATTCCAGCACTAGAGGCTGGAGTGTGAGTATGGGGGTGTGTAATTAATCCAATGGTGGTCGGCGGGGGGGAAAGTGCTGTTAGGAGATTATCCCTCAAGATAGGTATGCACGCAGCCTTGTCTTCCGATACATAAGAGCCCGGCCTACCCTTAGATAGGTCTGTGGGAACGACTCGAGTTTCCCAACGAATCTCGATAGAATCCTATTTTTTTGTTGAACTTACGTCCTCATGTCGGTCGATTTAATTATCTGAAAATCCGCCCGCCATGTCGATTCAAAAACTACCGTACGAGATCGTGGTGTATGTCCTGGGACACTTAAGTTTATATGATGTCTTCAACCTCAGTTCCACGTGCCAGCACTTTCGCTTTTTGGCCCTTGAAGACAGGATTTGTAAAGCGGTACTCGAGGTAACTTGCTCCACTCGGAAAACTGCTCCCTGGGTTATTATGATCGTTACTGACCAAGGGCTAGGCCACTTCGCCTTCAGCTTCCGAGGTGCAGCTGAAATCGGACGACGGGAAGTTTGCCAGGGCACTGCGGCGACTGGTCAAGCGAAGGGAAGCAATATCTTCGGCGTCCCCATTTCTCGCCGCCATCGTGGCGACTACGGAAACCTGGATATATGAGCATGGTGTGCTATGCCACATGCGTGGCACTGAGCTGCGCATTTTGGACATCCACAATTCCGAAGATCAGGAGACTGTCGTTAATATCCCAAAACTCCTCGACGCCGCTATCGGGGTGGCTCGGCCGCACACGGAATACAAGTTTCGCCTGCTGTATTATTCCTGCAACGTGGTGTCTTGTCTTTACACCCATGGAAGCCCCGATCGAGCGCGCTGGCTTATTGCTTTTGACCTCCTCAAATACCGAATCCTTACTGCGCATCGAGTGGAATCGAAGCACAAGATATTCGTCCGAAACAACGACAAGTATCTCTACTATGGGACCTTCTCGGAGCTCGGAGCTGATGGCTTCAGGCGATGGGCCCTCCGTGGATTTGATATCGAGCGAGAGAAGTGGTTCGAGGATAAACTTCATCTCCCAGACATAATGGGGTCAGACCTTGACTCGACAGTCTGTTTTGAGATCCTCGACGGCTACTTTTATGGGATTTCAAACCAAACTAGCTTTGAAGTTGACGAGATCGACTGGACTTCGTATTACTGTTGCTTCCGATTTCCGATCGATCAGCCCAGTCTCCAACACTTGGAATTGGCCCCGAAGCCACAAATGTGGAGACGACAGCATGCCGAAGGCCCGATTGACGATAGGTGGACATTTATGAAACTCTTCAAGGATGAGAGCTCGGGCGATCTCAAGATAATAGAGTCGCGAAAGGAGTGGCTGTCCGGCCACAGTTCTGCGACAAGAACATATTACACCAAGAAGCTGCTCTTTGGCAGCGGAGGAGAAGACGAGAACGGTGAACGAGGCAGCGGGCAATGCCTAAGTACTGGAAGTCTCTATCCGGTGAACGATCAACTAGCCAGATTTCTCGACAGAGAGAGCCACCCAAATTACATGGCCGCTCCCAAACGGAAAGCCGAGGAAGTGCACCTAGGTGATGACGGCTCCAAGACAGTCTTGTTCACGCTCAGCAGGTGCTTCATCCGCTCCTATCACCCGTTTCCGCAGGCATTTGTCGACTTGGTCAATGACCCCCACGCCTCTGAACCTAACACCCAGCGAATCCGAGTCCGCGCAGGGTCACGGCGCCTTCGGATTGAGGGGGAGAGGCAAGGGCGCCTAAGGGCCTCTATGCAGCGGTATGGCGATTCCTATACGTTAAGGCAGGAGATCGAGGACCTGTATGAACACATGGAAGTCGAGTACTGGCCCAAAGACTGTCCAGAACATGACGATCTCCACTGGGTATTGAACCCACCAGGCTACGCTGGCAATGTACACGGAGAATGGGATGAAAGGTCTTTGATTTACGCCACAGGCGGCACATTGGAAGGAGGACTGAAGGCACTCGTCCTCATCAGTTTTGATCCAGGGATTTATCTCAAGGGCGTGGGGCCGTTTGGTGGCCACTCCGCGGGGCCGAGTGGCCGCAGGACCCCAGGCACTGCTATTATTGGACGCCCTGAGGAGCAGGTTTCGGGCATGGGAGAAGAGAGGAAGGGAGAGAGCATGACCGCAAACTCCCGGCTTTCAACAATGCCACTCTCGACACATGTTTCCGAGGGGCCCATACACACAGCTCACAATGGCACGTGGGCTACAAAAAAACCAGCCTTATATCAAAGCATCGGTAGGGGTTATCACTTTGCCAAATGAAGCCGAGTTTTACTTCATCAATCCGTGGGGGGAAGTTGGGCGATATCAAGGTGAACCCCCACCAGGTTAACAAGCTATTCGAGGGAGATAAGAAAGGAAACAGCATACACAACAAGGAGTAATAAAATTTCAGATAGATAGTTTATAGAAATACAGCTGCATGTCTAACTAGAAACAGTATTGGGAGAAGATGTGATTAAGGAGGACCCCCTGGTGGTGAAGTTTATGGAATCCTGGGGTTTGCCAATTCAACCTCATCCCGTGCTGGCACGATCCCCTACTTCCTTCCCACAGCGAGACGATTAGGTCTCATGATCAACATGGTGGCAGCTCACTTCACAAGGCTCAGACAGACCCCTGATGTGCGGGGGGGTGGAGGGGTTGCAGCCATGCAGCCATGCAGCCATGGAGCTATGCAGCCTCGTTATGCATTCCTGCAGATGTAGCACGTTCAATACTGAACAAGAGCCTCACTTGTCGAGGCAACCCCCTCTTTTTGTTTACGCCCGACTACTGAGCAGCACATATGGCAAAAAACCGCATGCATGTGCTCTGATCGTCCTCGTCATTGGATACCGCTCTCTGTTCGAGGTACGCGCCCATGCTAGACCACCTCGCCAACGGCCCATCCCGGCATCGACAAACACATGGATAAATTATACTCCTGCACGACGCAGAGTTAGCTGGCGATAGTGGCCGCGGAAGCTCGGGATAAGAACAGCTCCTGCAAGATTTAAGTCTAGATGCAGTTATTTAGCCGAGGCACACCCGCCATAGGCCAAGTACTGCATGGATCAACGTCTACCGATGCCGTGATGGCCGCCATCATCCCCCTGGTTGGAGACGAGCTGGGAAGTCGTGGGGTAATAAATGTAGGCATAGTTCTGCACGTCTCTTGGCTCGGTCGGAAAGCTGATCCTGGCCTGGTATGGGTATGGGGGTTAGGTCTGCAGCCGTATTGAAGACTGACCGAAGCACTCTGTCTCCTTTCCTCTATCGGCCGGCGGCTGAAAGGCATATTCAACGTCTCCATTTCTAAAAACACCTGTCGCTCGCGGCTCGGCCTTCTTTCCCCCTCCAGACTCGCTAGCGTTAACCACCCATGGCTGTAGGTATCATCACTCTCCGTAACACCCCCCCCCCAAAACCATGTGAATCACCCGCTTCTAGACCATCCTAGGTTTACGCCGTCCGTGATCCTGTATTGGCGTCCTTACAAGCATCCCGACCCCCCACCCGCCCAGCATAAAACTTGGTACGTAATTCCCAACATGGCGCCTTCCATGCGTCTATGGCATGCGGTCTTCCGATCCCGGCGACTCGCCTCCCATGCTCGACAAAATAGGTAGCTGGCTGTTCGTGCCCTCCCCCCATCAGCTGTTCAGTTTCACATAGTTACCTTTGGGACAACTAAGTTAGCAACTCTCCCTTTTGCAAACCTCGGGGCAAGACTAAACAAAGCCGCGTGCCTGTCAAGTAACCCCCAAAAAACTTACCTGGAAACTGGCCCTGCCTTCCCTGCAATTTGCCCGTCCACCACTCGTTATCGTTCGCCGTGCGAGCGATGATCTCGATCAGGTCTCCGGCCCGGAAGCTCAGGTCCCCCTCCGCCTGCGCCGAGTAGTCGTACAGCGCCGTCACCGTCTCGGCAGCCGGCAGCCCGCTGAGCCTGCTCGGCTTGGGCTTCGGCGGCGGCGGCTTCGACTTTGCGGCGGCGGCGGCGGCTAACGACGTCTTGCCGCCGCCCAGGGCCGGGGACACGGGGCCGAGGCCTGGGGAATATGGCGGGGGCGGGTTCTCGACGACGTCCGAGCTGCGCTGGTAGCCTATCCTCGGCGCGGAGGCTGTCGCCGGGGAGGACGATGCAGGCCCCGCTGTGAGCAGCCCCGCGGGCTTGGGCCCCTCGAGCGCCGATGGCTTCGGCCCGTACTTTGGAGGCTTCTTTTGGCCCGAGGTCTTGTACTTGACTATCGAGAGCTTCTCGGTCTGCTCTTGGATGTCGCCGCGCTTCTTGTTAAAGGCCTCCTCAACATCTAGTGTCAGGTCGAAATAGCCTATATCGCAGTGTTGCATCTTCTCGTGCAGGGTATAGAAGATGTTCAGCTGCATGTAGTAGAAGGATTGGAACAGGGGCTGGATGAACTCGCGCTCGAGGGCGAAGAGCCTCGGGAGCTCCTCCTTGAGGAGGTCGTTGAAGTAGTTGAACTCCTGGGTGGACTGCTCGACATCGTTCTCGGCCTTCCACATTGCCTTCTCGTCCTTGGCCGACCTCTCCTTCTTATCCTGCAGCTTCTTCAGCACGGCGCGGTGCCGGTCGTAGTCCAGCTTCTTGTGCTCGCGCTTGACGGCCGTCTTGCGGATCACCTTGACCACGTCCAGCAGCTCGTTGGCTGGCCGGATCACCCTACTCTCGATCATTTCCAACTCGGGCGCCAGCGTCTCCTGGAGGTCCTTCACCACGGCCTCGTACTCTTCGCAGGCCCTTATGCCCTCGGGGTTACCCTCTACCACGAGGCTGTCCGGGTCTGACACGCGGCCGCTGATGGGCTTGTATACCTCGGTCATGGCCTGGGAGAACTCGATCTGGTGACTGAGCATGCCGTTGATAGCATCAAAGTACTTTTTGCTCTCGTCGTGGAGCTTCTTCGTCTCCGTCTCCAGCTCGTCGAACCTCCGCTCGGCGTCGATATACACGGCATCTTTGGTGTGCTCGCCAATGTTAAACTTGGCCTTGAATTGTTGCGGCGCCTGTAGATTTCGGAGAGTTCAGTAAGCTTGAGTGCTCCCTCCTCCTATCGTCATGACAGGGTTAGCTTGGACTGGGGTGGGACGGGACCTACTCGAAAGACGCTCTTCTGGAAACCTCGGAGGCTCATTGTCTTGGAAACGGCGTGCCCTTTGCTGTCCGGAGGGATGCGGTATGGCCCGTTCAGAGAAATGCGCCGGGTTGCGTAAAGGAGACGCAGGAAGTCTCAAAAAGGCGAGGCCGGAGAGGCCGGCTCACAGCAAGCTTTAAGGACTCGGCCCTGACGACTGCTTCGTGGCGGTGCTCTGAATGAGCCCGGCTGCTTGGCGCAGTGACTGGATTCGCTAGTGTGGCGCAAGCTCCGGTCTGAATTCACACGCCTAGAAAGTCGGGTCCGGAAACGTCGGAATGTTGTTGCAAAGGGATGCCTGTATGCGCTGATAGATTCGGATCGCTAATATGGTCTCGGCGCAATGGTCAAGGTTCGAAGTGAAGAGTGAAGTCGTGATAGTTGCAATTCCCGGCCCTGGCCCTGTTCAGTGGCACCTAATTCCAATCCGTAGTCTGCCCAGACAAACAACGTCAGCGATCTCCTGTTTGGTGCCGTCACTAGGTGGGGTAATGCGCGGCCCGTCCAATGATTTCCATGTTTAGGTTCCCACACATTCAAACGCAGGGGATCGCATGGAAGCTCGGGGTGGGGCGGCGGAACAATCTTATGACCGAGCACCCCAACTTCTGTTCGGAAATACAAAAAAATCGCCCACCCAAGACCACACTTCTCTCCTCCTCACGGAACCAACAACCCCAAATCTAGTTCCTCCATGTTGCCATCATCATGGCCAATCTTTCTTCGTCAGTGTTGAGGCAGGCATCTCGCCTGGCAGCTAAATCAGTTATCCAGCCATCTTCCCGTCAAGGCGTTCGCGGCCTTTCTCGAGTGGCGACAGCTCCGTTATATCGGCCGTCATCTCGGAGCTATGTCACCGCGACGAGGAGAGACAGCGCCCAGGTGGCCGATGCTAAGGTTGAGACTGCTATACGGTTAGACAAGAAGGACTTTGAGACAACTGGTTTATCGCTCAACGCCCAAGATGGGTCAAATGCAAAAGTCAGTCCCATGGCTGGTAAGAGTTTACCCTCGCACCCCATCTGTAGCCACTAGCTTACTAACTCACATGCAGACGTTCTGAAGCAGGCTACTCTGATGGAAGAGGGTCAGCGGCCGATATATCTCGATATGCAGGCTACAACTCCTGTTGATCCGCGAGTTCTCGATGCCATGCTCCCTTACTACGTTGGTGTCTATGGAAACCCTCATTCCCGAACCCACGCATATGGATGGGAGACGGACAAGGCCGTTGAGGAGGCACGAGAACATGTTGCAAGGCTTATCGGAGCAGATCCGAAGGAAATCATCTTTACCAGTGGAGCCACGGAGAGTAACAACATGAGCATCAAAGGCGTTGCCAGATTCTTCGGCAGATCCGGCAAGAAGCGGCACATCATCACCAGCCAGACAGAACATAAATGTGTCCTGGACAGCTGCAGGCATTTGCAGGACGAAGGATTCGACGTCACCTACCTGCCTGTCCAGAGCACGGGCTTGATCGATCTTCAAGAACTTGAGGCGGCGATGCGGCCGGACACAGCCCTCGTCAGCATCATGGCCGTAAATAACGAAATCGGCGTTATCCAGCCGCTAGAGAAGATTGGCAAGCTTTGCCGGGAGAAGAAGGTCTTCTTCCATACCGATGCCGCACAGGCCGTCGGCAAGATTCCCATGGATGTTAATGCCTTGAATATCGACCTCATGTCCATCTCGTCTCACAAGATCTACGGCCCCAAGGGTACCGGGGCGTGCTACGTCCGAAGAAGGCCCAGGGTCAGGTTAGACCCCATTATTAGCGGTGGAGGTCAGGAACGAGGCTTGAGGAGCGGCACGCTAGCACCTCCGTTGGCAGTGGGCTTCGGGGAGGCGTGCCGCATTGCGTACGAGGATATGGCGGTAAGTCCTGTCGATCTTTGCAATCCCTGCTTCCGTGATGATCTGCTTTATACACATGCATGGCTTTCTGAATGTCTTGTGACAGAGACCGTTATGTTGATACACAGCACCCCGTCTGATCTTGGTTTTACTATCCCATGTTGCTTTACGAGAGATATGATTAGCCTGGCAGTCGGCTAACCATGAAAATAGTACGACTCGAAGCGCATCAAGGCGCTGTCCGACAGGCTGCTCAAGGGGCTGCTGGCTCTGGAGCATACCAACCAGAACGGCGATCCCGAGCACTTCTACCCCGGCTGCGTCAACGTGTCCTTTGCGTATGTTGAGGGAGAGTCCCTTCTCATGGCGCTCAAGGATATTGCGCTGTCATCTGGGAGCGCCTGCACGTCCGCCTCGCTGGAACCCAGCTACGTGCTACGGGCATTGGGCAACAGCGACGAGAGCGCTCATTCGAGCATTCGTTTCGGCATTGGCCGATTCACCACAGAGCAGGAGATTGATTATGTCCTGAAGGCCGTTCAGGAGCGTGTATCATTCCTTCGGGAACTGAGCCCCCTGTGGGAACTTGTCCAGGAGGGAGTTGATTTAAACACGATCGAATGGAGCCAGCACTAGGCGTCCGCGTGGGAAAGGGCTGGCTGGGCTGGCGCTCATGATGGGTCTTATTTGACCGGGGATGGGAGGCAAGGGAAGTCAGCGGATGGAGAAGAAGGCGCCCGTCGCCGGTCTTTCACTTGTATCACTAAACTGTATACTCAACGACAACAACCGACATACCATTGATGAGAGCCCTGGGCAAAACAGGGACACAAGTTGGGGGTGTTGCCAATAATGCGGGTGGGGATTTCAAAGGCCCAGGTACACGATTTATCCCCTCTATTCGGCTTAAAGATCAACTCTGCCGCGTTCAACCTGCCTAATGCGAGAATACGTGCGGAATAGAACGGTTGAACACTAGTATGGAGCTTCTGATACAGAAAGATCTAGACTATGACGCCATACTTTCTCACTTCCAAACGTGACTAGTACACCTGTTTGAGGCAAAGTACTCGTAGGGGCCCGTTCGCAGAGACGCATGGTGATGTCAGATCTATGGATGACATCATACCCTGCGGATACGACAAACCCTCCATCCAAACAGGTATCACCATTTGCGGAGCTTAACGAACGACAGCCTTCGGGGCGAATCGTATGGAACCTTTCACTTGAGCATATAAGGGAGTTCGACCTCTCCGACTCGTCAATCTATTTCCTCTCAACCATCACTTCCTCAAACAGAACCATCATATCAAACACACTCGACCTTTTAAACAGTCTCTCCAACATGTCTAACAACGAGAACCCTTCGACCCTCAAGTCCTACGTCGATTCGGCCACAGGCGCAGTCCAGAACGCCTTTGGTAGCCTCGTTGGCAGCAACGGCGACCAGACCGAAGGCGCGGCGAAACAGGACAGGGCCAAGGTCGAGCACGACGCGTCTCACGCTACCGTCAAGCTTCCCGGCGCCACCGCCTCGTCGACAGGCGCCGTCGCCAAGGACAACCCCGACCGCAGCGATGGCTCTTGGGACCAGACTGTCGGGTCCGCGAAGCAGGCAGTTGGTGGGCTCATCGGCTCCGAGGTAAGCACGGCCCACAGCTTCCACCCCGGGCCCCTCCCGTTGGGAGGGAATGAGGCCTTGACTAATTCGGTATATTGTAGTCCCTGAAGCAGAGTGGCCGTCAGCAGAACCAATCCGGCCAGGAGCAGGAAGCCCGCGGGCAGGCAAGCGACTACGTCTCTGGCGTCTCGGACCGCTTCACTGGCACGCTTGGCAACGCCGCCGCGGCCCTGTCCGGCGACCGCACCAAGCAGGAGGAGTACCAGAACAAGCATGACACTGGCAAGACCAGGCAACGGGGTGTTGAGCACGATGTGCAGAAGCAGGCCGAGGCGGCTGATCGGAAGGCGGGTGATCGGCAGTGAAGTGGGTTGCGGGCTTAGCATGTGCAACATTGTGATACCCAGGGAGATAGCACGGCGGGATCCCTAAACCACCCTACCTACCCCAGATAGTAGAGGAATAAATCATATTCCCATACATGCCTGCTCTCATTTCTGGTGATTTGACCAAAGACATGTTGGCCGGTTGTCGTCAATATTATTGACTCACCAGAGTGCAACTCAATATAGTTGAGCAAGGTCGTGGAACAAGCCGCAGCGCATCTTGGCCAGCCTGGGCATTGGTTGTGCCGTACCAGGTGATTCAATTCGCTGTTCTACGGAGGGTAAGAGGGAGGGACAGTCTGTGTGTGTGATGCATGTGCCCCTGCAGCTGCGCATTAGTACCGCTGTACCACAGTACATACATGGAGCATTAAGTGGGCCCTGTGCAGCTGCCTGCAACTGCTGCGAGGAGGGATTTAACGTTAAGCCTCTATCTACATATAGGTGGGGAATCAACAACCTCATTCCATCGAACATGGATCATGGCGAAACCCCGGCTTTTCCCGTTGGCATAGCCCACCACGGCACCCCTGTTCTAGTCACACCTAGGTAATTGCGCCAATACCTTGAAGTCCAGCTTCTACGTCGGCCCCCAAAGCGTAGATTAACTGGATTTTATTGGTAATCAGGGACTGGGGTCCAGCTTGTTGCACCTCCACTGCCAACACGTGCCCATCGCCGCCCTGGCTCGAATGCGTTTCCTGTCGAGAATTCGGGCTAGTACCTAACCCCCAAGATGGCCTGTTGTTTCTGCCTGAGCCATCATGTCTCGCCCTCCTCCACTCCCCCCACCCCCGTCTCACCTGCTTCCTCGCTGGCCCAACCGCAATGACCTCATGTGGCTCACCTGACAAGCAAGCCTATGCCAGTTCTGCTGCACCGTTAGGCTGACGCCCTTATCCCATCGAAGGCTCCTATCCATAATCCTCTCACGGCTGCCATTTGTCTTGGGTAACGGCCATACCACCCTGCCCTACCTACCCGGTAGGTATTCCCGTCGAGTAACGCTAGTCCAGTTGGGTTCCATAGGGTTCCATACCCCGTGTCTGCCTTATGATGCTTGCACCGGTAGACAGCGACCATGGCTCTACACGTGTAGACCAGCTCGCGGAATCCGTTCCGCGCCACTTCTTAAAGGATCATGAAGCCACAAGGCGAATTGGGACCATCCGTCACCACTGTGTTTTGGGCAGCCAGCCCATGGGCGAGGTTGTTCGGGAACTCCGGTCGCAACCTCGTGTTTCCTCCTCCCCGGAGCTACGGATCTAGGCATTTTTCTTCATCTCTCCATTCTTCGCCCGTCAATTGCACAGGTATGAAGATTGACACGTGCCCGTTGCTGTCAACCCAATCTCCAAGTGAATATGCAGGTCAATAGTACATGCGTGTCGTGATCTCATTCTGCAGAGCGTGTGGTGTTCCGGGACCCTGGGCCACGGTACCAGTACCGAGTCCACACTTTTCCTTTCCAACTGCTGCGGGCTTCTTCTGCACGTCCACAGCCAAAGTGGAGGCTTGATGCCTTGACAGGTGACATCGTTGCTTGAGCTTGCGCAACCCCGGGGCGTCCAACCCCAACTGTGCCGCATGCGCAGAGGGGGTCTTCCCGCTCTTTCATCTAGCCGCGACCTTATTAGGTAGCTAAGGCTTTCCTGGGGGCAACCTCTCGTCTGGGATCAAGGACGGCCACATGGTCTCTATCCTTCGCTTGCTAACTCGATATCGCGCCAGCGTGGTTGTGTTAACGACACCGCCATTATTGACGCCGCATCCTCCAGTTACACACACACCTTAACCCCCGCCCCTGACTCATGGGTCCTCATGGAGGGCGGTGGTTCCGTGTGAATCTCTGCCTAGACATATCATGCCCTCGAAGACGCCGGCTATATCATCAAGGTTCCTTGTGATCTTCGTGCTGCAAGAGATTTCGTCCTCAAGGTTTTATAAGTCACCTCCCCCGTTCCCTAGCTGTCTTACATCAACCCATCATGAAGAACAGAACCAACACGGCCATGATGAGAATAGCTATTGCCGGTGCAGGCGGGTTTGCCTACATCCTCGCCCAGGAGATCACCAAGAGTGCCAACGCCGTGCTCGTCTTGTCTCGACAAGTTGAGTTTAGTAGCCAACTGTCTGTCCACTTGGCTAACCATTTCAACAGGCACACCCCGAGTTTGAAGAGGATTTCCCTAGCTTGCAAGTTGCCGTTGTCGACTTTGGCAATGTCGAGGAGTTACGGTATGTCCTTCAGGGGGTGGATCTGTTGATCTCTACTATTAGCGCCGCCGAGCAGCTAAATCTCATCGATGCTGCTCGGCGTGCCAGGGTCCGGCTTTTCGTCCCGTCAGAGTTCGAGGGCTCCATCTCCCACAGACCAGCTACGCAGGATCCCCTCGACCGTGGCTCTCAAGCGGCCCTCGGCCTGCTTCAGCGCTGCTCTCAGTCGAGGCCCCATAGCATGCAGTACACCGTCTTCTCCTGTGGCCTCTTCATGGAGCGATTCGGGCCAGGTGGTCTACAGAGTTACAACCTTGGTGGCAGTACCAGTGTTCAGAACCCCAATGACTATATTGTCGATGTCGCCAACGCCACTGGGGAGATAATCGAGACCAACGTTCAGGGGAGGCCGGTCCGTGTCAACCTCACTTCAGTCTACGACGTGGCACGGTTTGTGGCTGCTGCAATTGAACTCGGCCCAGCGAGTTGGCCACGAGAATTCTGTATGAGAGGTGACAACATGTCCGTCCGCGACATCATCACAGCCTGCTCTACTGTCAGACGAGGTACGCGATCTTCTTGTCGTGTGGTTACCCCGGTGCTGACACGCCGTTGTTATAGTTCCGTTCAATTTGTCCGTACACTCATACCAAGCTGCCGAGGCTGAGGCCGAGTACTGTCAGCAGAACGCGGAGTGGCCTCGATGGCACTATTTCCAGAGACTCCTTGCCACCGCCAACGGGCGCTACCACTTCACCCAAGCCAATCTGAACGATACTGTCAATACAGCAGGCAGCGGCGTGGAGGTTCGGCCCCTAAATTTCAGGCAGTGGCTTGAGCAAGTCTGGGGGCCGGCAATGTAGAAACGCCAATTTCGATATCCCGCCTGCTATCGTTCATTGTCAGCCGCGGGATGACGAAGCCAGGAGGGTGCTTTTCCTTGAGAGGTTGCTACTTGGAGGGCTCGCGCCGTTTTCTCATATCTAGTTTGTCACTTGACTGGGTTTCTCCTTTCCAATATCTTAGACAGACCTCGTCGCAAAACATGTCCCAAGCAAGTCAACCAATGAAGTTTGTACGATCTTCCCGGCATGCTTGAGAATGCAAGCCCCTTTTTGGTAGCGTCAATAAATTCGGCCCCCAAAGGCTCATGTCGTTATTGGTCAAAGCGGCACGAACAGTCCATACTGCGTACATAGCCATCTATGACTCCACCGGCCCTGAAGCCTAGAATATTGTTACCTGGTGATGCACGGTGGGCCTGCGGCGGCTAATGGAGAGAGTGCTCAGCCTCGCGGCGCATGCCAATGAAGTTGACACCCCCGAACCCCGATCTCTTGGCCACACAGACTCGGTATCCCCCAAGATAACCCCTCAATGACGTAAAATATCGTCTCTCTACAAGATATCTCCGGTCCTTGAGCCGCATACTTGCTTGCGTGAATTAGGTGCTTACAAATGGCTCTGAATTTCCAGATGTAGCAGGCATCAGGCAAGGCATTCTTGGCGTCCGCCTTGCGCTTTGCCCATGGAAATATACCATGGAATGGGGTCGATACCCTTTATTGTAGGATCACTCCACGACCATCTTAATCGGAGGCTCAGAGTATGACGGTGTTACTGTTGGTAGGAGAGGGTTTTGGATCTTCTGGAGAGGGACGGGATGGACGGGGTTGAGCCCATAAACCCGCAAACAAGACCCTACAGTGCAAGGCCGATGACCCTGTAGCCCCATTCGTACGACTCCATGGTGTTGAAGCCTCGCGCACAGCCCCAAAGAGAATAAGAACAAAGCCAGAAAACCCAAGCGAGATGTACCCCTTTCCATCGCGCAAGCTAAGAATTCCCTCGGCGCCTGACCTGACCTTATCCACACCGTGGCCCATGCCATCTCCCACATGATGGGAGTAATGCCCCCAAAGCTTAAACTATAGCTTAGGGGTCCGGACCTGCCTACAGAATCGTGTGCAACAACGCCGCCCGATACCCCACCCATTATCATCCATAGGAACGACAGCCAAGACCAGTCCAAGACCAGATATCGTCTCATGCCAACTCCTTCTCCCCTGCGCACCACCCTCGCCATACATTCGGATATGCAGGCCTCCCTTCACCTACAATAGGCTTAACTCACACCGTCACTCCTTCCCCCTTCCCCCTCCGCCCCCGCTACACCCATATCCACATCCTCCTCCTCTCCCCCAAACTCAGTAACAACCCACAAGCAGAACCCCTCCCACGCAACAGCCCACTCCCTCAGCCTCCGCGCCTTAACCCCAGACCCAAGACTCGCCTCCCTGACCTCGCGCGCCCAATCCGCCGCCGAATCCGCCGGCCCGCCGCTGTCATCCTCGCCGTCCCCAAGCGCGGCCCAGCGGACGCTATTCTCGGCCAGCGAGCCCAGCGCCGCGAGATCCATCCCGGCGCCCCGGCCGCCGCCGCCGCCGCCGCCGCGGCGCCGCCACCCGGACCGGCAGAGGGCGAGCCAGTTGGAGGAGCAGGAGGAGGAGGAGGAGGAGGAAACGATGCCCTTGTTGTTGCCGAGGCCGAGGCAGCAGGGCACGCCGTGGGCGAGGAGGGCGGGAAGGACCACCCCCCCTGTGCTGCTAGAGGCATCGTCGTAGCACGTCTCGACGAGGACGCGGCGGTCGCGCACGGCGGCGGCGAGGGACGGGTGTGTGTGCAGGCCGCCGCCGCCACCGTCGTCGGCTCGCACGGCGATGCGGCGGGCGTCGAGGAGGAGGGCGTCGAAGAGGTCGGTGTCGCCGGCGGTCAGGTAGAAGGGGACCGAGACGTCCTCGGAGGCGCACTGCTTGCGGAACCAGAACAGCTCCGGGAGGGCGTCGGCGAGGGGCCGACCGCCGCCGCCGCCGGGATCGGCGAGGTCGTAGCCCGCGATCAGGTGCGGCCACGCCAGCTTGGCGGCGATGCAGGCGTCCATGTCTTCGACGAGGGCGCGCGCGCCGGGCTGCCGTGGCGACGACGCCCAGATCAGCCGCAGGCCCCAGAAGCCGCGGCCGTCGGGGCTGGCCGCGAAGGACGAGATGGTTTCGTCGATGGCCTGGCAGAGGTGGTCGTGGTCGGTCTCGGGCGTCGAGGTGCCCTTGCGGGAGTAGTTCGGGGGCGGGGTGAACCTTAGGGCGGGGAGAAGGAGAACCTGTGTTAGCGCGTCGAGGAAATATTAAGGCCCCTATTGGGGAGTGGGAAAAAGGGGGGGGGCCATACCGAAGCTCAATCCACGAGATGCCGTCTGCGTAGAGCGTGCTCATCAACTGGCGCAGAAAGGCGCGAAAGACGGGCTCGTAGTAGAGAAAGTTGCTAATGAGCGTAGAGAGCTCGTGACGCTGCGAGACGGTGGCGGTCTCCGAGACGGTGCAGCGCGTCTTTAGCCACTTCAGGAACTCGGCCTTCCCGCCAGGGTAGTCGTTGGCGGCCTGGGTGAAGAGGATCGGAGTCCCTGGCACGTAGTCTTCCCGCCAGATGGAGCCCTCCCTGTGCTCCTTCTCCTTGAACCGAACGACAATAGGCGCCGTCTCTCTCGCCTCGGCCGTGGCGAGGTGGGAGTCCTCGCACCAGATGTGGATGCCCGGCGTGTTGAGCAAGACCTCGAGGATGTAGTCAACGTCCACCATGGCGTCGAGGTGGGCGTGGAGCAGAGCGCCCTTGGGCATCTTGCGGATTATCTTCCACAGCCTGGTCTGCTCCGTGGTGTCCCCGGCGAGGGAGGACATCTCCTCGTCGCGGATCCTTGCGATGATTTCACATGCCTTCCTGGCGATGGGAGATAGTGACTGGCGAAAATGAAAATCTTATCGTAGAAACTTAGTTACGGATCTTGCTAAAGAAGTTTGTGTATGCGCATGTGCCTACCGCTCCGCTTCTTGCCCTCCTCGTCTATCAGGGCCTGGCGACCCTCGAGGTACTTTTGGATGACGACGTCATCTTTGGCCGGAAGCTCCTGAGAAACCTCCTCCCATTCTTCATCGGTAAATGCTGGCATCGTTCAGGAGCTGGCGCCGAACGACATGCCGGGATTTGAGATGAGAAAGATGTAGGTATGACGATGAGAACAAAGACAGGGCGAGCTTACCAAACGCAGCGTACGGTACGCGGGTTGTGTTCGTTGGTTGTCGTTGCTCGCGGTGAGACAGGTGCCCCACTCGGCTCTGTACCCACCCGCAAGCCCGGCGACTTGCGCCCAAACCCGTGGGTCGGGGCAATCATAACAGGGATTCTATGGACCTTCCCGGCCGCTGGGAAGGATGGGGGTGAAACTGGAGGGTCCTTGTTCCAAATCCTGTTGCAATGGGCTCCGTTGAGGTAAAATTAGCGAGGCATTCAGCCACGCCGCTTCCAGCCTGGCACGCCGCACGCCGCCTGACTGTTCACCGTTGCGGCACAGGACGGAATAGATAAACACAGCCCAAACAGCCTAGAAAATGCTGGAAGAAGCTGGAGATTTACTCCAATATCGGGATTATCCGCCCCCTCGTGGTCAGTGTCTGGAGAAGGGTGGGAGAGGGAGCCCGATAATATCAAGACTTAGATAGATTAGATATATTCCAGGAAGTAACCATAGCCCCCTCCCCCCAAAGGTCATCAGATGTTCCCCCACATCACGCCTGCAAAGCTGCGTCCTCCCTCGCGGCGTAGCTCGCCATCCTCCACGCTCCCTTGGGGTCGGCCCGCTTCCTACTCGCCTTCTCCTCACCCTCCTTACCCCAACCCCCACCGCCGGGCGTGCAGATGATGATGCGATCACCCGCCTTCATGGGGGCGCTGTTCTTGGCGCCCAGGTTGATGAACCTCTCCTCGTACCCGTTACCCTCCTCCTCCTCCTTCCCCTCCTTCTCGTCCGCCGCAGCCCCTCCCCGCCCTGCCGCCCCCGGCCTGCCATTTCTCAGGCTACGCAGCGACGACTCCCAGCTCGCCTTCCGCACCTTCCGGGCCCAGAGGTTGAGGCCGCACTCGGCGTCCTCCCCGCCGGCGAGGCCGTACGGCCGGTAAACCCTCCTCTCGCTGAGGATGGACACCTGTACGGGGATGCGGAACTCGATATCTCTAATAACGCCGTCTCCGCCGCGGTGCCTTCCGCGGCCGCCCGACCCCTCCCGGATGGAGAACTCGCGCAGCACGATCGGGTACCGGCGCTCAAACACCTCCGAGTCGGTGATGCGCGTGTTGGTCATGTGCGTGTGCACGCCGTCGGTGCCCTCCCAGTCGGGCCCCGCACCGCTCCCGCCCGCGATGGTCTCGTAGTACCCGAACCCTTTCACCTCGTCCTGGCCCGTGACGTTGCCGCCGAACCCGAACGTCAGGTTGTTGCAGTCGCCCTGGCTGGCCGCGCACGCCTCGAACGCCCGGAAGATGACGTCCGTCACCCGCTGGCTGGTGAGAACGTTGCCGCCCACCACGGCGGCGTCGTCGGACGGCGAGAGCAGGCTCTTGGGCGGGATCTTGACCGTGATGGGCTTCAGGCAGCCCTGGTTCAGCGGGATGTCCTCCGAGATCATGCAGCGCAGCGTGTAGATGATGGCGCTGTACGAGACCGCCTCGGGGGCGTTGATGTTGCCGTAGACCTCAGGCCCGGTGCCCTCAAAGTCGAAGACAGCCTCGCCCTTGTCGGCGTCTATGGTGATCTTGAGCCTGATGGGGCTACCGTCGTCCATGAAGTCGACGGCGGAGAGGTCTTTGCCCTCGAACCTCTTGGACACCGACTTCAGGAGGTTCCGCACCTGCAGCTCGGCGTTGTTCTGGATCGCGACCATGTAGAACTGAACTGTGTCCTCGCCGTATTCCTTGATCAGCCCCTCGATCAACGAGATGCCCTTCTGGTTCGCCGAGACCTGTGCGCGCAGGTCGTTGATGTTGTCTGCCAGGCACCGCGTCCCACTGCACCCGGGGTACTCGGCGGGCTCCTTGTAGAACAGCTCCACGACTCTCTCCTCGTCGAATTTGCCCTCGCTGACGAGCTTCTCGCTTTTGATCGACGCGCCCTCCTGGTAGAGCTCGCGCGAGTGAGGCGGCATGCTTCCGGCGGTGATGCCACCAATGTCGGCATGGTGAGCCCGGGATGCGGCGTAGAACAGGATCTCGTCTCCCGCCTCGTTGAAGGCCGGCATCAACAAGGTGATGTCGGGCAGGTGAGTCCCTCCGTAAGAGGGATGGTTCGATATGATGACGTCTCCCTTCTTCAGTTCGTCCTTCCAGATTTCTGCCTGGCGCTTGACGCATGTTGACATTGAACCTGGACCAAGGAGGTTAGCACTGTTCCCCGACAAAGACCGGACGGAGTGGATTTGGAAGGGAGGGGTGTAGAGGGGGTAATACCTAAGTGGACTGGTAGATGAGGAGCATTGGCAACGAGGCCACCAGTCGCATCAAAAATGGCGCAGGAGAAGTCCAACCGTTCCTTCACGTTGGTGCTGACGCTCGTTTTCTGGAGCGCCCTGCCCATCTGTTCCGCGATTGCCATAAACCGGTGGCCAAAGATGCTGAGCATAATGGGGTCGACCTCCCTCTCGCTCTCCTTCAACTCGGACTCTCCCTTGCCGCCATTATCCTTCTCGATATCAATCACGACATGCGTCTCAAGAACCAGAGCTGTTGATTTTGGAGTCACCACAATTGTCTGTGTACCGTCAGCCAGAACAGCTGGACCGGAAATTGTCGTGCCAACATCCAGATCACCAAGCTTGTAAACTGGTGTGTCGAGGCGGCCTGCTTCGAAGTAGACCTCGGCGCCAGCGTGCTTCTTCGCCGATGGGACCGACCGGCGTTTAATCGTCTTAAGCTGGTCATCGACCGTCTTCTCGTCGTAGCGGAAACTCTTGCCGATCCCGCGGACCCGAACGTCGTCAACTATGATGTCCCGGTCCTCTAGGGTGAATCCAAACTCGTAGCGGTGGTGCTTAACGAATGCCTTCCCAAAGGCCCACTGGTTCCCATCGAAGAACTCCTTGGCGTCGTCCTCGTTGGGCTTGATTATCATCAAGGCGGACTCTGTGCCTCGATATCTCATGTTCAGGTACTCCTCAAAGACGATATCGCTATCCTCGAAACCCTGGTCTCTCAGCGCTTGGCGGGACTTATTCTTGAGCTTCTCCATCTTGTCCTTCAGCTCGTCGACAACTTGGCCTTCATCCTCCCAGACTTTCGAGTCGGGTTCCTGTCTCTCGTCGACCACGTCGGCCAATGCCATCCCGTAAGCCGACAGCACGGAGGAGTATCTGTGGATCAGGATCTGCTTGATGCCCAATGACTCGGCGATGGCGACGGCGTGCTGCCCGCCCGCGCCACCAAATGTCGCCAGCCTGTGCTTCGACGAGTCGTGACCCTTTGCCTCGGTGATGCTTCGGATAGGCCGGGTCATCGTCTCGTTGGCTACAGTCAAGAAGCCGTACGCGACTTCGTCAACGTCCATGTCCTTTCCAGTCTCCCGGCTGATTTGATCAGCCAGCTCCTGGAGGACCTTCTTGCTGGCCTCGACATCCAGCCCCTCGTCTTCGTTCTTGCCGAAGATCTTGGGGAAGAACTCGGGCAGCAGACGGCCGAGAACGAGGTTGGCATCCGTGACTGTCGCCGGCCCGCCTTTCCGGTAGCATGCCGGGCCGGGATGGGCTCCGGCCGACTCGGGGCCTACCACGAACAGTCCGTTGCGGAAAAACAGCATGGATCCGCCGCCGGCCGCGACGGTGTTAATATCCAGTTGTGGAGACTGTATCGTGACCCCGGCCGTAGTCGTTTCGAAGGTATGATCGTATCGGCCCTCGCCGTAACGGGACACGTCGGTGCTGGTGCCGCCCATATCGAAGCCGATAATCGGGATCCGTGTGTTCTCGTCGTACGAGGTGATGGCATATCCCACGACGCCCCCTGCCGGCCCGGATAGGATGGCCTTCAGACCAGTGAACTTCTCCACATCAACCAGGCCGCCGTCGCTCTGCATGAACTCACAACGGGCGCCTCGGCTGCCCTCCTCCTGCTTGACGCTCCTCGTCCCCAGGCCGCCCTTGAAGCCCTGCTGAAAGCCCGAGATGTACTTCTTGATGGCGGGCGTCAGGTACGCATCAGCGCAGACCGAGGTCGCGCGCGAGACCAGCTTGATCATCGGCATCAGCTCGTGGCTGAGCGAGATGTGCTGGAAGCCAATCTCCCTGGCGACCTTGCCGACCAGGGCCTCGTGGTCCGGGAAGGTGTAGCCGTGCATCAGACACACGGCCACGCTCTTGATGCCGCCGTCGTAGATCTCCTGCAGCTGCGCCCGGATGGCCTCCTCCGCCGGCCGCTTCAGGATGCGCACGGCTTCTCCCGAGAGGCCCATGACCAGGTCGTGGCTCCTTGCCTCGTCGGTCCCGGCCCGGACCTCGGCCTTGGTGACGTGCCTCTGCGGATCCTCGGCGTAGTCCTCGAGGGTGACGCGCTCGTCGACCTCGACGACGGCGGAGTAGAGCACGTCCGGCTTGTGGATGGCCAGGTCGAAGATCTTGGGCCGGGACTGGTTCCCGATCACCAGACAGTCCTTGAAGCCCTTGCTGACCACCATGGCGATCTTCTCGCCCTTCCTTTCCAGCAGCGCATTCGTGGCGACGGTCGTGCCCATCCGGATGGAGTCGATCCTGGAGGTGTCCAGAGGCTCTCCGCGGGGTATCTCTCGTCCGAGAAAGTGGGACATGATGCGACGGATCCCCTCGAGGGGAGCATCCTGGTAATTCCCCGGGTCCTCGGACAGTAGTTTGATGACGAGGTCTTCGCCGCCAAAATTCCCGACGCAGTCGGTAAATGTCCCTCCGCGGTCAATGGCAATCCGGATGCCCCGGTCTCTCTTCGTGGGGGCCATCTTCGCGCCGGCCGGTCTGGTGGTGGATGATTTCACTCAAATATTTGCACGAGCGTGCCTGGGACAAGACAACGATTATTACAGAGCCCAGGGAGGAAATATGACCGTATGAAGAAATGCTTTCTATTTTTTCTAGGCTGGACGAAGAAGATCAAGCAGAAAGGTGACCTTTTAAATGACTCCAGGGTCCCTCGTGTCGTCATGTCCCGGTTGTAAATAAACTGCAGCGGTACCCCACCCCCGTGGGGACCCATTGGTATCGGGCATGGACTCCGATCACACTTCCTTGTTAGCGTCGGCGCCGTCCCCCGTACGATTATTTGAGGGAGGAGCGGCGGATACTAACGGGCAACATCAATTACGAATCCCTGGCATTCTACGAAGTATGTACGCACATGATTATGTGCAACCTGGTGATCACTGATGATCCCCTCCTGTCCTTGATAGGTACAGTACATGAGATCCTGTTTTGCAAGAATTATACACCATTCGAAGCCACCACATCGGGACGTACGACCGCAGGTATTGGAAACCCCGGCAATAAGGCAAGGATTTCTCGACAGAATATACTGGGCAGAGAGCAGAGGTTGGCGTTACGGAAAATATCTATTCTGCTTGCCTACTATAGCTGGGTAGGTAAGTAAAACAGGACCTCAATTCTTCCCTCCCCGCCCCCCATAACGATGATTGCATCTCGACGGCGCTCGAAGCCGCCCGCTGTACCCGCCTTTAACGTGGGTAGGAGTGCATACATAACAATGGAATCCAGCCAAAGTCGATAGAGCCTAAACAATGCCTTATCGTTTCAACAGTCCCTTTTTCCTTTTCTCAATCAGGTCATACCACAGTGGGTTGGAAGGATGTTGTGGGCTCAGCTCAGCTCGCTTTGCCGGAGGAGCAGAGGGTTCCTGGTCAAAGACGTTCTTCCTCTTCCACTTCCTCTTGACACAGTTATTAGCAGCCTTCCTCCGTCAAGGATGGGAAATAAACCTACATCGGTATCCGAAGCGATGGGAATGCTAAATGGCAGCATCAAGGGACGGTCGCCTTCAGTCTTGGTGCTCGTCAACTCCCCGATATGCCCACCACCAACGGCTTCCTGGAGCTCTAGCCCAGCCATGCTGGAACCCAATGCTTGCTCGACAAATTGATGGAGTTCTCCGAAGGAGTCGATCTCTTTCAACAAGGCTCCCGGCTCCGTTGCTGGTAGGATCTTGCGTGTCTTCTCCGTTGTGAGGCACCTGTGCAATGTCCGCTCCCAGTTTGCCTCTCCGCACTTCAACTTGTCGATGCTGTCAGAGAGGGATTTGAGGATCAGCATAGCGAGCTCCCTTCTCGTTTCGGAGAGGAATGCCTCCGATCGTTGTTGGCGGGCTTTGACGAAGTCGTCGACCAGGGTATCCACTCTCTCCTCCCATTCCATCGAACTGTCATGCTGGCCCCCCATAACGACACATCCAGACCGTTCCATGTTTGGTGAAGTCAGAAGTAAGTGGTGCTCGAGAACCAAATAATAACCGCTGAGGCGATCTGGGACCCAAGAATTGGAGGGAAATCTCCGGTATTAAGTACTTAGGCCTGGACCATCTTCTTCCCCATCGCGGTTTCTTGCCTACTTCATACAGGCATGCCTGGAGCTGTAGACCATGGGGTTTCTCAGGCCATCATGGACAAAGAAACCATAACCGGCTTCACCCGACTTCTGAGGGAGATTGGGTTCATCATTTATTACCATGGCCTGACAGAAATGCTCGGAAGGAGCATCCCATAACTAATAACTGACAGATCAACCCCATCCTGTCTAGCAAAGCTCACCGCCACCCCCAGCGAAACGCCACTCTCTAACAACTCAGCTTGGTATGGAACGATAGCGTCTTTGTTCGCAGGTACCAACATCGAGCCACCGACACCCAGCCCACAAGCCTAGCAAAATAACTGGATATCCTAACCGGGGACTTCTTCCCACCCCGCCTCCTTTCACACCGCCCTCCAAACGCACCAATCCCCACCAGCCGCATGTGCCAGTTATGACTCCAGCGGCCCAACTACCTCTCCGCCGGCCTCCCAAGCCTTCCGAGGCTCCGCAGTCCCAAGGACGTGGCGGCGGAGAGGAACATCAGGACGAAGCACGTCCCGAAGGCGGCGCGGTAGCCCCCCATCAGGGCCGCGGGCGACCCCTTGTCCGGGAGGCCGGACGACCTGGTGACGGAGCTGGAGACGATGGCCACGAGGCTCATGCCCAGCGACGTGCCCAGCTGGGCGGTGGTGTTGAACACGGCGCCCGCGAGGGCGTGCATGTCTGTCGGGAAGACGTCGGTGATGACCAGGTGGGCCATGGTGAAGAGGACTGTGTGGGGAGGGATGTCGTCAGAGAATGGTTTTGGGTTGATGGAGGGGAGGGTGCTATTGTGTTTGAAGCTGATTGACTCACCGTCAACGGAAACGGGACCCAGGGCAACAGCCCAGAATGCGGCTACCCACCATGACCATCCGGGGTCGATGAGCGTCATGATCAGGGGGGAGGAGGCCGCTATTAGGGACACGCAGGCTAGGAGCTTATACGCGGTGAAGTACTGTACGCATAGGCCCGTGAGTGGGTTCAAGATGAAGCCGACAATGATGCTGGGAAGCAGCCGGAGGGATGTTTGCATGGGTGTAACTAGCTGAACCCTTTGGAAGCTACAACCCACAGGCATGGTTAGCGAAGCCACAGTTAATTACCTAGGCCGACCTGCTTAATCTCCTGGACTCTAGCTGGCTTGATTGTTTCCCCCTTGGCGTTTGTTTGATCCTTGAACGGTCGAGAGTGAGTGGCCTTTGTCACTTACAAGAGACTGATGAGGAGTTCCGAACTCTGCAAGGATGCCCAGGCCAGCAAGACGGTGAGGCTCACCGACAAAAACGCGCGGTTTCTCCAGATGGAGTTCGGCACGAGCGCTGGTCTCCCCAGACGCTCTTGTCGCCTCATCCACCAGGGAAAGGCCGCGAGGAGGATCAAGCCGGTGAGCATGGCCGTCATGTTTCCCTTGCGCCACAATAATTTGGCGTCATCCGTCAATACTCTACGGTTGCCTCCTGGTCAGCCAACACTCGTCCAAGAAGCAGCGGTTGAGTTAACCAGCGAATACATACGCGCAAGTGTACGAAACCAGCCCGAGGCCGACGCTCGAGACCGCGATGCCAACCCAGTCAACACCAGCGCCAACAGACTCCCAGTCGGCGGCGACAGCCCCGGCGCCGCGCCCATCCGGCGGCGGCAAGACCAGCCAGTTCGCGACGACGAAGGCGGCCAACACGGCGGCGCAGACGTGGTAGCCGAGGCGCCAGTCTCCCGCGGCCTCGACGGCGCCCTCGACGACGAGGCCGAGCGAGAAGCCGAGCGGCTGTGCGACGCCGAGGCACGAGAAGCCGACGTTGCGGCCGCGCCCGGCGCGAAGCGACCGCGCGACGATGCTGACGCCCGTGGGCAGGCACATGGACACGCCGACGCCCTGCAGGGCGCGGAGGGCGACGAGCTGCGCGCCCGAGCGCGCGAGCCCGTTGGCCAGCACCGAGGCCGCTAGCGTCGCCGAGCCGATCAGGTTGACGGGCCGGTCGCCTACCTTGTCGGCGACCGAGCCGGCGAGGAGGAGGCAGCAGGCGCAGGCGAGTCTGGAGAGGGGGTTTTCCAAGTTTAGTGTCTTACTCGGCTTTAACTTGTGCTGGGGTAAAGTGCCTCGAGCTCCTCTTTTTGAAACTTACGAGTACGCAGATGATGGCCTGTCACCCTTCGGTCGTTAGCTCGCGTCACGCTCGTCTCCTTGTGGCCAAGTTTGTTGTGCCCGAAGTACGGATGGGCTTGCTATTAACAGGAGCACCCACCATAGCAGCAAGTGCTCCGGAAGATGTAAATCTCTCGCGATGACGGGCAGGCCAACGGTCAACAAGCCCGTGCTCACGCTGGCGGAGAAGGTCACTCCTGACAAGCTGAAGATGATGGCGCATGTTCGCAGGAAGGACAGCTCATGATGCTCCGAGCCGTCTTTTGCCTGGAAGGGCTCTCCCAATGTGTCGCTGTCCGGCCATGGAAGCTCGGATTCGGAGTCAGACAATGAGGGCGGCGTGCTACGGTAGATTGTTCCATAGTTGTGAGCGCCGTCTGTTGTTGAGATGGACATGTTGTCGAACCCCAGTGCCGTTCCCGGGACTGACTGGAGGTTGAGTGCAGGCGAGTCGAGCTTTCAGCGGATGTCGTGGCTAGCCTCCCATTTGTGCGGCTTTGACCGCTTCTTCCATAGACCAAAAGACGTGCGCGTAATTCATAATCACTCCCTTGCCGCGTCAGCTGAGTCTCTCAAGCCATTCGGAGTCGATCCCAGCCATATGTCTCGGGATCTCCGCGATGCGGGCGAGAGATCAAGTCACCAACCCAGAGCCGTCACAAGTTCACAGGCCGCTTCACGCACTCCAGGATGGGAATACAGGGGATTGGTCAGTTCTCTCCCACTTACACAGTTAACTTGGGCTATATATGACGCCTCAGACGCCACGATGCGCCCAGCTCGCTCCTCTACGGTGGTGAGATCGACAAATCTCATTTGCATGTAGATCGCGAGCACTGACAAATACAAATCAAGCTTTCCATTACTACTTTAGTGCAGTCGACGCTATGTGTTTCTCATGCCGATCTGACGAGATCGACGGTGGCGCAATGGAACGAGCCGCCGAGACTATTGACATTCCCGAACGGGCACAAGATAGGCTCCATGCCGAACCTGTCCCGCACCCACTCCGCGAACTGCGTGTCCCTCTCCTCGACCATGATGCGCCGCTCGTCGATGCTCAGCGCGTTCAGCACCAGCCACGGCGAGCACATGTACAGGGGCGGGACGCCGTCCTCGCCCTCCTGCTGCTGCCGCCGCCGGGGCGCGAACGGATAGGCGTGCAGCTCCCAGCCGGCGAAGACGGCGTGCCGGCGGAGCTCCTCCTCGGTGACGCGCTCCGGGTTGTACACCAGCAGGCCCCTGCGGAGCGGCAGGATCGTCGCGTCGATGTGCATCGCGTGCTCGTCGGTGGTGGCGAGGACCTCGACCGCGTAGCCCTCGGGCACCACGGCCTGCAGGTACTGCACCCCCTTGCGGTTGGTCACGTTGCTGAGCTGCCCGATGATGGTCTTGCCGAACCGCATGAAGTCGGCCGTGTCGAAGGCCGGCCGGCTGTTGTTGATGGCCCACTTGTGGCCGCCCCCGTTGCCGTTGACATCGCCGTTGTCGTCGGCGACACCGTCGTACAGTGTGTCGTCGCCGATGATGAGGGGCGCTCGGCAGATCCTGGACGAGCCGCTGGCGCCGAGCTGGTCCAGGATGTCCGAGTAGCCCAGCTGGACCTCATGGCGGCGGCAGCGCCAGGCGAACGGGGCCTCAACGAGCGTGTCGCCCACGGTCATCAGGCCGTCCCGTGGCATGGCGCCCGTGTAGCCGCCGACCTTGAGCCAGTCGATCTTTGCGGGACGATAGACGCGGATCCCCTGCTGCTCCAGGAGGGAGGCGAAGTGGTCGAGCTCGAGCTTTGCCTTGGCTACGATCTCGGCCGGGAAGGGGTTGAAAGGTCTGAACTCGGCAAAGTGTTCCTCTGGCATGGTCGCCGCAATCATGTGGGCTGGCTCGGACGGGAAGGCCGAGTGCTCTGCCCGTCCAACGATGACGGCCTTGAGGGGCGACCACTCGTCGTCTGCCGAGATTAGGGGCATTTGTTCTTTCGCCATCTTGATATTTTTGGAGAGACAATGTGTCTAAGAGATATCTGACAGAAATAGCAGCAGGTCTGAAGTGTACCACAGCACGAAGCGTAGCACTGCAACGCAACGCGACGGCATGGCCACTTCTGCTTGGGGTATTTATGCTAACTAGACTCCAAATCTAAGGAATAGGATATCGGACATCACCTCCGATCGATTGCAGATGCTTGTATCTTGGCTAGGCATCTTCGCCGCAGCTCCTTCCTGGGAGTGGGATGCGGTGTAGCAAAAAACAAGTGGCTTGCCGAGTGGCTTGCTGAAGCTCCGTCTTTGTACAAGCTCTACGATCGGCGGTGCTCATCACGGGCCAGGGCAGGGAACGAGAGTGAAAGAAGATGTTGCAATGAGACACATACGGATGACCATTGGGTACAAAAAGGAGACGGGAAGGGAGCGGAACGTCCCGAGAGTGTATCGGCGGGTTTGGACTGCGACATATTACCAAATCGAAACTTGGAAGATGCCCCCATTCGCACGAATGTTTCCGTATGAAATTCCCATCTGCAGATCAGATCTACCATCGTGGCTGGTCGATCGGCGATATTTGGCCAAGTGGTGAGCCGGTTTTCAGGAGATGCGACCAGTGATGTCAATGGCCTCAGCTCATGTCGTGTCTTCGTCTCCGTGTCACCTCATCTCCGAGACATCGCCCTTACCGCTGCCAAAGTTACGTAAACGTTCAATTCGATCTCGCCAACGCATCTAGCTCTCACATCGAAGATAATATTCCCAGAAGTGCAGCACCTGGTCCTGCAGCTGAGTACTTCCAACACGCTCATCCAAAGCGTCCCCCATGTTGAGCACGCCATGCCCATGTTTTACGTGTCGTCCCCTCACCTGTGTGCGCTCGCCGGCATCGCCGCCGTGTCCGCACTGCTCTTCAAGCTGGTCATCTATCCTACCATCTTCTCACCATTGTCCAAGATACCAGCGGCTCACCCACTTGCCTCTGTGACTTCTCTGTGGATCCAGTGGCAGCGATTCCGGGACCGAGAGTTCCAATGTATCTCGGCCGCCTTCGCCCGCAAAGGGCCTTATGTTCGCCTTGGTCCGAACGAAATAGCCATCAACTCGATGGAAGGTGTGCTCAGCGTGTACGGCGTGGGGAGCAACAATTTCGACAAGCACCAGTCGTACGAGTACTTCATCACTCACGGGTCAGTGATTAGTCCCTCTGTATTCCGATTGTCTGTGCTTCCCCTTCTCCTGACAACCTCCTCGATAAATCCGAGCATGCAGGAGCCGCAACATGTTTTCATCCCTCGGTAAGGATCACGGGTTCCGCAGGCGCCGCATATCCGCCGTCTATGCGCGGTCCTTTGTGCAGTCGTCTCCCCATGTCCACGCAATCTTGGATGCTGTTGTGCTCCAGCGGTTGCTCCCCTTGCTATTCCAAGCAGCCGCGACCGAGCAAGGCAGCGTCGACATTCTCCCCGTCCTCCAGTCCTATGCGCTGGACTTCATGTCCTCCTTCATGTTTGGGCTGTCCCGGGGGACCAACTTCCTCCAGGACGAGTGCGCCCGGCGGCATTGGTTCGATCTGTATATCCGCAGTTATCCGGCCGGGAGCATGTTCTGGTTGCTGGAGCAGCCGTTCCTAACGAGGCTGCTCTGCGCAGTTGGCGTCCCCTTGCTTCCAGAGGGCCATTTCGAGGCCAAACAAGAGTTTGAGGCATGGGCCCTGGACAAGGTGAAGGAATCGGAGAAAACTCTAGCCAAGAGCGAAGAAGCCGGTATCCCCCTCTCGTACGGCGAGTTTCCTATTCTTTACAGTGCGGTGAGGTCAGGTATTGCGAAAGATTCGGGAATTGATGCAGGCTTCACACCCGACTCAAGTCAGCAGCTCGAGTTAGCAAGCGAATGTTTTGACCATCTAGGTGAGAGAGAAAGTCCAAGAGTGGCTGATGAGCGTGAATTGCTAAACAAACATGGAACAGTTGCTACAAGAGACACCTTCGGTATGGAATACTATTAAAAGGTCCAGCCTCGGTAAATCACGTATTAACCCCAAGCACCAGGCACCAGCTTCACCTACGTCCTCTACGAAATCTCCCGCCACCAAGACGCCCAAGCCGACCTCCGCGCAGAGCTCCTCTCACTCCCCACCCCATTCCCCTCCTCCTCCCCCGCCACCACCCCCTCACTGCCCCCACCAACGGCCCTAGAGAACCTCCCCCTCCTAAACGCCGTCATCAAGGAGGGCCTCCGCCTCCGGAACAACACCCCCGGCCTGGACCCGCGCGTGACCCCGATGGGGACGACCCGCCGCGAGTCCAGCAGCGTCGGCCCGTGGGGCGGCCTGCCGCCCGGCGTCCGCGTCGGCGCGTATTCGCGGTGCCTCCATCGCGACGGCGACGCGTTCCCGGATCCGGAGGCGTGGAACCCTGGCCGCTGGCTGGACGGCGGCGGCGGGGCCAAGGCGTCGGCGGCGGCGGCGGCGGCGGCGGCCCGGGACCGTGGCTTCTTCGCCTTCAGCGGCGGTAGCAGGGGGTGTGTGGGCCGGCAAGTCGCGATGGAGTGTAGGTGGTGGTGTTTATGAACCCGGCCTTTCTGGTGATGTTGTCTACGTTCTTGCTGACCCTTTAATCCCCCAGTGATGCGGTTTGCTGTCGCCGCCATATACACGAATTTCAAGACTGCAGTCGCGGACGAGAGCGAGTACCCTGGGACTGACGGGTTTGTGGGCGGTGACTGTAGGGAAAGGCTGTTCATAAAGTTTGAGAGACTGTCTACCTAAACAGATTTGGTGAGCCTTTCTGTGTGAGACCTTTTACCTGTCTATGACTTGTCCGTCCCATTAGCCAGGTCACAAAGATAAGCCATTACATTGTTGGATTTGGTGAAATTCGTGAGAAGCGTAATGTTAACTACGCATATGCCGTTATGTAGCTATGTTACCAAGACTAGATTTTCCACTGAGAAGGTAAGCGTTGGGGAGAATGTATATTCAACTCTTCCGGCGCCCCAGGTAGGTGGATAAGCACCCATTGAAAAGGGGTAAAAGGGGGTGGCTCGTGCACATTGGTCATAACTATCATATTTTCTTTGCCGCATTCTTCAGTCCCAGCACGCAGAGAGAAACAGGTAATAGTATATGGAAGCACTCTGCCCTGCTTTAGTACGTTGATTCCTGGCATTTGTCCTCAGAACATCGCTCTACGGGGATTCCTATCCCATAGGCTTTTAATCTTACCTACCTAGCTATATCAATACGACCAACTAATGACTCCACAAACTCAATAATGCATACGGCTCACCACTGAGAGGAAAGTGTCGGCTTTGGTATAAAGCACTCCGTTCGGGTGCAGACCATGATTCTGGCTGTGACTGCGCAGATATCTTTACCAAATCCTGCTTGAACCACATGGCATTACAGCATCCCCACACAGGTTAGCATAGTTTGCGGCCATGTTGGTTAAGTTGGATAGACAAAATCTTGCGTTTCCGAAGGCACTAGATTCGATTCCTCCCGGCATTCCTCTAGGTAGCCGTCTCTTTTTTAAGCCGCCGGCTAGAGCAAAGGCGTACAGCGGGAGAAGCAAGACGGCAAAAAGAAAGCTTGCCTTCGAAGACTATTTTAGCTCTGTCTCTGAGAGCAGAAAGGGATATAGAACGATGTGTCCACCTCCAGAAGGAGTAAAAGGGAGAGTCAAACTGTCCCTCAGTTTTGTGTCTTTGTTATTAGCAAAGTGTGCCTGCGCACTTGCTTTGAGTATCAGTAGCCAGCGGACTAGGCCTGTTTTCATCATTGGGACTTCATCAGGAAACACTGTATCAATCTTGGGTAATATATGGCTTCCCCCCCCTCGCAGTGGTGTACATGGCAGTTGCTGACATTGTGGCAGGTTCCTTCCTTCCGTCAAGTCGGAGGCCGAGGAAGTGGCGAGGGACCTCGGCGCCTTCGACGCGTGATGGAGGCCCAAGTGGTCATTCGTGCCAGCAGCTGTACCGAGAACAGTGATGAATGCTAGGATCGGAGCTTTCCTTCGAGGCTCCGTGTCGATGCAATTCTGAGATTCTCTCTGGTGCAGTTGTGTGGATGAACTTGTATAGCGACAACTCCATCGCCGCCAAGGTCAGCAGCCTACTTCTGCTTGATTTGCGAACAACTTGAGCTGCGCTGCAAGTTGTGGTCTACTCAGAATCGTCGGTTGCGCGTTCGCAGTTACCTGTCAGTCGTATATTTTTCCTCTTATATCCTTTGAATGTCATATTTGATGTCTATTTATGTCTTGTGTGGATTGTTTAACATGATATCGCGAAGCAGCCGTAATAGTCTCCTTGGCGATAATCATATCCCTATTTCTCCGCCACGAAGCTATTGTTGACGCTGGAATCTTGAAGTATTTCCAGACTTCGGCATGTGTGGGAAGCCAGGGGTATCAGGGTTGCCTGGCAGCAAAGGCATACCATGACGGCTTCGGGAGGAGTTCGGAGGCTTGGTATCGACTAGCCGGTGATGAAGAAGGAAGGTTAGCACTCTGGCGTTGGAAACAGTGTTGAAAATGGATATATTAGGGGCCAATGCTGGGTGGGCAGTGCTGTCTGGCTGGGTGGGCAGTGACTTTCCTTAGCGCGGGCCCCTATTGGTCAAAAATATTTAAAGTCAGCGCTTGCGCAAGCGAACCTCTGCTAAGCCTAAATCATCATTCTGCCGCCGCTAAGCCTAAATCGTTTTTCTGCCCTTAATTGACGCGCCGCCGGTCTTCGTGATATTTCCATCCATCCATCCTACTTCCGTACAACCTCAGCAACTTGACGATTGCGTTGAGCCTTAGAAAGGCTCGTTGCTGTAATTCCCGGTACAGATTCAAGATCTCCGCCTTTGAATACCCTATATGTGAACCTTTCTAACTTCATCTACCATAGGAAATGGATCAGAACCTGCTTCCGGACGAAGACGTCCCTGCCGGGCAACCCGAGCCTCATCCAGACCCTCCCGACCCTCCCGGCCCCCCTGAGCTTCCTGACCCTCCCGAGCCTCTTCCAAACCCTCCCGAGGGCGGCATTCCGCTAGATGCCTTTGACGCCCTACGCGCGCCAGCTGATACGATTGACGACTTGATGAGCGACCTGAATCGCTGGGGGAAGCTTCATGGACTTCATTTTATCCGCGCCCAGGCTAGCAACAAAGACAAGGCTGGAAACCCCCGACGATTCGAAGTCCATTGCGATCGTGGCCGGGCAACTGCCAAGCGAGGTGCTGGTATTCGAAATACATCAACCAAGCGGATCGAATGCCCATGGAGAGGTGTTGCGAATGCCCTCAAAGCCAACGACTTCTCCTGGACCTTCCGGCTTAGCAACAAGCAAGAAGAACGAGTCCATAACCATGGCCCGTCTCTCGATCCATCAGCCCACCAAGGCAACCGCGGCTTTACCGAGGAGCAAAAGGGCTTTATACGAATAGCGGCAAGCCACCCAGGTGTAGGAGCACGGCAAATTGGGTCACAGTTGGAAGCAAAGTGGCCAGACCTACTCTTCAAGGTCAAAGATATCAACAACGAGCTCCAGTATCAACGTACGGCTGAGCTCAACGGCCTTGGATCTACTGGAGCCCTGATCAAGTATCTGGAGGATCATCAGTATCCCTACCGAGTTAAATGGGAAGAGAGTGATCCCAATCAGCTTGTGGGTATTGTATGGACCTTTCCATGGTGTATCGAGATGTGGAAGAGATTCCCAGAGTGCCTTGCGTTTGACAATACGTACAAGACCAACCGCTTTGGACTTCCTCTCTTCAACGGCACTGGGAAGACGAATATTGGGTCCTACTTCAACACTGCCTTTGGTCTCATCAATAATGAGAAGTATTCTGGCTTTCTTTGGCTACTTCAGGCTATTGACAGTCTGCGTACTGAGGCTGGGATCCCTCAGCCAGATGTGGTGACAACAGACTTCGATAAATCTCTCAAGCAGGCCTTGAATGAGGTATTCCTAGATACACAGCAACAGCTTTGCATCTACCATATCAACAAGAACGTTCTTATGAGAGCCAAGCGTAAGTGGAAGTCAGAAGACGATGCAGAAGAAGATGAAGATGATGAGGACCATGGCAACGGCGGCGATGATGATGAAGGCGGCGAGGTACTTGCGATCCTAGACCCAACTCAAGAGCCCCTGGCCTTTGATGAAGTAGATTATCAAGAACTTCGCAATGCCCTTGCCATGGCTGGCCTAGATGGAGGAGACCCAGATCCAGGGGCTATTCCATACTCCTACCTTGGCGTCTTCAAGCTCTGGAAACGTATCATGTTCTCTGATACTGAGGATGATCTCGAGGCTTCCTAGGAGCGGCTTTGATCAACCTTTGTGGACCAAGAGGCTATTGTCTTATATCTCCAAGAGACGTATATGCCCTACCGGGATCAGTGGGCACGCTGCCATATCAAGCACTACTGCAACTTTGGTGACTGGGCTACATCTCTAACCGAGGCGTGCAATAAGGAGGTAAAAGCGTACCTTCTTTATGGCTTTAGCGATCTCTTCACGCTTCTCAAGGCGATGGAGAAGATGTGCCGTTACCGGGAAAAGGACTACAAGCAACGAGTAGCCTAACAAGACTTGAAGATCCAGGATAGATATATCCAGCAGCCATGGCTTGGAGATATCCCAAACGCCTTTTCGTACCTTGCAATCAACCTTATCACTCAGCAACACCAGCATGCAGAAAAGGCTATCCAAGACAGCGACGGCGAGATGGGGGATTGTGGCGAGGAGTGCACCTTTTCATTGCAATATGGCCTTCCTTGCCAGCATACAATCTACAGGAAGATGGTAGCTAAGGAGCCATTGGATCACTCTAGGGTCTATCCACGTTGGGACCTTCAACGGAAGCTGGTAAGTTGATCTTATCAACTGATCTACCTCTTATACTAATGCTAGCAATACCAGGATGACGTTGATCCATATCTCCGAATCCGAGACCTGAATATTGTTACCAACCTGCGCAGCCAGCCTGCTTATAACCAGCCTCGACCACTACCAGCAGACTAGCGTATCCAGCCACTACCAGAGCGGCTTCCTAAGGCGCTAGTAGAGCCGCAGCTTCCTAGGCTGCTTGCTAAACCTCCTGCCGAACCGCTTGCCGAGCTGCTTGCCGAGGCGTCACCAGAGCCGCAGCTCCCAGAGCCGCAGCTCCCTGAGCCGCAGCTCTCTGCGCCAGTCCCTGCGCAGCTCCCTGCACCAGTCCCTGCGCAGCTCCCTGGGCTGCGCCCTGGGCCGATCCCCGAGGCGCAGCTCCCTGGACCGCTCCCTAGGCCGCCCCCTGAGCCGCCCCTAGAACCGCCAGCTCCAGAGATACAGAGAGGCCGCCCAAGAGGCCGCCCTCGGGGCCGCCCTCGGGGGTCACGAGCCCGGGGGTCACGAGGTCAGGGGTCACGAGGTCAGGGAGAGACAACTGCAGCTCCAGATCAACAAAGGAGGTTGCCGCCGCCAGTCCGTCGAGGTGCTCAGCTGCGGCCCAGCGTAAGGCGGCACTTATCACAGGATGAGCTGGAGTATCACACCGGCGATGAGGCTGACGAGGGCAACGTGGGCAGGCCACCAAAGAGGGCCCGTGGGCGCCCACGTGGATCGAGGGGATCCCGGGCCCAAGGTCCCCGTGGGGCTTGAAAAGGACGTTGATTTCCAGCCGAATTGTAATCAATTACAGCGGCAATTACACACATGTAAAGACTACCCTCCAACCTGCCACAACTCTACAACCACAGCTGTAGTATAGATAAGAGTTATGTTAATTGAACCGCCTTGAGAAGCCTAACAATATGGATCCAATTATAATTGTAGATGTCAAAGATTGCGTAGGTTATGGTGGTGAGAAGTTGTGATATATTGGGCGTAATATGGGACGGCGACAAAAGGAAGGCGGTGAAGACCCCTGTAGGGTAGCGCAGACGCTAAGTTGCAAGCGCCGACCTTATATTTTTTCAACCAATGAGGGCCAAGTTATGGTTCCACACTGCCCACGCAGTAAAATAGCACTGCCCACCCAGCATTGGCCATATTAGGTTGATATTAACTGTAAAATATATCACGGGCCCGGCGCGTCAGAAAGCGCGTAGGCTGGAAGGCAGTTTTAATATCACGTGATAGGGGAGCCGCAGTTCTGGTAGGCCTAAATAGCTCTAGACTTTTAGTGTCGTTATGAATTTGTCAAGTGTACTGCGTATATGGTAGCTGTGATCGCCTCTGTATTAGATCGGTCTATCTACTTCGCAGTGATGTGTGTGCTTGTTTCATTCTAGGACATACTCAGTAGGCTATTCTTCTGCCCTGTTCTAATGGTACGTACTCCGTATTAGTCCACATATCTATCGTCGTTCCAGCGTCAGCTCCTTTACCTCTTCATCTAGAGAGATACGCGCATCTTGAGCAATTGGTGGATCGCCTCCGTCTAAGCCCAATGCTGAAACGGTGCAGACTCAAACCCAGAGAAACGCCAAAGATACCTAGGCCGATTCCTTCGACGCCATGCAAGTGGTAACATGTACTACTAATCCCATCCGTGTATGTACAGGGCTGATCCTGCCTGATGCCTCATCGTGAGATATCGTACTCCTCATATAAGCAACCAGCTGGCGAGGTTAAAAGCGAATATTCGTGGCAACATTACAATGAGAATCGAAAAAATCATTCCGGCGTGGCTTTCACCCGGATTCTTCATCACTCGTAGCCTCGATATTGGCCTTCTGGGACGACTTCTTGGCCTTGGCAACCTTCAACTCTTCGCCTGCATCGAGATCATCGACTTCGTGGCCTTCCTTCCGCAGTTCGGCATTGATTCCAGGGACTGCCTTGAGAAAGGCCTTGTATTGGTCAACCGAAAGCGAGATGCCCTGTGATTGTTAGTATGGCCGTATCAAGGTCGGCACTGTCCATGCCAATGAGCACTGCATGAATACCTTCTTGCCCGGCTTCAGCTCGCCGTCTGCATCGTAGTACTCTCTGATGTTGATGAGGAGCATCTTGTTAAACTTGGAGGCGGTAACACGACGTTTCGCGGAGAGCTGCAAATGAGGCTGATCAGCAACACAATAATATGTGCGCCAGACAAGCAGACAGGCTGCTACGAACCTCCCAAAATGGGTTGCCCTCCGCATCCTTGCTCTTCGTTCCAGCGGCGCTGGGAGTGGAGGTCGAAGCCTTGGCCTTTTTTGACGGTTTAACCACCTGCTCTTGCCCGGAGTCTTCGTCCTCAAGTTCTCGCTTCTTCGCGTATTTCGCCATTGTCCAAGGACCCCGATCGGGGCTTCTGCAGAGGTCCAGATGTGGTAGAGAGTAGAAGTCGGGATAATACTGTTGGGGGAGTTGTCACACGGGCAGCTGTGCGATGATTCAGTAGTTCGATTGACCGGCTGCTCCTTCTCATTTTGGCTCGACGCGGGTCGAACGCGACTTTAGAGGTGTGACGTCGGGATGGCGGTGGCGCACGCCAGACCCTTGTCGTGCACGGATCATTCCTTACAGGGGCTGTCAGCACGACCCCTGACATAAGCTTCAAGATGGTTAGAGGTCTCTGAAATAGTAGAAGGTTTCGTCGATCCGGGGCATTTGTTGAAACAAAAGAACACTTATACTCCTTCCTTGCTAATTCTTCTACACGGCATAGTCCCGAATACCAAGTCCAAATTCATCCCACAATTTTGCGCTTTCCCCACCGAGAAATGAGAGACGCGAATCCATGACCCCTGATATCACGAACGCTCCATCCTCGATGAACACGGTGCAAGATGCGCAACGCCCGGGCACCACGCCCGACGAGATACAAGACAATGGCAGGCTGGAACCCGCTGTAGCCAGCACAGATTCTGGAACAGACGGCGAAAAGGGCAGCCTGGTGCAAGAACGCCCGCCCTCGGAGGGCTCGGCGACGGCGGAAGATGCTACGACAAAGATATTTCGGTTCCTCGCGACTGCCACGCCGGGGACCCTCGGCGCAGTCGCAGTCGGCCTCGCTGCGGTCACATACCTAATGCTTGGGCGGATTGGGCTGCTCTTGGTTGGCGCATTCGGCGGGGTCGTGGCGCTCATACAGTGGGAGGGACGGAACCCCGAGGTGTCGCGTGCCATCAGAGGCGAGAGAGGCATCGATGTCGTGGAGAGGCTATTAGGAGGAACAAGGGACGACAAGATGCGAGCTGGCCAGGAGCGGGATCCCGATGAGGAAGAGCGCGCATTGGCCCGCGGCTTGGATGGTTTGCGGCCAGAGACACGCGAGGCATTGACCGAGTTGATTGATGCGATCATCAGGGACTACGTGAGGTGGTGGTATAGCCCCATCATGCCATCGGACAAGTTCTTCCCTCTTTCCTGCCGGAAAATCCTTACGTCCTTCCTAGTCTCCGTCTCAACTCACCTGGCAAGGAAACGACCAGCCGATGCTTTTCTCGATTTCCTGACCAACTCATCGTCCATCGTTATCGTCTTCTTCTCCGAGCTCTCTGCCGCCTTCGCCGACCTACCAGCCGATTCGAAGGTCTCCACCCCCGACATTGTCTACAAGTACCTCGAGGCTAACCCGGATTCGAACCTGTCCAATCTCCTCAACAACAGACAGCAGGCGGGGAAGCTGAGAATGGTGGCCGAGGACTTGCTGGCTTTCCTAGACCGCTCTACATACGAATGCGACCCTGCCAGAGTCTTTCTCAGGGAGATCCTAGCCGGCGTTATCCTAGAGACGTCGCTCCAGACCTGCTCCAAGCCGGAGTGGATCAATGGCTGGATAGTGTATCTGCTGGAGGCCGGTGAGCCGGATTTCAATCAGGCCATTGATGTTGGGATGCAGACAGGCCCCAGCCTGGACCATGCCTATGTCGACATTGATGGCAACGTGGGTAATATCGGCTTGTCCAAAGGGAATCGAAACTCGTTCGACGCCGAGAAATCACGGCGCAAAGAATCGATAGCGCATAGGAAGAAACTCAGCAAGGCCGACGAAGAGATGGAACTGGCGATGGAGGAAATGAAGCGCATGAATCAGATGATTGTGGAAGAAGAGGCTCGAAGGGCCACACAGCCAAATGACAATGCAACTCCAGCACCCTTGACTCTGAATGGGGCTGCGGCCCCCAAGGAGGAAGTTGTTTCTGCCAAGGATGCTTCAGACAGGCTGACAGACGCACTCAAACGGAACGCCAATGATTTGGATATGCAAGAGAAGGATGTTGAGAGACTAACAGCTGAGAGCGTGCAACAGCCTCTCGATTATACGGCAAAGTCGTCCCCGACCTCAGGGGAAACCGCACATACGCCAATCACCCCAGTCTCGAACACGGACTTGTCAAGTCAAGGTTCATCACCCAAGCAGAGTATCGGGTCGCGATTCACTAGCTTCGACCAGATCCTTCCTCCAGGAAGGGAGGAGCTCGAGGCTGACGGGGAAGAGCCTCACAAGCCGCCGCCGCTCACCTTGCACAATGCCACCATAACGGTCCTCGACGAGGCCGGCGACAAAGGACGCATACGCACGAAACCCTCGTGGGACTATCTCATCCAAATCGAACCCGCGACCACACACTATCCCGGGTGGATGATGGTGAGGAAATACAGCGATTTCGAACCCCTGCATGAGATCCTACGGCGGATCGCCACCATCTCCGGTGCAACGGCTTTCACCGAGCAACATAAGGAGCTGCCAATGTGGAAAGTCCACACGAGGAGCTCGCTGCGCGGCGAGCTTGAGCGCTATCTCCGGGAGGCCTGTTGGAACCAGAGCCTGGCCGAATGTGAGGGAATGAAGAAGTTCCTTGAAAAGGACCAGCGATACCAGAACAATTCGAGGTCGGGCCTTCAGGCGTTTGAAAAGCTCGGGAAGAACGTCTTCGATGTTCTCACCAGTGCCCCGGTAGAGGGCTCGAGGGCTGTCGTTGGCGGAGTTACAGGAGTGTTAGGCAACATTGGCCTCGGCCAGAGGAAGCAAACGAGCTCATCTTTACAGGACGTCACGGCAGCCAGCAGGCTTTCCATCTCTACGCCCCCTAGAGTGGACAGCGGCTTGTTCCTCAACGGAGCACGCAAGAGGGACAGCTTGGATAGCCAGAGGTCGTCAGTGGTCTCTACGCAACCACCCAAGATGCCACCCATGGAGCGACGACCGAGCTACATTTCACTAGGCGAGGCTGAAACTGACAACCTCCGAGCATCTCGAAGCGAGCGTGGGGAAAGATCCCCTGTGAGTGGGATGAATAGTCGAGACAATAGTCGTGCTTCGAGCTTAGCACCACTCCGCTCTCCATCATCAGCCAGCTTGGACGGGGTGAGGCTACCGCCACCACCCGATTCAATCCCGGACGATTACGATTCATACTTGGGTCCCAAAGCTAGGCAGCAAGAAGGTTTCCGTCCATCTCCAGTGTTATCGCATCAACGGACTCAAACGATGCCAAATCTGGCGCAAAAGCCAACCGCTATCCCTCCTCCCCGGCCCGCCAAACAATATTCCCAGTTGTCGGAGCAGGAAACACGCGTAGCGGTCGAGCTCCTCTTCGCCGTGATAAACGAGCTCTACACCCTCTCGTCGGCGTGGAACATCCGGCGGACCCTGCTGGCGGCAGCCAAGTCCTTCCTCCTCCGGCCGGGGAACCCGTCGCTGGTCTCGATCCGGTCCATGATCCAGTCGTCCGTCATCGACGCCAACGCGTCGGACGCCGGCATCGCGGCCCACCTGAGGAAGCTGCGGGAGAACACCCTGCCGACCGACGACGAGCGCGCAGGGTGGCCGGCCGACATGTCGGCCGAGGAGAAGGACAAGCTCCGCGTCAGGGCGCGCAAGCTCCTGATCGAGAGCGGCGTCCCCGACGCGCTGAGCGGGGTCATGGGCCAGTCGGCCACCAGCGACGCCCTGGGGAGGATATTCGATTGCCTCCAGATCGACGAGGTGGCGCGAGGTTTGATGTTTGGGCTCATGTTACAGGCGGTGAGGACCGTCACGCACTGAGTAAGGTTACGACTTCGGTAGATTTATGATGTTTCTCACACGGGCGTTTGATAAGGCCGCCACCCTGTCGACGGCCTTTTCCTTTCTTCTTTTCTTTTGGGAGGCATGTATCTCTAGAGGAGCTGCACCTCGGTAGGGCAGTAGCGTGGAAAGGGAGTAGGTACGCCTACGTCGCATGCTCAAGCTCTGAGACGCGCGGTTCCACTGTACAATTAGATAGTCGGCGTAATGTAAGATAAGACTAGCTCTGGGTTTGTCGAGATGTTAATTTTCTGGTAGCCACTCTTTCTAGTAATCTTTGATCCAAACTCTGTTTCCCGTATGCCTTGCCCTTACTTCCATGCGTCGGATGGAAGGTTACATGTTGAATAGGTAGGTACCCCGTGTACCTGCCACCTTCGCTACCTCTTCCATTGTATCCCTCTCTATTATATCATCCCGCCATTTGTCTTCGCTTCTACGACTGCGTTCCATGACACAATGGTCCGGCAGGCATCCTCAAGGTTCGCAAGGTGTACAGGAGTTTGCCAGAACGCCAACAGAGTATCGATTCTTCGCGGCGACTGCCTTGTGCGCGACCGCCATCGCTGCATAATAAGGCGTCGATTCGATCAGCAAGAAGCATAGCAACTAGACTTGAACGATTTAAGAATCCAACTCAGACCTTCATTAAAAGGTTCTGAGGGCCCAAGCAGGGGCCTGAATTGAAAGATTTCAACCATACAGCTAGAGCTGAACAATTCCGAACAGTTAAAGATCAATGCAGGTAATTAGAAGTCACTGCCCAGGGGTGTGGGGCATGGTGGTTGGGTCTGAATGTTAAGGTAGTTTAGACTTTAGAGACAGTGTCCGCGCCCCCCCCCCCGAGCTGCATGCTTTTTGACAAAGGTTCTAGGTTAGTTGTTCATGGATGGTTTCGAGCCTTTTCTGCCGCATACCTCGATAGTTACTCGGAGGAAACTCGAATAGAATAACGTCGAATTTTCAGTACTGGAACCTCATCCAAAGCCAAAGAGCAGCGGCGAGGCCATCTCCGAGAGCGTCCGGCTTCCATCCACCACAAAACAGAGTTTGGAGAGAGTGAATCGCAAAATTACTTTTGCTCAGGGCAATATCCAGTAATCAACAGTTCGGAGATGGCCTGAAAAGGTTGCATACATAAAGAGGCAGACGCCCCTCCATCCCCCTTCGTATTCTCCTCCAAACCACTCACCAAAGCTACACACTTGTTCTCATCGATCAACAAGAGCATTCGAACACTCCGGCATACTCGTCCAGCATACTCACTCACACCAAACAAGCAAATCCCCAAGATCGACCACCTTCAGACAAGTCAAGCCCACAACAAAAGTCACAATGCACACCCCCTTCAAGCTCGTCCTCGCAGCCCTCGCAGCCAGCGCATCATCAGCAATGTTCCTGCCCCCGCAGCTCTCCGCAACCATCATCTCCCCCTCGGACAACATCAGCACCCGCTGGCCCATCAACACGACCTGGCCCGGCGGCATGCCCTGGAGCTTCGAGTTCCACGAGCCCGGCCCGCCCTTCGGCGTCCCCATCTCCATCCCGGCCTTCATCCCCGCCGGGCCCGTCACCCCGCCCGCGACCCCGCGCCCGGCCCCCACCTCCTCGTACACCTTCGCCCGGCCCTTCGGCTGGACTGCCCGCCACCGCGCCGGCGGCGGCACCACAACCACCCTCGCGACCGCCGTCGTCGCCGTCCGCGGAGACGCCAGGTCGCCGCCGCCAACGGAGGCCGCGCATCTGCCCCCCCTGCCGCGGGCGAGAGGTCGTGCTCGGCGTGAGCGACGGGCGCGGGTGCTGTGGAACGCTTGAGGAGAGGGAGGGAGCTTCACCTGGTGAAGAATGGGGGTGTAGGGGAGATGGGATCTGATGGGGTTCAGATGGGTAATGGGTGGTCATAACTGTTACATTGTTTCGCTGTGTCTGGAGTCATTGTGTCAGGCTTTATGGTGTGGTGGGCATTGGAGTCATCGCCTTTTGTTCGAGAAGCATTCGAAAGGTTACGAAAAATGTAAAACGGACATGATAAAAAAACACTTGTGCAGACTGGAGTTGGGAGAAGGGGAGATAATAGGGATAGGGAAGGGCAAGGGAGGCTGAGATGCCATCATGCTAGCATTGCTAGATTTATATATGCTTTGATTGAATAAAATGATAATCCCATGATTATTCCGTCCGTTCTCTCAATACAATACTAATCTGTTGCTGTTGTTGATGTTTTCGAGAGTCTTCAATGTCGTTCAAAAGCCGATGATGGTGTCGTAAGTGGCGGCGCCTCAATCGCGGGTGGCTGCCGCCAAGAGCGGTAGTGCGGGCAGATACTAGTCTTGTTTCGGCAGTCGGAGTGGGTCACCCCAGGTCAAGATCAGGGAACGACGATGAACGAACGATCGTCTGTACGCAATGTCAAATATATGGCTACATAAATTACCTACATCCTATTTGCTTCATCTCTTGTAGGTCTAAGGAATGTGGGACAGACTGGGCGATTACAGCCCAGTTGTATTATTCCATGTGTGCTGTACATACACAACGCCACCTAATTCAAGCTTCACAGCTCCCTACCAGGCGTGCTACCGAAGAGTTGCTCCTCACTCCTCGCTCCTCACACCCCTCCACCACTCGGCAAAAAGCCAACCCATGTCAGGACCTCATCCGTAGCCAATGGGCACGTTGTGCGGTATGTCATGGACCCTAGGACCACCATCGGACCGTTCATGTCGATCCAGCGGAATTAAGGAATATACATGCCGTAGCTTGGTCCCCCTCGGCGGAATGACGGCCGGCTGCAGAACCCTTCCATTGTTCCATTGCACAATGACCTGCCTTCAACCCTTGAACGGCTGGCTCTGGGCCAATGAGCTTGTAGGGGAGGGTGTCATCACCACCATCCCACAAAGTACAGCCATACCCCAGCTCAGGTAGCTTCCCCTCACACACAAACGGTCGATCATTTGGGGACCGTTGAGGGGAAGCAAGCTTTAATGATGGACATAACAAGGGACGGGAGGCGAGGCAGGGACACAATGGAGGGTAGCCGGTAGTATTTAATTACCCAATAAACCCCCGAGCTCTACCTAGTTTTGCGTTCCCGGACTTCGCTACCGACCTTTGGCCTCGAACGTTTTTGTTGCCGCCCAGTCCAGTGTCGAAACAAGCACCGCATCGCACCCGGCGACCACTAGCAATGGGTGACTCTTTAGAGAAGGGCGATCAGATCGCCGAGCTCGACAAGTCCTCCTCGGCCAAGACCGACGCCGAGGTCCCGTCCGAGAAGCAGACGTCAGTGCGAGTGCCATCGCGACTGCAGCCCCCGGCCTTCCTGGCCAACATGTCGAAGGAGGAGCGCCTGGCGCTGGAGACCAAGTTGAAGCGCAAGATAGATCTCAGGCTCATGCCCGCCATCATCGTCATGTATATCCTGAACTATATTGATCGGTAAGCCGACACTCCTCCACGCCCCGAGACATCTAGGCTTCATGAAAACGGTGAGCGGGGGCCCGATTTGGCTAATGTGATACCAGCAACAACATCGCCGCGGCGCGACTTGCCGGTTTGGAGCGGGATCTGAATCTTTCATCGGTTGAGTTCGAGACCGCAGTGAGCATCCTCTTCGTCGGGTAGGTTTTCTTGCTATGTTCCACTGCCAGGATTCGACACCATCTAACTGGGCGGGGGCACCCCATTCAGATACCTGCTGATGCAGATACCCTCGAACTTGTTCCTGAACAAGATAGGGAAGCCGGCCATCTATCTCCCTACATGTGTATGTCAAAGACACCTCGAACCCTGTATGTATGCTGCACATTAGCTCCCGGCCTAACTGCCTGGTCCATAGATGGTCGTCTGGGGAGTCATCTCGACGGCGACGGCGGCATGTACCAACGCTTCTGGGCTACTAGCCGTGCGATTCTTCCTGGGTTTCGTCGAAGCCGCATATTTGTGAGCAGATGCATCAGTTGGACGGTCGTGTTGGCAGAAACTGATTGCTACAGCCCTGGGTGTCTTTACTACCTGTCTTGCTGGTATACGAGAAGTAAGTGACAGTGCTGGAGCTTGTCATAACACAACTCCGATGCCTCGAAACTGACGCAAAAATATTGAACAGCCGAGCTGGGGCTCAGAACAGCCATCTTGTATTCCGGGGCTCTGATCTCGGGGGCATTCTCGGGCTTAATCTCCGCCGGCGTCACCTACGGGATGGATGGCACGAGAGGATTAGGGGCCTGGCAGTGGCTCTTCATCATCGAGGGCGTGGTGACCATCTTCGTCGCCCTGATTTCTTACTTCATCCTGCCGAACTTCCCTCGCACGACATCCTGGCTGACCGAGGAGGAGCGGCAGCTTGCGGCATGGCGGCTCGAGGAGGACATTGGCGAAGACGATTGGATTGACAGAGAGCACCAAACGTTCTGGCAAGGGGCGAGGATGGCTTTCTGCGACCTAAAAACCTATGTTCTGGTATGTCGATCCCTGGGGAAGCAGCGTAGTCCTCCGGGGCAGACACTGACCAACGATTAGATGGTGCTCCTATTTGGCATCGTGGCCAGTGGCAGTGTCACCAACTTCTTCCCGACCGTGGTCAACACATTGGGCTACAGCAAGGTCATATCGCTGCTCCTTACCTCTCCCCCTTACGTCCTTGCCGTCATCGCGACATACATCAACGCCACGCACGCGGATAGGACGGGAGAGCGGTACTGGCACATTACTCTGCCGCTGTGGGTTTCTGTCGTGGCATTCATCATCGCCGCCACCACGAGCCAAGTCGGGCCTCGATACTTCAGCATGATGATAATGGTAAGGGATTCCCATCCCAGGATCCTTTCAGTCCCCACAAACCCCAGAAGTGATGCTGAGAACAACACCCTCCAATGCAGGTCCCAGCCGTCTACACGGGCTACGTCGTCGCCCTCGCCTGGATCAGCAACACGCTTCCCCGGCCGCCTGCCAAGCGGGCCGCGGCGCTCGCCTTCATCAACGCCGTCAGCAACTGCAGCAGCATCTACGCCAGCTACATGTACCCCAAGAGCGCGGGGCCCCAGTACGCCGTGGCCTTCTCGGTCAGCTGCTGCACGTCCTTCATCGCCATCTGCGCGGCGACGGTGCTCCGCATCATCCTGGTGCGGCTCAACAAGAGGCTCGACGCCGGCGTCTTCGTTGAGGGCGCCATCAACGCCCTGCCGGGCGAGGCTGCGTCGCACGGGTTCAGGTTCAAGGTGTAGGACTGCCTCGGCACTCGTGGAGTGCATTGAACATGATGGAAAGGGGGCGACGCAATCCTTTGCATTTCATCCCAGTTAACGGTTATAATTGCCGTCAAATTTCTCCTCTCGGAGCATCTCAGAGCGACAGATAGGTGGTAGTGTACTTCCTATCTATTGAGGACGGAGCGCAAACTCAAGAATACACGTATATCTAATGAAAATTGTCGGCACTGATATAAAAGAACCAACCGTTCGGTGTCATCTCTCCCGCAAGTATCTCGAATCCCCTTTGTTATGGTTGGCAAGTAGTGTAGGCCGATTATAGAGCTGCACACGGCGCGCTCTGTGTGCTGGTCAACCTCGTCTGCCTGGGCTGTCGATGTCGACCGGTCCCCCCTTCGTCCCCCGTTCGTGTCCGTCATTTTCTTGTTCCCCGCCGTCTTGGCGGATAACATGAGTTACCCAGTTCGAAAATTATGTTTCTCTTTCCTTTTTTTCGCTGTGCAATATCTGCTAACGGGTGATGGTTTGTCGTCAAAATAAGCCCGCTGCGGGAAATCATCTCTTTGGCATCCGGGCCGTCCTTGCTTCCACTCGGTCCAATCTGGGCATCCCGGCAACCACATGCAAACATAAGATTACCTATAGCTGTATGCAGAAACCGAAGTGCTGAACCCCCAACTCCGTCATAGATGAACTGTGCCGCCGTCATCCTCGTCGCGCCGCTCTATTGGTACGTATGCCCACGGCAGCAGCCACTACATTTACATCGGCCCGCAGCCCACCGCCCCCATCAGAGCGTGATCAAAGTCGTTGCCCTTCAGCGTGGGTTGCCGCCGATGCGATGATACTCCCCAGTGCCAGTCGGGGGCTAGCCATGGCATGCACACCGACACCCCAGTGGCTGAAGGATGAAAAGAAATAAAATATACGCATGTGATGCTGGCAGTCCCTATCCCAAGCCGTAGGCCAGCCCCTATCTTTCTCTCCCGGTTATCTATTCTCCCGACCACCGGGTGCCGGCTCGGTCACAGGTCTCGCTCCTCGCCCCCCTTCCCTCCTTACCTTTCCCCCCAAACGAGGTCCTATCCCAGGTTGGCTTCTGTCGTAGAAGATACGGCAAGTAGACGCATGTAGTCTCTCGCGTAGCCAGCCAGCCACCAGAACCGGCCGAGTAATCAGCATCATATATCCATTCCCATCAAGAGCCTCAGGCGTTGCGCCTGTCGTCCGCCCTAATGAGCAAGCCGTCTCTCGACCGGGAATGCCTTCACGTCACAGCAAACACAAGCCACACACACAAACGCACACACACAGAAGGTACGAAGGTTGTTCTCACCGGTGACCGCATTTATTAAATGTACTTATTGCCCAATCCACATCTGGCGATGGCGATATCAATCCAGGCTGCCTGTTGCTTAACCTAAGAGACTAGGAACAGAAGAAGAAGAAAAACGCAGAAGAAAACGCCGAAGCAAACAAACATGTCAATGCCGCCAACAATGCAGTATCGCCAACTCCCCTCCTCTCAGTATAACCATGGTCATTTTCATTATCATCATCATCAGACGGAGGGCAAAGCAAGAAGCAGTAAAAAAAAAAAAACCGAAAAACAGCCAATTTGAAAGAATAAGGGAAAAGAAAAACAGAAACAAAAAAGCCAAAGTCTATGAAAACGACGTACGAGAAACAATGCAAAGGTTCATATCCGTCGTGACGAAGTCGAGATGGTGACCTCGACATCTTCTCATCAGATGAAAACCCCACTCCTGCACTTCCCTCTCCCCCTTTTTTCCCACCTTTTTTTTGTTTTACACATTTTTTCTCCTCAGTTTTCCATTTCTCCTCTCCTCAAAACCTCCCTCATCCCATATTACATCGCTTCGCTCGCAGTCCATCCACAACATCACGAATCCTCCGCAGCCGACGACGGGCCATCATCATTGCCATGATCCTCCTCGCTCACCCGACCTCCCGCACTCGCCATCCTGGCAGCAACCTCTCTGGCCCGCCCGACGACGGCTTTCTAGGCGCCGGCCTGGTGCCGCTGGTGGCCCTGCTGGCGCGCGTACCGGTTCGCCTGCCGCGCTCGCGCCGCGAAATGGTAACCCGGCTCGAACGCCTTGCGGTACTCCAGGTACGCCTCGTACTGCTGCTGCTTGATTGGGTCGTGGCCGCGCGGCTTCTTGGTGACGGGGAACACGGCGGGGGCTAGTGGGATGGGTGGGGTGGCGATACCCATGGGTGCGGGGGCCGGGAACATCGGAGGTTGCATCATGGGAGGCGCAGGGCCCATGGCCGCGGGGGGGTAGTGTGGGACGACTGGGGGAAGCTGGGGGGCCATGTTGAAGCCCAAAGGAGGCGCGATGGGCATGTTGGGCTTGTTGAATCCTGGAGGAGGGCCGATGGGGAGTGCCTGGGGCTGCGGCATGAAGGGCATAGGAGGGCATCTCCGAGGGTTGGCGTTGAAAGGATTGCCGTTGAACATGGGCGGGGAGGCGATAGGTCCCATTGGGCCAGGAGGAAACATGCCGAAGTTGTTGAATGGCATTGGCGGAGCTACCGGGGCGTGGAAGTTGTTCATGTGCGCCACGGGTGGTGAAGGAGCCATGGGAGGCATCATGGGACCCAGGCCGGGAGGAGGGACAAGGCCGGGAGGAGGAGCAAGGGCAAAGTGGCCAGGGCCGTTGGTGGGGCCACAGTTGCTGAAGGGCGGAGAGAGCTCAGGGACGGGGCCAAAGGAAGGGGGAGGGACACAAGGGTCGAACTTGTCCATGCCGAGGCGCGCGAGGCCAGCCTTGTCCACCGTCTTGAACTCGGCGGCCAAGGGGTTAAGTTTCTTCGAAGGGCTCTCGCTCGCGATGCCCGAGTCGCGCTTCGAGTTGGGCGATTTCTCATCCCCAGAGCTGTCGTGCCTCTTGTGCGTGCCTTCAGTAGAGACATATCCCGAATCTCCCGAGACCCTGGCGCCGATGGCGTGCTGCCATCCAACCTGCTGTTGGTACATGGCGTCAACCTCCTCACCGTTTTCGGCAACATTAGAGGCAAGGTCGGAGTCCTTGGCTCGGATGGCGATGATGGCCGGGTCGTTGGCCAAGAGGGTGGTGACCGGGCTCTTGTCCTCGTTGTGGCCCTTGGTGAGATCGGAAGAGGTGGCCGAGGCGAGTTGGTTCAGTCGTTCCAGCATCAGTCTAAATCGATCCCTAGCGGCTTGGTCGACCTTGCGGGCACGATGGGGGGATTCTGCCTCGACTCCGCCGATTCGGTCGATAGCCGGATCTTCCTCCATAAGGGCGGCCGCATGCTTCTCCTTGATCATTCGATCGTATCGAGTGCCGGCATTCTTGGCCAGATACTCCGGGGAAGTGCTGATGGAGCGGCGGATGTCTCGGATGTTAAGGACACGACGAGTGTCCTCGATGTCCGTGTCCTGGGACGAGCGGCGGAGGCGGTGCGGGTTCTTCGCGACCTTCAACTCGCCGAGCGAGAGCGGGGACGAGGAGCCCGAGGAGATGTAGGCCCTCTCGATGGGCGTGACATCCAGAGCAAAGGCGGTGGGCAGAGTGATCTCGCGGCCATCGTGATCAACGACGACAATGGGGCTGAGGCCATTGACCCTGATCTGGGTGATGTCGGTGGTCTCCTCCGTGGAGAACTCGGTCTTGGCAGGAGGAGCGGAGCTGACAGCACCCCAAGGAGTCATATCCTTGTTAGGGCGGCGATAATCAATGGAAGAGACGGGCACACCAGTCTCGATGACGAGAGCATTGTCGGAAAGCTTGGCCGCCTCGTGGGCGGGGACGATGGTATTGTGGGTGTCGTCGCCCAGGACAGAGACAGAAGAGGCATCCTTGCGCCAATCAGTGCTCACCATGGCATGTTTTCCCTTGGTCTTGGTCCCGACAGACTTCTCCTACAAGTTTGTCGTGGTGAGCGGACTAGGGAAAACAGGGGCCATGTGGCGATCAACACCGTTGGCAAGCATCGAAATGTTGACGGCAGGCATCGTTATGGTACTGCGGGACTACCTGTCAGTGACAATTCATACCAAGGCTACAATGGGTATCACGTACGATATCGTTGCTTGTAGTGGCAAGAATAAGTAAGGTTCAGGTGAGGAGTCTCGTAGACCTGGATATGTTGTGGTCAGCAACTACGATGTGAATGCAAAAAGTGGGAGAAAAAGATTTGTCCTCGACAGTCGTGTGGACAAGTGATTGCAATGCAAAATTTGATGCTAAGGGAAGGGAAGTGGCTGCCGCAGGTGAAGAGCGGCGATGGGAGACAAGAAGTGATGATGGGGAAAATGCGATAGTGAAGCCTGAGTGGTTGCAGCGGATAGGAGGGCTTGCAGAGAAGAGAGCGATTGCAGAGATGATGATAATCGTGCAGGAAAGTGTGGTTACAGATGATAGAGAGGTTGCAGAGCAGGAAAGTGATGAAAAAATCTGAGTGGTGATGGGTGATAGGTGGTGGGTGGTGGGTGGTGTGTTTTCGGGGGAAAGGGGTTGGCTTCCCAAGGGCAGGGCAGTCAGGGACGGTGAGGAGTTTTTATTTTTTTGTGGGCGAACAAAATAGATATATGTACTCACCAGTTCAGAGATTCGTTGGAAGAATGGTAGTCCGGTCTTTCTAAGGGGTTAAGACCTGGGGTGTCGTGAAGCTGAGCTGGATCTGATATTGATCGAGGTGATACCTAGTGGTAGTCAGTCAAGGCAAAAAAGGTATGCAAAATTTTGCATTGATAGACAAAACTCACAGGAAAAGAGGTCCGGTAGGTATGGTTGAAGAAGGCGAGAGCTTGAGGTATCAGAGCTAGATATTGATTCTTTGTGTGCGGGTTCTAAGTGTGAAGAGGTGATCAGTCGTGATAGTTCGCCCGCAAGTAAAAGGGGATGAGGGGGAAAAGGGGAGCACTTACACTTTGAAGATCGCACGCAAACGGTAGTCTGATAGCTGCGGAGCAGTAACGGAGATAATTCTTGCTGGAATCTCGTATTGTTCTGTGGTACTTGGTGTCAGGGTTGAAGAAATGAAACTCGGAAGAAGGTTGGGGGTCGGGTGTTCGTTCAGGAGGGAAGGATGGTTGATATTTTTTGTGGGTGAAGTTGGCCAATGCTTTCGCCTAGGAGAGATGTGGGCAGTGGGGGATATGTGATTCCTCGAGTAGTAGGAACAGATTCGGAGTGCAGTATGATGAGGGTAGGAGAATCTAGAGAACTGTCATGCCCGGGGGAGAGGAGGAGTACCGATTACCGATCCGTAGAAACGCACCGTTAATATCAAGAGGCAGTATGCTCGGAACCTGGGGCAGAGGGCATCAGTATCTGGCAGCATATGTGTGTTCTTCATCTCAAACGGTTTGCCCAGTTTGAAGGAGGCGATTGAGGCTGAGACAGTCGTCAGGGGCTTACTCACTTATTTTATCTCTCGCACTCTCAAAGCTTTCGTAGCACAAGGGAGTTGTTCTTGACACTTCAGACTGCAAGATTCGTTGTTTGGTGATGTTGAGAAATCAAGCAGACACTTGAAAAGATGAGTGGGTGGTCAGGTGTGGTTGTGGTTTGCTTGGTGACAGGGGGTGGCAAGGCTGACGGATATCGGGTCAAATCGAGGGAGGGATCCGGTTCACACAACGCACATCAGGGTGGTAGAACTTGTCCTCAGAAAAAATTGTCGCTCCAAAACATCGCTTTGTGTGCCTCTAGGTAGAAGAGATGCCGTAAAGCTGCGAGAACAATAGAGACAATAGCCAAAAAGGGTGGGCATAGGATCTGACTCCCACTTGCGCTTCGATGATGCAGAAAGAGGAGATCCAAGATCACGATGGACGCGCCGGGGTTTTGGAGTATTTCAAAATAACAAGATGCGACGCGCCTCGTGTTTGGGAAGGAGAGTTCCAATGATCACCATGGCAGGAGCGTTCACAAAATCACGCCAATCCTGCCAACTTGGTTCCCTGCTCCTCCCTTCCCCACCTAGGATTTTGACAAGCTGCCATCGTCCTTGCCATTGCACCTCCATATCCCTTCCTCCTCTTTACCATCAGTCGAGGAACCTTGGACCCCAACTGCCCTCAATCTCAAGACCAGGCAGGCACAGAAAAAACACCAAGGCTGAGCAACACCCTCCCATTAATAACGTAGCAGGACAACGACAACCTCATCGTCGCAGGCTTCGACTATCCTTGATATATGGGTGGCAATTCAACTGACTGACTTTGCAGAGGAATCAATCAGCGGTCACGGTCATAGCAATGTCATTGCCGTGTCTGCCCCGATCACAAACCTAGGCCTCCTTCGACGAGCTCAGAAACTCGGAGAGCATCTCAACAAGGCCTTGCTTCTGCATCTCAGAGACTTCTCCGAATCTGCTCCTGGCCGACTGGAGCCGCTCATCAGTAAGACGAAACTCGACCGGCAACGCAGCCCAATACGATCCCTCGATATCGCAGTCCACAATTTGCTGAATCACAGCGCGGGCACATAGCGCGGCGGCAGGCATGCCGTGGCCGGTATACCCACCGCAGATCCACAGCCCGCCCTGAGCGCCACCCCCACCGAGGCTCTCCGGCACCGCGCCGACCCAGGGGCTGTGGTCTCGGCTATAGCCCATGATGCCCGTCCACTCGAAACTAGCTTCCAGGAGCTTGTCCTCGTCCCCGTGAGGCCCAGAGTGGTCCGTGGCAGGGTGTCCCGGAGCCAGATCCAGGGGTGGCGACAGCTGCCCACGAAGCCACCTGGAAACGGGCTCTTCGATGTCATCGTCCCGCCATTCCCCGACCGCGAGGCCCTTCGCGCACTGTCTTCCCCCACCGAAGATGAGCTCTCCGGCGGGGATCGGCCGCTGGACTAAATAATCATCCCTGTTCGAGGCAGACTTTGGCTGGTTCCCGACGAATACATACGAGTGGTCCAGCTTCGCCGGCGCTCCTTCTTTTTCTCCTCCTGGGCCCTTCGGTGGTATCAGTGCCGCGATCTGCCCCCTCGTGGGTACGATAAGGTCGGTGAAAGCCGGCAGTAGCCGTGACGTATAAGCGTTTGTGCAGAGGAGGACCGTCTGCGCGGTAATACGGCCACGCGGCGTGGTTAAGATCCACCCATGGCTGTCCGGGCTGTCTGTGGATGATCCCGACTCTTGCCTCTGTAGCCGGGTGACAGGCGTGTTCGTCTGCAGATTGAACCCCTCCGCCGGGAACTTGTCGAGGAGTTGCTCCAGGACCCAGGCCACCAGCTTGTACGGCCAGAGGGCTGCCGCGTTCTTCTGCACAATGGCGCCCTTGGCGTTGGGTACGCGGAGCGATGCGAGCGTCGCCCCCTCCCCTCCACTTCCCGAGTCAGACGGCCTGACAACCTCGACCTGAGCTGCGAGCTCTGGGTGCCGTTTCTCAAGGTTCTCAACGGCCGCAGTCGCAAGCTCGAAGATATCTTCAGTCAGAAAGGTGTGCACTCCTGTGAGGGTGACCCAGTCACAGGGAATATTGTTCTCCTGCACAAAGTTCTTGAGGAAGAGGTACGTCTCCAGCTCAAACGCCGCCACAGCAGGGGCCGAGGCATATACAATGGGTTGGCAGTGACCACCGTTCTGTTCTCTCGGTTAGTTCCACCGACGAGCACCACATTGATTGCGGCTTGCATGGCCACGTACTCGTCCTGTTGCGCCCCAGCAGGCCTCCCTCGCCTCAAGCATGACGACCTTCGAGCCGCTAGCCTTTCCATGCTTGAGGAAATGGGCGGCAAATGCACCCGTGATTCCACTTCCGACAACGACGATGTCTGCAGTCTCCGGCAGGTCTGCCGTGGTCCGGTGGCCGAGTAATTTCTCCGAAGGTTCCTTATGCCAGTACGACTTGGTAGAATTGGGGACAGGCAGGCCAGACTGGCCGTCAATCACTTGTCGTATTGTCATTCTTGGCGTTCATTGGATTCACAGGTATTTGGCACACTGATAAGTTAAGGTGGAAGGGAAGGCGGGGTGGGAGTGAATCATGGGAGCTCTTTAACACAATCAACTTAGGTAGGTAGGTGGAGGATTCAGGTGGATAGTGATTCCTCATCTGGATCTGTGGCTACAGAAATGAAGACTGCCCACTTAAGGCACGCAAGATTTATACAGGATACAAAATGTAGGTACCAGGCGGGGTTGGATGCTGATGGAGGATGGATGAAGGAGGAAGGAGCAGATTGTACCTCCGTAAAATGAGGGGCCAACTCCACTCTGTTGCTTGCACATGCGTCACAGTAGGGCTGAGGTTGAGAGAGAAAACGCCTCACAAGCAGTGCAGAGGCAGCAAAGAGGCAGCGTAGGTAACCAGTGAGCCATTCCCTAGGAAACAATGATAATATATCTTGATGATTGCTATGTGGTCGAGAGCCGTTTCCATCAATGCAATGACCGAAACTCCACACCCTGTGCCGTGTCATTCACTTCTTTTTATAGGGAGTCAATTTTAGAACACAACTTTTCCCGTCTAAGCCCTCATCTTCCTCCGCTTGCCGACCTGGGCAGAGAAACCAGTCTTGATAGCCGTGACGGAACGACGAGAGCCACACGAGTTGCATGTAATGAAGTACAGACGATTCTCTCCCTTGTTTAGCTCCGTATCCGGAGACCGGCACGTCTTGCACGTGACGTATTCAACTGGCAGAGGAGTCAGCAGACTGGACTGACAGTCACCTGGGGAAAGAGGGAGGGGTTCAACTTACTGATGTACTTGCGAAGCACGTTCTCAATCTGCTTGGCCTGGAACCGGCCCTTGATAATCAGCCGCCTGCTACCGTCGACGCTGCCGCTTGTGCCCAGTTCCGCGAACAGGTAGGCAGTGACGTGCTCGTCCGTCCGCTTCATGCGCTTGCAAATCTCGCTGATGTTGGCGAAAACGGTCTTCTTGTTGCCTTCGCGGAGACATTGAGGCGGGGGGATCTTGTAGCTGCGCGAACCGCCCAAGGCATGGTCGGGGTTCTTCTCGGACAGCAGCTGGAAGAACCGCAGGAGCAGTGGGTCGTAGTTGATGGTCGTGGTCTCGGAATGCTCCCAGATACCAGTGCCCTTGTCCATATCGCCGTCCTGCTCCTCTCCCTCCTGGGGACCCTCTTCCTCCTTCTCCCCGAGCTGGAGAGCCTCCAACTTCTTGGCGAACTCGTCCTCACCCTCCTTGGTGGTCTTCTTCTTCTTCTTTTTCTTCAAGGTCAGGTCCAGGCCAGCGTCCTCTCCAGCAGCGGTAGCGTCGTCACCGGCAGCGTCTGGAGCGTCGGCGCCGTCTTCCTCGTCCTCGACCTTCTTGGCCTTCTTCTTCTTCTTCTTCATTAGCGACAGGTCGAGGCCATCGGGTTCGCCGGCGCCTTCTGCAGAGCCGTCAGCAGGTGCCTGAGAGGCATCGGCAAATGCCCCGAGGGCGGCTGACAGCGGCGGCGTACGGGGCGTGTGCGACAGCGCCGTGTCCTTGGTGTCGTCGTTGGGTGAGGTGACCATGGTGACGTTGCCGTGGGCGTCGACTTCCAGGTGCTCGTCGGTGAATGTGACTGATCTGCGGGCCTTCCGCCGTTGGAGTTGTTCCTGAAAAGTTAGCGACGGAGGGCAACTATAACGGGCAATGCTGATTGACGAATTTGATGATCAAGCAAAGCAGAATTCCGATTCCGAAGCTCGAAGGAAAAGGGCGACGAAAGACGGGAAAATAGATAATGAAAGTTGGCAGAAAGAAGTATGAGTCGCCGTCGAATGGTGCGGTGGGGTGGGGCAAAATTGAATAAAGAAAATGGGTTTCCATGTTTGAGCTGGGCAGGCTTTTGCGGGGGGTTAAATCCAGGGTACCTAGATACTTACGTCGGGCGCATCCATACTCTCAACACGAGTTTCCTCCAGTTTCCAGCTGCGCGTGGTTAATGTCGTCCAGCAGGGCGATGTGATGTGGAGATTATGTAGACCTGGCTACCGCTGGCAGATCCGACTTTGGGGGAAAATATAATCGACGAGGAGGCGAGGTTTGTTTGCCTTCTCGGATTGCTGGCTCGCTGGTGTCGGAGAGCCTGAGGTTAATAGGTGACTCTAGCAGTGCGTCGTAGTCACCTGATATCCTAAGCACTCGCTGGCAAAGATGGGCCAGTGGGCAGCCTGCATCCCCAAGGTTTTGTGGGCCACCTATCTGGTGCCCCACGCCGAATCGGCCAAACAGCCATCTCTACAACATGGCATGAACTACGAATAGCGTCCCTGTCCGATACCAAGTCGAGGATAGCTTCCCGGCCCATTCTTCTATTACGTCAATGCTGCGCTCACAACCAAGCCTCACGATCCCGTGCAGCCGGAGGTTCTGACAGTTCGAACTCCCTCAGACCACCAACTCTTCCGTTCAGCTTGGTTGAAGCCGACACCGCTTTCGATCCCCGACCCTCCAACCTACCTGGCCGCCAAAAGTCGCCCTCGAGCCTCGGTGCCGGCCCCGCCATGTCTGCTTCCGAATCATTCGTCATTCCGGACCGCTCGGCGTGTTCGGAGGACAACGATGACGTTGACTCCCTCCCGTCAATTTCCAGCGGTGTGCTCGATTCAGAGGACGACTCGGAGGACGACTCGGACGCGCAACAAGAGTGGGAGGCTAGCCTGGAGCAACTACAGCTTCTCCTAACCATGGTGCTGATACCCTTTGCGGGCAAGTACTTTGGCCGCAAATTCGCCTATTGGAGTGAGCCCCTGCCCATCCTCTTTCCCATCCTCCTCCCCATTCCCCTCCATTGTCACGTCTTGGCTTCCGATCCGAACCAACTGACCTTCCTACAGGCTGGGCGAGATACATGGAATGGATGTACGACGTCGAAGTTAGGTGGACGAGCAAGAAGGCCTTCAACGCGGTAGGAGTTGCGGCGACGTTGTGAGGAAAGCTCATCCTCGGTGCTTCTTGAGAAGCTAGATCTGCACTTGCGAACATACGACCCACACATCTAGACGGTCGACGGAGTCCGAAGGAATACACTGCAATCTCGTCGTTTGAACGGGGGAGGAGCACACTAGGTCGATATCATCGGATAGTCCTGTCGCAACTGGGAAGAATAGGAGGCCAATACGTTACCGCCTGGATACCACCATGAGGTTCATCATCGGCAAATACGCGCGAGGGTTGGGTCCCCTTCCTAGAGAGGTTGTCGGCGTCGGAACGTATATACAAATTCGCATGCCCAGTCAGCCATGAAGTCGATCTTGTACACAAATAGTCCATCCCGAATCAAGGCTATTGGATATTCCTTTACTTGAATTGATTGTGCTATATATCGCAGCTCTAGCCCTAGAGTGGTATACCTGTTCCCTATCCACGGCCCGAGGCTGGATATAATTACTCGGATCATCCAATCCCATCCGTCATATCAACATAGACCATAATTAGACGTACAAAACAGGTTCCCTTTGAACCAAGTTCCAAGTGTGCCTCCAAAACGCCGATTAGCCCCCCAAATCCTATACAGCTTTCTTCCGCATTAGTGCGCCACTCGGCCAGCGACATCCGCTCCCCGCGAATGATCACTCCCGCCCTTATGAGCCGGACAACTAGACGAGAGGCTTGGCAAGACGAAGTGATGAATTGGGCATGTATGCGACAACATGGCAGCCCGTGGGATGGGGATGAACCCGACGCTCCCCGCTCAAACGCGGACCTGCGACATGGTCGGGCGGGAAGACCGCATGCTGCCGCCCATGCGGCGGAAGCCGATGGCGGCGAGGGCCAGGCTCGCGGCGAACGAGGCGAAGAGGAACCACATGAATGCGGTGCTGGCCTGGATCTCGCGGCAGCGCTTCTCCGTGTTGGAGCTGCCGAAGCCGATCCAGCCGGAGCCCTTGTTGTGGAAGTTGCCGCCGCAATTGACGGCGGTCAGCTTGGCGGCGAGGACGACGGCGCTGATGAAGGTGAAGAGGACGGCGAGGCCGTCGAGGACGATCATGGCGACGGGGATGGCGATGGATTCGATGAAGGCGGCCACCAGGCCGTAGAGAAGCGCCAGCCACGAGAGCACGGCGACGAACATGGCGAAGTTGATGCTCGCCATGTGGCCGTTGCGGTTGTTCGCGATGACATTGCCGATGAGCGCGGTGATGAGTAGCGTCCACAGGAACTGCAGGGCCCGGATGAGGATCTGTATAATCTCCATTTTGGCGATTCCGAGATTTCTAACTGCGCGGCTTCGAGAAGCTGTGTGGAATTCCGGCGTCCAAGGTGCCCGAAGCTCTTCAGAGTAGGTAGTAGTTGCTTAACAGCGAGAGTATGTGCCCGGATAGAGTCTCGAGATATTGGTCTCTGTGTTCGCTGGAGAGAAACGGAAAGAGGTTCGAAGTCTGTGGCTGTGCTCTCTGTTGACGGTAAATGTTCGTTGCTGTTGTGTACGTCGAATCTTGAACCGATGTGGGATGTCAACAAGGGATTGCGAATATGTCAATCAAACTGAACGTGGTAGGGGTTTGAGAGACAGAGCAAGTGCAAGGGGATGGAAAATAAAGTCCAGAGGCGGGTAGTGTGAGGGAATATACACTGCAATGCTTGGGCATAGGCGACGTATTATGGCTCAATCATTCGATGATGCTTTCTCTGCCAGGGCGATCGGCAGATAAGGTGGGGCCCGATGACCTCACAGGCTTCCAGGCTCAGAACGTCACGACATTCAGCGCTAAAACAAAATAAAAGAGAAAGAATGGGTCGAGTGCTTGGCTGACCGGAGCCAGCAGAAACAAATGCCAGGCCAATGACTCTAGCTATAAACTTATTACTATCTGACTACGTAGTACCAAACTGTCCCCCTGAGGCGTAACGCCAGGAGTGCCGCAACAAATCGTCAACAAAATCTTCTCTCATCCAACAGCTTAAGTCCAGGGTGGCGATGCGGTTTCCGTGGTGAAGAGCCGGCAGGCCGCGGGACGATACCCTGCATTGCCTGCACAGACGTCAGTATATCCTCACCTACAATTGGTCCTCATGCAACCGTTGGCGGGGAGCCGGGGTAGCACACACCTCCATTTTGGGTCACCTGCCGGGGCAGCGCAGATCTGCACTATGATTCGCCCGCATCAACACCCTCGGCCTTCGATCCTTGGGAAGCCACGACCTTCTACCGTCCAGTCCAAGCCTTCGCGCCTGTTGACACGAAACACCCTGCAAGTTGCGGCGGAAGAGAGGCTCAAGTGCGTCAAGATACCAGGCAGGGTGACAACTACAGGCCACAAATGTCCACAGCTGGGACGCTAATACACCACTTTAGATTGTCTCCCTTGACTCCACCGCCGCCGAGAGGCCCCGCCGTGGCTGCGACTGTTCCGGGAGGCCCGGAGGCAAGTGCACTCACTACATAATTTACCTACTATGTAGTATGCGTATAGCGTAATGCCATTTCTCCCTTTTGCGTCTAATCTGTACGCACTGCTCCTGGTGTACTCGAAGCAGATCTGTGGAGCCCCTGTTTTTAAGCACATCCCCAGATTCCTTCCTATCCTAGTGTAGATCTCGTGACTCCCTGTCGTTGAACACCCAAGTCCCAAATCACCTGATGTCATCGAGACGCAGTTATGCGTCCTTAATGACCCTAACTACCCCGTTAGTGATAATATACGCGTAGAGCTTCTCGGTAGGGGGTCTTCACATGATTTTCTTTCGGACTGTCGCAGCCGAGCCAAGCCATCAACACCCCCAATATTCGCCAAGACATTCACACGCAACGACCAAGGAAGAAGCCCCGGCGAGCTATCCCAGGGTCGCAGCACCGTGCCAGTGGGACACACATCATGGGCCTAGGTCACCTAAACAAGGGTTCAGTGGCAAGAGTAATTGTCCAGATAGAAGCACAAGGAGTCTCACTTCAGATATTTGAGTGCACACCTCTAGAGATACCCTCGCAAAGGTGAGACGTCTCCATACTGGCAGCGCTCTGTGGGATATGTTTGCATAGTAAATGGTACCAACAGAGTGATCATTAATCAGACACCTACTTCCTGACTTGAAACCCCCCAAAAAGAAGTCCATCCGTGACCGTCAGCCATCCAATAGACATCTACGTACCTACGCACCTACTCAACCCCCACCGCCGCCCTCCCCATGAACACCCTCGGCCCCCTCCCGCCGCCAGCCGGCGCCGGCGCAAACAACATCGCCGGCCCCGCCTCCCCGGGCGTCCCACCCTCGACATCCCCGCCGGCATCCCTCCCCTCGATGCGCACACGGTCGTAGACGACGGTTCCGTTGACGGCGGATACGTGGCGGAAGAACAGCTCCACGCCGCCGCCACCACCATCACCACCGCTACGGTCGTAACTAACATCGCCGACGTCATCACCGTCACCGTCACCGCCCACCCCGGAGGAGAAGCGAAACACCTGGGCGCTATCGCCGAAGCCCGAGCTATTCTTCCCGTCGCCGGTCTGGAAGAACGAGGCCGTGCCCTCCTTGCTCGTCTCCAGGGTGCTATCTCCGCCGCCGCCAAAGGCCTCGAGGCCCGTGGGGAAGACGGAGGCGCCGCGCACGCGCAGCCTGAGGCCCTGGACGAGGTGGGCCCGCAGGGTCAGGTTCCCCTGCTCCGAGACGTCCGTGGTCGTGTTGGCGAAGAGCGGGTAGCGGTAGTCGGCGCCGTAGTAGGGCACCACATCTGCCGCGCCGTCGTCACCGTCATCGGTGGCCGAGGACGACGACGAGGAGGAGGACCGGTCTGCGCCCTCGACGAGCAACTCGTTAAGCTGGTCGTAGCCGAAGCTGCTGATGTACGCCTTGTTCGAGTACGACAGTTTCTGCGACCAGGAGACGGCGCCGCTCGATCTCTGCGTCACCACCCTGCCGCTAGTGGTCAGCGTGCGCCTGACCTCGGTGGTGTATGCCAGTGTCTCGTTGGTGCCGTTTGAGGTCTGGCCGAGGTGGCGCGAGAGGGTGATGACCGGCGGCCCCACCTCGACGGTCGGCGCGTCCCCCGTGGTGATCGACCCTTCGTCGTCGTCGAGCCAGACGAAGATCTTGCCCGTGACATACCAGCTGTCGCCGACCGTCTCGGTGACGACCACGTCCGAGAAATCGTCGCTGTCGCCGCCGCCGCCGCCGCCGCCGTCGTCGTCTAGGCCTGCGATTCGGATGGTGAACGTGTGCTCGGCCCCGTCACATAGTAGCGGGAGGAAGGGGGTGATGTCGATCTCGTGCTCGCGGAGGTCGAACGCGTCAAGGCCCACGACGGGCCGGTGCAAGCCCGGGACGACGCCGCCCGTGAAGATGACGGGGAACGGCCACTGGACGCCGGCAACCTGCCCGTCGATCAGGACCTGTACCTCGCGGAAGGGGCTGAGGCCCGGGTACTCCCCAGCCGTGGCGTTGAAGGCGTACACGTCGCTCTGCAGCACGTTGCTCCACCAGAACTCCTCGCTCGCCTGCCCGCACGCCGAGACGGAGAAGACGGCGCGCCGGGCGTTCCTCGGGAACCCGGCCACCGTGTTGGTGGCCTCGTCCTCGGGCAGCGTGAACTGGCTGACGGCGTTGGCGGCGCCCTGCCGCTTGGATATGGGGATGACCAGGTCGCTCGGCGGCGCGGCGCCCGACTCGACGTCGCTCGTGAAGAAGGTCGCCGTCAGGGTCGTGTTGAAGGACCCCGTGTACTTGTCGTCGACCAGGTTGCCCAGGTCGAAGATGAGCTTCTGTGGCGACTTCCAGAAATACAAGTAGTGGGTCATGTCCTTCAGATAAACCCAGCGGATGCCGGGCGGGGACGTGGGCTCGGCCGTCGAGGTGCGCCAGACCTCTGTGTCACCAAAGTACATGAGGGCCAGGCGGTCGAATTGTCTGCCTTGGGACGTCACAGTGAAGTTCATGACTACTCGGTTGAATTGACAGCTAGGCGGGGTGTAGTTCCCTAAGCAAACGATGTAAGGCACCGCGCCGACGCGTATCGCAACTTGGACAACCTGAATAGCCAAGCTTACCAATGAAGGGGTCGTTGTAACTCCACGCGAATGTGTGCTCCATCAGCAAAACGGTACAGGATTCCTTGGAAGATGGGCCCTCCTCCTCAGACACGGACGGCGAGTAAATGGCGCCATGGGGTGTCAAGACAGGCTGTGCAACCTGGAAGCACTCGAGAACAGTCGGGGCGGCCGTCGGTGCAGATGAGATGGTGGTCGCCTGGCGTTTGGCAGTAGGAGACTTCGCCTCGAGCCCTTGGCGGCCAGGCCTATTACCCAGCCAGTCCGCAGCAACGATGTCACTTGCAGTCCTGCCCCCAAACCTTTCATCTTGGTCCGGTGCACCCTGTCGCAGAACCGAGCTAAAGGCCAGACGATCACAGAAGGCCGAATGGCCTATCGAGACGCCGACGAGGGCGGTGGTTAGCAAGATCAGGCAACCAAGCAGTCGAAGTCGTATGGCTGGCCGCTGGGGTGGTGATGTAGTCCCATGCCGTACGTCAACTTGCTGAATGCGCTTCTCAAGATCAGAGAAAGACATGGCAGGCAATTGTTGACGCAGGGCAGAGGAGATGACTGCGAATCCGCACAAGGGATGTGGGATGTGGAAGTCGCCGATGACGACTTATTCGGATCAAGGTTGAGGAGAGTCCGTGTGGGGATGAAATCCATTTAACAAAAAATATATTAGACACGGGCAGAGTGTCCCTCGGTGCTCCTCCAAATGCGGCAAAATAAAAATCTAAAAGCAAAACAAGTGGTATCCGAGAATATAACTAATTAACAGCAAGGCCAATTAGGCAACAGGGAGAGGAATCTAATCAATGCAACAACAGGGCTGCATGAACTCATGAACAACATAATCATGGCTGGCGGAGCTCTGGAGATAACACACGCTGCATGTATGCATGTAGTTGTGATATCGGAGAAGCGTCAGGTGGCTGTCCGGCAGCCATCTGGGCTGGCAAATAACAGCAGTCGTTTGACCAAGACCGTCGATTGAAGGCGCCGTGGATGGATGGATGGATGGATGGAAATTGAGGGTCCAGCAGCCTGGCTGTGGCGCTACTCGTGCAGATCGCAGATCGCCTGTGCCCCTGCGGCACAGGTAGGACGGACGGGGGTTTGTTTGTTCTTGCCGGCAGTTGTTGACCCGGGGAGGGAAGGGCAGGTAGTGTAGATGCAATCCGGCGTACGGCCCACGGAAGCGGACAGGCCTGCCGCTGTGGGATATAGGGTTGGTTGGTTGGTTGGTTGGTTGTCCAGGGCCTCTAACCTCTTTACAGCTTCCATCCTCGCCCCGGGTCAAGCATGTGTGTTGTCCCAGTATCTTTTGCGCGCAGCAATAGCCACGCTGTTCCCAGTGAAGCGCACCTGATAGTAGTTGAAGACGGCGAACTCGCCCCTACTCATGATATACGAGTCGGGTCGGGCTTCGACTTTCTTCCAGATCCTGTCGATGGCAGCCTCGAGTATTGCGTTCACGACCGGGTCTTCAGCACCATCGGGGGTGTTTCTCGCAGTGTCCAAAGCCCGAGCTACCACTGCTTCAGACGGTGCCGCCCCGTTCGCCCGGCTGTATTCGCCCATGTTTGGTGTGGGACAAGGTGATGAGAAGTTGGGGGCTGGTGAGTGGAGCTGGGCAATGGCTGCTCGGAGGGCGAGGCCAGACGTGGATTGCTGGTAGTGATCTTGAGGGTGGAGGGAGAGCATGCTGGCTGGATGGGTGGGGGGAGGACGGGTACAAATATATATATATGGAAGAGCAAGAACAAAGCGGTCAGGAAAGAGTCAAGACTGCGACACTGCCCACTGGCACTGGCGCTGACACCGGGTGACGAGATGGCCGGATGGTAATGGCCGGGATTGTGAATGCAATGCTCCAATGGGCTACGCAAGAAGTACAACCGGTGAGATGACTGACAGGTCCTCTTGCTTGGGTCGGTGAGCGGAATCCTGGTAATGGACAGACTCGGGTGGACATGCCGGCTCTTATATGCAGCCATGATGCCCTGACTCCCTTTCCTGGTAACTACCTAACGACATTCCGCACCTGTCCCTTCGAACGAGTGTTAGGGCAGGTACGGAGAGGTGATGGCCCACACGGGAAACCGGGGACAACCCGAATTGTGATTAACGCAAAAAACCCCACGCACCCAGGTGACTGGCAGGGGCCGCAGCTTGTCGTTGGTGTTGGTGGGGCGGGAAGTATCGCCCCGGGGCCTGAAAGTTTTGACCGTGACGCAAGACGCCGGCGCTTTGACCTAATCTAGTAAATTGCCAGAAGACGTCTAGAACATTTGGAAACTGTTGTTTTCGACCATGGAACCCGGCCAAACCAACCTGCGAAGTAGGGAATACACTACCTACCTAAGGTAGCCTTCTCTCCATGGGGGCCGAGTATGACCTAGGTGTCTAGGTGGTGGACGAGTACACTACAACAGTAGAATCCTAGGTCTAGGTGGCTACCAAGGAAGATGGATGTTAGGATGGAATAAGTTCGTTATCTTGTCTCGAAGATCTCCATTTGAGCTAATGCACGTCACACGCCCTGTCTGGTCTGCCCGGAGATACCTAGGTACCAAGGTAGTCTTTCCAACGTTCGCATGCGCCATGGATCCGTTCCAACGACAACGTCCAATATAGGCAGGGCAGATGGGAGAGCCTTCCTGATTCGGCATTTGCCCGAAGAACCGAATGAAGGGCTCGCCCAAGTCGCATGGACTTGGTTCCTTGTTAGGTCGCCAAGCATACCACATTGGCCGAGACCCCCGTTTTCCCTGGATGTTAGGGACAAGTTCGCACATACCTGTATGTATGTCCCACTCCTTCGATCGGACGAGTTCTATGCCACCAGTGCGCTTAGGTGCACGCACAAGTACGAATCAGGCTAGCCCCCTGACGCCAAGCGACGGGAGCACCTAGGCATAGATAGGTTGTCACAGTCGAGTCTAATGGTGGTGAGGTAAGAAAATATGATGAAATGTATCTGTCCACAGGTTGGATCATTCCTGCTTTGAATTTCGCCGAGGCTGATCTAACGTAGCTATGAAACCTCGGTCGGCGGTCGGCAGGCATCTGAATCGCTGTCAGGATTCGAGTTCACATTGCAGACAGCCAAGATGGACGGTGAGAGTGCGAGCCATGGTACGAAAACCTGTCTAGCGGATCTCGTGACTTGCCAGGCCTGCGCCTGTGGGTCCCATACCATTCATCTACCCCTGAACCACCGGTAAGGGGCTTTAAACTTTAGGGCTATTCCTAGCTGAGAAATCCGCGTGTGCATCAGCAAGTTAGTGGAATTACCGGCCCAAACTCCATCCAGTTCCTGGTTGTCAATCATCCCTCGTGCATTTTCCCCATGCACTTGGTGCAAGGGCTAGCCATTCCCTGCTTATCTACTGGTTACATTACGGAGCCGCATCCATGCACCTACCACAGTAGGTACTGCGCAAGCGTGTGTGGAGGTCTGACGACCAAGACAGCAACGAGAGATGTGTCCCAAAGATGTGTCAAGGTCAAACAGACGACGCGTCCAGCGAAGTCTAACAAAACCCTGGTGCAACAAGCGCCGGGAGTAGAAGAGAGTTCGACTGTCTTGCCACTTTGTACCACGACTCGTGCGAGCGTCTCATCTCGTCTCGTCTCATCATCTCATCTCTCATCATCTCATCTCATCCCATCCCATCCCATCCCATGTCATCTCCGGGACGCACTGGACTTGGTTGCATCAAAACTCTAATCTATTTTTTCCCACATGGTTCTCAAATTTGGAAGCACCCCACCTCGACCGAGTCATTTTCGTTCGCCCTCTGAATGGCCCCACGTTTCCTGGGTGAAGCTTCCCGTGGTTCCACCTCATCTGGATTACTGATTGCTGAGTTGACCCCTCCCAATACCACGTACAGAAAGAGGGATGGAAGTGGGGAGGCGGGCTGTTTCCTGGAACCGGATTGCTGGGTGGTGCTGTTTTCACGTCGCTCGCTACTAAGCTGAAGCTAGAAGAGATCGCTATCCAACTACCAAGTTGGCTCCTGGTACGCGGCAACCACTTAGCCCTACCTATCAAGGTAGGTAGTGTACCTACCGTACCTACCTAAGGCAGTATTTGATCGATGGCTACGAATCTTGCTCGCCGCAGTCGATAAATTCGATATCACGCCAAACGACGGGAGTCAACCCATATTCTTGATTATGATCCTCGGCTCCCCATGAAGGGATAAGTTCATAACTGCGAATGGGTCCGGTAGCTCCCAGGCAAAAGGCTATGAATATCGCCGGCGCATGCGTCCTGTGGTACCGGCAGTAGCCCGAAGTTTGTTCGCAAGTTACGTACAACCACAGAAAAAGGAAATTAGAATGAGTGCCCAACACCACTAACACCACCTACGGTTCCCGATGGCGTCGCCTCAAAACCCCACCGTCTTGAGCCCTAGCACTACTCTCAGATCCTCGGAATTTATATTTGGCCCCAATGCAGCTATGTGCACGAGCTAAGGTGTCGTATCCTTAGTTGTACGTGAATGGCCCATCCTTGCCTCCTCCTGAACTCGGGCTCCTCAATCTCGCCGAGGCGGAAAGCTAGGCAAAGTAGATTGTCAATCGCATTGCCACCTTGTTTTGGAAAGCCCCAGCAAGTAGCTGACTGACTAGACTGGAACTCGGGGAAGACGGGGCGATGCTTTTCTCCGTAGGTTTTGTGGTGGTGTTTTACACTATAATTACAGTCTAAGGGGAGCATCTAATATAGTTTATGGAGTAAAGATTACAGGCGCCTTACAGATCGCCGGTCACGTCCGATGTGCCAACCCGATGGGACTCTGTGTGTGACTTGTGACTGTCACAGCACGCCAAGTCGGGCGGAAAATCCTCTCGCGTCATTATCAAGCCTTGGGTCGCCTCTTGCCAATCTGCCAGCCCCAAGATCTGAGCACCTTGACCACCTTGGGTGTTATTGCTGCAGTCAGGGGGACGCGAAGGAAGATGAAGCTCTTGTGGATGGCGTAGGCCAGGGCAAGCTGCGTGGCGAGACCTGTTTAAAACGCACGCTTGCTGTCAGCCGCAAAAATCCGGCATACACACGGCGTGAATAAAAAGGAATTTGTCAAGACTCACTTGGCTCTACCTTGTTCCGCTCGTCCGCCTCCTTGACGCCCCAGCCAGCCGTCTCGAGGCCCTGGGCGACCTCGGCCTCGCCCACCACCTCGTTCTCCGTCTCCTTAGCGGGGTTACGGTACTCGTGCCACATCGCCTTGGCGCGCTCCGGGATGACCTTGTTAACATTTGAGACCACGAAGTCCTCCGCCACAGCTGTTTAGAAGGGGGAGATTGTTAGCGAGATCAAGGAGCATTTGGCTCGCCATTGGCGGGTGGGTGGTTCTAACCTATCCTCTCTGTCCCCAGGGTCCGCACGAGCAAAAAGCAGAACGGGAAGTCCAGGACGCTCAAGGTCAGGTACACGCCAACGGCGGCCCACCCGTACTCGCGGGACAGCTTCTTCAGCCTCGCGCTCAGCGAGTTCGGTTCGGGCTCCTTCTCCTTCGCGCCCTCCGCAGACCTGCGCGTCTTGGTGGAGTGGAACGGCCTCCTCGGGGCCGCGCGCCCGGACGGCACCCGACATGCCTGGCTGGTGAACCGCTTAGGTCTCTCGAGCCGACGCGTCCAGAGCTGCCGGGTGTTCGAAGCGACAGCCATCCTGTCGTGCCAGGGGACGGGGCCTTGCGGGCTCCTGGTGGTTATCCTGCGCACCAGCAGCTGTCTCCCCGCCAGCCTGCCGGATAACCCATTCACCCCGGCCGTTCCGAGGATGGCATCGAATGCCCCAATTGCACTCCGGATCATGATGTATGAAAGGTGTGTAGATCCGCCCCAGTGTCCTTCGCTAGCCCGCTAGCCGAGTCATCCACGCCCGAGCCCGAATCTCCTTGTTGAGTAGGTAAATTGAAGCTTCGAGACCCGGAAAGTGCCTGTGGATCGATGACGACGTTGCCGGCAGGGAGGGTCACGGCAGTAGCGAAGGGAAGAAATGATTCCTTAAGAGACCAGGAATTGGTTTCGGTGGGTGCAGTCGGACAGTCGGAGTGCAAGATCGATTATCGGGTTGTTTGAGTCTTCCCTTGCTCCATTTCGTGTGGCATGACCGGGTATCACGGGCCAAAAAGCAAAATGGGTCAAAAAAATTGGTGATGCAATGTCTTGCTAGGTACGACGTACCCTAGGCCCGGCTGGTTCTCGCTGCCCTATTGGCTTGTCGACCCGGTGTCGGCGGAACTTAGAGCCGTTCGAGCCGTTGTAGAAACCCAGCCGGACGGGCCCTAGCTAGTGTATTAGGTAGGTGGCTGAGAGCTGACAACTCACCATGATGAGGCCCTGTTTTGGTGCATCGTCGACCATCATTTCTGCGCTCCCGAGTCCTTGAATGTGCTATTACGCGTTCTCCCAGATTGGCCACTGTCCTTTGCTGCCGTTTCATGCCGGGGAACCTTGATTCGACGTTGGGCAGGCTATCAATTGCTCCAATGGAAATCTAAGGCGGGAGTTGGATCAGTCGGAAAGGATATCCAGTTCGGTGTTTGGTTGAGACCAACTCTTCTACTCTTCAACTTTCCATCTCCACATCGATCAGACCCTCGAGCACAATGGACAATGGCTGGGGGAGGACTCGGAAATCGGGTACAACCCCACCGGTCAGCAACCTGCAGCTTGCTGCAGGGGGCGATGGCCCAATCATCATGGACCCAGGCTGATCAGTCGACATGGGGCTCCAAATATGGCCCTCAAGGAGGAAACCCTCATCAAGGCGGTTGGTCGTCGGCGCTTAGCAGGAGATGAATGCGGCAGCAGATTGGCTGGGCCAAGGCTTCATCGCCGTATAATGCCACTGATTCTGATGGGTTGTGTCGTGTCGACCAAATTAGCACGGCGGGTATGCAGGCCAATGTGACCATAAAAGCCGACCCCGACTGCTATTTTTTGAGGTTCTGCTTGGTGACGAGGCTTCTTTCACTCTTCCAACCACGCCTTCTCCCTGCTCAGCTTTGTGTAGGTTCTTGTATCATCATTCTCATTTCTTCTCGAGCTTCAATTTCCGTCGTCTAAGTATTGTTTGGACTTGGCTCCCAACGGCCTGATTGATCTTAACCGGGGCAACGCCAAGCTCCGTAGGTAAGTGCGGGGCATCCCGGCTGAGCTTCTGGACATCGAGCTCGGCTGACTTGGACAGATTGAACCACCTAAGGTCAAGTGGAAAGGTTAAGAATAGGAGAGGATTCTTTCTAGTATTGCCAGATTGAAGATGTCGCAATACTATCCTCGTATGTCTCTTCGAGCGGCAAAGCTTCGAGCTTCGAGCTTCGAGCTTCGAGTGCTGACCATCTCCAGCTCCGCCAGGCAGTCAGAGTATGTCGTGGAAGAGCCAACCTCATGAGATGCAGAGATGCAAGAGAAGGAGTAACTGAATTTGTGTCTGTCAGGCCAAGCGAGGACCTACGCTCCCCCGCCCCAGTCCCCTCCTGCGACCCAGACCAAGTTCTCCTATCCAACACCGCCGGCGGCAGCTCAGCAGAAGAGCTATCCTCCTCCGCCCGGCGCGGCTGGCACACCACCTCCCAAGACCACGGCACCGCTCTCTTACCCTCCTCCACCTCAACAACAGCAGCAGCAGCAGCAGCAGCAGCAGCAACGACAATTCTCACCTCCCCCGCACCAAGCGAGCCTGCCACTACACCTACGAACGCCGTCGGTGGTGTCACAGGTGTCGTCGCAGCACTCCGAGCACCAGCAATTCGCCCCTCCGCCCACGTACGCTGACGACGATTCGCCCACCGACGAGTACCCGCCCGAGAAGCCAGAGGTCCTCGACACCAGCAACCCCGCCAACCTCGACGCCGGCGCCCCGCCGGCCGGCCACTTCGTCGGCGCGAGCGTGACCGTGGACGATGTCGGCACCTTCAACGGCGGGAGCTACCGGATCAGCCACCGGGACTGTAACACCATCCTGACGATCCAGCTCGCGGTGGGCTGCCCGCTGGAGGCGAAACCAGGTACGTAACGCACTGAAAAGGGGGATGGGGGGCGTGGCCGCCGTCCGTAGAGAAGATACTCCGCAACCTATATATGGTTACGGCGCGCGCTGACCACACACCCCGGCAGGCGTCATGATCGCCATGTCCCCGACCATCACCCTCCGGGGCGCGCTCAAGTTCTCGATGAAGAAGCTCGTGGCGGGCGCGCAGATGTCGACGTCGACCTACACGGGGCCCGGCGAGCTGCTGCTGGCGCCCGCGATGCTGGGCGACATCACGAGCCTCCGGCTGACGGGCAACGACCTGTGGTCCGTCGGGCAGGACGGCTTCCTCGCCTGCACGTCGGGCGTCACCAAGGAGTACAAGCGCCAGGGCATCGGCAAGGCCATGTTCAGCGGCGAGGGCCTCTACGTCTACAAGATGGGCGGCGTCGGCCTGCTGTGGCTGACCAGCTTCGGCGCCATCATCCGGAAAGATGTGAGTCGACGACTACCCAACCCCCAAACCTTTTGCAGGAGTCGGTTGTTTGTTTTGCGTAGGGCATTTGGGACATGGAGCTGATCCCGTTGCCCCCCCCCCTCCTCCTTCACAGCTAGCCGACGGCGAGAAGTACATCGTCGACAACGGCCATCTGGTCGCGTGGAACACAAAGTACATACTCGAGCGCGTGGCCTCGGGCGGCCTCATCTCAGGCATATCATCTGCCGAGGGCCTGGTCTGCAAGTTCACGGGGCCGGGGACTGTCTTTATCCAGACGAGGAATGCGGTATGTCTCGTCCCCTCTCCTTCTTCTTCTCTTTCGACCCACAATCAACGGAGCTCTCTTGCCCCCCTCAATTTCTTCCCCAAATCCCTACCACCATCGAAGAGGACATTGCTAATCCGTCACGACAGAGAGCATTCGGAGCCTTCATGGCCGGGGCTACGATGGGTATAGCGTGAGAGAAGAAAAATAACAGTCGGCAGACAAAGGGGGTAACGGAGACAGGAGGAGGCCGGGGCGGGGCGTGGCGTGGCGGATGGTCCTGGGCTTTCACGAAGTTATGTTTGGTCCTATTTGTTATCTTTCATCTTTTTCTCTCTGGAAGGCCGGTGAAGCGCGCGTTTTGGTGGGAAACAACCTGCTATTTTTGGATATTTGAATCTTGTCACCACTTGAGTAAGACGGGCAGCTTACATTTTCCCGCTTCCTCGACCTATTTTCCGGTTGCTCTCTTCGTGTGAACTCGGAGAATGCGTACAAAGAATGTAAACTCTTCTACAGCCCCATCCAGATGCTTGAAGCAGTCTAGTCTCTAGTCGTTACCTATCCGTATCGATCCGGGCCTTTGGTTCCTACGCCTTGCCCCCCATATCGTCACCTCCAATAATCATATCACCACGTCAGACGACCAAGTTTCATTTTCAACTTCGCATCTGGGGCATCTATTCTGCTACCCAGCGTTCTGTGAGGCCGCCCAGAAGGGGCTTTCCTCAATTTGCAATAAGAAAACTAGAGAATTCGCGTGATGTCGAGGTAAGGCAACAGCGAACCCCCTGAGATTGGGGGAAGGAGCTGTTGCGATTTCGCCTCGCATCGGGTATTCAGACATGCCTCCCTGTCCGTAAAACTCCCCTCCGAGACAGAGGAACCAGAAAAAGAAACTGTCCAGATCCTCTTGGATAGACTTTTCTGTCGACCAGACAGACCCCCTCAGAACTCCAGTCCAATCTAGCCAGTCCAAATGCCAATTTTTTTTTGTATGACCACGTCCGTTCACTATGGCTCTGCGCCACATCTCTTAGGTAAAGATGGTGCCAGAAGAAAGGCGTCGAAATGTCGACTAACGGCCCCACGAGGTGGGAAACAGGGCGAGGAAGGCCCATGCCGAGAATGCAAATCCGATAAATGCAAAGAAAGGCCTCTCATGAAAAACGAAGAGGCAACGAAATAGAGGCCTTAGCCATGGCGGTGGGCTGGCTGGCCATCTATTAGTCCGCATCCGCAAGCTGCATGATGAGCTTAGCGGCCATGTCGAGGAACGGGAACGGGCTGGTGACGTCCTTGTCCTCGAGGAGCTTGCCCTCGAGGTTCTCGTAGCCGTCGCACTTGAAATCGACGAGGTATACACTATATTCCATCTCGTAGATCTGAATGTCCATGCGCATGGCCACGCACTCCGACTGGCTCTTGTCGCTATCGATTGTCACATGCAGCTTGTCTCCCGCGAAATCCGAGGTAGTGCTCAAGTGGGACGCAACCGTGTGCTTGCGAAGCTCTGTACCAATTGTAAGCGGTTAGGTTCCAGAAAGAGGGAAATGAAGGGTGGGAGTACTAACGTTCGGTAGCCCAGCGAATCTTAATGTGCCAAGGGTCGGCTGGGAGCTTGTAGATCTTGAGGGGGTCGATCGCCGGCGCACTAGCCCCGCCTTGGGATCTAGAAAGGGGAGGCCCGTAACCATCCGACTCGCCGTTCCTGAGAGGCTGGTTAGCAAAGTTACCGAGTCGTGGCGGGGGGCTCGTCCGGTCTCTTACTCGTCCCCGTCGCCGCTGCCATGAACCTTCTCGTAGTCTTCGTCGACCAGCCAGGTGCAGCCGAGTTTCGCAAGTGCCTTGTAGATGCAAACCAACGCCTCCCAAGGCGCATTCCTAGAGCGGATGCCGAATTGCCAGCGGACCGGCTTCGGCTTCTTGGCGGGGTGGACAGGAGTGAGGCCTTGAGGGGCCTGGACCGGGCTCTCACTTTGGAGTTGAACGCGGGAGTGAGGCTTCAAGCGGCGTGCAGTCTCATCCTGGTCAGCTTGGGTGCGAGGCTGAAGTGTAGCTTCAGGGTCCGAGCTTGCCGGCGACGGCTCGTCCGCGCTCTCCACGTTGGCTTTCTCACGTTCCATGTAGTCACGGTGATAGGCTGGCAGGCTGCTCGGCAAGATGCCGACCTTGGAGACATACGGTCTCACCGAAGCGCTGTTGTTGGAAGACGTGATAGACCGAGCTGACGACATGGTCGGATCCAATGGGCTAGCTTGAGCAGCCTCAGCGGTGGTGAGATTATCAAGATCTCCAGTTATCTTGACGATGTCGTTCTCGTTAGGTGGAGATGCCGGGAAGTACGGGTTGTCTGGACCGCCCAGGTTCGCTTTATCGATGTCAGTCTCAACCTCTGTTGATCCTGCCATTTTTGGGGAGGTGGAGAAGGTGGAGAAGGTGGAAGGGAGGTCGGTGGAAGGTAAGGAAAATTGGAAAAGAGGAAGGTGAGGCGGGTGGGGGGAAAGAGGCGAGCGAGATGGGAAGACAGTCGAAAGTGAAGGAAGAGCAAGGGGTGAGCACTCACGGTTGTTCTGCATGAGTTTATTCTCACGCACAATCATGTAAGCATCCTTAATAGCTGAAGGCTCGTCGGCCTCGAGGGCCTCCTGAACATCCTTCTTCCCGTAACCCATCGTCTTGCTGATTTTGTCCGTAACTTCGTTGTGGAGCTTCTCCTGCTCCTGAGGTGGCGCGCCCGGGGCGATGTCGCTCATCTTGATAGCCTTGTTGGGGTCGACGCCCGTGTTCAGGAATTCCTCAACTGGCGGCTGCAAGTAGGAGGGCAAGTCGGCCATGAACCACGGGTCTTGGCGAATTTCCTCGATCGTGGCACGCTGGACGGGGTTAACGACAAGCATTTTCTTGATCAAGGCGGCGGCGCCCGGACTCATCCACGTGGGAACCACGTATGTGCCGCGCGCAATCTTGGCGAAGAGACTCGGTATGTGCTCGTCGTCAAACGGTAGGCGGCCAACGAGCAGGACATAGAGGATGACTCCGCAGCTCCACACGTCGACCTCGGGGCCGGCATACAACTTGCCGCCGATCACCTCGGGTGCCGCATAGTTGGGAGAACCGCAGCTGGTCTTGAGGAAATTTCCATCCGTCATGATGTTGCTCAAGCCGAAGTCGGCGATCTTGACGTTCAGATTTTCGTCAAGCAGGAGATTCTCGGGCTTGAGATCTCGGTGCACGATCTTGTGTCTGTGGCAGTACTCGACGGCACAGAGCATCTGCTGGAAGAATCGTCTCGCCTCGTTCTCCTTCATCTTTCCGTGCTGCACGATGTAGTCGAAAAGCTCGCCGCCGGCATATTCCAGCACCATGATGATCTCGCCCGGGGTCTTGATGACGGTGTACCTAGAGACACTGGGTCAGCAACCATGGACTGTTTCACCGCTTCGGACGGCATGCCTTTTGTCCCCTCAAGGTGACACAAAATTGGGGTGGGGGACGGGAGAGGGGAGGGGAGGGGAAACACACAGCTTGATAATATGGGGATGTCGGAGTAGCTGGAGGTACTCGATCTCGCGCTCGACGCGGCCTTGCATGTCTCGGCTGATGAGCTTCTTTCTGGCGATGATCTTGAGGGCCACCTGCTGGCCGGTGCTCCGATGCACAGCCAGCTTGACCTTGCCAAAGCTGCCCTCTCCGAGGGTCTTCACGATGTTGTATGCCCCGACGCGCTGCTCGGTGCGCACCTTGTCTCGCAGTTGGGGGTCGGGTGCCATCCTGCCAGGATTCATTGGCTCCATGGTCTGATGGCGGCCAGAGCTGCCCTCGCCGCCGTTGTGGTTCTTGTTACGGCGGATCTGCGACGGCGTGAGCGAGATGGAAAGCTCCTCGTCGTCATAAGCTCGGTGGGCCATGGTGGCGTGGGTGTTGAGGAGAGGTCGGCTTGATCTCGGGGTTGCGGGTTGGGTGGAGGGGGAAAGAGTTGTAGTGGGTGGGGGGGAAGGGGGGGTTAACCGAGGAGGGGAAAGGAAATACAGAGCATCAAACAAGCTTTCGTCACAATCCCAGCGAGGGCAGGGGAGGGAATTTGATCGCTGTGGCGCAAACCCAGCGTCTCTTGGCGAGCTTAGGGGTCGCTGTCGATCGGCTTACAGGCAAAATTCAGGGCAAGAGTTACCGAAAATACTGTTACACCCCTAGCGGGTCCGCACAAGGACGCCTGACTGAAGAATTCCACTCCAGTCAATTCTGAGTGTGAGGCCAGCAGGACTGTCACTGATGTCGTTGCGAGTCATGTGTTTGAGAGAGATGGGTATGCGAGTCACTGGTGCTTATGGGGGCTTGGTCTTTGTCACTTCGAGGGGAGGAAGCGACCACAAAGAAAGAAAGGAAGGAGGCGTGGACGGGACTTGAATGTGTGCCTCCAATGTGCGGGTCTATTGTGTATCGGGGTATATCCATGTCTGCCCTATTGCCGAGGGCTTTGTTATGCAGGGCATCTGGCATCGCTATAGAAGCCTTGGAAAACTCTTGAGAACTCTGGCCAAAGAGCTTCGACTACTCATATTTTCACTCGGTTTGGTTTGTCAATTGGGCTGTATGCATGTAAGTACTTACACACCCGTACATTGCATTCCATCCTTCTGGCTGGAAGTTAGACGGGGCAGACGGGGTATTCGCTCTTTTGGGGGAAACCCTTCCACTAACCAAGCAAGCTACAGTACGGTGCCTGGTCATAGCTCCTTAAGCTCTCATGACGCAGCAGCATTCTTGAATCCTTGCATTGGCCAAATTTGCTTTGACATTGCAGACGCAGCCAAACTCTGAGGGAAGACCGAGGAACTCACAAAGCGGCCAATATGTTGGCCTCAAGGTTGCGAGCGCCATCCCAATTGGGGCGGAGTATAAGGCAGCTCACTACGCTGGCATCTAATCCCCACATTGTCTGTTCTGGCCACCCTGCTATTTCTCGCGTCGATGCTGACCTTGTCTCGACTGGCAGAAAGTGTTCCCGAACCCTTCCAATCCGACGACCCACCTACTGACCTACCTCGGGACGACGCCCCCCGACCCGGGCCTCGCAATCGGCGTCACAACCGCCATCCCGCCGGCCCCGAGCTCCTTCAAGGAGAACCGCCGCTTCCTCCAGATCCTCAACGACGTGCTAGCCGAGCATGCCAAGGACGACCGCGACCTCGCGAACCAGGCACAGGCGCTTGCCGGGCCCGGAGGCGCAAACCTCGGCTCGGGCGGGGCCTTCTTCCCGCAGGCTAAGCGGCGGCGAGGTGGCAGCGGCGCCGGCCTCGGGGGCGGCGGAGGGGCTGGCGGCTCGGGCGCCGGGGGTGCGAGCGCGCAGGGCGGCGCCGGCGGCGGGGGCATCGGCGGATGGGTACATCTCAGCGACTCGAGGAATCCACCGGACTTTGGACGCATTGCCTGGTGAGTTGACGCCCACCACCCTAACGTGGCGTGCTTGCACGCGTGCACGGCTTCTGGCTCAGGACCCCACGGCTTTGGCTGATTGCGTCACAGGCCTGAGGATATCCTCGGGAGCGTCGAGGTGAATGGCCAGGGCGAAATCATTGGCAACTTTCAGCCAAGCGGGACATATCGGATAGTCACGAACGAGGGGATGTGAGTGCCCATGGGCTGGACGGTCTGAACTGTGTCGTACTTGGAGAACTAACAGCAGATATTACAACTAGCCTGGGTCTGAGCGACTTCCTGCGGGAGAAACTGGTTGCGCGCCTTCGAGCAGAAGAAGGGTCATCTAGGTAATGGCCGTGCTTTTGGTCATAGGCCTCCCGAGGTATCCCACGTTACACCATGTGGGTGGAATATGCTGTACGATGTAATGGTGGTGAGGGCAGTCTACGCTGAGGAAGATCCACGGCGAGGCCGCGGATGCCTTGCCATGCCGATCTGTATGATTATAGCACATGAGGTAGGCAGTCTGCCAGTCAGTGCCTCTGAACTGTTGAAGTGTATAGGTCAGCCTCGGGAAATATGTGTACAGTACATTTTGAATGCGGGCTTGAAGAGGCTGGCGATCGGCAATACACATGTTATAATAATGCATGTAAACGGGTCAGCATCGGCTTAGAAGCTTCCTACAGACAGACATAATTCGAACTCGAGTTTGAATCGCAAGGTTTACCAAGTGTAGACATGCATAGGAGTAGAATTTTGTAGCATCCCTGCCAAGCCCCAGTGACAAAGACAGGGGAGTGTGGGGAAGCATGAAGCTTTGTGGGGGGCACATGGCCCGAGGCTCTTTCACATGTCCTTGGTGCTGCTTCCGTCATTCTCCCAGCTTTCTTTACTTATACCTAGGTACTTAAGCTGGCCGCTCCAACAACCTTGACTTCAACTCCCCAATATCGAGTTTATTGTTGTCGCATTTGCACTCGTGTACCCCAGACTTGAATAGCTCTCCTAGTTCTTTCAGCCCGCAACCAGCAGTCAATATGTCTCTCAAGAACGGCAAGTAAAGCGCTCAGATTTGGCAGTGATGGACTCTAGTCTTGCTGACATCCCCCTTTTCTCCAGACAAGTTCCCGTCCTCGGCCGCTTTTGATGCCATCAATGATGCGCTGAACACCAGCGAAGCGGATCGCAAGGACGCCATCAACAAGGGAGGTGCCATCTTCGCCTTTACGCTCAAGAACAAGGCGGGAGAGACCGATAGCTGGCATATCGATCTGAAGAACAACGGCGCCGTCGCAAAGGGCCTAGGGGAGAAGCCGACAGGTGAGAATATGGCGGAACCATCCTCGCTGATATGACAAGCTCTCCCTGGCACTGGATATTGACGACTGCACATAGTTACCCTCTCGCTTTCCGACGATGACTTCGGCAATCTCGTCACCGGCAAGGGCAACGCCCAACGGTTATTCATGTCTGGAAAGCTCAAGATCAAGGGCGACGTGATGAAGGCCACGAAGCTGGACCCCATCCTCAAGAAGGCGCAAACCAAGGCGAAGCTGTAAAAAAACAGAAAAGAAACTTGCCGGCTGTGGTTAAGGATGTGGCTTACATGGTAGATATTTTGTACATTACGCAGGCCCTTGCCGTTGTACCACGCGACTTGGATAAGTATTGTTGGTATTGTGGAATTGGCTTAACGGTTGCGCGTGGACTTGGATATGCAAGCCTCTTTTGTGAGGTCCCCTTTCATCTTCCTCTTGGGCCATGGTGTAACCTGACTTGACGAGAATTGTCATCTACTACGCAGTATAGAAGTACGGTGCTGAGTACAGATTAGAGCCTCGCCGGTCTTCTAAATGGAGGTTGTTTGCTTCCATGCCTATGGTCGTCGTGTCGTGGTGTCCAACAGTTGCGAACATTGTCCTACTTCCAATCCAGCTTCGTCCGTATGCGCGCGATTCCGCTTGCGGCATAACCTGCACAGTTCTGGTGCCTGAGGCTGAAAATCCCGGATCGGGCTGGCGTCACCACTCACAAATGCGATTTGGCTGTTGGCTCGTGCACACCTGACCTGCGCAACTGGGCCCGGGCCTGTCCCTTTTTTTTTTTTTTAAACCCTTCCTCCCAGGTGTCAGCAAGGAGGGTCGATTTCCACACCCAAAACATACTTCACCGAAGGAACCCCCATCGCCACTCAATTTCGTGTCTGCCTCGATAAGAGAGACATCGTTCGATGCGGTCTTCCTTCATAATTCGACTGCCTCCATCGAGTTCCCTCGCCTTTCCACATTGATTGACGCGACTCTTTTGAGTGTTGTGCGTTTTTCTTTCGGCGTTTCTTCGCCCTCTGGAAGTGGTCGCACTTGGAAGCACTCGTCTTCGAGAACAACAAAAAAGCCATCTCCTGCACGTTTCCACCAAGTTCGCCATCTACCTGCTCGACAAAGAGCCCGGTTCCCCACGTGGACCCATGAAAGCGACAACAAACACGATCGCGAGCCCCAACTTGTGATTTTCTCTGCCCTCGCGCTTCCATATCCCGGTAGCTCCCCATCGCCGCGCATTTCATCATGGATACATCACAGAAGAAGCGAAGCATCTTCGGCAGCCTCAACTTTTGGGGTCGCAATCAGGTGGTCCCCACCGACCCAGAGCAGAGGTCAGAGTTCTATCGCACCGCCGATATGAGCAACACTCCTCCAATACCGCGCGTTGGTTTCAACGCGTCCCCGGAGAGTCCTGCGAAGCGCGCCTCGGCCGCCCAGCTGTCGAACCGAAAGATCATCGATCGACCGCAGGGCCCGTCGAGCAAGCTCTCCCAGTCTATCAATGCGACAGACTTCGCTCGTATTCCGAGCACGCCCCGGACTACCAATTTCTCGACTGGGACCACGAGCACCCAAAAGGCAGCCACCATCACCAGGATGCCTGGCGACAACCCAAACAAGAGCAACTTCCTCGGAGTCTCGGCCAACAACCGCCGTGTCGCCAACCTCTCCGGCGCTGCTACCACGCCACGGAACATGTTTCGTTCCTCTGCCTTGAATGAGCGCCCGAGTTTCTCCTTCTCCCCTAGGGTTCCACACAACACTATAAAGGAAAGCTTCCCTCCAACGACCCCCGGAAGAGCTCCAAGGGGCTCTACGGCCGAAATGAACGGTCGTGCCCTGACCCATACCACCTCGGCCAACCTCTTCGCCATGAGGATACCCTCCCCGCCCCACGATCTCACTGGCGAACGCCTCGCGAAGGAGGTACCGGAGAATTATAATCGCGCTGGGTCTATTTATGCCGACGAGTTTCTCACTGACTACTGCCCTCCCGACTTCGACGACCTCCAGCGACGACAGTTCTTCTGCATTCTCGACCTGCGGCGACTCAAATATGCAGCAGACGAGGTCTTTGCGAAGAAAGACTGGAAAATCAACATTCTAAACTTTGCCAAGGAGTACGAGAAGAGCCGAAGTCTGATTATGCTGCGATACGGCCTCTACGAGTTCAAGACGGTCAAAGCGTCTGAGGCGATCAGGAAGCAATGGCAGAAGGAACATGGCATCCCTACCTCGGATGACGAGAAGGACGAGAAGGACGCAGCTCCAAGCCACAAGACAAATGGTACTCGTGGCACTGTCGGCCGGGGTGGGCTAGGGAAGAGAAAGGCGGAGGATGAATTGGCCTCCAAGGATAATGTGCTTCTCAAATCATCTACTAACCTCAACAAGCGCCGCGTGGCGGACCGGGAGCCGGCGACCGAGAGAGCCGCTGTTCCTTCGACCAAGGTTAAGCGCAAGGCTGAGGAAGTCGGCGAGCCTGATGAGAACCACCCAAGCAAGCTCCAAAAGCCCATGACGGCTTCGCAGCAGACATCGTCATCGGTCAAATCTATCTTCGAGAAGATTGCCAATGGTACACTGAACGAGAGCACCGCCACGACTGCCACTCCTTCGAAGCAGTTATTCGGGCCCGGCTCCACCTTTCCCGGTGCCGCGAAGCAAGTCAATGGTGGCCTGGGGCGATCCATCCTGGATGCCGGCTCAAAGCCTAGTACGGCCAACAACATCTTTGGCCACCTCTCAGATGCTAGCAAGGGGAGCGGCAACGACGATGCCGATGCGGAGAGTGAGGCTAGCACGGACTCGGAGGCCGAAGTCGACGAAGAGTCGGAAGTCCGGGAGACCAGCCAGAGCAAGGAGGCTTCTGTCGCCGCCAGCGGTGGCGCGTCTACTCCGCAGTTTGGGGCGGGAACTGGTCTTTTTACCAAGAAGCCCATCGACAATGCTCCCTCGAGCGCCTCCTCTGAGACTGGTGAAAGCACCAAAGGCCGGAGCCTTTTTGATCGTCTGACATACGGAAATGACGGCCAACCCGTCCGTGTGCTAACACCGCAGCCCGAACAGCCTAAGGAGCCCACTCCTGAGAAGCAACGGTCTGCGAGTCCCCTGAAGGGCTCGAATGGCACCCCGATCAACAGCACATGGAATACGGACACGCCAATCAAATTTGCCCCTGCGCTGGCTCGGCCAAGCTCCTCCACTCTCGACTCCACCGCACAGAAGGCGGCCGGCTCTCTCTTCGCCACGAAGGAGGTGGCGGCTTCGACCCCGGCGGTTAACCCCGAGGTCACTGAGCCTCCCAAGCAAGCCGAGGAAATCTCTACACCCCCTGCGGAGGCCTCTGAATCAGCGACACCCCAGCCGTCCTTGTCGAAGTCGCCTGCTCCATTCCCGAGCAGTGCCGCCCCAGCTTTCGGTTCTACCGGGGCCAAGGCGGCAGATATCGGCTCTCAACTCGCCTCCCCAGCTGTCGTACCTTTCGGCCAATGGAAACCGGCAGAGGGGCAAAAGGATACCGCAGCCCCAGCACCGGCGAGCTCTGCGTCGTCTTTGTTTAGCACGACCTCCAAGCCATCCGAGCCGGAAGCTGCAAAGCCGGCTTCCGTCTTCCAATCTGCTACTTTGTTTGGAAATACGGCCAAGGCCGACGAGTCGAAGCCCCTTTCTTCACAACCGAACCCATTGTTCGGCGCTGCCGCTATCAAGTTCCCCCAGCCGTCAGCGCCGGCAACGCCAGCTGCTTCAATCTTTGCGAGCAGTACGCCCAAGCCTGCGAGCAGTCTATTTGGCTCAACGGCTGCCCCTTCGGCATCTACTGCTGAATCGACACAGCCGCAAACCAAGCCGCTGTTTGGCGCGACCAGCAATCAGCCGACCGGGTCTATCTTTGGCACCAATGCCGCAAAACCCGCCCCCACGCCGGAGCCGAAGAACCCCTTCGGCGCAGTTAGCGCAGCTCCGACACCGAAGCCGGTCTTTGGCGGCACTTCTGCCAGTCAGGACGAGCCAGCCAAGTCACAGCCTAGCATCTTCGCCAACGCACCCGCTGCGAGTGCTCCGGCTTCTACAGGTAGCATCTTCCCCTTCGGCGGACCGCAGAGCACAGCTCCTGCACCTCAGTTTGGAGCGGGGGCCTCTCAGCAAAATGCAGCACAACCTGGCGCATCGTCGTTCGGCAACGGCGGAAGTTCCTCGTTCACCTTCTCGGCCGGTGGAGCGCAACAGTCGTCGTTCAACAATCCCTTTGCCTCGAATGGCGGCACTTCGGCGCCTTCCTCATTTAACTTTGGTAACAACTCGGTCGTAGACACGGCCAGCCAAACATCTGCCTCGCCATTTACGTTCGGGGCCCCTAACATCACCTTCGGTGGCGGTTCTGGTGCGAGCGCCCCGGCTGCGCAGCCAGCTAATATGTTTGGCGGCGCTGCCAATGGTGGCTCCGGCACCCCTTCCTTCTCATTTGGTGCAAACTCGTCCCAACCTGGTGCATCCTCGATCTTCTCCCAGCAGAAGCCGGTTGCGTCTATCTTCGCTGGTAGTCTAGCTCCTCCTGCAGGTGGGACCTCAACAGGTACTAGTAAGTTGCCCCCTTTGCCCGACACCAGACGAACATTATATTGATTCTCGTCTGCCTAGGCTCCCCTTTCAATTTCGGTGGCGCTTCAAGCTTGGCTACGACGCCGGCGGCTGGGACTCCAGAACCGGGCGCCCAAAGCGAAGATGGTCGAGAAAAGCACGCTGACGGGGATGACGCACCACAGGAGCAAATTTCGCTAACCGAAGGCGGGCCGGGCGAGGAGGACGAGTCCGTCGTGCATGAGGTCCGGGCTAAGGCTGTCAAGCTCGTCATCGGCGGGAAGGACTCGGACGGCGAGGCTGGTGCTGCTGGCAAGGACAAGAAAAGCCCTTGGAAGGTCCAGGGCGTTGGTCCTCTGAGGGTGCTGAGGCACAAGACAACTGGGGCGGTGAGGATGCTGCTGAGAGCGGAACCCCGCGGGCATGTTGCCCTGAACAAACTCGTCCTTCCAAACTTCACCTATACGCCGGAGCCTGCAGGTGGCAAGTACGTCAAGATTACCACGTCCAACGACGACGGAACCGGGCTGGAGACGTGGATGCTCCAGGTCAAGACCAAGGAGCTTGCGCAGTCCCTTGCGGATGCGCTGGAGGCCAACAAGGGCAGCAACAAGAAATAGTCGAGGTTGTCGGGGCGGGACGGATGGGCATTGGGACTATAAGGTAAGGTAGGTCAGGCTGGGCCGTCATTATTTCTCTTTTTTTTTTTTTTCCATTTCCTGCATTGGACGGCTTTTGGGCTTGGTGCCGCTACATTGTCAGTAACATTGCACCCGTCAGCATTTTTGGCAGCATTTTTTGAGCTTGCTTTTAAGCATGGAGTCCCAGCATTTTTTCTTGTCTCTTTTTCTGGGCATCTTGAGATGTCAGGCCAAAAAAATTTGGGGAGACCGGGTAACCAGGTAGAACGTTCGGTTCATAGTGAGCCTGTGCGAAGAGCACATTCTTGTATCAAGTATAGTTTGCATTTTGTATGGAGTATAAGTCGGCTCACATAACTATACGGAGCCGGAAGAGGTGTCCATAACTTAATCACCATTGGAAGACATGAGGCAGAATGTCAAAGTTGTTGTGGTGTTCTATCAACTAGGCTGCCTCTCCGATGCGTTTATGTGCCCATAGTGACACATCGTGAAAGGAATTACCAGGTCGTATATGTCATGCGGATGAACGAGCAAATAGGTATAAAATAGCCAACCACACAAAAAACGAGCGCCTTGTTCCTCGCCGTCTCAAAATCCGGCGATATCGATGGTCTTTTTCCCCGCCCGTCTTCCTCGTTTCCCTTGTCAAATGGCTGGGAAAAAAGAGACGCTGTTCCCGCGATGTTGGTGATTAAGAAAGACTGCTCGGTAACGCCGCACGCCACGCAAAAGAAGAACAAAAAGGCATCATGCGTCCGTTACCAAACATAACCCTCTGACCCTGACCCTGACCCTGACCCGACGCCAATTCTCAACCGAACCCCGATATGCCTCTCAATTTTACGCCCAACGCGGACCCGGCAGCACAGCCGTGGGCGGCCGCGCAACTGCCGCCCCGCCCCAGTCTAGTTGCTGCCCTGCACCCCGTCCGCCGGGCACTCGTTCGACGTATCCGGGCGGCGGCGGCAGCAACGGCGAGGCGTCCGCGTCCGCGGCGGCGCGGCCACTGGCCCCGGGGCGGTGGTGGTCCTCTTGCACCTCCCCTCCGTCTTCTTCGGTCCGGCGTCCGGCGTCGGACAACATGTCGCGCAGCTCGACGCCGTCCGGGGGTTTGGGTGGTCCCGGGGACGACGGGCCTGCACCGGCGCCGTCACGCTTCCTCGCGTCGTAGGGCGGGGGCGCCTCGCCGAGCTCGTTGAGGCCCTCCTCGGCGCGGGACTGGAGGACGTTGTGTGCCCAGGCCCAGCGACTCGCGGGCCGGACCCAGCGGGTGGTGGCCCTCTGCTGCTGCTGCTGCTGCTGCTGCTGTTGTTGGCTGTTGCCGTGGCTGCTCGCGCCGCGGACCCAGGCCTCCTGGAGGTCGCGCTCGAGGGCCTGGCGGGCGCGCGGGTCCGACGAGACGAGTAGGCGGGACTTTAGGCGGCGGCGGCGGCGGGTGTGGAAGATCACGGCGAGGGCCGCCAGGCCGGCTACGACGCCGAGGGGGATGGCGATTATGGCCCAGGGCTTGGAGGAGAGGAGGGGGTAGCTTGCGGAGCCGTGGGTGGTGGCCATTTTCTTCTTGTTGTTGCTCCCTGTGAGGCGCCGAGATGGTCGGGGTAGTCGGCCGTGTTATGAATGGTATGTTCGTGTGTGTTTTTGTGGGTGGCGTCGAGACGGGTTGATGATTCCCCCGGACGTTTATATGTAGTTTGAGAAACAGAGGGGGGTCGCCTTTGTCTGTCGTCCCTGCCAGAACAGTATGGTGTTCGTGAGACTGCCAAATGCGCAACCGCCACTCGCCGCAGCAGATTTGCAGGTCAAGGCCCCGGCTTCATGATCGGGAGGCTTCCGGGGGAGGAAGTCCCGTGCGGTGGAAGCTAATGTACTGAAATGCTAGGTTCGTTCCGTCACCGTGCAGGAACTGGTCGATATATCGGGCTGTTCGGGCGGATCACAGAGAATGCACAGTACAGTGTCTGGATCCCAAACCGCAGCAATATGACGGTCGTCTCTCGCGACAGACTTGACAGATAAGAGCTCATCAGGTGTTCTGGGCCCATCCCTGTGGAACTGTTCGGCACTCCCGGGCTCTAGCTGCGGCATTACCATGTGCTGATTGGCTCGAACCCCACTTCCCCACCAAGCTCGGGAGATAGCGAAGTGGAACCTCCAACTTCAACTCTACACGTGCACCCTTACCTCAGCAACCGTTGCTCAGCTACCAACTGATTCACGATTCCTTGGATTCCCATAGATCACGGTTTGGCCTCTCCTTTAGCAGACAAGATGCCGCGGGCTATCAGAGGTAGGAAGCAACTCCTTCAACAAGACATCTCATGCTAAACCTCCGCAAAGGCGTCCTCGTCGAGTGCGAGCCCGCGATCAAATCCATAATCGTCCACCTCGACAGTGAAAACCACGATTTTATCATCGAAGACCTCGACGAGCAGCGACTCGTGGTTAAGGAAAACATGGTGCAGCTGCTCAAGCAGAAGCTGGAGGAGGTGAGTTTTCCCGGACGAGGCCACCGCTGCCTTAACAGACGGCCTACTGAACCCTTGCGCAGCGTCTAAAGGAGACCTACCGGCCGGAGGAACCTCTTATCGACTCGGACTGAACAGTCAGACGCCGAAAACCATGGACAGAGTCGGGGACATGGATGATTTATAGACTCCGCCGACACAGATGGTCTTCACAGTCACCCCCATATCCCTACGATGTCCCGGTCGCTGCTGCACTCTGCTATCCTTCCGAATATGGTCTGTTATGGCGGATGGCCCGCAGGATTGGGTATCACGATTATCTATAGAGAACACTGGGTACAGACGAATGGGCTGGCGAACCCCAAAACTATCCAAGCAAAACCCCCGGCTACAAGACGAGTTTCACAGCTTCTCGAACCTAGGCTTTGTCTTCTTCAGGCCGGAAAGGAGTGCTGCCTGCATGTCGTCGGATTGCAGGGCCGCAGAGTTCCAGATAGCAGTATATCGCAGACCTACTAGCGTTAGCTAGGACGGCACAAATGGAAGCTGTAGAGACTTACTCTGCTCGACAGAGTGATCGCGCCCGTGGTTCAGGAGCTCCTTGGTGCCCTGCACAGCCACTGGGCTCTTAGACGCGATCAGGCCAGCCAACTTGAGCGCCGCGTCCAAGGCGGCAGGTTTGGACTCGTGGACCTGGCTGATGAACCCCACGGCGAGCGCCTCGTCCGCGCCGAATTCGCGTGCCGAGAGGCAGACGTCCTTGACCCACGAGGTGCTCCCTACCGCCTTTGGCAGCCTAGCCAGGGTGCCAATGTCGGCGGCTAGGCCGATATCGACCTCCTTGACCGCGAACCGGGTGTCCTTTGCGCATATCCTCACATCCGCGCAGCAGGAGAGGTCGATGGCGAGACCGTAGGAGATGCCGTGCATGACGCAGATAACGGCTGTTCTAGCACTTTAGCCAAGCCATCCAGGGCCCAGAAATCAGAGATCCCCTCTTTCCTTACGTTTCTCGCATTTCTCAACCGCGCCCACGCTCTCCTGGAACTCGACAATGTGCCGCCGGATGTGTGCGGCCCTGCGCGCCCCGTCGGCGGCGCCCCCGCCGCTCAGGGTGTCGCCCTGGCTGGCGGCCTGGACGTCGAGGCCCGTAGTGAAGGCGCGGTCGCCGGCGCCGGAGAGGACGACGGCGCGGACGTCCGGGTCGACGGAAAGCTGGCGGAAGGCGCGGCCCAGCTCGAGCCACATGGCCTCGTGGAAGGCGTTGAGCTTGGTCGGGCGGTGAATCTCGACGTGGGCGACGAAAGGGGCCGGGCCCGTGACGCGGAAGTGCTCGAGGCCCGAGTAGAGTGGGAGCTCGGCCATGTTTTCGGGGATGGTTAAGGAGACGGGCACGCAGTGAGAGTAGGTTGCTTGCACAGGGAACTACTAGCGACTTCCTAGCTGAGGGACCAAAGTTTAAGCTGTTGATGGAATCTAGCTACAATTCTCTATACATCAAGTCGCTAATATGCACAGTAATGCAGTGGAAGCTTGTGGCAGCCACATGCCGAGGCTCCTTGGATAGCTGTGGAGCTCCGGTGCCACTCAAGCAGCTGAGGAACTACCAGACGCTAAATCAGCCCATTTCCACCATGCAGTGCATATCCGTATCCATTCTTCACTTCTGGTCCATGTCAGGATTTGGGATGTTGGTTTTGACAAGCATCAAGCCTTTTTAACCTTAAATGATGTGATGGAAACTTTGGTATCCACTCCATCTCAGCATCCCAACGAAGCTGTACTCAAAAATGAACCAAGCCGTTGAGAATTCCACAATCCACATTCCACACTGGTTAGTTGGGCCAGTCAAGTACCTACCAGATCAAATATATATGAATTTGCTGGTCGAGGAACGGGCAGCCGAGGGCACAAAACCCGGGTCAGAGGAATAAATTGACAATAGATGTCCTCTCAGTGTTCCACAATCAGATAGGTAGACACGACAGGGCCCAAGCTTTGGTGGACGCACGCATCTTGATGATCTGTCGATCTGGAAGTTCCTCCGTCTGGCAAATCTGACACCGTCCTTGCATTGCAAATCTGTTTAGTTTGCAGCGGCAGAAGGAAGCACGTGGGAACTTGACTGGGAACCCGGAAGGAGGGAGAAAACAACAACAAAAACAACAGCGGCAGACGGAACAGGTAGCTGCCACGTCTGCTTAGAAACGAAGGAAAGCCAAACCTCCAGGCGTCCAAGGGACGGCTTGAATCAAGGTCGCGTGTGGCGACGGTCATGAACCAATATATTATTAGCCAGCCGCCTTGAAGGTGGCAAAGGAAGCTGCAGATTGGATGCCGATTTTCGTCTTCATTTTTGGGGGGTTTTTATTTTTTTGTGACAGTGGCTGTGAAAACGGGCAATTGGGAACGAAACATGGCATGACTCGCTGTCTTGCCGCTAAGCTACGTGCTACTTTTGGTGTTTTTTCATGCCTGACTCTCTGATTCTCCCCAGTTTTTAGTGTCTCTGCCAATAGCGCAAGCCCACGCTTTTTGGCCCTGTAAATTGGGCTGGTCCAATGATAACGGCCCAGAACGCCAGCGGCCCAGCGCAGGGCTTGGTGGCTCCCCCCTTAGCTCAGGCCGGCCGGGTGTCCCTGGAAGGGGTCAGGCAGGTTAGTTCTGCGCTATCCACATCCGTACAATCTGTGATGGGTTTTGCAGCTTTTGCCGGACCAAAAGAGGCTGATGATCCGCTCAACAGTTGGACTTCAGACGCCGTTGCCGACCGAGACATTCATTTTTTAAATCTCAGTATACCTACCTGCTTGCCTTTAAGGGTATACACATGCACCTTCCATCTACTCCCGCCCGATTCCGTCTCGTGTTCGAACTGCCAATCTTCCAAACCACCCCTCACGCCACAGCAACCTCGGAACGACTACTCGACGACTGTTCTTCCTTCAGGCGCCTGCCGTCCTGCGGGCGAAACCCCCCGCCGCCCAGTCCTCTCATCCGAGTCAAGTCCCTTCTTCGGTTTGGCCACTCGCGGAACACTCGTCAAGCCTGTCCGGACAACAACAATCTTTATGGGCTGCTACTGATCCCCTCGTTTCCCGCGTCCCTCACACGCTGCCATTTCTGGGACGAAGATGGCCGCGCCACCATCGAATCGGCCTGAAATGGGCGATATCCTGGTAGTCATCCGTAAGTGCAACCAACCTGTTGTGCTTTCTTGTCCACCGGAGACGGATGCGATTGGCCTTCCCCGTTCCTTCTGCCATCCCCTTAGATGAACATCGTCCATCCATTACTCTTACTTACTGACCGCGATCCTACTTTCAGATGACTTCCAAGCCCGGAGTTCCGACGAATTGAGTCTAGTCAAGGGCGACCGCGTCGAGCTGATTGAGAGGGACGATGAGTTTAACGATGGCTGGTTCCTGGGCAGACACATGGTCAATGGCAATAGCGGACTGTTCCCAGAAGGTTGGTCCCCGACTAGGTCCATCTCTCATCGCATTTCCCGACTAACCAGTACCAGTGTACACCCGACTAGCCCCCATGAACACGAACCCCCCGAATGGTAACTCGACGCCGAGACAGAGCCTTGCTACTGTTGCCGAGACGGCCAACGAGCAGAGGACAGAGGCCGTCTCAAGCCCGCTCGTAGAAGATCGCAACCTCGCCCCGTCGCCACCCATACCCTCGGAGCCGGCACAGCCAACACCCGTTACCCTGCCTCTGAGTTCGTTCACCTCGAAGACGGTAACAAGCATCCCCGCCGCAAGCGTCCCAAGCACGCCACCGACCCATTCTCTATCCGGCATCAATACCATCGGGCGTCCGAGCACAAGTCAAGACAGCCATGTCTTACACGAAACACTGAACGTCATCAACGAGCATATCACGGACCTCAGTTCCCCCCAGCTGAACGACGCGTTGCGGGCAGTGGCCAACGACTCCGAAAGCGAGTACAGCTCGCACATGGACCACCGGATGTCATACATACAGGGGGAGGAGACGGACGAAGAGGAGGATGGAACCCGCTCGCGTTCCGAAGTTATATCTTGGTCGGCCGATGACGTTGCCGAGTACCTGTTCACGTCGGGTGTTGAAAAGCATCATTGTGAGGTGTTCCGGGATCAAGAAATCACGGGTGAAGTGCTCCTAGGCATGGACCAGACCTCGCTCTTCATAAAAGCGTTTGACCTTGGCTCGGTGGGACGTCGGCTCAAGACCTGGCAGAAGATCAAGGCGCTACAGGACGAAGTGAACGGGCAAGGCCAATCCACGCGGAGGACGACGCAGACGTACGGGAGCGAGGCTGGGTCCGACGCAGTGGGACGAATGAGGAGTAGGACTAGCACCCTGACAAGCTCCGTCCAGAGGATGGCGCCACTTGACGATCGACCACCGTCGGTACAGACGAGGCGCGTGTCGCTGACACAAACACCAAGGATGGAGCCAACGCAGCCCCTGACCCCGGTGTCACCACTGATGGAGAGCCCGACCAGACCCTTCCACATCAAGCGGCCCTCAGCTGCATCCGTCCGAGATTTACACCACTCCCGTCGTCACTCCTCTACCGACTTCCGTCTGACGGGGACAACGCTGGACACTGCTGTAACCCCCAAGTTGGCTACTAGCGGCATGCTTCCGCCTCCGCCCCCTCAGCCCGTCCCTGTCGCCCATAAGAAACAGCCCTCTTTCGACCGGAATTGGACCCTTCGGAGTGCAACGGCCTCCGCCCCGCGCCCATCATCTTCGGCCGGGGTTCAGCAGGATGTCGTGACAGCATCGAATCTTGACCCTCAGGATTCTGCTGTGGACATTGACCGCGGCTACTTCTCTGGTACTGACGCTGACTCGAAGCGACGCAACGTATTAAGAAAGCGGGAGATTGAACAAGTTCGCCACTCGCGGAAGTCCAGCTACGCAGAAGAGCAGCGGGTTCGGACTGCCACGGCACTTTCCAGGCACTCAAGGTTCGGCAGTGTGGACTCTGTGCGTGAGCCAACCTTGGGGACGTCGACCGCAGCCCAGAAATATTACGGAATAGCAGCCAGCATCCACCGGCGCACCGCGTCCAGCGCTACTACCGAGTCAATAAGACCAGTACCCCCGGCAAAAGACAGTCCTTCACCTACGGTAACGATCCTTGACGGTTCCACTGAGAGGCCGCGACCTCCTCCAATAACGCCGATTTCGCCCCCGAATCGCCAAGCCATGCATGCCGACTGGTACACCAGGTCCGGTATCAAGGGCGGGTTTGGCCTGAGGGCTATCTCGGATGCGGTCACCGGGAGCGAGCGCTCCAAGCTTGCTTTGTCGGCCGACTCCATATCCAAAGAGTCTCCAATACAATCCCCGGCCAGGACCGGGTCTACCACGCCGTCAGCCGAGCCGAGCTTCGAGTTGGATTCCCCCAACGCCGCCAAGAGTCCCAACACGGCGACCACAGCGTCCAGTCGGAATAACGGTCGAAAGAAGACCAAGAAGGAGACGAGTGCATACCTCCGGGGGCTTCAGAAGTGTACTCCCAGAGAGGCGATGGTGGATGCCGATTATACCGGGTGGATGAAGAAGAAGAGCTCGAATCTGATGACGACCTGGAAGCCCCGTCTCTTCGTCCTCAAGGGCCGGCGGCTGGCTTACTACTACTCGGAGGACGATGACCAAGAGAAGGGTCTCATCGACATATCTTTCCACCGAGTGCTGCCGGCGGACAATGAGAAACTCACCGGCTTGCACGCCACCCTGACCGGGGCTTCCAACACGCCGACGATGCCGGCCGGCAGTAACGTCCCGACACTCGCCGCCGCGCAAGCCGAGGCCGATCCGACCACGGAGTCGGACTCGATCTTCATCTTCAAACTGGTACCCCCGCGTGCGGGGCTCTCCAGGGCGGTCAACTTTACCAAGCCCACCGTGCACTACTTTGCAGTCCCCAACATCAAACAGGGGAGGCTGTGGATGGCAGCGCTGATGAAGGCGACCATCGACCGCGACGACGCCCAGCCGATCACGACGACGTACCAGCAGAAGACCATCTCCCTCGCCCGGGCCCGGGCGATGCGCCACAGGCCGCCCAACCTCATGAACCTCGACGAGGCGGCCGAGGAGGCGGGGGCCGACCGGGACGAGGCCGACGCCGACGCCGACGCGGCCGACGGCCTCGGCATCGTCTACGACGGCGCCGACAGCGGGGTGTCGGGCCTGGAGAAGATGGGCCTCCAGAAGGTCGAGAGCGCCAGGTCGAGAGGCTTCCCCCTCGGAGACGAGAAGGACTCGAGACTTCCTCAGAGCGCTTGAGGCTGTGAAAGGCGGCGTGCAACTCATCCGTCTTATCCCCCCTCTTCCCGGGGAGGGGGAGGGGGGATTGTAATATCTACGCGCGTCTAGTGTCGTCAATCCAACAGCCTGGTTTTCATGAAGCGGTTTCAACAGCCGACGCAACAAATCCCCCCCGGACCCGGCCGTCACTTGCTTTTTTTTGGCTATTTTCTTTTTCTCTCTCTCTTTGTCAACTACATTACACCGCAACGCCATTTGCCTTTTTTTATATATAATGTGCCATGTATTCTGATAGCAAGGAGGGGAGAGAGGCATAGTATCGGCGTATCTTTTTGCGAATTGCAGATCGAATAGGAAACGGGGGCCCCATGTCCATTCAGGTTGGGGGAAAACGTTGGTTTTCTTGTGTTGTCTAGGTTGCTTTCTATGCCTAGTGAACGGCTGATTGAGCAAATGTCTTTTGTTATTATCCTCAGTCTATCCTTGGTCAATTTGGCCACTCCCCCTTCCCTTTTTTTTTTCATTTAAATTTCCATGTGGCCTGGCTTGAGGCTAATTATGTGTGAGGATATGCTGTGCGGGAGGCCCAGTGGGTCTCGCGGGGCGTGGAGAGTATATCGTTGAGGAATTAGGGGGGCGAGTCGGAGGGGGTCTTAGCTACTTGTATGAAGCAATTGTGCCGAGGGAAGCAAATCGGACGCGAGAGAGCAATGGTTACCCAATTGTACTCAATGTGATAGAGGTGAGACGAAAGATGAGTTATTCCAGATATCACGGGAGGGTATTGATGCGGAGACCTTCAGTGTCTACCTATGTTGTGGTCGTGCTACCTCCGGTGCGGAGTGCATATCCGTATAGTCCCGTTGCGGGAACACGACCCCTTTCTTCGAACACGGGGTATGACGCACCCCATCAGGGATCAACCCCCTATCCCCTCCCCCGATCCCTTTGGATGGTGCATCTCGTCTCCTACTAGCAAGGCTCTTGATGCCGGCCGTTTCGAATCTGGGGCTCGCACAATTGGTACACGATCTTCCCGATGCACCCCTGTCGACGGTCCGGGGCGCGTGTGGACGACGCAGGGCCCGGCGAGGGAGAGAGAGGTCAAGAGGCACTAACTAGGTTGACTCCGGCCTTCCCCGCATGTAGTGTTTCCCCCGGGGAAAGGTTAAGTATCCAGGCCATCTGCTGGCGCGGCTGTGTCACCACCATACTACGTTGGCCGGCGGACTAGGTTAACTATGTGTCACCAGTTGCACACCGGCATGGTGATAAAGCTTATATCGGGTGACGCCGACGAAGTTGGGTCGTCTCTCCCGCCGCACGATCTCGTAGTTTCTTAAGTTGGACTGGTCGTGAGGTTGGATAGTGGCATGCCAATCTTCAATGTAAGGGGGCCTAGGGTGCTTCTTTTGAGACTCGCGCTTCTGGAGAACTTGTCCTCTTCGTAACCTCAGCTCCAGTGGCTGTCCATTTGACACCCTGAGGTTGCCTCTCCAATGCGTCTCAGGAGCTTCTGTTGCATATTATGACCAGTAGGGACAGCAGGATCAAGGAGGCCTGGCTGCCGGGAAACTTCGGTCCTGCGTTTCTCGTGAGCATAGGTGGAGAGTGTCGACATGGCACCGCAGCTGTGAGAGGCAAACAGACAAACTGCCTAGCCTATAAAGTGTCATGGATGCCACTCGGGGGGAAGAGTCAAAGGTCAGAAAAATACTACATATCTCCATTATAAACCATAACGCCAGCAGATATGTCCAACAAAACCTCAGATTCACGATCCAGCTTCAACTTCACCCAATATGCGGTGGAGCCGTCCTAGTCAACGCCGACTCTTGGACTGAGGTAGAAAGAGCACACTTATAATAGAGGACAGAATGCCACATAAGTCCCCAAACACTTCAAGCTCAAGCCGATTAACCGGTAGGTCGCTGCGTAACCCGAGGTTGCACGCTTCACCTTTTCCGTCGCGATTGGTTGTGGGAAGACGAGGTTATACTCCCATCTGTCAACAAGGTCAGCCCCTATTCGTCGAGGCCGATCTATGGCAGCGACGCCAATTGGCAACTGACTTGCAGCCTCGACACCGAACCCTTGGACGGTCCCCCATTGGCCCCTCGTCTTTTGCTGCGAGCAGGCCTCGCAGTCTTTGACCTGCTCCCAGCTATTTCGAAGTTTCTTGACCCCGAAGCACTGGTGGTTTGGGTCGTTGCGTGCAAAGTGGCAGTAGGATTTGAGCCGAATGGTCGAGCAGCCACAGGCAAATAGGAATTCTTCGTAATCACACATTGTTTGTCTGCCGAGTGTGTTTTGAAGGAGCTGCCGAGATGGACCCTGGCTGAATAGATGAGAGCCTGCCACACTTGAACATGTAAGCTAGGAACGTTGGTCAGATGGGCGACGAAGGAGAGTGAAGCTATACCTACAGGGCTCGATAGGACGGACTGTTGATTTCTTGTCGTTACGGCCGGAGCAGAACGGGGGAGGAGCAACAGCATCGGTAGAGAGTTGCTTTATATCCTCCTATCCATGGCGTCTATCCGTGGCGATGACGATATCACCTGCAAGACGACCAAAGGAGCTGACTTCATAACGCAAACAAGTTTGCAAAGCAGTGGGACACTGCGTTGCGAGACGTGGGAATTCGCAGGTGCCCCCTTCTGCTCAGACGCTCAGAGAGCACTCGACTTCAGCTGTCAGTGATCTGTCACATTCCCGTCGACGAACCCCCACATTGACCATTGACTCGACGCGTCTGCCCCAAAGGAAGGAGAGGGTTCGTCGATGCAAGATAGATTGGGCCTGGTATCAGTATCTGTCGGGACTAGGGGGCAAGACCTTGTAGTGCCTCCAGTCCAGGCTGGATATGAACCGCGCTCGTCACCGGGAAGTCTGGCGCGGGGCGGAATGGGAGCCACGACTCGTATGGCCACCAAGCCGCGATCAAAACTCTGCAGATGGCTTGCAGAAGACTATCAGTGGAAGAACATGGAAGAGTTTGCTAGTTTCCATCTGGCTGGAGTTCGGTTTGTCCGAAGCGGCACGGGCCGAGAGGTGAAGTGTGCCGAAGACGTACATCTGGGAAGCAAACAATGCTTGCAGCCAACTTGCAGGGAATCCAGCTACGTTGTCAAACATGTCCCAGCGGGGGGGCGTGGGGTTCGTATTTGCTCCAGGGTCCTGACCGTACGTACTCTATGTGATATCTTTCTAGCCGACCTTGCTTGACTTCCACGGTGCTCTGTAGGTAATTGCGAGGCCGACCGTGACCGGGGGACGTTAAACCCCAAAGGTGAACGGCAAACACCACCGTGCTACGTTTCACCATGGATGCCGCTCAGGCTATCCAACTCAACACGATCAGCACTGTATCCCGCAATCGTTCCCACGGATCGCTGCAAGGGAAGAAAGGCGGACGAGTAAACCATGTTTACACCTAGCAAGGCCTCTCGAGCCTGGGTGGCGGGCGTTGCGGCTCCCGATAGGCCGGCACGGACCGTTCGAGGTTTTGGAAACGAGGAAAGAGAGGCCCCGAACTCAGCCCATACATACTAACCTTCTGAGAGCGAGCCAAGATCAACTAGGATAGCCGAGCTCACTTCGCAAAGAATATGGCTGGCGATAGCGTGCACGAAGTGAGCTCTAGAGGCGAGCACGGAGGAGCATCACGGTGCAAAATGTCCCTGGATCTTAAACATTAAGAGTAGCTCAATGTGCGCTTGCAACGAGGAGTGTTGCCAATGAATGGAATGAGCCCCTCGACTTCGCGTTACCAAGTCCACCCGAGTACGACGAGACAAAAAGGGCCAGGTCAGCGGCAAGTTGCAGAGAAACCTGGTATCGGCGAAAAGAAACGCTCACTTTCAATTGGTGATTTACACAAATCTTTTTGCACCATTGGCAATCGAGGGTTCACAAAGGATCCTATGGACCATCAGGGGTCGCCTGCAATATCAAGGTTTCCCTCAGTCCTATCTACCACACTCTTCAGATTCGCACTCAGCAATGAGAAAAGGACAAAAAGAAAGGAAACTTATCTTTTGGGTGTGAAAATCCACAGCGTTGATATAGCAAGTATTTTGACGCTTATAAGAAGTAGTAGCAAAAGAGACCAAAAGGTTTCTATCCCGCCGGGGAACCCGGGTCCCGAACGAGGACCGGTGAAGGTAACAAGCTCATATCTGACCACTATACGGATACTACGGAAGATTATCTTTGCATATTCACCAGGGGTGGTTGTAGATATGCCAGAGGTGGCTGTGGATCTGATGTGAAAGTGAATGCAGACAGGTATGAGACATAATAAGGGTGCGACCGATAGCTTCCTTGGGAGAACAGATTTTGGGGGAAACTTGGGTGTTGGAGCAGTTTCTAACCAGAATAGGTTTATTGCCTTGTCGAAATACCTGAGCCGCCTCATCGCAATAGCCTCCTCGTTCGTCAACATCTGGGGGGCGCGTTCCCTTCTGGAACCGTTGCTGATTGGCTGGACTCGCTCGATCCGCAGACATCTTTACCGCCAAGACGTACAAGTCGTACTACGAATCAGTCGGGGTGGAGGCCACGAGGCGCCGACAGGAGGTTCTCGAATTCAAAAGCTGAGGATGGGTGGAAACTTCTGTGTCGATTCTTGTAGAAGGACCGTTCCCCTGATTGAAAGAGAAGACACTTTTGCCGTGATCAAATGATCAAGACTGTTGCGAACGACAACCCTGCAGTCCATTCATTGGCTAAAGCTCACGTGTAAAGCGGGTATGTAAACCACCGTTTAGCAAAGTGAGGCGAACAGCCTGCATGGTAGCCTTAAAGTGAGGCGGACAAGTCTCACATTTGTGCGCCCTGAATCGGCCAGACATCCTCCTCCCCTTTCCCCATTCTGTTCTGTCCAGATCATGCTCAAGCGCTGTTGAACGGGACTATCGGACGAGCTGCATTCGTCTTTCTTCCACCCTCCCCAAGCACTCTCCTGCCTCGATGACGTCGATAACGCCCACAACACCCTGGAACGCCCTGGCGCAAGAGTGTGCTTAGAACCGCAGAACCGCAGAACCGCAGAACCGCAGAACCGCAGAACCGAGCCTGGCTGTGCCCACTGCCCAGGACATACAAATCATCGCCCCCGGAGCTCGAAACCCTCCTCGCCAAGACAGCCAAAGTGTGCCCCGTCGCTGCCTAAACTTTCTGCTTGGCTTGACCTTTGTCAGTCGCCCATATTTTCAATCCTGAACCAGGACTCCCACCGTCTGCTGTTTGCAACCCCTAATCCTGGCCGTCGAGTCTGCGGTCGCTTGCAACTCCCGTCTCGGGGACAAATGCCAAAACAAATGCAGACTAACACTTAGTCGTTGGCGTCAAGGAATTGACTGGACTGACCTCTCCCCACAGCGCCATGGATCTCACGCGCCAGTCTTTGTTCTCTCTTCCGCTCGAGCGCCATCAAGTATGCTTCCTTCTGATATTCCCGTTTTGCCTTTTCTGATCTGTCCTAGTCATTTGCAATGAATGGCCGCTCTGCACAATCATCTGGACTTCCTGTCGTGGATAGCCGTTCCAGGCACATCGGACTGGATATGAGCTCTGGACGGCCCCACTATCCCGTTCCCGGTTCGGGCCAGATCCATGGATTTGGTGAAATTCCGGGCCTGGGCAGTGGTCAGCTGTACCAATTTCTGACTTCTCGGGATGGACCATGGGTGCCCCAGGTGTCCGGAGTGCGAGCCCAACCGGCCTCTGAGCCGCTGAGAGGCCCGTCATTCTTTGTACATCGCAATTCTCCCCTGCCGTCGGATTGCGGAACCGCCGTTGGAGTGGACATACTCCCATCCGACTCGGGATATGAGAGTATGACTAGACAGAGCGTCGGCAATCCTTCCGTTGTCGGTGAACATGACCAAAGTTCCGAATCCATCATTACCGCATTCTCAGGTTTCCAACTCCAAGGAACGAACCGGAGTCTTTCTGAATATCAAAGAGACCGGTGGACCCAGCCAGCAAGCGTTCGTCTGGGCGGTACTGCTACTACCCCAAATTCCGCTAACTATGTCTGCCCTCACTGTAATACCGCAGTGAAGACCAGATCTGAGCTCAAGTAAGTCGAGTGTGTGCCGTTGAGCTGGTCTCCGTTAACAAAAGCTGTCTCAGCAAGCATGAGGCGAGACATACCAGACCACACCGCTGCACAGAACCGGGGTGCGCACGGAAGGACGGGTTTGGTACCCAGAACGATCTCGATCGACATCGAAAGAGTGTCCACGGCACGAACGGGATCAAATTTAGCTGCCCCCTCGACCAGTGTGCGAGGAAGTCGAAACTCTGGCCACGGGCAGATAACTTCCGACAGCATCTGAAGAGGGTCCACAGTTTGCCTATCGATAGCGATGTCGATCTTGAGAAATACAAGGTCCAGTAAGTCACCCAAGCCAAGCAGAAGGGACTTGTGCTAATGATCCACTTTCCTAATCTTGTTGGCAGATCCCCAAACAGTGAGGATCCGGTCCTCACGTCCGTCGGAGTTGCCCCCGAACAGAATCTTGCCTCTAACTCTTGTGATGTCGGTTTCGAAGCTTGGGGTGGGTCGGAAGTCAGTGAGGATATGTCTGAAAATAGTGATGCCGACGGAGGAGATCCATTTGCCGCGGAGAGTGACCTGCAACTTCCAAGCAACGACAGTTCGTTGAGGCGACCAGACTTTGGCGGATCCACTACGACTAATACTGGCCAGCCTCAGGATGCGGACGAACCTGAACCTTTGGGAGTATTGCCACAGGATGACCTCCGGGACTCCGTGATACCTATCGATAATCTTGAAGAACAGGTTCAGGAGGCCGTCACTCCGTCACCAAGGGAATCTTGCGGGTCAGACTCCCCTGATTTCCGCCCGGAGCAGCTAGATCGTGACGCCATGGTTCTCACCACCACATTGGTTGCTCGTGTTCCAGACAGCGAGCCAACTGAAGTAGCTGTGCTTGACGACGAGGATGCCATGGCCATTGACAGCGATGATAGTCAGGCTGCTCTTAGTCCACATGACCAGCTGGCCATGGCTTCCGAGCTAGATAGGGCTTCATTGAGAATTAGGCCACGCAGAGACACAGAGGGAGACACAAAGCTCACCGATGGCGAGCCTCTCTTGGACAACAACGGTGATTCCGACTCTGAATCACAAAGATCCGGGAATAGAGGAGGCCCGGGGCCTCTAGGCAAGCCGAAGTCGGCCATTGATGCCATTGAAATGTTGGGACTGACCAACGAAGCGATGGCAAGCGCCTTCATCAAGAACCTGGAAGACAAGGGTTTGCTCGAGAAGTTGATGCATGAACTCGGATACGAGAAGACGAAGGAACCATTAGTAGAAGCGAAGAAGCCTGCTGCCGAACAGCCCTCGTCAAGCAAAAACAAGGTTCGGTGCCACGAATGCAACAAGACCTTCAATCGCAATTGCGAGTTGAAGTGGGTTCGACCCCCAACTTTTGAACCGTGTCGATAGGCTGATATGGTGATCCAGGAAACACATGAAGCGGCACGATAAACCTTACGGCTGCACATATCCCAACTGCCAGAAGTCATTTGGCAGCAAGAATGACTGGAAACGCCACGAGAGCAGCCAACATTTTAAGCTTGAGAATTGGAGTTGCGACGTCTGCAACAAGGTGTGCCACCGCCGCGAGACATTCAAGCATCACCTCAAGAAGGACCACGGCATTGAAGATAGAAAGGTGATGGAGGAAAAACTTGAACGTGGCCGGACGGGGCCCAAGTACGAGAGAACTCGCTTCTGGTGTGGCTTCTGCTTGCAAATCATCGAGACCAACCAGAAAGGACTCGATGCTTGGAAGGAACGGTACAACCACATCGACGATCACTTGAGCGGGCGTAAATGCAAGAAGGATAAGTCGGACTGGAAGTCGGATGAACAGGATCTATCAGATGTACCCGAGGGCGATGTGTGTGTCGCGGGGTCGGACGATGGTGAGGCAGACGCTCCCTCGGAGTCGGGCGGTCCCAACGCAGCCGCCATCGACAAAGCTGACGAAATAGCCACCCCATCCGATGCCCCCGTTCACTCAAGAAAGCGACCGGGGGAGGAAATCAGGCACAGCTCTAAACGACCGAGGCATGAACGCAGTCGGCTATTCTGGGTCTGCGTAAGTCAATCTCACCGTCTCTTTTCGAGCATCGCTTCTGATGACCTTCCAGTGCGAGTGCAGCCACGTGCTGCCTGAAAACGCCGATTCCTGTTTCAACTGCCTAATGACCCATATGCGCTGCCGGAGCTGCTGCGTAGAATACCTAATCGTCAGTGAAGAGAACTATGAGAATGCACAAGATACGAAAACGGCGCGATGATGGATACATTGATTGGAAATGAAATGGAAAGGAAGTCGGGATATGATACCACTGCTGCTTAATGTCGATTTATATGGCGTTCCGGGTCCGGCAGTCACCATCGACATGGCATGGGTGATTGGATCTCCGTAGTTGAACACTCGGCAGGGACTACGCAATATTCCTCAAACCTATCCAAGACCGAGTGAGACCAACCCCCTTTAGAATTCTTGTCTACCCCTATGTAGGTACCTAATCATACGACATAAATAGCATCCTTCCACTCCACTTCGTTGCGACGGTGTGGCGCAAAGCTGCAAAGGCCGCATCGAGATTTGCTATCGCGATACACACCCACCCTGCCCGCTGCTGGAATTTGGGCGCTCAGCTGGTTATGCGGCTGACTCCCAAGGTCGGGCGTGCCCTAATCTAGCATGTTCCGCACGGCGAGCAGACGGGGAAATGCCAAGGGGGCCGAGTTGGAACGCATTGGCCCAATTGGCAAGCTCGTCTTGTGTGTATTTTGACGGGGAGATGACGGCGAGACGGAGTGGGTGTAGGTAATTGGAGAATGGGACCTCCACGTCACCAAACGACGGGCACCCTGGATAGTACGGTAGGCAGAACGACCCTGCAGGAGGCCCACCGCATCAGCCCAAAGGTGGTTTCTTTTTTTTTAAAGGAGGGGAGGGGGGAGGGCAATTGGAGTTTTTGGCCAAGGAACGTCAACGGAGAAAGCCGCGGCTTCCCGCCGCAGGCCCACTCCCCTACACACCCCTTCCTCGGTTCCCCTCCTCTGTTGTTGGTCAATGCAAGGGTGCCGAGGTTGATACCGCCAGGCAAGCGTAGGCAGACACGGCGAGGCGACCGCGCTAGATCGTGTTGTCTAGAAGCCGACCAATCCCAGCCCCTAACCTGACCGAAAAACTCCCTGCCGCGCTGGCATGCCATTTGTATTCCAGAGGATGTATGCCTAATATGGAACCCGGTGATGAAGACTTTTGCGTGGTCAGAAAAACACAGATCGGCCAACTGAGGTGGTTTAGGGGAAGCTAAACCCCGGCACCCCCGTAGGTTTCGTTGCGGCACAGGAGTCCCTGACAACGGAAAGGAATTAGGCGGTTTGTTTCTCCCGTCGAAAAAGAAAGGGACGAAGAAAAGAGGAAGGTCCCAGACCCCTCGCAGAGCCAGTAGTGGTTGGTTGGTTGCTCAGATTACTAACTGACACATAGATCTACCCTACAGATCGGCAAGTTGCTGACGGCCCGGGGTGAAGGAGAAGCAGGTACGGAGCCCTGCGTGGCTCTGGCTTTGGCTTGAAAGCGCATTTTTGGCCCTTGGATGGCAATCTGTGCATGGTCTCTCTCTGATCATCCAGGGGCCAGGAGTCCCCCAAAGAAAGCCTTTCGCAGCCTGCATGTCGCACTGGATGAGGTCGGACAATGGTCATCTGAAGAGTCTACGCAGTATTGGAGTTGCACCGGCGGCTAGTCTCCTCGCCAAGGGCGTTTCCGCAAACAGGGCCAGTTACACGCCGTGACGCGATTATAGCCCGGAGGCGTTCCTGAACCAGCGGAGTCGACCGAGATCGAGTCGCGGAGACGAGTCCTAGGGCTTCAACGAGGAATCATGGCGTTCACTAGAAGCAGCCATTTTCTCCACACCAGGCCTATCACGACAGTGGCGCTCTGTTGCACGACTTACAATAGCGGGAAGACATGACGTGGGGCAAGGTGCCAGCGAAGAAGTGTCGTCGCTTAGTGACTCAGGCGCGTCTTGAAGGTTATTTCTGGCTCTGATCTGACAGTCTTCTAACAACCCTTCTAACCCCTTTCCGGAAGTGGAGGCCAGATGGCTGGGGTGGAATGTGGTGTGGGAGGGTGAGAGTGGATCCATAGCTTCTCAGCCCCTCAAGACGAGAGGAGGAGCGATCCGCGGCGGCTCGACAGCCAAGAACATTTCAGATTCAGCTGACAGGCCCCATCCCTATCCTACGCATATAATCTAGGACTATTATAGGCCATGACCAGGATGGCGGAAGTGGAATGCCGAAACGATGGAGAAATGCACCTACTCCATACTGTACATACATCCATCCATACCACAGTAGAGGTAGGTAGTTAGGTACGTGCAGCAGCATGAGTGACCTATCTGCATACAAGTATACATCTGAACTGGCAACCTACTGCATTACGACACTGCAGTTATCTGATTCGTCGGTATCATAGTCCCTCCATTGTAGTCGGGCGAAATACCCCACTAATACCTACCCCGCCTACGCATGGGCCACAGGGCCGATCCGAACCCTAGCGGCCGGTGGGGCTGTAGAGTGGATGGTGCTAGATAAAAAAAATATTCAAGGAAATATACCTACGGATACTGAAGAACTCGCAATCAAATAAGGAGGGATGAAGAAAAGAAGAGGGGAAGAGCACGACAGAGTACGATTATCGCGGGCGCGATATCTACGCTACTCGCCAGCTGCTGCGCTAGGCTAGCTGGCTAGGTCCCCAGGTCCCTAATCTGTTGCTCCTCGCGTGCTCCAGGATCGATCAGTAATGAGCCAAGTGAGTGCAGAGCCTCAATCTGTGTACACACTTACCAGGGCTAATTTCGGCTTTCACCATTCAGCTGCCTCGTGAGAATCCGTAGGCGAACAGGGATGGCCTGGGAATTGGGTCGCGGCCCCACAACTCTGAGCCAGACGGATTACACTACACCACATCTCCGTCCCAAAGGAGGGTAGTGGCAAGGCACCCAGGTCCTTTTTACCTCATTTATTTTTTGTGACAGGTGACAGGTCAATATTGTTGGCTGTCGCCACTCCGCGGAGGTCTCTGTACACTGTACACTGTACCTACGCCAGCAGTGCCAAGAGCCTAGGGTGTCTACCAGGTAGATAGGTACCTAGGTAGGTATCCAGGCACCAAAGAAGAAGTCCCTTCAACCTGTGCGAGGCGCAGTTGCGGCGTCGTGCCGCACACTAGGTACTTGCCCAGTCAAGGGAATGGTTTTTTTCCCCGGTGAACGAGTACCTGCCCCGGAGGTCAAGCACTTACAGGTTCCTCGAAACCAACATCACTTTCCGGTTCTTGATAGACCTAGCCGGCGCACGAAACGATAGGACCATCCTGGATCCTTGCCATGCACAATACCAGGGTGGGCTCAGCCCTTGGCGCCAGGGAGTATACTTGCTCGTGTGTGTTGGGAATCGAGGCCGCTGGCTGACACATTGGAAAGCGATGCGGCTCTGCGGGTTTTGGAGGAGGGCCTCCTCAGAAAGAAGACGTGGTTGTGAGGCCGAAAATTGGCACACGCAAACTCCCCCCTTCGCCAATTTCCATGTAGTCCTGCCCAATCTCCCTTCCTACTCCGCCACTACTATAACTCCAAGTTTGGCTGTCATTCTCTCCCTACCCTCTCTTTAACACACGGTTTTCGACCCGCTGTGGTTTCTTCATATATATGCACCTACCTTCACACCCGGAGCCTTGTTTTCCTCCCCAAGCCGTCATCAAGCCTTCATCCCCTAACTATCCCTAAGCTCTATGCTCTGCTGAGCTCACTTCAGAGCAAGAAAGACTATACGTTTAGCCCACGACCTTCGCTAGGCTGAATCGGAAACTCCGTAGCCTCAGTGCGCCCGAGGACGGCCACCTTCCAAGGAGAAGTCCATAGAAGCACTGCCACGCTCGAGAGCCTGCCCAGGGCTCCCCCCCCCTTTCCAAAGCCGTGACCTAAACAGCCTCATCTTGCCCCAAGCCATTGAACCTTTCCATATCATGGACACCCAACACAATCTCTTTGTGGGACTGCAACACCTGGAGAGCAGAACCTTCCAGTCGTACTCTCCTAGTCAAACCGATGACGAGCTCGGCGATTCCAACACGTCTTACATGCGTACGGACCATCAGACCTTCCCTGGCTTCGTCAATCTTCAGGGGGATCCCGACCAGCAAGTCAAGCGATATCTGAATGATGACCAGCATAGGTTCCTCTTCAACGCCGACGCTTCCATCAACACAACACCAGCGCAGAGACACGCCCGGCGAGTAGGCGGAATACAGCCCGTGCCGCCGCCAGTCCACGCCCGTTTCGCCAGTCCCTCCTCCTCGATCGACCCTTGGAATGGGACTAACAGCGCACTCAGTCCTGCCGCAGACACGGAATCCTACCTCGATAACTGTCCTACACCCCCTGACACCGCCGTACTTTCGCCGTCCTTCTTTCACTCGACATCACTTGACCAGTGGCAGGACACCACCAGCCCTATCCACTTCTTCGGCATGGGACCAGTGTCGAATGATGGCGCCTGCGTCAACCCAGTTGAAGTCGATCCCAGCCAGCAGCTGGGCTATTGTGAACCTGAGGGGTCCAGCATGGACTTCAACCTGACCTCCGAATCAGCCTTTGGCACCGACAGCTATTCCATGCCGAGCCCAATCATGGCCGTCCAGGCCAAGGCATTCTTGGGCCCCGAAGAGCTCTCTCCCGCCGTGGAGGACGAGGCCAAAGCGGCCCAGTATCCGCCACCGCAGTCCCGAGGCGTCTGCGAGGACGAGGGCCAGGACGAGGACGAAGGTGATGACGCATCCGACGGAGCGGTGGGAGAGGCACATACCAAGAGGAAGATAGACTCCGACGACGACGACGACTACGTCCCAGGAAAGAAGTCCATTGTCAGTGCAGGATCCCGGAAGACCCGACCCAAGCAACCGTCTGGTGGACGCTCAACAAAGAAGAACCCGAATAAGAAACCCAAGGTGCTTAGCGGCGGCGCGCAGTCGTCGGCAATAGCAGCTTCTCGTCCCCGGGCGGCGAAACCCTCATTTCCCTGTCCCAATTGCGACCAGGCATCCTTCAAGGACGCGAGCAGCCTAAAGAGCCACATCAAGAAGAGCCACACCCGGCCGTTCACCTGCGTCTTCCATTTCGCCGGCTGCCCCCTGACCTTCCCCAACAAGAACGAGTGGAAGCGCCATGTGATGACCAAACACATCCTCCTCCACTACTGGGTCTGCACGGAAGGCCAGTGCGGTGTGGCAGCCCGGGGCGGCGCGGACGGCGCAGCGCCAGGCACGAGACGCCGGCCCCGCGGCCCCGCGTCGGAGGGCCCGTCCAACCTGGGCACCCTGCCGAAGCTCGTCTTCAACCGCAAGGACCTGTTCACGTCGCACATCCGGCGCATGCACCAGCCCCCCCAGGACGAGAAGCCGGGCAGGCAAGGGCACAAGCGGACGGCGAACAACAACAACGAGAGCAAGCGGCTCCTGGAGAAGAGCGAGCATGAGCGGCAGCGGGACTCGTGCAGGCAGCGCTGCGACCTGCCGCAGCACATGGCGTGCCCCGTCGCGCAGTGCGGCACGCAGTTCCAGGGCGCGGGCGCGTGGGACGAGCGCATGGAGCACGTCGCCCTGCACCTCGACAAGGCCGCGCAGGGCGCGGAGCCGGCCGTCACGTTCGGCGGCCCCGGGGACCCCACCCTCCTCGAGTGGGCCGCCGCGCCGGGCGTCGACATCGTCAGGCGCGTCCACGGCGCGTGGGTGCTGAATGGCCTGCGGGTGGGCGGCCCCGATGTGGATTCTGAGGCTAGATCTGAGGCGAGCGGCGCTGTGGATGTTGGTTACGAGGAGGAGGAGGAGCAGGAGGAGGAGGAGCAGGAGGAGGAGGAGGAGCAGGAGGAGGAGGAGGAGGAGGAGGTGAGGGGCGAGATCGTGGTTGACCATCGGTGGAACCCGGATGAGGACGCCGAGGGGGAGGAGTATGATGAGTGATGGCACTTCTTCCTTTTCCTGACTCTCCTTGTCACTCAAGCCGGCTTTGAGATCTTCAGGGGCATGTTTACTTGCATCTTGACGCGAAATTGGGTGTTCATAATGTTCATGTTATTTTGTTATTTTTATTTTTGGTTCCCCCAACCTTTCCTAACTAGCTGGATATACGTCTGGGTTTGGCGAATCTCGTGTCGTTTACTTGGTTGGTCTTTGTGATGGACTTCAGCAACAAGTTTCAAAAGCGTTATATCGGGGGACATCTGGCTACCATGTTCAAAATGATACCATGACAAGAACTGTTACTTGTATAGACGGAGGATACCATAGACTTGGTTAATCTCTTACACGAAAATATGATGTTTTGGTATTTACACGAACTGGCTCTGCTTCCTCCGGATATCTGGGATAGGGGCGGCAATCTCTAAAAAGTGCAGAGAAACAGATCTCTGGCTCGGCACTCTTCACACTCACCAGACTCTCGGGCGACCCAGTGTTGGGCCGCCATAAGTCAACCCTCCAGGGGTTTAAAGGTGGACACCGACAGAATTGGTTTCCCATTCTCTCTCCTCTCACGACTTGGAGTCACAAGTCCCCGGTCACCCAAAGCCGCAATAGTCCTATGCTACATAATTCCAGTCGGGTCAGCAGCCCACCATCCATGTCAGCCACAATCTAAAATACGGCCGGACAGCTGCCACACCGGCTCCCTTTGCGGACATCTTGACAGTAGACTTAACAGAGGAGTCGGAGCAGCAAATAAAAACTCGAATTTACCGCCAATCAGTTCCTAATCTATATCATCCAAGCCTCGACTCCGCCTTGGCACCTCGACTCCCCTGGCCGAGGCGGAATCTGCCGTCGAGGCGCATCCCCGAGGCACTTCCCCCCCCTCCCGTTCGTCGAGCTATCGAAAAAAGCCAGCGACGCCACAGGCGAGTTCATGGTCGAGAAAAGCCACAGTGGCTCGACAAGGCAAAATCCTCCGTAGCCTGGGCGGGTCTGGCCATGGCTGGCCTACCAAGTGCCCGGTTACCTAGGTAGGTACTTACCTTGAAGACTCCTAGACCTAATCGTATACCGGGGGCCTCCGCGTTCCGCTCCAGCTTCCCCCTTCCTGGTTTCACACTAGGCCCGTTAAGCATGGCGATGTGATGTTCCAGCCCTATGCGTATCGTCCGACGGCCCAGCCCAAGGTGAGTTTCCCAGGGTCGTGGAATGGTCTGGACCCGCGAGAGCACCCGTGTATAGTGTACATGTATGTATGTGTTGTACACCCACCATTTCCAGCCAGATTTCCAGAACCAAGGCGCCCCCTGTCATCTAGATGTTGCACTGACTGGGATAGTGGTGGGACGACAACCTGCAGGTCTGCGCAGGGAACCAATTTTGGCTCAGGATTGGGACAGATGCCGCCCCTAAAGGGTGAAGGGTTCGGGAGAGGAGAAGCGCAAAGCGGTCAACCATGTAGGGGCGGCGGAATGGGGGAGGAGAAAAAGAAAAGGGATAGATAGGGGTGGCTGCGATATACGGCAGAACGTAATCTGATGCAGGGGGGCTACGATCTCGCGTCTCTGCATGCAGCTGGCCAGGCCTTTGGTATTAGTGAGGTGACGATATTATTGCTGCCCTGATGGTCATGGTCAGGCCTCTCCAACCAGTGCCGGAGCCAGACGCACCGGCCAATTCGTTACTGATGGAGTTATGGGGCATGCTGAAGAGGGAAAGGTGAGGTCAAGCTTTGAGATAGAGATCGATAACCGATTTGCTTAGCGAAGAATACCAATCAATGCTTTAGGGCCGTTTGGCAGCGCTTGTAAGAGGGCTTAGGGGAGGTCCCCACCATAGCTCTGTCCGCCCTACCCCGCAACTTTCTTCGTTGCTAGGTACCAGGGATGACGACGGGATGAAACCAGGAGTAGCATGGAACGAACCACCTAACGCTTCTTCTCTGATTGACGACCTAATAAGTATCAATCTTTTAGGGATCTTTGACCGAGAGACTGTGACTACTTGCCTGTATCTGGTCAGAATAGATTGGGTTTCGTCCTTTCATGAGATACGGCAGCAACAGTGATCGGCGGTCCTTGCCAAGACAGATCTGCCAACGACGTCATTCCGTCATTGCCTCAGCCCAGCAAACAAACCATCATCAGGACAACTCTTACCACCTAACCTGAATCCACACTTAATCGTCATTTCTGCCCACATACAAGTTCCAGAGATGGATTCTTTTGCTACTCTCAAGCGTCGAACAACCGACCTCTTCAACTCCATACCTCAGTCGCTCCCCTCTGTATCGTCGATCAAGTCGCAATACACAAGCACCATGAAGGGAACCTGGGAGCGCATCTCTGTTCCCCCACTACCGCGGTCCTCCCACTCTCTTGATATTGTAGCCGGCACCGCATATATCTTCGGCGGCGAAGGCACCCAGCGCCAACCCACCGACAATGACATGCACGCCGTGACTCTGCCCTTCAGCAGTGCCCCGGCCGACTACTATGCCATCAAAGCTAAGGCTTCAACCCCAGAGCCGAAGCCCACTGTCGGAGAAGGAGAACCGACACCCGGGACTGCCGGGAACGACCTCGACGATGTGCCCCTGGGCTCCACACCAGAGGCTGGCATCGGCAAAGGCCCCACCAAGACGCCCACCCCAGGTGCCGTGCCGGCCCCGCGAGTCGGTCACGCCACTGCCGTGATCGGCAACCGCATCTTCCTCTTCGGCGGCCGCGGCGTCGCGGAAAAGGGACCGCTCGACGAGCGCGGGCGCGTCTGGGCCTTTGACACCAAGACCCATCTCTGGTCCCACCTCGACCCGGCGCCGCCCGCCGACCCGAACATCGTCCCCTCCGGCAACGAGGCGGGCGGACCGCGCCCGACCTATCCCGCCCCGCGCAGCGGGCACGCGGCCGTCGCGACAGACAAGCCCTCCGACTTTGGCGGCGCCACCACCGGCCAGCGCCAAGGCGGCGGGAGCTGGAGGGAGTGGGCCAAGGGCGACTCGGACAAGGTGGGCACGCCGCAGCGGCCCATCGTGGGCAACGTGGCCGCGCAGGCCACCGACGCCGACGCCGACGGCTTCGGCACCCTTATCATCCACGGCGGGGTGAGTATCCTATCCCAACCCCTCGTTTCACAAAAAGCCCCTGCTGACAACCCCCATCCCACCAACGCAGTCCCTGGCCTCAGGCGCCCTCACATCCGACACCTGGGCCTTCGACGTCCGGACGCGCATCTGGAAGGAACTGCCCCCGGCCCCGGGCGGCCCCCGCCGCGGCTCGTCGCTGTGCATCAGCAAGAGCCGCCTGTACCGCTTCGGGGGGCTCGGGCTCGGCCCTGCCGCCGCGAGCGGCCGCCTGGACGTGCTGGACCTCGCCGTCGAGACCATGAACGACCAGCGCACGCCCGCCCGCGAGGTGGGGCTGTCCGCCCGCGGGCCGTGGCGCACGCTGGCGCGGGCTGACGGTGGAGACGACGGCGACGACGACGATAATGATGATGATGGAGCAGGACAATCTGGCCGGGGACAGGCGGCTGCGCCGCTTGCGCGGCCGGCGCCGGCTCCGCGGGGCGCGTGGCCCGGTCCTCGGGGCGGGGCGGCCCTCGAGGCGCTCAATGTCGGCGGCGGGAGGGAGTACCTGCTTCTGGGGCTCGGGGAGCGCGAGAGCGAAGCCGGCGCCGCCGAGGAGGAGGAGCCCCGGGAAGGTGGGGGGCCCCGGTTCTGGGACGACGTGTGGGTGTTCCAGGCGCCGCCGCAAGGCATGTCGGCGGCGAGCGTGCGCGACGCCTTGATGCAGGCCGTGGGCCGCGGGAGCGGCGAGGGCGGGTGGACGAGGGTCGAGATGGGGCCTTTCGACGACGAGGATGATGATTCGGTTGGAGGCCCCGGGCCGAGGGGGTGGGTTGCTAGTGGGCAGATGGGGGAGCTGGAGGAGGGCGCGATTGTCGTCTGGGGCGGGGTGGATGGTGCGGGGAGGAGGTTGGGAGATGGGTGGATTCTCCGGTTGGGCTGAATAGAAGGGTTAATGTAGTATAAAATGGATCATGCGGTTGGATTTGCGAAAGAATAACACGTGGGACCTTTGATGAGATAGTCACGAGATATGGAAGCCACAAGACTGGGTAACAACAGTCCAGTTTGTCTAGCACGTTCAGTTTTTTTGTCTTCTGTGTGACAGTACAATTCTATATACAATCCCCTCCACTCCATGATATCCTCTCCCAACTCCCCAGTCGACCATTCACATGGTTTGAAGTAGGCAGGATAAGAAGTCCATACTCTACAGGTCCGCCCTCGTGGTATCGGCCCCCCACGGCTCGCTCGTCAAGTTCGTTTGGCCCTTGCTGTTCTCGCACGTCTGCCTCCCGCTCAGGGGGCCTGGGGCCGGTACCTTTACGGCCTTGCCGACGGCGGAGGCGCTCTCCTTGAGGGCGGTGAGGAGGGACTTGACTGTCTCGGGGGTCAGGTCCTCGTAGTAGTCGTCGTTGATCTGGATCATGGGCGCGTTGACGCACGCGCCCAGGCACTCGACCTCGAGGAAGCTGAATAGGCCGTCCGCCGTCGTCTCGCCGCCCTTGATGCCCAGATGCTCCGTGATGGCCTTGACAATGACATCGCTGCCACAGCCGCCCAGCTGGCAGGGGGTCTGAAGGGGCCATATTCGTTAGTCAATGCCTCTCTCGTCTCGCCTCACAGTTGAGGTAAAAAACGACATCGGAAACAGGTGGCGTCCAAGGCAAAGGAGGGGAACGTACCGTAGTGCATGCCTGCACAAAGAACTTGCCCACGGGCGTCCGGTTGTACATGGTGTAGAAGGAGGCGACCTCGTAGACCCGCATGGGGGGCATCTCGAGGAGGCGCGCCACCTCGTTCATGACGCTGATGCTGGTGAAGCCGTGTTGCCGCTGGCCCAGGTCCAGCAGGGGCATGACGGCCGCCTTCTTGTACTGTGGCGGATAGCGCTTGAGAATCTCGGCGATGATAGTTTCATTCTGCGCCGTGAACTTGAACGGAAGGTCCGGGTTGTTGTCTGGTGTGTTGCGGTGCTAGGTGTCCGTCGAGTGCGAAGGTTAGCTCATTGCATCTCAATTTGGCGTATCAATGAAAACAGGCAGCGCATAGTAGAGATTGAGGAAGAGGAGCTGTAGCCCTCCGATCGGGGAGCGCATCAAGCTCCGGGACAATGGGAAATCGGAGCCGAGGGGATGAACATACCACGCTGAGGGTCTCGCTCGGTCTCCTCGCCGTGAGCGAAAAATTTCTGATTTGGGGCCTCGACACCCGGCATCCTGACCGAACTGCCGTCCGAAAGAAAAGGGGGCACAGTTTGCTCGCCATGTCTGCGGATGTGGAGGGCAATTGCTGTGTAAATAGAAAGCGTCGCCGTTTAGAGAGTTCGAAGTTGTCTCGAAGTTCGAGCTGCTTGACAAATCCGATTCAATGATTGGCTGACAGGCCGGATCGGTTAATTCATTTAACCGAGCGCGGCCCTCTATTCCATTCCACCTACCTCCTGGCTGACCCTCTCTCGACTGAAGTCCAAACCTGTCAATGGTGAAGGGTAAGTTGACGAATTCAACTTACCCATTCAACTGCCGGCGCTTCTTGCCCAGCTTGATCGTTAAAGTGCCGACGTTATTACTTCTCTTGGACGCGGCGACTAAGATTCATACAAAACATTGCTCTCGTTCTGGGTTCAGGTGAGGCGGAGCGACGGTTCAGTTTTCAATAGCCCACTAACCATCGTCGCCGGGGAGAGACGCTTCCATCTCTACCGTGGTAGTCTCAGAGTATTGTAGTTCTGTCTACAATATACTTCAATCCTCTCACTCAATGCTTCATTGACAGTCAACAATGCGCGCCAATGGCGGGAAATGCGAACTGGAGGGTTTTATTCATGCAAGGCATTAATACCTCCCTTATATTTCGGCCGTCGCTTGGCTCTCTCTATTCATAACAGCCCGTTCCTTCATTATGTCATCCATATCGCGACCGCAGATACCTGGCGCTTCTGAAGTCATGGCCATGGTCATGGTTACGCTTGGGTGTCGCGTCAGACGAGAACCAGGAATCGATCGACGTGATTATATTACCATGTTCTCTGGGATATTGCCCAGTTCCTGAAAATGACCATTTCAAATCGGCTTACAAGGGAATGGTTCCGCCTTGGTTTATTCGAAGTCCAATTCATTTACATGCCACTGCCCTTCGGCACGCGGGGAAGATGGAGTCCCAAAATGGAAGGCTGACCAGAATGGAGCCCCGGTACTGGAGCGGCAGTATCCGGAGACAATCTAAACAACAACGGACGAGTCTAGGAAAGCTGGGCACTGCCATATCAGATTGCCGAGCCTGCAAGCCACTCGTCGGCATCGCACTCATTCGTGGGCGCTTTGCCAACGGCCCTTCTGTCGAAGCAAGGATGGAAGCTCGTGCAATATCTAGCCCGTCATTGATTTGTGCGGGACTTTGGGGGGTGTCGTTGTCATGACCCGTGAATTGATGGTCGCTGTGTCTGTTGAACCCGGTGAATAGGTATATATAGGGCTCCGCTCGTGTTCTCACAACCTCTCTGTCGGACTCGTCAACCTAGTTCATCGCCATCCACCATCCGCCGTTAAAAGAAAAGAGTCATGAAGCTGTCCCTGGTTTCGGTCTTGGCATACAGCCTCGCTGTAGAGGCACACTGCATCTTCCAGGTAAAACGACACCGCCTAATTGGTCGTAGTCCTGGGGACGCAGAGAGGCTAACGAAATACGCGCAGAAACTGTCCGTCAACGGCCAGGAGAGCGGCTCTCTGGTTGCCCTCCGAGCACCAAACAACAACAACCCAGTGCAGGATGTCAACAGCCAGAACATGGCATGCGGCCAGCCGGGTTCTACTTCACAGGAGATCATCAATGTCGCGCCCGGTGACAAGATCGGTTCATGGTGGCAGCATATCATCGGTGGTGCACAGTTTGCCAACGACCCGGACAACCCGATCGCAAAGTCCCACAAGGGCCCCGTCATGGCCTACCTTGCAAAGGTGGACAACGCCGCCTCGGCCTCGCTCAGTGGACTGCAGTGGTTCAAAATTTGGGAGGACACCTTCGACACTACCAGCCTCCTGTGGGGTGTCGACAACATGATCGCCAACAACGGATGGACCTACCTCACCCTGCCCGAGTGTATCGCTCCTGGGCATTACCTCCTGCGCGTGGAGATCCTGGCCCTGCATTCGGCAAAGAGCCAAGGAGCCGCCCAGTTCTACCAGTCGTGTGCTCAGATCAACGTCTCCGGCTCGGGGACCTTTACGCCATCGTCAACCGTCACCTTCCCGGGCGCATACCAGGCGAACGACCCTGGCATCCTGGTAAGCATCTACGGCAAGTTGGGCGCTCCGGACAATGACGGCCTCCCGTACGCGGCTCCAGGGCCGGAACCCATCACCTGCTAGACCTGGGATATATACATAAGGCGTTCCCGGGCGAGGATGCATTTGCATGACTGCTTTCCTTACACATTGTCTATTACATTCGCGAGTAAAAGCAGCCCCTATTACAAGTCAGCTTTACACTGTGCTGGGAGGTTGCAGTGAGGATATTCTAGCCACAGCGTCTTACATACCTACCTATATACCTTACGTATTAAGAGTGACATATACAAGCATGGCTAGCTACGCCTGCGTTATCTTGGCACACAGCTCGCATTGAATCTCACCAGCGTCATTTCCAAGGACACTGGAAATTGCAGGGCAGACCACAACTAAAATATCAAAGAAAAGAAACCTGCCTTTTTATACAAACATGGGAGAGATGGATGTATTTTGGAGTAGAAAAAGAGTATAGGAGAATAAGGGGCAAAGAATATCCTAAAATAAAACCCCTCCCCGTCTAAAAAAAAAAAAACGTACAACACCGGGGATTCGCTGGTCGTCACCGACCCAACTACTGATCCGGCCCTCAGTGGCTTATCTATGGGAGAGCGGACGGGATCCCGAGTTCTCCACTGGGTATGGTCGTACGTGTTAGAATACGGTAGGAATGGCGTTTATATAGATTGATGCTGCAGGTGGTAGTCACCAGATTCTTAAACTGACCGCCGCGCACTTTCGCGATTCCCGAACACCTCTTGTATAGGTATATCTCTATGTTACGCATAGTTGCAATACCTACAGTCAGCGGCCTCGGGGCTTTGTGCCTCACCAATAAGATGCGCAGACGGTGACAGTGACGGGGAAATATAAAAAGTCGAGGTGAAAAAAAAAGGTGGGGCTTCCATTCTTGCCCTCACCGACCGGCGACCGCGAGCGACCGCGAGTCAAGTGGCTCCACTGTCGAGATCTCCTCAGACTTGTCACGGGACTCAAGCCACAGCTACGTAATGGTAGGCCAGCATGAGAAAAAACGACCTTGCGCGGGTTCTGCTCGGCAAGTCCATCGGTTCTGTGCTCGAGCCCCCACCATCCATGGGCGGCCATGGCGCGACTGGAATCCCTGCGACTTTGTCGGCTTCGCACGGTGGCGATCGTTTTTCTTGAAGCCTGTAAATCCGAAAACAACGCACCTAGGTACCTTATCCGTGGCATCCTTTTTTCATTTTTTTTCTCGCCTTCCGGCGGATCCAACTCGTCATCAATTGAATCAATTCCCCTTCTCTGACAGCGTTGACGTGCGTAGTACATAGGTGTATTTTGAGTGGCTATCCACGCCGTAGATAAGAAGAGTCGAGCTCGAAGCCGAGCTGGTTCACAGGACTTAGATCTCATCTCCCCTTCAAGCCAGTGCCGCGGACTAGCCAAAGTAGCCAATCCGTTCCCCCAGTTGCCGTCCCATCCAACGCCATTCAACCAAGGATCCCCACAGTGACATCCTTGCCTCTCTGTCCATGCCCCCAGAAAGCCATCAGTTGAAATTCGCGCACTGGAGCCGATCCCTGCCGGCTTCCGGACAAGCTTTTTTCTGTTTCTGCAAGCAACCAATTGCTATTTGTTTCCTCGACTTCCGGCGCACTCCGTTTTCAGACTCCTCTTCTTTCCCTTCCACAACAACCCTCGAACGATTCGATATCCGTCTTCCCGGCCAATTGATCTCGTCCGCCCTCTGACCTTCTGCCTCGCGTATCTCGCGTGTTGTTCGCAGCTCCTCCCGATCCAGGATCAATAAACGACGTCAGCCGGGCTAGCACGCGCCATCCGAGCTGCCAATCATCCCAAGAGGTTAACTTTGGATTAGAGCTTCCACAAAGGTAATTTCAGCCTCTTAGTCCTTTAAAACTCCCTCGCCCTGGTCAATTGCCCTTCAATCGGTGTTGGAAAGCCAATTCTCCCCTCTGCGACCGCTGTCAGCCTGTCAGCGGCAACCCGCAATTCAGACTTGGGGGCGGCTTCCCCGGTCGTGATGTTTGCCAAGGTTTCGACCCCGGCGCAACCAAGGAAACACCACCCCAAACCATTGTGGATGCGGCTTTGCCACACCCCCCTCCGCACTCAGACTTGCGCAACCTCGTCGAGTTATTTTCGAATACCTCTTCGCTATCGCGGACCCCATCATCTTTATCCCTCATAGCCAGTTGATTAACTTTTTTTCTTCGCGGCTCTAGCCCCAAAAACAACAACAAAACAACCGCCAAAATGCCCGCCGTCAACAAGGCACTCTACCTCTCCGAGTCGGTCTCCCACCTCGTCAAGCGCAAGAACTGGGCGCAAAGAGAGGCCGGCGTGGTCGTCGTCTTCTGCATCATCGGCGTCGTCGTCATCGGCCTGTCGGCCCTGTTCATCCACAAGAAGATGCTCGCGCGCAAGGCGGCAAAACAGACGAACTAGTCTTGATTAAGTGGTTTTGGCGGGGGGCGGGGTGATGGTGGTGGTGGTAGGGGGATGAGGGGGACCCCAGGGTCAAGGAAGGGTGAATCCCGGGTTGGGGTGGTAGGTCGCGGGCCCGGTTGCGGATTGATGGATGGATGGATGGATGGATAGGGGGCTGATGGCGGCACGCCGAGTGAAGGGTTGTAGAGCTGGTTGCGTGGCGCGTGTCGGACCGGACCGGACGGACCTTCGTCGACAATGACCATTTCCCCAGCACGGTCGCCAACCGTCCTCCGCCGATTCTTCTACGCCGTTCTCTTTCTGCCTGTTTATTTTTGTGTGTTCTTGCATGGCATCATCTCAAGGGGAGTGGAGAGGCCAGTATCTCGCTCGTCCCCTCGATATCAGATCACCCTTGCCGCTGCGTTGTGGGCTGTTTGGAAAGATGGGAGGCCTACCATGAGATGTGTGTGTGAGTCTCTGATCGGAGGAGGACCCGACAGTATATCTCTTGTACATCAAGACCGTCCTAATACTACTGATACCTGTAGTTTCGTGTTGTGCTGACTCGTGGTGCCTTCGTGAACGTGTCTATCTGTTTGTCTTTCTGTCTGTCTTGTCAGTTGTTTTGTGATCCAGCGGTGTTGGATTAGGAGAATGGCTGGAGCCTATCGTCGTGCGTGTATTTTCTGGGGGCGATACACGTGAGGGACGATAGGTGTGTTTGGTGCGGGGCCGGCGTGGAGGGAGGGTGGTGGAAGGTAATGAGGACGGTATATGAACGAACGGTGAGGATGGTGAACGGAACGACATGTTGTTGACCTCAGGGGAGCACCATTGAGACAATATCGGCCCCACGAACCCAACCCTTGAACGCGACACGCCCAGATTCGAATCTACCCAGGATTTCCAAAGGACAAATGGCTTTCTATGCTATTTCTATGCCCCTTTCCGTGCTCTTGATCATTGGATATCATGGCAGGGCGGATTATTGTGTTTATTATCTAGCTACGGGTATAGTTTTGTCTGTTCTAAGTGGATGAGCCCATTGGCTGGCTAGAAGGAGTTGGTGGTTAGCAAAGTTGAACGTAGGAGGGGGAATTGATACCAACGATGAGATTGATGGGGCGACATACTGGTACGAACTGGCGTAACTTGACACCCGCCTCTCGAAATACTGCTGCGGTGTCTCCATCCATGCTGTATCCTTGACTGAAGACAACCTCGCTAATGCCTACTTGGGTGATCTTGATGCTACAGGTCAAACAGGGACACGTATCGCAGTACAATATTGCGCCCTCGCGGATTCTCTCCCTGCCCGCCTCCAGAAGCGCGTTCTCCTCGGCGTGGATGCACAGGCAGGTGGCCAGGCCGTGTCCCGAGCCCTGGCCATCGTTGCAGCGCCCGCAGCCGCCCTCGCCGCAGTTGCGCAGGCCGCGCGGGGTCCCGTTGTAGCCCGTGCTGATGACGCGCTTCTCGCGCACCAGGACGCACCCGACCCGGCGCTTCATGCAGTTGGACCGCTGCGCGGCGAGCGACGCGAGCGCCATGAAGTACGTGTCCCAGCCGGGCCGCAGCCGGTCCTCGTTCAGGAGGTCGACCTTGCCCAGGGTGGCGTAGAGGTGGGCGAGGTCGGACGACGTGTTGAGCAGCCGCACCGTCGCCCGCGACATGACTGAAAGGTGGCCCGTCCTCGCGTCGTATAGGTGATCGTCCGAGTACAGGACGAAGGCATCGAGGGAGGCGACGGTCCCCTTTGCTTTCCCTCCTTGCAGGGGCTCCGGGGAAGATTCAGTCCCGTTGCTCTGCGCATGGGACTGTCTTTGGTCTCGCTGCTGGAAACGCCGCCACCGGACGGCTAGCGGGGCATCCACGCTGATGAGCAGGAAGAATGGGCGCCTGCTGAACATGTCGAGGGCATCTTGGTCGGGAATGTCGGTTGTTATCCATCGCTCCCGCCAGTGCTTGGTCACAAAGTCAAGAAGGGCTTCTGCCGTAGGGAAGCTGAGTGCTTGCTGGGCCAGACGGAGAGGTAGTTGCTTGCTCCCCAATGATGGAGTCATGTGACTAGGTTGTGCCTCCTCGAGGCTGGACGTGGTCGATTGTCCATTCGGCTCCAAACCTGAGGAAATGCAGAGACGTTTGAATTCATGGTGCTCTACCAGGTACTGGGCAACGGTGCTCTTGCCCGCGCATTTGCCTTTCAAGATATGTAAGTCACGAGATGTCGGATAAATAGGGGTAAGGAATGTTTACTTCCACAGATGCCAATGAACATTTTGGTGGGTTTTCAGGTCCCTTGAGGTGTTTCCAGCGTCTTTGTCACGCTTTCCCACCTGCCTGGCAGGTTGGAAGTGAGGAACCCGAAATGGCTGAATGGAGTAGCCTCAAGGTTAGAAGGATGTCGTTTTTGGCAGACGCGCTACGCGTTATAGCAGAGGCTGTGGCGTTAGCTGGTGAATTGAGGTGATCTCCCAGAGAGGAGCGCCCCGAAGTTTACCCGGTGGAGGTTGGGGAGCACTCAGCTAGGCAGGCACGTGGCGGGGTAGGTGATGATGCTGTGGGGAGGGAGGTACGAGGGCTGGAGGGGTAATGGAAGCTCCCCCAACCTGTGGGAGCTCCTGGTCCGGTGATTGCTCGTAATCGCCAGTCTTGAACTACATACACCTCATCTGACTTGTGTGACTCGACTCAATGATGAACTCCGCGATGGCACAGAGCAGCTGACCAACACTTGAACTTCGCTTCATTTCTCTGGCTTTTGCTGCAGCATCCTTATCCTTAATCATATCAACCGTTTAACCGTGACATCTTCGTCATCGGCGCTTCACCTTGGAACCATTCAACACTCCCTCTCACTTCCTCTGTCCCACATACAGCTACAACTAGGTATCGGCCGAGGCACTCCAAGAGTTCGGTGCCTACCAAGGCTGTGGTCACCTCCAACGACTTACCTTGCACTTCTCCCAAACAAAGGCCACCGCCGCCTTTTGAATCCCCAAAGGACGGCGAACAATAGTGACAACCTGCCAAGACACTGAAAATCAACGGCAGCGACATTCTCATCATGGATCTCAGATTTGCAACCTTCATATCGGAGATTGAACTCCCATTCTACTCGGCTCTTTTCTCCTCCAAGCTTGACCATGACAAGCTCAATGACTCTACCCGTCCGGTCCTGGGCTTGTACGAGCCGAGGGTACATGCTGATCCAGCTTCAAGCACGAAAATGCAGATCCTCGGTAATTCACTAACCAGCAACCAGTAAGTATAGAGATTGTGTCATCCGCAAAAGCCTCCTAGTTGCTCCTGAGTCTAACTGTATGAGCAGTGTGCCATTGGGGCTCTGTCGTGCCGAAGGCATGATCAAGAACGTGAATACCCTCGAGGACTTCAAGAACACAGACAAGAATGCCATGCTTAAGAATGCTGCCCAGCAGGTTTGTCAACTCCCAACCTTTTAACCTGTGTCTATGTCTACAGTTTGCTAAATGGGATCCACAGATTTGGGATGCCATCAACGACGGAACCATCTATTCAATCCCGTCGCTCCTCTCATCCTTCACCATCTTATCCTTCGCCGACCTTAAGAAATACCGGTTCACCTACTGGTTCGGCTTTCCTGCGCTGCACTCCGACCCCTTGTGGAAACGGACAGGCCCAGTCACACACTTGGATTCACAAGAGAGCACAGCCTTGGTCGAGCGCTTGGGCACCTGGCGATACATGGTGGACAGCAGGGAGCATGGCTTCTTCTTGGCCAAGAAAGTCCGTGGAGAAAACACTGGGTATAAGTCGCCCTTGGAGGATTCCACCAGTGACATTGGCTATAGATGGGAAGTCGGCTCCCTGCGTGATTTTGAGACTGGCTTCTTTGAAGGCACCGCCGAAGGGGACAGATACGTTGCCTTTGTCGACTCCTCCAACTACGCTGAATATCCCTCATGGCCACTCCGAAACTTGCTGGTCCTGGTCCGGCAGAGATACCACCTGACAAATGTCCAGATCCTCTGCTACCGCGACGTCCAGCCGAGAAGACACGAAGCACGGAGTGTCATACTTCCACTTGCTATGGGCAACGTGGATCAGATTGAGACTACCGTGATGCCCAAAGTGACGGGCTGGGAGCGGAATCTAAATGGTGAGCTCCGGGCGAGGGTTGCAAACCTGTCTGAGTATATGGACCCAGCTCGTTTGGCAGATCAAGCCGTCGACCTCAACCTCAAGCTCATGAAGTGGCGCATCTCGCCAAACCTGGATCTCGACGCCATCAAAAACACAAAGTGCCTACTCCTTGGTGCTGGAACTCTTGGCAGCTACGTCTCAAGAAATCTTATGGGATGGGGAGTGCGGAAGATCACCTTTGTCGATTATGGCTCGGTTTCGTTTTCGAACCCGGTCAGGCAACCGCTTTTCGGGTTTCAGGACTGCCTCAACGGAGGGAAACCCAAGGCCCTCCGTGCAGCAGAAGCATTGAAGGAGATCTATCCCGGTGTCGAGGCCGAGGGCCACGTCATTACGGTTCCAATGCTTGGCCATCCAATCACGGACAAGGCGAAGGCCAAGTCAGATTTCAAGAAGCTGCAGCAGCTGGTTGATAGCCACGATGCTATCTTCCTCCTCATGGACTCGAGGGAGTCACGCTGGCTCCCCTCGGTGATGGGCAAGGCAACCGGGAAGATCGTCATGAATGCTGCACTTGGATTCGATACGTACGTTGTCATGCGGCACGGCGCAGCCCCAGATGACGGCACAGAGGAAACACTGGGATGCTATTTCTGCAATGACGTGGTCGTGGCAGCAGACGTAAACTCTCCTCCATCCCCCACAGGCCGCAGACACACTTTACTGACACAACTTATCTAGTCGATGAAAGATCAGACTCTTGATCAGCAGTGCACCGTCACACGGCCCGGAGTTGCAGCAATTGCCTCAGCCCTGCTCGTCGAACTTCTTGCCAGCATCCTACAGCATCCAAAGAAACATCACGCGCCCGGTCCTGTGCCCCGTAATGCCACCTCATCTGCTACTCCCACGTACGAGTTCGACCCGCCAGACCATGCTCTAGGCATCGTGCCGCACCAGATCCGCGGGTTCTTGAACACGTTTCAGAACATGGTCATCCACGGCAGGTCGTTCCCGCAATGCAGCGCCTGCAGCACGCCCGTCGTGCAAGCCTACAAGGCCGGCGGCTGGGAGTTCGTCAGGAAGGCATTGGAGGAACGAGAGTACGTTGCCGAGCTCTCCGGCCTTGCCGACGTGCAGAGGCGGGCCGAGGCAGCGGCCCAAGATGTGGACTGGAGCGATGATGAAGGCGACGTCGAGGAGGATGGAGAAGGCGTCATGGTCTAGGAGACTGTGATGCTGCATGAGTGCATCCCTCCCGAGTGACAGGCATTTGATGCCGGAGCCGTGACTACTTTCCCGGCATGGCTTCTTTCGTCGTTGTTCCTCCTATTCTTTTCATGGCCTTTCAGGTGGTACTTATCCCGCCGTCTGGTCCGTTCTTATCCCGCCGTCTGGTCCGTTCTTATCCGTTCTTCCAAGGTTTTATTTTGGACCGAGCAGAGATTTTGCTTGTCAAAAGGATGGTTTATCATCGGGCGTCATTCCAAGGTCTCTTCTCCTACCGTATTTCGGGTGGCGGGATGTTCCTTTTTGCTGGAGACCCATGGTGGGCATCAGGAGTTTTAGGCGCATCACCTTCATGGCAGGATGGGTTAATCTGGTTTGGGCACTGGGAAGGAAGTGAGAAGGTGGTCTGGATGGATTTATAATATGGTTAGCCGTTGTTGCTGGCTTAGTACACAATCCGAGATCGTACAATACACTACTTGCTTAGCCATCAAGACACAAAACTTAATGGCACTCGGATTGGTCCTCACCACGACAAATGTTCGGATCGCGACATTAACAAATCGATCCATGTTACAGAAACAATGCTGCATTCTTGCAGATAAATTGTCAATAGCACACCTCCCGGACACGCTAAGAATCAATTATGCTGTCAATCCATGGCCCCTATTCCCATAATGTCCGTCCACATTCCTCCAACAAGGTAACCGACCAGCCGACATCCTAGGTATCACCACCAGAACCATCCATCCATCCATCCACCCACCCTATTCTCTTCTTCTCCCTCCCCCCCTCAAAACAAACACTCCCTCACCCTCCCCACCCTCCCAACCTCGTACTCGACCCACCGACCCACGCCCCTCCGCCCGGCGACGAGCACGGCCCCCGGGTTCATGACATGGCACCCCTCGTACGTGACGCAGAAGGCCGGCGCGCCGGCGTCGACGAGCGCCAGCGCCGTGGGCAGCGGGTATAGGTGCAGCGCCGCGGCGTGGTCCCAGTGCGCGGGGCGCACCGACTGCCGGAAGGGCGCCAGGTAGCCCTGGTCCAGGACCGTCTTGACCAGCTTGCGAGCCGCGCGGACGTCGTAGGGGATGCATGGTGCGCGGGCGGCGGGGGCGGCGGGGGCGGGAGTCGGGTCGACGTCCATTGCGTCGTCGCCTTCTTCCGGGGTCGGGGCACCGGGCGTGGCGGCGTCGTCGTGGCCGTCGTGGTCATCATCGTTGGGCGTGTCGTCGTTGCTGTTGCCAGCATCGCCGCCGCCGCCGCCGCCGGCGGCAGCGCCCTCGTCGCCCTCGGCTTGTCCGGTGGTCCCGGCGGCGGTCTGCTTGAGGCGGACGGCGGACCGCCTGAGCCGGGCGGACATGTCGTCCCTGAAGAGGACGATCTCGTGGCTGGGGCCGAAGAGCGAGAGCCGGCTCGGGTTGGACGTCCAGACGGCCTCGCCGCCCGCGCCCGCGTCCCCCGCGCCCGACAGGCCGGCCTCTGCGTTCGCGGCGGCGAAGACGCGGCGCACGCGCGACGTGAAGAGGGCGGGCACGGCCTTCTTGGGCAGGGGGGTCGCGGCGCCGCCCGAGAAGGCCGAGGCCCAGCCGTCGTTGTCGCCGGGGACGAGGACGAAGGTGGACGCCGTCAGCAGGGTGGGGAAGTCGGCGAGGGTCGAGGCCAGCGCATCGAAGGATTCCTTGTACTCGATGCTGCCGCCGCCGCCGCCACGGGCCATGACGGCGTGCGTGGTGAAGTTGCCCGTCAGCACAAAGGCCACCGGCGTGGAACCCTCCGGCTCCGCCGCGTAGAGCGTCAGTATCTTCTTGAGCGCCTGCAGGGTCCGCGGCTGGTCGAGGTTGAGCTCGCCGACGATGACGACCCTGCCGCGGCGCGGCGCGTCCGGGTCGGCCCGCGCGGCGGCGGGCTGCCGCAACAGGCGGTTCTCGAGCTTGCGCATCTTCCAGCCGACGGCGCGCTCGCTGCCCACGCCCAGGAAGTCGATCCACCCGAACCCGCCGCCGATGGTGTTGTCCGGTCCGCCGTCGGGGCCGCTGACGCCGAGAGTCGCCTTGCGCTTCTCGCACGGCGGCTGCCCGATGAAGAACCCCTGGAACCGGCCGCCGATGGTCCCGCCTACTCCACTGCTCCCGCTGAGGCCCAGGCCAACCGACTCTTCCTCTTCCTCGTAGGCGCCGTCGATCAGGACGATCATGCCTGGCGTGAACCAGGCCGAGTCCTCTGGGATGGCAGCCGCGTGTGAGAGGTCCAGTGCGATCGTACCCGTCAAGTCACTTATCGCCAGGCCGCCTGAAGGTAGGATGATCAACATCCCAAGGAGCATGTGATGGCTGCCGTGACGGCCGAGAAGGTTTGCTATCGGGGTGATCTTGTGGGACTGAAGCGCAGACGAGTTTCGACTTAGGGAGGCCCTCGTCTCAGAAACTGCCGAGGTCTGGAATGATTCATTGCGAAGGAGCCGTTGATGGATGACGTTGAATCTGTTCCTGAAGAGGTCTGTCTTGTGAGACGCAGGTGGTAAGAGCGTGGGTTTTGAAGTGTCCCTGGACTATGGTTAGTCGGTAGTAAGTGAGCAAAACCCATAGGGCTGGACACCTACCTCTCAAAGTGTTTCTTCCCGGTATTGTACGTGAAGCGAGGTTGCTCGTACGCATCTATAACCTTTAGCCACCTCCTCGGATCGCTCAGTGTCTCGTCATCGGGCTCTTCTTCAACAACCAGTCCAGCCATGCCCATGCTTGTCTGGCTATCCTCTCGTGAAAGCGTGGTGGGCCTCAGTCCAAGTCGGGTCTTCGTGTGATCGGAATCCTGGGATGACTCCAACATGAGGCTGTTTTCGCGGCTCAATCCCCGGCCACCAGTCATGATCTTTCCGCCGCTCATGTTGCCCTCCAAATTCTTCAAGATATCCTGGAGCTCGGGGCTGCTCCCTTCAACTATAACCCCTCCGTTCCGGTTCTTCCACGACTTGGCCACTTCCTCCAAGACCTTCTCTGCCAGACCTTCTTCCCTCCATCCTGATCCGCAATGCCGCCCTATAAATGTTGCAAGCTCTTGTAGCGCAGAGGATGTGAGGGTCAAGCTGTGTTTCTTGGTAAACGTCCGGAACGCGAGCGGTCGCAATGTTGCGGGAGGCAGGAGGATGGGTAGGATGGCTGCCTTCGCTGGCGCTGCGACATTGAAGGGTCTGAGGGGGTGGACGGGAGTCCCGAATGCCGGAGAAGAAGAAGGTATCGAGGATGATGGCAGGTCAGCGGCCAGATTCCTCGGAGCGAAGAAAGGCGCCGTCGGTGGTTTTGTCCGCCTCGGTGTCCTTTCCGGACTTCCCTGGGGTGCTTTCTCCTTGTTTTTGCGAGGACTCTGTATCACCAACATCTTGTCTTCCCGGAGTGGCGTAGAATTGGAATGTCAGCACAAAAGCCCCAATTCTGTTCCTATAATGGTCGTCGCCAGATGTATTTCCGAGTAAATAAAGAGCCAGGCCAAAACGCGTGTGTGGGGAGGAACCGCGTTAATGGGATTTTTGGTCGCGGATTTAGCGCGTTAGTGGGGGGCTTGACAGGGGTCAAATACCACCTCTCTGAGGTGAGGATGGCATTAACATTCGTACATACCTCTTCTTATTGATTTCTATATCGAATCAGGGTGGTTAATTGATTGTGATGTCACGTTTGAAGAGAACATATGGATGTTCTTTTCCTCTTGGTCTTCCCAAGTGTGTGATACCACTACCCCAAACGCAGTATATATTATTTCTCCAGTCTGTTTCATTCGTAGATACATTTCTACTCTATTCAGGAATCCGTCGAATTAAGATTCAGTAGGATTGTTATTATTGAACCCCTCGGCCCTATAATCTCTGCCTCCCTCTTGTCTCGATGGGAATGAGACACATCCCTACAAAGGCCGCTAAGATCAGAGCGCCAGAGAGGTAAATCGGCGTCGTGGTGCCATCCCCGGGGATGTTAGCAGCGATTATAGGAGCCATTAACCCGGTGGCCCGGTTCAAGAAGCTCGCCACGCCGGTGCCGGCTCCCCTTATCGGCGCCGGGAAGATCTCAGGGGTGAAGGCATAGAGCACGCCATACATGATGTTCTGCGCGAAGGCCTCGATGGACGAGAAGAGCAGCTGCGAGGATGGCGAGGTTCCAAACTTGACAAAGACAAACAGGAATATGCCGGATACAAAGGTTGAAATCGCTAGGGTTCCTCGCCGGCCCAGGAAGGGTGATGGGTGGTCCACGGTATAGGCGGCCAGTAGACTACCCGGCACACCTGCAAGGCTTGTTATCGCATAGCTTCGATATGTGTCTGCCGTAATCTCTGATGCCGGTGCATCGGCATCTGATGGTGGAGACGAACCCCCATGTGACAAGTACTGGGGGAGAAAGGCGTTGAAGAGGGGATACCCCAAGCCAATGGTGGCCCAACAGAACCAAATGATGGACGTCGCCAAACCAAGTTTTCGGTTAGTGAAGAAGGGGCGGATGCGGTCGGCTGAAAAGGACGCCAGCCTGTCCTTGATAATGTTGCTTGTTGATACCCGGCTAGGTGCGTGTGATGATGCAGTGCCGTCGACGACAGCGTCTAGTATATCCTCGGTCAACCACGTCTTTTTCCCGTTCCGGTATGCAATCCCGTGGACAACAGCCACGGCTTCTTTCTGACGACCCTGGGAGAGGAGGTACTTGGGTGACTCAAAGAGGTGGAAGACGAAGAAGCGGATGAGGAACATGACGAATGTGATGATTCCGATTGTCAAGATGAACCGCCTCCATCCTTGGTCCACGGGCCAGTTGGCGATGAAGAACCAGGCGATCAAGGACGAGACAAGTTGCCCGATCGGCCACCAGACGGAGAGGAGCGTGAGGAGCGAGCTCGAGGCATCGGGGAGGAATTCCAAGAACAGAGCACCGTCGACTGGGAGGTTTCCGCCAACTCCGAATCCTAATAAGGCGAACATGAAACACACTCCTCCCCAGCTCGATGCATATGCAGATGCAATGCCGAAAACGCTCGCGATCAATAGTGTGAGGTTGAAAGCAATGCGCCGTCCCATGATATCCGAACCAATGCCCCAGAAGAAGCTTCCAAAGCACAGCCCAACGAATACGGAACTGGTCGTATATCGGACGGTCTTTTCCGACACGCCAAATTCCGCCGAGAGGGATGGAAGCGTTAAAGAAACACCCTATTAAGCCGGTCAGTGACGATTCCCCCGACTCACCTGGGGAATTTCCAGGCTTGTAGGGCGAGACACATACTTGTAACCACAGGCTGGAGGAGGTAACTGGGTCAGCATAGGCAGCTCACACACCAAACAAATCATGATTGGCGCAACTCACTTGTCTGCGAACCAGCCAAAGCCACATAGGACAAACAGTTGCCAGTTATACCTCCCCATGCCGATGTCCTGAACAGCTTTGTTTATGAGTTTCGACTTCACTGCAGCGAGATGGTCAGCAAGGCGGCCAGGGCACCAAAGGTAACGCGCTATCAAGGCTCCGTTGCTTCGTACTTTCATACTCGGACCACTGCTTCCCCCTCTCTCCACTCCTCACTGCCTTCCTCAGACCTTCGATGCTGTACTCGGCAGCGCTCATCTCCAGCATGCCGGTGCCCTCGTCATCCCGGTCCTTGCTGGCGTCCCCTTGGTCGGATGCGGCATCGTCGGGGGCATCTTCAAACTCCGTCCGGCCACACCTGGCAGAATGGCTGTGAAGGTGTGCCTCGTCGAGCGGGACTAGGACTCCGGCGTAGCCGTGCACGGATTCGGCCCGCGCACGCCTCCAGATGCGTCGCATCGCCCTGGCTGGCTTGCGGGGACGGTTCGCCAACGATGTCTTCCTCAACTGAGGTGTAACCTTTAGCGGATTAGACCTTATTTTGGGTGTAACAGAGACTCCGTGATGGGGCAAATTCAAGAGTTGAAAGGTGAGAGTTGAGACGGTGTATAGAGATATCCGAGACAACCGAGAGAGGCTACTAGAGCGGAGCAGTGGCCAAACTTCTTCTTCCTTCGGTAAAACAGCGTCAAGGTCGCTGCTACATCTTAATTGATGAAGTCCAATACTCCAGGGAAGTGATGGGGGTTAGCTTGATGAATGACTAGGTCGATATGGAGCAGGAGGAGCGAAACGGTGGCCTTAGCTCGAAAGTGTTGATCTGCGAAAGTTCAGGTCGGGGTCCATCAAGCCGGCCATGCGCCACACCAACTTGCCAAGCGGTCAGATGTCTAGAACAACATCGTTTTATCACCGGGGGGGCCTGTCTTCTGGTCCCCGTCTTCAGCGTCAACCTTTACCTAACTTTTCCAACTTATCCCTTGTGTCATCCAAACAGCAGCTTATTAGTGGGCTTGTGGTTGTGTCCCCGCCCCCACACGCTCTGCATCACAAGCCTGCGTCGCCTATCTGGAGGTGTGGAACCATTTACAATCACGCGTGCAGACATGAGGGAACAGTATTGGGGGTTCCCTTCCCACGCCATCTCATTTGTAATATTCCCAGTCTCATTCACAACTTAAATACGGAATACCGCTGGTCCTCCAATCACTGTCAACCAAGCATCAACGGACATTTTGTGGTTCAACGGTCGTGGATACACGCATCTTGCAGTAGTTGGAAATCTAGGTATGTATGTATCCGTACAGTACAGTGCCAGACAGGGATCAAGGATGTATCATTTGTTCACGACATGGCGAGCTCACAACTTTCATGCTGGACAACGTGATAAAAATAAAAACCAGCTCTTCATACCTACTTTGGGAATTGGCGAATGTGATTGCTTCAAGGTATCCCAATCTTCTACGAGCAGTACTCGTATCTCTTCTGTTTTCACCTCCTGCAACGCACTCTTGCATGCCCCTCTCATAATCGTGACGGCAACATGGTCTGTGAAAACTCTAGATTGCGCCATCGCTCGTGATACGCTTACAAGATTTCCAATTCCAGGTTCACGCAGATGCGTCTAGTTTTGCCTCCAATGTCACCAAGGAGGAGGCCTACAGGCAAGTGCTTGAGCAGGCCGAAGGGCTGTTTATAGACCAAAGAAACTGGGTATGCCTTCTCATCTTTCCCTGGATGCTTTCACTGTGTACGACGCACAACATTTTGTGCGGTGTGAGCAGCTCACTCATGACAGTTCCTCCCTCTCCTTGATCCTATCAGGTCTGGTAAGGATAACCCCAACATATATGCGCCCTGGGGCCAATCCAAACTGAATCACTCGCAAAAGCAATCTCGCCAACACCGCCTCCCTCCTCTGGCACGCCTACAAATCGCTCCCCTCGCCGAGTAACCAAGTAAACTGGGCCGGTAAGTTAGCTCCCACTTCCAAGTCTATTTACCCCCCCTTAACAGTCTCAACCCCCCAACCCCAGGCTTCTACACCCTCGACCCCTCGACCCCCCAACAACTCATCCTAGGCCCCTTCCAGGGCAAGGTAGCCTGCCAGACCATCGCCCTCGGCCGGGGCGTCTGCGGCACCGCCGCTGCCGACCGACGCACCCAGCTCGTCCCCGACGTCCATGCCTTCCCCGGCCACATCGCCTGCGACGGCGACACCCGGAGCGAGATCGTCGTCCCCGTCCTCGCCTCCCCGGGAGACCAGGACGGCGACCAGCGGCTGGTCGCCGTCCTCGACGTCGACTGCATCGCCCGAGACGGCTTCGACGACGTCGACCGGGAGTGGCTGGAGAAATTGGCCGCTCTGGTTGGGCGGAGCTGCGATTGGTGAAGGGGGGTTTCGTGTGTGAATTGCATGACGAGCTGGGTGGTATGCAGGGGCTAGCAAAGGCCGGACTTGGGAGGAATCAGTCGAGGTTGAAGGCGGAGGGCCCAATTGTGTGCATGGTTCAGAGAACGAGAAGAACTGAGCTCCATCATCTTACGGTCCAGTTTCAGGAACCCCAGGGAACTTGTGAACTTGATTAATCCTGTCTTGATTCCGGCTCACCAGAGCCTTAACAGCAACCTAGTGTTGTTGGTGGTTACCCTTTCTACTCTAACATCCATGCATGGTGTCTGCTTTGATATAGCAGGCCACCAGAAACATACTCAACCAAAGAGACCAAGCGCCAAATCCAGTCTCAAACTGCATCTAAGCCGATAGTGATGTTTGTATGCAAGTCCCGGTCCGTATAGTAGTTATTACTTGTGTTGATCCTTTCTCAAGTCTTCCATTTGGCCGTCTGCGATATCCGACAGCCTCAAATTAGCCGCTTCCTAGTAGGGTGCGGAAGAAGGAATCGCCGCCAGAGCCATGCGCCAGTGAATCCGATGTGACAGTAAAGAGAGGCTCTCCTCGTACACGCATGATCTCTCGAATCATGCATCATCTTCACAACAGGAGGGTTCCAGCAAGGGTGAAGAAAATGACAATGCCGGTGACGATGAACGGGCTCTTGTTCACGGGTCCGTTAAAGGTTATCCCGGCCGCGTTCTTACTGTGGGAAGGAGATCCCGTAGCGGTGCCAGAGCCAGGCTTGGCATCTCCAGTGCTCGTACCGCCGGCGTTCTGGGAGCCGTCGCCAGTCAGGCCGGGTCCTTTGCCGGCGCCTTTGGACATGAACTGCGTGAGAAAGGTGTCAGCATATTTCCGCCCGGCCTCCATAGGATACACAATGAACTTACCTCCTTGGCGCCTTCCGGAATAGCAGGGAGCAGAGTCGAGTCAACGAGCCAGTTGGAATCCTTGGTGGGGCAAGCAACCGAGTTCGTTGTAGAAACAAAGCCTCCATCGCCGGTGGGTGCCGGGTACTTGGACAGAGCGCTCTGGTACTTGGCGAAGCCGGGCTGTTCGTCTGCTGTGTCCCCGTCGATCTTTACGATACCAAAGCCGTTCTTTTCAAGCGTGTATTCGTACATGAGACCGCCCGAGTAGACGCCGGTCATCTGGTCGCTCATCAGGGCGCCAACTTCGCCGAAGTCACGACCGTTCTCCAGGCAACCGTACTCGGAAAGGCTGCCGACTGTTAGTTGACCGTTGACCCCAGTACGCAACCTAGTGGCAGGACATACAAAATGGGAATGCCGTAGCCGGTGAAATTCTTGACCTTCACGTCCCAACCGGAAACCTTGAAGTCGCTGTTACACCACGAGTAATCGTTCTGTATCATGGTAAGCACATCGAAAATCCCTCTTCAGCATTGGGTGCTTGACGTACGAAGGCAAAGAAGTCACTCCGCTCGTCATCGGTTCCGCAGTTCATATAATGGGCGAGCTCCATACGGTTCTGCGAAACATCGGCAGCCGAGTAGCCAACTGGCACCTTTCGGTAGCCACGGTTGGCAATGTACTGGCGCATGTCACGGGTGGTGGCCTTGACATATGGAGCAGCGAGGGTAGTGTTGATCTTGTCATTGACAACTTCGTTGCCCGAGAAGAATGCCAAAGTGTTGTCGTACTGGACGAATTCGTCAATGGTAGCAAAGACGCTCTGGAGGTACTTGTCGTTGTACGATGGACCCGGATCCGCCTGGTTGATTGAGTAGAGTGGGTTGTTGGCATCGAGGATGACGTAGATGTTGGCATCGGCCAGGGCATTCATGCACGTGTCGTGGTTGGCCGAGTTGTCAGTAATATAGACTCGAATCGTATTGACGCCCAGGGTCTTGAACTTGGCAATATCCCTCTTGCAGACATCGGTGTCTGCCAACGGGTCCTTGGGGCCGGATGCGCCACCGGGTTGGTAGTCGATGCCTCGCACATAGAACCTCTTGTTCCCCGCCCAGAAAGCTATTGTGGAGGCTCATTAGCCATGACTCGTACCTGTCAAACGACGGGCGAGCTCTTACCATTTCCTGACGCCGTGACGGCTGGGAGAGAGGCCCGCTTGTGAGGTTTCTCGGGCTCCGTTGGGGTCGGGCCGGCCATGACGAGACCCCCGGCAGCGGCCAGAACGGACAAGATAGCTGAGGACTTCATCTTCTGTCTCCTACTTCTGATCGTATGATTCAAGTGATAGTCGCGGATGGAATTCTGTCGAGACCGGGCAATCCCCTTTTAAGCAAATGCGCTCAAAAATTGGGACAGGTAGAAATATGAGCGAGTGATGAGAAGCAATGAGAACTACAAAATGAGTTGAAGAGGGCCAACAATAAAACGAGCGAGTTGGCTGAACGAAGGGGTTAAAGAAGAGGGAGCTCAAAGATGAACTGGGAAGGAGTGTGGCAGGTAAAAATGGAAGTTGAAATAGGACAATGCAAAAGGGCAGAATCAAGGAAAAGGGAACTCCGGTTGATAACTGCCCTGTTCGAGGACTTAAAGGGAGGGAAGGCGAGAGTGAGTCGCTTGATTGAATGGGCCAAAGGGGGTGGATCTAGCAGCAAGAAAAATGATGTACCTCGACTGTAGGTAGTGTTGGCTTCGCTTGGAAACTGCGTCACGACTAACAAGTCGCAGTTTCTTCATGTTCCATTTGTTGGAGACACTCCACGGGCCTCGGTCAGGGCGATCCATTGATTGACATCTGCGTCAGCAGCCGCGAGCCTGTCATTTTTTTGTACCCACATATTCCCTGATTGCCCTGCCACTTTTCTGGGGAAAAGAATCCAATCATGGCTGAACAAGGCAAGTATCGGAATACCAGGAGGGGGCTAGGTGGCTATCCCTATTTTGCCTCCTCGCACACTCCCCAGAGCTACCCCTTGGAGGTTGCATGAGAAAGACCCTATACGAATCGGTTCTCTGCACTGCCAACGAGCTGCCCCAACGGCGAGTTTCAGAATGCTGGATACGACAGGATGCTAAGTGTTAGTCGAAATCGCGATCCTCGCATGTGGGTGGGTGAACAGAGTTGAACAGGGTTGCCAGTTCCTGACCTGACTCCACACAAGCCAAGCATCGATCGCTCTAGCCCGGGCAAATGCCGCTGGGCCCCTGTCCAATGCACGTCACTGCCAAGCCGCCATCCCTGTCTCCAAGCACAGCGGGAGAAATGGAAGGGAAAGGATGGAGAGGGTTTGAGACGATTCGCGAAACGGATTGACGAGTTGGAATCATCTATACAGGTAAACTCTGGATAAAGCAGTCAAATATGCCACGATGCTTATATGGCCATTAACCATCGTATTCTTTTCCCCCAACAATTTCTTGGTGGTTCCTCTATTTATCGTAAAAATCTGCCCTGTTTCGTCATAGAGTCAAGTTTTGCAGCGTTTTCTTCCAGTTTTAGACTCGTTAGAATGTAGGCTAATCATCACGTGACCACATCCCCCCGTCTTCTCACCACCTTTAATGGAGCTTAACATTTCATGCAGGGTTACCCGTATCTATCGAGGATTATGCTTTCGAAGCTTTATTTGCATCCGGAATTCGTAGACTCTCTTCAGAATTTCTTGTTGCACCCGTCTCTGATCTGACGTGCAAAGGAGGCAGCGGCGAAGCCCTATGGATAGGTAGTGTGCGACATGGAATTGGTCTCGGTAGCAGGCCCGTCCGCCTGACAGATGACAACCTAGGTACCTTACTTAGTGTCTGGCCGGAGTAATAGCAGCTGCCATGGACGCTGAGCTGTCTTCAACCGAAGGAACAGCGCCTGCACCTGAATTGGAGTACCCGGAGTAAGTATCAGGTATGCAATGCTATCCTTTCTAAAGTGCGCCGCCATCATAAAATATTGATGCGAACAAGCTTTGCCACCTTTCCAAGCGCAAGGCCAAGCAGATAATGGAAGTCGTCATGGCCGCCAGTGAATCTGGGCCCTCCAGGAATATCCAGGATGCCTCAACGCTCCCTTATGCACGTCGAGGCGCCTTCGTCTCGTCTCCGTGACGCTAGTGCACTAGACCACCTGGATATAACTGGCGGGTACGCTCTTTGTCACTCCCCCCTTCTCAACCTCCGCCCAGCCGTCGCCCGGATCCTCCTTGATCAGGACGAACCTCTCGCCCGCCGCCATGCTGTGTTCGGCGTCGCTTTGTGCACTGTACTCGTAGAGGGCCTCGGCGTATTTCAATTTCTTTGCCCCGCGCCTCGGTGCCACAGCCGGGCCTTTCTTCTTCCCCGCCGGCGCCGCAGTGCCTATCGATGACCCGCTGTTGGAGTAGGTCGACGGCGGCCGGGCAGACTGGCCCGTGTTTTGGGGCGCTATGGGCGCGGGCGCAGATAGTTCGATGTAAGATGCAGGCACCAATCCCTCCTTGTAACCAACCCGTACCTTGGTCCAGCCGGATCCAGCTATTATGCCAAAGTTAGATATTGGGGGAAAGCACACGATGATCGAGTTGCCCATGAGAATGACGGATAAAGAGAGCGGGGCGTAACATACTGTCCAGTTCTAGCACCACGACCTCCCGCCCTTCCGGCACACTGATCTCGCCTTCACCCCCTGAGTCGAAGGTGTATATCATTTTCCCTTTCTGCTCTGTAGCCGCAGGCGATCCCGAGCCGTTAGGGGCACTACCTGGCAGCTCGCTCATATATGCTGCTGGTGGAGGGGCAACGACACGATTCTTCCTCAAGGTATTGGACGTGACTGTGCTGGCCGGCTGTGCACTCGCAAGTTCTGATGGTGGTATTTCCTCTGCGGGAGATCTTGGCCCAGACACTGATCTTCGCGCGCTGGCTGCGTACCCAGAACTTAGAGAGTTCATCGTATCCGACCGACTCATCGCTGGCAGTTCCGCAACGTGATCTGGGGGCTTGGAGTTTGGTTTTAACAAAGTATTGGCAGCCTCCTGCCTCGCCTGCTTCAGCTTCTTGCGTTCCTCTTTTGACTGCTCCCCAGGGCACTCTGCGGGGACCTTCATCTCGCACTTGCTGTGGCATGTGTACCCGCAATCCCGACAGTCGAACCCCTTTGCTGATAAACCCCATATCCTCTCCCCGCAAAGATCGCAGTTCGTAGGGATTTTGAAGGTCTGAGACTTGAAGTTATGGTTCTTTGCGCCCAGCGTCACGTCGCCAACAGCTGACGTGATGGTAGATGTTTCGATCTCCGCGGTCAATCTTCTGTGATCAAGTTGGTGTAGATCTTCTTGCATTGCGAATATTTGCGAAACCACGGCGACTTCGTCCCTTTTCTCGGTGCCCTCCCTGACTTTTTGCTTCACTCGCTTCACAGCCTCGACCTCGCGTCTCTTCTTGTCCACTTCTCGGCGGAGGTCACCTAGCTGACCCTTGGATTTGTTCAGGACGTTCCGTAGATAGACTTTCGCGGCCTCGTCGACGACCATCGTGGCGTCGTCGTGCCAAACCGGGCTCGGTTCAAAAAGTTTGTCTAACGGCTCTTGCCAAGCGCCCATGTTGTGTCGTATATACATCATCGAGTCCAAGTACGGCTGATTTCTCGTGATCTCCTGTGACAAGTGGTCGACCTGGGCGGAGCTTCTCTGGAGCATCCCGGTCTCGAGCTGTGCAGCTAACGACCAGATGCCATTAAGTTTGATTGTGCGGAACTCGGAGAGGTCTTGCAAGCTGTCCATAAGCTCCGGGACATATTCGTGGTAGTACCTCTCCTTCTGCCTATTCGTCACGTTGATGGCGATCAGGTAGGTATTCTTGATATTGTTCATCTCCAGAATCTGCTGCTGATAGGCGCTCTGGGCCTTCGCCTTGTCGAATGAGGATTCTGATTTCTTGCGTTTGCTTTCCACCTCCTGACAAGTCGCGTCGTATTTGGCCTTCACCTTGCGTAAGTCGGCGTACGATGAATCCCTTTCTTTTTCCAGCTTCTCGGCATATTCCACATGGCGTTTCCGGAGCTCCTCAAACCGGCCTGATATATACTTTAGAGGTTCGGCAACCTTATTGACGAGGTCATTGCCGTACTTGTCGTGCTCTTCGGCGCGAGCCTCGAGCGTCGTGAGGTGGGTCGTCCAGGTCGTCAGTGATGCGCTGCAAAAGCAATGGTAAGCAACTAAGGTCTGGGAGAAATCAATGTAAGGGGATAGGAAGAGGAGAGGGAGATCTACCTCTCGAGAGATCCAGGGGTCATCGCCGGGGTGTCGCCAACACTTAGGCTTGTCGACTTCTTGGATTTCTTCTCAAAGTATTTCTTCGCCAGCGCGGAGAGTTTGGCGCTGTACTCCTTTTCGATCAGGCTCCTCTCGCGGTAAAAGGTTTGGATATCATCGAGCCATGCGATGCCGCTGGCCACCCAGGCGTTGGCTGGCTTGAAGCCATCCTAAAGGCCGTTCCATAAGCAGATGGTCAGTCGCCATGTGGAGGCGCGAACCTACCTTGAGCTCGGCGCCGAAGGTCGGCGCAACGTCCACGTCAGCCATGAGTTATCTGCCTCTTCTGGGGAATCTTCCTAAGGGATAACCATGCAGGGTATTAAAGCAGCGACTTGGACATAAGTAAGAGGTAGGTTGTATTCGAAAGTTTGGGGCTTAATCAGGCGTGGAGACGGCGTAAACTTGGGTAAGGAGGCATTCAACCAAGTAACCCCTCCAATGAGGTTGTTGCTAGCTGTGGCTAATGATACGATAGTGGATGCGACCAACTAGGTACTATGCAGTAAGCAGGACCAGAAACCCCTCTTCTCGCCTTTAATATTCGATAGGTAGCCTCACGTGCTCGGGGAGCTATGTATGTACAGTACATGAAGAAGACAGTGTTCCCTATATCTCGGAGACAAAGTAAGAATACTCCTCCCACCTGTTTAGTTACGACAGGGTTTTCCTGTGGAAGAAGGGCGTGTCGTTTTCTCACATGCAGGTTCTCTCTGCCATTTGAACTTGCGATCAATCACCACTCAATTGGGAATCGTGATAGTTGAACCTGGAATTCCGCGGTGGGAGTGGCTGCTGGGGTCCAAGCGGCAACCCCACCAAGCCTCCAAGCACCAAGCCCGTGCAGCTACAGGTAGCTAGGTACCTAGGTACCTACCACGACCCCACCAACCAAGGCCGTTGCCATTCGCAAAACTCAGGATACAAGCACGCGGTGAATAAAACCCGACCTCCAACTTTCTTCTCCCATCCGTTACTGCATTGGGTAAGCCAGATTCACTCGGCTTTTCCCAAAGTTATTTCAAGACGTTCACTGACGGGCGCCACAGATTGGAACCAGGTCAGGTGGCCAAAGTAGCCTGGACAAGAAAGCACCTACCCATCTTTCTCGTGCTTCATCACTCTGATTCGACAACGTCTTACCCGATAACCCTCAATCCCCTCCATCATGGCCGATCTTGCCAGTCGTATCACCAAGCCGAGTGCTGAAGCTTCGGCTGAACCGATCGACACTCCAGTCGAAGCGGCCGACAATCCAGTCAAAGCGGCCGAAATCCAAAGCGATGTTGCCAAAGCTCAGCTTGACGGCCCCAGCGACTCCGCGCCCGTCGAGACTCGCCTCCTCGAGTCCAGCTACGATGTTGAGGTGAAACTGAGCGATCTTCAAAATGACCAGGATAGTCCGCTATACTCGGTTTCTACGTTTGACCAACTCGGGCTGTCAAAAGAGATCAATGATGGTCTTCTGGCGATGAACTACAAGAAGCCTTCTAAGATCCAAGAGAAGGCCCTGCCACTCATGATCGCCAACCCACCCACAAATATGATTGCCCAGTCGCAGTCTGGCACTGGCAAGACCGGCGCCTTCGTCCTCACCATTCTCTCCCGCATCGACTTCAGCAAACCGACGCAGCCCCAGGCCTTGGTACTTGCCCCCAGCCGAGAGCTGGCTCGCCAGATTCAGAGCGTGATACAGTCGATTGGGCAGTTCTGCAAAGACCTGATTGTCGAGGCTGCAGTTCCTGGTGCCGTCTCGCGCGATACTGGCGTGAGATCGAGTGCCGTGGTTGGGACCCCTGGCACCGTGATGGATCTGATCAGACGCCGCCAGTTTGATGTGTCGCAGTTGAAGCTCCTTGTTATTGACGAAGCCGACAACATGCTGGACATGCAGGGTTTGGGCGATCAGTGCACGCGGGTGAAAAAGTGCGTTTATCCATTGCCTGATTTTGCGTGCGACTTGAGGCTGACTTTCTTGCAGCATGCTGCCGAAGAATATCCAGATACTCCTCTTCTCAGCGACCTTCCCCGATAAAGTCATGATGTACGCCGAACGTTTTGCGCCGAATGCCAACCAGATGAAGCTGCGTCAGCAGGACCTCACCGTCAGGGGCATTTCCCAGATGTACATGGACTGTCCGGATGAGCGGACCAAGTATGACATTCTTTGCAAGCTCTACGGTCTGATGACTATCGGATCTTCGGTCATCTTCGTCAGGGTATGTCGCCCCTCTGTTACCAGTGTGGAACCATATTTGAGACTGACATAAAACAGACACGGGAGAGTGCCAACGAAATCCAGCGCCGGATGGAGGCGGATGGCCACAAGGTCTCTGTTCTTCATGGTGCTTACGAAGGAATGAACCGAGATGCCCTTCTTGACGACTTCCGGACCGGAAAGTCCAAGGTCCTCATCACCACCAACGTGCTGGCTCGGGGTATCGACGTCTCCAGTGTGTCCATGGTCATCAACTATGATATCCCGATGAAGGGCATGGGAGACAGGGAGCCCGACGCGGAGACATACCTGCACAGAATTGGCCGAACTGGTCGGTTTGGGCGAGTCGGTGTCAGCATCAGCTTTGTCTATGACCGCAAGAGCTTCCAGGCCCTGTCTGACATTGCCAACATCTACGGCATCGATCTCATTCAGTTGAGTCCCGACGACTGGGATGTAACCGAGAAGAAGGTCCAGGATGTCATCAAGTCGAGCCGAGCGAGACCCGAGTATGCCCCAAGTGCTGTTACGGCCTAGAACACCATCTCCAGTTCGTGGCGTGGGAGTCGTCAGCAGAGACCATACCGAGGTGGGTTTCTGCTGCCTTTCGCTCGCAGATAAATCAACATCCTTTCGGGAAAATAGGGGCCAGGGACGAGGTGGAGAAAAATATTGTCGGAGGTGGGAGACTTTGCAGCATCAGGTGCAGGCGGCTGATAATGAAGAAAATGAATGGATGAGACCTGAGACCTGAGACCTAGATACCAACCGACAATACAGTTTGCTGCAGGTACATACCTGCTTACCCTGCAGGTTGCAACCCGAACCACATCCACTTACCTTTAAGCGCCTCCGTGGGTTTCTGCACGCCGGAAGGAACTTCATACCACCCACATCCCTCCAGGTACTGTGATGGCATCTCCTAGCTAGGTAGGTAGGTAGGTAGGTACCTACCCCTCAGGGAACGTCTCAGCCACTCTGCAAAAATCTGGGGAGGACGGTCCGCAGTCGACATGTCCCTGGAACAAGGGAAAGCCGAAGAGAGATGTCAACTTCTGTAAGTTCCAGCCCAAGCCCAATCGCCTTCTATTCGCATGCTCCAGAGCATGTCGGGTTCATTGTAGGGTAAAACGGAGGCACGAATATTGTGTTGGCGGCTTCGATCAAGTCGGCGCAAGTTCTAACCATCACCTGCAGGCCACTCACTGCACGAAGAGTTGAAACAAGTCAGGTGTAACAAGGAGTCAGGAAGCGAGGCCACACGGCGGCAGGATTGGCTCGAGGATCGCACGTGATTTGGCTGGCCCAATGGACAGGTCTGTTTCATCCCATCATTGGCGCCGGGCACTCAAATTTAGGCGCCTTGTAAACGCGCGCAGATCTCGAAAAGGAAGAGCAGTGAGTATGAGCCACTCATTTGGAGGGCGGCGGCTTCTGTGTTATCTTCATTGGGTACCGCCACGCAGGGTTACCGCCACACCCCCGAAATAGCCCACAGCCAATCCGCAAGGCGGATCGACGATGTGCCTGCCCTGCCTCGGTCGTCTCTCTCGCTCGTCTGCGAGGGACATCGTCTTCCAGACTGCAAACATCCTGCCCCTATGACGCAACCCTGCTCTCCTTCGTGCGGCGGCCATGCCTGCGAGTTGGCAGAATGGAAAGGCATTGGCAGGAGCGAAGCTAGAGTTCGTTGCCGCGTCCGTTCCGATGGATTCCCCGGCCAGGCCTTTGTTTTCCTTTCCTTCCTCTTATTTTTTTCCCTGTGGCCTCCTCGTTTGGTCTTCTCTGTCTCATCTCTTCGGCAACCTTCCCTCTTTTCCTTTCCTTGTTGCGCGGCCGTTCCTGGCCTGTCTCTTTTAGGTCGCATAGCCCCCGGGTGTCATACCTACCGCGGCAGTTCGCTATTTCTAGACCAGGTTGAGATGCTGGCCATCTCCCTTAATTATACTATTAACTCATAGGTTGGTTAGCTTTTATTATTCTGTCTCTGCCCTCTCCTGGCCGCGGTTGGGACAGTATCATGTTGTTCCCACTGTTCTCTCGCTCCATGACAAAAACCAACTCGGATTCGGTCGTCTAGAGCTCCTTGCCAATAGCGTCCAATAGCGTCCAACAGCGAGAAATGCGAGGCCTGTTGAGGTCTGATGCTCTTGTCCGCAAAGGGCATCCTGGGAACAGAGCCGCTGACCCTCTCGTCTCACAGATGTCCAACCATAGAATGGCGGGCAAGCCTCTACTGTCCTTGGTGTTATGGATGACAGCATCTTCACTTTCCAACGCCGCCAGCGCCGGTCTCCCAAGCGATATAGCCAGTTTCATCCCTTCCTGCGCATGGGGCTGTTTTCAATCCTTCCTATCAGCCAACTTCGATGCCGAGGTCTGTGGGCCGGCACTGTCTTTGCAGTGTCTTTGCCGGAAAACCGGGAGGTCAGGGTTCACGATTGGGGAGGGCGGCGTTCAGTGCATTGTTGCCGAGAGTAATCGGAATTCATGCCATGGATCCGATGCATCAGGTGGGTTAATCTAAGAAGAGCCTGCCAATCTTGACAGATACTTATAGTCGACAGGACAAGCCGTGACCAAGGCATACGGCATGTGCTTGGGAGTGGCCAATGCAGCTCCGCAGACCCATGCCACCATCGTCGCGACGATGGTGATTCCATCAGGTACCGGTGCGGTAGTTGTGCCCACCGTAACCATCACAGCAGCTGCAGGGGCTATCACGGCACCTGTAGAAGCTAGCTCGACGGCAGTACAGGCGGCACCGGCAACACCAACGAGTTCACCAATCTCTACAATATCACCAGATGAGCCAAGCGTGTCCAGAACGTCTAAGCTCACGACCGCTCAGATTGCCGGGATCTCCGGTGGCGTTGCTGCGGCCGTGGGCTTAGCGATAGGTCTAATCTTTTTAATAAGATGTATTCGCAGGAGGAGGTATCGTGATCGGGAATCAGGGCTCTTGACGGGGCGGGGCTCGCGGGGTTTTGGTTTGCTCAAGAGCAACCAGAATAGCCCAAATCTCCAGATTTCCGCGCCGATACACAAGACTCCGGTAGAAATGGATTTCAAAAGACCGGGAGACCGGGAGAGCATTCTCCCCGGCTCGATCGGCCTGGCCATTTCCCGCCCTAACACCACACCCTCGGCGGGAACGACCCAAGGCCGGCCCCTGACCTACACATCGAATACCCAGGAAACCCAAGAACCCCCGAAACCAACCTTGACCTTGACCATCCCGCAGACACCAGGGTCGCACCAACATGAAGCACGGGTAACCTTGACAGGGCGCGAAAGCGTAGTGACAGAGTTTGCGGAGGACGGCGAGCCAGATAGTGCCACCGGAGCTCATGTATGGCGGCCACCTCCATCAGACCCGCAATCGGCGACAACCTATTATGTTGCTGATAAATGGGGCAACTGGATTCTCGCCAACCAGAAACGAAAATCCCAAGCGGCCGAGCTTGAAGTACCGAATCCCTTGACCGGGACGAAGAAGTCGGAGAGAGCGATGGGCGCCCCATCCGGCCCCCCCGTCGACGATACGAGACTGGCCCCTTCACTTCCAGCAAGACTGGCGCCCACCAAATTGGGCTCGCCGATTGTATTCAAGGACAAAGCAGCCGCCAGCGGTGTGGGCGTGCCGTCCAGCATCTATTCAAACTTCAGCGTGCCACAGTCGGCTACTCTGAGCCCTGGCAATCATTTGCCGAGGGCACAACCCCCGCCGAGCACGTACTTCGATCTCATCCGAGAGAGCGGTGCCGGGCATATAGGGGTCCCGGTGCAAAGGCGCAATTCACGACGAGCTAGTCGGCCAGTAACGCGGAATTCCTACGAGTCCGGAACGACGATCGAGTCAGCAGGAGCCGGCGATGAAGACGACATTGACGACGAGCCACAAGAAATGCTGTCCCTTGTCGTCGAGTCACCTCAAACACCGATCTCGCCTGGGACGTCACCCGTCTCCTATCCCAGGATTCCCGGTGCAGGAAGCACGCCGGCGAGGCACCCAACCCCCAACAAGGGGCCCGCATTTTCGCTCTTCCCGGCACCCTTAAGAGCAAGCATCCCCAATGGGCATAGGCAGCTAAGCTCAACCCCGGGAGTCATGGAGCCCGTGAAGTCGCATCAGGCCCCCCCACCATCCCAACCCCCCAGTATCCGGCAACCTCTCCAGGCACTGGCTCTGAACCTTCAGCCCAGCCGCAACCCGGCCCATATAAGAAACGGATCGCCCGAAGCAAGGTCGAGTTCGGCACCTCCGGAACAGCAGCAGCGACAGCCGTCACCGCAAACCCTCCGAGTTGGCGAATCGGTGAATGGATACAACTCCAACGCAAGCTCCCTGCTCCCCAAGCGCCTCGGCGCCGACCGAGCCGCGGCGCTGGTCCTAGGCGTCGGGGCGCCGAGGGGTAAATGGCGGCGAGACGGAGGTGGGCAACAGCAAGGCGGCGCGCCGGGGTTCATCACGGATGAGCTCGGGCACGTGGCGTTGCCGGCAACACCCGGGTGGGAGCCGAAGCTGACGCTGACGCGCAGAGGGGAGGATTTGTTCCTCAATGTGCAATAACGAAAACCTAGGGCAAGGGCGAGGGGCGGAAGGGGATACACTATCGTTTGTTATCGTTTCCTTGCGTTCAGGTTCTATTCTCCTTGATTTTTTTATTACTCTATCATACCCTCTTCGGGCGGCGTTTTTTAGGACGGGATAAATTGGGGTTTTACCATGTTGAGGGCATTTCTGGCGTTCACAGTACCTCTCTTGTAATATTTCCATCACAGCAACTGCTTTGCCAGGCAGTGCAACTGTTAAACTAGGGCTTTTCTTATATCAGTTTTACTCCCTACTATGTACATACGAAGTTCCAGACATTCTTCGGCAAGCAAAGTATAAGATTAGTAATCCCCGAGTCATCGGAAGTGAGGACCGAGGTCACGGAGTAATATCGCGATCACTACCTAGTTGGATTTCTAAGCATCCGCAAATCGCCGTTACATCTTGAGAAGGAGCTCTACAGAATAGCGGGAGCCCCACACACCCACCCCAATCTAGGCCCTAACAACGACGGCAGTTTATTAGTTCTCAGCAAGAGTCTTTTCTTAACTCGAGGGGTTTTTTTTGGTGTCAAAATGTTCCCGTCGAGTTTTGCACTCCCACCCCAGGCCCCCCTCGAAGATCTCGGCTAGATGCAACTTCCCCTTCTCAGCAGCCAGTCCCTTCCAACCTTGCACTTGAGGCAACCAAAGACTGCGTCCCTTGATGACGCCTTCCCCCTAACCAGGTCCTAAATCCCAGGCTCATCTTCTGATTCGGCAATGGGTTGCCAACAATGCTGCATCTAACGTGGGCGGACATGGGGGTCTAACTGTCACGGCAAAGGCAACTCTATATTCGCTCCTCCTTGCGGACAAGCGGCGTGACGAGAAGACTAAATAATACCTACCCACCTAACCAGCAACCCTGGATCCTGTCTACAATCCTTAGCAGCCTGCCTCGGTACCCTCCGCCGTGGTCAATCAGAAATAATTACTGTATCTATCTGATCTGTACAACTCCTTGGGCGCCTTCTAAGATCTCGGTTCCCCCGGCTTCACGACGGTTGGACCAAAACTCAAAAGTGACAACCTTATAACCAAATCCTACCTAGTGAGAGGCAGCGTCTCCGGTTCTATATCCTTTTATCCGTCAAACCAACTGGCTCCCACCCCGGACCCCGAGAGTTAGCTTTTTTTTCATCGGACGCTCGATCTCTTAAAGATCTCCAAATATGGGTCTCTTGTAAGCCCCTCCCCCCTTGATCTACTCAAGACACATGCGCCTGCATGTACGACGGAGTACCGTGAAACTTACTACTAACCCGCCATTCGCTCAAGGGCTGAAGGGACGGCCCTGGATTGGCCTGACGCCAAGAAGTATGCTGCTCAAGTCAGGGAATGGGGTATCCAGGTGAGCACTGATATCGGGACCTCAGTCCCTTGCCTGCACGTGGCCCACACGGCTGAACAGGGCTGACCAGCGAATAGCAATTGCTTGAAATATGGAACAAGGCAAAGGTTAAGGAGAGGGACGCGATGCTCTGGGGCGATGAGGTATCTCAACCCTTGCCGTTCTCACTTGTACCCGTTTCCACCCGGGTAACTGATGGTCCCCTCTTAGATCGAGTATCTCGTTGTGGTCTACTCGAAAGATGACCCCAAGGTGCTCCTGTCTTTGAGGCAGGCGGACATCTTGAAAGCCCTGGCCAATGACGAGGAGCTCGTTGCGCAGGGTGGAGGTGTTCCCGACCTGCAGGATGCAACGCCGCCTCGGTAAGACAACATACCTGATCCGCATGCCGGGAAAATGTCGAGGTGTATTACTCACCATCCTCCAGTCAGGAGAATCCCCTCCCGGTCTTCCATCCAGAGTTCGGGAGGTTCATGCTTGAAGCCACTCCCGGAAAGCCATGGGGGATCGAGTTCAAAGCGCTGCTGGCTGTAGAGCCGGATATGAAGCTAAGGTAATGCGTTATCCCGACCCCCCAGCCCCCCCCCCCCCCCTTATCTCTCTCACACACTCTCTCATCTTGAACGCGGGCTCAATGATTCGTAGGAGACGGATCGCAAAGAACCACATGCTGCCTAAGGAGCATCCAATCACCCTGACGACGTTCCCGACGTTGGGATCTCCAGGGGTATTCACTGATCCCTTCTATCCTGTTTCCGGATCCAAGCTGCGGTCTCAGTTCGTTCCTGATGAGATCGCAAACCCCCACATTCGGTTTCCCACCCTTGCGGCCAACATCCGGTCCCGCCGGGGACGGAAGGTTCAAGTGAATGTGCCGGTCTTCAGGGATGTGAAGACTCCCTGGCCGTGGAAAGATCCGACTGTCAATTACGATCTGCACAACTGGCCGGAAGACGATGATGTGCGGAATGGTGCTGCCCCGGACAACTTTATCCACATGGATGCCATGGCATTTGGCATGGGCAGCTGTTGCCTTCAGATAACCTTCCAGGCCAAGAATATCACCGAGGGGAGGCGCATGTATGACCAGCTGAGCCCGCTGGGCCCCATCCTGCTGGCTCTAACGGCCGCGACGCCCATCTACAAGGGGTTCCTGGCCGATACCGATGTCCGGTGGAATCAAATCAGCAGAGCTGTCGACGACCGAACTCCTGGGGAAATGGGGGAGAAGGTACGTACTTGTAATCATGGGCCATAGCTCTGTTTCAATCCCTGACTGACAGCTGTAGCCCCTTGAAAACGACCGATGGAGAATACCCAAGTCGAGATACGCCTCAAACTCAACTTACATCTCCACCGACTCTCGACTGCGGCCAGAATATCTCGACCCGGATCTCATAATCGACCCAGACATCAAGGCTAAACTTCTCGAAGGCGGCATGGACGACAGACTTGCGACTCACTTTGCGCATCTGTTCATCCGGGACCCGATTGTCATCTTCTCGGAAGATCTCAAGGAGCTTGACTTGAACAAGACGGACCACTTCGAGAACATCCAGAGCACGAACTGGCAGCACATGCGGTTCAAGCCGCCGCCGGCCGACAACAGTATCGGCTGGCGGGTCGAGTTTCGGCCAATGGAGATACAGGTCACCGACTTCGAGAACGCCGCCTTCTCCGTCTTCCTCGTGCTCATGACGCGCGCGATCCTGAGCTTCGACCTGAACTTTTACATCCCCATCGTCAAGGTCGACGAGAACATGGAGACGGCGCACGCGCGAGACGCCGTCCTGGAGCGCAAGTTCCACTTCCGCAAGAACCCGTTCCACGCCCGGCCCCCGCGGAGCTCGGCGGCGTCGGGCACCAACAGCCCCAACGGGATGCCGAGCAGGCCTCCAACGCCGACGGGGCCCGTCGAAGACGAGTACCGGCTCATGAGCATCAACGAGATCATCAACGGCACCTCGTACGCCAGGTCGTTCTCCTCGTCGGGGAACGCGACGGGGGCCGGCGGCGACCAGGACGAAGAAGACGCCACCAGCTTCAACAGCTTCATGGACGAGGACGAGTTCCCGGGCCTCATCCCCCTCGTGGAGGGCTACCTCGACTCGGTCAACCTGGACGTGGTGACGCGGTGCGAGCTGTCGACGTACCTGGACCTGATCCGCAAGCGCGCCAGCGGCGAGCTCTGGACGGCGGCGCGGTGGATCCGGCACTTTGTGGACCGGCACCCGGGGTACGGGCACGACAGCGCCGTCACGGACGAGGTCGCCAGGGACCTGGTCGGCGCCGTCGTCGCCATCGGCGAGAGGGAGCAGGACGACCGCGGGTTCGGCGGCCTCGATGTGCCGGACCTGGACCGTCTGCTTGGGGGGTTCAGGGGCGCCTGATTGGGGAGCCTGATTGGGGAGGAGATGGGGGGGCGGGCAGACGGGGTGGGCGGACGGCCGGCTTCCTCCTTTCCGATCCGCCTCGTTGTCGTGAGGTGAGAGCGTGAGGGAGAGACGGGACCAGGGTTGTGCGAGCATGGAAGGACATTGGGGGAGGTTGCGGTTGGGCATCAGTGCGAAGCGTCAAGACCGCATTCTTTTTTCTTCTTCTTTATTTTTGTCTTGGGAAATAGATAGTCTGGCCCCCTTGGTCAGCGCCACGCAATACTTTGGTTATGTAGCACAAGATCTCATGGGGCGACAGTACGAGAGAGAGACAACGGGTTACATGTTCCCAGACTTGGAGATACATGTCATAGGCTTGCAGGCACTTCGCCGTGACCTTTGGCCCATGTAACTCCGCGTGCCCCCCATCCTCATGGCACACAAAGCATCACGTCACGAGGGCCGTTCCCGGCAGTCCAGACAGTAGAAGGCTCAACCAACCACGCTTGCTTTGACACTCCAGGGTCCTGCCAGACCGCTATTTTTGCCCTTTCGCGGCATAGCGTACGCAGTAGGAGTCAGCAGACCAGCTCCCCATGCGTTTGGCGCAGGTTCTCAGGTTCCACAAGGTCGCATATACGTAGCAACTATTTTCACGCCGTCTTACATCACGCAGCTGTGTTATCTTTCCTCTCCCCCCCCCCCCCACACCCCACCAAAATTTCGAACCTTTAGCCTGCCCTCCCCCCTCGATCCCAGCCGTGTATGCAAGATCTGGGAAAGGCCGAAGCTGCAGGCGGCCGGGGATCTCCAAACCCAAAAGAGGGCGCACATGGCAACTGGTGGCACAACCCCACCTTTTTTCCCCCCAGGGCGACCGACCGTGCGGGATTGAGATCCGGTTTCGTTGGTTCTGTTTTATCGATTCGATCTCTCTCCCGTTTTCCTTTTCTGGGAATATACATTTGATTAGTACCTTGCTTTTCAGCTGTGGTTTGTTGGCGGTATTAGGTGCCCATCCCGTCATGGCCCAAAAAGCCGGGGTGGGAGGAGGGCCAGTAGCGCCAGGCCGGGCACCCGCACGTAAGTGATCTAGATCGGTGATGATCTCTCTTTTTCTCTTGTGCGACGTGCACAACGTGCGCGCCGTCTAATCGATCCCTGATCCCTGGCAGCTTCCATGGTGATGTCGGTGAGCGACCGGGTCCAACCCTGACCGGGTTCTACTAGAGGGTTCTTTCTAGAACAGAACCTTTCGCTTCGCTTGGGAAGGGAGGGGAAGGGGGAGGGGGAGGGAAGCGGGCACAGGTGGGCGGGCTGGGTGCCGCATTTTGGTTCTTTCACATGAGCGTTTTCGATAGCGTTCTGCGCCATGCTTTTCTGGCCAGGGTAGGATTGCTGCTGGTCTCTGGTGCCCGGCCTCTGGTGCAGCGCCATTTCAGGGTGGAATATTACGCCGACGTTGCATCCGCAAAAGAAGACAATCGTGGCCAGACCGTGGTAGTGGGGAAGTGGCTATTCCACTGATTGCCGTTCGTTCCATGTTCCTTCCAACAAATACGCCGAGCGGGAACAGACGAAACAAGGTGTCATGGCTTCGCCTTGGCAAGGGGACTAGGTGTGTAGGTAGGGACTTCACACGGGAGAAATCTGGCTCATCGAACCCTTTATTGCCGAGACTGCCGAGACTTCCGAGTCGTCCAATGTCTTGCAAGCTCTGTTTTCCCTCCTGTTGAGCATCAACTCATCACACCTATAATTAGAAAAGCAATTACACTACGCGGCATGCGCATGGCTTACCAGAGTGTCTCTCGTCTCTCACTGCTAATCCGTCATCACCAATCTTCCAGCATTCCACTCCTGAGTCGCCTGTCTCATCTGCCCACGCTAATGGTTGGGCCTTCTACAGAACCGGGAATTTGCTCCGGGTACGAGATTAGAGATTAGAGTTGCGGTTGCAAGGGCAAGATCCAGGGATGGATTTCATGAGCCATGTCTCTCTGTGATCGATCGAAACCGGGAACAGATCGACGAAAAATGTTCCGTCATGGTAATCCTTTCTCCTTTCGTTTCCCAGCTCTGGGTTACTGCACAGTAGTTGGTGGTTGGGTAAAAGAAGAAGAAGAAGAAACTACCGCTTGGGGACTGTTGGGTCTCTGCCTATTCAAAGCTGCCAGGCCGCCTATCGAATGCAATGTAGCGTCCGCCGTGAGCCCGCAAAATAGATCCGCGAATCAGAAAAAGACCCGCAGATCTGACTTGAGATCGATCCATCATCAGCCAGCTTGAAGTGGGGCCCGTGTATACACCACGTGCGTAACTGGGAAGTAGCACGGTCTAGATCGGGAGGTACCTTCGTGTACATCGAAAGTATACAATCTAAACGATCGCGGGCTCGATTCCAAAATCTTGGACTTGATTTCCCATGGCCCTTCCCGACCGATTAATTAGCCTACATTTAGTTACCTAATTAGGGGGTGGGCACCAAGATCTCACAATTAAGTCTAAATCCCCACGTGGCTGGCGATGATTCTCTCTCGCTTTTGGGATTTCGTTGAGCCCCGTTTCGGCTCGTCATGGTCGGACGACAAGGCCAGATTCTCGATCTCGCCTACGCACTTAAAATGCCACCCCACCATTGGCCATTTCTGCACTTCACCGAGTCCTGCTGGCATGATGGCATGCTGCCGTCTCTCCAGGAACGGGGACGGGGAGGGGGCGGGGCGACCAATGGATTCTTCGCCATCGAGCCCGAGCTACTGCGTAGCTACCACCAACGAGGCGCTGAGACAGCATCAGGCCACTCAAGCGGCCATCACCGCGAGGCGGGTCAAGATCGGTGAGAGAAGAAGCAAATACTAATTTTTTTCTCTTGGTTCCGTTCCGGGGCGCTTCAAAAACCGCCAATCGGCCGGGGCCAGATAGATGTCTCTCGGCCACAGCCGCAAATCCGCGACCACCAGATGGATAGAGATGCGTACCGAGGGGTTTTTTTTTTGTGCGCTCTGTTCCTATGACGAACCTTGCGAACGGGGTCTGCATCCAGCCGGCGTTCGCGACACCCGTCCCCGCTTCCCCGACTCGATTGACACGACACAGCAAGATATCAATCACCATTCTTGTTCAACACACCTTTTGGTCCTGCGAGTTCCCTCCACGGCTAGATGGGTTCCCGCGCGGGGCGGCCATACGGCTTGCGTCCCCGGCTGCAGTGTAGCCTCTCACAAATCTCTCCGCAATCCAATCTCGGTCATAACATCACCCTCTAGCCCACAGTTCAAAAGCGTCTTAGACACGCAGGGGGAGGAGGGCCGAGCCATTCCGCGACGATACCAGAGGCCCAAAAGTGGTATTGGGCAAGCGGAATGGAGGAGAGAGCGTGTTAGATCGACCCAGTTGCTGCTTTCTTCGTCCATTTCGAAACTCCTCCGGGGAAATTTTACCCCAGCCTCAGAAGGAAATGCACGTGTAAAGACCTGTTCCGCCCCTCACAGCAACGGTATCGAACGGTATCTGTCTAGGCCCTCCCCCCACGAGAGCCGTTCAACGCCCACGCTAAGAAAGGTTTGTCTATCACTGTGCCACCACCCCATACTGCAGACATGCCCAACCACGCGGCAGAGTTGGGGAGCAAGACCCTGTTTTTTTTTTTTTTTTTTTCCGCCAATCCATAAACCATTTTGACGTCGCCTTTCATTCGTCGTAGCCCCCCTCTCCCCTGGTGGTCCCCTTGTCCTTTTTCTTGTGTCGCAGCAATCAGAAAACTTGCCAGCACGAAGATCCTGTAAGCATGCTCCAGGGTGGCACCCCATTTGGCGCCACGGGACCACGACGTCTCTGTGAGAGGATGGATGGGAGTCCCGCCACGCAGCCAGAATTTGGAAGATCCTGGCATTCGGAATGCTGATGGAAGGGGGAAAAGGAGAGGCGGATTAATAAAGAGTCTCGACGGGCCCTGCGTCGGATGTCTAGGTCGGATGTCGAAATGTCTAGGTCGTTGGCATTCCTCCGGTTGCCGCGTGAGGGCTAGAGTACCCTCGAGCATGTGCATTGGTGGCTATATCGCGTGGTCGGTGCCTTGGAAACGCATGGCCGCCTACTTACTGTCCGCCCTCCCGACCTAGTTGCTGGTGTGAAAAGGCGTGTTGCTGCGGGATTGTGAAGGACAACACGCCCGTGACTGACGCAGGCAGAGCAGAGAGAGGCACCCGGATCATGTCCACTTCACCGGCTGCAAGGGGGTGGTAGGCAACAACTCTCTCCAGGTGCTGCTCCCCACTCTTCCCAACCACACGACGGGCCGCTGTCGTGAGCCACTGGCACGAGGTTTGCGTGCGGATACGGCACGTACTGTCTCTGCCAGTGTCGACCACCTACCCCATACGGTAAAGGACAGCGGCTCGGGTAGAGTTGCCCCCAAACGGTTTTTTTTGGGCCCCGAATGTGCAGTACTTGTACTTAACTAGAGCGGAAACTAGTCGTACGCGACGCTATTATAGGACACCCTTAGTCGGGAATTAGCACGGGGGGCAACCATTGCATACCTACCTACGGCCCCTAACTAGGTACGTCGTACGATGTACGTGGCTCGCAAGGTAGGGAAGTTAGTTACTAGTTTTCTTTTTCTTTTTCTTTTCATCGGATTGGGACTGTTCGTAATTTCTTTTTACCCCCCCAAAAGCCACCGGTGTGGGTCCACCAGTGCCCTGAGTCGCACGTCCCCCCGCGAAGCAGTGACGGAAACCAAGCTAGTCCCGGTCCCAAATGGTTGGGAACCCGGCCGAGTTAGTTGGTGCGATCCGAGAATATGCTGCTGCCGACCTGGTGGAGTTCCCTCGTCATTATGCCCGCAGCCAGGGAGGTGTTCACTGAGAAACGGATTGCTGGAATGTATGTACGTACCTACATATAGTAACATGGGGTACGTACTGGGAGAGATTTTCGATCCCTCATTGATTGATCACCGAATTCCTACCGCATCTGAGATCGCGCCGAGACCAGATGCCAGATCCCCCAGTCATAATAAAACCCGCGTGTGCGGTGTGTGAGGTGTTTGTTGTCCATTGACACCCCACCCCACTCCTCTCCCTGTCACCTGGTCGCAGTTGGTCCCTCTGTTGTGTTGGCTAGGGGCCGGGGGGGTTTCTTCTAGCGCACGCTATGGTGTGGTTGCCAGCCAGGGGACAGGGAAGCCCCAGGCAACGTATCCCAGACTCACCCGGTTGGAGCTGCCCACGCCGCGTGCGCTTTCTCTTTTTTGCCCGGCATGTGTCGCCGAGTCTCTTGGGGGATCAGGGTCCGGTGAGCTTGCCTTGAATGGCCGCCCCATCGCATTGCACTAGCTCCGCGTTGAATCCAACCACCCCTGGGAAGAGGCAACAAGGTCAAGCAAGCTCTCTTCCCACTTTACTGCGCAGTTTTTGCTTGCGGGCCGTGGTCACGAAGATAACGAATCAAACGACGAAGATGCGAATGCGAACAGGTAGGGTGGTCGAACGACTTATTTATTCCTTGTATGTCCAGATTCCTTTTTCCGTTCCTCCCCACCCAGATGTTTTTGCTCTAGTCTGAATCCTCGGAAAGTGATATACAAAAAAGAACATCAAGTAACGATGAGGTGTAACGAAGGTGAAAACGCCGTTTGATGCCTTGATTCCTGCCTACCGAGACAGCCGATTCACTCTCCAAAAAAGGGAAGGGTATAAAAAAAAAACCTCAAGAATATATATGCATATACAGACAAGAAAGACACAACACAGGGAGGGAGCGGGAGTGTAGAAGGCGTTTCTGCCGAACGAGATATAAAAGGGGCGGTATAACTCTGTCTACCGCCAAGTGGTAGGGGTATTGGGTAGGTAGGTAACTTGTTGTTGCCCGGGGCTCGTTGGGAGAGATGGGCCATGCTACGCTTGCTAGAAGCGCACACAGTAACTAAAGGAAGAAGTCTTGTTTCCCGGTCTGCTTCGTGGGGTTATCGTCCGCATTTGTAATCCCGGGGCGAACAGGAAGTGGACCAGCCGTATCTCTCTCATCCACCTGAAGCCTCCGGTTCATCGGGTCGTGGCTTGCGTTCATTAACTCCGGTCGTCTGAAGGTTTGGGCCGGATGGACCGTTGTTCAAGCTGCCGTTTACGTTCTAGCTTTGCATAGTGCAGACCGCACGCGTTGCATAGGGTTCGTGCTCCGTCCGGACCTCGTCTCCATTCAGGAGTGTCGATCCTGTTGCAGCTGTGACACCGACCCGGAGGAGCTGCCCGCTGTCACTGGTGTCAGTAAAAATTTTTTGGACGACCTCTCAATGGAACCGCCGCGCGGTATGCGAGTGTAGTCGAGACTTACCCCACGCCTCCTCTTCACCTCGCCCATTCCAAATTGCGCCTTGACCGCTTCGGGATATCCAGGCTCATCCTCCTCGAAGGGCTTGCGGGCATTGTTCTCCCGGGTCCGCTCGTTGATGATCCTGCTTTGCTGCACCATATTCCGCACGTCCTCGAGACACTTTTTCATCATGTACACGTTGTCCAGCATCAGGGTGACTTCGTTTTCCGTGGGCAACCGAGACGGTATGGGCTGTGCGCCGTGCTGCTCTCTAGCAGCGGCATCGAATGCCTCGGCGAAATGGAATAACGTCCGCGCGGAGCCCGCGACCTGCAAAAGACTGGTAAGTTTCGACACGCAAATAGAAGTCAAACGGTCATGAAGAAATAGAAAGGGAAGGAGGCAGCAGCATGAGGCAGCAGCAGGGATAGCGACTTTCGAGGTAGCTACTTACTCTATTCAATGCTTCGCCGTAGTTCCAGGCCTCGAATGCCCGATCCAGTGTCGCCTCGTACTTGGTGTTGCCCCTGCTAGCAAAGTTCTCCTCACCATACATTGGTGGACGCTGATGATCGAATGGAGAGGGAAGCGGAGGGCCTGCCTGTCGAGGAGACAGCGGGTAACCAGGAATCGGTAACTGTCCTGGCGGCAGCTGTCCCGTCTGCGAATAGAGGCCCGGTCCCGGTTGATGTGGTTGCTGTAGTTGATGTGGATAACCCGTCTTAAACACTTGCGCCTCCGCTGCTTGCCGTTGTTCCGCCTCGAGATGCTCCGTCTTTTCGGTAGGAGAGGGTTGCTGTGACGAATACGTGGACAAGGGTGGTGGGGGTGGTGCAGGTGGTCGGCCGGTTAAGGATGGCCGGGTAGGATCTGAGAAAGCCGACATGGGCTCGGATCGGGGAGGAAAGGATGAGGGAGGATGCAAGGTCCTCGGAGACGTGTGATTTTCTGAGGAGACGTCGGAGAACGGCCTTTGCGGGGCTGATAGCGAGAATGGAGAAGGCAGGCTCGGGGGTGGAGGAGCTGAAGAGGTAACAGTTGCCGAGTAAGGGCTCGGCTTGGAGCCGGATATGACCTCCCGAATAGAGGGTAGTAACTGTCGGCGAGCCTCTGGCTCATCAGAGGTTCTCCGCGACCCTGTCGGAGATAGCATGCCGGGCATGTTGGAAGGGGGACCCGGTGGAGGATAAGCGGAGGGAAAGTGTTGGTGTTGGTGTGGATTATACTGAGCGCTAGGACTCATCACGGTTGCTGTCGCCATGGCCTGGCCAGGTCTATACTGTCCGTCGAACGTATCTCTCGGGCGGGAGTCAGGGTGCTCTGGGTTTCTGGCAGAGGAGAAAGTGCTGTTGCGTGTTAACTCGGAGGAGGGGGGGAGATGGGAGGTGAACATGTCTGGCTCCAACGGACCTTTGCCTAGTGCCAGATCCGCCCGCTTCCATAGCGGGTATCGTGAAGAGATCAAAACCCCTTACTTAAGCCAAGATCCTTCCACGCATCTGCGGTGACTAGTGACTGATTGTGGCGGGAGAGGGAGAGAGGCAGGAGGTGCGGTTTTGGAGTTGCGGCAATTTGCCCCGGTGTGGAATCGTGGACGTTGAGTTGTGAAGACCAAGCGGTCCGAAATTGAAGCAGGACTGAGGGAAGGTACAGGTCTGGCAGCTTTGGGTCGGAAAGATGGTTGTCATCTAAGTACACAAGTCGGCAGGGAACGACGGTCAACACTCCAGGGTGGAAGGCGACTGTGGCTGGAGTGTCTTGGCCGGGGGAAGAGTGAGGGTGTTGCGTTGGCGAGACCCCTTGGAAAAAGGCTTTCGATCTGATCGAGAGGGGCGAGTCTGTGGCAGACGGTGGGAGCTCTAGTTGACGGCAATCGAAAGGTCGTCCCGTGGCAAGTGGCTGTAATTATTGATTCCCCCCCTTTTTCTTAGATTCCAAGACACTGACTTGGGTTGAAATTGTCCAGGTAGCGCAGCACGAGTTTTTATTGTGAGAAGGAATTTGGCTTTTTTGTTTTATATTCCTTCTCTTGATTTTCCCCTCCCTTTTTCGTTTTACCGTTCGGGCCCTTCGGTCCCTGTTGTGCGTCTGGTATGTTGCTAGGCAGGCTTGCGCTCAGTGTCGTGCAGCGGGCAGAGTGAGACACGGCGTTCAAGGATCGATGTGGGAACGTGTGATGGAACGAATAAACGTCGGAGCACGGGCGACCAGGTGTTTCCTTCCCGCCGTCTGTTTCTAGTCCCGTCCTTGGCTGATGTGGTCGGGGTTGCCTGGGTTTGCCCTGATTCTGGTGGCTAGGTTGACCAGCACGGCACGAGCATATGGGATGCGCTAAATGTCCTATGTACCGTATGTCGCGGCGTCAATAACGTTGGAGGACGGGAGGGCGTCGACCTTGGGATGTGGAGAGAGAGGGAGAGGGAAAAGGAAGGAGGGAGGGCGAGAAACAGGACGAGGGGAGATGGACGACAGATGGGGGAGTGATTATAATTAATGGTCCAGAGGGCAGGGAATGACAAGGCCTCGCAGAATGACAGGCACGCAGGGCCACAGATTCGGAGAGAAACAAGGCTGGTGAGTGGTGACACCCAGATACTGGGGAAACGATTTCGATACTACCTGGATACCTAGCAGAGGTACCTCCCCACTCTCCCTTTCCAGAGTCTAGGTACTTTCGGTGTGGCAGGTACGGTGTGAGAGGACTGCCTCCTTTCACTAAAACCCCCCCCTTGCTCGGCTACATGCCCCTGTCCGCGTTCAGATACTTGGGTAGTACCTTCCAATGCCCTAGCTGCTCGCAGTAGGCTTAGTGTCTACCAACCGGCGCAATTGGGTCATCTGTGGAAGGTGCAGAAACCTTCCAAGCCCAGATTTTGGTGAGATTGGCGTGTGGGTGGGGGGTCGTGGGTGGGTCAAGACCAGGAGAATCGCCCCTCCCCCCCAAATAGGAACAGTGCGGAAACATCGCTAGCCTGTTAGATTTGCGCGATGCTGGGATCAGGCTTGCAAGGGTTGTCCTTGCTACGTTTTGAGGTACTTGTACATGCCGGGTGTGGGTGGCATGGTTGGACCAGGCACTCTGGTCTTCCTGCACTAGTACAAATCCATCCCTGAGTGAGGCGTTGCTGGAAAGACATGCGGTGAGTGGTGTGGTAGCGATGCACCCACGCTACCAGCTGCTATACACTAGGCAGATGGCTGTATTAGAATGGGTGGGATAATAAAAGAAGTTGCACATTCGTAAGGAGCCGGAATCGCAATGTCGATACGATGTGTACATACTATTATGGATCGTGTTTAGGGGATGGTAATGTGCATAGGTAGGCCAGTAGGTAGTGCAGATAGGTAAGATAGACAGGCTTTGTTGTCCATCACCACCAACAGCCCTTCAGCCAAGCCACCAATGTTATGTCTGCCCCGTCTCTGCCCGTCCCTGCCCGTCCCTGCCTGCTGCCTGTGGATCGCATCGACCCTCGAAGGAAGCTCAATTCTTTTCCACCCCCTTTCCCACCACCCTCTGTCCCACCCTCTCTCTGTACCATCGAGCTTGTCCCTGTGCGGGTTTGTCCTGTTGGGGAAGACAGGCGGTCTCGGTTCACGGCTCCGGGCACTACTATCCGGGAAGAGAAGGTCAAAGTGCGACGAGGTTGTCTGGATTGAAAGGCTTGGAAGGCCAGGGTAAAGCTCTCTGTTTGGGTACCGTACGTCGTGTAAGTTGGAGAGCATGGGTGTGACCTGCTCTGGCAGTTATGACCAGTCATGACCAGATACAGCAGGGACTGCCGGCGATAAAGCAGACCAAAACTGATCGGTCACCTCGTCATCTCGCCTGGGAGAGCAAATAAGTGGCAATTGTGGTACGATTTTTCGGTGGGCCATGGATAGAGAGAAGTGGGCTAAATTCCCCGTCGATTGGCCCAGCCAGATGTGATCAAGATTGGCTGTGGACTCGATGTAAACGATGTCGTAGCGGTAGCGGCGCCGGGCCCACTGTTTTGCAGAGCCGACCCACGCACTGGGTGACGGGACAGGGGAGTATCTGGCTTACCAAGTAATTAGTGTGAGCTCCTTATGTTTGTAGGATCGATCCTTGGGACACTAATCTTCCCTCAGCCTTTCGCCAAGCAATGAAAAGACGATCGAACCTGCTGCACTCCGACCGATCAAGCCTTCCCGACAATCATTGCTTATTGGGTCCGATAAAAAAACACATGGGGGTGTAAGAACCTAAGTGGTAGTAGACCCTGCTATATGGTACCTGCACTGTAAGAATGATAATCCACGTGTACTAAGTAGGTAGTGTCTCCTGAGGGCGCCCTAGCATGGGAAGCGACGGTCAGTGAGCTTATACGACTACAATGTCACTCCAACCTTTCTTCTTTTACCTCTTCCCGTTCCGTGAGATGACGACATACGCAATCGAGAAGAAGGGTGCGGTTGAAGAGGTGGTCCCATGAAAACGGCTGCCAGTTGAGAAGACCTGGGGGCTGTAGCTGGACAAGGAGCAGTAAGAGTCTACGTAAGACGGGGCAGCACAGTAGCATCAGAACTGGGGTCGTGCATCTCCCCCGACTCGGCAGTGTCAGCTCGAAGCTCCTCGGAGACTGAACCCTCTACGTACTAGCTTTACTTCTCATTGATAGTATCGGAGATGCCATCTTGCATAACACTGAGTATACTGTATATAAGAGATGGAACCATGGGAGCGTCGTAGAGTACAGTACCTCCTTAGGGACTCCTCAGCGCAGATATCATGTACCTTGCTAAGTACCACAGTACTTCGGCCAAAACGCCCGAGTTCCCTGTTCCCGTTCCCGGGGAAAGGGTTACAGTTAATAAAGAGTGGAGTCTGCTGCCGCCAAGGTGTCTGGTTGGAGCTCTTCAAAGCTCTTAGTCCCCCAAGGCCCACCTCGCTAATCGTACAGACCAGCCGCAACGGGGATGCTGTCGAAACACAAGGGCAGATCCGAATGGGTGCTAATTTAGCTCCACAACCTACGCACCACACTAGCGTACACTATACCCGCACTTAGCACTCCCTGCACCTTCAGAGAAGGAAAAGAAAGGGGTTTTGCAACCTGCTCGGCCGCTCCGTCAACTGTCAAGTAAACTCTGGCTGGCTCGGACCCTGCGTTTAAAGTAAAGTACCTAGTGACCTCGTCAATCAAAACAGTCTCGAGTCTCGATACATCCCTAGATAGCCTTTTTCCTGTGTCGATACTCTCCCGTGCAGATCGGAAACAAACCCCTCCTATGCGTACACGTATTCTTGTTGGTGTTTGGAGATCGGCAGCATGCGTGTGATGATGAAACAACCCGAGCCACTTTAAGACCAGGTCTCTCTGTTTGTGGCAATAATCCATGTTGCATTGTAGTTGGGTACAGAATACCTCTTCAGTTCCGAGTTCCGATCCGACGCTCGTTCAGCCTCTTGAAACAATGGCGACCAAACTTTGCCTCCAAGGTCGGCACCTCACGATGGCGATGGGAACCCCTGGTCTTCTATTGCAGTCCCCAGGTGCGGCTAGGTCGCTAGGTTCTCTTACGACTAACCGAACTCAAAAGCCGAATCCGTGCTGTTTCTCGCTTCATCTCGTCCGGGACGAGAAGCTTAATCCTTCTATTTATGTACTGTCGGTAATGAGGAATGCCAAGCTTATTGTTCAGCTCTTCTGGGCCGGCGGCAATGGTATAATATGGGGAGGGATTCACCATCAACCTCCTATTCTTCTCGCTCTATCTGCCGTCTGTGGGAGATTGTGTCAGGCAACAACCAAGAACATCCTGGCTGTCTCGCTGCCACATGGTCCTCGCCACATGGTTTCCCATGAGCTCTCAGCAGCGAGGCGGCGGCGCTCAGCCATGGGCGAGGTGCAGCAAGGTCTCTCCACATCGGTTTCTCATGCAGGAAGCAAGTGCTTCTGTTGGTTGACGAAGTGACTATCCATGTCTTCGTACAGGATCACCAGGTAGCATTCTCGCTATGAATGGCGATGTCTCTTCCTGACACTTAACTACTCCGTGCTTTTCCCCCGCCACGGTTAGCGAAGCCGCCCATTCGCCAGCATCTGTTCCTATTCCGTGCCGCCAGGATTTGGTCAACGAATGTGGCCAACGTCTCATGCTGCTGTGGACCTCAACCAATCACGCCATGCTAAAAATACAATTATCTTCCATCTTACGCAATGTCCGAGCACCCGAAGCGCCCATGGTTTCTCGCAACTACCGCCTCGTGTGTGCATACATACATATAATCCCCTTCAGTGCGGTGCTCCAAGGCTCTTCTCTGTTGAACAAACCCAGCCACTCCTTGCGGCAAACCCGTGCGATCTGTGCCTGAGAATGGCGAGCTGCCAATAGGTAAGGCAGTTTACACAAATGGCGTCACCCGCCCATTGCCGTCGCATTGGAGCTTCTAGCGCGAATCGCGGGCACAGTTTCCGAGTGCCTAGCGTGCACCCTGAAGTGACGCTGCTCTCTGCCCGTGTAGTAGTCGTATACACGTACGGATCCATTTCAAAGACCATCCATCACTGGGGTTTCGAGTCCCCTGTCACTCAGCGGCTGATCTGGAACAAATCGGGATGGGTACCTACCTAAGGTACCCTCCTATGTACCTACCTAGTCCACTGTAAATAAATAACCGTACATACAGTACGGATACCTCGGCCAAGGTCGCGCAAGAAGATTGCAGGTGTGGGATCTGCAAAGCCAGCAGGTACTGTACATCGACGAAACGGTCTTGCCTGGATCGGCAAGGACAAGCCTTGCAAGCTTGCATACTATCTGGAGGGATCCAACCCAATTGGGCATTTTGCCCCCATGCAGTCCCATAACACCCCATCCTCTCTCCACAATTTCAATTCTCCTGCCTTTTGGATGCCATGCCGTCAGAGTGATGAGCCCGTTTCTATGTACCGACAAGTAGGACCTGTGTGGATGTGTCACGCTCGTGGCAGCAGCCTTGGCACAACCACAATTTTCAATCCGTGACTCCCGCTGTCAAGCCCTTTCTTGGCCATGCACGTCGGTGATTTTTGTGCGTGTGATGGCGCCAGCTCCTGCACTGTCCTCAACAAGATGCAACACTACACCATTTCGAAAGTTTCCAGGTTTCCAACTGAAAACCAACCGAGGTCACCCCAACTTTCGGCCGAGTCCCAACTCTTCGTATTTTGGAAGAAGGGGGCGGGTCACCCTCCCTCTGCTTAGCATAGGTACTCAGCCATGTGGGATGATCTGACGTGGCTAGTGAACGGGCACTCTTGCGATGCCAGGCAACTTGGCGCCGGAGCTCTAGCTGAAAGAAGGGTGTGTCCCGGAAGCCTGGTGTCGCATGGCAGGGGGGTGATCAAATCAAAAGATATATCCCTTTAGGCATCGCTGCCGTCCTGCGCGCTGATCGATCTATTGATGATTTCATCCTGCAGCAGCACTGTGTGGCACTCTCTGATCCTCCCCCGGACGAGAGAGTTTCATCGAAATTGAGTGCACACACTACTATTTACGTGTAGTAAACTACCGACCGTTGATCCATCCTCCAGCTAATCCCATGGCCCGCAGGGATGGCAGGATTGGTGGGATACAGGCGGTTCAAGACAGCGGATAACCACACCATCTCTGGGATCTCGAAGGCCCCGGTCAGTGAATGAGCAAGCCAGGGGTCCAGCAGGCAGGGCAGCATATTCAGGCTAAAATACTCCGTACTAACGAGCACACCAACAACTTGAGGTTAAGAACAGAACCGGGCTGTTCCCAACCTCGATCTGACGCCGCCCCACTTCAAATCTGTTGGAACTTGGATGTCCTCGATCGCATGATCTGGCGTATCTCATCGGGATCTGTTGGCTGGCACTACGGATTACAAATTGATTAACACCTCAGTACACCGAACTAAGTAAATCCCACATTGTCCGTGCTTGGTGCTGCTGCTGCTGCGATGATCTTGTATGTACAGTACATGCATTGTAAGTAGTAATTAGTGAACGCATGCCAATCAGATTAAATGCCATGTCTAGGCCAGCGAATCTAGACCGTCGACGGCTTCTTGTCAACAATCAAGACATCTACGCTAATAAGTTGTTGCTAATTATAATGATTGGCTTTATCTAATAAGATAAATAACAGGGATTTCTGGCCGCCTCGATCGATATTCATTCAGAACAACGAGCAAATGACACACGGTTAGTCTCGTGGAGAAGAGGCTTGCCCACGCTCCCCTTGGTACGACTGTTAAGCGTGCTGGATGCGTGTTCCGTCGGTGCCGATCGTGATTACAGCCCGTTGATTTGATAACTGTGATATAGGTCACCGTCTTCCCCGGGAATGTGTGATAGCGTGGTAATACCCAGTAAATGGTCAAGTCTGTTGCGGCTTGGGAGGTGGTCAGCCTTATCCGAGATTGGCAAGCCAACCCCTGATGCCCCCTAGTCGGCGGATTCAGCCACGATTATTCTCAGGTTCTCGACGAGAGAGCTGTGATTCGCCATCAACCCCAGACAAAGGACGCCAGATGCACAACGATACGTGCGTACGGCTCCTCAATCATTCCTCATTTCTGTTCTTGCAAACCCCGAAATGGGCAATGAGCTAACAGTGGCGCAACGCGAACAGAGACATAACCAGCATGGACCTTCGTGGCACCGGCATGGGACCAGCATGGCTGACAGTCCCGGAGGGCGTCGCCAAGAGACCTCCGCAACCCCCTGAAAGAGAGAGAGAGAGAGAGAGACTGGTTTACCGCAGAACCCTCTCTCGTAGCGTATCACAAATTCTTGCCTCGGCTGCCAGTTTTGTCGATTTGTCGAGGGGCTCATTCTGTCTGCCACTCAACACGCGTTTTTGTCAGCTTATCCCCCTGCAAGCCCCCTCCCCCAGGAAGGAAAAGCCGGGTTCCCATTCCCTAGATGGAAATGCACGGCGTCAGTGGCTTGAATAATCGAACGACCCTCCCAATTTTCTCTCAGCCATCGCATGTCTTGCTTCAACCACATATAGCTCAGCCCCTCGACATTGTTGAGTTAGCGTGTGCCACGTTCGCCGTCGAAGAAGGTGTAAGCGAGTGGGCTGCCCTATTTCACAGGAGCTTTTCCTCCTCGCCTAATCATTCACTACCCTATTCCCCATGGGGATGTCACGAGCTTTTTCAGCTCAGATGCACCCCCCAGCACAACCACAAGTCGTTCCGCAGCACTTGGATGGGTAACCAGGTCGCGCATTATTAGACATGGCCACGCATTCGACTATTGTCTTACGGGGAACCACCTGGCAACTCCTCGAGCGAGTGTGCATCTCACCGGTTATCCAAATGCGGACACTGTGTTTTGGGATGACTGCTTTCTATACTCTATCCTCTTTTCTTCTTTCTCCCTTTCCTTCTGTCCCTCGTCGCCTACCTGCCTAGTATGTACTGTACATACATATCTGCCTACACGTGTACATACACACGCAGTATCACCGGATGGGTAATCCGTATGTATGTGACACTTTCAGGTCGGTGAGTTATGACCACACTTTGATTCCCGGCCCAATCCAGCCACCGAGACGGGAACGGCCCGGAGCTCCACCCTTCACATCTTAGCCCGCTTGTCCTGCACAGGCAACGCGCCGTTTTCCCGCGCCGTGCCGGGCCTAATTCGAGGACACTGGTAATGGATCACATGGACCCAGGCGCGGCCGCTGTTTAGATCCAGCATCGGATAGATGGAAAGGTCCTTCGAAATTTGCGAAATTTACTGCCGGGGTTACAGCTTTGCATCCGAGGTGGAGCAAGGTCGTTTGTGCAGTACCTATAGGTCATCGGGATTTGCATTCCCCCACAGTGTGTGATCTCTTGGTTGCCAGCCGACTCTTGTCCCTTTTTTCGGAGAAGCTCAATCGCAGTGCTGTGTATAGGTCGGGGAAGCACCGGCACTCAGGGAAGCCACTCATATTTGCTTCTTTGGGAAACCAACTCTGACATCGAACATTCTACGATGACCTAACGACGGAAGCAGGACGCGGCAGCGGAAATGCACGCGATACAACCTATGTCTGAACGCCTATTGGAGGGTGTGATAGAGATATCAGCTCCCGCCGGGGTCTATCCGCCCGCTTCCGGCGCTATTCGCAAATCGGGACAAGTCTGTCACTTCTCACAATTACTGTGCTTGCCTGGTGCCGTAAGGATAGCCACGTCGAATGCCAACAACGTCGTGCAAAGTCAAGGCAGGCCGCAGAATCGCCGAGTCGCCGCTGCGAGGAGCCTCCTCGCGCAATTGGCTCTCGCGTGGCTGAGACCCGTGCCCCGCCGGTCGTCGTGGTCGTCCGCTGATCCGTCAAGCTGTTGGCCGCGTTCTTCGCACCCCGGTCAGAAAACTCACCTCCCTTTCTGGGTGTCCTAGTTCCACCAGCCCCTTGCGTGATGAGCATACGCCGCCACGTTGGAATGGCGAATAAAGCTCCCCACAGAGGCGGAGCAATGTCCGGCTGCCCGCCAGCTCCCTCCTCCGTCCGGTCCGGGTCCTGTATAACGGGCCTGACGGAACTTATTCTGCCCCATTCCGTTTACATGTGATCTTGAACTGGCCACGCTTACCTTTGTGGCCATGAGGACGGGAACGGAGATTTAGATTGCTTCTAGAGTGCATCTTGACGGTCACAGACTCTCGCTGCCAAGGGACGAGCAGACACAGTCTTGGTTTCCCACCATCAAAATGGCGGGGCTGGACATGAGCGAGGTGCTGGTGCAGATTACCTTGTGTAGGGGACCGAGGACATATATACCCTCAAACCGCACTTACCTATTATCTAGAACTGGGATTTGAGTGCCGGAATGTGTCTTATGGGCGTTTTTGTCCGTCACCCAATGGTCGAGAATGGTGAAACTCTCGATCTCGAGATTTCAAGAACATCCTCAACATATATTAAGGTCTTCCGATATTGCTGGACAGAGAGTGCTCTCTCGCTCGCATCGACATCGACCTTGAGATGAGAATCGGTAGGACCCTGTGAGTATCTGTTGTGGCTTTAGAGCGCTCATCAGCTCAACCTGTAGTCGCTGATATAGTTCCAAGTTGGCCTTACGGACCAGCATCCTCAAGCTCAAAGCAAGCTCAACCGGCCTTTCGCGCACTTTCGTGCATCACCACGTTCTCATTGCCAGTCACCACCCTCTCCTTGGCCTCGACCCGGTAGCATTGACAGGCGTCAAAGCCAGGGGCCGCTGCCAATCACGCGGTCGCGTCAGCGCATAGTGGGCGGCTCACTTGAGCAGCTCCACGGAGTGCCGGCCCCAGTGGCCCTTCTCGCGTTGGTGAGCAGACTTTCCACCGACCACTGGAGATCCCCCGTTGTTTTCCCTCCGGCCATTGGCGCTCCAACCACCAGTCAGCGGCACGGCTCCCACCCAACGTCGAATCCGCCTTGCGGCTAACCAGTCATCCCTGACGGGTGTCAAATCCCACCACCATACTCCCCCTCCATCGTCCTGCCCAACCCTGGCCAACAGTTTACGACGTGCCCAGGATCCAGCGACTCCGGTCCTCCGCCTTAACCCCAGGAGCCTCGCCGATTCCAGATGCAGAGGGCTTGGCCTCCGGGGCGACAGGGACAAGGGGCTCAGAGTGTCCTTAGCCGGGTGGAGTGATAACCCAAATTTAAGAGAGTTCCTCACCTTTATTCCTCCTGCAGCAGATCGGTCGATGGGCCCATTTCCCTGTCTCTGCTGGTTCTCGTTTGCGAGTTGCAAAGGGGTATTGATCTGTGGGTGACCTCCCAAGATACATGTGCTGTGACAGACTCTGTATGAGTAGCCCACGCGTTGTACATGTTCACCGACGCCGAAGCATAGAGGGTTGAAAACATCGATTAGGTTATAACTGGACAAAGGGGAAGGAAACAAGAAGGCACAGACAGATATTGGCAAGTTTCTGTTGTTGGCTTCCTTGGCACGTCAGTTTTGGAAGGCAGGAAGCTAACAAGAAGAATACTGGTCTTCATCTTCTGGTCAGCGAGCATAACGCTTTCCCATCGAGTTTCATCACAATTCGAGCACGCAACGGTGGTCGTACCTTTGGGAAAGCTAAACTACTACATGCGAAGCCTCAGGCAGCAACCTCGGTAGGCGGCACCTACCCATTTACGCGACTGGTGGCCCGTGACGTGACGCGGTACCGGATTTTTCGCCTCACCACCTGCCGACGGCCGCTCTCATCATTTTCCATCGCAATCAACCTCCGCCAACGCTCTCCTCTCCTTCCATTTCATCGGCCTGGTCGCCCTGTGGTTTCTGCCCGACTGAAGTCCCGTCTGGCCATCAAACACAATGGCGGACAGTATCAAGATCGACAGTAAAGCCTTCCAGGAGCGCATCTCCCACTTCGTCAATGCCTGGAAGGCAGACAAACGCTCCGGAGACGCGCTCTTCGGCGGCGTATCGTCCATTGTCATTAACATGGGCAAGGTCGAGGAGATCCCCGAATTCCACAAGAATAATGCGATGCATGTATGTGGCGCTCCCGGATAGCTTCGTCTGCCGTTGCGCGTGTTTGCTGACAGCTTGTAGTTTTGGTTGCTAGGTTATGAGTTCCCCACGACTCTGATGCTATTCACCCTCGATACCCTCTACATCCTCACCACCCAGAAGAAAGGTGCGCATCGCCGGTCAACTCTACCCCGATGCCCTCGGCTAATTGTTGGATAGCAAAATATCTCGACCAGGTGAAGGGCGGCCGTTTTCCCGTCGAGGTCCTTGTCCGGGGCAAGGATGCCGCAGAGAACGAGAAGCTCTTCGTCAAGATTGCAGATGCCATCAAGAGCGCAGGCGTGAGTCACACCTCTCTTCTCCATTTCTGAATTTCTAACCTTATCGCGACTGCTTACTGATTATCCCGCCCCCCACCAGAAAAAGGTCGGTGTCCTTTCGAAAGACACTTCCAAGGGACCTTTCGTGGACGAGTGGAAGAGAGTCTTTGCCGAGAACTGCAAGGATGTGGAGGAATTTGATGTAGCACAAGCTATATCCGCCGGCGCCTTCGCTGTCAAGGACGAGGCCGAGTTGCGGGCCATGCGGACCTCCTCCAAGGCCTGCGTGGCACTCCTGACACCTTACTTCCTCGACGAGATGTCCAATATTCTCGACCAGGATAAGAAGATCAAGCATAGTGCTCTGGCTGACAAAGTCTACAACAAGCTAGAGGACACCAAGTTCTGGAAGACGGTCCAGCTGCCTAACAAGCAGAAACTGCCCAATGATCTCGACCCTGAGCAGCTGGATTGGGTCCTGGGCCCCGTGGTGCAGAGTGGTGGCAAGTTCGACCTCAAGTGGCAGGTCGACTCAGACAACGACGTTCTCCATCCCGGAATCATCATCGCGTGCCTGGGTCTGAGATACAAGTCTTACTGCTCCCAGATCGCCAGAACCTTCATGGTCGATCCGAACAAGTCGCAAGAGGGCAACTACAAGTTCCTTCTGTCCGTCCACAATATGATTCTTAAAGAAATTCGGGATGGTGTGGTGGTCAAGGACGTCTACAACAAGGCGCTCGCCATGGTAAAGAGCAAGAAACCCGAACTTGAGAAGCATTTCCTCAAGAATGTGGGTTACGGCGTCGGCCTCGAAAATAAGGATCCCACGCTTGTTCTGAATGGCAAGAATGCTCGCGCCCTCAAGGATGGCATGACCCTATGCGTCACGACCGGCTTCAGCGACATCCAGAATCCCAACCCTCAGGATAAGAACAGCAAGGTGTACTCGCTGGTTCTCACGGATACCATCAGGGTCACCACGAGTGAGCCTGTTGTCTTTACGGGCGATGCCCCTGTGGACGTTGATGCCACGTCGTTCTTTTTCAAGGACGAGGACGAGCAGCCCACCCCCAAGAAAGACAAGAAGGACTCTAGGGTTGGTGCTGTTGCAACCAAGAATATCACAAGCTCTCGACTCCGCTCCGAGCGTTCAACGCAAGTTGACGAAGATGGAGAAAAGCGGCGTCGAACCCATCAGAAGGAGTTGGCCGGGAAAAAGCAAAGAGAAGGCCTAGCAATGTTCACGGAGTCGACCAACGATCCGAACGGCGTCGAGATCAAGAAGTTCAAGCGATTCGAGTCCTATAAGCGAGACAACCAGTTCCCGCCCAAAATCCGGGACCTCGGCATCGTCGTCGATCAGAAGAACTCCACCATCGTCGTGCCTGTCATGGGACGTCCTGTCCCGTATCATATCAACACCATCAAGAACGCCAGCAAAAGCGATGAGGGCGAGTGGTCGTTCCTGCGTATCAACTTCCTCTCTCCGGGCCAGGGTGTGGGCAGGAAAGATGACCAGCCCTTTGAGGACGCCTCGGCCCACTTCGTCAGGAGCTTGACCTTCCGATCCCTGGATGGCGATCGGTATGCCGAGATTGCGAACCAGATCTCAAACATGAAGAAGGATGCGGTCAAGAAGGAGCAAGAGAAGAAGGATATGGAGGACGTGGTGGAGCAGGACAAGCTAGTCGAGATACGGAGTAAGTATCCCCAGAGATTTGAGAACGACGGGCGGTGGGCGGCTAACACGATTGCAGATCGACGACCGGCTGTCCTGGACAGCGTCTTCATACGGCCGGCTATGGAAGGCAAGCGCGTGCCTGGCAAGCTGGAGATCCATCAGAACGGTATCCGCTACCAGTCCCCGCTGAGCACGCAGCAGCGCGTCGACATTCTCTTCTCCAATGTCCGCCATCTCTTCTTCCAGCCGTGCCAGCACGAGCTCATCGTCATCATCCACATCCACCTCAAGGATCCCATCATCATTGGCAACAAGAAGAAGACCAAGGATGTGCAGTTCTATCGCGAAGCCACCGATATTCAGTTTGACGAGACTGGCAACAGGAAGCGCAAGTACCGATATGGCGATGAAGATGAGTTCGAGGCCGAGCAGGAGGAACGCCGCCGACGAGCCGAGCTGGACCGGCTCTTCAAGGGTTTCGCCGAGAAGATCGCCGAGGCCGGACGGAGCGAGAACATCGAAGTGGACATGCCCCTCCGCGAGCTCGGGTTCAACGGTGTTCCATTCCGGAGCAATGTGTACATCCAGCCGACTACCGAGTGCCTCATCCAGATTACCGAGCCGCCCTTCATGGTGCTTACCCTTGAGGATATCGAGATCGCCCACCTCGAACGTGTACAGTTCGGGCTGAAAAACTTCGACTTGGTCTTCGTCTTCAAAGACTTTGCGCGGGCCCCGTACCACGTCAACACGATTCCTGTGGAATCGCTGGAGGACGTCAAGGAGTTCCTCGACTCGTCAGACATTGCCTACTCCGAAGGCCCTCTCAACCTCAACTGGTCGGTTATTATGAAGACGGTCACCACCGACACGCATCAGTTCTTCGTGGATGGCGGGTGGGGTTTCCTGCAGAACGACTCCGACGACGAAGACGGCGAGGAGGAGGAGGAGGAGGAGAGCGCCTTCGAGATCGACGAGAGCGAGCTTGACGAGGCGTCGGAGTCGAGCGAGGAGGGTTCCGACTTCGACTCGAACGCGTCAGCGGAAGCTAGCGACGAGGGCGATGGCAGCGACGACGAGGAGGGCGAGGACTGGGACGAGCTGGAGCGCAAGGCGAAGAAGCGGGACCGCGAAAACGCCGCCGAGGAGGAGGAGAGGGGCAGCAAGAAGAAGCAACGCAAGCGATAGGCTTGCCACGCTGCCTGGGTAACCCTCCTAGGGGCATTTATTGTTGGCCTGGCTTATCGTTACCTCTTCGCGTTCCCGGGCCATGCCTAACATGTACTGTACTTTTTAATCTCGAGTTTTTCTTGGAGTCTGTCTGTACCGTCCGTCCAACGCGTTCTCCTCGGCATTGTTATGCGAGGGGTAAAGGGCAGGAGAGAGAGGAGACCTTTCGTCCTTTGGGAGTGACGACGCTTTGGGGGGTGAAATCGTGTACTGTTCGATTACGTCGAGACTCGGTGGGCTTTGCGTTCCTAGATTGATAATCTAAGGCGTTCCAGGTCAACTACCTACCTAGGTATCTATCTTGCATCTCTGTTGTCGGAAAAGGACCCATAATAGGTGATAAGATATCTACCTAGGTACCCTCAGCGATGTAGGTATCTCCCCCGTGGGAACCTTTCATTCCCAGCCCCCCAATGGCAAGATGCACAACATTGATTCCTTCGTGGCAAGGACCTCGTATGGTCAGGCCTGGTCAATCATCCCTGACCCCCTTCCAGCCTTGATTTCAGGATAGGGCTCTCCACATCCCGGCCCCTCATCCTCCTCCACCGAAACCGAAACCGCAACCCATTCGCTGCAATCCCTGATGAAACCCCCCTCAACCTTCCCCCCCTCCCCCCTCCGAAACACGAATCCACCACCCATCATCAGCCCTCCCGCCGCCGCGCGTCGGCATCAAGCTCCAGCAACATCCGGTCCACCACATCCGCGATGGCGTCGCTCATGACGGCGTCCCCAACGCCGGGTGGTGGTGGTTGTTGTTGTTGTTCCGCTCGTCGTCGTCGTCGTCGGCTACAGCGGCTCCGGCATTGGCTCTGGTGGGTCGGTCGTCGTCCTCCTCCGCTAGAAAAGCGTCAATCACGGCCAGCTTCTCGTCTATCGTCATGTGGCTGTAGCTCACCGGTCTGAAGTCTGAGTCGGAGCCGGCTGGTGGCGATGACGAGGGCGGCGGGGTGGTGGTGGTGCTGTTATGGCTGGTGGTGTACCAGTCGCTGGTGGAGGGGTGGGGATGGGGGTATGGAGGCTGGTGGCGTGGTTGTGGGGACTGATGCTGTTCGTGGGGAGCCTGTCGCTGTCCCTGGCACTGCGATGGATGTCGTCGCCCGGGGGGCGTCAGGCTGGGGGTCGGGTAGCCTGGTTGGCTGTAGGTGCTCGTGATGTGCTCTGGGGTGTAAATGTTGGCGTGCAGTCGCCGTTCCTTTAGGGGCTTTGGGGGAGTCAAGGAGTCAGGCCTTGGGGAGAGGTAGCGCCTTTGCTGACTGGTCCTGGCTGGGTGCGCAGGGGTGTAGGTGTTGTGGTAGGTGTGGGCAGGCTGTTGTTGCGGCGTAAGGGGCAGTTGTGGTTCTCTTGGTGGTGTCCGCAGGACATGCCCGGGGTCGAGGTAGGCTGGGCCGGTGTCGATCTTGGCGGCATGTTGCAGGCTGTCGCCGTGGGCACGAGTTTGGAGCCCTACCTGCACGCCGGGAGGCAGCTCAGGCTCGGGGTACATCTCCATGGTACCTCCATCGACATTGACTAACATAGGATTCTCAAGTTCGGAGTCGGACTTGGGATGCATGCATGGCAGAGGAGGCGCCTTGTGTGTTGGTGGTGGTGGTACAGGCAACTCTCGCTGCACCTGTGGAGTTATTGGGAATGGCCTGGGCTTCAAGAAGAGCGGAAGTCTTTGTTTTGGCAGTTGAGCCTCCAGGCTGAGCCGTGGCTGCACCTTGAACTTGGTCTCCCCCTCGTCATCATCGTCCCGCAGCTGGGCTCGGACATTGTCCTAGAATGCCGTCACCTCAGCCGGATCACGCACATGACGTGGATTCGTCCCATCCCCCCCTTTCCCCTCGGAGGAGCTTCCGATTTCTTGGCTAAGTTTTGAAGGAACATAGGAGCCGGGTTTCTTCTCGGTCTGAGCAAAATCTTGTTCTAGATGGTCCAGACACCTAGCCAATGGTCGGTTGTTGAAGTAGGATTTGAACTTTAGGAGAGTGAGGGAGTATTCTTCCGCAAAAGGATGTGGCCTGGGCGAAGGGGTTACAGGACCAGCAGGGGGGTTCTCGTGCTGGGCTTCATGATGGACTCCATGCTGCTTGTCGCCGGCATCCTTTGAGCTGGAACTGGGACTGGAAATGGAAATGGAGCCTTTGTCAGACCCGGGTTTCCCCTTGGCCTCGGGCCCATGAGAGACTTTCCCGCCTGCTTTCTCAAGCCACTCAACAATGGCCTTCACTGATTTTCCTGCGCGATTTTTCCTTGGAGTACCCTTGCGGCTGATGTTGGCAGAGAAACTTTCGGCAAGGCCTTTCGACTCAATCTTCCGGTCAAGGATGCGGCCAAGCGGGGCAGGACTGGCGTCCTTTTTGGTCTCCTCCATGGGGAGAGAATGCTGACTTTAGATGCTGGATATCCTCTAATGAAGCCCGTAAATCATCTGGAGTAGTCGCTGTTGTGAGGTGTCCCAACTTGGCAGGAACGTGATGAGATGTGAATCGATGTGGTGTGATGTAGCCGGTTGGAACTGGCAAGCAAAGAAAAATCTCAAGAATAGTAAAAGAAGAGTAAAATGATATTTCTAGCAAGATGTCAGTAGCGCCGACGGCTTGCCGACATTGAAGAAGTATCAAATATCTATCTTTGCCGACGTTGGATAAGGGTGGTTAAGGGTGGTGGTGATGTGACCGGAAAGAGGATATAGCCCTCGAGACCTAGAGCAATGAATCTGCGCCGGCAAGTTTAGCGAAGGCGCGACCGACTCGAATGTCTCTTGCCTTGTCTCTTGCAGGCTGTTTTGCGCAGGCCAGCAATGCCTCCAGATGTGGGCTTCTGTCATTATTTTGCAAGGAAGGTCGGGCGTTGGATGGAATAGGATTGCTTCAGGTGGCTGGGGCGGTGAACAAAAAAACAGACAGGTGGAAGTGTGAGTAGAAGTGAGAAAATGTGAGATATTCATCAGTTCCTACTCCATAGAAGACAAGAATAATAATTCATTACTCTGTGTTTGTCGCCCCCTCAACTCTGCCAACAACATTGTAGCGCTTTGAGAAGTAAGTCACCCAGTCATTCAATGTGTTCTTCTCTGTGTCGCTCAAATCGCTCCACTCCGGCTTCACATCTTCTGCCTTGGTTGATGTCTTTGCCAGTGCTTGCGAGGCATCCTTCCCAGCAAATACTGTGACATTAGGTTAGAGCACGGTTGAGATAGAAAGAGGCGAACCCGCAAGGGGGTCAGGGAAACATGTGAGAAAGTCACAAGAACCAGTCTAGCATCTGCCAGATAGAGACTAATGAGAAGCAAATAGACAGGAGAGCAATATGGTTATGGTGGAACAATGCCACAGCTAGGATGGGGAGAATGTTGTCATACCGTGGTAAGAGCCGCCTGGCTGGTAGGCTTTGTTTCCCGTCACATCATATACTTTGCCCTGGAGACACGAGATTACTCAGTAACACGTTGCCTAGGGGGGGTTGTAGGTCCAGGACAAGATACCTTTATGGCAACATAGCACTTTGCTCCGTCCTTGCCTATCCTCACTGTCAGTTTGGAAACTTGGTAAAAACAGCTATTACTTGAGGACCAGTGCAACCAGAGGCTCAAAGCAAAGAGAAGAAGAAAACAGCGGCTTCAGTCTGAGCTAAGTGCTGCCATTGCCCCCCTGGCCCCTGAAGGCCAAAGCCAAAGACGAATCGCTGGTTGGACTCACCATCACATTTGGCTAGCTCCTCAACAGAGATGGGGTCATCCTTTGGCGGATTAAGTTGGACGGCCACCTTGGGTTCAAACTTCCCAGCCATGATAGATGCGACTTGGAAATGAAGTTATGAGGGAATCGTCTGCAATCTGGGCTGGTTGAAGCTACGGATGCTTTTAGACAATGGAGGCAGCAGACCGGGAAATGCTATCCAAGAGCTGAGTCAACGACAAGTGAAGATACACCCTACTTCAATATATTGTTCCTCCTCAAATCTTGGCATCTAAACCAATGGGTTCAAGGTTGGAAGACTGTCGCCATATTTAAGGTTACCTTAGTTAGTGCCTGAGGCACTTAACTAACCACCAGCTCATACAGGGTGTGCCGAGGCAAATTAGAATTCAAGACGTCAGTCCAACCTTCCCTCCACAAGAATATCATACGTTTCGAGCCGACTCGAACATTGGAGGTTCGGCGTGCTACTCTAATTTCTTGGCTTTTTGGCATTCAGCATGTCGGTCTATCGACTCGCCGAGCGACAGACATTGCGTTCATTCCATGCCTCGAAGCTCGTCTGCTTCTCACCATGTCGAGGCCCGCAAGTGCAATATGGTAGACTTCAATTGCGGAGAGTAGCCACAGTTCTAGCTATTGGAAACCCTCAAATTCGATTCCAGTCGACTTCGAGCAATCCTGCTGAACCCGCTGGCCAGCGACCACGCCCACCGCCTCCCCCGAGGCCCACCTTGCGTCAGGTTCTCTTTGCGGTCTTGGGCGGAGGATTCCGAAACTTGCGCACCGCGCTCCAAGGCCAGAGTCTCAGGACACTTTTCCGACAAAATCCAGAGGAGCTTGTTCTGGCCCTCGTGTGGTACGTGAGACGGCGGACCGGCTAACTCCGGCGTGTTGATGCTGACATGCGCCTAAGTCTTGCGGTGGCTGTCGGCGCAATTATCTACGCCGTTCAGCTCTATTTTACCTACTTCTACCACGAGCAATTCACGCGATATCCGGCCCCAATTGCGAAATCACTCCGGCGTGCCCTCTACTTCAGCAACTACAAGCCGGACCCTCCACGTGCCCTGAAGTATTACAGGACGGCGTTGCAGCAATGTGAGGAGTTTGGCCTCGACCCCTTTTCCGACGACGTCATGGGTATCAAGATTCAACTTGCCGCGTGGCTGGAAAAGATTGAGAACTATGCCAACGCCACTAAAGTCCTCGAAGCACTGCTCAGAGATTGCAAACGCTGGGTCGAGGTGATGGAGAAGAGTGTCAAAGACGGTACCGCATCAAAGCTGGCCGCCCCTGCGCCGCCACATGACGGATCCCCACAGGCCCCCGGACAGCCGGGCCAAGAGATTCCAGCTCCGGAAACTCTATGGGGGAAGCGGACGAGAGTATTAGGCAAAGCCATTGGCATTAGCGTCAAGCTTGGCGAGCTGTATGCGGATGAGCATATGCTAGAAAATGAACTAGCCCATGAACGGTTGATCTGGGCGGTCGAGACAGCATTAGGAGAACTACGTCGGCGGTCAACCGAAGGGCTAAAGGAGGGTGAAGGCGACTGGATGTCTTCAGAAGCCATTGGAGGCGCCCTTGAGTGTGAGCGTGATCCTATCTCTCCTTTCCTTAGCGCTCATCTCCCTTGCTAACTTGGATATTCCAGCCCTTGGCCACAGCTATGAGTCTAGGTCTCAATTCCACCTCGCTGTTCCGCTCTTCCTGCAAGCTCTCAGGCTCTGTCAGGATCCATGCCACAGCGCGGTAATAAGTCAGTGGTTTTCTTGCATTCTTCTCGTTTCTTGCCCTATAGCTGACAATGACTTCCAGTGAACAATCTTGCGGCCTCATTTGCACAGCATCCTGTTCATATTCCATTCCAGGCTTTGGACACAGCGGGCCTGGTTAAGAGAGCGCCATCCACGAGTGAGTCTGCCTTACCGGCAGATTCCCACCAGGCCTATCTCGAAACAGCTCGACGCTGGGCGACAAACGCCAATTTCCACGCGACCGAGACACAAGGCGAGCTGCGGACGCCCGAGTGCGACGAAGCTTGTGCAGTCTCCCTCTGCAATCTAGGCGATATCGCGGCCTTGTCCGGCGATGCCGGCGAAGCCCGGAGGATGTTTGAGCAATGCATTGCGATAAGCAAGAAGGTGGGATTCTCGCCAGGCGTGGTCCAGGCTGAGGAAGGCATGAGAAGCCTCGAGAGACCAGAAGCAAAGTCAGGATGATGTACTCCAGGTCGAACGGGATCGCCACTCGAGCCGGGGTCGCCGTTGGTGCCGTTAGCACCAGGCTGGCAAGATCTCACCTTCACCAGCCGATGACGAGTCACCAGAACGACGATCTACTTCGTGCTCACGTATCGAGTCAATGACATGGGAAGTCTTGCTGCCTACCACGTCTTGTTTCGCCACTTCCGGCATCTACGGAGTAGTCCCGGGATTTGAAGACGCAAATCCCGGCATTTTTGACCGGATTTGCGGGACGAATGGAAGAAGAACATGCTGGATGGGCATGGGTTGGTGATGACGTCAGGCCAAATTTCACGTTGAGAACTGACTCTCCGAAAGAGGCTTCGGTATGGCTGAGCCTAGTGCTTTTCCAAACTGTTAACCACACCGCTGAAGAGCTACTCAGAGCACCGGGTAAATGTGACGAGGCAGGGTATTGCAGGGATTCTGTGATTTGGTTGCATAGCGTACGGCATGCGGCGGACCAATTGCAGCAGGGGTTCCCTTGAGCTTGCCGAAGCTTCTCTTCTCTCGCCCACTTTCCGACGCCCCGGTACTGGGTCAAAACCCCCTTCCCTTGCCGTTTGCCCATCGGCTTTAACGAGTATCGTTTTCTTGCTCTGGAAATCTGAGAACCCTGCTACGATGACATTTGTGGAAAAGGAGCTAGCCCTACGTCATCAGGCCAAGTCCGCGTTCTCAAGGTCTCATTCGCATCCCGCCATCTGTGGCAGTGACGATACATAGGTACATGCATACTCTGGTGTCTCTGCAAGACCCAGGGTCTGATACCCGCGAAATATGATGACAGTTGAGTCACTACTTGTGACTGTGAAGGGGAAATAATACTCGATCAGACCATTGAGACCAATTCAGAACCTAGAACAGGCCTAGCCCGGAGACATCCACGGACAGGGACCAAGAAAGCAGGCAGACGGTGCGCCAACTAGAATTTGTTCCGGTACCATGGACTGTCGTCCAGTTCGGCCATAAGCCGGAGCGGTTCTTGTGTAACAACGACTATTCCGGCTAGGCGGTCCTGCTATGAACGAATGGCTATTTATGTCCACAAACCATCTCTACGTACCCGTACTGGCGTATGCACACAGCCGATTCCAAATAACCGAACCAAGCTAGTGGGAGACGACCTGACACAGGCATCACTACCAAATATCGTGTTTGAGCTGGGTGACATTTTAGGGCAGTGGCAGCGCAATGCAATGAGACGCGGCAGGGTTTTGAGAGATGAGGGTCTTGGCTAGAGAGAGCCTGCTTCGAGATCGTCGAGATTCTCTAGGGTTTAATTCTGCGACAAAGGCTTAAAGCCAAAAGGCGGAAGAGACATACAAGACATGGAGGAAATCCAGCCTCCCAATTGGACAGAATCCCCAAAAGGCGGTCTTGGCAGAGCTCGGCACCGGTTAAGCTTAAACCCAAGCCCTGTGGCGTAGCAAACTCGGGCCCCGCATCTTGCATCTTTATGCACAAGCGCGCATTGGGGAACCACCAGCGCACACGAGGCTACTACCTAACTCCCGTCCTGATCACTGTGCAAGTATAGAGACGGTCAGCTGAAGCGAAGAGGTTGCCAGACTTCGAATCAAAGTCGCCATTATCAGACACAACGCCTCTGGCGGTTTGGGGGTGGCGCAAATTACGGGTCATGGCTCAGGGTAGGTACCGAATGAAGCGCCGAAGGGGCGGGCGGAGAAACACCATAACCACGAATGAACATGCACAGAACACAAGTCCCATGCAGGATGGGCCAGCCCTGAACCCGCGGCACACAGCCCCACCTCACCAGTCAACCAGAGAGCTCGAGTATGTGTACACTGCCTTACAAACCTTACAAATCTGATGAGGCTATCAATCAGGTCATGGGGGGTTCCATCGTGTCGAAACTGTGGGCAGTCGTCTGCAACTCCTATCAGATCCAGGTACATACATGGGTAGTCGAGGGCGGGTAGTGGCGTGCAGGGGATGGAAGGTACCGCAGCCGTGACCTATCAGGCCCTGTATGACTCGCGCTGCCGGATGTTGCCATGGGTGCTTCTGATCAAGGACGTCTTGGGTTCGATAGCTGACTAGGTACCTACCTACCCCGCAACCGACGCGATACACACACCTAGCTTCCGATAAAGGCACACGGCTCCGGAGCGAAAGGGGCAGGACTGTTTCTGCACTCTCACAGGTTGGGCACCTTTGGAGTACCCTGGGGTTTTGGGGACAATACGAAGAGGCCCCATCCGCTAAGCCCTCTCGTCCCCGGATCAGCGCCCGTTCAGGGACCTGCTAGTTCACCCCCTAGCTCGCCCCAGCTTGAATGGGCTTGACATTGATGAGTGTTCTTCCCGCCTCGCACTAGGGCATCGGGACTAAAACGACTACAATTAAGACTTGGGCAGGGGGAGGTTCCAATGGCTGAGCCTCTTCCGTGTGCTTGCCTGCGTGCACTCTGGTTCGAGCTTAACCGATGATAGCTGATCTGATCTGCGACCCTAAGGGAGTCACGTGTAGCTGGTAGAGGTAACATCCATGCCACCGAAAAAGAACCTGCGCAATATACAGATGTACGTACCTACCGGGCACTCCGGATTCGTATCTACCTACCTACCATGGGCATCTATCAGATTGCCCTGGTCACGCCCTTTGACCTCAACAGGACGTCACCCTCATAAGTTGCCGCTACCATCGGCGTTAAGGCGGTTTGCGTCATTCCTCGGTCTTCTGTGCCGCCGCAAACTTGGCCTACCATTGCCGAACGCCCGGGAAGGGGGGGGGCTTAGGCGCCGGACCACCTTTTGGTGGGTGGTCCTGGAGGTGGTGGCGGGCGCTGCGCTCGGCGGTCCTGAAAATCTCATGAAAGAGCGGTAGGGGAACGTACACTCTGCAGTTGGGTGATGGGCGCCATGTGGTGTGTCGTGTGTATTCATTCGTGCGTGTGCGACATGTCAGACCAGCCTACCATCCCGACTATCGACTATCACCGATACCCATGCGGTACCTTGTTGGATCCCTGTCTGGTGTGGGCGGGCCTTACAGCACATGCAGGCCCGGGAGGTACACACCATGCTTCCGCATCGCGAAAGCCACACTTCGCTCCGTGTTGGCGGTACTACTACCTACTATCCAACATCTTGATGGAGGATATCGGCGGAGTTGTCACTTGCCTTACCCGCCTTCCCGTCATCCAGACACACATGCCTAGTCCAATGCCAAATAAATAAAAGGCTCTTTGCCCCCCAGCTTTCCCGTCATGATCGCCATCCTCAAATCCGAACCCACTCGCTCTAGATCTGACTTGCGACACATAAGGGAGAACTTATAACCAACCCCTGCACTATTTCCATAACTTGAGTGACTGCATCGATCCCTTGTTGAAGTAAACAATACACACCATACCTAGCCAAGCATCCTATTACAGCGTGTCACCTTTGCCGGCAATGGAGGGTATCAATCCTCTCCTCGAGCTCCCGCCCCCAATCGACTCTCTCCACTACTTCTACGGTGACGTAGAGCAGTACCTAGACGCAACCACGTCAGAATCCCAAAGCCCGGCCGAGTCGCCAGTGAGTTCCCCTTATCCCCTCTCTTCGAGAAACTTGGAAAGACCCACGGGGCTAACCGTTGTTTGCGTTCCTTCCAAAAAGTACGACATGCCGTACGGGACAGATCTTAGCAACATCCCCAGCATGTATTCTAGTTCCGAGAAGGAAGAGGAATCATCACAGACGCAAAAGCCCGCGGCAAAGCGGAAACGGGAGAACCGGTATAAAAACGCCCCGCCGTCGGTCCTTTCGGTAAGTCTATCATCATCCCATCTTGTCCCCTCTTAGCCGTTTCCTTTCCGGGCCCGCCCCGGGTCCCCGGCCGGAGGTGTCTTGGCATCGTTTGCCGAGGACAGAGAAGAAGAGAAAAGAGATGTATAAAACAAAACGGAGAAACATGACTGAGACCCCTTTTGCTGACCACCAAACTCCAAAAACAGCGCCGGCGAGCCCAGAACCGCGCATCGCAGCGGGCATACCGCGAGCGCAAGGACCAGCGGATAAAGGACCTCGAGGCGATGCTCCAGGAGGCCAAGCAGAACAACGACGTGCTGAGCAAGGCTTACGCGTCGCTACACGCCGAGTACCTGGAGCTGAAGATGTCGCAGGTCGAGGACTCCCCCCACCTCCAACACCACCAGCAACAACAACCACAACAACAACAACACCAACAACACCAACATCATCATCAGCACCACCCGCATGCCTACGCCGCCGCAGGGCCGCCCCCGGCCCTGGACCCGGCTCTGGGCATGTCGCCTGACACTGACAGGCTGGAGATGGACTTGTTTGCCTATTCGCACGTGGGGACCAGCTATTCCCTGTGAAGTTTTCCCCCGACGTCTATGGTCAGAGGGAAGCTACTTGGTTTCATTTGCCATCCAAGGGATGGGAGGGGCCGGGGCAGACCCCGTGCCCCCAACTTTCGAGACCGTGCAATCCGGAAAGTTCCCCCCTCTCCCCTGTGGAAAAGTTATTTGGGATATGAAAGGAACGAGAAAAAAAAGAGGGTCAGGTCGGTGAGGTTAGCGAGATCAGCGATGGCTTATTTTTCCTTGTTTGGGTTATCGCTTATAGAGGGATTGGACGGTGGGCTCTCCTCTTTTATTCCCTTTTTGTTCCAACAAATATATATTAATTGGTTAAATCGGCTGGGGGACGGTGGGAGATACCTTTACTCACATACCATACACATACGCAATATTGGGAGAACGGCAAGTGGCCCTTCATCCTGTCGAGGACGAGGACGAGATCTTCTGGCGGACCGCGAGCCCGGGGCAGCATAGCTGCTGCACGACTTGGCGTGGTCCTCCCGGATGGGTGGGCAGGGTTGGAGTTGATGGCCGATTCGGGAATAACTCGATCCCCAAGACCTAATGTAATAGCTTGTACTGTATCGACCAATGCTTGACCATTGGGCTTCGATTGGAGACATCGCGGGCTTCGTGACACATGCCTGAGCAAGTATGGTGACGTTCATTGGCGAGCCATTTGGCGAGTAGGTGGCGAGGCCAAGAGAGGATGAGTGATAGCCCGGGAACTTGGACAAGCCCTAGACATATCCAGGTCGGTGCTTCAGCTGATACTGCCGCTTTCTTTCGGCGTGAGAGTGGCTCGTGGCTATGTATGTGTATCGCTACAACTACAACTTCGAGGAGCATTCCTAGAGGACTCAACTGTCAAAGTGATGGGTCGTTTTGGTCCTTTTCCTTTACAACATTCCCGGCCCCTGGCCTCCCTTGCTTCATCAAGCATACACTCCTTCTGACCTTTCTTGCTCAACAAAACCCTATCCCCACCTTCTGCCGTCCATCGAAGCACAGCCGAGGCTTTACTCAGCACCTTGCCCCTGAGGTCTCTCTTGTTTAGGACGTACCCCTATTCATTGCAATCTGACGCTCCCTGTAATCAATTTCCTGGTGGCTCAGCCCTAGCCGGGCTGAGCTTCCCTCGGTCAACCCAAACCTTTCCTAACTAGGCAGTCCCTCTTCGGAATCAGGCCATACGGATTCGTATAGAGTTGACTCAGTCAAGTCGTAGCGCTCTGCTACCTGCTCTGACGTTTTTACATGGAGCATCTTGTAGTGTCCAAGGTAAGTCGGAGCTCTGGATCCGGACACCCCTTTTCTTTCTTAGGTAAGAATTCTGGGCGGAATGTGCTTTCAGGGGACAAGTGTTCGGGTTATTAATCCGAGCTGCGTGCCGTTTCTTGTTCGACTCATTAGGTTCGTCGGGAGACTGGATGTTCTGCTGTTAACCGCTTGGTCTGCCCCTTAGTCGTCACGTCTGAATAGGAATAATTCCCCTCCGCTTTCCTCCTGGCACCGAACCCGGGCGAATCGAAGGGCCCAGTATAGTCAGATTCTCTCTAACGGCTGCCATTTCTTTCCAGGAGTGCAGAACATGCTGCCTTGGAATATCTGTCGTGCAAGGGGCGAGTGACCAGGGAGTCGTTTCAGTCACTCATCTTTGGCGAATGTGGTCTCCAGATGGGCAGACTGGCAAAGGGCCAGGTCTCACGGATATGACAATGGTTACTTATCGGTGAGTGATTCAGCAGCGTCCTCGGCCAGAACAGGTCGCCAGATGGCAAGCTTGGGACTAGGAAGAAGCCCATGTGACCAAGTCCGCCTTGACTGGGGGTTCGGCAAGACATCAAGGAGGATACTCCCATGGGCGTGTTCACAATATCGCTACCATCTTCCCCGGCTCGTCATCGGTTGGCGGTCTTGGTCTCCTGAATGGGACACGATCACTGCTGTTGCTCTACCATGGTTTTCCGCCGTCATGGATACTCGACCGCGGCACCCAAATACCCTTCGACGAAGGAAGCACGTCGCTTCTTTATAGGAGAGCCCCTGACCCCTCACGAGCTGCAATTCCGGCCGCACCATTCGCTACCACGTGGGTTCTTACTCAGCGCCCCATGGGCGACTCCTCGCCAACCCCTGATGCCAACTGCTTCCACCAACGAGAACAGCCGACGGCCGGACTAGCTAGCGGCCGTTTCCTGTTGAAATCTCGGCTGCGTGTTCCGGACTGCAGTTGGTTGCTGTCACGAATTGAATGCTGGGAGGTGGAGTGTGGGTGGCATGGTGTTGACTGTTGGGACCATCTACCGGTTTAGTGGTTCTTGGCTGCCTCTCGTACTACACCTTTGCAAGAGTAGAAGCACAACCACAAATGGCAGGTGCAAAACCCTATTGTCGATCTGTGTTGCAACAAGCATAGCAAACCTTGGGTTGAGAAGCATCGTGGGTGTGGGGCCTGTCCGTCCGGCGGTATGTCATGATGTTTCCAAACCCCTGGTTCCCACCCGCCCCCCAACACGAGACGCACAAGAACGACAGCAAAGACAGCGAATGCTTTCGAAAGTGTTCCTACCAATTAGTGACGGAATGAATTTGGTGGTCAAAGTGGAAGTTGATTTAAGCGCATGCCCTTTAAGTGGTCGCGCAATTTACAACACAATTTACCCTAATATCCAGCAAACTTTTCGACATCGCTGCCACAGCCGATACCGAGAAGACGGTGATGAGTCCCATATTCCCGCGCCAGCGTTTATGTGCCTGGCATCGGGGCCCCGCCGAATCATGAGAAGTGGCCTCTCAGCAGAAGCCCCATGATAATCTCATATGCACCCCTTGGCCAAGCTACCCAGGTTCAAGAGCCGTGGTGAGACCCCGATCAACCATCTTTTTCCCGAGCCAACAGTTTGGGTTCCAGATCATCGCCGTCATATAAGTTCGTGCGCCCCACAAACGTATGCGTGTATGTATCTACATACAGCCGGCCCAGGACCGCGTCACGTTCCAGGAATATAATACCCTTGGCCGTGTAACCCCCCGTCACGGGCTGGAGCGAAGCACCCAGATTATATATAACCCGGGGACTGGGGTAGCTTGCTTAATTTGATCTTCCACCGTCCGTACGACATACAGGCCCGCCCGTCAGCCATGCCGCACGCGTGAGCCACGAGCCTCCGAGTTGTGTGTGTATCCATGGCGCCCAAATACTGGCTCGGCCATGTGCTCCTCCTCGTCTCATCGTGGGGGCAGCAGTGCCGCGCCGACTTCACGACGACGTTCGAAGACGTGACGCAGGGGAGCGTGCTTGCCTTGGCCTGGGGCGACGTCGATCCGGACTCCCTCCCGCTGATAATCGGCGTGTCGCTAATCAACAAGACGGAGGATGGCTCAGCATACGGGGTCAAGATAAACATATCCAGTGAGAGAAGCCCCGCGCCCCCCCCCCGATTTGATGACAATGGTTCTCCCAAAAAACAAAACCATGTGTTCAGCTCCAAGGCCGTAGAGAGGGAAGCGTGCTGACCGAGGGAAACCCCCCCACAACCCGCAGCAACCGTAACCGACTCCTCATTCCTCTGGCCAAACGTGCCCTACCCGGTGGCCTACATCCCCACAGCCATGTACCAAGTCGAGGTCCGGCCCTCGCACTGGAAGGGCGACCAGCAGCCCGTGCTAGCCCGATCGCCCTTCTTCACCATCGGGCCGAGCCATCCGGAGGGGCAGCCGGGGACCTCCCCATCTCCCGATGACCCGGTAAGTCGCCGACGCGCGAAGACATACCGTCCAACCCCAACCCCAGAAAACCACACAACTAACACACAAAACCCCTTTGCCCTTTAACAGCAGCCCACGCAGCCAGGCTCGTCACCGCACCCGAACCGAAGGCTCGCCGTCGCGCTCGCCGTGGGCATCGGGCTCCCGTCGCTCGTGGCCGGCGTGCTGGTGGGGTGGTGCGTCCGGAGGCGGCGCCGGAGGGCGGCCGAGGCGCTGCGGAGGCGGAGGAGGATGGAGTTTGTGATCAATTGAGGGCCCCTCCTCGCTGGCTCCTTTCCGCGGGGGATTCGGCGGGCTGCTGCCTGGGCTGAAGATGGGGGGTTGGTGCTGCGCGTGGGTTGGGAATAGAGAGGCGCTATGGTCGTTGGGGAAGGGATAGGTGGCTCTCTTTGTTTAGGTAGGGTCGGGTCATATGTTGGGTGGTGCTGTGCTAGTGTTACGAAGTCCGATGATTTAATACCCCGGGGGGAAAGCTGGGGTTAGCTCCGGTAACGATAATCGAATGACGAGTCGATCAAGCATGATCGCTGTGCCCAATCTAGGTCACTTGGGGGGAGGTAATGGAGAAAGCGGAAAATCTGTCAGGTTTGTCGTTGATACATATACTAGGGTCTCACGGCTCTCCCTTCCGCAGTCCCGTCCTCATCGTAATACTCGAGAGCACGCTCCTCTCCGCTCTCATCATCCGCCATGCCATATAACCTCTCGGCCTCACTCTCCAGCTCTCGAAGCCGCCCCACGATGCCGTCCGTCTCCGGGCTCTGCTCGCCGGCACCGGCACCGGTACCGCCCAGCCCCTGCGCCTGCTCCTTCTCCAGCCACCGTTTCCGCCTGGCCACCATCTCCTCCATCCGGTGCAGCGCCTTGTCCTTGTCCCGGAGATACGCAAAGGCCTTGAAGGTGAAGTCGTCGGCCTCGAGGCCCGCGGCCTCGATGCGCTGGAACGTCTTGACCGTCTTCTCCACCTGTTGGTCCCGCGTGTAGCCGGCGAGCAGCGTGTTCCAGGTGACGATGCTGGGCTCCACGCCGTACTCGCGCATCATGTGCAGGATGCGCTCGGCCTCGCCCGTCTTGCGGTGGAACATGAAGCCGTTGAGGAGGATGGACCAGGTGTGAACGCTCGGTGCTGGATGCCGAGGGAGGGGTCTGGCGTCGGCGGGTAGCGAGGAAGGGTCGATGGAGGCGAGCTCGGCGCCCTTGAGCATGTCGCTGACCACCTCGAGTGCAATGTGCAGCAAGCCGTCCCACTCCAGGACGGCCTTGATCACAATGTCGTACACCAGAGTCCCCCGTTCCTCGACGAGGCGCACCGCCGCCGGGTCACCGTTTTGTAGCAGGCTGCGGAATTGCGAGTAGAAGGCGATGATGTTGTAGGCCTTTGAAAAGCTTCGGACGTACCCGATGAGCATAATCCCAAGGGTATCGCTTCCAGGGTCAATCAGATCCTGTGGCTCCAAGGCCGGCAGGTTGGAAACAAGAGGTAAGACTTTGGATTCCGCATTCCACTGTCCGCTGGGAATCAGGTCATCTTCAAGATACCGCTCAATGTCGGAGAAGGTAAGCCTTCGGAGCGGATCAAGCTTGAAAAACTTTGCGTATGCCTTCAGCATGGGGCGGAAGCCGGGGAGGACCCTGGGTGGCCGGATTCGTCTTCGACGGGCCTCGACCAGCCATGGAAGAAACAAGGCGTGAAGTAGATCGTTCCACACAATAGGATCCCTAACGTTGTCCGAGTGGGCGGCTTGGACGATACGATCGATGGATTTGAAATCCTGACAGAGCTTCGCTCCGTTCAGCAGAATCGAGTACAAGTGCGGATCAGGTTCAATGCCGTGCTCCACCATTGTATCAAATACTTGCCAGGCGGTATCGAGCTCCGTGTTCAAGCAGAGGTTGCGGATGATGACGGTGTAGGTGACAAGATTGGGGCTGAGACCGAGGTCCAAGAGCCGCTCGAACAGCTCCGCAGGCGTGGCTGGCATATGGTTTTCCATGTCATCCTTGTTCATGGACAGGACAGACGTGCAGAGAGCAGCGCCACGAGGCGTATTGATGTCCAAGGTGCCTGACTGCAACAACGACTCTAGAATCTGAACCGAGGCTGATTTATGATTGACATCCTTCGCGAGCCGGCCAGCAAAGTGAAGCAGCGTGTTGGTGTGGAGGAGATGTTCATATCGCACAAGCTCTCCGTAAAGACGGGCCAGCTCATCCACCTGCAGCCCTTTGGTCAACGAGTACAAGACCCATTGCGGGAGCTGCAGGTATCGGTTGGAGCTATTCTTGAGCAGAAAGAGAATCAGGTCCAGGAATGTCTTGTCGGCATGGCGCCGGTCCTCGACGTCGAAAAACATCGATCGCCTGACTAGGTAGCGCAGGACGTCTTTGACTGCGTAGGTTGAAGTGACGGATTCTTCAAACGTCGCCTGGAGCACAAGGTGTGCTTCGCTCGGTTTGATGCGGAGTGCTGATAGCATGACATCGGGCCAGAGGGCCTGCCGTCTTTCCAGAGGCTCGCGCTGCCACGCCTCCCGCATCTTCTCCACATCCTCGAGAGTCAGCAGGGCGGCGAGCTCTTCCTCTCCGAGGAGCTTATGTTTTGCATGAAAGGGTTTCCCCCTCATCATACTGTCGAAGCATCTGGCGAATCTCCTCCTCCAGGCCTTGAACCGGGACTTTACCTCGGCCCTGTCTTTGGGGTCACAGTTTCGAGTTAGGTAGACCACTTCTTGTAGTTCGCGGTGTTGTTCTTGCTTTATCCTCCTTGCTAGCACGACCGTCCTTCGGTGCCCCATTCGCTTCTTCTTATCCTTCGTCTTTATCGGGCTAGGATTAACAATGCCAGGGGGATTCGATTCCTCCGCCGGATCAGCCCATAGCTGGTCGAACTTGGCCCAGAATTGTTGATCGTCCGGGGGATAGTTTGCGCCATCGAATGTGCGCTCCTGGGAGAGCTCTCCCAGTGCCAGCTCCCACTCTCGAAATGAGTCCGCTTTCGATTCTCGAGGCAGACCGACCTGTCCTTCTGGTCGTTCGACGGATGGGTCACTACCCCTCGCCCGCCTGACAGACCTAGACTGCGAGCCATGCGGGTCGTAGCTTCGGAAGGGGTCGTCCGTCACGGCCGGTGTAGAGTTCCGACCATCTCCCCTGCCCTGCTTGGGCGTGTGCGATTGTGGAACCTTTCTGACAATATAGGGGACGTATTTCCTAAAATTAACCTCTGCGCGGGTGTCGGTGGATAAGGGTGCGGCGCTGGCAAAACTTCGAGGGGAGGTCCGGTTCACTAGAAGTGCTGGAGTCGTCCTTCGAGGTGTAACTGAGCGCGTAGTTGGAAAGGAGCGTTGGAGGGTAACGGACTCGCGCGATGCCTGTCTAAGTCGTGATAGGCAAGGCTGGCAAATAAAGCCAGCCCTTTCCATGATAGCTGGGCTACAGCTTCAAGCACGCGGCCAATGATGAGCAGAATCAATGCTTCGTAGATTCGTATGCCTCGCCATTCCTGTAATATGATGTTATAGCTCAAGAGATGGAAATTTGTCCGATAACGGTTCTTATCAGGAACAGGGATAATGAGACAAGCTTAGTGGCTGGCAGGCGGACTGTGGCTTGGACCCCACCACAATGAACCAACTTTTCGACCGGACCATCAGCTTTCAAGTTCCAACGTCTCGAACAGATCGTCTAGGCCCTTCACCAACACAACCAGCAAAGATGTCAAGCTCACATGCCGCCCTGGCCGTGGCGTCAGACGACCGCAAGTCGCGTCTAGCCAAGCTCAAATCCCTGAAACGGAAACAGCCCGAAGGCGAAGTCGTTCCTCCAGAGGCGGATCGCGCCTCGCCCAGCCCGCCCGAGAAGGAGGTCGCGAAGCTGCACCTGTCCGGGCGAAACTACGACCCGGAGACGAGGGGCCCCAAACTGGGGTTCGAAGCCCCGCCCACCCTCGGTCTGGAGAGACCGACACTTGAGGAGCAGGCCGCCGAGGTGGAAGAGGACGTCAGGAAGAAGGCCGCCGAGGACGCCGAGAACGACAAGGGGATCGACCTATTCAAGCTGCAACCGAAAAAGCCCAATTGGGATCTCAAGAGAGAGCTGAACAAGAAGCTCGAGGTGCTGAATGTCCGCACCGACAACGCAATCGCCAGAATGGTCCGGGAGAGGCTGGCCGCGAAGAAGGCGGCGGCGCGGAAACCGGAGAGCGCCGCCATTGATGGCGGGGACGACGCGGGACTGAAGGGCGCTGCGCTTGTGGAGGGGATACGGTTGAGGGAGAGGGAGGAGGAGGAAGAGGAACGCAGGGAACGAGAGGAGGTCGACTTGGCTTGAGGCTACGGGCATGTTGTTTTGTCCCACCTCCCTCACGACTGACGTAGATTGATTTCACGGGCATACCGAACTCGGGGGACAGGCGCTTGGCAGCGGACTCGAATTACTAGAGTATGCAATTTGATACCCATATCTCCTATCTCCCCATGTTCATGGATTGCGTCAGGGCTAATCTCTTGCTAAAGGGGCTAAGGCTGCGCTCGCGTGGCGGTTGAGGTGGCGCTCTGGCCTGTGTCCGCTGGCCATCCCTCCTGCCCTCCGAACCCTGGTGGCGGTCATCTCTATCTCTGTATCGACGGGTATCTTCAGGTTGGGGTCGCCGACTCTCCCTCGGTGGTGATCGGCTTGGTGACCTGGAGCCTAACCGTGGCGGCTGCCTGCGGCTGTCCCTTGACTTGTGGTAATCGCTAGAGACCGACGAATCCCTCCTAGGGCGCGCGTCTCCCTCGGATGACGCATTGCGGCGCCTTACGTGAGCTGCGTCTTCATGGCCAGGCCTAGGAGATCGCCGGCTCCCATAGTTTCCGGGGCGACGGGCTGAATGTCGGCTGAGAGAACCTCGGCCGGATCCTTCATCCTCGGAACTAAAGGAGCGTCTACGCCCTGCCGAATCGGAAGGCGAACCACCTCGATTGCTCCGGGTCTTGAGTGGGGGTGGTGAGGGAGAACGCCTCCTTAATGGAACTGGGCTTGGTGACCTAGTGGACAGGGTTGAGACGGAATCATATGAGCTTGATCTCTGTCTCTGAGGCTGGTCGTCTTTAGGAATAGGCTCATCGTCCTCTTCAAGTTCACGTTTCCTCTGCCTTTCAGCTTCCTTTTTGGCCAGCTCCTCGTCGGCACCGCCCTTCCTGGGTTGTCTGTAAGCAAGTGGACAAGTGGAAAATTTGGGCAACTGGGGTCCGCGAGAGTGCTAGACGCCAAAGCAGAGACCTACTTCTTCAATAGAGCATCTGGCACGTCGTTGGTGAGCTTCGGCACCAATTTGGGGTTGAGTAACTGCTGTGTGCGCGAAGGCCTGGGAACGTACGGGCGTTCCTGGGGCTTCGCCGTGCACTCATACGAGTAGTGACGTTCAGGTATGTTAGTTGGACGAAGCACAAGTGAGGTAGCTGAGGAGGCAACATATCTCGCTGGAGGCACTTCTGGCACTGTACGTTGGCAGGCGTCGATTTGGATGGCCCTGCGCGGCCCCGGTAGGCGTGCATTGTTTGATAACGTAGCGACTTAGCGGCGATGCCACCGCAAGTGTTGGAAAGTCGCCGTTCTGTGGTGCAACTACTGAGGCTGAATGCAAATTGCCGGCCGCGATATGTTTGAGTGAGCAGTGTGGTGTCTCACGTGGATTCCAGAACCAGGAATTTGCGAGTCACGGACTTCTAGGATCGCGGGAGCGCGTAAGATGACTGATTTGCCGCAAAGACTACGTGGGTAGTGAATGCGAGACAGGCATTCAAAGACTCGGAGTCTCGGAAGCACATACCAGAGTTCTCAACCAGAGTTCGCGCTGCCAGATCAATGCCACGATCATCGCACGTGACCGGGGACGAAAGTCCTGTACTCGTACCTTCTAGGTTCTGCAAGGCTACCTCTACCTACATATGTACACAATGTATCCACGATTTGCTAGGCGTATCCCCAAGTTGGGGGAACATCACGCGTCGAAATTGCCAGTGCGTTACTAATCGCCTACAACAAGGAAGCAATATCTAAATACAAAACGATTCCGAACAGTAAAACATTAGGCTGGTAAACTTAATCTGGTATGATAGGAAGGGCCTCGGAGAAGTCAATTCACTAATAAATTCAATTTTTTGTAGCCGGTTGTGGTGCACCAACTGAAAAAAGCCCGTGCCAAGGTTCCAAGAGGCACATGGCGCTAACTCTGTTCAGGCTTGGCTGGTCAGCCAAGGTGCCGGCAGGAACTGAAAGGCAAAAAAAACCGTCGAAAAAATAAAGGTAGAAAATAATAGAAACGATCGCGAATCTTAACTGTGGACACGAGGCAAGGCAAAAAGGGACGGACTAGTTCAACTTCCTGATCTTGTCTGCGAGCCCGGTTGCATCGCTGGCATTGCCACTGACAAAAGTTGGCAAGAAGAGCTGCTGCCCATGGTCCGTTAGGCACTGGAGAGGAATAAAAATCCAGTGTCAGCAGTCCCGTTTACCAAGCCTTCCCGGCTTGCCCTTCGTTCGCTCGTGCGACTGATCGACCGTCTCTCTCATTATTATCATCCACCTCGCCCACCTCACCCCTCCTCTCAACTCGGTCACCCATTTCTATTTCTAATCCACTCGTGCACACAGCAATCCGCCGGAGCTGCCATCGTGCCCTGTGGACGCATCATCCCGTTGCGTGCCCGATTCCGCGTCCTTCAATCACCCCTAGCTCATAACTGGCTGGCCAAAGCCTTTTGCAGGCTTGCTAGTTGAATTCGACGACACTTCCCAGCCAACACCCCCCAGAGAAATATCATCAAGTTCACGACCATGATCAACGGTACTTTCTCCGCGCCCAGGACCGCCTTGATCCGTTTCGTTTCTTGATCTTCTCATCGCCCCCATATTTTAATACAATTTCCGGTCACGAATTGATAGCTATTCCGACCAACTGATTTCTCGAGACCCCCCGTTCTGTCGTTACCTCGTCTACGAACCTGCTCCATCAACCAGTCTCGAGTCCCAGGTCTCAGCCACATCTCCCACAATGGCGACCGACGTCAAGAAGATGTCCTTTGCAAAGGTATTTATCACTCGCCTCCGCATTCATGACCTTGCCAACTGGCCAGTGTCCCATGCTGCCGTCTAGACAGCGCGGCTGACTTTGTTCTCTTCAGGTCGCAGCTTCTGGAAGCAAGGACCCCCCCTCCGTCGCTGCTATTGTGCGATCTCCAGTCCCTGCTACTGCCAAAGAGCCCCGAGAGCCCATTCCCGTCGCGCCGAAAACTCTATCCTCCCCGGCACCCATCGTAGTAGCCGGTACCCGCACTGTCACCTCGGCTCCTACAACTGCTTCCAGTCAGGGGAAGTCGGCCAAGGGCAATGTCACGACGGAGAGTAAAGTAGTCGAGGGGTTGAGAGATCTCAAGTTAGAGACAAAGACTCCAAATCTAGTTGTCAACGGCACCAGCTCGACAGTAACCGAAAGGTCTAGCAAGACTGGGAATAGCCAGACTCCCTCGGATGAAGCTTCTCAGAGAGCGGATTCTGTTTCGGAATTGGATACCAAGCCCCCAAGCCTGGATGGGAAGAGCATCACGTCGGGAACGACTTTCGCTTTGGATGAGAAGGAGTCGCTGCGCCCCGATGACAGCGCGAGTGTCAAGGCAGCCGCCGAGGATGATGATGCCTTCTCCATTCGCGGTTCCCTCGTGGCTAGTGGGTCACGGATGGGCTCCGAGGTTGCTGCCCGTGTCCATCGCATTCAGCTAGGCGACATGCCACCCCGGACCATCACCACCCACGTCCTCGCTGGTGCCCATAACCAAGGAGGAGCTGTGCCTCCTCTGAGCGGCGTGCCGGAAAACCCGTCAGTTCCCGAGGGAAAGCTGCCACTCGGCTCGGCTGCCACTACTCCAGATGGCCTCGACGGCAGTGGTTTCTACCGACAGAATCCCGACGATAAGCTGCTGGAAGCAATGCTGTCGCCCAAAGACCGTCTGTTTCTCCTGAGACTAGAGGCAAAGGTCATTGAGTTTGTTCAGGATTCCAAGTATGCGCCCTCCCTCCCCCCCCCCCCCCCAAACCGGATACCCAAGTCCGTCTTGTGACAGCAACTAATCTATCTGTTCCAAGGGAACCTTTCATGGATCTGCCCCCTTGCAACTCGTTTTGTAGGATGTTGACACACAAGCTTGCCGATTACTATCATATGACGCATTCTTTCGAGGCCGTAGCTGGCGGCGTGCGCATCTACAGGACCCCCTTCTGCCGTGTCCCCCCTGCGCTGTCCAGCATAGTGGTTAACCCGTCCAACAACTCCCCGGCTCCGGCTCTTCTTCCACGAAAGATAATGCGACGAGACAGGGATGGAGAGCTTGGGAATCTGAGCGGTGGTCCTTCTAAGGCGACATCCGAGGTTGGGAGCGATGGCAAGGAGAAGTCTGGTGCCAATCAAAAGTATGTCTCGTATCGCGTGCGAGCTAGCCATCTGTGAGCCGTTATTAACCATCTTCTTAGGCTTACCAGGGAAGAACGGGAGGAGGCTTATAATAAAGCTAGAGAGCGGATTTTCGGAAACCTCGACAAGACAGAAACCCCCACGCCAGGTTCGTCTCGTGCCGTCTCTTGAGCTAGTTCTTCGCTGACCCCCAACGACAGAGAATGAGGATAGTAATGGAGTGTCTCGGGCAAGCTCGGTATCTGCCAGAGACAGATCGACACAGACGAAGAGGAAGGCCGCCAAGCAGCGGCGCGACGACTCGGAGAGCTTCGACTCCCGCTCCCAGTATGTGGCGTGGTGTACACCCCAGCAGCAGACGTGGGTGTCGCCGCAATATATCCCCGTTGGCAATCCCCAATTCAACGGGCAATTTCAACAGCCACGTCCGAATGCGCTGCAACCCGTCTACGGTACCAACCCGACATACTCGCAGGTGATGCCAAACAACGGATATGCATCTCAATTCAACCCGATTCCGCCGGTAGTACGTAGTATCCCAGTTCCCAATGCCCAGGTTGCGCACCTGCTAACGTGCAGAAGTATTCTTCACAGATGGTACCTCAGCCCGGAACTTCACCCCAGCGGTATCCAACCCAGAGTGCTCCTATGGCGCCATATCCACCACCTTTACAAGCTCTAGCCCAACAAGGATGGCAGCAGCAGCCGCCGCAGCAGCAGCAGCCGCAGCCCCAGGCCCAGCCGCCGCAGCAGCCACAGCCGCAGCAGCAGAACTTCAGCCAGAGCCCGTATCAGTCTCGAGCAACTCCGGCTCCGGCTCCGGCTCCTGCTGCCGCTTCCGGGCCCCCTCCCCCTGGCATTCCGTATGCATATGGGCAATTGCCAGTGAATGCTAACCCCAACGATCCCAAGAGTCAGCACCCGATTCCCGGAAGCTACAATCGGCACTCGTTCAACCCAAAGACTCAGTCATTTGTCCCCGCCAACGGTATGGTCCTCATGCAGCCCCCGCCTCTCCCTTACGTGGGAAGCAGCCCGCATCATGGAAGTCCGCAATTACACGCGCTCCATATGAATTACAACGGCTACCAGCAGCCGATGCCGCAGCCGCCGTACGGAGGTAACGGGTCCGGGTATGGCATGGTTGTGCAAGGGTCAAGCAGCTCAGTTCCTCAGTATCATCCCGGGCAGATGGCGCCACCGCAGCCAATCCAACATGGGCCCCCGCATGGGCCGCGGGGTCTCCCACCCGGCCAGCCGCCGCACATTCCCAACAAGCCCGCCATGCCTCAGGGGGCCCCGAGCCAAACCTACAGTACTCTGCCGACATACGGCAACCCTGCCACATTACCGCAAAAACCCACCACTACTTAAGGCGTTCGAGCATCTGCCGGTGTTCAAGGATGATTTGCTTGACTTCCAAGGCGTACCGGACAAACATTGCATATGGCGTTTTCTCGGGGAGTAACCGTTTGGGAAGAGGACCGACAGCTGGCTGTTTGCATGGGGCAAACCGCAACTTGCTGGGAAGGGGAGAGGGTGTGGGAATGCAGCAAAAATGGTAAAGGCGGTACCTAGATATGGTAGTTCTTCTTTCACAGCATAGGGTTTATAGATGTGAAAGAATAGAATTAAAGGACCTCTCATGTCACTATCCCCCCTTTATTTTGAATTCTAGGTCCCATAACGCCCGGTGAAATAATTTTGGACTTTGTTTTTGTTTTGGTTATTTGTCTCATTTTCCTTTCCTTTTTGGCTCTGGCGGAGGAGGCTCAATTGCTACAGAGAAACAAAAACGCCTCAAGAGACGGAGGAAAGCAGTTTTCCCCCCAACACCCGGGGCCCTATTCCTTCCAACCCAGACCCAGTGGATGCTATACCCCCCCTCCCCCCTCTTCGGTTTCCCGACTTTACTCGCCAGTCTCTCTCGGCTCCCTCGGCTCCCTCTGCTGGCCGCCGCCTCTGCCGCCGCCGCGGCCCCCCCTCTTCCCGCCGCGGCCCCCCCTGCCTCCGGCGTCGTCGCCGTCCTTGCCGGCCTTGTCGCCCTCCTTGTCGAAGCCGATGAGGGTGGAGGTGGCGAGGCGCTGGGCGAGGTCGATCTGGGTGCGGATGGTGTTTGCGAGGTAGGACACCATGAGGACGTCCTGGATGTGGTTGTTGAAGTCGCGCTCGACGGCGAGGGCGTCGACCTTGGGCGCCAGCGAGAGGGCGTTCATGAGGTTCTGGCCCAGGGCGTGGTTGCCGTCGCGCTCCTCGTCCAGGACCTCGGACACGTACTCGGACACGCGCTCCAGCAGGCCCGAGACGGTGCCCAGGGCGCGGGCGAGGGCCTCGACGTCGCTGGTGACGGGGGCGGTGCGGGTCTCGGTCTCGGCGGCCGAGGCGACGGCCTCGAGGGCCGAGCGCTCGGCGTCGCCGTGCAGGAGGCGGTGGGGCACCTCGAGGAAGAGGCAGGACTCAGCGGCGCGCTCGGCGTTGACGGCCACGGGCGCAGAGATGTACGTCTTGGTCTGGATGGAGGCGCCGGGCTCCGTGTTGATGGTCAGGTGCACGGCCGGGTGCGGGAAGGTGCCCGTCTCGGGCGAGGCGAAGAAGTTCTGAATCAGGGCGCTGAAGCTGTTGAGCTCGTGGCTCGTCGTGTACCAGCCCAGGAGGGTCTCGCGCGGCGACGCCCGGAGCGTCAGCGCGAGCATGTTCTTCTGGTACTCGACGTCCACCTCAACCTGGTCCTCGTTCTCCGTGTGCGGGATCGCGAAGCTGCTGCGCACCTCCGCCTCGGTGCCGTCCTCGCTGCGCACGCCCACGAGGGCACCGATCACCCGCGTGGATTGTGTGTCGCGGATATCCCTTCGGATGGCATGGTCGAGGATGGAGAATACGGCCTGCGTAGAGGGGAACACCCGGTCAGTATACTAGCCAGCATAGACATAGACAATCCTCCCCGAGTTCCGGAGCGTCAACCGCCGGGGGGAACAGGGGCGCGGGGGTGGTGCGTTATGTTTACCTGGGGCTGGATATTGACGGTAAGCGGGGCACCGCTACCACTGAATCCCATCACACCCGGCGCCAGGGGCCGCGATAGATGTATGAAGCTTTCCTGATCTACTGCCATGATTGCGGCTGTAGAGGAGTCGACGACGGTACGGGAGAAACGGGTTGACAGTGTGTCGTCGGGATGGCTCGTCAAATCCCCTTCTCAAATGCTAGCCTTTTTCACTCTTTTTCAGGTTTTGCAGGTACAGCCCCGGGAAAGTGGGTTGTGCGCGCTAAGATAAGAAACGCTAGCGATGATAAAGAGGTGGCGTGGCGGGCTTTTTTTATTTGACGAGGCTGAAGCCAGGGCGTGGCTGAAGCGCAAGGCTATGGAAACATTTTTCTCCTCCACCTGAAGACATATTATTCGCACGTGCAATGGAAATATTCCAGACCTTTCACAGCGTTATATAAAATGGCACCACACGGCCAACCAGGTGCTAGTTCCGGGCCCGGGAGGTTTCCCCCTGGAAGCAGGGGTGGTTCTAGAAGCGGCTCTAGAGGTGGCTTTAGAGGCGGTTCTAGAGGCGGTTCTAGGAGCGGTTCCAGAGGCGGTCCTAGAGGCGGTCCTAGAGGCAGTTCCAGGGGCGGTCCTAGGGGCGGTTCCAGAGGCAGCACCCGAGGTGGTGACAGAGGTGCTTCCAGGGGTGGCAGATCCAGGGGAAACGCCGGCCCGGACCAACAGCACCGTCCCCGGTTTGATAGTGCCAGGCTTGCGACAAACGAAGAGTTCGACGAGGATTCAGAGGACGGGTTTGACAGTGAAGACGCTGCGTCCGACGATGAGGCTGATAGCTCGGAAGATGAAGATGATGAGGACGGGACAGCGACTACTCGGCCTTATCTTTCCCTCATGCACAGCCTTGCAGAAAGTGCTCCTCCAAAGGCAAAGAGGAGAAAGTTGGAACATTCAGCTCATGAAGATGAGGCTCCGCAACAAGCCCAGCAAGGGAATGCCGAAGGAGTGGATGACGACTCGGTCGATCTTGTGGAAGAACCGAACGAAGATCTTGACGAGGCTCGCCCGGAAGAGTTGTTCGACGACGATGACGATCTCGACGCCTCCGACCCATTTGAGGTTCACTTTGCCAGTCCCAACGAGGGCGAGCTTGGTCAGAAGCTTAAGGCCATTCAAGATGGCCAGTGGCAACTGACGCGGGCGACTTCCAATCCTTGGAGGTTGTTCATCAACACTCCGAAGACAGGGGAATCCGCAGAAGCAGTGTTGCCAAAACCCCTGTCTGGACCCGGAGATCTCAACCTCAAGCAAAAACTACGAGAGGCTACGGCCTCCCAGAAACCCGAATTCGACCCCTTGGAAGGGTTCCTATCACCTCTCATGTTCAATCACCTCGACACCTTGTTTTGTGAACGGACCGTTGCGAATTCTGCTAGTCTCAGATGGATGGCTTCTCTCCACGCGTTGAACCATATCTTCAAGTGAGTCGGGTTCACATATAACGTTGCTTTGCAGCTGACTGACCGGGTAAAGGACTCGCGATCGGGTGATAAAAGACAATGCAAAGCTATCAAAGGTTCAAGAAAACGACGACCTGGAGTTGCGGGATCAAGGCTTCACACGGCCAAAGGTCTTGATCATCATTCCGACTCGGCAGTCATGTGTTAAGATGGTCGACATGATTTGCCAAATCTGCGTTCCGGATCAGCAAGAAAACAGGAGTCGATTTGACGAATCGTACATCGACAAGGACCAGAAGTTCGGGGACCAAAAACCCGCCGATTTCAAGGACCTCTTCCAAGGAAACGACGATGACATGTTTCGGCTCGGGGTAAAGTTCACTCGGAAGACCATCAAGTACTTCTCCCAGTTCTACAACTCCGACATCATTTTCGCCAGCCCTCTGGGCCTTCGCATGGCCATTGGGTCCGAGGAAGAAAAGAAGGTCGACTTTGACTTTCTGAGTTCCATCGAGCTAGTGATAGTCGATCAGGCTGACGCCTTGCTTATGCAAAACTGGGAACATGTCGAGTACATCTTCGAACATCTAAACATCCAGCCAAAGGACGCCCACGGCTGTGACTTTAGCCGCGTGAGGAACTGGTACTTGGACGACCAGGCCAAGTATTTCAGGCAGACCATCATTCTCAGCGCCTTCAACACTCCTGAGTTGTCGGAACTCTTCAGGAACTACTGCAACAACTGGGCCGGCAAGGTGAGGATCCAGAAAGAGTACCATGGCACTCTGTTGCAGATGCTGGGACACAAGACCAAGCAGACCTTTTCCAGGTTTGAACCGCCATCGATCCAGGAGGACCCGGACTCGAGATTCGCCTACTTCACGAAGGCCGTTATACCGACATTGACCAAGAACCCCAAGGACAGCGCCGGGACGTTGATCTTCATTCCGTCCTACCTCGACTTCGTAAGGGTACGAAACTACTTTGCAAACAACTCGGCTGTCGAGAGCTTGTCGTTCGGTACCATCTCCGAGTACGCAGACGTCCCTGAGGCCTCGAGGGCTCGCTCTCACTTCCTCAACGGGCGCCACCGCGTATTGCTCTACACTGAGCGCGCCCACCATTTCCGCCGCTACCGCATCAAGGGGGTGAAGAGGGTCATAATGTACGGGCTCCCTGACAATCACCTCTTCTACGAGGAGATTGCTGGGGAGTACCTCCGGCTCAGCGAGCAGGCGTTGACGCTCGAGCCGGGCCAGGGAAGCGTCCGAGTGCTGTTCTCCAAGTACGACGTGCTCAAGTTGGAGAGGATTGTGGGCAGCCAGAGAGTGGGCAAGATGATTCGTGAAAGGGGGGACACGTTTGACTTCCTCTAGTGGTACATTTGCATGCTTAATACATCCCAATGCCCAAACGTACATATATAGAAGAGATCCTAAACTCCCATCTACGTTCCAGGCCCCAAGTAAAATACAGCACTTGATCTGTCATATACATGTCTATTCCAGCACAGTCAAGCCAGACCTCTCCATCCAGGGCTCCCTCACGCGGTAGTAGACGGCCCCTTCTCCGTAGACCTGACGAGGTTCAGCTTGGATATCCTCTGCACCATGGTCTCGAAATCGTCCTTCCCATCCTTTCGGAACCTCGTCACCTTCTCCATGTTCCTCTCCGTCATCTCGGTGCTGCCCTTGCCCAGCTTCCGGTCCCTCGCCACGGCGGCGGCCGTCATCTTGAAGCGTATGTCCTTGGGCCCGTCGACCAGCTCGAGGATCGCGGACGGGGCCTGCGAGTACGTGTCCTTGGGCTGGGTGCGCAGCACTCTCGTGTAGCCGCCGGGCCGCTCGGCGTATCGCTCGCGGAGCTCGCCGAAGAGCTTGGGCATGAGGTCGTGGGGGGTCTGGAGTCTCTGGGTTAGCCTGTGCTCTGCTGACAGTCCATCCTTCTCGGTGCCATTGGGGCGTGCTTACGTAGAGGATTCCCATAGCTCTCCTCCGAGATGATTCATTGTCCCGCTTGGCGAGTGTGATGAGCTTCTCGGCCACCCGCTGAGCTTCCTTCGCCTTGGGCCATGTCGTGTGGATTGCCTCGTCCTTGACGAGGGACGTGACGAGATTTCGGAGAAGGGCTTGCCGGTGAGATGACTTCCGGCCTAGGTGTCGGTGCCTTGTCAATCCGCCAGCCATGTCTTTTCTTTACACAGCGCCGGGTATGCGCTGATAATGAGCGGTTTAGAGACGAGTTTTCGTCGGTTGGCGGTTTTGAGGTTCCTGGCGCGGAAACGATGCGGCTCACGAAATTTTAGTCTTGGCATTGCCGAGCTACGTAATTGTTAAAACACCCGGGGCGGGCACCCACGACCTGAACCGAACAAGAGCACTCCACACAGGTGCGAACGATACAGCATGCACTACAACCGGGCTTCTCGCGCCTCAATGACCTGACGATTCCCAGTTATTGGTTTTCGGCGTCTTGAATTGCAATCCAGAAAGCAGTCCCACTACCGAGCTAAACAGGCTCAACCCACCAAAAAACCATGGGCTTCACAACCGGCTTTGTCAGTCAAGACCCCCTCACACCTCCCGATCCACATCCAACTAACCCTCCTCCCCTACCCAATAGACCGGCGGCGTGACAGTCACCCTCTCCCTAGCCTACCTCGCCGTCCTAACCCACCAGCGCAACCGCCAATCCCAATCCGACACCCTACGCGCCCAATCCGCCGTCCTGACCAGCCTCACGCGCACCGCTGCACCACCGCCGACGGAACAGCAACAACCAACCACTCCCAGCTGGCGCCGCCACGACCTCGCCGAGACGGCAAAGGACCGCTGGAACGCCGAGCTGCAGGGCGCTGTGCGGTGGGCGCAGAACAAGGACTGGGCCGGGGCGCGCGAGGCCGCCGAGACGGCGGTGGCGCGCCTGCTATGGGGGGGTGGTGGTGCGGACGCCGGATCCGCGCAGCGGGAGGGGGAGGCGGGCGTCGTGGCTGGGGCGATGCGCGGTGCCGGGGCGGCGCTTGGGGAGGCAGGGGCGAGGACGGCGGATGCTGTGCATGTCAAGGCTGAGGAGACGAGGGACGCTGTGCGTGTCAGGGCTGGGGAGGCGAGGGAGGCGGTGCATGTGAAGGCTGGGGAGGCGAGGGCCGTGGTGGCGAGGGGGGTTGAGAAGGGGAGGGAGGCGGTTGGAAGGGCTAGGGCGACGGTTGGGTTGGCGGAGGAGAGGTTTGAGAGTAGGGTTGATGCGAAGTTGCTACGTGTGTCGGACGTCGAGAAGGCACTGAGCGAGCGGTATGAGAAGGGGGATGAGGTGATGAGCAAGAGTGTCGAGGAGATTCTGAGCGACAGGTATAAGCCGATCGATCAGAGGGACAACACGAAACTTAGAGGGCTATAGGCCGCTTGGCTGATATGGTGATGTGCGTTCCCGGGGAACCTGGACTGTTCCTTTGGACAGTTTCGCTGCTCATTTGTTCATAGAGTCTACAGCTGGATGTAGTATAGAGTATGGCCTGAAGCTAGGCAATAGACGGTGCCAAGTTTACTGACCCCCTGGATGACGAGCCCCTGTTTGTCATATGTCATATGTCACTCTGAATATCGGATGCCGCTTGTGCGATTCTCAATGTTCATGATTCTCGCTATCCTTTAGTCCATAGATCCAAACCACCCATTGCCAAGTCATTTACGCCAAATAACTAAAATTCAAATAAATGACCACCGCTTGCTTATATGCCTCACTCTCTCCCAAGCCCAAAAAGATAGAACCGGCAAACCGAGACATCAATCCGAGACGGAGCACTTCGCCTCGAACCACTTGGCGAACCGGACGATAGGCGCGTCGACGGCCCTCCAAAACACGTCCGCCGCCCAGATGACCACGGGCACGTTGACGAACGACGCGAGCACGAACCCCCGGGCGTAGGCCTGGCCCTCGACGCCCGTGACGCCCCAGGCCCACCTCTCGGTGGCGAAGCCGACGGTGTGCATGACCGGTCCGTGCATCAGGTAGAGGGCGTAGCTGATCCTGCCGAGGTACTGCACGACGCGGGCGTTGAAGAGGCGCTGCCAGGCCGGCGAGCGGCCGACGGACAGGACGAAGAGCACCGAGCCCGCGCACTGCCAGTACCGGTACCGGTCCGAGAACCAGGCCGGGATCAGCAACGAGAGGAACACCCACCCGGGCGTGTCGTCGTGCCCAACGTCGGGCTGCGACATGAGGTACAGCGCCACGACGCTCAGGCCGATCCACAGAGCCGCCTTGAGCCGCCTGCCCCTGGGCAGTGCCGGCGGGCCGGGGCCGTGGCCGTGGCCGAGCAGCGAGAGGCCCGAGGAGGAGGAGGAGGAGGAGGCCGGCGGCGCGCTCGGCGAGGGGGTGTTGTGCGCGCCGCGGATCAGGTCCCACTCGGCCAGGACCATGCCGCAGTAGAACAGCAGCATGTCCCACCTGTCGCTGCGGTAGGTGAACCACATGACGAGGCCGAGGGCCAGGAACCGGGCCCCCGTCCTGAGCCTCGCGGTGCCGACGAGGGTCAGGAACAGCACCATGGAGGCGCGGAACTCGACGGGGATCGTCCACAGGTGCAGGTCGAGCCCCGTGCTGCCGCCGAACTTCTCCCACCCCCACACGTGCACGAAGCCGAAGAGCGCGCGCCCCCAGTCGGCCAGCTGCGCCCCCGCCGTGGGCAGGCGGTGGTAGTGCAGCTCGTGCACGTTGCGCATGTAGGCGGGGTCGTCGGCGAAGTCGCGCGTCCACTCATACAGGCCGGCGCGCAGCAGGCAGACGACCAGCAGGGTCGAGGCGGCGGTGGGCAGGAACAGCCGGATCGCCCGCCGGAAGACGAAGGAGCTCATCGTGGTGGCGAAGGCGTCGGAGGAGCGGGACCGGGCGAATTTCAGCGGCCTCAGCGACAGGGCGTAGCCCGAGACGACGAAGAAGACGCAGACCATGGGCGGACCCTGGTAGAAGAGGCGGACGATGGGGAGCCGGAGGACATGGTAGTTGTCCTCGCCGTAGCCCCAGCCCTCGGCGATGACGAAGCAGGTGTACGAGAGGTGGCAGAAGAAGACGAAAAGCGCTGCCAGCCCCCGGATCCCGTCGAGGTAGGCCGTCGGGCCCGACCGATGGATGCTGCTGCTGCCTCGCAGCCCGGCGTCGCGGGAGAACTTGGACTGCACGAAGCTAGGAAGGAGGAAGATGACCGCCCTGAGCGCGAGAGAGTGCCACGGGACCGATAGCAGCTTGCCCCCGTAGGCTTGTGCTGCCGAGGCCCATATCCGCCGGCGTGTTGAGAAGTGCGTCTCGATCGCAGCCCGTCTGACGTCACTCTCGATATCGGAAAGACGCTTTTCATCTAGTAGTGATGCACTCTCCTCCTGCGCGAGGGGGTGCCCCGAGGAAGCGTGGCCATTCATTGTCCAACAATGAGGTTAGGCATTGGCGGGTTTGCCACACCATGGAAACTTGAAGCTTGGATGGAGGAAGACGGTCCAAGAATTGAGGGAGAAATAGCCAGGTCGTCCTTGAAGGTTCTAAGACGGACAAGAACAACCTTCCGGGGGTGGCAACTAAGCAGGATAGACTCCGGCGGTCAGCGGGCAAAGCCACCCTGCGAGGGTGCTGCTTCGGCCGATCTAGAAATAGTCAAACTCGGGCGTTCTGCTGGCTGCAGGTGCTGCCAACTTTGACGACTCCGCCGTCAAACATGGAAGAGAAAGGGGGCAGAGGGCAGAGGTCCAGTCAACTTTGGCCTGAAACGAGCAGAAACGGCACATCTGCTAATGGATTTAAAACCAAGGAAAGGACTCGGGGAAGGAAATAGAAGAAAGATACAAAGAAAGGAAAGAAAAGAGAGATAGAACGGGGAAACAAGGCAGGAGATGACTCGTCGCGACTCTCGAGCCTTGACCAGGTATATCCATACACTTGACACAGCGCTGTTGTTTGCTCTCCAGATCTTCGTGGAAGGGCGGGCTTGATTGAGCTGGATGGAGGGCCAGCCAAGAGGGAGACACTCCCAGATCCTGGGAATGATTGCCCTTCGACACGCGGCAAGCCGCAAAGTGATCATCCATGTTTCCGACAGGAAATCTCATGTGCCAGCAGATCATATTCTATCCGATCTCCATATGGTTGGCCCTGTGCATCTCATGGGTTGGACGCACTGCGTGTTTGCGGTCCGAGTCTTGGTCCCTTGGACGAGCTCGAGGCCCTAGGATCTGCAGGGGGTAAACCTTGTCTCCGGCACCCCCCAGCCGGCCCCACTCCCATACTCTTGCCACATCATTATGTGTTCCAGAAACAAAGATTGGCATTCGCCCTGAAGCGGTGTTGTTTTGAAATCGGCCGCGGGCTCCAGGCCAAGAGCGGCCATGGTTGCTGTTGTGGTTGCTATTGTCTGAGGAAGCGGAATCCTTCCCGGCACACAATCGGCCGCTTGGAAACCCAACGAGATATGAATGTATATACTCAATTTTTATATATAGTCTAATGCGTAAACAAAACTATATATACTACACCCCAAGGAAGTATTGACACCTTCCCAAAGACATAGAAGATGGGTGACAGTCCCCAGTGTCAGTCAGTCGTACCTCGCCCATCCTTTGTTGCATCAGAATCATCATTACCCAGACACCTATACGCCCTCGCCCCTTCGCCCATTTCCCCATCTATTCCCCCTCCACACACCTCACTCCCTAATTTAGACAGATAGCCAGTCCATGAATTCCGGAGCGAAGTAGCTGACGACAATCGTCGCACCAGCTCTGAGGATGCTTTCGGTGGACTCAAAAGCCATGGCCTTCAGGTCGAAAACACCGGCCTTTGCGCCCGCATGAACCATGGCAAACTCCCCGCTGACCTGGTACGCGGCGATCGGCAGATCCTTGCCCAGCTCCTTGGCGTCGCTGATGATGTCCAAGTACTGGCCTGCGGGCTTCACCATGATGATATCGGCGCCTTCGTTGATGTCGCGGACGATGGCGCGGCGCGCGAGGCCGCGACCACCCGGTGGGAGCTGGTAGCATCTCCGGTCGCCGAATGACGGAGCGGAGCCCGCGGCATCGCGGAAGGGCCCGTAGAGGCATCCCGAGAACTTGGCGGCATACGACATGAGCACCACGCGGTGAGACATGCCCTCCTCGATCAGCTTCAGCTTGATGGCGCGGATGCGGCCGTCGTTCATGTCGGACGGTGCGACGCAGTGGGCGCCTGCCTGAGCATATGCAATGGCCACGTCCGAGACGCGGTCGACCGACAGCTGGTTGTTGAGCGACCCGTCGTCGCGCAGAATGCCGCAGTGGCCGTGGGAAGTGTACTCGCAGAGGCAGACATCGGTGACAATGAAGAGGTGAGGGAAACGTTGCCTCAGGAGACGGATGCTTCGGATGACTGGGCCCTCGGGGTCGTCGGCAGCAGTGCCGAGGGCGTCTTTGACACCTGGCCTGACTGGGACTCCGAACAAGATGACCGACCGGAGACCCTTGTGGACGAGGGGTTCGAGGAACGGTATTAACCTGTTGACACCCCGGCGGTACTGGTTCGGCAGAGACGGGATTAAGAGCTCCTCGTCGTCTTGGTCGGAGACGAAAAGCGGATAAATAAGCATCGACTAGATGAAGATTCCAGTTAGCCCAAGGCCACAGGCGATGGCACAATGAACATGGGGATTACTGCTTGCCTTTGTGAGTTGTCGCTCGGCTTGCCAAGACCGTGCCAGAGGATGGCAGTAACCGCCGTGGAGCTGGCTAGAAATGTCGCCGCAGATGCTCACACTCGTGGCTGCCGTACTTGTGTAGGACATTGCGCGGGAGATGTGGGAAGTGCGGGAAGTGCGGTCGTCCATAGTCGAAACTGTAGACGCAACCCCCCGGTTGGGGTGGGCGGCATTGGCGTCACGGAGGGAAAGGTCGTGAACAAGACTGGAGAAGGACATGGCGGTGCAGAATTACGAGAACTATCCGGAGGAGGGTCTGCTGGTAATCTTGTAGCCCGTTGCGATTCCAATTGAGCGAGAGGAGAACTGTAGCGATGGAAAACGTCGATGTGGCAATTCAGCCAGGGAGGTGACGAGACGAAAAAGGGACGGGTGCGAATGTCGGAGAGCGCAGGTCTCGCTCGCTTTATTTAATAACGGAACGGGGCGGCGAGAGTTCAGCAGCGCAAAAGTATCTTTGCGACTATGAAGCTCAAAAGGAAAGATAAACCGCAATTACCGGCCGACGGGATTGTTCGTGGAACGAAGGAAAGAGAACATTTCCTATTTCATCCCGGATTCCCGAGGGGCGGGGGAGGCATTCGAGTTCGGTTTCGGATTCAACAGGCCGCCCTAAAAATGCAATTCTCCAATGATCTTCAAAGGATTTCCAAGGGTGTGCCACTCCACGCAAACGGCAATTGCACGGCCGGTAGTCGCATGTGGATGACATAAGCGTCGCCACCTCTTGCAACCTCACGAACTTCACATCAAGTCTGGAAGTATAACGAATCTGGGAGGCAACTGTCGCCCTCTGAGCTTCTGCTGTACATTCAAGCTTGGAGGTATCAGGCTTTCAGGAGCCTCTTCTCCCCTTAACTCTGCGTCTCAACTGGGCTGGAGTATGAGTCATCAGCTCTTGGGGCTTATCGGTTCTCGCCCTGACTCCTGAGAGTAATCTGGGTTGTCAGGACGGACCGTCAGCAGATATTTTTGCCCAATGCTCTTGCGTATAGACGATAGAGAGTCAGGCCCCGTCGCCTGGATCAGCTCTCCTGGTCGATTCGCAAGGTTTGGGTAGACGAAGTTTGTGGACATATCTCGTCCATGTTATCCTCCTCATATGGCCCAGGGGGGCCAAGTGACCGAATGGGCTGTCTTTGGCATTAAATAATAAATTATAGAGGTTTCTTATCTTGGGTCGTCGCTTCCTGGGATACTTTAGTGAGTTCGGATGCCCTGTAGGTGCTGATAGCCTAGGTAGGTGTCTTCCATCCTACGCTAGCGGGACTCTGCAAGGCAGAGAGAGAGGAAAGAGAGAGAGGCTTTGGAGGCTTGGAGGACCGGCTGTACGGGCAGTTAAATAACGGCTCGATTTAAAGCTTAACAAAAGGCCAAACCGGCCGTGTCAATTTTGATAGGTTCGTCTTCCTCTCTTACTTCTGCAATTGCAGCCTTAAATCTTAGCCCGCTTCAGCGTTCGGAGTCCGGACCTGCCAGCCCACCACTCATCGGAAAGGGCCTTGCAACAACCATATTGGGTATGAAACCACTCGCGCATTTCAGGCGATTGCGGCACTCTAGTATCTTTCCCTGCCTGACACATGTCGGTGGCTTTCCTTGCCTCTCAGGTTCGCATACTTTGCCCTCGACTACTACCATTCTGGAAGGAGCGTGAGAGCCTCCTTTCAACGCCCGCAGGCCACCTCCGGTAACGGTAAGTTCACTTCTCGCCACTCCCAGCCGCCTATGGACAGTCAAATCGGTCTTTGGTCCCGTTTCCTGTACCGGGCAGCTACCTAGGTAGGTACCTTATCTCACTCATCACGTAACATTTTAGAAGTTTTCTGCCGGAGCACTCCTCTCTCGGCCGCCATCCTGCATACCACAAACCAACCGCTCCCGAAGTCTGCATCCAGGCGGGCTTGTCGTCTACCTTGGATCCACTAGATGGGTTCATTGCCTCCCCATTCACATTCACAGATAGGTTTAGCCATCAGGCAGCTGCCACTGGACCTCACAATAATCGGTACGTAATACGTCGCATACAGACTTCGGTGAATCACTCACTGACTCTCGCTCTCCAGCTACCGCGAGTGAAGTGAACGCCTGAATCACTGGTCTCTCACCTTGAACATCACCCTCCTCCAGCCGGATTATATCTCGTCGAAATCTGGTCTCGGCTTTCGTTTCCTTTTCATCCCAATTTCTGAGTCGATATCTTTCCTACCCTCCTTCCATCTCTCACAACCTTCCAGGGCCCACGATGGCGGACATTGTCGGCAAGAAGAAAATGGCATTCTTCCCAGCCTTCACCACCCGCGGCCGGGGAACCGAAGTCCCTATTCAGGCACCGACTGCCAGTCGAGGTAATGATATCTCTATCTCTCTTTCGGACAAACTACACAAGCCCCTTCACCAGCACCTCCGCCCCTCCTCCACCCCTCTTAAGAAACATCGTCATGTCCGTCTGTCTCTATAGAATGTTCCTTCTCTTCGCAGCAGTTTATGATTGTCTGGCCGACCCAAGGGCCCGCATTCGTTCGTAATGCGGCTGGATCTTACTAACATTTTCCCAGCTATGGCCACCACAGCATATTCCAAGGAGGAAACCATTCGAACCGTCCCTTACGAACCTCAGTCCCAAGGAGGCCGTTATCCACCTAAAACGGTCGACGAGCTCGCAAGTGCTTTGTTGGACGATTCAACTCTTGACCAATGGCCTAGCCTTGGTGAGAATCACATCCCCAATATAGGCCCTGTCGTGGCCCCCTCCCCAACCAAGCAGACCGCTCCACCTTCCTCTGAGGCTCGGCAAGTTCCTCACTTGGATTCTACCGGTGAATCTGGGGACAGCAGTTATCGTCCTCCGGGTAATCGCAAGAATATTGCCCCCGCTGAGAGATCGTCCCCGTCTATGCCTCGCAAGTCTAGAAAGAATCGAGGCAAGGGATCAGTGAGGACTCGAAGAGTATCTCCGCGGGGAAGCAGCGGTATTGGACCAGCGAATGTGCTTCCAAGCTCTTGTACTGGTACCATACACCCGCTGCGCATGAATCCCACCAAGTTAGCATCCTCAACATCGGTACCGCTTAGCGGCCTAGAGGAGCAACTGGATGGCAAAATCGCACTCTCTAGCAACACTGGCCATGCCGGTCCTGCAGAGGTCACCCAGAAGGCGGAACATATGCTTGCGGCCAGGCCATCCCCGAACCCAAATTCCCGACCGATGCCGTGTATACCTCCTAGCAAGACAACCTCAAGAGTATCGCGTCTCATGAAGCAGAGAAGCGTCTTCAAGAAGATGACAGATGCTCTTGCTGACCGCTTCTACAACAAGTCGCAGATATTCAGCAAGAGTCGAGGGACCATGGGCGAAAATCCTGCCGACCAGATGTTTCTGGCCGAACAGCCCGTGAACCTACTGGAGAGGGATTCGCCTGTGGTCTCCATCGGACTTCGGCGCCACGAAGGTGAGAATCGCGGCAGAAACGGCGCACAGGGACTTGATGGCGGCCGTGTGTCTCGCAAGCTGACCCTCAATAATGGAAAATCCCTCAGAAATGCAAAGTCTCTTGAAGATCCATTTTCTGAGCCTGCTTGCGTGAAACGAAGCCCAACCGAGTTTGAAAATCTACTCAGAGACAAGTCCGTCTCCGAGACAGATGTCAGTTTCGTGCCGCGGCTGCCTACAAAGAACCCTTTCGAAACCGAGAACGTTCTTGGAAGCAGCATCGATGCCATTCTACCTTCGGCTCCCCTTGCATCTTCGACGCCGCGCCTGCGGCTCGAGCGATCCTCGGCGGCTTCTGATAGCCCGACCAAGAAGTCCAGGGGTACAGTAGCTTCCGATGTCATCGGAGCTAGCCTATGCACCGACACGTCCGACTCCAAGACTTCAGGGCCGAGTCGTGACGGTCTTGGCTGCCAAGTCCTCCGAGAGACCAGCCAGAACATAATTGGTGCCCGGAACCGCCGGGCAATGCTCGGATATAGCTACGTCCCGGTGGTGGGAGCTGAAGATCGCAAGAAGCACCCTTCCCCCAACAAGAGCGACCTTGAGCTGCTAGAGATGCGATTTCGGAAGCAATTCCCAAAGCTCACCCTCGGCGTTCCAGATGAAAATGACGAGAGGGATGAGCTTGCAGGGAGCTTCATGTCACCCTTCTCGCCCAACCCTCGAGTGGTTGTGGAGAACAAGAGTAGGATGGGCGACGATGTTATGTCCCTGGATGCCACTGACGACGAGTCACTTAGCACCAAAGCTCGAGGCTCACTCCCAGGACGCTACAAGGACGCATCGCGTCTCCCAACATCTGGACCGCTCACCCGATCACGGAAACAAGCACGGTTAACAATGTACCGGCAACTCCCGCGGAAGTCGATGGAGACAGACGAGCTTCAGTGGGATATGAAAACCAGCAGCCTCGAGATGAGCGAGGTATACTAGGAAAGCATGATGCCGGCATATCTCCTCGCCTTGCTACAGCTTTCCGCCTAATCCATCATGTTCGCTTGTACTGTACGATTCTGTATAACATGGCTCGCAAACTCTGCTCTCAGGGGCATTTAATTTCCATGAAGACGATGAGACACCAGGCCTTTCAGGAGGGGGCCGACACTAATGATTACGAAGCCTGACCTCACGTGGCACGGCTATGACGATCTGCTGCGAGGGATCTCGGCCGACAGGGCCACCAATCGGGGTGTGTATTCTGCTGCCGTACGGCTTGGTGATAACTGGGAGAAGATTGGGAGATGATAGACTGCACCTTTGCATGGATGCACCAGGGACTCGTCGGCAGACTGCCCATCAAGGGGCTGCCATGGTCAGGGTACCAAGGTACTTTTTAGGCGTAATGGAACCTATTATGCCTCAACCTGAACGGATCAGGTACTGAGAACTTAGCCATCCCGGCTGGACACACGATAGACCCTTAATAATGGAACTTGGCGTACTATTCACCCGCGACAAAAACCAGGCAACGGAGGTAGATGGCAAACTCGATTGTGCATCGATATCTGTGACGCTATTCCTGCCTCTACCAGTTGTGGTGGTTATGGCATCATTTGCTCTCGGCTGTCTCTCGACATATAACTAACATGGAAAGTGGGCAACTGCCGGGTATCAAATCTCTCCAAAAACGCTGTCTGGGCCCAACACTGACAGCCATCAACACCCCTTATCAGAACAAATTTCGCCTCCTCCTCCTCCTCCTTAGAGATTCAACAAACGGTGCCTCTTCGACACGTGCTCTTCTATGCCATGCATGCGGCGAGCACCGGCGGCCTAATCAATTTTTATTCCTAGTTAGCGCGTTGCTCGACATGGTAGATGGTCGCGGGGCGGTTTAGGGGAAATTTTTTTTTTTTTTGGCTTGGCTTGGCTTGGCTTACCTTTTGGTCGGGCCGGCCGGTCAGGGTGCCCTTTATCCGGAGGAACGCGCCGCTGATCTTGTCGCCGATGCCGACGTGGCGCTTCTTCTCTCGGTGGGTTGTGACGCCGTGGCGTGTACCGATGCCGTGGTGGGTCCCTACGCCGTGGTGGGTCGTCCCTACGCCGTGGTGGGTCGTCCCTACGCCGTGGTGGGTCGTCGCCACGGGGCGCTGGCGGCGGTGGAAGAGGCCGCGCCGCGGGGTGGTGGTTGTGGTTGTGACTGGTTGGCGGGCGCGGCGGTGGAAGAGACCGTGGCGGCGGGATGTACCCGTGGTGGTGTGGGTGGTGCCGTGGTGGGTCATGGTTGGTTCGGTGGGTTTATAGAACGAGTCTTGGGTTTGTGTTCTGGGATGTTCTTGAGATCGGATATAGTTATGTTGCGTGTGGATGATAGTTAAGATAGTTCTAACTCGAACAAATTGGAGGAGGGCGCCCACTTATATCGCCAGTCCCAAAAGTTGAAAGTTGGCAGCGATCAAGTCCTCAAGTTGTTGGCCAGCCACAACAACCAGCCTGTGATGATGCGATCCTATTTCCCAACGCGGATGACATACGATGACATCAGTCGCAGGGGTGATCACTGGATGCGGGTGCTCCCGATTGACCGGGCGGCAGTGTGATTCGCTGCTACGGTTAGGGCCTTGGTATATTTAGCCTCTCACTGCCTCTGCGGATTAGGGGTCTTGTTAGAGGGAGGAATATCGTCCAATCATCGCTTGCATGCCTACCAAAGTACCTGTGTATCAACCGGTATTTCATCATCTGCGAATGCTACCAACGGCTTGTATACGCCATTATCAGACCAAACCTTTTGTCAGCTAGTGGAAGTTCGCCTAAGACAGCGAATATGGGATGTCTTGCAAATGACCACCTGCTTTATTTCACTGAAACCCTCCGATTCGCGTGCAAGTCTGATCTGGATAGCGGGTTGCAAGAGGGCAGTTTTGGTAAAAAGAGGGGAGAAAGGCTATCAAGTTTGTAGGAAGGGATTGTATTGGAGGAATGCAACCGTTGGTTGAGATTTCCTTCAAGGTCAAAAGCATCGAAAGGACCAGAGACTGTCTTGATCTGCCCAGGTTATAAACTTCGTCTTGACAAGAAGAAAACGTAACATAAGCCTTTTTGAGTCTCAAACATGCGCTTGATACTGAAGGCGGCAAGTTGCCACGGAATTTCCTGCATATCAACCCGGTAGTTTTCGCTTCTCCTTGGTCCCCATCCTCAATGTCTCCTCTCCTTTATCTGCTTCTCAGCCACATCTTCCCCGGTCTTGATTGGACCTGGACTTTATTCTCTTCATTCTTCTACTATTTGACCGAGATGGTGGCTTCCGTAATGGCTCTAGAGAATTGAGAAGAGCCAGGAAAGTAAAGGAAACCCAAGGTTTCTCACACTGGCTATTCAAGGGAATGGACTGCCCACACAAACCAAGAACTGTGCGCAACAAAAACGGGCCAAAGCATCAAGCAACGCCCTCCTACCCACCCTGTGCGTCTTAGTTTGGCATAGCAAGGTTCTTCTTGATGATGGCCAGGTCCTGGTGGGTGAAGCCCAGCGTCTTAGTCACATACCCGTCAAACCCCCCGTACTCACGGTCCACTGCGTCAAGGAAGGCATTCCAACAGGCGGTCCTCAGGTTGCACAGATTGTAGAACCCAGGAGCGTCGTCAGTCTCGGCCCCGGATCCCTTCCTGGCAAAGGCCAGGAGTTGTTCGCGCGCGGGTTCCGTTCCGACCCGAGAGAGCATGAAATCCAAGCTGACGGTGTCGGCGTCCACTCCCGCCAACGCGAGAAGCATGCCGGCCAGTACGCCACTTCGGTCTCGTCCGGCTGGCCACGCGTTAGTGGCAGGCCTCATGTTGAGGTTGGGAGTCTCGTGTAGAGGCGGGGAGTACAGAATCTCACCGGTGCAATGGAACAGAAAAGGCTCTTGAGGATTATCTCGGACGTGCTCTAGCACATCTTTGAAGCTCGGCTGGTAGATCTTCAAGACGTCGAGGTATATCTTCACGTAACCCTTCTCGCCGTGCCCCTCGATGAAGTCTGCCAGTTCTACCACGGCATCCTTCTCGGTCGTCTCTCTCCAGACATTCTGGATCCCATCGATCACGGGGTCCGGGCCCTGGGCGTGCTCCCTAACCGAGCGCAGATCAAAGATCTTCTTCACACCCAGCTTCCCCGCAAGCAGCGCCTGACCGTCGGCGGCGAGGCCTACCAGGGCACCGGAGCGGTAGGCATAGCCCTTCCTGAAATTGGAAGTCCCCGACGACGAGGGGACCAAACCCAGGTCGCGGGTGTTGAAAGTGCCTGGCACGTAGATGAAAGGCGGGTTGACCAGCGTGGATTTCAGCTGGTCGGCGGGCAGGGGCTGCGTAACATCGATCTCGGCGATGGCACGGAGATGGGCTGCAGACATGGTGGATGAGACCCTAATAAATATCCAAATCAATCAAAGTTTCCGAGGTTATGATGGCGTCTGCACAGACTTGGCAGGTGGATGAGCCGAATGAGCCGAATGAGCTGAAGAAAGTCAATTAATTGGCGCAGAAGTAGGCGGGAGGACACAACATTCAAGGACGAAAACGAGGGGCCAAAAGTCGGTGAGGTTTCCTTACGGACCGCTCGGCACGATGATTCAAGCGGGAGACCGGGGCGGGGAGGGTCAACTTGGAGTGGGCCCCGCCGTGAGCAGCGAGCCGGGCAACCGGGGTGTGTGGGTCCCACACTCCCATCGTTGTTCCCCTTATAGGTTGTCACTGACCTACCTAGGCTTACACAGGCTGGGAATATGAGCCACGACAGGGGAACTACTCTACCACCTCTTACAACAGCTTGCCTACCTTCCTTTCATACTGTCCTTACCCAGTCGCAGTCAGGGACCTCTAGGTTGTCATTACCTACCTTTACGTGCCTTACAGTACTCATCCAGCTGGGGCACATCTTTCATGCAGCCGCCCTTGCACCTTTCGTCTTCTTTATTTGCCCATGTAACTTTAAGTTGCTGACAAAGTTTGCCAGGAGAATTAGGCTTCCAGTTCCCACCAGGCAGTCAAGGACTCTTCTGCCAACCAGATATTTAAGCTTTACAGATACCTAACCCACAGATCTGGTCCTATTCCACCACCGCCTTCTTCTTCAGCTTTGCCGCTGCACTTCACCAACTACCCCTTCAGTCGGCTCAACCCATCTCCGGTGCCCGCCTTTGCCAGCTAACCGCAATCCTTCCACCATGACGGAAGATGGCCAGAGAGGGCGTCCGTTTGCCGATGCGTCCGTAGCATTCGCAGTCGATGTCTCCGGCAGTACCTACGGACGGACCATTTTGTGCGAAAAGACGTTTGTCAGGAGAGTATCCAGCCTCCTATCAGGACCTTCCCAGGCAGCGGCCACAGTCCTCCCATGGCACGGCTGGCTCGAGCCGGTTGGGTCTCTATTCACCCTGGACAAACTGGCCTCACTGTACGGGACAAAACCAAGGGTGATGCTGCAGGACAGTGGAGGCCAGGAAGCCTTGAAGGGCTCGGACTTGTGGTTCTTGATGACCGATGGTCTTGTTCGCGGCCCAGAAAGGGTTGCCTTCGCGGACTGCATCGCCAACGCCGGCTTGCATGGGACGAGCTGTATCACTGTTATCTTCGGCAACCTCGCCATTGGTCCTGGTTCCTGCAACATCTCGGTTGGTGTTTCGGTCTTTGCCATGTGTCCTAACTGCCTATTCCTCTTCTACGACACTGGGACCGAAGAGATAATCGTTATGCAGACCAAGGGCATATTCAACACTCTCCTGAAAGGATCCGAGAATCCCGTCTTTGACGAAGCCTCCAAATGGGACTCCTTTCCAAGATTGTGCCTCGATGACTTCTCCAACATCATAATCCCTCCACCCACGAGACTTGGGAAAGACGAAGTCCAGCTCCTGGACTCGCTCGTCATCAATTTTGAGGATCTCTGGGCAAACAAACTCAGCAAAGACGAAGTGGAGTCGGTCCTCGCCAACGAAGACAGCCTCAGAACAGTCATCATGAGCGCCCAATCTAGCGGCAACGCCGCCAAGTTTCAGAAATGGGTGCGGCAGCAGCAAGCCCCAATCGATGACTCTCTCGAAATGACCCGGATTGATACTGGCGGCCAAGCTCAATCGGCATTTCTGGCGGTCCTTGAAGCCCGGAAAGAGGGAAGACAAGACGGCATGGCCGAGTTACAGAGGAATCTCCGAGCGGCCCACGAAAGCAATATGCAAAACTTCCTCAAGACTTGCCAAACGAATCATGAACTTTCTCTCCAGCGGCAAGACATCATAGACTCGGCTTGCCGGCAGAGCCGCCAAGAAATCACCAGCGCTGTCTCTCTCAACAGGACGTCCCATTACTCAATGGATTGCCTAACCAGTGCCAAACGGGTCAGTCCACCGGGCCCATTAGGCGGCCTAGAGCCGAAAAAAGCCAGGCAAGACCCTGGCCCTTGGTCTTCATCAGGTACCTCGCCCTCCTGGGACCAGGTCTCACAGACGTCCGGCTCTCAAAGCTGGGTTGACCTGGAGGACAACGGCTCGCAGTCCTCCACACAGCCTCAACAACTGGATAACCCAGCCATACCGGCGGGGGCACCGCAAACCACCCCGCAGGATCCTAATACCGTCCACAGGAATGTGGGGTATGCAGATGAAGATGAAATCACCTTCCAGTGGGTGGAGATCCAGGCAAAGCAACCGGGGCTGCAGCTGGCACAACTGGCACCTTGGCAAACCGCTCCATTTTCTTGGAAGAATCCGACCCCAAATCCGTCGCTTCGCACTCTGTTATGGACACCCGGATTCCGCCGCGGCGAGAATGATATTGGGGGGACTTGCTCTTTCTGCGGAGCGTCTGATATGCCCCTGGCGTTGCTATTCCGTCATCCCAGCGCAGAACAACTTCCAAGAACTGGGATTATCGGCCCAGGAGAAAAAGAGACGGTAGAACGGCCGTCCCATCCCAGCCATCTCGCCGAGCACTCCTTGGAGGTCGGAAACACTCGCTGTTGCGAGGCCTGTTCGACCTACTGGGTCACAAGCCAGCCACCACAGAATGGCAAGATTGCTTCCAGCTTTCCAGTGGTCAAATGTCGCGACAACTTGACTGTGTATCCGAACCGCACTACATATCTGAACCGTTGTCGCGAACTCTTCGACGGACGTCTCGTTAGCAAGGCGGCCATCGGAGTCCTCCTCAATGCCCTTCTTACGGCCTACGGGAAGCCAGAGACCGAGGTGTCGAACATCAAGGACGTCTTGCGGTGGATGTGTGCCGATCTCTGCAACTGGGTTGCTCTCGAGACGCTGGCCGTCACGAAAGGTTCTGGGCAGCCGGCTGCTCTGCCAGCCAGCGAGGTCAACCAGGTTTCGCCAATGCCAACAGCTCCGCTTCCAGTCTCGTCCAGTATCCCCTGTCGCAGTTCACCACCGCACTCCAGGTCGCGTCTGTGCTCAATATTCCCCACGAGGTGCGCTGCACGGTGGCCTTCCGGCGATACCTCCTCCACCTGACCGAGAGGTTCGACGCCATGGCAAAGGAGAACCCGAGACCCAAGGCATGGTGGGCTGGCCTCCTATGGCAACAGACGTACGACGACCCCGATCTCATCATCGTCGACTCCGCTGGCAAGGGCGAGAATGGGGATGGCGGAGAAGGCTCTCGTCGGACTCCTGTGCTGGCGCTTCCCGTCTCGAAGCTCAAGGGCAGCGATCTGCTGAGCGACGATGACTACGCGTTCATGCAGATGGCCGAGGAGTTCCGCCTGCTCGACGAACCTAGCAACCCGTGGGTGGGCTGCGTCACCGTCCTCTTCCTCCACGCCCTGGTCGACGTGTTCGAGAAGCATGTATACGAATCAGCGGTGGAGCTGTTCAACCTTGTTATGACGCGCAAGCAACTAGCGTCGGTTTTTACGAAGCCGAGCGCTGTTGATGTGAACGAAGTCGCTTCCATGCTGAAGTCGCTTCAGATTTGAGGAAGTTTTCTTTTTGATTTTACCTTTCCCCCTTGAGGATATCGGCAGAAAAGGGGCGGGTCAAATCGGCACTCAATGCTTTTTTGTTTTCTTTTCCTAAGGTCGTCAACAGGGAGAACGGGTCGGAAAACATACAGAGAACACGGGGAACGGAAAACAGCATTGGAAGGAACATTCAGGAAGGAAGGATTCATGATAGCGGTACCAGCGATTGTAATAGGAGAAGGTTCGCTGGAAAAGAGTAGGATTTAATAATGTAGTAATGTAGTTAGTAATGTAGTAATGTAGTTAGTAATGTAGTAATGTAGTGAGTTGGTGACGTATCTTTAGGGATGCCCGGGTCTAAGGTATTCCAGGGTTAGGGTTATCAGCGGTATTCCAGGGTTAGGGTTATCAGCGGTATTCCCCGAGAATGCATCATCTCCCCCATTGTCGCTTACCAATCATGAACAGTAGTATGAACCAGTTGAGCTATTTCGCACTTTCCAAGTCGGAGATGATGGCGACTCTTCTGGATGGCTCTCTCATTCGTTTCCGCGTTTTATATATTGTTTAGAGAGCTGTGATAACCTGCTGGGGACATTCATCACTTATACCCCATTGCTCCTGTCTCCACTCCCCTCTGGTCCAATGGCGCGGGATCCAGCGCCTCCGGAGGGACCTCGCTATGAGGGCGACGACCTCTCAACGGCTCCCACAGCCACGGAAAACTCGCCACTTCTCCAGTCCGAGACCGCCAGCTCGAGAACGCTGACCCCGAGAGATGACTCGCCTGCAAGTGCAGCGAGGACGGGGAGCGCGGCACCCCGAGTTCGAAACGACTCGGAGCCGGCCATTGGGTGGAAGCGGGCCGTATGCATCATCTTGAGCATGTGGGCGTTGATATTCTTGCAAGGTGTGTACTCCCGTCCATCATGGTGGCCGCACCGGGGGAACTGACATCCACGCCCAGCGAGCAACATGAGCGGCATGACCATGACGCAGTCCATCATCGCCACCGACCTGGACGCATACGAGAGCGCCATGTGGTTCACGAGCTCATACCTCATCGTCATGGCTTCCCTGGCCCCGCTCATCGGCCGCCTGGCCATGATCTTCTCGCCGGGCCACATGGTCCTGGTGTCGGCCCTCTTCTTCGCTGTCGGCGCCGTCGTCACCTCGCAGGCCCGGTCGTTCGGCGTCTTCATCCTCGGGAGGGTGCTGACCGGCGTTGGGGGCGGCGGCGTCCTGACGCTGGCCATGATCTTGGTCTTGCAGCTGACGAGCAAGAAACGCCGCGGCCTGTTCATCGGCCTGACCAATGCCGTAAGTGCTTTCCAAGTCCCTGGAGCCTCCCCGAAAACTGGCTCAGTGCTGACGTGCGATTTGTTTATAGGGGTTTACTATTGGACTGTCGACGGGAGCTGTTGTATATGGCGCGCTTCTTTCCACCATGGGATGGGTATGTTATACGTATCGATAATCTCTGCCTACCGATACTGACATTCGTAACAGCGAGCATTGTTCTGGCTACAAGCCCCCTTTGGGCTTCTCGCCGGATTAGGGGTTTATCTTAGCTTGCCGCCCTTTGCTGTCCACGGGTCGACAAAGGCCAAAACCGTATTGCAGAAACTTGCAGCCATCGACTATGCTGGGGCAATCGCCTTGGTAGGACAGCCCGCCCTTCTCCTTTCCATGATCTGGGAGAATCTAACATGTTGCCTTCTATTGTTCGTCGAATTTGCTAACACCCCTGGTACTCAGATACTTACCATCGTCCTTTTCCTCTACGGCCTCTCGGGCAACATCCGGATCCTGCCAATCGTCCTGTCGGCCATCTCCCTCCTAGCCTTCGTCGCCATCGAGTACCTCGTCGCGTCGGACCCCATCATCCCACTGACGGTCCTCCAGTCCCGCGGGATCCTGCTCTCATGCATGGCGCAGCTCGGTTTCATGGCAGCGCGCTGGACGGTGCTGTACTTCGCCCCCATCTTCGTGCTCGCGGTACGCGGCCTCAGCCCGACGGTCGCGGGCGCGGTGCTGGTCCCGACCAACCTGGGCTTCGGCTCGGGCGGCCTCGTGGTCGGGTGGCTGCACGTGCGCCGCGCGGGGTCATTCTACGCCCCGTCGCTGGCGTCTCTGCTCTTCTTCGCCATCGCGCTGGCGGGGCTGTCGTTCCTCAGCACGGCCGCGGCGCCGGCGTGGCTGTACGTCCTCGTCGTCTTCCTCAACGGCTTCGGCACCGGCGCCGCGCTCAACTACACGCTCGCCCACCTGCTGCACCTGTCGGCGCCCGAGGAGCACTTCATCGCCACCAGCCTGCTGGCCACCTTCCGCGGGTTCGCCGGCAGCTTCGGCACCGCCATCGGGGGCGGCATCTTCGCCCGCAGGCTGAGGGCCTCGCTGACGAGCGGGTTCGAGCTCCTCGACGGCGGCGACGGGATCCTCGACCCGGGCCGGCGGGAGCTCATCACGCGGCTGATCGGCAGCCCCGCCCTCGTCTTCGGCGGCGACCTCAGCGACGCGGAGAGGGCCGTCGCCGTCCGCGGGTACGAGGACTCGCTGAGGGTGCTCTACCGGTCGGCGGCGGCGCTCTGCATCTTGGTCCTGCTCGTGCAGGCCGGGACCGGGTGGTCGGGCGTGGCTGCGAAGGAGGACGCGGAGGAGGTCGAGGAGGCGGTTGCGGAGCATGACGCGGCCATGGAGGCATGATTTTGGGGTTTCTGGGTTTCCCCGGATTTCTTGGCTGCCTAGAATGGGATTTACTCCTGGGGAGCTTGGAAAAGTGCAAAGGCCTTTGACATGCTGTTCTACAACAGAGGGGAGTCCTATCTGGGGCCCAGGCGATGCTCTCCATGTTGTTCTGTATGATTTCTACGAAGCATTGCACTTTATCTCAGAACTGGCTGCTGTACTGTACATATATATATATATACGAAGCTAGGGGCATTTTCGCATAAGCAGTGACATTCTATCTAGCATAATAGGATACACGCCAAGGCGTTTTTCGTGATTGGGAATCACTGTCTTACCTCCCTCTTTAGCAAGTCGATCTCGTCATTTGAGCTATCTGAGTGAGTTCGAACGGGCCTGTCAAAGCAGTTGCTGGCCAAGTACAGGAGTATGTCCCGTCAAGGCGCACCTGCATAGCTGTAGTGTCTAAATCCTCGCTCGACGTTGAGGGGGGGATGGGGCACGGTAGTTGGCAGACAAGGGACGCAGGGGTGTACGCATATTCAGGAGGGAAAGTTGTTCGGGTAACAAGAGGTAGAGTCGGAAAGGGCCGCACCTAAAGTCTGCGTCGAAAAGGGGCTAAGGACCGCTGAAGCATGGCGGAAGACTTACGCCCTTTCGGTTGCAGTCAAGCCTCCCCCTTTTTTTCACATCCTCAATATGGTGTGTATAGCCACTAGTGGAGAGGGCTAGCCGTGGTCGGCGAGCTTACCTTGACTGGTGCCGGAATTAGTTGCTTGGCGACTCCTCCCCCTGATGGGAGCCTGGAGGCCTGAACAGCATCTATCTGCCTTGGGGGGGCGATGAGAGAACCTACTTGGAAAGTCACAAGCGAAGGCTGCCTTGAAGCGGAATTCCCGCCCCCCCCTTTAGACAACGGCTACTGAGTCTATCTGGCAGTGGCGGTAGTGTACCTTGCCTTGCCAAGTCGCCATGCCTCTGGTGACCCTTGACATGCCTGGATGGCGATCCATTCATGAGATTTTACACTTTCTAGTGTACTAATAATGATCACCAACTCGTATATGACCGAATAATAGGGCCTGTTCGGATAGCCGGGCCCTGGGCTGGGTACACTAATCCCAACTCGAGGCCTATCCGGTCTTTCGGGACACGTCCAAGACATTCATTCCCAAGAGACGAGTCGTTCGATAAAAGATCCGGGGTCATCATTAGCGTTCCAAATGGTCGGTTTCACCTGTCAACTATTGGTGCGTGGCGTTGCATGCTAAATGGACGGAAGTCATCAAAAGGAAGTGCTTTGACATTGCGCCTCCAGTCTCTAACCAATCAATCCACGTCATGTAGAACCGATCCAAGGCACTGGACCGCACCCTAGAAGCAATCAACGAGTAGCAAACAGGCTTCGAGCCCGATATCTGACTGATCTGGGTCCTAAGGGCTTCGTATTTGAGACAGAACAAGGGACATGCCGGGATTAGAATGTTCCAATGTCGCCACAAGTATCGAATGTACTCCAACCAGAAGGTACATACATCCAAAGCGCCACCAGAATCCCGCAAGCTAAGTACCCGGGTACTGCACAGTACCTAGTGACTTTGACCCTCTGTCTGTCAACCACGTGGGGGAAGCTGCCTACTGTCGATCGCTACGCTGACCGGTTTTTGAGTCGTACCATTTCCCCGACTTCTAGCTTCACCGTGCCATAATGGCGATTGCACTTGGTCAGATTCGGTAAGATCGATCAAGAGACTCCCCAATAGGGACGCAGGTTCGCCCACGGGCCTTGCCAGCTGGAAATGCGCGAATACCTCTGCGTACACCGGGTACCTACATAGGTTAGGTAGGAAGGTAGGTAAGAGTCTAGAAGCGGGAGAGCTCCGTCCCGACACCCTGGGAATGTCCATATGGGCATCGACTGCGTATTGGTCTACGCGGGGACGTTACAAGTATACCGTGCGAGGTACGTCTCTTGTATTGCGCTAAACTTCACTCGGACTAGCAGCATGTCACAGGACTCCTTTCAGCCTTATCCTTATCAAGCAGCCCCGCGTTGAACCTCAACCATGGAATTGCGCGTAGCCTTGCTGCAACCATAGGACAAGAGGTGTCGAGGAGCAACTGGGTGTCACCCTGTAAATACAGAGTTGCGTAGGAAGCGGAGATGAGAACCCATCATGCATTTGGAGTTGCGACGTGACCACATCTAGGACTTGTCACCTGTCAATTCCCCCCTCCTCTGGCGTTTCACCCAACCGGCCATCAACAACCTTGGGATCCAGCTTGCCAGCTCGCTTCCGCTTCAGTCTCTGATCTGCGACCGGCTCCCCGCAACCGTATTGCAACGATGGCATCTCCGCCGTTACCGTCAGCCTCGCCGTCACTGTCACCTGCCCCAGGCCGCGCCAGCCGAGGCGGCGACCATGATTCGACGGCAGGCGAGGACAAGCCTCCGTCACCCAAGTCGATCCCTGAAACGCTTTGGGCGCTCCAGGTGCCGCTGTACATCACGCACTCGTCCCTCCCCAACACTCCCTTTGTGGCTGCCGTACCCCGCTTCAGTTACCTGGCCTTTCTGCTGCCGCGGCTGACGGCCTACTTCGGGATGCCCTGCTCGAGCTTCCACCACGAGGAGATCCAGCTGCGGAACCTGCCCGTGGGTCTGCTGCTCGACCTGTACCAGCCGACCTCGCTGCCGTGGCGCTTGGTCGTCGGCGACGGGCCCGAGTGGGACATCAGCGACACCTTCCTCAACGGTGCCAAGGAGGCCGACTTCGTGCGGAACAACAACGCGCAGCAGATCATGAGCCTGTCCAAGGCTGATACCACGGCGCTGTGGAATGCAGTGCAAGATAGTACGTGCCGATCTTCCCCTTCCCCTCTTCCCATCGTGCCAGATGTGCCGGGGGGGGAGGGAACTACCCACTCCCACCAGAGTATTGCACAGTGGGGTTCGCAACTTACACCTTCCCCGTCAAACGCAGACGACTACGCAGCCTTTGCTAGGGTAAACACCCGGCTCCTCAACCCAGCCACCCCTCTCAAGTCCGCCCCCGTACGCATCTACATTCCCTCCACTGTCCCCGACGCCACCAGCGCCGCCCCATTCTCCTACAAGGTGATACAAACGCTGGTGCCCCCGCGGACATCCAATAGTAAGTCCTACCTATGTACCCCCTCATCACCACCCCCTTGCCCCCGCCCCCCCCCCCCACACCACACCTTCCAACCCCCAGCGAATCCGACGATTCGTAACAAAAATAAAGGGACCCAACAGACCCTCGGCTCGGCCCTGAGGGGCCTCCTGCCCAGCCTGTTCCCGAGCAGCAGGGACCCCGTGCTGGCGAACGTGATCCTCCACGGCTCGCCGGTGCCGTTCTCGGCGCCACTGGAGGAGCTCATGCGCGAGGCGGCGTATCCGGATGGTTGGCTTTGCCTTATTGTTGTCCTTCTGTAGAGGGGCTAGGGATATTTGTATGATTTCTGTGTCCATGATTTGTTGATAGCCCCAATTGCGAGCATTGTTTGGAGTTACAAAGGCCTTCTTGCCTAATGACATAGATATCCAGGGTCTTACAGTGGTTAGGGATGTAAATGGTTATCATCCAGTTGGCCGAGTAGCGTCACTGGAAGATGCAGGAGGCACCAGGATTTATCATCTCTATCGTCGATTTCTTCTACCCCAACGCTCGACACACCCGGCCAAGAAAGGCCTGTAGTTCTCCAACAACCCAGTACATGTTGTCACCCACGCCCGCTGTTATATATATATCTATGCACTCGTCCAACATAGGTGGTCATGAGGGGGACAAGGACACGTATCGAACAGCCACCTCGCCACCATGCCTTCAGCCCCAATCAATCCCTCCACTTCGCGGCCCCCAACCTCCCTCATCCTTGGCCTCCCACCCGCCGTTCCAATACAGACAAAACGAAGGGCAGATCAACGAGTAAATGGGCAAAGAAAGAAAAGCCCCCTGGAAACCAAACAACGACCTCCCCCGCACGTGAATGGTCACATTCATAAGATAGTGATATCTCCTCCGCTTCCAAACGTCCTCCCCCGGGTTGCCAACCTAGCTTGTCGAAAAAAATAAAATTTCCTGGCGGTTTGTTTAAATCCAAGAAAAGACAAGGAGGAAAAACGCTTTCGAAGCCGCGCCTGCCTGGTGCAAATGCTAGATTGGAAACGCGCTTCGGTAAATAACAGGGAGTGGTGGAAGCCGCGCCGAATTGGTTTTCTTTTTCTCTTTCTTTTGGGGACCCTCGCTCCTGGATGGTCATTATTGCGATATATGTGTGTATAGGACAAGGCAAGGGGGCTCGGAAACGTGAAGGGGAGGCGGGGCTTGCGCCCTAGGGTGTCCCTCTCTCTTTCTCTGTGTATGGTTGCGTTCCTAGGGTCGGTGATGTCGAATTCGGAGGAACTGCGAGCAGCTCGGGGGTTGATGGCCTTTGTTATGTCGCCGTTCCGTTTAGGAAAAGGAAAAGAAAAAAGAAGAAAAAAGGCCGCCGCGAGGCGATATCCTGGCGCTAGGTCTCGCGTAAAGGGTTATGCCATGTCATCCCGCAGGATGAAAGAAGGTAGGGAAAAAAAGGAAACCGAAACGCCATAACCAGATGAATGAGGAACTGAATCAAACTCCGCCGTTATGTCTTGTTGCCGCGCTCCCGTGTATGCGATGGGGGGATGGTGGGGTATCTGATGCAAAAAGAAAGGGAAAAGATAGGTATTATGCCATGTAGACTGCTGGTGATGGTTGGAACTGCGGCGCGAGCGCGTGTGTTGTAATATGTTGTACAATTTGTACATCGAGGAAGGGACGGTTGGTCCGCCTTTCCAATCGAGGTGGTGTTCTTTCTCCCCAAAGACGGGGCTCCCGTAATCACGGCCTTGTCGAGCTGTAAATCCCCCTCCGTGTTGGCTTCTCGTCGACATTAGAGGCTCGCATTTGGATCGTCTTTATCGTGGTGAGCGCCGCTCGCAATTTTCCGGCGCCCCCGAAAGCCACACGCTTTCATCATCCGGTCCTTCAAATCTCCGTATCCTCGTCCCCAAATCAAGAACAGACGACTGCTTCACGTCGGCTGGTGCACTGGAAGCGGCGGACCAAGAGCCCCATCAACCGGGGTCCCGGGCGCATGCATGCTTGGCAGAGCCCCGACCGAGGGCGTCAACGGTGGTGGCGGACCAGGGGGACCTCCGCTCGTAGTGCTCGAGAAGCTCGAATTAGGCCCCGGCGCGGCATCGGTCATGTCGACGTTGCGGCTATTATACCAGAGCTCGCGATCCAGGCCTTGGAGGATCCGCATGTCTATCGCGAGCGCACTCGAGGCGTGTGCGATGGTCTGGAAAAACTGGATGGTCCTCGAGAAGAGACCCCGCAGGGTCCGCTCGTCCACGAACTTGCCCAGGGTCGGGTCCTTGTAGACGGCGGATAAGGTGAGGAGGTTGCCCCATTGGCTACCAGGGAGTTAGCAAGATCGTCATCACACAGCACAAGCGAGTATTGGAGATTGGTACTTACGCATGAGCCGTCCCGAAGACGTTGGTGATGACGAAGCGCTTGTCTTCCAGGCCATGGAACGCCCTGGTGCTCTCGATCAAGGCCCGTATACCCTTTTCCGCGTACCCCAGGATTTGAGGATCGATATCGCTCTCGTGTTCGACATCCGGTCCTATGACGGGCCCGGAGAACTCGCCGCGGAGACCAGCAGACATGCTTGCCGCAGCCCTGACTGCCGACCTATCCGAGTTGAAATCCAGGATCTGCTTGACAAATGGCCGGAAGGTGATGACATGAGCCCCCCAGTATTTGGCCCGGAGCCGAGCCGACAAGATGTCTTTGGCAGGCGGGTCATCTGGATCGAACTTGAATTCGGGCGGTACGAATCGCATGTTCAGAGCATCCTGCAGGTATGTGATAATATCGAAGTCCTCGGGGCGGGATTGTAGCGAGATGCGGATTCGGGGCTGCTTGGGGTCGTAGAGCATCTGGTGGATCTCGTTCAATTTCTTCCTCAGGTACAACTGCGATTGGTAGCTGTGAAGAACGCGCATGTCGAAGCCGTATCCCCTGGCAAGGTCAATATTCGGGTAGGGCATCAAGTCCTCGTACGCTAGGATGTTGGACTGTGGAAGTGGCAGTTCGGCGATAATGTCACTACATCGTCCGCGTTAGCAAGACAATCCAATCGGTTCGAGTGGATAAAGGGTTTTCGGACCTCTCAAGCTGCAGACAAGTCCAGAAAGCAACGATGAGCTGGTTGTCGCCCTTCTTGTCGATGGCGGTGGGATCGAAGGGGCGTTCCACCTGCATCCGGGAGAGTCGATGCAGACTCCTGCGAGGAAAGTTAGCCCACACGCGCGCACACGCAGCGGAATGATCGACTGGCACTCACGGTCTCATCTTGACCTGCAGCGCATAGCTGGCCTGCCTAATGTAAGCGTAGCTCTCTATCACCCGTCCTAGCTGTCCATGATAAAGACCGGCCAGGATATTCGCATGGATATGTCTAAACGTCGCTCCAGCTATTTGGCCCCCGAGGATATCCGTCGCGGTCGCAAAGTAATCGAGGCCGGGGATGACATCGATGTTTCTCTTCGGGGACGTCGAGGACTTGCCAACCGTTGGGAGGGTCCCCTGGGATGAGGCCCTTCTACTGGCGCTCAAGTTCTCCCTCGGAGATGGCAGCCCTGAAGACTGCGAATGGGATGCAATGGACGGCGGAGAACCCTGGAGGGGCGACGCCGGGTGCCCGACCCTTACCAAAGGAGAGCCATGCTGTAGCTGGTCACTGACAGGGACAGGCTCGGGCAGCTTCTTGTCTCTCCAGAGGCAGATCTTGCCCAGGGCAAGGACAAGAAGGACCAGTGCGTTCTGGACCGAACGCTGGAAAGCCGGCTTTCCTGGTTTCGGGGTTGAGGGTGCGGTTGGATCGGTACCGTCGGGAGGACCAGGAGATTGCCTCTTCCTCTTAGACCCTGGCTCCACCTGCTGTGCAGCGCTCGTAGGGCCAGCGAACTTGGCTACCGCCGACCCTGGTTTTGGTCCCGGCTGAATGTTGACCAAGAAGAGGCTGACCATCGCACGTAATTCCTGCGGGATGATGAGGGGATGCATGTTTTGTATGTTCTCCTCGTAGCTCTTCACATACTTCCAAACGTTGGTTTCGGTCAGGTCGAGGTTCGAGGCAACCGAAGCAGCCTTCCCAGGGACAGTACTCGGGGGAGTCAGACCGCCAATGCCGCCCCAGCAATCGGCAGGTGATGGAGCGCCCGAGTCGGAATAGCCGTCGCAGCTCTCCGTAACTCCTTGATCGAGTGTGGCCTCCCTATCCATACGAGCGTTATCCTGGCCCTCCCCGCGGCCATAGAGGCGGAGGAGGCCTCGCTGCTCTTCTTGGCGGATGGGGAACTCTTCAATGTACTTGACGTTTTCTCTCTCGAGGTGGTGTCGTACCAGATTCCGGACAGATGTCCACCTCAGCAAGAAGGCGGCGAGCGTGGTATGGTTTAAAGGTATCGTGGGGGCTCCGGGGTGAACGGGCGGGCCAGGCTCGCCTTCCATCTCGTCATCGTCGACGATCTGGCGCGCGATCTTCCGAGCCTCGTTAGCACCTATTGGTGGCGCTTCAGGGTCGGCCACGAATTCCGGGCTCGTGGTCACGTCACCGGGAGACGAAGAGTAGCCATCGACAGAACCTGCCGAGGTAGGGCGATCGGCATCGTCATCTTCCTGCATCGGCTCGGCGTCCAGGTCCAGGTTGGGGGCCGCCTTTTGCAGTGCATTCTCCAGCCTCCTTATGCGCCGATCAAACCTGCCGAACGTGGATTGCAGTTGTAGAATGCCGTCCAAGATATCAGCTGCCACTTTGTCTTGCCTATGGAATTCTCAGTAAGTCGTTGGGAGAGGATGGCCCTGGGGGGCAAGGAAGACTCACTGCTTCGGTGCCGGGTCTCTATACTTGCACTCCAGCTTCTTCTCCTTGCAGCTCTTGCATGGCTTGGTCTCATCACACTTCGCCTTTAGCTGCCGGCAGCTGTCGCAGGCCTGCAACGGAACAACAGAGTCAGCAAACGACGGCACCGGGGTGTAAAGTAGGCCGATAGAGGGGACGTATGGCTCGGTCCTTACCTGGGAGGCCCTCTGCGCTTTCCGCTTTCCAGTCGCCGTAATGGGAATCGCGTATTGGATGTCAGCGTGAGGGGCGCCATATGTCGGAGGGTAGTCGTAGGGTTGAGAATGCGGGAGGGGCGTCTGAGGAGGAGGAGGATAGCTAGGATGCCTGTAGAGAGGCGGCGCCTGGGGGCCGGCGTCGAAGCTCATCGGTCGCCTGTCGTCCGGGTGAGAGTGCGGCGGGGCGACGGGATGCGGCGTGCCAGGCATGGGCTCCGGGACGTTGCCGGTGGAGTGGTGTCTCCGAAGATGGGGGAGGGTGTCCTCGCCCGGGTCGGGCTTCACCATGGGTTCCCGTGGGGGGTATCCAGGATATGGAGGATGCGCCGGCGAAGGGGGAGGGTGCCTGTGCTCTTGCATGGGCGGGTACCTGTCTGGCTCATGGTGCCGCCGGTCGTCGATGTGGTTTGGCGGAGCAGCAGCAGCTGGATGAGGCGGAGGATGTTGAGGTGGGTGCTGTGGTGGGTGCTGTGGGGGATGTTGTGTCGGATGCTGTGGAGGATGCTGCTGCTGCGGAGGGGGGTGTTGAGGGTGTTGTTCCACAGGGCGGGAGAAGGGGTGCGAGGGTTGATATGGCCCAGGCGGCGGGGCGGGATGGTGAGGCAGTTGAGTGGCTGTAGGAGAGGGCGTGGGATGGAGGAGCGAGACTCCGTTGTGCGCACCCACTGACCATGACGGACAACCAGTGGACAGACGGGGGCGCTTGTTTTCAGGCGGTCCTTGGTCCATGCTTATATATGTGCTACATGAATAACTCCGTACAGGTTAAAGAGCGGCGGTGGACGAGGGTAGGCAGCAAGCAGTGACCGCGGTGGCCATGGATGGAGGAGCCTATGGCAGGATCATGGAATGGCGGCGAGTCGGAAGACGGCTGGAAAGCTTGGGCGAAGGTAGCAGTACGTTCCCTCTCGCCTCTCTCCGGTGTGGAAACTGGACCGAGCAGGTGAGACCAGGTCAGGGTCTGTGACAGATCATGAACAGGCCGAGTTACTGGATTGGCCTGGATTGGTCTGACATACGGGTACGCCTCTCCGGGGAGCTCTCACAAGTCGGCAGAAACAAGCCAGGGAAAAAAAGGAAAGCTCCAAGGGGTCCCAATTCTTTCGCCTCCAGAAGGACAAGGCTAAGAAGTTAATTTGCAGATCAGCAGTTGGGCACCAACGGAGCCTCCAGCTTTTCCAATCGTCGGTGTCGGCACCAGGTGGGGAGAGTGGTCGAGATTTGGGGACCTGGGTCGAAAAGTCGCGAGCACACACTGAGCAGCGCGCGCAAGGTTGGACGGAGAAGGTATTTGACCCCCCCCTTCCCCCCCGACCCCCAGTACAGTGTTTTGTCCCTTGGGAAGCCAATCAATCCTGCCAAGAGGCACGTCTCAGGGAGCTAGCCACTAGACTGGACCGGGGTATTTACAAACTTTGGGGGTGCGTGCAAGGTTGGCGATTGGACATTTTGACCTCATGCTGGGGGCCATATCTTGAATCTATCTTTTTTTTCTTTTCTTTTTTCTTTCTTCTCTGGCTCACTCGCCACTGTCGAGGATCCAGCCATCCTTCTCTTGGCCCGTTGTTTCGTCCCAACTCGCTGGGGCGCGTGTTTGTTCGCAGCGGCCCAGATCATTCGAGTGGGACGAAGCTTGGGTACCTTATTTTCTCGCAGTTCTTCTGCGGGGAAGGGCCATTGCTGACCAGACAGGCGGTGACCAAGACGCGAATAAGCAACAAGCTTGCCTGGTCAACTGTGCAATAGGAGGGGCATTTGAGATGGAAGCGAGTCGGAGCTAGTGAAGTGCACAAATTCGAATGTACCTTCCCTGATGGCTACTAGGCCACCGTTCCACAAGTACCTCTGATTTAGGTTCCATATCTCAGGTACCCGTTGCTATGCGATAAATGATACCTAGATACTTGGGCCATAGGTACCAATTTAGCTTGGTACATGTACAGGTGGTTACATCCAAGAGGAAGTAGCAAATCAGCACTTCGGGAGCCGTGCCACAACCTGATCAGCGACACTCGAAGGAAGGATCGTGGAGTGCAAACAGGCAGACAGACCCTACCTACACAGGTAACCACAACGAGTTGTATAATGAATGTCTGTGACAGCAACAGCTGGAGGTGAGGTAGCGACTCGGCAGAGCGAGCAGAACTGAGCTTGAGGCAAGAGCGGCAATTGATACTAACCTACCTCGGTAGGTACCCGACCTTACCTACCGCGGTACCTTAGGTAGGGGACAGCGGGTATCTTTACATAGAGTACGAACTAGGTACCTAAGTACAGCAGGTACCTGGCGCACAGATCCATACTGGATTGGTGGGATCGTGAGGTGGCCCTCACAACTGGGAAGCCTGGAACTTGGAACTTGGAACTTGGGAATCGGGAGTTGGGGATTGGGAATTAGAGCTGGGGCTGGGAACCTGGGATGGGGGCGTCGCTCCCATCGTTTTCGACTTTTTCTACAGCGACGGCGCACCAATTTCCTTGCCCAAAATGAGGCTCGGTAATTACCGCACACACCATTCCCACCCTAGTGCACACCATCTCCTGCCAACCCCCGTCCCAAGGGCCCGCCGAAGGCTGTACTGTACGGGGTATTTTTGTGCTACCTACACGTGTACATAGTATGAAATACCAATTCCCATCGTTCCTGGTCATCAGCCCGCCCATCATGCCTGTGGCGCATCCCTTGGACTCCTGACCGGGGATACTGATAAACACCGTTCGGACCCGTCAGTTCGGATACTGCTGAGACTGGCTCAGACGTCGCTACTCACGTGCATGCTTGGGTGGCACGGGTGGGTCTGCGGCTCATGATTTGAGTGTACCACAGTACCTCTCTGTAAACTACCCGTGGATGGCCCCCATCGCTTCGACGAGGAGATGACCAAAAATCTCGCTTTGAAGCCACGAGGCCATCGACCCGGCCATTCGTTTACCTCAGGGGTCTGAGGCCAGAACAGAGGGACGACTGGTTCTCCCGCTGGCGGGCTGCAGCTTCTGGCCGGTAGTGGTCGCGGATTAAGGGATTGCGGCTGGCGTGACCTATCAAGGTATGTAGGTACCTAGCTGCCTACTTTTCCCAGGGCGCGCAAGGGCTTACTGGCTCCCGCCTGCGGGTGGCAGTTGGTGGGGCTCAAAGAAACACATCCATACATAGTAGGTAGGTACAGTCCCCAGGGGAGACAAATTCGGCAGATGGATGCTAACTACAATTGGCTCCTGGGTTCCGGTATGTCTAATTCCGTCCGTCTACATACGCCTCTGACAGACTCGACTCGGGCCGCCCTCGAACGTCCATCTTGGCCCAGGTTTACGAGCTTCTGAATATGTCATGGCGCGAACCCTTTTCCTGGGAGGGAGCACGGTGCCTTAGGTAGGTATACCCAGCACGTAGGTACGGATTTTATTACTGGGTTAGGTACACACCTAGGTACCTAGGTACCTTAGCTTGCTCACCTTTTTGGAGAGAGACGAAAGCCCCGATAAGAGGGTTACGTAACTTGAGTGCATTTACCGAGACTATGGGACCGGTTCCTAGACTACAACCTCCCGATGTCTAAATAAGGAAGCTAAGAAGCGTCGTTTCTGACGAATCCAACTGGGAATTTATTCGTATCTGATCTAGTACTGCGTACAGCGGTGAAGGCCTTTGGATTTGATAGCTGGGTATGATTGTCCCTACTGTGATAACCCTCGTGCTCTTCAAACCAGTCCTTCTCAACCAAGAAAACAGCGCAACAGGGTCGGTCAGCTACGAATTTCACGACATCGGGGCAGGTTCTGCCGAAAACCCACTCAGTATGGTAGCACCCCCGGGACACCAGGGGCTGGCCCTCTTGATGGATCAAATGATGATGTCGTCGTATTACACAGCGGCCCCTGTCGCATCAGAAACCATGTCGCATCAGAAAGGAGGGGTAATAGCACCGGTAAAACAGAAGAAGAGAGATTAGGCGGGTGCCAAAGTCAGGGAGCCGATTCCCGAGTCCGGAGTCCCATCCTCCCAGGCTTCTAGAATTTACCACGCAGTAGTCGCCTGGCACTTGACTGCCCGAGGATTCTGGGCAAAATACACCAGACTAGGTACAGTAGGTATAGTAATCTATACATACATTCAACGCGGTGAGGGAACAAGGTACAGGCGCTAGCTTGGAAAGAGGTTAGTTAGATGTTGATAAGACTGCAAAACGGCAATACGGCGACTGCCAACTGGAGACTCTGAGGCTGTCCTTCTTCTGTTACCATTCCTTTTCTTGACGGCGTGCCACTATGGATTCACTCAGTCTGGCTGATCAGTGGAGAACTTGGAATCATTGGGTTTGATGTCAATCTCCATGAAGCCCCAACCCTTGCCAACCAAACTTGGCTCTTAACGTTGATTAACACGCACTAGTGAGTAGTGGAGGAGATGGACGTCTCGGTGTCACCGCCCTTTTCCTTTCTGGCTCCGTATTATTAGCGTAGGTACTAGGTCAGTCACCATGGACGGGAGTGAAGGACGGAATAAGCCCGTGGGGAGGTCTTCTGATATCACCGACTCTCCGCACTCCACTACAAAGTAATTTGGTGGGGCTGTCGGCGCTTTTGGGGCGCCTTCTGATACGCTGGGACGGGTTCAGAGGTCAAACAAATCCTCGGTAGGTAGAATCCATGATAATGATTGTAATGATAATGATAATAAACAACTCTGAGAGACCTTATCTCGTCTGTCTATCGATCATCATCATAACCATCATCACCAGACTATGGGTAGGGAGAAACGGGGCTGACGAGCTACTGCAGAGTGCAGACAGTGCAGGGACCACGTGAGGCAGAGAGATCGGCAAGATGCCCCGAACCGCGTCGCCTAGCTCCGGTGTGGATGCATGGGATTCTGCGCTCTCGGGTAATATAATTTCTGACAGGTTCGCTCGTACCTTGGTAGGAATGTACCTGCCAGGTGGAGGTACCTACCCATGTTGTGACCCTTAACGGTCGGACCTTGCGATTCCAGAATAGGAAACCTGCTCATGAGTCCCAATTTCATTCTAGAACTATCAGCCGATTGTCATGCAACTTGATGGGCCGCAGGGCGAACAGGCCGTGGCTTGGCAGGAAACGCTATCAAAGGTCCCAAGGTAGGCAGGCTTCCTAGCGTTGTTACACCATTGCGGGCAAAAAGCACGATCATGGTGGATAGTGTAGCATTATGACCAGCAAGTACCGAGCAAAAAGCAGCTTTGGTAGCGAAGCAAACACCTTTGGTTGGTTGTTTGTTGCTCTCAGGAAGAGTGAGAAGGTAAATTCCAATCCCCCATACCCAGATTAGGTACTATGCGTGTACAGTACATAGACTCAAGGCACGAATACTTAGTCCTTGAAACAAACCTATCCGACTCCATGAGACCGGGTTTTGGTATCCTCCCTGATTCGAGATCGAAGCCTTTTCAACATTAGTAGCATGTACTGTGGTACACGAAGTACCAAGGTAGTGAGTGTATTTGCCTCGTGCCATCCCTCTGGACCTTCGGTGCCTCATTGGCTCCAATGCCATCTTCGAGACATTCCCTCAGCTATCGCGGTTTTCGAAGAACAAACCTGGAAGAAGGCAGAGACAAATTCCGCGGCTGCCGCGTGTGGATCTCTAGATCTAACTGGTACTATTCCGCGTATCAGCGTTGCGCAACCAAGGTCAACCATATTTTGGTCGAGCTGGCAAGCGTGTCAGCACAGACGCCTATTGGCTTCCATGCAATCTGCCATGCATTTGCGAAGGTACCACCTACCTGGAAACCCTAACCCTCCTCATCTTGACCCTCTTGAACAAGCCGTCGAAAGCGCCAAAGATCTCAGCCGACAACTGTCGAGAGTAACAGTAGCATTGCAATGGTGAGCAAGTAGGGAACCCGAATCTAATGAATTGCATTGCCTCAGACAAAAAGCAAAAACAGAACTTCACAGAGGGTCACTCCAAGGTTGGGGTGGTGGGGAGTCGGGGCGGCATCCTCGAATGTGTGATGTGGTGATTCCACTCCCTGATCCGAGCATCCCCGGTCACGCCAATATCTGTCGTATTCGATATCAGATAATTTATTTGATCATGTTTCTCGGGACGATGAGATATTGACCTAATCCACCGTGTCGGTAGGTTAGTGCCTCTCGACAAATGTCACGGTCCTGCGTTTTGTCTGGGGCGGCCAGATCTGCTGGTCTCAGTTCCCAACTTACCCCGGATTTAACGGAGACTCGCGTCCGAATTCGAGTCCGCCAACTCGGGAGCTTTTGCCCGAATTATAACTCCGAAAGCTGTTGGTGGACAACGACATATTCACGCCGGGTCAGACCGGGAGCCTCCCAACCCGTTGTGGCCACCACTATCATTTGCTCGGTCGGACCAAACTTGCTTGACCGACTGCAAGCAACCGGTGAGAACGTGGGGTGAAATCACGGTCAATATCGAGCGAGGGGGCCGTGGTATGGTCCTCTTTCTGGGTCGTCATGTCGCGACGTGGCCAGTGAGCAGCTGCTAAATAGGGCAGACCGTCCTGCATGGCTGCGGCACAGAAGCTGAACATGTTCGAATGCGGATGGCCAGGGGGCTGCGGGCACTCGATTCGCAAGGCGCGGCGCAGCGGACGCGCGCATACATTACCAGGTATCTGGACGAGTGCCCAAGCAACGTTCCGCTGCAGCAGGATGCAATGCGGCCGAGGGGAGCGCGGCAGTTGTTTCGCGCTCTTGCACACGAGCAAAGCGGGCGCGCTGCCACCGCAACCCATGCATGGATCATGCTCTAGTCTCCTTTGACGCATATGTTCGTTCTATGTACCTAGATGGCACATACCTGGATGTATGCATTGCATTCGGGCATCCTCCTCCTTCTACAGATGACGCCCGATGCCGATGTTCTTGCCGATGCAGGGTAGAACTGGAGGGCAGAACCCAAATGGGGGGTTGGGTGTGGTGCCAATGCCACACTGGTGTGGCGTGCGGGAGGGAGTGGGAAGGTTGCATTCTGCAGGGTCGCCAAACCAAACGTTCAGACGTGGGGGTTGGCTCAACCCCAGCGACTTCAAAACACTCTGACTTTTGATCATAAATGATATTTCTTTCAATGATCTCTTAATTGAACTCGGAGAGTGTGCCTGGAGCAACTCTTCAGTCTCAAGTTCGTCTGGCCTGAATTGAGAGAGAGGTTTGTGTTGCGCAATAGCCGCATGAAAATGTGCCGTAATCGCATGAAAAGAAAAGAAAAGAAAAAAGTATGGCAAATGACAAGTCACAACTCCGTCTATCCTGATCCTATGACCCTAAAGCAGTCAATGCCCTCGTTTCGTCACATCATCCGTCGATAGTCTCCAAACCTGTGACATGCCCTGATGGTTATCGTGATTGCCCCAAAGAAAGCGATCGAAGGGCTTCCTCGTCATCGTCCTCCGGTGGAGCGACTTTCAGCCTCTTTGGGTACCTCCGTCTCCAAAAGTCGTCCTCACTCTTATACCCAACAGTGATCTCCTCAGGCGCGTCCTCCTCCTTCCCAGCCCCGCTCTGGCCTGCTCGGGAATCGTCCACGCCCTCAGTAAACACGAGATCGCCACTCTTCCCAAGCGTCTCTCTCGCCGCCTCCTCTAGCAGCACTCCCATGGCCAAGAGCGCGGTCTCGTCCATGCTCCTTTCATCGACCAACCTCGAGCCCACAAAGGAGTCCGACCCCCGCCTCCGGCCCAGGGCCTCGTAAAACCGGCCGGCGTAGGCGTGAACCGACTTCAGCAGGTCACTGTCGGGGAGGGCCCCCCTCCCGTCGTCCGGCAGCCCCTCGTTGGCAAAGTAGATGTCCTTCTCGGCAAAGCGCTCTGGCGCCTTCTTGCGGCGGAAGAGAACTTCCTCCGGCGCAAGGCGTGCTTCCCGTCGCGAGAAGTGCGCCGCGTCGCGTTCTGAATCCTGGGCGTGGTTCCGCCTATTCTGAGATCGTTTTAGAGACTCGGTGGTCTTCACGCGACCTATCCATGGTAGTTAGTGTGGCGCCTTGAGAGCTACCATTGTAGATACGAACCTGCAACGGCATCGTAGAGAGTGGCGAGCCTTCTTGTCTCTTTCTGCTCAGAAGTCTCCGCAGCTGCAATTATGGGCCCTTCATTGTCGGAATAGGCTTCTAATTTCACGCCAGATACCGATCTGCGAGATTTTCGAGTTGACATGATGTCAAGCGAATCTGACAAATATTGAGCAGTGCCAGAAAAGAAGTTCCGGCTAGCCTACAGGGGGGTTTCGAAGATGCAAATTATTATTAAAATCTGTCCATAGAGACCTCATAGTGCACGAGATGAAACCAAAGACAGACCAAAGTCTAGAATTTGAGCATGTGTTAGATAGGTACCTAGTCAGGCTGAGGTTCGAGGGTCTTATGAAGAATACCCAAGGTATGGATATGCAGCTGGAAAGCTTATTCCGTTTGTGGAGCTCTGGCCAACCACGTCATGTGCATCCTATTACCGTTCCATCTTCAGCCTCAAAATATGCCCGGATGTTTAACTGCAACGTACCCGATCCTGGACCCCCTCTTAGACCGCAACTCCGCTTGCGAGAAAGACATACGGCATAATATTCACGGCAGGTCGCGCCTCGTCCTATGTCATATGCGGATGTATGAATCAGCTCCTTTTTGAGCGCTCGACGGGCAACATTGGGGCCAATGTGTTTGCCAAGCTCCAAACCTCGCAGCTCCTACACTCCTTCCGGCCCGCCCCTCGCTTTCGTTTCGATGGCGGGGAGAGAGGTGTGGTCGAAGGTACAGACGATAGTGGCGTAGCAGCCGGCGAGGGGAAGACATCACTTTGGTCTCACCAAGCTGGCGTGAACGCGCTGGCTTTGGAGCGGTTCGATGGGAGGCTGTAAGTCTGGTCGAGTTTCTTATCGTAGTCTAGTCGGCTTGCGATTCTAACCACCTCTCTTTCAACAGTCTAGTCTCAGGCGGCTCAGATGGAACCATCCGTCTCTGGGATCTCGAGCAAAGTGGAAACCCGACACTAGGCCACGCCTACCAACCTGTCTCCCAGATCACCCGCGCCGATGCGCCACCTCCGCCACCACCACGGCCGACATCGACCTCCTCCCGGGGTGTCACATACCCGGCCCGCGCATCCAGCACCGGCGCGCACCGCTTCGGCATCACGCACCTGTCCTTCTACCCCTTCGACAGCGCCGCCTTCCTGTCGTCCTCGTACGACCAGACCCTGAAGCTCTGGGCAACCGACTCGGCGCGCCTCTCGGGCAGCTTCAACCTCTCGGCCAAGGTCTACACGCACGCCATCTCGCCTGTGGCCTCGCACCTACTGGTTGCCTGCGGCACGCAGCACCCCGCCGTGCGCCTCGTCGACCTGCGCTCCGGCGCCGCCGTGCAGAGCCTCGTCGCACCGGGGGCCGGGGGCGGGGCCGCGGGGGCGGTGCTCGCTGTCGCGTGGTCGCCAAGGCACGAGCACGTCCTCGCGTCGGGGACCATCGACGGGGCCGTGCGCATCTGGGACGTTCGGCGGGCGAGCGGCCTGGTTGGCCTGCTGGATCAGGAGGACAGCTTGGGGATGTCGGCCGGCGGACGAGGCGCGGACGGTGCCGGCAATAGGAGCAGCACCGGGTTTGGAGCTCTACGAGAGAGGGGGATCCGCGCGTCGGCGAAGGCGCACGCGGGCCCCGTCAATGGCCTGACGTGGACGGACGACGGCGCCTACATCGTCTCGGCCGGCCACGACCAGCGCATTCGCGTTTGGGACGCTGCCACTGGCGCGAACACGCTCGCCTCCTTCGGGCCGACGATCCGCAACAGCCAGCTCGCCAGCGTCCCCATGTTCGCGACGCCCGTGGGGCTCAGCCCGCCCAAGCGGGAACTGCTTTTCTGGCCCAACGAGACCGAGATCCTTGCCCTGGACCTGCACCGCGGGTCCGTCGTCGCGCGCCTGCGGGGCGTGGGCCCGAGCCTCGCGGCCGTCAGGGCCCGACAGGGCGGCGAGAGGGCGGTCAGGAACCGGGTCACAAGTCTCGTGTGGCGGGCCGCCGGTGGGGGCGGGGGTTCGAGCGGCGTGGTCATGGGCGGGAGCACCGCGGCCGGGGGTATCTACAGCGGGCACCTGGACGGGCAGATCCGGGCGTGGCTGCCCGAGATCGAGGGCGCGGACGAGGAGGACGAGGACAGCACCACCGAGGAGGCCGTCGAGGGGAGGGCCAAGAAGAGGAAGGCTATTGATGATGCTTTTAGGAGCTTGATGGGGAGGCAGATTACGTTTACTTGAGGAGCAAGGCTTGGAATTGAGAGACGTCTATTCCGTACGAAGCTTGCATATATCCGATACCGTCGGGTGTTGTCTACCTAAGTAGCTGATGAGAACAATCAACAATCAACAACGTGACATATCCTGCGGGTGAGGCTGGTCGAGATAATCTACAGCTGGAGAGGTCCCTGATGCTGACCTGCTTGATACTCAGGACAGTTTAACTAACCACTGGCAATTGGAGTCTACAGCGAGGGATTGAGAACCACAGCACACATGACCCGTTTTTTATGTACCTGTGCCTCTCCCTGCCTCCTTGCCTTGCAATTGCCCATTTTATGAAGCAACGCAATTATGAGAATGACGACCCCCTCTGGCTTGTGCCTGGTTCTCAAGCAAGGAGTTGAGCGTCCCTGGTCCCTACACAATAGAACCCTGACGGGAGCTAAGATAGGTGCACATGGAGAAAGGGTCATCGAAACATGGGGGTTAGTGACTGCCAGGGAGGCTGCACAAGTTCATTGGAGGGCAGCAAACGGATAGCACAGACGGAAGAAGCTACGGCCGCATCATGTAGTGCGCTGCGGTAGTACGAACCACACTTACTGAGATCATCCCCGAGACCCGCCCTCCCGCATCCCGCATTCCCGCCTTCCCGCATTATGTACAGTACGCACTCTCGCCAAAAAGATCTACTAGGGCGTGAAGTCGCGAGATGAGGTCCCCCCAACGAATACAACGACACTTGTGTCGGCGATTCCGCGTGACTAGGTAGCTAACAAGGTATGTAGCATGGTGCGCGAGTAGCGTGAAGATAGTCTGGTTACTACGCCGTACGCAGCAGGTTATGCAGTAGGTAAGGCGACTAGCCACCGCTTCATTTTAGCTGTGCTGGCGCTGTAACCGTTGTACTCTTGATACGAAGGATGTGTGCTCGTCTAACATCGTGACAGGCCCGAAGGGGGTCCAGGCTCCTACGCGATTGTCTCCATGCAATCCACCGAGTTGCTCTAGTGTAGTGTAGGGTTACCAGATGCGGTAAGCCGAGCGTGATCATCATCGTCAAAAAAGATGGGAAATTCAATCGAGGACTTGAAAGTGAGATCAGCCCGCCTAGTCCAGGCGGGGGGTTGACGAACTATCAGACTAACCAGGCGCCCGGGTAGGCGCTAATGCTGAGATCCCCGCGCCGGAAGTCAACCCCCTGGTTCCCCGGCGTGCTAACTGCGACTCCTGGGACCTGATCTTTGCCGCATTTCTTCAGCCCTGCAGAGAGCCAGCCTCGAAGCGGCGCCAGGGCCGAATTCTCAAGAGGCTAGTAGTATATGTTACGGCACTAATACGGATACATGTACACTAGTAGGCTGTTACCAAGACGGGAAAGTGAGGTGAAGCGAGGAACTGCTTCTCGAGTCTCACGATCGTAAACCACAGTGTTTATGGAATCGCAAATACGGTCCCACACAGTCCATGCTTGTTTGCAACCACGGTGAGACTTTTAGCCAGGGTTAGGGTCACAGGCCCGCACCGTTATTGCAATACCAGCACCATTGAAGCTACCTACGTGGTAACCGCATATCACCGCCATCAGTGTGCCTCTCAGGGCCGGACGAGATAGATGGCTCCACCGCCAGCTGTGAGCCCCATACCTCATCTCATGAAGATGTAGTTGATTCGTAGCACAGCTGACATCGCTCCAGACTCCGGCGCCGTCCAGGTTCTTGCTATCCAAGCGCCAACCCAGCCAGCCTCAAAACCAGACCCCGAGCCAACTTCCAAGCGGACCACAGCAATTCAATGCCACTCCGCGGTTCTCACTGTCTTCCACGCCTCGCCCTTCATCAAACCTGGTCGGGGCGTTTACCACTCCATCGACCCTTGGCGTGAAGGCGCGATCCTCCAGGACCCACTCGGCCCACGATGTCATAGACAGTTCACCCGAGTCGCCCGACTCACCGGAAAGCTCCTCGCCGGGACCCACCGCCTATCGCGGTTCCCCGGACCCCATCGAGCTCGAGTCTCCCTTTGCATCTCAGTCCTCGCCAGGAGAGCGACGTGAGGGCCCCCCATCTCCGAAACGACGGCGCATCACCATCTCCCCGGAGCTGCTAGAACCAAGCTCGCCGCCGTATCCCGACGACAACCCGCTGACGGCCCGAGGATCCGACACCGACCCCCTGTCAGACCCGTCGGACGACGACCCCGGCCCACCCAGCCCGGACTCCGCCACGCACTACCCTGGCCACCTCAGCACCGGCGCGCACTCCTCACCGCACGACCCTCCCCCGCGAGCGCAACCCGCCGCCACCGCCGCCGCCGCCGCGCACCCGACCTTTCACAGGGCGCCGCGCTTCAGGGCAGCCGAGGCGCCCGCCTCGCGCCCGCAGTACCCGCTCCCGGACGCATTCTCCCCCCAGCGTGGCCGGCGCCGCGGCGGCGGCGCAAAGTACGTTTCCGGCGGCCTGGCCGCCGAGCTGCGCGACTGGCTGGTCGAGGTTAAAGGAGGAGGGGGCGGGGACGCGGACCCGGCCGACGCACCCGTCTCCGCTGCCGTTCTGCCGGTGATCGAGGTCGAGGAGGCGCGCCCGGGTCCCGGGATGTGGTTGGTCCGCGGGTGGCAGCGGGTCCCGGACGGGGAGGGTGGAACGAGGTGCATGGGCGTGCGTGCCATGCTGGCTGGCGAGGGCCGCTTGTCTGGGCTGGGCAGGAGGAATGATGTTGTCGGGGGTTGTGTTGTGCGGGTTTCGCACCCTGTGTGGGAGGTCGAGCTGCGGGATGGTAGGTGGTCTGTCGCTTGTGACTGGCATGTTGTCGAGGAGGATGGTGGCTAGCTTGGGTGGCTTTGCTCTAGGGAGGACCCTGAGTGGATGGAATCTTAACCTGTACATATAGTGCTGGCGGGACTGTGGAAGCATGATCTGGGGCTCTGAATGTTGTCGGGGTGGATTGCGTTGCTTTTCAACACCCGTTGCAAGTATTTCTAATAAGCATCATAGGCGTTATTTTCAGGGCCCAATACATACGAGTATCTCACGACGTTCATTTTATGAATACTTTTCACCAGCCTGATAAGCAAAGGACAGGATGTTTCCCTGTCTTTTCCTCTAGGAGCGGCCTAGATGTCCGGGAACCTATATCATTTATATCGAGTCTCAAGCACAATGGCCGTTCCAGCACTCGTTTCGGTACTGTAAGGCGGTTGGCTCGTCCGGAAAGAATTAGCACGATTCACAAGAGCACAAAATATACTCGCATGCTCAGAGGCCGCGTGACGTTGGGGCTCGGGAGGAGGGGCAGAGAGTGTTCTGGCGGAGAATTACCACCTCTGGACGATCAACTTAATTCACCTATTGTAGTCCATTTTGGCTCAAGGACGAAATTCATGTCTCCAGATAGAATGTGTCGCCATGGATTGGTGTCAGAGACGTGCTGTGTGCGCATATGTTATGTTAGATCCCTCTTGTACCAGTTTCTTCTGGAAGAGGAAGAGGGAGTAGCACCTCCAGGCATATCACTACCGCAGCTGAAAGGCTTATATAGACTCCAAAAGGCACAACTGTTGGCGTGGTCATGGGGTTTCCCTTAGCCCGTGTCTCCCGACCAGTGCGCCGGATATACGACCGCCCTCTAGACATGCATCCTCGCCCTAGATACCAAGGGACGAGACTGCACTCTGTATAGAAATCACCCGGGCTAAGGGAGGCCTTCAGGTTTACTACGGTGGTGTTTGACAGAGCTACTTTTGTGGGTTAGCGTCTCCTGAGTATTCTCCTATAGAGACCTCTTAGCAAACTGGGCCAGTCCAGGCGCCTGCCTCTCCGATAAATGACAGCGGCATGTCACCGAAGAGGCCGTAGCCTCAAACTTGAAGTAGTATGCGTTTTGCCAGCATGACTTTCCGACTCTCTTTGATGAGACCAGACGGTTGTGCAATAGTGATGAGTGTCCCCTGCTATTTACTTGGGCCACTCTAGGTGGTTACAAGCTTTGCCCAATATATAATGCACATAGACATAACCGATCTGGGGGACATGCCTTTGACCCGGCCTATACACTGGGGAACATGGGCTAACCAAACTGAATGAGAAGAGATTCGCCTGAGAAGGGGGCTTGATACTACCCCACACACAGGACTGAGTTCGATGAGTTCGCGAAGAGAACTGAAACAAGCGCTTCCTCCGGACCGCTTTCACAATAATAAATAATTCTTATATACACATAGGCAAGGAGATCAATTATGAGACTAGATACGGCATTGAGAAAATAGCCTGTCGTGAGGAGAGGACGCAGCTCCATAGGGGTAGTAAATATGTAACAAAAGCAACCTCAACCCCGCTTAATGGAATATACACGTATTGCCTCGCGTCAAACCTGCGCAACAATTGCATAGCACTTGAACCTCCCATCAACATTAGTATCTTGAAAACGGCAAAACTTGGAACTTTCCTACATCTTTTGCTGGATTGTAATCATTACCCCCTAGCTCATTAGGTTTCCTTTACGCTGACTGTCCACCAAATTTAAATTTCGACAACGATTTTTCAGGAAAGAAGCCTGTAGACAATGGTGAAGCTGAGGTAGTACCTCAGTCTTAGGCTGTCACAATGCTCAGATACTTGGCCAGACCGTCGTTACTGCGACTGAATGGCCGATGGTCAGCCCAATGGAGATACAGAAGTACCATTGCCAAGAAAGTCTCCGACCCTCTCCGCATTCTGTTCTGCGGCTCGGACGACTTCAGCAGCGTCTCACTGAAGGCTCTCCACGAGGAGAAGGAGCGCAACCAGGACCTGATCAGGTCCATTGACGTCGTTGTCCGGCCCCCAAAGCCAACCGGCCGAGGGAACAAAATCATCCGTCATGGTGAGAACCCTCCCACCTTGCCTCAGAGGCTCCGTTTCTGACGCAAATCCCCAGTGCCACTACAAGGCCTAGCCGAGCAGCTCGGGCTCACCATCCACGAGCGCGACACCTTCACAGGGTGGCACCCCCCCCAACCAGGCGGCGAGCCCATCAACCTCATCATCGCCGTATCATTCGGCCTCTTCGTCCCTCGCCGCCTCCTCAGCGCAGCCCGCTACGGCGGCCTCAACGTGCACCCGTCCCTCTTACCCGACTTGCGCGGCCCAGCCCCGCTCCAGCACGCCCTCCTCGCCGGCCTCGCCCGCACCGGCGTCTCCCTGCAGACGCTCTCCGACGAGGCCTTCGACGCGGGCCTCGTCCTCGCCCAGACCCCTCTCCCCGGCGTCCCCGTCCCCGTCGACTGCACCGTCGCCCGCCTGGGCCAGATGCTCGCCCCGCTCGGCGCCGAGATGCTAGTGCGCGCCCTGCGCGACGGCCTGCACGTCCCGCCCCCCGAACCCGCCGGCTGGATCCCCGGCCCCGAGGACCGCGCCCGCCTGCGTCATGCCCCGAAGATCACCACCGCCGACAGGCGCGTCGACTGGGCCGGCGGCGGCGGCGGCGCCGAGCTGGCCGCACGGGCGAGGGTGCTGGGCCCGCTCTGGGGGCGGGCGCTGCACCGCGGCGATGGGGATGGCGGCGAGGAGAGGCGGCTCATCCTGGAGGGCGTGGAGGTCGCGCCAAGGGAGCAGTGGCCGGAGGGGATGGTGCGGCTACTGAGGGCCGCGGCGGAGGCCCGCGACGGGGCAGCCGAGAACGGCGGCACGGAGGTGGATGTGGATGCTGCGGGGCCGGATCTGGGGGTCGTCACCTGGGTCCAGGATGCCGCCGGTGAAGGCAACGGCACCGGCACCAGCACGCGATACGTCGATATCCCGTATTTCCCGGACGGCGAGACCATCATCGTCCCGGCGGCCCGGGGCGGGTGTGTCAGAATACACAGCATCAAGGTCGAGGGCGAAAAGTCTCGCCCCGCTGCGACAGCTATCGGGGCTTTCTCTAAGAAACACACCGGCCGTGGTGCAGGGCCTTGGGATTCGATTTGGCAAGCGCTTCCTGGCGCCGATGCCCTCACGCTCCCAATCGAGGCTGGCTTAAAGCATCTACTGCCGTGATCTAACAACTAGATGGGTGCGTAATACGGACACCACTGCGGTCACCGTTATCCTGACTTACACCCTGGCTGTACAGGCACACCCCTTTCACTCGGAATCACTTGCCGAGTTGATACCCTCCATGAACTAGTTTCATTCCCCTATCAAGTGGCACTTGGCCTAGAAATTGTCAAGTAGTGTACAAACGGCTTTTGCTTCTTCTGTAAGAAAATCACTCGCAGAGAGCAAGCACGCTATTATGAGCTATGAGAGAGCCAAATAGAAGGCATCCCGGCTGGGATATCCGGCTGGAGATGCATTCCGCCAAATCAATTGGATCCTGCTTATGAGTGCAGGGGACTGTCTCGTCATGTTTAGATGACGTCTTTTAGACGTCCTTGGTGACCTTCTCCTCTTCCACCGAGACACTGGAGGAAGTGTCCGTCTTAGCCAGCTCCTCATCCGGGCCGTGGATGCTCTCTTCGAAGACGGGCTCGGGCTCGTTGACGTCAAATTTGGTCTTGAAGTCGTTCAGGCTATTGGGGAAGCTAAGGCTGTTCGAGCGGCGACGAGCGTTGGTGAAGTTGAAGTCCTCGTCATGGGCCTCTTCACCTACGTTTCCCCTAAGTTGCTGTTAGAATCTTGATAGCCCCATGATATGGAAGCTTGACAGCGAGGGTATCTTACCAATTGCCTCTCCCAGCGCCATTCTTCTTGGTCTTCTTGGGGTCGACGTCAACGTACCCGCTCTTGGCGAAGAAACGAGGCAGGTGCTCCTGGGGAGCGGCGGTGCCGTCAGCGAGACCAGAGTGGTCCTTGTCGTTGAACTTGTGGGAGCGAGTCACTGGAGACAGGACACGCTCGTCAGCACCCGATGATAGATAAGGTCGATGCTGGAATTAGATGAGGACACTTACTGATGATGGATCGGCGATGAATTGGTTGAGAATATGGGATGAAAAGAGGGGGTTGCTGGCTTTTAAGGTTAGCATCACACGTAGGGAGGTGTAGGTTGGTGCGGGGTCACAAGCTCGAGGAGCCTAGTCGACCTTCGAAGAAGGAGCCATTGGGAATTGACATCTTACATCAAGAGCACACGTATGTGATGGATACCAGACGCTGGGAAGAGAGTGTTATGGAAGGAGACTCGTCTGATGATATGAAGGAGGGAAAAGGATTGGGAGGTGGATGGAAGTGTGGTTCCTTGGTTTGATGTCGTGAGAGATGATGTTCAGGAGGAGAGATTCAGATTGTTGGGGGAGCTGTGGAACCTTTTAAAGGGGACTGGAAGGCGCTCTTGTACCAGCCATTGAATAGGTAGGTGGCCAGGGATACATAGCTCTGATGAGCAAGAGGCCAGGGTGGGCAAGTGAAGCCAAGCGGAGGCACGAGGGAGAGCAGTCGCGTGACCTGACGCAACTGGGCATGACTCTGAGCTGACCACATTGGTACGGGAGGAGGCAGGGACTAATGCAATAGGCAGAGCTCTGCCCCGAGACATGACACAATCCGTGTAACCAACAGCGAGCTCCATTGATTTACTGCAGCGTACTATATCTCTGCTTTCCAATTGAGGCATTACTCTGTCACTTTTGTGCTCTCTTGTTGCTGGCATACGGATAGATGTTGGAGAGCTTCTAGCCTGCTTGAATTGGCCATCTGGCCACCTCCCCCCGGCTGTGACCGGGGCTGAGCAGACGACCTCAGTTGCGTGTGACATCAGTTGGCCCCACCCGCTCCCTTGTCTCAGGTACCTCTTGGGGTCCCAAGTAATGCGGGGTGCGCCTCGCCTCTACTGCTGGTCTGGCGTACACGACACATAACTGGCCACATCTAACGCCGTTCTTGTAGCGCTGTTTCCAGCCCCTTCCACCCCACCCATCAGCAGGACAACTGCCGACCCAACTCAAGGTGAGCCCGTCACTTCACCGGGTGGAATTCACATCTAGCATTCATTCAGCATTGTCAGTTATTACAAGGCAATAGCCTCTGAACGACCTTCCTAGGCAACTACCTGGCCGATAACTACCCGGTGGGTACGTACCTTGTAGAATGTGTCCATCTTTAAGTTTATCTTATGGGGACGTGGCGAAGCCAATCACTCTTATCAATGCATCAAACCCCTCTCCAAGACTCGTCACGTGGCACTCTCGATCGAAAGGCCCAGAAGGTACTGCACGGAAGGACATCCCGGCGAACAATCAACCTCTTCCTCAACTTATCCGGGGGCGACTCTCCTAGGATCCGTCTCCGTTCCCCCTAGGAGATGCAAGATCTAAGACTAGACCTATTTCGCCTTCCGTCGTGAGCTTGGCTACTTATACCAACTTCATTACTAATCCCTTTGCTCCCTGCCACCGGTATCGGCCTTGGACTAAGCCGATGCGTAATCCGTAAAGCACGAATCTTGGATATCTTATCTTTCTGCCTGTGGGGCAGCCTCTTCTTGCTGAAAAATCACATCCTAAAAAAGCCCAACTGCCAACTTTCAACTTCTCACGCGGGGCATCTCTGACCACCGGAGCATGACGCCAGGCCCGACCTGAATTTTCGACGAGTCCAGCGCCAAATCCCAAGCCGTCAACCCACCGCCGCCGCCATGTCTCCCTCAACCATCACCCTCGATCTGACCCCCGACTTCGACCCCGCCACCCGCCCATCCAAGCAATCCCACTTCCAATCCCATCCCCGCCAGAATGGCAGCACCACAGCACCACCCGGCGGGCGCACCCTCCTTCTCGCACCTCCCTCCGTCGCCGCCCACGAGGAGCGCCTCCGGTCCGTCTTCGCCACCTTCGACCGCTCCACCACCGACCTCCAGATGCTGGACCGCCTCTCCGCCGGCCTCGTGACCCTCCCCCCCGCGACCTACGACCTAGTCCTCATCCTCACCGGCGTCGACGGCGGCCGCCACGCCGAGGCGTCCCGCCTCCTCGCCACCCGCGACGTCTTCTCCCGCCTCGTCCCCTCCATCCGGCCCGGCGGCAGGCTGCGCAGCGAGGACGGCAGTCTGGGCGGCGGCGGAGCCGAAACCAGGGAGGCCGTGCTGGCGGGCCTGGTGGCCGCGGCGGACGGCGGCTTCACCAAGCCCGAGTACGCCGAGGAGGTCGTGCCGCTGCGGTTCGGCGCGAAGAAGAAGAACGGCACGGCGACTCCGGCTGCGGCTGCGGCGCCCCAAAGAAGCTCCGCCGGCCCTCCCGTCGGGAGCGTCACGGTAGATGTTGGTGGGAAGTCACACACGCTGGACATGGTGCCTCCCGCGGCGAAGCCTGCTGGTGTTGGTTTTGTGGACTTTAGCGATGACTTCGACATGGATGATTACGACGAGGATGACGATGACGACGATGACTTGATCGACGAGGATACCCTTCTTGGATTGGATGACCTGAAGAGGCCGATCCAGCAACGTGAGTTCCTCCGCCCCCCCGGCTAGCTAGCCTTGCTGCTGGCGTAAAGCTCGCCCCACTAACTAACATCCTCCTCTCCAGCACCCGAATGCCAGCCGAAGCCCGGACAGAAGCGGAGATCCTGTAAGAACTGCACGTGCGGCCTATCAGAGAGACTCGAGGCAAAGGACAAGGCCCGGCGTGAGAAGGCAGACAAGGACTTGAAGACACTGAAGCTGGCGTCGGACGATCTGAACGAGATGGACTTTACGGTAAAGGGTACTACAGGATCGTGCGGGTCATGCTCGTTGGGAGACGCTTTCCGCTGTGCCGACTGCCCCTACATCGGGCTGCCGCCTTTTAACCCGGGCGACAAGGTTGAGATTCTGAACAACATTGCGCAGTTGTAGAAGGGGGCGGGACACGATAGATTTTTGCTTGGCGACTCTGGTTGAATTTCATGGATGGGTTAAAAGACACGGATTCCTCGGGGGCATATCTCGGGGTTATGAGGGAGGCATCACGTTTTACAAGCAAAAGAACCATTAGGGGCCAGGAGGCCGCCTGCTCTGAACAATGATTCCAGAGTTGACATGACCTGGAATTACCACGTATAACCGCTGGAACGTGGCCGTTTTTGCATGACGAAAATATAACCGCATACAAGAAACGGATGTGTTCCAAATAATCCAATAATTGCCCTGCTAGAAATGCCCCTTTACGCCATTGCCCCGTGCCCAATTTGTCTAAAACCCCCAAAACAAGGAGCAAAATCAAACTCAAGATTGCCCTTTGCTAGGCTGCCCATTGCCATGACTCTTTTCGGGCTCGGGCTCGGGCTCGGGCTCGGGCTCCTCGTCATCGCTGGCACCACCGACGCTGTAGTGATCCCGATGGTGCTCGTCGATCGGCGTGTCGACGTGCAGATCGTCCAGCTCGCTCTCGTCGAAAGCACCAGCCTCGATGTCCCGGTTGAGCCTCTTGTTGCGGAAATTCTGCAGCCCGGTCCGCCGGTGTCCCTCGCTGGTGGCTGCGAGATTGGCGCTGCTACCGTTCTCCCCGCCAGCCAGCCCCTGGTAACCGGTCCTCCGGCGGCGATCCCTCCATACGAAGTAGCCCCACGCGGCTGCACCGATGACGACGACGACGAGGACGATCTCGCCCGACTTCTGGTAGGCCTGCCACTTGGCCGCGTTGAGCTTGGCCTTCTCTGCCTCCTGCGCGTCCGTGCCGTTGCCTGCCGCTCCGCCGACGGTCGTCTCGGGGCCCTTCTCGCCGTCCAGCCGGCTGTCGGTCGGCGCGCCGCCGATGCTGCTGATGTCGACGCCCATGAAGCGGTCTAGCATGTCCCGGGTTCGTCTCGGGTGGTCGAACGGGACCATGTGGCTGCTCTCGTAGAAGAGGACGTATGTCAGGTTGCGCGCCTCCTGCCAGAAGCCAGCAGCCTCGCCCTCGAACGTCCAGTCTCGTCGGGGAGCCCAGGTGCCGGGAGATATTTCAAAGCCCTTGCCGTTATTCCACTCCATGTTGCTAATCAGTGCCTCCGTGCCAAGATGGTTGCAGATCAGGTCCTCGGAGCCCGAGAAGAGTAGCACGGGCACCTCCTTCAGTATGTCGGGCAGGAAGACGATGGAGGGGTCCGAGTTCGAGGCGCGGAAGTGGGAACCCACTGCACCGCTGCACTCGGTCCAGCCAGTGCTCTTATTGGGGCTGATATGGAGCGCATCAACGACCTCCTTGCGGCGCAGATAGGGTGTGACGTAGCCGAGATCCGGAGGCCAGTTCATGCCGCAGGCGGGGAAGACATCCTTCAGGCGGATGTCGTACATGTTGACGCATTCCTGCACGCCGTCCGAATTGATAGTTTTCGTCTGCCCTAGTATCTCTTGCAGGATGGACTCGCAAGATGTTGTAGAAACGCGCTGCTTCCCGACAGCTAGGTCTTTCACGCATATGCGGTGCTGGATTTCGAGGTTGTTGGCAATAGTGCTACCCTTCTTAACCAGGCCCTTGTCATAGGCAAACTGGAGGTACGCGTCGTACTGCTCAGGGGGCGAGATCCAGCCATTCCCAATCAGCAAGCCCCTCAGGTTCCACTTATCCTGTGCACCCAGGTCTTTGTTGCGCGCGAGAATGTGCTTGGCGATATAGGGGATGTGCTGGCCGGCATACGACTCTCCAGCAATGTAGAGCTGGGCCAGACGGTCAGCATGGTTCTTGAAAACGGGGTTTGGGGGGTCAAGCTCACGTCGTCACGTTGATACTCTGGGAAGAGCGCGAACCACTTCTCCAGGAAGATCATGAACTGGTCTGCCATTTCGTCCAGCTCTCGGACGTAATTCTTGGGATCGGTGTCGACATAACTGTATCCGGTGCCGACCGGGTTATCGACGAACAAGACATTCGCAAACTCGTTCCACGAGCCATCGTTATATTCGAGCGTACGTTCGTCCTTCAGCCGGTAGGGGCCAATCTCCATCAATGCACCATCTTCGGAGCTGCAGCCGGGGCCACCATTCAACCAGATGACGGTCCTTTGCTTGTTCGCAATATGCTTGTTCTGGAAATGCCAAAAGAAGAGATTTCCGTTGTTTTCCGGCGTGACTTCGATGTGGCTATGAAGCGCAAGACTGTGTTAGCTTGGGTTACCGCACATTTGGTTCAGGAGATATCATACCCAGCGTGCATCTTGATCAGGGGACCTTCCGGGGCGCCTGGAAGGGACCGGACGAAGTAGTCACCGGCAGACGCGGCATTGGCTGGTGCTGCGCAAAACAGAGCAAAAGCAGCGATGACGGCCGGTAACCGTCTCCAGCCCGAGAGGCTCGGAAGAACGGCCATGCTCCCAGATCGCGTGGGTACAGTCACTGACCCAGCGGCGCAAAGGACATGAAAAAAGAAAAGAGGAGAACTAAGTAAGCGACGGCCCCGAATCGATGGTAGTCATGTGGAAGTAAGGGCAGTCGCGAAAAGGAATCGGCTTCAAGAGTGGATCGAATTGAGAGATGAGAGATAGAGATGTGTCCTCGAACAGCTTACGCATACGATCAAGATTGATTGATTGTCTGTCTGGCGGTTAGGGTGAGTGGGGCTATTTAGCCTTGGCGGCATATCATGGACCCGTGGCGTGCATAATCCGTGCGCAATAACGGAATGCGCCTTCTGTTATTAGTGGTTTCCATCCGCCACAATAACGGATTCATCTTGCATTTTATTGTTACCCGGATCTGGAAAGTTGCTCGCAGTCATAGCTAAGGATACCTGGATCTGAGAGGTCAATATTGCTCAGGATGAAAACGTCAATGGTCCTTTATGTGACCATATGCACCTAAATAGTACATTTTAGCAAGGTATCATTAGGTCCGGATCGGACCTGCAGCCATATACCTCCCGCTCCGAACTGATACCGTCCCGCACCGCACCGCCGATTGTTGAAAATTTGAGTTTGCCCCGATTCCGTACTGAACAGCCACCACTTACGCAGTGCCCGTCCTCGGTTGAAGATTGCTTCCCCGCGATACTCAATTTCACAGTTCGGCTCGAGATCTGGCTGCTTCGACTAGCATTCTTCCAGCATGAGTTCTTTCAGTGGCAAAACATTCATTGTTGAGCATCTTGACGAAGAGCTCGGGCCATGGTCAGAGCTGGAGTATCTCACCATTGCTCAAGAAACGCAGGATTCTCACGGGCAGTTTTTCCTAACTTCTTTGCCGCCGGCCCTCAAGCTGCCTGAGGGCCTGACAAGGCTTCATGCCTTCCGTCCCGAGACAAGGGGGGTTGAAGAGATCTATGCCCAAGATAAGACGAGGGTGTGCCTCTTGGACCCTTCCGCATCAAAAGATCTATCCCCCGAGGACGGGGCGGCCTTTGATGTTTTCCTCTTCGGAGGAATACTGGGTAAGTCGTGACCTGTTTGGTCAACTCAAGTTGCACATGTTTAACCGGTAGTAGGCGACGACCCTCCTAGAGGTGATTAAGATTACCCTGTTGTTCTCGGTGGCCAATGATTTAGGACAGAGCCTGAACTTCTAGCTAGATCGAACCTCGGAACTCAGAAAGAAAGGCTTTGAGGGCCGCCGTCTTGGCTCGAAGCAGATGACGACGGATACGGCAGTGCGAGTCACACGTCTGGTTGTCGAGGGAAAAGGTGCGTTTCGTGTCGTGGATAATGCATCACTCTTGTTCTGACAACATCGACTAGTTCCCTTGCCAGATATTCCTTACGTAGACTTTCCAGAGTTGCGATTCAATGAGCATGAGAGTACCCAGATGCCTTTCCGCTACGTGATAGACGCAGAGGGAAACCCCATCATGCCAAAGGTTTGTTGATCACGGCTTCGAGGGACTTCCACGCTGACATTGGGATCTAGGGTATGGTGGAATTGATCAAGAAAGACGCTGACAAGGCGATCGATGATCTCTTTTGAATGGAACTAAGTGCTCGTTGGATACGCCATTCTGAGGACGAAGCCAGAAGAATCGACCGACTCTCAATCTATCGCGTGGGACTGGAAAAATATATCTGGCTTGCTTTACTCTGGCTTCGTGAGCCGCTCGTGTGCTCTTATCTTATCAACCCCGCTTCGAGAGTATATATCTCACGCCATGACTCGGTAGCAAGTATACGTCGTTGGGCCATATCTCGTCAAAAGACTAAGATTGTACGTGCTTCCTTGGGATAGTCCGGCGTTGAAAACAGCCGAAGAGAGAAGCCATCTAGCAAAGTATCATAATGGCGCAATCTCAACCCCCAGTCCTCGATCTGCAGCCCCCACTCCTGAACTCGGCCAACCCTTGGGCAACTACGTTAGAGGACTTACGAGCCTTGTATTATTGTACTTCAACTGGCGCCGTCACAACGAGGACCTCGCTCATCCAAGGCTTCGCCCATGATTCCGCCATACACCAGCACCTTTTCTTCACCACTGGACACCACAGCGTTGCCAGAGACCGTGACCTTCTCAGTGGACCGGAGAACGCAAGCCTAAACACGCTGGGGTACAGTCCCATCTCCCTGGATGGCTACCTGGGATTTATTAGGACGATAGCCAGCTCGCAATCCCCAGCCCCTCCCCCAGGCAAATACTTCATCATCTCTGTCACCGGCAGCCCAGAAGAAGTAGCCGAGTGCTACAAGGTCATCGCCTCCGCTAAGCGCGACATCCCCACCCCCCTCGCAGTGGAGATCAACCTCAGTTGCCCTAACATCCCGGGCGCCCCGCCGCCGGCTTACTCGGGGATGGCCCTGGCAAAGTATCTTACCGTCCTGAGCAGCCTGATCGCCTCCAACCCCGACCTCCCCCGCCTGCCCTTCGGGCTCAAGACGCCCCCGTACACGCACGCCGCCGAGTATCAGACCCTCATCGACGCCCTGCTGGACTCAACCGCCGGCGGTGCGGAGGGCACCAGCCCCCTGAGCTTCATCACGGCGACCAACACGCTCGGCTCGTGCCTCGTCCTCAGCTCCGGTGATGGTGGTGGCGACGATCCGGCCTCGCCGACGCCCTCACTCCCTGGTGCCGGCATCGGCGGCATGGCCGGGGCGCCGCTCCATCCGCTGGCCCTGGGGAACGTGGCGACGATCAGGCGCATGCTGGACGAGCACCCCGGGGCGCTGGGCCACGTGCGGGTCGTCGGCGTCGGCGGGGTGCTCGATGCCGGCGGCTACCGGCGGATGAGGGCAGCTGGGGCGGCGGCGGTCGGTGTTGGGACGGGACTGGGACTGAGGGGTGTTGGTATCTTTAGGGAGATCGAAAGAGGGTTGGGAGGCAAGTGGAAGTAGGGAGGGTCATCGGTGGAGGTGGGAAAGGGGGGGGAAAGGGGGTAAAGGGGGGTTCCTGTATGACGATGACTTAGCGAGAGGGCTGAGAGGGAGAGCCTATTTGTTCCTTCGGCGTAATGGCCCTACCCATCCGGCCCCTTCGGAGTCCGACTCCGTAGGATTTGTAGGACAGTTGACCAAGTTGACATTGAAAAAGATCGTCGTTGCATGATTCACTGTGCTAAATATGCCGCCGGGCATAAGCAACTTGGGTTGGGCTCGGCGGGTGCCCTTGAAACCAACGATCCAACATCATCCCAGGCTTGGAATCAAGGGCTCTGAACGATGGGTTCCGGCTTCGTAAAACGAGCGAGGTGGTGGAAGTCTTTGCTGTACCTCAGGACCCCTATACGTCGTTTTCCCGCTTGCCAGTTCACCATTCAAGGCAGCAGGGTTGAGTCCCTGTTCGGAGGATAGGCATGGTGAGGATGATGAGTGTGTACCAAAGAGGCAACTCATCGGTCTTCGACCTTCTGATCTTCTTCCACGAGGAAGAGAGATGCTCCGCGGCTTGCCCCAGCGTCTCTATCCACCAATGCTATTCACAGGAATCTCCTCTGCTTGGCTTGCGCAACTGATTAGTACGTGTTGCAGCGTTCACTCGGCCCAATCAGTGGAGCTGAAGACAATGTACCTTATCTGTTGTCATCTATTTGGTCGTATTCCGGTGATAACCCGCGCCAGCGTCAGTCGCCTATGGGCTGAGCCGTTTGGCGGAGCAAGTGTTTGTAGGCTACGAATAGGGGCCAGGACGGAAGCCGAATGGCGAGGCAGATACTTCGGGTACCTGGGCAAGATTACTCTCCCGTTGATAGGCACGGAGAATTATATTAGTCTATTGCGTAGTGAGGTCGTTACATAGTATGTCTCCATCTTCAGTTATGATAGGAATGCGTATACTTCGTAATGAGGCCACAAGATAGCTACACAGTAGGAACCTAGGGAGGTCCGCCCCTATATGCTACGAAGAACAGAGCTGATAGCAATCGCAGATAGGGGCTGGGAATATATCGGGCGTGTTCTCACCCCGTTCGACTGTACCTACGAAGGTACCTACAGGACCTACACGGATGAGAATCGAAAAAAGCATTTCCACGGATTCCAGCAAGGAGCCTCGGGACGTAGTTTGAAGTCGGAGAAAAAGCTTGCGTCTACGCTGTAGCTTCTGCTTTCTGCATAGGTGGGCCGGTGTCAAGAGTGTTCAGAAGACTGCTATTGGTGGACAATTACTGCACCGGAACTACAGAAATGGGGAAATGCGGCAGCCGTGGCTGTGGGCCCCGAAAGTGGCGCCAACTTGCCCTGGTAGCCGCATCGTTGGCCCCACCATAAGCCAGCCCTCCCCACAATGCGCAGTGGCCTCAACACCCGAATGCCTCCATTGGCTGCGCTATTGGACTTGAGAAAACCAAATGATTGGCAATAACCTTGGGGTTGAAAGGTGAAGTCGAAACGAAACGAAACCCCGACCATTCCGGGCCGGTCAGGATGATAGAACCCTGCTTGCCTACTATGTAGCTGTACTTACTGTGTACTATGTAGGACTGTAGGTAAGTTGGTCGCTGACGAGCTCGGGTGGTTTTGGCCCATTTGGGGAGATCCACCAAGCTGGGCATCCCCGCAGATCCCCATGTCGTTCTGTACCTAGGCAGGTACCTCGCTGTGGAGCCAGCCTCCCTGTCCCTCAGGACTTTTTCCCTCCACTTACAGGCGTCTAGCGGGCCCAGTCCCACTCCAGAATTCTGGCCTGCCTTGCCTCTAAGCTCTTCTCAGGGATCACCACTATTCCACCCATTCAACTGCTTTGCTGGCTGACGGCAAAACGAAACATCGGCGAAATAAAGCGGCTAGCCTTGGCATTGCGACCGCGTAGCTATGCGGATGCTCCAGACCCTTTGCGCCTGATCGCCTCTTTCTCTTCTAGCGGGCAATGCCTTTTTGTTACTTGAGCCTCCAACCCTTTCTCGATGCTGCAGCTGTTCCCCATGAAATCGGTACTTCGGCCTGTAGCCGCTTCTGCTTAAAGTTATGCTCTGAACCTCCCCCGCGTCGCCCTTGCCGCCGCGACCCGTAACGGCTTCGAGCCTCTGCTGCCAGAGCGGTTCCGAGCTCTGACTAGTCAAGGAGGGAACATCGCATCGAGGTAGGTTGAGCAGAGGTACATACTTCTTTCCCGTCCCTAACGCAACCTTCGGCCACCCACGCTTTGTCGATCGCATCCGCAACTCTCGGAACCCAATCGCAAGGATTCAGCCGTCGCAGGCACCTCACGACGAACCCCCCACTGAGCGACCCGGAAAACGCATATACCTGACACAAATACCCACGACCTGGCCACACACGTGCACTCGCATCCTCCCTGGCTGACAGCCTCTTGCGTCTTCGTCCCCTTTGCGAGCCCAGCAACTACCTATAATCGACAAGCCTGCAAAAGTTGGCGTGCCGTGGCCGGCAGTCCCAACAACCTCACTGACCCGACTTGATTTTGCCATGCCGGCTGAGTCTTTCGCAAAACAGTTTACATTATCGGATCCGGGGTATCGGGCGAGATCAGCGCACGCGACAGGTTGGTGGAGGGGAGAAGACAATCTCGCAGACTGAGGGATCTTAGTTGGACGACACCGCTTTGCACAGCCCTCGGCTTCCCAGACCGCAACGGAATCATGGCCACGGTACAGCAGCACCAGCCGGTCCCCACACCGGCTCGGCCCAAGAGCATGAATGGCGGCTCCCACGATGTGGATATCAGCACGGACGGCGCCGCCCTGCAAGTAGCCTCGAGGAGCGCATTTGGAAGCGGACCACGAAGAGGAGATACCAGGGTGGTGGTTATTATGTACGGCCCGGGCCAGGACAAGATCGTATCGGTCTTCGCCGAAGTACTGGGGAAGCAATCTCGGTTGAGGACTGGCTTCAACGACGTTACTCCTGCCGACAGGGAATCTGTTGTTGGGATTCTTGCGGACAACGCAAAAGCCGACATTGCCTCGCGGAATCAGGGGTTGGTCGTGGCGATCAATGCCCATTGTGTTAACTTGGGGATGCCTCCAGACGTCTTCCTCTCTGCCCAGTGCGACTACGAGTTCTTGTATACGGAAACCCCCTTCTTTCGACGGGATTTGTCACGATTCATCTCACATACCCTGGGACAGCTCAATCATCATGAGACTCTGATGGCGAAGCCCAGGACCTATTTCATTTCCACCACGTTCCCGGATGTCCGTGCGGCTCTGCCCAATCTGGACATACTCACTGTTGGCGCCGACGCCGTGGAGATCCGGGTCGATTTCCTCAAAGAACCGTTAGGGGATGGAACATTTTCCGCAGTGCCCAGCCTGAGCTATATCGGCGAGCAGGTGATGCTTCTACGCCAGAAGACCGAGCTGCCCATCATCTTCACCACGAGATGCACAAGAGAAAATGGCCGGTTCCCAATGGAGAATCCGGACCTCTACTTCGACTACTTGTACCGCGCGATCCAGTGGGGTGTCGAGTACATCGATGTCGAACTCTGGCTGCCAGAAGCGATAAGAAAGAGGCTCTACGAGAAGCGCGGGAACAGTCGCATCATGTCGGCTTTCCACGATTTCTCTGGGACTTTCAAATGGCTATCCAAGCAGGCCGAATTGGTGTTCTTGGAGTCACAACAGTATGCCGACATCGTCAAGATGATTGCAATCATCAACGACCACAACGAGAATTTCGAACTGGAATACTTCCGTTCTAAAATCCGGGCAGAATTTCCCAACTCGCCACCGTTGTCGGCCGTGAACATGGGCGAGGCCGGGCAGTTTTCCCGCACCCTCAACCGAGTGTTCACCCCCATCACCCACCCGCTGCTTCCCGTCATCGCTGCGCCTGGCCAAATGAGTGCGGCAGAGATAAACCAAGCGCTTGCTCTCCTTGGCCAGCTGCCCAAGAAAAGCATATATGGGATCGCCAGTCCGTCATCACATGGCACAAGCCCGCAAGCCCCCTTCTATGAGAAATGCTTCAATGAGCTCGGCCTGCCTCATCACTTCGCTGTCGTCGAAAGACAGTCGAGAAACTCGGGGTGTATGGAGGCCTGGTGCAACCAGAGGAACTTTGGCGGTGCTTACCTCAACCCTCCCGTCTCGTTTAACAGCCTCGTTGGGAACAGCTCTTTCTTTCCATCTGTAAACAATGGAACTGGCCCGATACTTAGCGAGGCCGCACAAGTTATTGGGATGGTCGACACCATCGTGGTGCGGTCGGGCTCGTTGGGTTCCACCTCGTCGGCTCCACCGTCAATACCCTCGAGCCCTCGACATCACCATAATGGCGACTCCTTTGGTGCATATGGGCCAACACAATCCGGCCTTCCGCCGAACACTTCGCTCATCTTCGAGAATGCCTCGTGGCGGGGAATCCTAAGCACTCTGACCAGGGACCTCGCCCCTTCGGCGTATTTCGGCCGGGCAGCTGTTGTCCTCGCATCCTCGTCCGACGATGCAGCAAGTGTCATCTATGCTCTCAAAGCTCTGAAGGTTGGCAAGATCTACACCGTCGGTTTCAGGACGCCGGCCTCTCTCGCCCGCGACTTGCCCATTGAACCCTTTAACAGTCTCGAAAGCCTCCAGCGGGCCCGGATGGTTGGCTCGACGAACAGTGATGACGGTGGCGGAACGGGGGCTCCGTTCGTCATCGTGAGTGCTCTCGGCCCCGAGAAGAGCAACCTCGTCGGTATGCTCGTTCGGGTCTTCGGCTCGAGAGGCTCGGGCTATAAAGGGAAGGTGTTTCTGGATCTTGCGGATGGGAATGTGCCTCGCAGAGGCGACCCCGGCATCATTGCCGAACAGAGTGGCTTCGCCGCGTACGGGGTCGCCGACGTCACGGCCTTCACCACCGTCGAGACGTTGAGATTGCTGGTGGGCCAGAATGTGCCGTATAGCTTTGTCCGACTCGCAAGCGGAAGGGGGCTCTATTAACCGGTTCCTGGGAATCGGACATGGCCGTCACCAAGACACCTCTCACGCACTTGCCAGATTGTGTTGGCGGGTCCGACGTACTCACACCCGGGACCGGGTCGTACAAAGCTGGAGGATTTTATATATCAAGTCTTTGTCTGCTGGGATTTAGACGGATCATAGTGTGACCCCATGAGGATAAATAGGAAGCTAAACTTGATAATGATATCCATTACACGGCACCCTCTGCCCTTCCTTGCCCACGCAAAACAAAACAATATCACGAAGGTTACTCTCTGTCGGGTTTAAATTTGAACCCTTATGTGAGGTATGAAAGTTTAGGTATTTACCTAGTTTCTCCTTTTTGCTTATATCTATGCAGCTGTTTTCCAAGCTCAGTCAACCACACATTGTTTTATCTGGACCATCGTCTCCTCCTCGGGCCTTCCGACTCTCCCGCTTAGTTTCACATCACATATGTCTTCCATCACAGCTTTGCCAGTGATGTCAAGGTATTTATTTTCAATCATCATGTTAGAAAAACCATGGTCCGCGGGGCATAGCCAAAAGCAGAACGGACAAATATCATGGAAAGTCTTAAATGATGGTATGGACTGAGAGAGCATTATCGAGATGGAGAAAGGATCCAAGATACCTACCTACTTGGAAACCGAGCTCTTGATAATGCAGCAGTGGGCTGCACTGCATGCACACTCCAAAGGGGGTTGGAGAAGTTGGGGTCAAGTTGCAAGGGTTTACAATGTACTCCGAACAGGAGGGAACGTCGGTCGGCTGGTCATGTCCCGACTCGGTGTTTGCGGGGCAAGTATTTTTGAAGGAAGCCGCACCCATGTTGCCGAAGAGAAATGCCAAATATCTATTACATGGTTCGTTTCCAGGAGGATATTGTGTTGAACCGTAAACGGATCTAGTTTATCTTGCTTCAGAACTAAGTATGCCATCCCATTGCCCGCGCCGTCACCGACTGTCCGAACTATTAGAGGCTACCTAGAGAGGTATGTGCACTTGCTCACCTCGACCCAGTTGGTGAGCATCGCTAGTTCGTCCGTTCTCGATTCGAGGCCGAGAAATGAGGGGTAAGTACCTAATCTGTAGGGGTCCCTGGTTGGCACCAATAGGCAGCTGGAAACCCACCAACCCCAGAACTCAATGTCCTCGTGGCTTTTCATTCGTACCTAGGTACCCTCCTCCCCATTGGCATCACCAGATCACCAGTCGGTTTGGTGTAAGAATCCCTAAGTGCAGCTACCCTAGAAGGCCGCCGAGAGTTCAGAACGCGGGCCGGATGGGCCCGTCTTGGGATAATTGTTATATTTGCGCGGCAAAAGACACTGGCTCCCTTCATCTCGTCAAGCGCGTCTCAAGTACTACTATGTAGGTACAAAGCGGCGTGCCCTGGGTCTTAATTGGTCGATATGCATCCAATGTTGCATTTCCCCAGCTTTGCTTCCCCTCGGCATTGTGAAGAAGGATGATCAGTCCAGAAATAAAGAGCTCAGAGGAGTCGGTCCAACCTTGGGGCCAGCAGGCAAAACCGATGCGAGAAGTGATTAGGTTGCTGCAGAGGTAGAATGTAAACCAGGAAATACCTTGTACCTTCGAGCCATCCCCGCAAGCAAGACCACCTAGTCTTTTACGCTATTACGTGCGATTTTAAAGCCTCAATCCCTACATAGTAGTAAGCTCAACCGACGACATCTGCGCAGGTTCACCCGAAGCAACCCTACTACGGAATACACTACATACATAATAGACAAAACCTGGATAAATTACCTACCTAGTCGTAGCTCGTACAGCGAGCGGTACCTTAGCCTCTAGACTCCACACTCAGAGAACCCTGTCTAAGCCCCTGGTCCCGCCCCAAATCCCCGCCGTCCTTTACTATCTAGTGCCTGGGACTGTCGGGGTGGAGATGCCTTGCCGGGCTGCTCTTTTCCAGAATCCCACAATCTCACCTCCAACTCTCTTCCGTCGACATCTCCGAATTCACCACTGCGATACGAAATCGACACGTGTCGGCCACAGCTTGCTCGACTCGACAGACAGCTCAACCCAGTAGCGAATACTAAGACCCCGAATCTCTGGTGGCCGCTCCTCCCCCTAAGTCCTGACGACGATGCGCAGTCGAGACCGGTAGCGGCCGAGCATTCGGGGTTTCCTCGCAGCACCACTAGACCAACTAGACACGGAACACACACAATCTTGTCCGTGTGCTCTTCACCGTGGATTTTCCAAGGAACCCGGGCATGACCGTGCAGGCCTTCGAGCCTACGGCAGTGGGCCCTCTTCCCCCCGTCGCCATGTCGCGTCCGCAAGTTGGCATTGAGCGGCTGCCAACCCGCCGGTTGAGCAATGAACCACGCGAGTCAATGAACTGTAAATCCTGCCGGAAGCGCAAGGTAAGATAGAGCCAAGCCGGTGGGGAACGCAAGTGCGGCATCTTCTTGAGATCTTGCCCCAGTCTGGCACGTCGGACGCTGAAACCCTTCACTTAGATCAAGTGCAACCGCCTCCGTCCGGCATGCGAGGCGTGTCAGGTTTTCCAATGCCCATGCATTTACGGTATGTGTGTGTGTGTATATGTAACTCCAGATCCCAAACCAAACTTGCTGGGGTTTTATTCTTTTTTTTCCCGGCCCCCTTTTCTACTCCATCTATTCGAATGTTAGCCAGATGCCCATGGTCCACTCTGCTGATCAACTCCCGCTTGTCCCTCCGTCAAAGACGCCGTTCCGAAAAAGAGGGGCCCGAAGACGGATGTATTGGAGGCGCTCCTGAAGAGAGTAGACGGGTTGGAACAGCGGCTGAGGGTCCAGAAAAAGGCAGAGCCAGGCACGCCAACTTCTGAGAATGGTCATGATCCTACCAACGAAGAATGGCCAGCAAATGGTTCCGCGACCAACGTCACGGCAGGGGATGGAAAAGAACAGAGCCCAGGTGTTGACACGGCCCGTGCCGACCAGGATCACGGAGAGGCCGCTATCTCCTCTCCCACTACCATGAGGTTAGTACTGCCTACCGCGACTTATAGAAAGCACTTTGAAAGGCTGACGAGACTGTTGCGATCAGCAACCCGTCCCCCGGTGTTCAGACGGAGGCGCTCCTTGACACTTACTTCGCCCGCTTTCACGCAAAACCGTTCCATATTCTCGACGAGTCTTCGCTCCGGCAAAGGTTGCAGCTTAACCAGGTCCCAAACTACCTGGTTCACGCCATCTATGCTGTCACTGCGAGGTATGTGGCTAACTAAAAGAAAGATAAGGTTCATCTGGCTGACACTCCCAGGTACACACCTCACCCCAGTGGATATGAAGCTGGTGTGAAGCTGAGCGAGGGCTACGCCGCGCAAGCGAGAAATGAAATTGACACCGATGAGCCCTCGGTGGACGCGCTCCAGGCATTGTTGCTTCTCGTTACCGCATTCACAGCTGCGGGGAAGGGCAAGAAGGCCTACATGCTCCTGAGTAAGATCTCCCCGGTTGCTTGCTCCTATGATTTACTAACGTGGACGGCAGCAAGTGCGGTTGGCATGACCGTGGCGTTGGAACTGCATCGGGAGATGGATGCCCAAGCCCGGGTGATGCCCGTCGAGCGAGAGATGCGACGCAGATTGTTCTGGACCTGCTATCTCCTTGATCGGTTCATGGCCTGTGGCTCGAAGCGCCCCTCCCTCATAGGCGACAAGACAATCTTGCTGAGGCTGCCATGCTGGTCGCCAAACCCCGGAGGTCCACCGATAGAGGGCGAGTTCTTCCAAAGCGGATCTAATCTGCAGTGTCTCCAGGGCAGCGGAAAGAAGTCTCAGGGGAGCAACGCGATGCTGGTTGACATCAGCCGCATTCTAGGCACTACCAACAGATATCTCGCGGCAGGGGGTGTGAAGGGCGATTCGCATTTCCCCTGGCATTCTCTGTCCAACCTCTCCAAGATCCGCCAAGAGCTCGACGTTTGGGCGTCCGGCATGGAGGATGTCTTCTCCAGTCTTGACACCTTGTTTGGGCAGGCCGACTCGACGATCCTCGTCCTTGGCAAGCTAATCTACCACCTGATCCACTGTCTCATCTATCGGCCATTCCTTCCCATCGATCTTGCCGAGCTTGCCGGCCCCGGACAGCACCAGTCATGGCAAATCGAGGCGACAAATATGTGCTTCTTGCATGCCAATGCGATCGCAGAGCTCGTGGAACTCGGAAGACAGGCCGCAACAATAGAATGGCCAGCCTTTGTGGGCTATTGTATCTGCACTGCAGGCACAGTTCACATCCATGGCGCACATTACAGCAAGAACGCCAGCGGGGGTGAGATGAATGTCTTCAGCTCCTCAGCCGAGTTTCTCTCGCGGGCAATGCAGCAACTGAGCGAACTGCGATATGCTTGGGCCAGCGTCCAACACCAGCGCGAGACTCTACAAGGCATCTACAACGCACATTCCGAGCTCGTCAAGAGCCTGGAGAACAACCCGATGCGCTACTCGCCCGTGTTCCATCTCGAGGATTTCTTCGACAGGTACTCCAACATTGGGGGCCCAGGCGGCCAAACGTTCAGTTTCGATGCCGCGAACCTCAGCCTTTCGGATGTTATTGTCGACTTCATCCCTGATGCCTACGCGGGTAATGACTTTTACGCCCCTCGTGCAGATGAGACAACCGCTGAGCCAGAACGACCGAACCTGAAACGGAAGAATACTGGCCCCTCAGGTCGAAAGCGTCCCGACCTGAAGAGCCTCCCCCCCCCAACTAGTAGTCTCAACCCACCACCAACCTCTGGCTTGCCGACGGCATCTCACCCTAACCACAGCGACCTCTCGACTACGTCCCTTCTCCTACAACCTTCCCCGGGGATGCTGCACACACCTACCTCCCTTCCTCCGCAGCACGAGCTGCATGCACATCACCAGCACATGAATGGCCTTCAGGGGTCTATGAACGAGACCGCCGCCAACGACGCCGCCGTTGCTGCAGCCGCAGCGGCAGGGTTCGCCATCCCCCCTCCGCCCCATCGAGCACCCACCGGCCATCCCATGCCCGATCTTTCGAACACGCCATTCAGTCCCCAGTACGGCTACGCCCAGCTCCACTCGTCCCTCCTCGGATCCCACGGCCACAGTATGCAGGCCCAGTCGCCCTACGACCCGATGTTCGGAGGGATGCCCACCAACCCGTTCTCGAGCCCGGCCCCGTGGCATGCCGACGAGGGCGGCAACAGCAACAGACCGCCCGTGGTCTCTAGCCCTGGCGACAGGAGCCACAACGGCAGCACCGGGACTGGATCGGTGGAGGAGAAAGACCCGTTCCTCAGCCTCCTCGAACAACTGGCCGAGAACGAGTCCGTCAGGGGCCAGGGCAACGAGTTGGATTTCTTCCTGGCTGGTGGCTCCAACGCAGGCTGAAACGCCTTTCCGGGCAGTTATGGGATATTACGTTGACCCTGACTGTGCGATCTGTTTTTTTGGGCATCTGGAGTAGTGGCTCCTTTACTCACGATATTCTGGTGGGGTTATCCTTTTGACTTGCAACGTCGAGCGAAGGGACCTAACTAAAAGGCTATGGATATGGCTACCCCATAATACTTCCTAGCGATACTGGCGTGACCTTTTTAATTCAGCGTTGTAGCCATTTCTCGATCAACGACTCGACTCGACTCGACTTTACGACAAGGAGCTGGAATTATGGAAAGCGGGTTTGGAGTACCGGACTCGAGCAGCGTTGACGGCTGCTGGATACGGGGCATTTGCCTTTCGATGAAAAGGAGTTGTGATGGATACTTGTGCCCTTTTTGTTTTCGCGGTCTGGGGAGCAAACCGTGGGATTGATTAGGCGCTGGGAATCGCTGTTTGGCAACCAACCTCGTCTTGGATTCTTCCTCGAGAGGTATAGCCCACCAGTCTATGCACATAGAAGCAGATCCTACTATGTATGTACAGGTGTAGAAGCAGGACAACTGGGCCGTGGTTCCTGCCTAGTGTGTGTGATCATGCCCCGAATCAGGTACTATACATGCGTGAATCGTGGTCTATGTGGATGCTCTTGTTCCCGGAGCCCCTAACCTCTCTCGAAACCCTTACTAGTCATGAACATTCATTCATCCCTCCACCAGAGTCTTGGAAGGTCTGGGACCTCGAAGCCGCGCAGACTTACAATTTCTACAATCTTGGTAGTGAAGCATTGAATTGTGATATTCGGACTGATGCATGAAGAAAGATAGATAAGAGTAGTCCCGTGGGGATTATCACCTCCTAATTAGTACATACCTACCACGCCTACCCGGCTGACGGGCAAGTCACATTCCTAAATTTATCCTGGCTGTTCTGACCTGCGCCGATCGGCAGTATTACCCGGACGATCACAACTACATCATCAGATCATTTCTCATTGCGAGCCAACCCCACAGACAATTGAATCCGTTGAACGTTTTCCCGACTCGCTGCCAACAAAAAAACGCGCACTGCGAAACTATTCCAATTTCACTGAGCGTCTAAAAACTCTTTAAAAAACAGTAAAAAGGAATTCAAGGCTGTCAAATATTCTCTGATATTTGAATTATTGTACAGCACCTTTTATTTGGTTGTAAAGCGTATTGTGAGGAATTGGTTTCTGTTGAAAAAGTATGGGTTTTGGCTAGTGAAGTAGATTTGATAGGGGATATTGTGTTTCGCAGTCCGCGTTTTTTTGTTGGCAGCGAGCCCGACTACTGGCATGGCTGAGTCATACAAACGCGGGGGATACGAGTGAGGCATTAAACGCCACAGAACGCCCTGCCAATTGCCAAATCAGTGAGGGGGCTGAAGTAGCAGTGCAGGTGATGTGCTGCAGATTCCGGCATCGCAAACTTGCCCATTTGTCCGAGGAGATAAGGCGGTCGCCGCCGACTAAATGGTGGTGGGAGCCGGAAAGCGGTAGACAAAATATGACATCATTACCAACCGGGAATTCAACGGGGGCAGAATCGCGTTGATCAATTGCCACCGACCCTTCGTACTTCGTACCAGCGCAGCGGGGAGAAAACGGGTTGTTGCCAGCCACTGTCCTTTATTAAGGTACCGCCCAATTGGGTGCCCCACTTCAACTTTGCGAAAATGAGGTGGTGGCGCTTCGAGTCCTGTGCGGGGTAACTAGGAAGGTGCCGAGTTGTGTTGAGTGTTTCCGCAAGAATCCACGTGTGTTCAAGATCCTAGCATGGCTAGGTAGGCATTTGGGCGCTCATGATTGGCAGTTTGTTCTCACATTGAAGATTTTTTTGTGGTTCTGAATTACTGCCTAACGTCAGGGAAACATTTGTTGCCGATTCATTCTCCTTGGGCTATATTTTTAGCGCACGTCCCGCAGATTAGCACTTTTGTCATGACTGAGCCCCCCCACGCCTGATGGAACTACACCATTATTGTTTTTTTCTTGCAAAAAAATAACCGAGTCTCACTTTCAGCTGTATTGTTCGCAAATCGGTTTCTCGCTCTAGCACATTCCTTCCCAACAGACAACTGTGATGCGGGCACCTAGCCCTCGCGATGCAAACTTGGCCAGCTGCCCTCGTTAAGGACCGAGGGGTCATACGCATAGGACCTTGTTGCCTCATCGACCGGTTTCCTGATTGAGCACGCAGGGTTCTGCTCTCATGTCCCCATTAGGAGCAGTATGGCGAGAAGCTGGTAGTCGGATTTACCACCAACCACCTTAGGTACCTCTGGCTCTGGCCGGCAGGCAGTCGAGCTCGCCATGTCGGAGATGGAGGACGGTTTTCCTGACCGGGGACCTGCCGTCTTCGCCGTCACGACAGCTACCTTGGTCTTGGCCTCGGTCTTTGTCGCGTCACGGATGATTTCGCGCATCGGTATTGTTAAACATTTCACCTATGACGACTACTTCATGGTCGTTGCCTGGCTGCTCGCCTTCTTCCTGAGCTTCACAATCAATCTTGGAACAAGTAGGGGGTTGGGCCGCCACGATGCCAACATCGAGCCTGACAATAGGGTTGGATTGAGGACGTGCGAATATGTCTTCTCAATCCTTTATGTAAGTGCCCCTTCGTGGACTCGGCAGAATCCGCGCTGATCCGTGGCGCAGAATCCCGCCCTGATGGCCACCAAGACCTCCATCTTGATCTTTTATCTCCGTCTGTCCAAGAACACGCAGAAGATCCTCCGTATGGCGTCTTGGGCCGTCCTCGTCATTGTCAATGTCGCGGGCACGATTCTCACTCTCATGAACATCTTCCAATGCCGGCCCGTCGATGCTTCATGGAAACCCAAAGTCGGCGCTACCTGCCTTCCTCTCCTGACCGAGTTCATCTGTTCTGCGCCTGTCAACATCGTCACCGATCTCGCCATCCTGGCACTCCCGATACCCGTGATAACGGGCATGAGATTGCCGCCACGGCAGAAAACGATCCTCGTCTTGACCTTCGCTGTCGGCGTTTTCATCACCATTGTCGATGTTGTGAGGATATACTACCTCCAGCGCGCCATCTCAAACGCTCCCACTTCCATTTCAAATCAACCTTCGGCCCTGTTTGGCGACACTGTAGACTTCTCGTGGAACGCCTCCCTCTCACTGATGTGGTCCGCCGTGGAAGTCAACATTGGGATTACTTGCGCCTGTGTTCCCACACTCAAACCTCTTGTTACCAGGATCCTACCTGCCATGCTCGTCGGCCCCAACAGGACACGCCGGAGCTCCGAGGAGCAGGAGAGCAAAATGACATCGACTGCTACGCCGAATCAGGACAGCTCAGATAGCAGCCAGCGTCGAACGGCATATAGTCAACCAATCATCATCCCCGATGAAGCCCACGTCGAGGGGAGCCACCACTCGGAGGAACTCTCAATGCGGGACTTCCTTAGAGCCACGGGTTCCAAAGCAGACCGCGTGAGTCAGCAAGGCAGCGCGCAGCATCGGCCAGATGGTCGGGTGCCGAGTACTTCCACCTTCGGAGCAGCAGGTCCTAAGCAGGAAAACTCGGTCTACTTCGGCTTCGTAAACATGAAGCGGCCGAAGAGCATGCTGAAGGTATCGGTCACAGAATCTTGGAGGTATTGCACACTTGTGACCATACTATTCCTCATGTGGGGATTCTCTTATGGTCTCTTGAACACACTGAACAACGTCGTCGCTGCTGTCGGCAACATGACAACCGCAGAGGCATTGGGGTTGACCAGTGTTTACTTCGGCGGAGGGTACTTCTTTGGTCCGCTCTTGGTCGGCGAGTGGCTCCTCAGGCACGATGAGCACCATCGCTACAAACGAAGAGACCGTGGCCGTGGGGCAGAGAGCGTCGGCGGCTTCAAGGTGACATTCATCGTGGGCCTGCTCATCTACGGGACTGGCACCATCATGTTCTGGCCGAGCGCGGTCCTGAATGCCTTCGGTGGCTTCATGGTCAGCAACTTCGTCGTCGGGTTTGGCCTCGGCGTCCTCGAAACTGCGGCCAACCCCTTCATAGCACTATGCGGCCCGGCAGACTACTCGGAGATGCGCCTCCTCCTGGCCCAAGGCGTGCAGGGTGTTGGGAGCGTCGTGAGCGGGCTCCTGGCCCAGAAGGTGTTCTTCAAGTACATCGGCACCGCGGGATACACAACCTCGATGAGCCTCCTCGGCGTCCAGTGGACCTACCTTGCCATCACCCTGTTTTGCGCCCTCTTAGCTCTGTTCTTCTACTACATGCCGCTCCCAGAAGTCACCGACAAGGAGCTGGGCCGGCTTGCCACGAACCTCCCCGTCAACCCGAAGAAGCGCAGCATTGGCGGCATGTCGCTACGGACCTGGTGTATAATCCTTGCGGTTGCGGCACAATGGACCTACGTCGCTGCTCAGGAGAGCATGAGCATCTGGTTCGGTACCCTCGTCACCTCGCTGCTTCCAACACCCCCGTCCACCGACATGGCAGGCGGCTCAGAGAAGGACGACAAGCCACTGGGCATGAGCCTGTCAATACCGGACTATCTCCTCATTGCCCATACAGCCTTTGCCGTCTCCCGGTTTGCTGCTGGCTATCTCGCCTATCTCTCTGTGAAGCATCCTAAAAACCCGTTTATACCGACTCCCAGGACCATGTTGTCCATCTCGGCCGGGCTCAACGTCCTCTTCGCCCTCTTGATCGTGGTCCTCAAACCGACGGGGAACCCAAACCTCCTCGTTATCCCGATCGTCCTCTTCTTCCTCGCAGAGGGTCCCCTCTGGCCCCTGATATTCGCACTCGGGCTCCGCGGCCAGGGAAAGCGGACAAAGCGCGCCGCCGCATGGTTGACCATGGGCGGGTCGGGCCCGGCATTCTGGCCCTTCGTCATGTACGCCATCCTCAACCGGGGAGGGAATATCTACACGGCATTCATCGTCGTCGTCGTTCTATTGGTTGTCACATTTATATACCCCTTGTTTCTGACGTTTGTCAAGGACGCGAAGGTCATGGTCGACCCCTCGAAGGGGGCCGGCGGCGCGGCCGCGGCCGGCGGTGGGGATGCCGAGGGCGGCGGTTTTGGGAGGAGGCATAGCCAGCCGTCGGACGTCAATCTGGATGAGATGATCGCGTCGAGGAGGCGGACCGTGTCCAACGCTGCCGCCGGCGGAGCGGGGCGGGGCTTGCTGGGCAAGCTGTCGCTAAGTTCTGCTTCCAAGACGGGTCATCCGACGGCAGCGCCCACACCGTCACCGCCGAAGCCTGACCATCGGGAGGGGATGGCGGGGGACCAAGGCCGTAGCGCAGCTCCGTGGGAGGATCAGGTGCTTGACACTTCGATCCTGGAGCAGCGGTAAGGCGAGGCCGCCGCTTGTTTCTTTCCCTTGCTCCTTTTAGAGGTAATATAGTAGTATTCTAGTAATATAAAACATGGGGTAACTCGAACAAGATCAACAGTCTCTAGCTCTCACACCGCCGTGAGACATGGTACTCACATGTCGCGGGTCCCTTCGAATATCTTGGGCTGTCTCTTATAGCGGCAGGGTTTTGGGCTTTGACATGTATATCATGCGAGCCGTTAACTTCGCCAGGGCTGTGCTTCTCCCGAAAGGGTTGATGTCACTTCATTGCATTGTACAGTATAAGTTGTCACCCCTGATAATAAGAAACAACAAGTACCTAAAAGGGTGCCTCTTATAAGCAACGCACGTTATAAAGTTGATATCTAAGTCTATAGTTTCCAAAGTATAGTGGGGTTTGAATACTTCTTGACATAGGTCAGGCGGCCGTTCGTGTATAACCAACCCCTCTATAAGTAACAGCGCGCGACTACAGCAATGGTAACTCTTATGTCTTATCATTCCAGGGGAAGCACCTTGATATATAAGAAGATTCTATGATCAAGGTTATCCATTCAGATAAATTAGCACACCTTCTGCAATTCCAGTCACAAGAGCTGTTAATGGAGTCAACTTCATGACCTTGTCAAATGGCGAATCATCTGAGAAGGGACCTATCAAATAACCTATAATAGATGAAGTTAAGAGTTGAAGGTAGAAAAGTGATCTAGCCAAAAGTATACCCTCTATTTACTCTCTCTTATGGTGCTTAGCACATGTATTTGTTCTTATTTATTCTCTCTTCCATAGGTAGCTACTTAGCTACACATGTAGGTGCAGCTGGCGTACTTGATGCTCATGCCTTGGAGCAAATAGACCTGATTTATGAATAATTGGTTATGCATTAAACCAGGTTTTCACTGTATGTAATCCCAGAGTCATGATAGGACAATTTCGTTATCTTGTGTGGAGCGGTGTGATATGTATCTTCCCCAGATCTTTTTCGGCATCCGCCGTTTATCGGCCTTCACGAACTTTTTTCCCACCTTCCCTGTGACCCCACCAACACCGGGTTTGGGGAGCGTTGTTTGGTCATTGATTGCGAAGATGCGGCCAATTGATCTCGCCAGTCGATCTGGCTCACTCTTAAAGGTATGGCTACTCAGGTTCTTTGGCCAGAAACCCTGTTCAGTTAAGCTGACACTCCATATACAGAGGGCTCTCCAAAGTCAACACAATCGAAGTGCCTCGAGATCGCGACATTTCAGCAGCGCATCGCCACTTCCCCCGACATATGAGAAGCTATACGGAAAGTACTCGGAGGTCAGACATGTGCTTGGGTCTCGGCGCTTGACCTTGGCCGAGAAGATCTTGTACAGCCACCTGGACAACGTCGAGGAGTCGCTCCTCTCCAACACGAACAATGGCCGCGACATCCGGGGCAAGGCGAACCTCAAACTCAACCCAGACCGCGTGAATATGCAGGATGCTTCGGCCCAGATGGCTCTCCTGCAGTTCATGACCTGCAATCTTCCCCAGACCGTCATTCCCGCCAGTATCCACTGCGATCACTTGATCGTCGGAGAGAAAGGTGCGGACGTCGATCTATCTTCGGGCATCAAGATCAACCAGGAGGTGTTCGACTTCCTCGAGTCGGCCGGCAAGAAATATGGCATCGATTTCTGGCCTCCGGGAGCTGGAATCATCCACCAGACCGTGCTCGAGAACTACGCGATACCGGGACTGATGATGCTGGGCACTGACAGCCACTCCCCCAATGCCGGTGGTCTGTGCACGATCACTATCGGAGTTGGTGGAGCTGACGCTGTTGAAGCCCTTGTTGGTGCTCCCTGGGAGCTCAAGGCCCCTCGCGTCCTTGGTGTTCGTCTTAGCGGCCAGCTCAGTGACTGGGTGTCCCCCAAGGACGTCATCCTCCATTTAGCTGGCCTATTAACCGTCCGAGGTGGTACGGGCTTCATCGTCGAATACTTCGGCCCGGGAGTGGACACCCTCAGCTGCACTGGCATGTCAACCGTTTGCAATATGGGAGGTCGGTTTCATCCCTTCCGCGTTCATTTGACCTCTTTGTGTGACTGACTGTGTCGCCGGACTAGCTGAGATTGGTGCCACTACGTCCATTTTCCCCTTTACGGAAGCATCGAGCCGTTACCTGCAATCAACCAGGAGGGACCAGGCTAGCCGGGATGCCACGGCGTTCCAGAATTTCTCTGGGAATGGGGTTGGCGAAGACGCTTACTTTAAGTTCCGGAGCGACGAAGGCGCCCAATATGACGAGGTCATCGACATTAACCTCTCGGAACTAGAGCCGCATGTCAATGGCCCCTTCACCCCTGACCTGTCAACCCCGCTCTCGAAGTTCAAGGAGACGGTCATGGAGCAGGAATGGCCGGAGAAGCTTTCTGCTGGTCTTATTGGAAGTTGCACAAATAGCTCCTACGAGGACATGACTAGGGTCGAAAGCATCATCAAGGAAGCCACAAAGGCCGGGCTGAAGCCTGCTGTTGACTTCTACATCACTCCGGGCAGCGAGCAGATTCGTGCCACCCTGGAGCGGGACGGCACGCTGGAGACCTTCACCGACGCTGGAGGCATTGTGCTCTCCAATGCGTGCGGGCCCTGCATCGGTCAGTGGAAGCGCCAAGACGGAGTCGAGAAAGGCACATCGAATGCCATCTTCACCTCGTACAACCGGAATTTCAGGGGGCGCAACGACGGCAACCCAGACACCATGAATTTCCTCGCGTCTCCGGAGATTGTCACGGCCATGGCATATGCCGGGTCTACGACCTTCAACCCCATGACGGACACCCTGACGACGCCCGATGGGAAAGAATTCCGCTTCCCGTCGCCGCGGGGTCTAGAGGGGCCGCCGACCCCCTTCGAAATGGGCAAAGACAGCTTGGGTCGCCTCTCGCAGCCCCCCAGCGCGGACGTCAGCGTGGCCATCGCGCCTGATTCCGAGCGGCTCGCGCTGCTGGAGCCCTTCGAGGCGTTCCCGTCCACCGAGCTCACGGGGCTGCGCGTGCTGGTCAAGGTGACGGGCAAGTGCACGACCGACACCATCTCAGCGGCGGGCCCGTGGCTCAAGTACAAGGGCCACCTGCCCAACATCAGCGCCAACACGCTCAACACGGCCGTCAACGCCGAGACGGGCGAGGTGAACGCGGCCTACGACCTCGACGGGTCCCGGCACACGATCCCGGACCTCGCGCGGCGGTGGAAGGAGTCGGGCCAGCCGTGGCTCGTGGTGGCGGAGCACAACTACGGCGAGGGCAGCGCGCGCGAGCACGCGGCGCTGCAGCCGCGGTACCTGGGGGCGCGCGTCATCGTGGCCAAGAGCTTCGCGCGCATCCACGAGACCAACCTGAAGAAGCAGGGCGTCGTGCCGCTGACCCTCGAGGACGAGGCAGACTACGACCGCATCGGCGCCGGCGACGAGGTATCCACCGTCGGCCTCCGCGACATGCTCCTCAACGGCGGCCGCGGCGACGTCGCCCTGCGCGTCGTCAGGAAGGGGTCCGGCGAGGAGGTCCTCATCCCCACCCGCCATGCCGTCAGCGAGGACCAGGCTCCCTTCATCCTCGCTGGGAGCGCGCTGAATCTGCTGTCCAAGCGTAAATGAGTTGTTTGACATTCGTTGAGGGTTTGGAGAGAGCGGATGGTTTGTGGGGTAAGGGGCGAGAGGGGGGGGTTGGTGATCGGGGTAGATAGCCTGGAAGCCTCTGTGGGCTTGAGACCGAGGCGAGGCCGAGAACTATCTGGGTGGTCATAGACAGCTCTGTACGTATATACCAAGTCAAGGCGGTTCTGTAGATAAGGAATACAGGGTTTTTTTCTATGCTCTTTCCCTCACGGTTCCATCAGCTCTCTGTCGACTTTGGTCCCATTGCCAAGCAGTGTTAAAAGAGGGTTAGGGTTAACCCAACCTCTAATCCCGAGTTGATTGTGGAACTGGCCATTACAAGTTTTAATGATATTTTTCAGTCAAGTCCCTTTTTCACATCACTTAGAGAGTTGAAGGAATCGAGGCTTGTTTCTGCCATGGCTAGATCAGCATACGACTACGTTATCACTTAACTAGCAGTTGATTTCTTGAGAAAGTGTGGGCTGAGCCCATTCAGTTGAGAAAGTCAGGTTGAGAAAGCCAGTCTACACAACAGTTCAAGCTTGAGTCATGTAAACTAAGAGCTCATAATCAGTTAGCCAGCATTTCCAAAACTGACTCAGAGTGAGATCTGGCAGTCATATTTGAAAGCCAAACCTACTCAGGAGCCTACCAGACTCCTTTCCCACCTACACATGCCATGCTGTGCGCTATGCTAGCAATGTATGTGCTAAAGTCACAAATAGCGCCGCGATAAGCTTACATAACAGATTAAAATGCTCCCCGAATCTCGCCCTTGGTCATTTCCTTCTTCGTGAGCGGGCCGGTGCTGCTGCTGCTTTAACGTAGCAATGACAGTAACGGACAGGGCTGCTGATGGGTGCGCTTATTGACTGCCTCGCAAGGGGGCCGGCCCGTGCTTGTGAGGTATATATATTTGACATGACCCTCCGCGACCTCCCCTCCGCTTCTGCCAAAAATGACCAGCAGCACCATGGGTGTCTCCTCGCCCCAGTATTCCGAGTTTACCCCTGACGGGTGGATATCCGAATTGGATTACTCTTACCTCGGACTTTTCCATCTCAGGCGCGTCCTTGAGCTGAACGACGTCGAGGCTCTTCGCGAATTTATCGCCTTGAAGCCGAGGCTTTTGACCTGGGACGACCCACAGTATTACCTCCCAACTCCCACCGTGTATGCTGCCGAGGTGGGCTGCAACGACGTCCTAAAAGTCCTCCTTGAATACCAATCGACTCTCTCACCATCTGAACTTACGCAGGAGCCTACAAATTTTGACCGCCTGTATTTGATCCCCTTGCATGCTGCCTGTCGCCATGGCCATACAAGCACTGTGCAGTTTCTGTTGAGCTTCGAGCCTCTAACGGACATTGAGGAACGAGATGCTGGCGATGGCATGACGCCGCTGCGGTGTGCGCTAAGTGCAGCACCCGCACTATGCAAGCAGAGCAAGCAGATTGTGCGCCTGCTTCTAACCCGAGGCGCAGATGCAGCAGCTGTCTATCAATACGGTTTATACATTCCTAGCGCTCGAGGTAACACCTTGACGCTAGCTGCGTCGTCGGCAGATGCCGAGGTCATCAAGTGGCTGATCGAAGCGGGAGCCAATGTGAACGCCAGAGCAGCCCATATAGGGGAAGGCTATGATCTGACCCCGCTTCACAGAGGTTGCTTACATCACAATATTCCTGCAGTCCAGGCGCTTCTTGACCTTGGCGCGCGGTCTGGTATTGCCGCAGTAGATGGCCAGGGCCAGTTGCCTCTCCATTCAGCCGTTGTTGGGGGCTCTGTCGAGATGGTGGCCCTGCTACTCGCCGACGAGCAGGCCCGGCAAACAACCATCAACGCCAAGGACCACAGCGGCCGCACGCCACTCCACCTAGCCGCTGCCGGTGGCTCCCTAGAGATTGTGACCCTCCTCCTCGCTGAGGATACAGCCCTGCAGGCAACCATCATTGCCAAGGACAACAGCGGCTACACGCCGCTCCACTCAGCTGTTGCCGGGGGCTTCGTTGAGATCATGGGACTCTTGCTCGCCCGCGACGAGGCCCACCACATAACTGTCAACACGAAAGACAACAACGATCGCACACCGCTCCACCTAGCTGCCCGCTTCGACCGCCTTCAGCTGATGCGCGCTCTGCTTGACAGCGGCGCCAACCCTTCGCTTCGTGACACCCAAGGCCGCACGCCGCTGCACACCCTCTGCGACCGCTCTGAATTGTCCAGGGTGTCCGATTTGCCCGCATTCGACAGCAATTCCAACACTGCGCTCATCCGCCGCCTGATCGCAGCCGATCCCCACGAGACCACCAGCAGCAGCAACACCAGCGCCACCAGCGCCACCGGCCCCAACATCATCATCAACATCGACTCGCCCGACAACGACGGCAACACGCCCCTTCACCTCGCCGCGCGCCACCGGCACGAACATGTCGTCACGGCGCTGACGCGCCTTGGCGCCCGTGGCGACGCCCGCAATAACGCTGGCCAGACGCCGTGCCACCTGGCGGCGACAATTGACCTGCAGCAGAGGGATAGCGGCGGGCTGCCAGAGCTACTCGCGAGGCAGGGCCGTGTCATGGCGCTGCTGGTGGGGGCGGGGGGCGATCTGGATGCACGCAAGGATGGAGATGGGGAGGGGGAGGGGGAGACCGCACGAGAGAGGATGGAGCGGGATGGGGCGGAGGCGCGGGCCAAGTATAAGTTGCATACGAGGATGGATGCGCTGAGAAGGGCTGAGGAGCCTGAGCATAAGAGGATTGACGCTCTGCCGACTGCGGATCAGGAGGCGGCGCTGCATGTATCGAAGTGGGCTGGCACTTGGAGGGGGTTTGGGAGGGGGTATGCAACGATAGCAGCGGATGATGACTTGTTAGATTATTGGTGCAGGATTAGGCACCAATTGAGAAAAGATGGCACGCACCATCCACATCCACCCACGTGACTTTGCAACTAGTATAACCCTAACCCTAATTTCGAATCTGCAAACTACCACTAGGTACCTGTGAGGACTCGCACCACCTAAAGTTGTAAGGTGGTGCGAGTTCTCGAGGGCCAAATAAAGTGGGGTAAAGCTCACTAATTTTCAGCATATACAAACCTGTACTACCACTAAAACTTTACTTTCAGCGCATCCCTACTCCTCTACATTATCAAGAAATTATGCCTCTTATTACGTGCAGATTGCATCTTACATTTGCTCAGGTGTAGAGTCACGTGGGTGGGTGTGGATGGAAATATCGGTGGGTGTGGATAGATGCACTCCTAGAAAGAAGGTAAAGCCAAACCTACTTTAGCAAAGTCTCTTGAAACAAGAGATCTGTTACTCAATGTTGACATTTCCTCTGCCTGCTGGAGACACTTGCCTTGCTACCTAGGTTGTTGCATCTTTTAATTAGCCCTCTATGGATCTATATTACCTTCTCAGTAGAATGCACTGCGAAGTTGGCAAGAAACAGGTAAAGGTAAGTATCTTTCATTAGCACTTTTGGTAGTTAGATTATTGCCTTACGTGATAATTTTTAATATTGACAACTGTTTAGTCCTTCCTTACAAGCATCCTCCTGAATCTCACTTGAGGCAATGAGACTTGCTATTGCCCAGCGGAGATAATCCAGGGACTTGCTTCGATGCTGGTCGTTGAGCGTATTACAGATTGAATGATTTATGCCTAACCCTGACACGGCTCCCATTGTGTCCAGGTTGTAGCCCCAGGAAACCGGTGCGTCATAAACCCATGCCCATGCCCATTCCCTCATATCTCATCGCTCCCCGTCTCCAGAAGTCTCCGACCCGGGCCTTTAGGACATATACCGCACCCCTATTTCCTTGGGACTCCGGCCCCATTCGTTGACGGTTGTCGTCTTAGCCCCTGCCTTATCGGTTTCTTCCCCTTCTGCGACGCCTCATTCTCAGTCTCGTGCAGCGCTTTAAGAGCGCGTACCCAAGCTGGATCCTCCCGGATACGGTCGGGAAGCTGATCCTCGAATTCGGCCGGGCCTTCCCGCAGCCGTTGTTCTCTCATGCGGACTTTGGCTGTTCCAAAGTTGGCCTTCCGCCCACCTCGCGCTTGTATCTCCTCCTGTTTCGCTTTACGCCACCGTTCTGAGTGCTGCTGCGGCCAATGCAGCCTGGGGTCAATATGAGCATAATACGGCTCATCTGGCGGTTGGAAGCTTGGTGGAGCGTCTAGTTTTGGGATTTGCACACCGCGCGGTGGCGCAGATGCATCTTCCTGGCGATATATAAGAACATCAAAACTCGACTCATCGACCGTTTTTGGTGCATGTTGGACCGCCGGCTCTTGCAATTTACGCCTTGGCTCGGGCTCCTGCTCCTCGAGTCGTCTCATTGTCGGCTTCCTCGCCGCGGGGGGGTTTAGAGTCGGCTCCTGACTCTCCTGCCTTCTCCCGGATCCAGCGGCGGTGGGCTTTGAAAAACCACGGGGCACCTTGTCTTCGCCAGCCTGTTTAGTATGACCATTCATCGGCTCACTGGCCGGGGTATCAGGGGCTGTATCTTTTCTCTGATCCTGTTGGCTAATCGATCCCGATGAGTGATGATACCGAGAAAACCAGGCACGCAGGGCTTTGTTTCCAACAAAGTTTTTGGCCGCGCTTTGACTCGCTTCAAGGGATGCCATCCTTTTCATACTTGCAATCCCGTTGGCCTCGGATACCTCAGAGTTGGGCTGCCTGGTCGAGCTGGCTTGCTCAGATCGGTAGTTATTTTCCTGCCTTGTCGACTCAACGGGTTCTATGCTAAAAACCAAGGATTGCGGTGCCGCTTTGCGTATCACCTGGCGACGGGAGAGTCTCTTGGTAGCGTCCTTGGCGTCATTGCCTACAGTACCAATTCTCCTGCCGTATCGGAAGGTGGCAGTACTGGAAGAGGCAGTGTCGACCTGTCCATTCCTGTCTCGCGGTCGTTCAGGCTTATCCTCGTCTGTGACTTCACTGGGCGTGACCCCAAAAGGTCGACCGCTTTGCAGGTCGGCGTGATGATCATGTGGATTTTGAGCGACTCGAATCTTCTTCCTTGCAGGGCCAGTCTCCCGCGGAGGACTATCAGGAGGAGAGTGGATATTCTGACGCTGAGGAGGTGCCTTGTGCGACGTTGGCGAGCCAGTCAGTTTGCCCGAGACGGACGTGCCGCCGGGATTCAAGGGCTGTCCCCCGGATCCCGTTTTCCTCCTCATGATTGGAAGCACACCGTTAGGATCATGGTCAGAAAGCTTCGTCCTTGTGGCCTGGGCGGATGATTGACGTGCTAGCTCGGACTTGGAAGCCGGACTCCGTTTGGTCATGTCCATCATATGCACGGTGCATAGTGGACCGTTGGCCATGGGCTCGGCCGTGCATTTCGGGTAAGAACATTGCACGACGACTACATCTGCATCGTTGCTGTCTGGCGTGAAGGAGCCTCCCGGTCCAGGCATTGCCGTATCCGGGTTGGCCTGTCGGAGAGAAGTGGAGCTAAGGCTGGTAGCATAGGATGATATTGAAGCCGTGTCATGATAACGTCGTCTCTTCTGAGGGTTGTCGGCGGCGAGACAATTCTGGCAGGTCCAGTTGCTAGAGTGGGTCAGTGTCTCGAAACGTGTCGGCCAATGTTGGGGGGGTTGGGGGTGTTTGGGGGCGAGGCGTGGGTTACCCAGACGTGAGACTAGGATTGTTCGGCTGGGAAAATTCTAGCGAGCGCGAGACTGGCAGAACAGGTCGATTACGGGCCAGCGAGAAGGGACGAGAAGAGACGAAAAGAGAAATGGCGCCTTACTCTGCATGAGGTGGAGGCCGATGGCAGGCGGAGTGATAGTGTCTCTTGCAATTTATGCATTTGTAGAGTCGTTTATCAACCCGCGGGCCTTCTTTGCAGCGTTTGCAGCTATACTGGCAAAGAGGCATTGAGTGGCGAGCGCTGGGCGAGTGTCTCCTTAAAGACCTGTCTCTACAGCGCGGAAAGTGGGGTTAGTAGCTTTCCAATAAAAGGGTTCTGAGCTGATGTGAGGAGGATGAAAACTATAAAATGTGTCTCAGGTCTTTTCAGTTTATTTATGGCTCATCATGCTTGCATGCCGCAGCGGCTTCGTAAACTCTGGTGTTGCGAGGCTGGTGGGAGAAGAGTGAGGCAAGTGGGCTTGTTTACCGCCGTCTTTGGCGCCACCCCAGAGAGGCAGTTGGAGGTGAGGCTCCGGAATGCGGTAACTTCCTGAAATAAAGGAACAGAAAGTTGATGTCCTTTGAAACCAACAACAAAGCAGCACCCCAGTAGACCGTGGATCTCAAGGCACACTGGGGTTCGAGAAGGCAGTGGCAGTGCAGTTGCGACTGCGCACCAGCCAGTTCTCGACGCAACAACCACAGTAAACGAAACCAGAAGGGCCCTAGGCAGTCTGATCTTTTACCATTTTGTTCATCACAGACAACACAACAAACAGAAAGAAAGAGAATAGGATAAAACCCCAAGGTAGAAAAGCCAGAGGGCAAAACTTACCACGACAGGGTTCTGGGAGTCGGGAGTGTAGGTTGGCTCAGGCTTCGGAAGTTCGTCCAGTCCAGCTCGCCCAGTCACCTAGTCCGCGCCTCGCTACCCTGACCATGGAGCAGCAGGTGGAGAATAGTCATCCGCCCGATTCCTCTAGCTCACAGAGAGGAAGAAATTGAGGCGCGAGGTGTTCCTAAGTCGGTCTGGAGGACTTTGTGTGGGGTGCGCAACAGACATGTATGTTCATGCCCGCATGCAATGGCCTGGCGGGATAGACGGGAATGAGGAAGATGGAGGAGGGAGATGTTCCGGCGACGGGAGAACTCAAAAAAACATTATAGAGGTACTCAAGTACCCCAAAACGCGCCTGCTAGCATCTGCCACCGCCGCCAAAACAACCGGCAGAATTCCCCCCACATTCTCTCCGCCTACCTAACGTAGTTAGTGTGCTGTTGTTGCCTGGGACCTGCAACGTAGGAACAGGTTGTCAGCGATAAAGACGATAACACAATTAATTACCCAACTCCTCCCTCCTGAGTCTCGAGGCGCGAGTTCGAAAGTCGAGGCCCAGCCCCAGCCCCAGCCCAGTTCCGCCCAGTTGCCCACACACCACTGACCGCCTCAGTCTCGATGGACTTCCTCAAGTCAGCTGTTGCTTCCGCCATTGCCAAGGGCCCGCCCTTCCCCTACACCTTCGGCGACAAGGTAGACCTCGACCCCTCCATCTGGACACTTTACAATGGGACAAGGCGAGTGAGTTCTTTCGGTGCCCTGATTTTCCATGGCCTGCCCTGTTGACATCCGGGAACAGGAAGATGGCTCCAACTGCAGCATCTTTTCCTTCGACATCACCGCCAACAAGTCTGTGCTGCCGCTTGCTAAGAATGCGGTGAAGAAGCTGCGTACCATACGGCACCCTGGTGTCATCAAGGTGTTGGATACCGTAGAGGTGCGACTCGAGCCAGCTGCTTCCCACCTGTCAGATTGCTAATACCTTGCGCGAAGACCGATACCTATATCTACATCGCAACTGAGCGTGTCGTCCCGCTGCGGTGGCACGTTAAACGAAAGAGCCTAAGCCCGGAGGCTACCAAATGGGGCCTACACAGTATAGCGGTAGGCCTTCTTCGCCTTGCAAGCTCCTGGAAATCTGCCTATTGACTTATTGCAAAGAGCACCGTCAAATTCATAAATGACGAGGCGTCATCGATCCATGGCAACCTGAAAGTTGCCTCAGTCTATACGTCTGAAAGCGGAGAGTGGAAGCTTGGCGGTTTTGAGGTTCTCAGCAACGTCAAGGATGACGATGCTGTTATATATGTATGCTTCCTCAACGCTGGATATCAAGTGCTTGCTTGTTATGCTGACTTGAGACAAGACTTATGGCAGCTTGGTACCCGACTCCGGACGCTACACACCTCCCGAGCTAGCTCGGTCAGGCTGGGATGCGATAAAGAAGAACCCACACTCGGCAGTCGACTCCTTCGATCTCGGGATATTGGTCTTTGAGGTTTTCAACGGCAGCTACGCCGGAGTTGACCAGGCGGGTCAAACAAAGGGAATCCCTCCCAGCATGCATTCCAGCTATAAACGGCTTGTCAATGCAAACCCAAAAGCTCGACTCAGCGTTGGCCACTTTCTAGAACAGGGAAGGCGAAGTGGCGCCTTCTTCGACACTCCTCTCATCAAATTAACCGACGGCATTGATAACCTCGGCGTTAAATCAGATGAAGAGCGAGAGGCCTTCCTCGAGTGAGTCAGGTGCTCCAGATGTTCCATATTTTGAGGGCTACCTAGATGCTAACTGTCCAAGGGACCTGGAACAACTCACCGATGACTTCCCTGAGGATTTCTTCAAGATGAAGGTCTTGCCGGAGCTTCTCAAAGCCGTAGAGTTCGGGGGTGGGGGACCAAAAGCATTCGGCCTGGTCATGAAGATTTCGGTAAAGCTCTCGAATGAGGATTTCGAGACCAAAGTCACACCTGTGGTCATCCGGCTCTTCGGCAACCCGGATCGCGCAATAAGAGTGTGCCTTCTAGACAGCTTGCCTCTCATGATCGATAGACTTCCACAGAAGGTGGTCAATGACAAGGTCTTCCCGCAAATGGTAACTAGCCTTGAAGACCCCTCTCCATGCGGCAGTGCTAACGGGTTCGCCCCTAGGTCACCGGGTTCACAGACGTAGCACCCGTGGTTCGAGAACAAACGCTGAAATCAGTGCTCACGCTGATAGCTAAACTCTCAGATCGGACCATCAACGGAGAGTTGCTGAAATATCTAGCCAGGACTGCCAACGACGAGCAGCCGGGAATTCGAACAAACACGACCATCTGTCTCGGCAAGATCGCCAAGTACCTTGGGACCTCGAGTAGGGCGAAAGTCCTCATTGCCGCTTTTACGAGATCGCTCAGGGATCCTTTCGTTCACGCCCGTAATGCGGCGCTGTTGGCCCTGGCTGTGACTGGCGACTACTTCTCGGAGGAGGATTGCGCAGGCCGTATCCTTCCGTCAATATGCCCGTTGCTTATCGACAAAGAAAAGTTGATTCGTGACCAGGCTAGCAAGACCTTGGATGTCTATCTGCAAAAGGTAAGAAAAGCAACGGCAAGCATGCCTGATACCGTCCTACCGCCACAGAACCCAGCGGAGAACTCGGGCCCGAGGATGGGCTCTCCCCAGCCGAATGGATCCTCATCATCAGCCTCGTGGGCCGGATGGGCTATTTCTTCCTTCACCAACAAGCTCTCCACTGCAGCGGGCGAGATCGAACCGTCTGCAAACAGCACCAAGAAGCCGGTCCCGGCATTGACCTCCTCCGCATCGGCTCTCCACCGCCAAGCTCTGAAGTCACCTCCCCGCGAGGCCCCCTTATCACGATCATCCTCGACCGGGAACGCAGCCGAGTCCTTCTTCCCGGATCCCGACCCGGCCGCCGACGACGACGGCGACGCGTGGGGCGACATGGACGATGCCGACGACTTCTTCGACACCCCCGCCGACCCGGCGCAGTCACCGTCGTCCTCCACGGCGACCCTTCCCAAGCGCGACGCCGCCGCCGCCGGGGCGAGCAGCAGGGCCGTAAGTGGGGCCAGCTCAGCAGCGGCGGCAGCCTCGGCGACGCCGTTCGACGACGGCGCGGAGCCCGACTTCGCCGGCTGGCTGGCGGCGCAGGCGCAGAAGAAGGCCGGGCCCGGCGGCGGCGGGAGGCCGCTGCCCAAGGGCCTGACCAAGGCGGCGGGCCCCGGCGGCGGTAAGCCCGTCGCGGCAGCGAGCGCGGCCAAGAGGCCCGGGGCCTTGGGTGCGGGTACGGCTCGGGCGGCGACCGCGAGACCCGCGCCGAAGAAGATCGACATGAAGCCGAAGGAGACGGGCAACGACGACGATGGCTGGGGGGATGGCTGGTGACACGGTGGCGGGAGTGTGGAAGGAGAAAAAGACCAGGGGGGCGGCGAAAGTGCATGCTTAGCACGGCGTTTTTTTGGGTTTCAAAGGGGCGGATACATCCATATTAACAGCCCTGAGAGTACGACTGGATACTGGTATCCCATAGTCATAATTATTAGCCTGCGTGAAATGCAAGGCTCTACCAAAAAAACCAACTTGGGTCGTCCCACCGTGAAAAGTCATCAAGGCCCTAATCCATGAATTCGAGAGTATAATAATACAATTTACGGGGGAAGCCGGTTAGCCCCCGCCCTATGCCCAGAAACTCCATGCTCTTCCATTGGACATGACCTTGCGCCGGCCTTACTCTGCCTTCTCAGCCTCATTTTGAAGCCCATCTGAACGAGACAGGGGAATACTTCGAGCCTATCTCGACTCCGAGTAGTCGTTCAGGGCGACGCACACGGCGCCGCGGTGGTGGCCGTTGTACTGCCTGATGATCTGCTGGCTCTGCAGCTCCCACAGGCGGGCGTAGTGGTCGGAGCAGGCGGTGACCAGGTAGGCGCTGTCGGCGCTGAAGGCGCAGTCCCACACCCAGCGCTGGTGGCCGGTCAGGGTGGCCTCGAGGGGGAAGGGCTTGGGCTCGCTGTCGGCCGGCGCGGGCTCGAGGTCCCGCACCTCCCAGATCTTGGCGGTGTGGTCCGCGCTGCACGTCGCCAGCTTCTTGACGTCGGGCGACAGGAGGATGCGGGTGATGTACTCCTTGTGCGCGTTGAAGTGCGTCACGGGGAGGAGCTGGGTGCGATCGTAGGTTTGGATCAGTTTCCAGACGAATACGTTGCCCTAGAAGGAGAGGGAGGGGTCAGTATATGTAGTATGTAGTATGTAGTAGGTAGTAGTGGCGGGAGAAAGCAGGCTCAGCTTGATGGAGGGAAACCCGACATACAACATTGTTTGCGGCACAGAGCAATGTTCCGTCACTGGCGACTGTTACGCTGGACACAGAGACATCGTCCTCTGGGATGAGCTGGTGAGAGCATGTGTTTTCGGCAAGGTCCCATATGCGAATGCTGCCCGCTCGATCGCAGCTGATGATCTCGCCTTGGTTTGGGTGTATGACAACATCGTTGGCGGGGGAGCCATGGTTGTAGCTTCTCTGGATCGTACCGGTTCTGGTCTCCCAGATCTTCACTGTGCCATCCTCGGAGCTTGTAACCATCCACTTCCCTTCGCAGTGGAAAGCGACCCCCGTGACATTGCCTGTGTGGCCTTCAAAGACAAGGATCGCGGCCGGGTTGGTGGAGCGTATATCGAATAGCTTCACAGTGTGGTGGCCTGCCGCGGCAAGGAAACGTTTGTCGGGGGATATGCATAGTCGATTGACCTGAGAGTCGGGATGCTGGATTGTGCGGGAACAGATCCCTGAAAGGGCCTCCCAGAACCTGGCGCAAACCGAGTCAGCTTATGAGAACCTTACGAGAACCGGGGGTGAGCGACAGTTGCGCACCTTATCGTATGGTCATAGCCAGCTATTGAGATGCAAGTTAGCCATGCCAGCGAGGTCGCAACAATCATAAGAGCTTTTACCCGTGCATAGGATGACAGACATGGTGTCAACTGTCAAGAGCCTAGGCCCATTGTCTGGGCCAAATTCTTGTTGTGGAGGGGGTGCTGAGCAAAGGGCAGTCTTTGTACTGTACTAATCTCTCAAGTATTTGGCAGTAGGTGCAAGGGTTAGGGTAAGGCCAAAATAACAGCTGGAAGCACTAATTTAAGTACTCGCACCGGCGGTGGTTTGGTTTGGTTTGGCGGAGAGCTGATATCTCGCGAGGCTCAAGCTGCATTGCGGGGCAGGTGGAACCCAGAGTGGAAGCTACAACTAAAATACAGTACCTACATGCATATGTAATTATGCAGCTGTCAGGCATGTATCAAAACAGATAGAATACTGTAAAGGGAATGCCGATCGATGGGTTAATGCATAACAATCCAACTACAGATACCTGTTTTCTAAGTAGGTTCATTTACCTCCATGCCAGCTAACAGACGAATCTAATCATCTGAAGGCCTTCCTGCTGCGGCGAAGCCAGGGCCAGGAAGCAAAGATGGTATGTAGCACATTCCACCACTAACGCGATGATCACCAGTTCTGGCGCCCAGTTTTCACGGAGCACCATGGGCTCATCACTTATTACAGGTCTGGATGACCTGCAAGACGGTGAAGAAACGTTGTGATTGAGCTATACCTGAAGTCATCAAATTGGGCGTGTCTTGAACACGTCGTACAACGCCAGAAACGAGAGTTCCGTCATAAGCCACAAGAACCCACAATGTCTTGGGAAATTCAGGGGCTCAGAAACCAAGGCACCGGTTCTGTACCACCACCGCACGAGGGGCTTGTTTCTCGGGTTCGTCCAACGTGCAACTGCTTCCGCAGATGCTCTCATCAGGTTCATATCCTCCTATTGGTGCTACAATAAAGTCTCGGGCGTTCTGTTGTGCCTAATTCTCCTCGCTCAAGACAAGAAGTCAGGTGCTCTTACACGAGAATGGCTCGCAATCAACCTCCAAGGCGAGCAAGTGCTGCATCTATTTTGCCATGTGACCAGAGTAGGTCGACTGATCTCCGGCGCCGGGACCGGGACCGGCGCCGGAACGTGGTCGCGGCGGCGACGGGGTAGAAAATTGGGGGCGTTGGATGTAGGTGAACATGGTTCCGTGGCAGTTGCTGCACTGATCTTTCCTGTTTCCAATCAGTACTCTTGTATCTGACAACCAGGTTATTCCTTACGTTCTCATGCTGCACTTCCCACATTCTTTTACTATCAGACCGCTATCACTCAGAGACCCAGTCTTGGGTACCCTTGATTCCATGCTTGGTACTCAAACTCTAGAGCGAAAAATAAGATGAAACAAGTGTCTTGAGAACGGAGGTGCTGAAGGCAGGGGCGTCGGGCTATTTGTTGTCGAACGGCTGTCCGGATGGAGCTTTGGGCAAGTCTGAGCTCCAAGAAGGGATACTTGGTTTATATATATAACGTCGTGAGATACTCACGTTGTCCAGGGCTTCCTTCATTCCACTGCCAAATGGATACACAGGTTCACCGCCTCCCAGCTTTTGAGATACCAGTTTCGAAATTTGACACTCACGGTTTTTGATCAGAGTATCACAACGGGGGTTTGTGGGAGGCGATCGAGTGATCATGATGAAGCCTCAGGGCGAGTTGTTTTACCATTCGACGAACACAGGACGTGGGTATTGAGAAATATTCCTCGCTCCTGCGCCAAAAATCCATGGCAGGCAGAATCAGCTGGCTATCCATGTAACCACAGCGGCAGCCCAGCCAACGCCTAGCCCCTGGTGAATGCTAGCCATTGTTGTCATCGTTGGTCGAGCCGAAGGCAACTTCCGAGTGTTTTAGTCGCCTTGCCCTAACAGTAATGGGGCGTCACCCTGGCCGTCCAACGCTCGTGTGCTTTGCCATATGCGTCGTCCAGGAACAGGAGCGCATAATCCGCGGCGCTGCAGCCACCCGCGCCTGTGGCTGCCATTGGATAATCCCTGTCTACGTCAGTCGTTTAGCTGCGAAACTTGGGAAACTCACCGACGGGTGACGGCATGTCAGCTTTGCATGATCCCACAACCCCCACTCTCGAGGTTGCGTCGAGTCCGGCTGGACTCCACGTTCTACCATGTTCAGATCCCGATTTCTGCGACTCTTCTTGGAAAGATTCAGGGGCATAGGATGAGCGATCATCCAATAGATTGAACGCCTTTTATTTCGTTGTACTCGAGAAGGAAATCTTCATTTATTCGGAACTGGACAGGCTTGTCAAAACGGAACTGGGGAAGCACCCGGGTGAACAACGTGGTCAATTGTCGCCTTGCCAGACCAGAGATCTTCCAAGAGGATAACGATCGAACGACGTCCCATAGCTACATACTTCTCAAGCTATAGTTACACTCAGCCTACCCATGTCGGCATAACGCTTTCCGCTGCTAGGCCTGTGTGATCCGGCTACTCGGCTTCCCTCTACTTATGTCACACCCTTTCAGAAGTCTCTTGATCTAAGACACCGGCCAATAGTTCTTGGCCAACAAACAAGCGACGGGCCAGTTTCTTGACAAATCAGTCGCCTATGCTTTCTCCCCGTCGCCACTGGTCATCACCGCGCGGCAACCCTCCTGCGAAGCAGTGTTACCCATGCTAGGTAGTGCTACCTTGTCAAGGGCGCCTCCACCGCACACCCCCCATGCCATGGCGCTGCGTCTTGAACGCTGGACTTGCGGTCAAGACCCAGAGATAGACACCACCTTTCCAAAATCCTGTCAGCAGACAACTCTCCTGGTGTTGACCGACATTTCACTCTACACAACAGTTTCCTGGCTGGGATGTTGGGTCCAACTTGAACCGACTTTGGTTGGATTCCTAACTCAGGGAGAATCTGCCGACCGAAAAGGCGCCGAGCAAGATCGATTGCCATCGAAACTGTGGCGATATCTGGCCCAACAGTGGGTACCCCGGAATCGCTGTTGGCGTGGGAGCACCAGGCTCTTGGCCAATCTTTCACCGATCGATAGATGCCTAGGGGCCTGTCAAATGAGTGAGCATAATGCCATGTGTAGCCATAGGTTCTCGGTTGGAAACGTATGTGGTAGATGAGAAATACAGGCTTCGGCTGGGCACAGAAGAGAGTGCACCAGACATGCAACGAGGTCTTGTTCCAATGGAGCCATCAAACCTTAGGCTTTGAGTCTCTCACCAAGCCTTGGCCGAGCAGAATCCCGCCGGGCTCATGGTGTACCGGTTCTTACCTCCTCCTTGATCAAGCGTAGCTCGGGGTGCAAGGGGATGCTGTTCCAAAAATCCAGGGAAGCCCCTTTTTGGAGTACAGATTCTTCAAGTCGGCCTGCAACCAGAGGAAGCAAGACAGCCTAAGACCAAATGAACCTGTTCTTATTTAATTTCCACACTTCATGTATCGACCTTCTCTTCTTGAGCTGCACTTTATCTGAGGCCTCGTTTAAATGAGGTTTGCCGATCCTGGATATGGTAGACAATATGAGTGGTAAGATGGCAGAGCCTTCATAAGTCCATGCTCTGAGACGAATTACAAAGCGCACAAAATTCCATTTCCGTTTCCAGGGCTGAGCTCCTACGACTCTAGGGCTGAGCAAAAGCTAACAAGGCCACGTCGACAATCTCGTGGCATGGTTGCACATGCGCAGGATTCGTCCTTCCGATCAGGCACGCAGGCGTGTCCATCTTTCACTATACTCTCCCGCTCATCATCCTAGGTTCGTACTCTGATTTGTGGTTCAGAGAGCGACAGCAACACATTCCCACGGAGAGGGATGGGATAACGCCTCACCGAGCTAATGGCAGAAGATGAACTATTGTCCTTCACCAAAATTTGCTTAGGAGAGCCCGCGTACAAAGGAGAGCTAGAACCACTAGAGTACTTTAATAATAACGCTTTAATATCCACTTACACTAGTTGGACCATATACAAACTCCTCAAGCTCCTCATACGCCTTCTCGAGATCATCGTTGACAATGATGATATCATGAACGCCCGGCGTGTCGGCGTACTCAAGCTCGACTCTAGCCTGGGCCAACCTTTTCTGGATGTCCTCCTCCTTCTCTGTGCCCCGGCTCCTAAGCCGGGCCTCGAGCCCCTCGAAACTCGGCGGCTTGATAAAGACGTAGCGCGCATCGATGCCGGAGTTTGCCTTCATCTGCTTGATGCTTTGCATCTCGATATCCAACACGACCACCGCCCCCTTTGCCGTCTGGTCTGCAATGGTCTGCTTGCTGGTGCCATAGTAGTGGCCACCGGTGGTAGTAAAAGAGGAAACAATGCGCGTAAAAGTGGTGAAACCTTGATTGGGAAGAGCCGCACAGACTGAAGTCTCATCGCACAAGATGGTTGATCAACCCTAATATCTGCAACCACCTCTCTCTCGGTTTTCCCACAAGGCATGTAAATAAAAAACTCTAGGAATTGACCTCAATTTCAGGCACACGCTCCCTCCCTTTTCTTTCCTCGCCCTACCTAAAAAACAATAGCAGATGGCGACCCTGAGTGGAAATGTAGGGTACGCAACCAACTTCCCCCCCCCCCCCCCCCCTTTTCTTTCAGTTGTTTACGATGGGTTATGAATACCAGGTAACGTCAATTTCATAAGTCTCTTTTCTATTTATTTGTATCTTGCCATTGAACTCTCAGCCTCAGGATCACACTAGAATATGTTGTCCAACACCATCAAAGTGAGAGGGAAGTTTCTCTCCCTAACTAGTAGTTTGGTCTCGAAGGGCAAGTAGTAATTGGCATGACAAGGCGTCTCTCTCTTTCTTGCGTAGAGTTCTTGGAAGATGTGTTGTGGAACTGCCTTCTTCAAAGACAACCTCTTGGGGTATCCTGAGATGCAACCCAAATAGGACCCCCTAATCGTGATATTCCGGGTGGGCTTCATTGATGAACCGGTATTGAAAATGATGAAAATAATTCAACGAGAAATATGGGATTTAGCCATTGGATCCTGACATAACAAGCTCGACCGCAGACGGAAATGTTACCTGCAGACTAAAGTTTCTCGGAGAGGTCGCCTACACTAACTATCAACAATTAGACGTGGGTAAAAAGTACACGAAGATCCCCGCCAGTTGACCCACTCAGAGATGAATGTAGTCAGGCCTGCTTTTGGCAGTAAAATGGGCTCTTCCTGCATAACCGAAGAAGAGCTACAGGGGCACGGAATCAGGGATACTCAGCCGCCCTCTCACGCGCGAGAATTCCTTCCATTCCTTTCTTTTCTAGTACGCTTCAATATGTAGCCCCAATGGGGATCTAACCTATGATAGCAAAAAAACCTCAAATAGAACTGTTATAGATCTGTCAGATCTCACTTTACCCCGAGTCAAGGAAGAGCTGATTGTATAAGAGAGAGAGAGAGATAGCCAGTTATATGTACGCCACAGAGGTTGCTTATTGATTGGGCTTCGCGCTCTGCCCTGACTTGCCGCAACCCGACCCCTGTCCGCTTTGACCCATATTGATTGGAAATCCACACCCTTGGCAGTGTAAGCCGCATATGCCGGGGCCTAATATGGTTGCATTTGAATCCTTCAGGAATCAGGGGCTGCGCCGCAATGTTATAGCGCGACTAGGGTGACACGTTAGCCGCCCAACTCTTTCAAGGATATTAAGATAAGATCAGAGCCTCATGTTTCTCTGGACGCTCTGTTGGTCCTTGTCTCTCACGCCTACCATCGCCAAAGCCCGAACATGGCTACAGAACCACCTATTTATGACTATGGGTCAGCACAGTACCACCACGGTTATGGTGTAATCCAGAATGAGCACAATGAGAATCACGCCCACCAGAACCACCACGGTTATGGTGTAGTCCAGAATGAGCAGAATGAGGATGGCATACATGCCCACCAGAACTACTACGGTTATGGTGTGACCCAGAATGAGCAGAACGAGGATGGCATACATACCCGCCAGAACCACCACGTTCCGGATCATGACGAGCCCAAGGGTCCCTTGGCCACGTCGACCGATCTTGGGTCTTACCAAGCTATCAGCTGGCCTGGTGGCCCCATGGCCCTTCGTGAATCCATCATCTTCAATGTCTTGAACGGTGTCTTGGATACGCTCCTCATCCTGGTTACTCTCGCCTTTCTCGGTGCGCATACATTGAGTGGAGCAAGTTACCCTGCAATCAGCTAATACGGGCAAAGGTCTGGCCATCATGGCGATGCGCCTCGAGGATACTTCGACTGAGACATCGTTGGGATCTCGCTTTGAGGAGGCAATGAAGCTTGTAAGCCTTCCAAGAGCCTAGCCGACGGGAAGACGCGCTCATGCTAACGACGAGGAAGGCGCCGACCATCTACCCCCTTTTGTTTGCAGCAATTATCGGGCGAGCTCTAAAAGGGATTGGGCGCTTTCGAGCAGAGCGTGGCTCGCAAATCTCGGTGAGATCATCCGCGGCCCCCCGATGCTGGGGGAAGACTCGTTGCTGACGGAGAGGCCTTAGACTCTTTGGCCCTTGTTCAACAATAAGACCATGTTCGACGCCGTTATCAGCCAATGGCAGCTGGGACAAGTCAGCGTCGTCGCATCGGGTCTCGTTATCTTGTGGGCCTTGTCACCGCTCGGCGGCCAAGCGGCGTTGCGGCTGGTATACCGGACCAACTTGACCAGTATCGCGACCCAGGATCTCAGATACCTCGATACTGGTACTCTGGGGAACGTGTACGCATTCCAGGCCGTGATGGCGGAGAATGACGTCGAAAAGGACGCTGCAGGGATCCCGAGTACCATGCCGACTCTGTACGAAGCCGCCTTGATGCAAGCCGCAACCATCAAGCGAGGGCCGGTGGACAACTGGGGAAATATAAAGATACCGCGCGTGGACCAGTTGAACTCGTCTATGGCCGACCCAGACGGCTGGATCGATATCGGCAACGAGACCTCGGTAGAGTCGTATTATTCTCTCCTCGGCCTGCCCATCGTCAACCTTCCCACCGAAGGCGTCGCCGAGTTCACCGTCGAGTCCGTCTATGTCGCGCTCGCGGCTGCATCACACCGATCGTTTGGCCCGCCTCGTATCAATAACGTGACCAACAGACTGTTCGCCGGCTTGGAAATCACCTGCCCAGACTGTATCAACCGATTCCAAAACTCGCGTACTAGCGAAAACAACACGATAATGCAGACTCGACAGAGGATGCTCTGGGGCCCTCCGTATCCCCAGCCCGACGCCGCAGAGTTGGCAGATGTGGCGAACTCGGGAGCCCGCTCCATCCGATTCGACTCTGGCACGACCGGCGAGGGGTCGTCTTTGACCGGCATGTCTACAGTGATGTGCACGGTGACCCAGCACTTTGTCGAGGCAGACATACGCTGCGTCTTTGGGAGTTGCAGAGCAGAACGGGTCCGAGTCTCAACCACAGACCATCGGCACCCCAACATAACGACCTTCGACTGGTGGGGTACCTCTGCTCTGGACATGATCTCGGTCCTAAGCAGTTCGTACTCGTCGACAGTGTCGAGTTCCTCCGACCTGTTTATGAACGACAGCAACAGCAGTCCCACAAAACCAGCCTTCCAAACCCCTCTCAAGAGCATGGTAAACATAAGCTTGGCGGATCCGCAAATCTTTGCAGACCGCGCGACGATGCTCCTCAACACGGCCCTCCAAATCTTCATGGCGCCCTCGGGCTTCACGGGGGACTTGCCGAAATCCGACATGTCAGTCTACGGACTCCCCCATATCCCCGCAGACGGAGTCATCGTAGGGTCAGAGGCTATCAACCACGATTCTTCGGTCCCGAACGACATTGGGATGCTGGTCCAGACGAGCAACAAGATGGCGCCATTCGTCGCAGCCAACACCACTGCAAAGGTGACGACCTTCAATGAGGTATACAAGCCGGACCGCGCGTGGGTCGCTGTGCTGATCCTCTCGTCAACCGTGCTCCTCATCACCGGGGTCTCAGGGATGTTCCTGGGCAGTCGAACGCGAGCCCCGGACGTCTTCGACCCCCTGATGGGCCTGACATACAACAATCCTCACCTCAACGTCCCCGGACATGCCAGCACCCTGAGTGGCAGTGAGAGAGCGAGGCTGCTCTCTGGTGTGACGGTCCGCCTAGGAGACGTCCGGCCTTGCGATGGGGTCGGCAAAATCAGCCTTGGACAGAAAGCAGATGTCCAGCAGTTGAGCAAAGGGAGGCTATATGAATGATGGCTGAATGGGAAAGCAATATGTTCCACTATAATATACCCGCCTTGTTTGCCATGGCGTTGTAGGCATGACCAGTTTATATGCCCAGGTAGCAATTGTTGAATTTCTGACTGCAAGTACCTGGTTGTAATCCATCCAACCTAGGTACTTAGGCTAGGTGCATAGGTACCTAGGCAGGTACTATGCCATTGGACAGACCCACATGAACGTTCAAGGGTCTGGGTCGGGGACCCACCACATTAATAAGTAGCGCGTCTCAGTCCCGCCAAAAGCGCGTCTCGCCCGCCACGAACGCCGACTCATACAACGACTCGTAAAACGACTCGACACGACTCCTATCTACCTACATCCAGAGTCCAAGAACCTCGAATATCCGCTCAAGGCACCACACCCTGCGCGTCCCTTTCACAACCGGCCATGTCCGTCATAATGCAAGCCCCCATCTTCTCATTCGGCGGCAGCAGCAGCAGCAGCAGCAGCGATGCCCGCCGCCGCCCATCCCATCGCCCAGCCGTGTCCTCGCCGCTCTCCTCGTCTCCCATCCGCGCTCCCTCCTACTCCCCGCCGCCGTCGGCGGGCCCGCTCTCGCCGCGCGAACCCAACGGCCTGCCCAGGAGCCAGCAGCAGCAGCAGCAGCAGCACTCGGACACGCAGTCGTCCCCGATCCCGGCGCCGCCGTCCAAGTTCCGGTTCGCGACCCGGACGCCGCGGCCGAACCCCGTGGTGCGGAGGCGCGAGGACGCGCAGGAGAGCAGGCGCCGGCTGTTCATGCGGGACGTGCGGCAGAGGGCGGACGACAAGAAGTGGGAGCGGAGGGGGGGTGAGCAGGAGGTTCGTCGTCCCCCCACATTTACACGCCCCGACCGATGTCGGGTTCTTGTTGAGCTAGCTGACTGACTGATTAACGCCGCGAGTAGTTGCTCAAGCTGGAGTGGTGGCGTCTCAACAGGGAGATGCAGGAGGCCAAGGAGGAGGAACTGGCGCGGTTCGGCACCGACGAGGACATCGAGGAGGCGGCGCGACTTCAGGAGGAGATGGCCGATGCCGTCTTCTCCTCTGGCGGTGACGGAGACGACGACATGATGATCGATGACATCGCTCGGGCGGAAGAGGCGGAGCTTGAGGCCCTGCTCTCGTCCATGCCCCACACGCCGCCGTCAAGCAATCAAATGGTGGACCCAAGGACGGATTCGCCGTCTTTCTCAGACGACGACGATTACGACTCCCTGTTCATGGATTTTGCTGCACAAGAAGACCCGCTGCAAAATCCACACTATAAAAGAGGCCGGGAGATGGCTTGCTCACAAGATATGGATATGTCTTGAGATTTGCTGAAGCTTAGGATTGTGTATCAAGCATTGCATTGGCCTCAAATCTGGCTGGAGTTCAGGTATCATGGGACACGGCGTTGGGGGATTCAGGGGTGCTTTGACGCAATGGAAATTCCATGTATAATCTTTAGAATTCGCGAGGTATCTGAGATTCAGAGCTGGACAAGGGTCTCCAGCAAACCAAGCACCAACCCAAATGGCCCTTCATTGCGGGTTACATGATTCATCTGGGGAATTGAATGCCTCTTGTGCAGAAGGCATGTCCCCGACTAGATCTGCTGGTGGAGAGCCAGCAGCTTGCATCTTAAAAGTGTATGTGTTAGCAAGCTTGCTCAGCGACCAGATAACGGGATCAGTTTGCTTACCTTCTGCATCCTATCGACGATATACTCTCGATAGGCGGCATTTTCATCTGTGTAGTCTGGCTCCTCAAACTTGGCGACGATTTCTCTAACAAAGCCCTGCTGTTCTTCGTATCGCTTCAGGTCCTCTTTTGAGGTTTTATCCTTGTTCTTTTCCAGCCAGTCCGGGAACTTGTCGTCCAGCTCCTTCATAGGCTCATAGAGGATTTCCTTGTTAGTGAGCTGCTCCATCATCCCCAAGAGCATCTTGGAAAGCTCCTCGTCGTTGCCTTCGCCCTCGAGATCGCCGGCCTGCATCTGCTTAAGGAGCTCTGCCACAAAGTCATCCGAGCCCTCTGCAGTGGCGGCAGCGGTGGCCTGCTCGCCAGAGTTCTGCATCCGCTCCATTGTGCGGCGGATGGTATCCTGGAAAGAGGCATCTGTGGCCGCCGCTTCCGCTGCTTGAGCACTGCTGGAAGCCCCTGCTGGCGAAGCTGGCGCCGAATCAGTGGCTGGGGCAGCGGCCGCGGCCGCAGCCCCGTCCAGTTCTTTGAAAATGCTCTCGAACTGTGCTTTCATCTCCGTCTGCATTTCTATCAGCTCATGAGAATAATCACTCTATCTCTGGGAGGCTAACCGAGTTTTCTATTTCGCCTAGAAGATCGGCCATTCCAGCTTGGAGTTGCTTTGCGAAGTCATCATCGGACAGAATGTCGTCCATACTCGGCATCTTCACTCCCTCTGCGGCACCGGCTACAGTTGGCTGGCTAGGCTCCGACAGTACTTCTGTTTTCTTCTCATCGAGTTTCACAGTTGAGAACTCGTCAAGCATATCTGAATAGGCTGTTAGATCTCTAAGTCTACCTATGAGACAACATCAGGGGTACATGCCGTCCAAATCATCAAGGTCGTCTTCATCCGGGTCAGGCACATCGGCAAAGTCTTCCACTGGCACCTGGTTCTGCTTCTCCGGAGAGTCATCCTTTCTCTCTTGGCTGACGTCGCCAGCCTTTGTGTCTGTCATGACGAACTCCAGGTGGACATAAAAGGTCTTGTGGCAAAGGAATCGAAGAGAACCCCACGTCTGAAGGTGATGTAAAAAGACCAGAGAAAGGTCTAGTGCGGCGCCAAAAAGGAGATATCGAAAAGGAAATGTTGTGGCCTCGGATTGCAGTTGCTTTCTCAAGCACGGGTAAGCAATGCAGTAGTAAGAGGGCGTTGAGAGGGAAATGGAGCTGGAAGCATGTGCGATTTGGAGCTTGCCCCTCCACAACTACACACAGCGCTGGGCTAAGGGGAATAATTTCCTTTTCAGTGTAGCTCTTGAAGGCGCCTTCTACTTTGCTGACAAGTTGTTGTCTACGGATGAACTACTAGGTACTTAGGTAAGCTGCCTACTTCTATCTGAGATATTCAATAAATTAAGAGATTGTCATTTCTTTGGCCTGTGAGAACCATCACAGCTTCCTTCATTCTGCTTCCATCTTGTCCTTAGGTAAGCTGACATCCGAGGCCCATCGCTTAGGTATGTAGGGAGATACCTAGGTAGCACTAACATCCATGCCGAACTACCAACATGCCGAGCTACCACAGTGCCCCAAGTCACAGCCATCTAGGCCACCCAAGCCAGGCAGCTGCCCGCCTGTTTAAGGCCTGAAGAAAAGCGGCGTCAAAATTCCCGATTCGCCTCATCCATTTGGTATCCCACCTTCCCAGTGCTTCCATCGCCATTCCCTCAAGTCCCCCCTACGGTTCTCCATCCACCCCGCTTATCTGCAGGGTGTGCATAGACCTATCGCTGTTCACTGCTCAGCGCCATCCCCAGTCAACGCCCTGAATCCGGATCTCCAACTTTAGGGATTCTACCTCGCATCGGCGACTGGCAGAGCTCTACATCAACCATGGCTCTGTGTCAGAACCGTCTTCAGGAGGAGCGGTAAGAGATAACCCGGCTGTGGATTTTGCTTCGCCATCTCGCCTGTCAAACGGCCTGACTGACGCGTCTCTTGACCTGCAGCAAGCAATGGCGGAAGGATCATCCTTTCGGCTTCTATGCGAAACCCCAGCGCACCCCTCAAGGGGTCCTCGATCTCAAGATATGGGAGTGTGGTATTCCGGGCAAAGATAAGACAATCTGGGCAGGTGGACTGTTCAAGATGACGATGACTTTCCCTGACGGTGCGCCCTCCCCTTTCTCCGTCTCCTCTGCGCGCACTATGAGGACCCAGTTTGCTGATCGAAGTTGTCACTATCATGCAGAATATCCCACGAAGCCCCCCAAGTGTGAGTCCGCCTCCAACTCCGCCTCCACGCCCGCGAGAGATTCTTGCGCCGCTGGCTGCTGGGCTGGACTAACAACCCCCGTAGGCAAATTTGTCCCCCCGCTCTTCCATCCGAACGTCTACCCTTCGGGGACCGTGTGTCTATCCATTCTCAACGAAGAGGAGGCCTGGAAGCCGGCTATTACCATCAAGCAAATCCTGCTCGGCGTACAGGACCTACTCAACGACCCAAACCCCGAGTCGCCGGCGCAGGCCGAGGCATACAACCTCTTCAAGAAAGACCGGGCCGAGTACGAAAAGCGCATCAAGCGCGTTGTGCGCGAGAATCCTGCACCATAGAGGGCATTGCCGTCGGGGAGTTTGAAGTGAAGGGCGGTTTGGCACACTAGGCATTGACGATCTGGTTATGAAGGCACTGGAGTTCATGGAATACCAAAGACGGTTCTTGCTTTATTCGGAGTTAAATGGCCGGGGACGGCTCATAGCTCGGCGTGCCATGCGAGGAGCCATACGAAAGGTCTGGTAATGCTGCAATCTACAGAAAGATTTGCTTGGGATCCATCCTGGGTCCATAATCCTGGGTTCCCTATTACCACCACTACCACCACGGAGGGCAGGCAGGACAACGTGATCCGGTCTTGCCGCTTGCATCGTTCCATTCCAACCCCGCTGAGGAAATTATAGAAGGATGTGTGACTTGCAACGAGATGTTGGTCCAAGAGAGGGTCCCCACGCCAGAAGCCACAGACTGAATGCACCCCGCGCTTGATGCCTGCCCCTGATGCCCTGCGTAGCCCCCTCCTTACTTACCTCCATCGATAAGCCGTATTCTGTGTCTCCCCCGCAATTAGATAGCGGTGGGAGTGGAAATCCCGCGCTGCATCATGATTACGGCTCTGGTCCCCCCAATGATGTTTCTTCTATTACGCCTCCCCTTCCCAGGGTCTCTTCGTAAATGCAAGGACTCGCCTCACGTGGATTCGGGTTCGCGGGACGAAGGCAAAGCGTGGCCGCCTCCCAAATCTAGATCTCTTATCAGCCCGGTTTAGGTAATATGGAGCCCCAAATACCACCCTCCCAGCCAATAGATGGGATATCCGACATCGGCCATAGGATGTGACTCCCGCGAGACGACAGGACCCAGGGGCAGGGCTAGCTAGCCTAGACACACGCCTCTTTAGCTTAACAAAATTCATTCCGCTGCTTGTTTGAGGAAAGGGTATGTGTCATTCTGGTATACCTGTAGACACTATCTAACCTTAGGTGGCAGAATTCGGGACTGCAAACAATTTTGCGGACTTGTGACTCTTTGACTATTTTCTTCCTCCGTCCCTCCAATATCTCCAAAGTCCCTCCTCCCTCATTCACCCTTCTTGCTCAAGCATCACCGGTTCCTGTGCTTTACACGCTCCGATACGTGGTTCTAAGTTTAAAGTTCCCTAACCTCGGCGCCGACTGGCTGTAGGATCCGCATCTCAACACCAGAAACTCCTCGAGTCCCAAGAAGTTCTACCCGCTACGGAAGATACACATTCACAATGTGTGGCATATTCGCCTGTCACTGGTGAGTGTCTTCGATTTTTTAAAAAATATTCCTGCCTTTTGCCACGGTATCAAGAATGCGATCGCGGATGTGTTAATCTTTTTTGGAGGGGCAACTTGACTCTCTGCCCCGCCATTGCCCCTCGCCAATTGAACTTCAGCTAAATCCAAGCAGTCATCCAGACGTCAAAAAGTTCAAGCCGACTGCTCTTCGGCTCTCGAAGGCGTATGTGATCCCCTCAATCGAACCCCAAATCCTCCATGGAACAGCTCAATTGACTCGGATCTTGCAGAATTCGGCATAGGGGACCTGACTGGAGTGAGCATCTACATCCACATCTGAGTCATGCGACACAACATAGCAAACAAGCGGCGCCTCCTTTGCTGACCATATCTACCAATAACTAGGCGGGAGTGTCATCTCTAACAACACGAGTATGTGATGGACTCGGATTGCGAACCCTGCTTCTCATGTCAAGGGGGCTAACCTTATCCTCGCAGTACTTTGCCATGAACGACTCAGCATCGTCGGCGTCGGTATGTTGCTTTCAGCAATCTTCCATGCCTTGACCTGGTTAACTTACAACGAGACAGAGAGCGGAGCTCAGCCACTCACCAATGCTGATGAGAGCATTATCCTCGCCGTCAATGGCGAGATTTACAACCACCGTCTGATCCGGAAGGGCCTGACGAACCCCTACCACTTCAAGACCACGTCGGATTGTGAAGTCATCATCCCCCTGGTAAGTCCCGCTGCCCAGCAATCAGCCCCAGTGGGAGCTAGTATGCTGATGATCGCCGCAGTATATGCAGTATGGTATCGATGCGCCAAAATACCTCGACGGCATGTTCTCCTTCGTCCTCTACGACAAGAACCTCGATCGCACCATCGCCGCCAGAGACCCTATCGGCATCACCACCTTCTACCAAGGTTGGTCGTCCAAGGAACCCGGCACTGTGTACTTTGCCTCCGAGCTCAAATCCCTGCACCCGGTCTGCGATAAGATCGAGGCTTTCCCCCCGGGCCACATCTTCGACAGCAAGACCAACGAGAGGACACGGTACTTTGAACCCTCGTGGTGGGATGGTTCGAAGACTCCCGACACCCCCCTGGACTTGAAGCTCCTCCGCGAGACCTTGGAGAGATCTGTTCGGAAACGATTGATGGCCGAGGTCCCTTACGGTGTTCTGTTGTCCGGTGGCCTCGACTCGAGTCTGGTCGCCTCGATTGCGCAGCGGGAAACCCTGCGGCTCCGGAAATTGGCGGAAGCTGCCGGCGAGGACGCAGAGCAGAAGCCCGAAGAGCAGGACCGTGGCGAAGGCCTAGTGGGTATCGATGATGACAACCAGCTGTCGACCATGACCTTCCTCCCACAGCTCAACTCGTTCTCGATCGGTCTCCCCGGGTCTCCCGACAACAAGGCCGCTCTCGAGGTTGCCAAGTTCCTCGGCACTAAGCACCACGTCATGACTTTCACTATCGAGGATGGTCTCAACGCATTGTCGGATGTCATCTACCACCTGGAGACGTACGACGTCACGACCATCCGTGCTTCGACGCCCATGTACCTCCTTTCGCGGAAGATCAAGGCCATGGGCATCAAGATGGTCCTGAGTGGCGAGGGTAGCGACGAGATTTTCGGCGGCTACTTGTACTTCCACAACGCACCCGACAGGGCAGAATTCCACGACGAGTGCGTCCGCCGAGTCAAGAACCTACATCTTGCCGACTGTCTTCGGGCCAACAAGTCCACTTCCGCCTGGGGCTTGGAGGCACGTGTTCCCTTCTTGGATAAGCGATTCCTCGAGGTCGCCATGGACATTGACCCGAAGGAGAAGATGATCACCAAGGAGCGGATCGAGAAGTACATCCTGCGCAAGGCCTTCGACACGTCCGACGACCCAGACGCCGAGCCGTACCTGCCGGAGAAGATTCTGTGGCGGCAGAAGGAGCAGTTCTCAGATGGCGTCGGCTATGGCTGGATCGATTCCCTGAAGGACCACGCCGAGATCCACGTCACTGATGAAATGATGAAGAACCCGAAGCCCGAGTGGGGCAGTGATATCCCCGACACCAAGGAAGCGTCAGTTGAAGCATCTTGCCTGAATGCATTTTTTGGGCGCGATTGCTAACCCTCCGAATAGGTACTGGTACCGCTGCATGTTTGACGAACACTTCCCGCCGTCATGCGCTTCGACGGTCATGAGGTGGACGCCCAAGTGGTCCGCGCAGACAGACCCCAGTGGCAGGTATGTTTTTTGTCATGTTCTCCCGCAACATGTAGATTAGGTTACTGACTGGCTGCTCAGAGCGATTTCCATCCACCAGGCCAAGTACGAGGACGCGTGAGGAGGGATTCGCACAGGTACCTAGCATTTCTCATGCATTTCCGGCTATCTCGTCATGCCGGGGGCGTCCAGAGGGATCAAGAGGGCAGCGATGGGATAGACAGCGAAGTTGGAATGGAAATTTGGATGCAACTGTTTGGTACATATATATATCATATATGGAGACTTCTTATAAATCAGATTGAGTCGTAGAACTTCAGCCATTGATCTCAAAATTATCAAGGCTTGGGTAGATTTGTTGGGGCTGATCCTGGATCTTTGACCGCTGAAATTGCTCGAGGGCATCGTGACTTTCAAATTGAGCTGTAGGCCGGTGGTACTTAGGTACTTACCCACCTAGGTAGTGGAGACAGGCCCAACATTACTGGAGTCCCGTCGGCATGGTGAAGTTGAGTGCATCCATTCGGGGTCCACTGTCCAGCCCGTGGCTCCAGCCTACCAATCAACAGAATTCGCAACACCTTTTCGATCTGTTACTCTTCGGCAGCGCATTGACCCCCTCCCTCATTTCCAACATAACCCGAAGACTCCAACCGACAACCTCCTCTTGCGGCTCCCCCATCAGTTGTAACTCTATAATCATCCCATCTTCCTACCTCCTTTACTCAATCCCACTGTCATCATGTCTGTCCCGGCCTTTGCGGATATTGCCAAGTCGGCAAATGACGTACGTTTAAGGATCCAATTCTCGAGAGCTTGCGAGCTTTTCCCGCAATTCACTCCTATTTCGCGACGTGTCGAGACTCACAATTACTGCCTCTCTAGCTCCTCAACAAGGATTTTTACCACCTGTCTGCCGGAACCCTCGAGGTCAAGAGCAACACCCCCAACAATGTTGCATTCAAGGTGACCGGCAAGAGCAGCCACGACAAGGTCACCAGCGGAGCGGTAAGTTTTTGCCCTTCCCTGCCGAGACACCATCCCCGGTGCTCGGCCCAATGACATCGGCGATGCCTCGAGAGCCTTGAAGCTAATCTGCTCCGTCAATGGTATAGATCGAGGGAAAATACTCGGAGAAGCCATTGGGTAGAGACCCCGTCACCACTTCAGCTGCTTTGTCCCCCACAGCCCCCAAGCGCCCGCGTGTTTCGCGACGTGCTTCCAAAAATTCCATCAACCCACCGCAACTGCATCTGTCTCGAATCGGGGGCTCCCTTTCCAATGGAGACCCCCTGGAGTTCAGGGCGCTGCTGGTCCCCGGCTATGTGCAACTGCTAATGCTTTACCATCGAACAGGCTTGACGCTCACTCAGACCTGGAACACTGCCAACGCTCTGGAGAGCAAGCTTGAGCTGGCCGACAGCCTGGCCAAGGGCCTGAAGGCCGAGGGTATCTTCTCCTTCCTGCCCGCCGCCCAGGCTCGCGGTGCCAAGTTCAACTTGCACTTCAAGCAGCCCAACTTCCACGGTCGCGCCTTCTTCGACCTGCTCAAGGGCCCCACCGCCAACGTCGACGCCGTCATCGGCCACGAGGGCTTCCTCGCCGGCGCCAGCGCCGGCTACGATGTCCAGCAGGGCAAGGTGACCGGCTACAGCGCCGCCGTCGGCTACCTCGCCCCCACCTACACCGCTGCCGTCACTGCCACCGACAACCTCAGCGTCTTCGCTGCCAGCTACTACCACAAGGTCAACAGCCAGGTCGAGGCTGGCGCCAAGGCCACCTGGAACTCCAAGAGCGGAAGCACCGTCGGCCTCGAGGTTGCCAGCAAGTACCGCCTGGACCCCGTCTCCTTCGTCAAGGTTTGTTCATCCACCCCCTTTGGCGCTCTACTCTAGACAAGACTGACACGAGGGCGCGATACACAGGGCAAGATCAACGACCGTGGTGTCGCCGCCGTTGCCTACAACGTCCTCCTCCGTGAGGGTGTCACCTTCGGCATTGGCGCTTCCTTCGACACCCAGAAGCTCGACCAGGCCACCCACAAGGTAAGTCTCGAGGCCGTTGAACCACGAAAAATGTTGTGGACAGTAGCTAAACCAAAACACAGGTCGGCACCAGCTTCACCTTCGAGTCCTAAGATGCGTAGGCGAGCCGCGATTCCCCGAATCTTGGCCTGGAACGGATCCATTTTAGGTCAATAACCCATGGAGCTTTTAGTCACGCTGTAATAATTCTTTCGAATTTCGCATTCGGGTGGCGCTTGTCTGGAGTGTAGATTAGACCTTAGCCTGTGATTGTGAATACGAACCGATTGCAAAAACCACTCAGAGTAGTTGGTGATGTGTTATTTGTAGATTAGTGCTGCATCCTGAACGCCAGCCATGTCTTCTTCTGATCCACTCATGTACATGTACAAGGACAGAAAATGTGATTCATGTATATCTGTTCAAAGGTAAGGTAGATAGCTAGGTACATAAGATAGATGCTACAAGCAGGCTCCTACGCCGCCCTTTTCCTCTCCCCGCCAATCTTACCGGCGGGGGGCCCGGCGCCTCTCCCCTTCTGCCAACCCCCAAACGCAAGGAACGGGAAAAACACGGCCGCGACGATGGCGCCGCTGACGAGGAAGAACCCGGCGGCGATGCCCGTGTCGGGCCCGATGGTCATCCCCCGCCCCGCCATCCTCCTCGCCCGCCTCTCGTCGACCCTCCGCTGCGTCCGCTCGTGCGCCTCCCGGTCAAAGTGCGGCACCTCCTCCCGGCGGCCGTACGGGTCCTGCCCGGGTCCCATGCCGCCCACTCCCCCTCCCCCGCCGGCGCCGGCGCCGCCGGTGCTCTCCTCGTGCGCGGCCCGCCGCTTCGCCCCCTGCGCGCCCCAGCCGCCCGACCGGAAGAAGCTGGGCGGCGGGCCCGTGAAGGTGCCGCGGCGGCGGCTGAGGCCGCTGGCGGGGCGGCCGCCGGCCGGGCTGGTGCCGGCGCCGGCGCCGGCGGTGTTGCTGTGGTAGGAGCCCCGGTGCCGGTGGTTGTGGCCGCCGGGGGCCCGGCGCATGACGTCGCGGTCGTAGTGGGCGCGCTTGTCGGCGTGGCCGAGGACCGAGTAGGCTTCGCTTATGCGCATGAAGCGGCGGCCCGCGTGGGGGTCGGAGGGGTTGTGGTCTGGGTGGTGGGATTTGGAGAGGGCGTAGAAGGATCTGGGGACGGGAAGCAGGGGAGTTGGTTAGTTAAAGGGCGAAGGGTAGGTAGGGTTGATTGTAGTTGCGGTCGTGGGGGGCGGCGTTGGGCCGTGAGGTGCTCACCTCTTGATATCCGTGTGCGAGGCATCTGGGTGGACGTTCAATGTCTCGTAGTGGTTATTGTGATCGACGTCATCGCGGAGGCTGCGAGAGCCGTGAAACCATCTTCGGGAAGTCCATGATGGACACGATGGGAGGTCACAACGCACAATGAGAGTCGCGCGGATTGGGGCGTAGCGGAATGGCATGCCTCATCTCGAGAGCTGGTCGACGCTGCGACCATAGGTCTTATGAGGGTTATGGAAACTGAATTTACTTCTTATCCCTGGTTGTTTCTAGAGGTCATCTTTCGCAGGATGACGCCGATGCAGGAGGTTGGCGGACCTGCAGCCTGTGTGGCTTGGCGGCATGGTGCGCCACCAAGCAACGCTTGACCCCTCGCTACAGAAAATTGATCATGGCGGGGTACGGTACAGGTTAGTCGTTTAACCTTATATCCTGTCCACCCAACCCTCTCATACAATCGTCTTTCCCAGGAAGGCATTTACTTGTTCACGGGCCAAAATCTATCAAGTTCGAAATGCCGGAGCAAGCTCCGACAGAGGAGCTCAAAAAGCTCAGTGGTAAGTATCAGTCACACACAACCGCAGACTACAGCCTCTGACTTTCACCCCAGTCAAGGATGCCGCGGCAAAAAATGGTGTAGATCACGACAGCGACGACTCTGAAGGCGAACCCGAGGAAAATGCTGAGGCTACCCCTGCTGGAGGCGCCGCAAAGAAGAAGAAGAAGAGGAAGCCGAGGAAGAAGAAGAAGAACCCTACGGAGCAAACCGATCCTCCGCGAGTCCTGATCTCTCAGCTGTTTCCGAGCAAGAACTATCCTAAAGGCGAAGAGGTGGAGTATATCGGGGAGAACACCTATCGGACGACCAACGAGGAGAAACGGCACCTCGACAACATCAACAGCGACTTCCTAACAGACTATCGCAATGCTGCCGAGGCACACCGACACGTTCGCCAGTGGGCTCAGAAGAGCATCAAGCCCGGCCAAACACTGACGGACATCGCAAACGGTATCGAAGACAGTGTGCGGGCTCTAGTTGGTCACCAAGGTCTAGATGAGGGCGATGCAATGGTGGCAGGCATGGGATTCCCGACTGGGCTCAGCATCAACCACTGCGCGGCACACTTCACCCCCAACGCTGGAAACAAGATGGTTCTACAACAAGACGACGTCATGAAGGTGGATATTGGCGTCCATGTCAACGGCCGCATCGTTGACAGCGCCTTCACACTTGCTTTCAACCCCCAGTACGACAACCTTCTGCTTGCCGTAAAGGATGCCACCAACGCCGGGGTCAAGGAAGCGGGCATCGATGTTCGGGTCGGAGACATAGGCGGAGTCATCCAGGAGGTCATGGAGAGCTACGAGGTCGAGATTGGAGGCACGACGTACCCCGTCAAGGCCATCCGCAATCTCAACGGCCACAGTATCAACCACTACAGCATCCACGGCTCCAAGAGCGTCCCTATCGTCAAGAGCCACGATACCACCAAGATGGAGGAGGGCGATGTCTTCGCTATCGAGACCTTCGGCAGCACAGGCAATGGCTATGTGCGAGATGAAGGAGAGGTCTCGCATTATGCCCTGCGTGGCGACGCGTCCAAGGTTGATTTACGCCTATCGTCTGCCAAGTCGATCCTCAACGTTATCAAGAAGAACTTTGGCACCCTTCCGTTTTGCAGGAGGTATCTCGACCGGCTTGGTCAGGAGAAGTATCTCCTCGGGGTAAGCAAAGCAGGATAACCATCGGCGCTGGGGCTTGAGTGCTAACCTGCGAGTTCACAGTTGAACAACCTGGTCGCCAACGATATTGTGGAAGCGTATCCGCCGTTGGTTGATAAGAAGGGCTCGTACACTGCCCAGTTTGAGCACGTAAGTACCACCAAATAGTTCCCAGTCGGACTCCCTTCACCTGCTAACTGCTTTCAGACGATCCTCTTGCGACCTACAGTAAAGGAAGTAATTAGCAGGGGTGAGGATTTCTAAGCATGCAGCTAGATCGTTGACGATAGAGGACTGGATCTGCTCTGCTGGATCATTGCCGTCGAGAGCCCGACTTGGGATCCACACGGCGCCGGCCATGGCAACTAGGTATAGGGCCGAAGAACCGTGGGCCGTCGCCAACCCTAGATTTGGTAGGGATTGCCATGGCATGATACATTTCTGATCGATATTGCCAGGACATATGGTCATGACTCTGACGGGTGCTATCTTAGATTCTAGTAGACCCACAAATAAAGTTGGAAAGGTTGAAATTCCTCTCACTGCGACGGCATCCATGCTTTCAAGAGTATCAGTAGCAATGACCCGAGTTATTGCTGTGGTTCATACCTACGGAAGGCTACAGTGACCCAAAGGTACACTAGCCAATCAAGAGCCACTGTGGCAAAAGTGCGCTGCGAGAGGCTGAAATCTGGTGGGGCAAAAAACTTTCAAATCGTCAAAAGCTATTCCACCTCGGCACCCTATCTGTCGTCCGTGATGTTCTGTGTTGCTGAAACAGAGGCATAAAAATGCCACAATCATTTCCCCCAACCATTGGGGACTTCTCCATCTTGCCAGTCTCGGTGCCAGCCCTACCATCATATCCCCACGCCGTCACCCATCACATCTATGTCCGGCGAAATGCACCGAAGATCCCCACCGAGGACGACTCTCGCAGTTTGTTCCTGACAAACGTGCCAGTCGATAGCACCGAGCTCCACCTGAGAGGGCTGTTCACCGCTCTCGTGGGCGCCGGCCGCTTCGAGAGCGCAACCTTTGAGGGCGAGCGGAAGTCACCGTCGTCCGAGATGGAACTCCTGCCCGGGCAGGCGACAAGGCTAGCCGCCCACTCGAAGAAGCGAAAGCGCGAGGGCGAGGAGGCTGAGAAGGCGAAGGAGGAGGCCGCCGCGCGCCTACCGTCGACGTGGTCCCGGCCGCTGAGGAGGAGCGGGGGCACGGCGGTCGTGCTGCTCGCCGACGAGAAGAGCGTGGAGCGAACCCTCAAGGCCATCGCCAAGGCCCACAAGACCAGGAGGTATCCGACCTGGGGCGAGGGCGTGTCGGGCCGGGTCCCGGCCCTCGGGTCGCGGTGGCTCAAGGCGCACGCCCGCCTGTCGTATCCGGACAAGGCGGCCGTCGAGGAGTCGGTCAACGCCTTCTTCACCCTCTTCAACCGGCACGAGCAGGAGGCGGCCGAGCTGGCCAAGCGCCTGCGCAATGAGCCCGACGAGGATGGCTTCGTCACCGTCACGCGCGGGGGCAGGACCGCGCCCGCCAGCAGGAGCGAGGCCGAGGAGGCCCGCAGGAAGATGCTGGAGAGGGCGGAGAAGAGGAAGGCGGAGCTGAGCAACTTCTACCGCTTCCAGCTGCGCGAGCGGAAGAAGGCCGAGCAGGACGAGCTGCTGAAGCGGTTCGAGGAGGACAGGAAGAAGATCTCGGCCATGAGGGAGAAGAGGGCAAAGTTCAGGCCAGAGGTTTGAACTGCTGGCGGGCCGTGGTTGCTGGCTGTCTTCTAATCGTGGTAATATCCACGATACCCAACCGAATGCGGTCAGCGAGCCCTGCAGCCGGTCGTCGGAAGGCAAACGCTACCATACAAAGTAATGGTTGGGCTTATAAGCTGGCATAATATGGTTACGCTGGGTAAGCCACTCCTTTCTTGCTTGCACTACTCAGTTTCACATCTACACTATGATGACGCACGCGGGGCCATCAAAGCACCTTGTGTCGGGTTATGCCCGGCGATAAGAGATGACTGCTGAAGAACACCGCGCTCTAAACAATCTTCTCAAATCACTCTGATATCATGTACCTTCGAGTTATTCTGCTTTCTCCGTTTCCCTGTTGTATTTATGAGCAGCGGCTGACTCGAACATGGTTGTTTGCATAAAGCAAGGCATTGCGGACGACCTGCCTTTCTCACCGAGGAATGCCTCTTGGCGTGCCACTGTGGCTGACAGGGGTGGTCTGAAAGGGAGTGAGGAGGCTATTTTCCCCGGAGATTGCAGAGGACAGCAAAGCAAAGGTTGCCATATGGGTACTCGAGGACAGCAGATAGAAAGTTGTCTGCTATAGAGTAATAAGTTTCAATAACATGCCGAGTGCCTGTGTGCCGTGTGGTCGAGTGGGCAGCTCTTGGCGTTTGTGACAACTGTTCACTGGTGATGCTCTAGAAAACCATCTCTTAACAGCCTATACACATGCGTCGATAACGTGGAATGTTATGCTTGTAACATGTTGGTGCATCCCTCTCCTACGCGGGAACTGTTTCTAGGTGTAAGGCGCCACGTTGATTCTTTGGTTGAATAATGTTACAAGGTGTAATATCCGTATTGGTTTGGGCAGGTATTTATGGTTGCGGTAACCACAGCAACGACCCCGCCAAATAAACACAACCCTTGTTTGCCCTATGCAGATTGCGCTGCCGACCACCCCAGGATTGCAAAACGGAACATTGATTATTTTCTTACTATCAAATTGACTCGGGATATCATCAGCCTCAGCCATTCCATCAGCGCACTCGCAAGGACATGAGCCATACCAATCCCAGAGGATGATAGAGTCAGAGAATCTGCGCACAGCATCGCTGTACATCAACAACCAGCTGCTGTCGCGCGGTCTGCTTCGCGATGGACAAAACATCGACTTCGCCAACCCAGGCGACACGGGTGGCGAGCTGGCCGCGACCATGGGGCGAGTCATGAGCGTCGTCAACGACCTTATTCTGCGACGTGACGTAAGTCCTAACTCCGGCGGCCAACAAAAGAAACTTGCCAGAAAGTTCAGGAGAAAGCGGAGGAGATATGTCTGCTAACCCGTCCAACCCCTCGACAGCGCGACGCCGAGCACCGCGAGTCGCTCTCGACGACCCTCCGCGCGCTCCGGGCCGAGTCGCTGCGGCAGGCCAACGACATCCAGCAGCTGCGCGACAAGCAGGCCGACGCGCAGCGCAAGGTCAGCCTGGGCGAGGCGGCCGAGGCGACGCTGCGGGCGCAGCTGAGGGCCGCCGAGGCCGGCGTGCAGAGGCTCAAGGAGGAGGCCGCCCGGACGAAGGTGCTGGTGGTGCAGACGCGGTCGGCCTGCGCCAACGAGGTGCGCAAGCGCGACCGCCAGATCGACGGGCTGAAGAAGGCGGTCTCCGAGGCCGGCCGCGCCAGGGGCGCCACCAAGAACTCGGGCATCACGACCATCAGCGTCACGGGCGAGGTTGGCGGCGAGCTCGACCATGGCACGCCGCGCGGAGGCACGGCGACTGATGGTTACAACTTGAGGATGGAGACGAACGCGTTCCTTGCTGAGCTGGCTAAGGGCCTGAGCGAGGAGAACGAGAGCCTCATCGGCCTTCTTCGGGGGACGAATCAGAGACTGAAGGAGATGAGCGGCTGGGATAAGCAGGAAGCCGCATGCCTCATGACCGATGGCCATGCTCTTGCCCTCCCCGGCAGTCCCGAGGAGATGGCAGACGAGATCGATTCTGTCCTCGACCACCTGCGGACGATCCTGACAAATCCGTCGTTTGTGCCCATCGAGGAGGTCGTCATGCGGGAAGAGGAGATCGCCCGGCTGAGAGAAGGCTGGATGCAGATGGAGAGCCGCTGGAAGGAAGCGGTGCACCTGATCGATGGTTGGCGACGCAGGATGCAGCTTGATGGGCGGCCGGTCAACATGGAAGAGCTGAAGATGGGCTTACGGTTGAGCCCCGTGCGGGTTAGGGACGTGGAAGAAACGGCGCTGGGCCTCGGCCTGCGCTTGCCTGCTGTCCAGGAAGAGGCCGAGGAACTCAGCATCCTGCAAACGCCCACCCCCGCGGACTCGCTGCATCTAGTCCCCGCGCCCGAGTATGAGGATGAGGATATGAGCGACGCGGAATCCAGCGTTTTTGAAGACGATGTCGATGTTGTCGATTACGACGTCGAGGAACCAAACGTGCAGATCCTCCAGCAGTCCACCATGTTGGACTCACCGCCCCTGCCGTCGCCACCTCAGCTGAGTCCCCTCCGCGACTCTTACTCTGCGGGGAACCGCGGGGCCGCTGCGCCCCCGAAGAGGAGTCGCCCAGGGGATTTCACCACCATTGTAGAGGAGAACACGTGGGAAATGGTGGCCAAAGGCCCCTCACCACCAGAGCAGCTCACCAAACCAGAGCCAGCAAAGAGGCAACAACCCCTGCCCACGAGGCCGGCAGAAGACGACGAGATGCCCCCTCCGCCCGCCGACATGCCGGCCTCGAAGGACTCATCTCCCGAGAGCGTCATGCTCGTCACGCACGCCGAGGACTCCCACCCCAAGCCATCCACCGCCGCGACAACGAGGACCCAACAAAGGCCGACATGGAAGCAGCAAAACCGCTCAGAACCGACTCCGGCATCGAGGCGGCCAGCCAGACCACCACCCCGGTCAGCAAGTACGCGCAGCAAGCAGTCCGATGGCGAGCAACCCCTCCAGACAACATCCGCGACCACCACTACCACAACCGCAACCGCAAAGCCGTCGCGCACGCCCAGCAGCAGCAGCAGCAGTAGAAGCAACAGCAGCATGGCAACAACCTCATCATCCACCACCACCGCCACAACCACAAACACCACCTCCAACAACTACAACAACAACAAGAGCACAGACCTACCCCCTCCCCAACCAACAACAACAACAACAACAACAACAACAACAACCAACCGCTCCCCCCGCCGCGCAAACTCGCGCCTCCCCCTCCCCCGGTCCGGCACCGCGGCGGCACCGCAGCAGCAGCAGCAACCACAAAGCCCCCTGACGATGGCCAGCATCGCCGCCAAGCTGGCCGCCTCGGAGCGCGAGGCCGACGCCGCCCGCGTCCGCGCCAAGCTCAGGGCCGCGCGCCTCGGCCGCGCCATCGGCGCCGGCGCCCTCGCTCCCACGGCCGCGCCCCCGTCGGCTGCTGCCGCCGCCACCACCACCACGTCGTCGGTTGGATCTGGCGGTGCGCGGGAGGAGGAGGAGGAGGAGGAGGAGGATGAGAGAGAGGAGGGGAAGGAGCCGGTCAAGAGGGATGTGGATGCCATGGCGTCGAGGGGCGGCGGCGTCGAGGCGGGCGGTGGTGGTGCCGCCATGGAGGAAGAAGAAGGGGCGCGGTCGTCGCAGACGCTGTCGTCGCCCGAGAAGCCGAGGAAGCGGGCCAGGCGGACGAACAAGGCGGCGTCGAGGAGGAGGAGCACGCTCAACCCGCGGGAGCTGGAGAGCCTGATAATGGGGAGCGTTGATGTTGTGGCCACGCCGGGGAGGTGAAAGGCGGGGAAAGGGGAGGGGATGAAAATAAATAGGGGGTGGGGGGGTGGATTATGATTGCTTCGTTTTTTTTTTCCCTTTGGTTTTGTTCGAGGGGTGATTCCCTGATAATGCTGATCCCACTACGGTGGAGAGAGTCAGGAGTCTCATGTCGGTTTACCATTCACTTTGGGGTTTTGATTAGAATGACTCTGTCATAGGATGAAGGTCTTCTTGGTCTTGATGAACACAATACTACTCTTACGGTCGACACCTGACCTCCCAGCCTCTGCAATGTTGTACTCTCACAGTAGCCACTCCAGCCCTCTCTATCTCTGCACTCTTGTGCCCTTTTTGCCATGCCAATCAAATCCCGGATGCTATCCATCCTCCGGGTGCAGTTGTAGCTTAATTCAGCTTCTGCGGGTATATCCTTACATCCGTGTACAAAAAAATATCGATTTCAGGCTTCCAAGCCCCAAACACCTGTATCCCCAACTCCTGTACATCCATGTCGAAAACAAAAAATCTCCCCTGAAATTGGGCATGTATGGCCTAGCCAAAGCTTCCCCTCAAGACCATGCCCATCACCCCCTCAGTCCAGCAGGTGCCGGCGTGGGGGCAGATAGGGCCGTCACCGACAGACCTTAGTTGGTGAAGTCGAAGTCCCGGGGGAAGATGGGAGGCATGTACTTCTTGTGGTGCAAGACCTCGATGCCTTTCTGCCGGGCCATCTCCATCACCTGGTCACGATCGACTCCGAGGAGGCAGTCCTGGTAGATCCGTTTGATCCCCTTGTGGAACAGCAGGGCCTTGATGATATCTGCGCATCTAGCGTAGGCACTGGGATAGGCTGCTACTGTATCCACGTTGGGAAATTTGCCGATCAGGTCCAAGAAAGGTCTTGCGGTGAACAAGCCGTTGTAGCTGTCGAGGTCCTCGAAGAAGAACTTGGACAGGCCGAAGGTATGGAGGCTCTCTGACGTGAAGGGGAACATCTGAGGAGCAATGGCAGTTTCGTCAAACTGATTGAGCTCCTCAATGGTTAGGCATTCAGATGCTGGTATATCGAGCACCCTCAAGCTCCCACTCCGGAAGCTTGATCCTACCACCTTCTCCAGCTGTGCATAGTTGATTGGGCTTCGGCAGCGGAAGACCTCAAGCTGTTCGAAGCCCTCAAACCCCATTGGCACGAGCTCTGGGGCCCATAAAACTTCGCGGGCGACACTGGGGCTCTCGCTTAAGATCTCGATTGCACGGAGTTCCTTGGTGGGCAGCCAGGGCCAGCTTCGACCGAGGGCAGGATCCGTCTCTATGCGCAGGTGCTCCCCAAGGATGAGGACACGAAGTTTGCTCCATCCAAATGGATGGATGGGGTGGCCAAGAATGTTCGTTGGATTGAACCTGATATTGTAGGCATCGAGATACAGCTGCTCAAGATTGGGTGTTGCTGCAATCAAATGGTTCTATTCAGGATCCCAGTTAGCAGCTTTGCAAAAACGGCAAACATTGGGGAGACAAACCATGTCATGGATCACACCTTGAGTGCTGCCATCAATCGAGGTTTGAAGCCTCAGTGCCCTCAGATTTGGGAACGCAAGGGGGATATGCAGGAGGGCAAATTCTCTTGTTCCGATAAGTGACACAGACTGGAGTGTGTCGATAGAGTAACGGAGCATGTTTGTCAACAGCGTCTCGTTTCCCAGTGCAGTAATCCCAGTAAGAGTAAGGGATCTCAGCCCAGTTGGATAGTGACCAGCATAACTGGGATCGAACGGATACGAGACAGGCGGTCCACGGATGGTCAAATGCCAGAGAGATTGTATGGCAAATATCATCTCGAACTTTGCATGATCCAAGCCAAGGGTCTTGGCATCGTTGATACAGAGAGATCTTGCACGTTGAGCACGTTGAATGAGTTTGGCAAATGCACTCCTTGTCGGTGCATATTTGATCTGCCCAAGGGTCACGGAAGCCCACAGCCGGGGGTCATCTTGTATGGCATGTAGCCAACCCTTGGACACCCTCATGGAAGCACTGCAAATTATATGTGTTAGGCTGGGGCCATATCTAAAGTTCTTGCACCAAGCTTTGAGACCAGGAACTGACCAGAGATCCGATGTGCGCAGGTAGGCAAAAATCATGACTTTGAGCTCATTTGTGAACCTCTCAAAAGGATCAGCTCGGCTGATCTTGAAGTGGATGACTTGTAGGACCTGCCATTATTGTTAGGCTTTTGCCATCTAGCTAGCTTTGGAAGCCAACAAATACCTTGTAGAGAGCATCGCTGGTATCGCCATATGCTTGGACATTGTGAAGCCCTTGCTTCACAATGGCGGCAGTTGTGGCGGCAGGGTCTGTCACAAAGGAGCACGGCTGCTGCCTGGCGATTTGTAGCCGAAGCACTTTGGAGAAACGGCAATATCCCTAATGTTACATCCCTTGGTCAGCGCCTGTCTTCAGGAGTGACAGCAATAGAACCCAACATACCATTGGCGACTCAGGCGACAGATGGATAAGGGCAGCAGCATACTTGGCAGCATCGTCGTAAAAGCCCAAGGCTGCATAACAAGCCGCCAGCTTGTCAAGGGCCTCTTTATGTAGTTTATAGCCACACATTGGCTTCCTCTCACGACATGCGCATCGGCATTTGGCAGCCTTGTAGATAGCATCTATGTCGCTGCTTCTAGCAGCCTTGGTGATAGCTGCAATCAAGCAGTTTGCTGTCGGACTGTGTACACGTCCCCGATTTCTGGTGCATGTGCAAGCGGAAAGACTCTTGTTGGGCAGCAGTTAGAATCAGCAAATTTGCGCCATCTGATGGGATACTTACATCCTGGAATGCATCAATGGCAGCTTTGTATCTTCCTGCTTGCAGGTCATTCCTGCCAATGTTGATCGCATTCTGCATGCCTTTCAAGGCGAGAGCCTCTGATGACATTTTCGGTCTCATGCCCGAAAGTGACAGCCGCTCAGAGGCTTACCAGCCTGAAAAATTGGATATTAGCTTATTATTTATCACAGTATGAAGCCTGAATAATGTGCCATAGCTGGATATGCCCTTTATAGTCCTAGCACGATCCTGAAGCCAAAACAAGGGGAGATACTGACTGATGAGGCAGGACAGCCACTTACGAGCGATGTGGGCCTGTCTGCGGTCGTGCCTAGTATGTGATTTTAGAGGTAAAATGTCTTTTGAGTGGATCAGAATAGTTGAAGATCGGCAAAACAGCTTCGAATTTCTAGCTCAAGGCGGAGGAGTTGGAAGTAAAGAGTGGTGGGGGAGATCACAGGCGGCGGTTGCACTGGGAGACGCGTTCTATGCTGGGAGATGTGCTGGGAGACGCGACAGCCCCACTACAGTTAGAGCTGCCCTGTGCGTATCTGCTATCACCAAGGTGACGTCACCAAGCGATGATAAGGGAGGCCTTAAAGATAATGCATATATAGAGTAGAGATGACCCGGGGCATATTGTTTAAGCACAGCCAGCTGCTTCTACACTTAGGGCAGAGTCCAGTACATTTCTCCATTTCGGTACCTAGATCACAGAATATTGTTTCTGTTGTCTAACAAATGCCTATAGCCTAACCCAAGAATGGACATCACGCGTGGCGCAAACACCTACCCACACAGTTAGTCTGTTGTGAGGCTGAGGTGTCACATATCGAATGATTACTCCTTACTTATAGAGGCTATTGATAAGAATAGCTGCAGAACGCCTTGGGCAGAGGGCCAATATGCCGCAAACAGATTTGCCCCTCCTTGGGTGCACAGCTCCCGCTGCGCTGCAGCTCTCCCGAACCGCCTTACAGGAGCAAACTCTAAAAGTTACCGTTTTTGCCTCTTGATGTAGGTCTGCTGAACTCGTGGTACCCCAGGTTTCTATGTTTACGCCGGTCAGGCGCCATGTCAGGAACATGGACCCTCCCCGTTGGCCGGCTTGGTCCTTCCCATTCTCTGGATGGACGTTTTATTTGGGTCTTCGAGTGTACAGACGCATAAGGGACAAGAAAGTAAATTCAACCCACACTTTCAAAGATAGGATGACCGTTGAGGATCAAGTAATCCGTGCTTCCAATCAGGATTGCCTATGACGAGGGCTGCTATTTAGGTCGCAGTCAGCCCATGGTATCACAGGGCTGAGGGGCTGGGTAAGGCTTCGGCCCCCATTTTTAGCCTTGACGCGAGAACGCAGAAGATTCTCGCCAATGAGACCACGGCTTTGACGCCCTTGATGCTATTCTGCAAGCGGCGCACATTGCCGCTGCCGGCCACCCTCCATGCGGCCGCGTGCTGTGAGGTGGGGCAAAAAAAGACAACCTCCACCGTCCTGTTTCTCGGTCATATCATTAGCTAGCTCTGCGAATCTGGCCATGGAAGTTGTCAGATCTGTTGGCTGACAATCTACGGTAGGCAGACTCAGATCTTTGGTATGGTCCGTACACGCCGGGCGGTAATATCAGCGCGCACCTATAGGAAGAGTGGGAGAAGTCGAGTGACACAAACTTTCGAGTATCGTAGTTGGAAATTTGTCAATGTCTCCATTACTTGTTCTATCAATGTTGCCCTTTTCTGAGATCTCCCGATTTCCCCAGGATTAAGCCACCTTCGTATCCGGCGAGAGGTGAAGCAACCAGCCCAGCGGTGCTATCGGGAAGTGGCAAACGAAATATATATAAAAAAAAACACTCTGAGAATCTGGCTTGCCAGCTCAAAATAGCAAATGACCCGCGGAGCAGTTGACCAGCTGCTCCTCCCAGCATTCCCTTCCTCTGCTGCCCGAGCAGGGATTAAGTAATATGTCGTTGTTACATGCGGTGAGACATTGAGTAGAAAGCAATGAAATGTGAAAAGTTCGAACACAACTGAGAAGAGATCAGAGAAACAAAACAGGGAAGCCAAACCCAGGTATACCCAAATCATCGCCTGTGTCCATGCCCATGCCCACGCTATTGCTCCAAATCATTATTGTCTCCTGAAACGCCTGGTATATTCCTGATTCCGTCTAATGCATGATTCGTCATAGCCCGCCTAGCCAAGTGGTAATCGAGAAGATGTGAGCCGAATGTCGAAGACGAGGATGGCTCAGTGGTCCTGGTTCAGTCTGGAGCGGGTAGATGCCGGATAATGCACCCAATGCCGTCGAATTCCAATGCAAATTCCCATGTCCTCGCTATGTTTCCGAAAGCAACAATCGAGACACGCCAGAGGAGAACCAGTGAGTGAAGAATGCAGATCCATAATTGTATCGCGAAGTCAAGATCGAGGTCGGCGACGAAACATATCGTAGGGACCAAGGTGATAAAGGCGCCCAAGCATTGACTGCGGAGAGTGGGGGGGTTTCTTGTGCTTGGCCGAGAGAGCGCTGGGTGGCCTGGTCTCTTCGTCTTCGACAATAAAAACTGCTTGGCTCGCTGCAGGTTGGCGGGAACGGACCATGCCGAGGCATTGGGGCCCCCCTGATGTCACTTGATGGCTGAAGGCGATGGAGGGGACATCAGGCGATCGTGACCCACGAAGAGATATGAGAGCTGGGATGGGGCGTGTTGCAATGCGGGCGACCTCACTCTGAACGAATAAAGATACGTGACCCAGCTCTCAATCTCAAAACGAGTCAATGGCGGCGAAGGCCACGAACAGCAGCCCATCATCGAAGACAACACGTTTCACCGGTACTGGTAGCTGCGGGAGCTCTTGTGGGAATTGCTCGAGTGATAACCAGAATCTGAATATTGTTGCTGTGGGGCCGAGGCATATTGCCCTCGCCTTGACTGGGTGTGATCGCTGCAGGCATATCCCACCAGGATTGTCCGCTGCGTGATATCGTGACCCCGTCGCCCGTAGTTGCCACAGCGATCAATGGCGTGCTGGTAGTAGAGGCAACGGCAGGCCGAGTAGAGTTCAACCACCTGGTAGCACATGATGGCTCAGTGTTATGCTCTACCAGCAGTCGAGTGTTGGCGTATGGGTTGTGGAGTAGTGTTGTTGGTCGGTTGGTTGTTTGTGGTTGGTATGGCCCTGGTATGGGGTGCTGGTGTCGTGGTGTTGTTGGTGGTGTTGGTGGTGGTGGTGATGATGATGGTGCCGACTTGTGAACTACACAAATAGGTCGATGACACGACGCGGAGGACGTTGGTGGACACGGGTGAAATAAGAGAAATTAGAAATCAAGGAAAACAGAGAGAAGGAAAGAAACGAGGTGGTAATTAAGGCCAGGTGGAAAGCCAAGAATAGATGGGATAACGACTCATAACCTGGGATGGAAGAAGAGAGAAGGCATCACAGCCTTATAGGTCTGGCAGCCTGGCAAGCCATGCTCATCAGGGAGGAAGACGAGTGGACAGACGGATGACTGGATGACTGGATGACCAGGACCTACATAGGCATGAAGGCAGCAGCGCGCCAGCAGTCTGACTGATGACTGGATTTTCTGAGGCGACGACTTGCGGCATGCAAACTAATGCACGTCCTGCGAAGGCGCAGGGAGACATGCCTTGGATGGTCGTGTGAGATGCTTTTTACGGGATGGGAAGGGCAATGGCGCAGTCGGGTCGTGCTCTTGAGGGTTAAGCATCGAACATGGAGAGGAAACAACGAGAGAGAGAGAGCAGGGGTGGGGCGTTGAGAGAAAACGGGGGAGCCTGGAAGGCAGCTCTAACGGCGCAGCTGTTGTAACGGTGGCTGAACCCGTCTCGCCCTCCAGTCCCGTGACCAGTCTTTGCTTCGTACACACCAGGAAACATACAGGCAGCGAGACAGAGACTCAAAACGGTGATCGACAGCATGTTTGGACTGGCGGTTACTACTAGCGCAGCGCAGCCACACGGAACGTGAGCATTCCACTCAGCGCAGGCTGGTCAGCACCGGAGCTTTCCATTTCTAGCAGTAAGAATACTCGGGATGACTCTTTTTTCTCAGATGCATGAGAGTGGGGTCCCCAGCTGTGCCCCTGCACCCTCGCATGCATCCTTTTTGACATCATACTCAACCCTGCAGCAGGGCTGACAGACGATACCAGGTGTGGCTTCAGTGCCGAGGTGAGGGTGGAAAGACCATCTCATCTACAGACTAGTTTTCCGGACCTGGATGTAGGTGAGATTTGGTGTTCGTTCCTGGGGCAATCAATTGCTTTTGCTGATCTCAGAGATGGAGGATTTAACCAAGCACAAGCAATCAAAGATTCGCAGCGTACTGTGGCTGCCCCACGGAATTCCCCGCTTCAGGGAAAATACCCCATACGAGCAGCGCTAGGCACCAGAGCAGGTACTCGCATTTTAAGGGCTTTTGTATTTCCAAGACCACCTCGGTGTCCAAGCTGCAGGCGATCCCCTGACTTTGGACATGCACACAAACCAATAGGAAAACGGGATCGCTGATGATGATGGTGAAGACCCAAACAATCGGACCACAGCGCATCCGCCCGTGGCGCCCGCCCAGAGTTCTGAATATAGTTGCAACTGCAAGCCTGCTCAATGCAGCCTGGAGGGCGCCACAGTTGCCAGGAACAGGGCGGCGGACCGGGCGACTGGCAGGGCGGCCTCTGCTGACGGCGACCATCTTCTTTCCGGGATGTGCTTTCTTACTGGTTGGGGGGGGATTCAGGAGTTAGAATTTGGCTGGCCGCCTTGATGGGCCATCTGGGTCGCATAATTGGCCGTGGTACGCCAAAAGATCGGTCACCCACTGCCGAGCCTCGCAGACCAGTCAGGAGCTGTCCCATGCATCGTTAACGGTCTCTGCTACCCTGGGAGGGGTCCACCACCAGTCAACCACCAGTTGAGGCCTGCGGGATGTGAGTGTTCGTCATGCTTGGATGGCCGTTTAAATCGGTGGGTCGATGTCGCACACAGATTTCGAGCATCAGAAAGAAATGGTTGATAAACGAATCCAAGCAATCCGACGAAACCCAGGTGGCCGTATCCGACCCAATGACTGGCCAATGCATGTCTTGGGACGACTGGTTCTCGATCGGCATGACGATGCAGCTGCCCGAGACCTTGATCGTCGGTGGCTTCCCACCAGGACCACGTCCTTGGAATGCTGGGGGTGTTGAGGGGGTCGGAGTGTACCAAGGTACTTTTCGCAGAGAAATCTCCATCTAGACTCAAAGGAATAGAGCCACAAAAAGAATACCGAGGCAAGATCCCAAACTGAGTTTCAAAAAGATTCAGGTCTCTGTTGTCTTAATAAAAATAATAATCATTTTGCTGCCGTCAGAGCTCATTGATTCTAGGTACAGTAGGTACTTTACCTAGGCACCCGAGGCACCCTACCTAGACAACCCCACCTGCCCTCTTTGGCGTGCAGTCATGGGGGAAATACTGGCGGCGATCTGCCGATTTCCAGATCTCAACCTCCGACGATGATATCAACACAAAGTAATTAGAATGGCTACCACGACGTCCTAGACATGGCGACGCGTGGCGGGAACAATATTACCAAATAACAGGCCGTAGATATATCTGTATCTACACCTGAGGGGACAATACTCCCTCAAGGATTTAAAATGTTTCCGGGGTCATCCAATCGTTTGGTCTCCAAATATGTTCATTTCAAATTCACACAGTAGTATTCGGTTGTTTCGGTAGGATTTCGATTGTTAAACCACCCCTGTCCCCTGTCCCTGTCCCCTGCGCCTCGATCATGGCTGACTGACGAACCCCCATTAGCTCGAGGAAGACTCCCGTCTTGAAACTAAGGCAGCTAATATGGAGGTACCGGCAGCATTAAGAGGTAACATAGGTTCACTAGAGCATACACTAAAGCAGGCACGGAGTCGCCGATAGAGAGGGGAGCTCCATCCCTAACAATGTAGCTGCCTAGGAACTAAGGAAGCAAGATCAGTCGGTGTGGACACAGTGGGTAAGTAAGAAGTATTCCAGACCTTGGATAGGTAGGTTCTCTTGAGGCGTACGTTAGGCAGAAGTTATGATTTTGCGTTTACGAACCAACCTCCAGGGCCGTAACCCCGGAAGAGGACGGGAATCCCTCTCCGTCGTCTAATAATCCTGAAATTCTCCGAGCCCTGATGGAACGGTGGGTCCTGTCTTGAAAGATATCGCCGTTTTCGGTTAGTCCATGACTCCAGCCCTGTCGCCTAACCCTCAGCCACAGTCATTCTGGCGCGCACTTTGTTTCCTTCCGAATTCGCGGGGCGCAGAGAGCTTGGCCTTCCCGCGGATGGAACAACTCTCAATAATAGTGCTCTCTGCGTGAATTTGGACACTCGATATCGATAGTCCGCGTCCGGGCCTATCCGCCATTTGCAGGATTACGTTAGCGCTGGTCGTAGCGCCTTTCGCTAGAGGGATCCACGGGCAAGCTACTGTGGTCATGATCTCAAAAAGCAACCCTAACCCTCAGCCGCACCGTTTCTCTCCCGCCACAAGTAATCGAGCGCCAAACACAAACGGAGGCTGGGCTGCCTCAACTGCCCCTTCTGTGTACCGAGCGCGAGGACTCGAAATGGGAGATCGATGTGCCTCAAACACAAGGCCCCGTGTTTGAGATCGCAAGCCTGTTTCTCTGACTGTGCCCCAACTGATGGATTTTAGACAGGCCTGTTTCTGCCTGGTTATGGCCTCGTAATGCTGGTCGTTACATTGCCCGGCTCATTAAGAAGGGATATATTTTCGGACCTGGACTGGTTAGCAGGCAGCCTTACTTTGCGTGGCCATCGTATCTTTCTCCCTTTTCCCCCTGTGCAATTTGACGCATCCATCGTGTGACCGAGATATCTACGTCATGTCCTTGGGGAAACGTGCCCTACTATCGGCAAGGCGAATCCACGGGCCGACCTTGCCCCAAACCAGCGCCCGACGGCTTGTTTCTGGTCCGCCGGAATGGCCTCAGTTTGCAGCCTAGAGTCCTAGGCAGTCTCTAGGAATAAACTTGATTTCTTGCTTGCAGATTTTCAGTCAAATCGGGCAATGATAGACACGAGGTCTCGAACGGTGGCCTTCGATTCTTTTCTCGTCGGCCCAGGACTCTGTTCACTACCCCCTGACAAGAGGGTCACTTGTACTTGGTGACCATTATCCGCAAGAGACTATGCAATAAACCACCAAGGAAACATCTTGCCTAACCTGGAAGTAGGTCTGGTTTGGTCATTGCGGAGCGCGGAGTTGATATGCTATAGCTGTAGATGAGTTTGGCGAGATTTCGATGTTCGTCCCGAAGCCTTTGCCTATCAACACCTGCAGTTGCCATAGTCGTTTGGTCTAGTACTTCTAATCTTCGTACGGACAACCTTGCCGTGGATCGCGATGAGGCGGGAGTGCCCTTAAGGTCTGGGGAAACCCCTGATCGAGTATCACCTCCGGTTGAACCCAGCCGAATACTTCTCCTGCCAGACCACTATAGTTCGACATAGTCCTGGATGCTTCGGTCAGGCTCCTGTCGATTGCGGAAGACGTGCTTGTTTCAACTGCGACTCTTCTCCCCCCACCCGATCTGAACCACGGCTTCGTCAGCTCTGTGGGCACAGCTGGCACACAGAGTGTGACGAGAAGACGGCCACACGTCCAAACAAGAAGCTCGTGCCGTGTGCTAGAGTGTGAGAACAACAAGCACAAACTGAACATGCAATGCTCCGAGCAACCCCGAGCGTGTTGCTTGCTGCCCGGCAAGCTATTTGGCAGCCACGCCGTACGAGATACCGTTGACCATGAAACCTCTGAACACCATAATGGACCCGAAGACACCTCTCCATCCTGACTTTCGCATGTGACTACCGTCAAACTCCATAAGAACCTAGACAATATCCCAAAAACTATCAGGCAAGTCGCAGCTTCTGTATCCAAAATAACTCCACCACTACCAAATGTCAGTCCCCAGCGTAAATGCTGCGAGTTGGCCTAGAGGATCGGCTGCGGATGGCATAACGGTCCTCCAAAGCGCAGGATATTTGCTCAAATATGGCTCCTGTTGAAGCGAAACTCTGGAGGAGTATGTATGCCGACTTCCCAATCACCCAACCATGGGCCAGGGAGGCTTCCTGGTTCTCCAGCCGCAGTGAAACCCAAAACAAGTGCAGCTGATTGGAGAGGTCTTGATCATTGGAACGTCCCTGGGTATGGAGAACCGGATGCAGAACCGGAACAGAGAACATAGTAACCCCTTATCGTGGTTCACGCTCTGGAGATTTTCGGTCTCAACCAAGATATAAGGGGGGCATAGACGACGACTTTGCTGAGGTCTAGGTGGCTCACGTATGCCTAGGTATATCCTTCTTCCAAGAGCAGTAACACGCAAAAGGGGACAGGAACAATGTGCTGCGTGACCTAGATCTAGGGACACCGTCGTCGGGCAGGAAGTTGTCGCAGGTCCTCCTACTGAGGGAACCAGCTACCAGAAGCTTCACGTCGGCTATATGAAACTCCGATCTCACAGGGACAAGCAAGAGGACTCTCTGCCTGGCAAAATCCTGTCAGACTCGCTTTGGGTTGTAGCGCCTGTAGGTGAGGGGCACAATGCTCGTCGGCCATATCATCTATCAAGCATTACTGGAATGTGGGAAGCCAACATGATCGAATGTTTCCGCTGTTGTCTCCTGAACATGAACAGTTGGTATAGCTGTGTTCAAATCTGGCCTCACTTGTTTACGCGACCAATAAGAATATCACCATGAAGGCGCGGGAGCATGCGCGAGGCAGAAACGAATGAGTCACAGAATGGACAGAGTCAACCTGTCAGTTGACGCTGAACAATCCTCGCTCAAGGATCCCCTGAAGGTCGAAGCGATACCGGCTTCGGCAAGTTGCACCATCAAGGAGATCGTCTCCGGATCCGGAGAACCTGGACCGGTTGACTGACCGCCTGTCACAGAGTGTGCCCGGCAATCTTGAAGATGGTTTTGTTGGATCAGCCGCTAACTGGAATGGGACAGGCGGATGGCCCGTGTGATCCATGACACAGCAACCTTGACCGCTCAAACAGGTGCACAATGTGGCCCAAGCTCCCTCAACGCAAATGCCATGCAAGGAATCCCATCATCCTCTGACTGGATCTGTTGGGGAGACTCGTGGGACCCCTGGCGGTCGGCAGTGAAGAGAAGAAGGATATGCATATTGCATAGTAACCGAATTCATAAAGTCAGGATTGGCTGGGAAACGGGCTCTCCCCCCTCACAAATGTCAATGCCAAAGGAAATCAAACGCAAGTGATTGGCTGAGTGTCGGATGATCCGTTAACTTTGTACACTTCGAACAAGGAGGGGGTCCGGACATCGTGTCGGCTTGTCCCGTCGTTCCACCATCTAACCGTTTATCCGCATTCCCAGGTGTTGCTCAAGAACTTGAACCTTCGGTATCCTCTTTCGTCTGCTCCAAGATTCCCATCATCTTATCGTCGACCCCGATATCATCCCCTGTCTTTCGTCTAAGCATTGAAGAGTTTAAGCTGCCCCTTCCGTGCTTCAACCGCGAACAATATCATGTCGTCTCGTGCTACCACTTCCCTCTCCAAAATCGCCCGTCCCTTCAGTTCCACCGCCTCGATTGGACGCCATAGCAGCATCAATGGCCCCAAGGCTGCAACCAATGCCGCGAGGAAACAAGAACTGAGAGCCGATGGCCGGTCATCGGAAACCCAAGATGTAAGCCCAAGATAGGCTTCGCCCATCCGCAGCTCCTCCTCTCCTCGCTCAACCCTCCGTAAGCCTCCGGACTAACCACCACGCAGCCCACCACGCGCTCAATATCCACCCGCACCAAGACCCGCCCCGTCCCGCCAGCCGGCCGCACCGTCCCCCTGATGCAAACCTTCCGGACCTCGGCGCCGGCGCCGGCACCCCTCTCCACCCGCACCATCGACTGCGCCGTGCTCCCGACGCTCTACAGCCTCGCCGACACGTCCGACCCGGCCTCGGACCCCGTCGTGATCCGCATCCCCCTCCTGCCGGGCACGCTCGCCGCGCACGGCCCCGAGCCCGCCGACCCGCCCCTCCCCGCGGCGCCCGAGATCCTCGTCGTGGCGCCCCTCGCGCCTGAAGACACGGCCAGCGCCCTCACCGAGGTCGGCGGCATCGGCGTCGACGGCGTCGAGCTGCGCTTCGTGCACGAGCCCGAGCCCGAGGCGCCGCCGGCGAGGGGCATGCTGAAGGACCTGTGGGAGGGGTTGGTCGATGATGTGCTGGGCGGGCCGCAGAAGGCGAAGCCTGTTGTTTGAGTATTTGTTTTTGTTTCGGGGGTTTGGGGATGGATGGGCTTGGTTGGAGCTTCGGGCCTTTTCCTCTCTTTTTGGATTGTCGTGTGTCGTGTTCATCCTTGTTTCGCCCTGCTTTTCATTCTGCCTCCCATGGGCCAGGTTGCGGAGTATTTGAGCCCGGCTGCGAGACACTTCTCCTTACATGTCTCGGATTCGGAATGTCGAGGCTGGTTTGGCTGGCGCCAACCCGCCGAGCCGTCACAGATTGCAGACGGTTCTCACGTTGGAAGTGTATGAGTTATGACCTTTATCTACGCCCTTGTAATTATGTCGTTCGTAGGGCCCCCAACTTCTGCTGTTCCTGGTTAACTTAATCGCTCCATCAACGCTCATTCCGAATAGTCTCTTCCGACTGACTGAATAAAAAGTGTGTATTATGAAAACCATGAGATGCCTGCCTCTACAGCCAAAGGGTGTAAAGAACAACTTTTTTGATCGCTTGATGCCTCCTAAGAGCGACCACCACTCGTGGTATCATTTCGTTCTGACCGTAACCCGCCCTTGATACGCCAGAGGACCCCCAATCGCAGAATCAATAATATCCCAGCCCTGGCGGGTCTCCGAATATAGCCCAGTTCCTGAGCCTTTTACCTCTTCTTAACTGTCGGCCTAGGCTTGCATTCGTCTGCCTGCACCGGGTGCAACATGACCTTGGTCGGATACTGTGGGTTATTACCCTGGTAACCCTTGCTCCAGTCGTTACTGATTGCGTAGGCGAAGATGGATCCCGTCTTGTTGAAGGTCGTAGCCGTGATGCTTCCTCCCACGTTCGGATACCCCTTGAGCCTGTGCTTGGCATCCTTGTCCCAGAAGTGGAAAGTGCCATCGCTACCAGCCGTGCTGAAGGTGCCGTGCTGTGGGTGGAAGGAGATGTCGTTGACCGCGTAGACGTTGGTGACATTGGCGGTAGGAGGGTCCCGGTGGCATTTGAAGGAGAAGTTGGAGCTGCCAACAGGTTAGCGGCTTCAAACGGGGATTCTGGAGCCAGGATTTTTGGTCCGCCTTACCTTGAATCCTTGTCCTCCACATATTGGATCGCGCACCGTCCTTCGATGCTGCCAATGGCGAAGCCTGCTGCGTCAGTGAAGCAGCTTACCACCCGGGTCTGCCACTTGAGGGGGCTCTGGATGGTCTTGTAGAATTTGCCGGGTTCGGCTAGGTTGACGACATTGATATACCGGTCCGCCGTGCCGATCACCAAGAGGTTGTTCCGGACGTCCATTGTGTAAACTCTCTCCTGGCACGTCAATGTTGCCGCGGGTGAACTTTGCCGGAGATCCCAGTATTTCACCGTCTTGTCCCAGGAACCCGTCACGACCATTGGGGTGCCGTTCGCCTCGAAGTAGCGCACGCAGCGAACAGGAGACTCGTGCTGTGCCACCTGGGTGGTCTGGCCTGTGGCCATGTCGCAAACCTTCGCCTGTTTGTCCGCACCGCCCGAAACTAGCTTCTGCCCATCCTACTTGCAAGTTAGCAACACTCATCTAACAAGTAGGGGTCGACAGAGTCAAGTGAAGCAGGGGAGGAAGCTGGGTGCCTCTGGGATGCCTCTTCCTCCACCGCTGGCACGAACACACACAACGCACCTTGAAATAGTCGACCGAGAACACCGGTCCATCGTGTTCGTAGAGATGCTTGCCTTCTCCCTGGCCGTTACTGTGGATCTCGTAGATTCGGACCTTCTTGTCCCAGCTCGCAACCGCGAGGAAATCTTTCGGGTCTGTGGGATTTGGGTTGAAGGCAAGGTCTGAGATGCTGTCCTCTGGGGGGTTGTTGAGCTGCACGTCCTGCTTCAGATCGCCCACTGTGTTTGTAGCCGCCGACGACGCCGCGGATCCGAAAAGACCTGACATCTCGGGCTGGCTGTTTGGCAAATTCTCAGAGCGAGGTGAGGAGTCTCGAATACGTGTCGGTTAAGAAAATAGCACCAGAAAGTATCATTGACCGCAGAAATGACGGTAGAAATGGCTCGTGAAGCGCATCAACTGGCCATCGTCACAGAGCAACGTTGATGGAGACCGAGAGGCTGGAAAGTTCATACTAACCCCGCCCCACAAAAGCCTAAACACACACCCCTCGGAAAAAATCCGCGTCCTTTATAAAACATCGAGTCCCACCTGAAAGTCTCTTCCCTCTTTCTTTCCCTTTTTTTTTTTTCCTACGAGCTCCCCTCGCCCAATAAATCGCTATCGAAGCTTACACACGGAGACAACATGCTCTTGAGCTATTCTCTCACCTCTTTAGCTTCGGGAGAAAGTCCCCGGACACACCTGCACCCATTTACTTGGGCCTGTGGGATCTGCGGAAACGCGCCGCCATAGAAGCACAGCGGCTGAGCTCCGCCGCCTGTCCCTTGTCTGTCTTAGCCCGCCCTGCTCGCCGCTAAATCGGCCTCCTGCTCGCTGTGGTTTTCTCAGAGTCCGTTCCCGAGCTGGAGACCCCATGGATGAAGATACGAGTCCGCGCTCCGGTTGCCTGGGGCGGTACGAAGGTGAACCCGGTGGGTCTGGTCGATGGCGGGCAGCCGTTGGGCAGTCCGGGCTGGGGATGTCATGGCTGGCTGGAGCGGATCTAGTCGAGATGATACAGAAATGCGATTGTCCGACTTCCCGGTCGTCAGGGCCGGGCAGTTCGGATTACTCGATGGGGCTTATTCTTGGTGCGAGGGGGGCTTCAGCTTCTCTGCTCACCGCTTGTCGTCGCCGGGGGCTGAACAACAAAACTCTAGCTTCGTGGGAAGTCACTGTTCATACCCCGAGTCCTCGACGGCGGTGTCGGAGTTTCGAGTTCAAGTGATGATAATCCAAAAACAGAGTCAAGCTCTGAGGTGGAACCTGCGTAAATCGCGGTGTAACCACATTGATGACTCAAAGCGTTATGGTATCTGATGAACTTTGTCCTATTTTATATTTTCTCTTTCTACTCTTCGAGGGGAGTGCGCCTGTATATTTACATAGTGTTCTGCAGAGTCTAATCCAATGTGCCCCGTAAGACTAGGCCATCAAACTTTTGATAGGATGTTGTGATGACCGTTGAGGTCTGACCAAGGACATCACGCCTCAGACTGCATCGTGAAAACAAGATGTTACTGTCAGGATTATAAGTGTATTTGCAAGATCACCGCTCTGAACTCCGAACTATGTAAATCTTTCCGAGTAGATTACCGCCCAGAATACGCCAATTCCATGAGACCATATCCCGAACCAAAAGGTTCTGCCAGTAGTAGTAGAAGCCCCACGATCACATAAGGCCCCCCAGCACCACCTTCCCGACATTAGCAACCTCCGTCTTGACGCCGCCCCGGCTCGAGTCCTCGAACTCCTTGACCACGCCCTGGACTATGATCTTCCGGACCTTGCTGTCCGCCTTTGTGAACAGCTCCGCCACGGGCCCGCTGCACTCCCTCGGCGTCGGCACCAGGCTGAGCAGCCGCGTGTAGCAGTCGATCAGCATGTCGCACAGCGTCGCAAACGTCTCGAAGAAGTCCGGGTCGAACGGCAGGCTCGGCGTCAGCAGGTGCGTGTACTCCTCCCCGGGCAGCAGGTCGGTCTCGCTCGCCGCGAAGCTCACGAGGCTCGCCCCCGCCGCCGCCGCCGCCGCCGGCCCCGCCGCCGTTCCGCCGCCTCCGCCTCCGATGCCTCCTCCCCCGAGGGCCGACCCCCCACCACCGGCGCTATTGGCTCCGCCGTTGCTCTCGGTCGGCTCGAGTGCGTAGCCGACGTCGCTGGTCCGTCGGCCCTTGGAGCCCGGCGTGGCGCGGCGGAACATCTGGGGCAGGCGGGCGCGCGAGAGCGAGCTGGAGGCGGAGCCGTTCTCCGAGTGCAGGGCCTGGAAGGCGTCGAACTCGCTGAGGAGGGTGTTGAGGCAGCGGAGGAACTCGAGGGGGGTCGACGAGTTGAGGTCGATCACCGTGGGCAGCGAGAGACCCAGCAGCAGGTAGTTGGTGGCGCGCCGGGCCAGCTTGCGGCTGTCGAAGTGGGGCATGCGCGCCAGGTCGGGCTTGTCGAAGAGGAGGGTGTTGAACCAGTAGACGCGGCCTTCGTGGCTGTAGGAGGAGAGGAGGGGCTGCGTTAGTTCAGTCATGCCATTGGGGAGGTGGTTTCGGGATGTAGAATATGAGAGAGAGGGTGGGGGTGGGGGCTCGCATACGCCTTTCGGAGGTAGTCTAGTGTTGATATCCTTTTGTTTGCCATCTCCTGGATATGCAGATGGACGAGACTTGACTCGCTCGGCTGGCCAGTGCCCACGGCTGCTGGTGGTGCCAGCTGGGGGTTGGCCGAGTAGCCATTGACTGGCGTCGGAGCCGTACGGCTAAGCATCTTGGAGAATGAATCGATTGACGCGGGCGACTGGATGACGTCGGTCTCGCGGGACACCTTGGCGGCGGCGGCAAGGGCAAAGTCGGGCAGCGCCGGAGGAGCTGTGCTGTCGGTGACTATCTGGAGGGCACCAGCGGGGCCACTGACTGACCCAGATGAGTTGGCCCTGCGCTTCCCTTTACTCGGCGAGCCAAACGCGGGCCTAAGGCTAAAGGAGGGCCTGCGATCTCGGTCTCGATCTCGGTCTCGGTCTTTGTGCAACACGTTCGGCTGCCTAGACTCGACTGCTGCTGTCGTCGTGCCGGAGAAGCCACCCTCGTCGCGATCTCCCGAACTCGTTCTTGGGCGCGATTTGCTGGAGGAAGAGACTGCGTTGTTGCTGCCGAGGAAGGACGACGAGAAAAAAGGTACCGCATTTTGGGTCGGCGTTACACCGGTTCTCTGCATGTCTCAGTGTTCACGTGTGCTGACTGACTGCTGAGGGGGGGTAGTTATGCAAGCACTAAAGACACAATTGACGCCTCACTTCAGCCACTATAGCGCATTCGTTCCAAGGGTTGTTGGGGCGTAATATCGATGGCGCATCACTTCGATGAAGATGGAGGCGATTTGGAGGGGGGGGGGGGGGGGGGGGGGGGAGAGGACACACGGTTATATCTGGCCCAGTGGTTGACACACTCCTCCGGATCGCTGGCCAGGTTACGAAGTGTGTACATGTGTACGGCATTGACCTTTGACTTGTCCCGGACGTCGCAACATTCAGCCGCCAGAAACTACAGTGACGGGAATCCACCTGCCCGGTCGACCGTGTCCTCTCGACCAGGAAATATGCTCGTGGAGCCAGGAAATTGCCTGAAACTCTCGTCATTCTCGCCGTCTCAGCCAGGGATTTCTCTGCTCGTTGTTGAGCGTCACACATGGGAAGAATACCTAGGCAAACGAGGAAAACTGAAAAGTATCCTTTTCTGTAGGTAGGTAGGTAAGGTAGCGTCCCGGACGTTGAGAATGCAAGGTGTTTCACCTTCTAGAATCCGACTGTCGGCCAGTACCTTCCTTAGATGAACATTCAACCCACCAGAATCATCCGTTCGTGACTACCTGCCTAACGAGACCTGGAAGACCAACTTTGTCTCCTCACTGAGCTAGGAAGCGTCCCTGATGGCAGCTGCTGGCGATCCACTCACGGCATGCCTAACTGCCTAATTAGCCAGTCAGTCGACTACCTGCATAGTAGGTTGTCCATCCGAAATTGCCTTCTTTTTGGTTCCCTGTGTTCCACCACACTTTTAGATCTGCACAAACATCAGAGCACAGTCGACCCCACACCAACCCGCGATTCGCTCTACTAAGTAGGCAGTGTAGAACATTGACTTGGCGCTTGGAACCTCCAGCTTGTTTGGCCGAGTTAGGAAATCGGAATCGGACCGTCGTCCGGTACCAGACATCGAGAACGGACCGGTGAGGGTCACGAGAAAGAAAACCCCACTACGCTATGAATCGCCCAGATGAAGGCCCCCCGCCTGGCGAAGCCGCCCCGGAGCTTCTGGACGGTCGGCTTTGGGTTGACGGCTGTTTCGACTTCTTCCACCATGGTTGGTTCCACCCTGTGGTTGTTTGGGAACTTCCGCCCTGCCATGCCATGTCTGGCGACTTGATGCTGAATCTGGCCCCATAGGTCATGCGGGCGCCATAGTCCAGGCCCGCCAGCTCGGCGACGAGCTCTACGTTGGCGTGCATTCCGACGAAGCGATCCTCGAGAACAAGGGTCCGTCGGTCATGACCATGGAAGAACGGTACCGCAACCCTTACCCAGGGAGCCCCTTTGCCTTCTCTCATCGGACTAGTTGCTGACACATGAATGCCTTGCAACCGCCGCAGAGTCGCTGCGGTTGATGCCTGCCGTTGGGTTACCAAATCCGTTCCCAATGCACCCTATGTCACGCAGCTCGACTGGGTCAGCCATTATGGCTGCAAGTACGTCGTCCACGGCGACGACATCACGTCGGACAGCAGCGGCGAGGACTGCTACCGCTTCGTCAAGGCCGCGAACCGCTTCAGGGTTGTGAAGCGCACCCCGAGCATCTCCACCACCGATCTGGTCGGCCGCATGCTCCTCTGCACCAAGGTCCACTTCATCAAGTCTCTGGAGAGGGCCTTGAATGGGGATGAAGGTCACGGCACTGAGGCCGAGAGGAGAGCCGAAAGCCAGGCGATGAAGGAGCGGATCCGGCTGTATGCGACCGACGAGTCAGCAAAGAAGCCTGGTGTTGACGTCTGGTTCTGGTCCGCGGCAATCGAGGCGAAGATAGGTAACACCGCCGAAGAGCGTGGTACATTCAAGGACCTGTTCCGTGGCTCGGGCCCGAAGCCTGGCCAGAGGGTTGTCTACGTTGACGGCGGATTCGATTTGTTCTCGAACGGCCACATCGAATTCCTCCGGCTGGTCACCCAAGCGGAGGAGGAACTTGCCAAGAAGGATGGCTGGTACGACCAGCAGGCCGTCGACGAGCGAAAGGGAAAAGGCGCCGACTACGGGCCCGTTTTTGTCGTTGCAGGAGTCCACGATGACAAGGTCATCAACTACTGGAAGGGAGTGAACTATCCCATCATGAACATTTATGAGCGAGGCCTCTGTGTTCTCCAATGTCGGGTAGGTCTTCTAGCATGCAAAAGCTGCTATCAGGTCCCATGTCCGCTAACGAAGGATCTAGTATGTCAATGCGGTCGTGTTCGGGGCGCCTTTCATGCCGACGAGATCTTACCTCACCTCACTTCCCTGGGGAACCCCTGACGCCGTCTACCACGGGCCGACTTCGTTCATGCCTCTTACCTATGACCCTTACACTGCTCCCAAGGAGATGGGGATTTACCGGGAGATTGGCGCCCATGCGTTCGAGAGCCTTAATGCTGGCACCATAGTGCAGAGAATCATGAAGAGTAGGGATCTTTATGAGGCGCGTCAGCGAGCAAAGGGGGCCAAGGCCGATGTTGAGGCGGCTCACAAGACTCGTGAGGCGATGGAGGAGGAGCAGCAGCGCAAGGAAACCGGGGAGGCTCGACGGTAAGGCATAGACGACTAATGGGGAAAGCGGAGGAGCATTTGCATTCGACGGTGATAAAACGGAAAGGGGAGGCCTTGCATGAAAGGGGCTGACCAAGATAACATGACGGGCTTTCAACAGACCTATGAAAATTAAAATTTAGTCAATAATATTAACAGGCAAATTTCCTCGTAGTTCACCATAAGGGGTGTGGGGGGATCTCGTCACTCAAGCGACTCCGTGACTCTCCTTCTGAGTGTCCAAAGTAGGGTCCTCGTTTCCATCTCCCACTGCTGAGGTTTCTTTATGCGACGGACAGCTCGCAGGTTCTTTACGATACTCGGCAGACTCCTCCTCGGCGATGCGCGTCGCCTCCGCCCTCCACTCTGCCTCCTCCTCCTCGGTCCGGAGCCAATATCTCTCCATTGCCGCCTGCCGTTCGCGGTGTCTTCTCAGTTTGGACCCTTTCCCTGCCGGGAACTCGACAGTAACTTTAGGGTGCCCTTTATCCCCCGGAGGGTTGAGGTAGGTCAGTCCGCTCTTGGTCCTATGGGATAGCCGTGTTGGATAGAGGTGCTGGCCAGGGGCAATCTGAACATGGTGCACTGTCGTTGCACCAAATCTGACCGAGGCACCCACTGTAGCCCGCTTCGTGGTGGGATCTTTCAGGGTCGGGGAGCCACTGGGCTGGGCCTGTATAATGCCGAGGTTCGAGGACTCGGACTGATCTGTACGGGGTCCGCTCGAGCGGGGGATCTTATCGTGCAACGGGGACTCCTTGACTACGGGCGCAGCCCTGGCTTGTTTCGTTTTGGCCGACCCCATTGCTGATTCAGTGCTAATCTTCTTCCGCTTGCCGTGACCTACGAGACCCTTGCGACCGTTGCCTTGACCTAGCTTTGCAGCGCCGGTAGTCTTTGCGGCTGGGCGGACGGCATGCGACGAGGAGAGCGGTAGCCAAAAAGGCATTGTTGGGAAAGGTCGGCCAGGTCACTGCCCCAAGGGCGCAAACGCCGCGAGGAAGCTGCAGGATCTCGAGGAACATGGACAGATATTCGAGAAGAAGGGATATTAGACCATACATGTCGTGATAGAGGGCTAGATTAGGCCGGGTTGGGCATCTACGGCAGCAGTTTTCCCGCCCCTGGGATGATCCAATGGCGATAGTCATGGTGCACTTATGCTGCAACGTGCATACGGACGTGTAATCAGTCAGTCCAATATCCCATGTCTCCCCACGACATCGCTTCGTGGAGCTAACTAGCCAGGCTGCCAAAGACATAAACCCACGTTGGTGGCACAGAGAGCCAGCAGTCAAGAGCAGCCAAATAAGACCAGTAGGTGACGTGGGTGGCTTCAACTAACCGACCTACCTAGGTAGGCACCTTATCTAGATCATGGGTTGTTCGAAGTAGAGCTGGCATACTTACTCTCACCGTACAAGGGGTGTTTATGGGCATTATAACGCATGAACTCGGATAGAGTATCAGGGAGATGAACCTTCAAACCACCTAGGTGGGTACCTAAGTACAGTGCCTAAAATAACAAAGTACGCTGTACGGAACAGCTAACGCGACGGCCCCACGTGTTAAGCGATCCCGCATCTGCAGGGTTCCTGCAGCCGGTACAACGAGGGAGGAAAGCCGGAGATGAAGGCATGCACTTTGAAAGTGCTGATGCGAACCTTATTTATGACAGTCCTACCTAACTAGGTTGATGTGGCCAGTTGCGCAATCTTGATTTTTTCTACGATCCGTACCCAAGCCGAAATGACTGGGAACTAGATTCTTCCATCGCTCTTATTGTACGTATGCGAGAATCACGCCACCTGTGGGCCAGGCGGTTCCTGCCGCAAAGTGCCAAGCGCACACTTTTCGCCCTAAGCCCCCTTCGCCACTCAAACCTCCCCCCTCAGCCGCCTGCACCAAGAGTATAAGACCAAGGCTCGAGTCTTGCTTTCGCTGCCAACAGCCTGACTAGGTTGTGTTGCTGTATGCACTACCTACCTGTCCAACAGCTCTCGTCATGGAAGTCAAGTCTGCGACCATGTCGCGACAACCATTCCTCGAGATGCCGTTGCATCTGCTTAGGATAGTTCTGTCGGATCTTGACTGTATGGATTCGCTGGCCGCTGCAATCCTTAGCCATTCCTCATTCTATGTTGCCTTTAGCGAGGACTCTACCAACATTATTTCCCGTATTCTTGGGAATCAAATACCTGTGGACCTGTTGCCTTACTCGATCGCCGTGTATGAAGCTACTCGGATAGATCATTGTAATTCAGATCACATTATGAAATTATTGCTTCGTTTCTTCTCCGAGATATCTCCGCCTTCCCAGGACGTGCTTCGACTCGAGCACCTGGAGCCAGCAGCCGCGAAAGTTATCAGCAAAACACACAGCATTGTTGAGCACTTTTCACACGACTTCGTGAAAAAAACTCTACCACTCACCCGAAACAAACTTGGCCTCTACCGTCCAGACTATAGCCAAGCCTCCGCAGGCGAGGTCTTTCGAATACGCCGCGCCCTCTACCGTTTCCAACTGTACTGCAACCTACAGGCAGGCGGGAAGCAGAGAGACACATCATCTCTCTACCAGCAATATTTCTTCTTTGGCCTCTTCTCCCCGTGGGTGAATGAGCAGCTCGCCTGCATCCATGACTACCTCGAGCAAGTCCTATCTTCCGGTACGCTTCTCACGCCCCTGATCCCCCTGTTTAGCCCATAACTGCTGACTTCACAAGCCTTCGACAAAGTTGCTGCTCACGACGTCGAATGGGGTGCCAGGTCAGTCAACTGGCTCCTGCGGGGGAGGCACAACGAGTATAAGCAGGGATTCGTAAGTTTTCGCCCGTCCACACTTGGCACACAAGGTTCCCCTCTGACATGCCATCAAACCCAGCTCTCATACGGCCTTGATTTCCTCTTCAAGCTCAGCCACGTCGCCCAAAGCTACGACGAGCGGCTGCAAATCCTAGAGGCCGAAGACCTGCCCAATACTAAGAATATGCTGGCCGCTCACTTCAAGAGAGCCACAATAGTGGAGGACCCGGTCTACTATCCAAAGTATTTTGCCGTCCTCGGGCAGTGGGGAACCGACGACCTCGAGCTCCTGAGGAATCCAAAGACAGACGGTCCGATCGACGACAGCAGTTCCGGCCCGTTCCGAATGTGGCACGAAGCCCACAAGGAGTGCTATGTGTACGGCGTGGTGTATGCAGAGGAGCACTCGCGCTTGAGGCGGTGCGGGTACGTCTTGTGGGATGCTCCAGAGCGGCCCATCGAGGGCGGGCTCCGAGATCGCTTGCACGAAGCACGCAGGCAGAGATTAATAGACCACTTAGAGCTCAGCGAGGCCGGGGAGCAGATGCGACGGTCTTGGGAGGAGAGGGCCGAGATATACCGGCGCGGTGGGCGCGGCTTCTGGAGCGAGGGTGACTTGAGCGGGATCGTTTGGAGTGAAGCAGCCTCTTAGGTGCAGGCAATATCTGTGTACAATTCGATAGACTTAGACATGTCCTGACAAATATGTAATAGTTAATACATCTGCCTATATCTCTTCCTGGTTATCCTGTTGAAAATATCTTGGCATTACCTGCTAAGAAGCACCACTTGGTGCTCCAAGTTGCCTCGAAGGGTCTAGCCATGAGGATTCGCAGTTGAGGTCATCATGATGTCCCCTAGTTCGAAGTTGACCAAAGAACTTTGTCAGTCACTTGATCGAAAAATCCGGGAAGTCCAACCGTCACAGATTTAAGTTGGCAATGCATCATCAGGACCCCTTTTTGGCATATTTATGCAAGGCATGCGCCTAGGCACGGCTATTCTCGGGACACGTGCATGGGTCAATTCCGCCGTCACGGATTCCAATTCCACACCGGCCCCACCGACGGTTCTCGCCGCCTTGCCTCGGTCGATCAACGATTCATGTCCGCGCATTGCTCCATCAAAGCTGGGGAAAGTGGCACAGACATGCAGAATTTTATGTACAAATGCATCCGCTTGCGGTTTCGGCCCCCCTGGAGACTGAAGAGTTTGGCTGCTTGTCTGCTTCACCCTGCTGAGGTCGTGCTTCCAATTTAATAAGTGTGCTCCCGCTCCGTATCTGCGGCCGGAAAGGCGGTGTCCAACGACAGCCAGACTAGGGCAGTCGGTGAGCCCGAACAGGAGTGCGGAGCAGCATTTCGCCAATGTCTCTCGGGGCGGCGCGATGTCGGCTGCGCCTACATACGGCCCCCTGCGGTAGGTAGACAGGTACTTTGCAGTTCCCCTTTTCCGTGACCAAAACCTTGGCCCCATTGGCCAATGAGTCACCTCCTACCGGAGTAGTTTGCTTTCCATTGTCGAGGCGGCTCATGCTTTGCTGCATAGCTTAAAGGCAAACCCTTTTCTTCTTTATGCCCTCTTAACTTCTCGCCTCCTGCTACCCTTCATACCGTACCTGAGTGACTCTTTCTCCCCCGTCCTCAACACCAACGCCAGTCAACTCTTGGCTCCCGTATGCCACCTACTTGGTACACTTGACATACTTGACATACTTGATATCCTCGATACTCCTTTACAAAATCTTACACAATGTCGCCGACGGCCGTATCACCGGTGCCCCAGGCACAAAATGGACTGTCACAACTGAAGAACGGCCAGACAACCAACGGCCATCTCCCAGAGCTTGACGCCTCCAAACTGATCTACCACTACACAACCAGCCCCCGCGCCGTCCCCGACGAGGCGACAGCATGCGCCGGCACCGAGACGATCTGCACCGACCACATGATCACGGCGACATGGGACCTCAGCACGGGCTGGTCGGCGCCTGAGCTGAAGCCGTACGGGGCCATCAGCCTGATGCCGACGGCGTCGGTTCTACACTACGCCACCGAGTGCTTCGAGGGCCTCAAGGTGTACCGGGGCTTCGACGGCGGGCTGCGGCTGTTCCGGCCGGACTGCAACGCGGCGCGCATGCTCATGTCGACGCTGCGCATCTCCCTGCCGGGCTTCCCGCCCGCCGAGCTGGAGCGCCTCCTCCTGGCCCTCATGGCCGTCGACGGGCCCAAGTGGCTTCCCCGCGACCGCCCGGGCTCCTACCTGTACCTCCGCCCGGCCATGATCGGCACCCAGCCGCAGCTCGGCGTCCAGGCCCCGCGCCAGGCCATGCTCTTCATCACGGCCAGCTTCATGCCGCGCATGGACACGCCCGTGGGCGGCATGCGCCTGCACACCAACCCGCAGGACATGGTGCGCGCGTGGGTCGGCGGCTTCGGCTACGCCAAGGTGGGCGCCAACTACGGGCCCAGCCTGCTGGCGACCAACGAGGCGCGGTCCAGGGGCTACGGCCAGATCCTCTGGCTGTACGGGCCCGAGGGGTACTGCACCGAGGCCGGAGCGAGCAACTTCTTCGTCGTGTGGAGGGCGCGCGAGGCCGAGGGCGGGCGTCTGCAGCTCGTCACGGCCCCGCTCGACGACCGCCTGATCCTGGACGGCGTCACGAGGCGGAGCGTCGTGCAGCTCGCGAGGGAGCGGCTCGCCGGCGAGATCGACGTCGTGGAGAGGAAGTACACCGTCGACGAGCTGGTCGAGGCCCGGAAGGAGGGTCGCCTTGTTGAGGCCTTTGCGGCGGGCACGGCTGTATGTCTTTTTCTTCTCTTTTTATTCTTCTTCTTTACTCTCGCCCATCCTTACGATCTCACCCCCCCCCTCCTTCCCCCCTCTTCACTTTCCCAGAAAAATCCTGCCCTCTTATCTGCCAGTTGCTAACTGTTACTCCTCTCTCTAGTTCTTCATCTGCCCCGTATCGCTGGTCCACCACAACGGCCAGGATGTGGACATTCCCATGGCGGAGGGAGAGAGCGGATTGTACACTTCCAAGATCAAGAGCTGGTTGGCAGACATCATGTACGGAAACGAGCAGCATGAGTGGGGAGTCGTGGTTCCGGAGGAGAAGTGAGAGCATCCGTTACTTTGGGCCAAAGTTATTGGGATGGGGCTCTTCTACATTATGACCCCGGATTTCATGCATTTCTCGGCGTTTTTTGACCTCACTATTCAGAAGAGTGAGGTTGGTATTTTGACAATAGCGTCTTTCCGCAGGGTATTGCCCGGCCGTGATAGGCAAAGTCTTTTGTTATTTTCTAACTCAATGGCATGTAGATAGATGGGTCGTCTGGACCCTGGACAAGCCCAGTGTCTCCATATATAATGCCCATTTTTTATTTTATCTTCACTCTTATGAAAGCTTCGTCACAAATATATGGTACCAGGATTGCTGGTATTTAAGTTGCAGATACGGGGAAATTTATTTCTCATCTTAATACAGAGAGGCAGGATGAAGACCCAGAGGACAATCCTGCATCGACCCGTGCAACAAGCCGATACTAAATTTCCATTGCCCGACGTGCCCAAGGAGAAAAAGGACATTAACTACGAAGACATTGATTTAACTAAGATGATTTCTTGTTTTTTTCAAGTCCACAATCAAACAAAGGAAAACCCATTTCAGATCCCCCTAAACGCCTCCTGATCGGTAGCCACACTGTTCCGACGCGCGCGGTCATGGGCCCGGTCTCCGTGCTCGATGGACGGGTCGCCGAGGTGGCGGCGCAGCACCGAGGGCGGTACCTGCGAGGCATCTGTGGGATCGCGGCCTGTCCTGTTTGTGTCAATTCAGTCAGCACTTCCGTTTTCTTCTTTTATTTTTCAGTTTTCTGCGCGGACATCCCATCTTCCTCTCCAAAACAACCACATACAACGGGGGGGATGGAAACTTCCGACTGACATGCTTACTGGTACGTCCTGTTGCTGCCAAGGGTCCTGCTGGCGTCCTGGTCCGAGTCGACGCGCGGGTCAGCCTTGTTCAGCAAGTCACTCTTGTGGGGGCCCGCCGTGCCGGGCGCGGGTCCGGGTGCGCCGCCGGCGTAGGCCGTGCGCCCGTCGCGGTCAGACTCGAAGCGCGTGCCCTGCTGGCCGTATGTGCCCGTCGATGCGCCTTGCGTGCCCCCAATGCCGGTGGCGCCGCTGCCGGCACCCGCACCGCCGTAGCCTGCTGCGCCGTAGCTGGCGGGGGCCGCTCCTGTGCCCACGCCGCCGTAGCCGGCTCCGGAGCCGGCGTGGGATCCGATCCCGCCTCCGCTTGTGCCGAGGCCACCGGCACCGGCGGCGCCGGCGTGGCGGCCGGTAGTGCGGGAGCTGTCGAGGTCGGAGTCGACGCGCGGGTCGGCGGCGTTACCGAGACGCGTGCTGTGTGGGCCGTACTCGCCCTCGCGGACGTTGCCGGTGGCGCCGGTGGTGCCGGTGTAACCCTCGTTGTAGCTGGCGCCGGCGTTGCGGCCGATGCCTACGCCGCCCGCAGTCTGGCCGGGGCCCTGGGTGTAGCCTCCAGTTGAGGAGCCGTACTCGCCCTCACGGGCGCCGTGGGTGCCCTGGGTGCCATGGGTGCCGTGGGTGCCTTCGCTGCCGTGAGACTTGTCAGGGTTGAGAGCGTCCTTGACCTTGTTGACGATTGACGACATGTTGAAGTGCTGTGTTGGGCTGTGTGTGAGAGATGTGGTTTGGGTATCAAAAAAGGAGTTGTTGCTTGGAGTTACTTGTGGTTTGTTGAGATTGCTTGGGTTTGATGAGGGAAGAAAGTTGGATCGAGGTAGCCGACGAGTGTCCTCTCCTTATATATCTGGCTCAGCCCATGAGAGCAAGATTCCATCATCTAGATCACGAACTGGGAAGTTTTGGCTCGCGGCACTGTACGTGGTGACGAAACCGTCGCGGGGAGCAAACCTATCAGACAGCAGAGGCTGGAGGGCCTGCAGTTTGTTGCTCCATTGTCGTCGTCATAGGTGCTTCACAGAGAGCCATCTGGCCAAACCCCATCCCTGCAAGTTTCGACGGCGCGGGAGACGGTTCTTTGTCTCAGAACCTCGCAATTGGCCGGGCGGTACACTACGCATGAGAGCATCGGATGAGATGCTACGGGCTACCCACTAGGTTCCTTGCTTCGATCTCCCGAGCCTTTCTCACTTCACCTAGGAATGCCTCTATAATTAAAGATACAAGCTGATGGTCGCGCGTCATAATGAACCTGCCTGTGCCTGTTTGATGTTAGGAGAGTATAGCAAGGGGCCGATCGTGGAGACGGTGGCAAAGAAAGCTGCGTACTACTACAGAGTGCAATTGAGCCCATGGGGTATGTGGGTCTAAGTTATACATACGTGTACCTATGCATATTAGCGCAACTTAACGCCATCTGTTGGCGGGCATCGGATGCTGCGCCATCTGTCATCCGTGTTTGATACAAAAGGAGACAGTCCTTCGTCATTGTTGTCGTCGTGGTGCAGGCTTATGACGAGTGCTGGTTGATCAGACCCCACCCCACTGTGGCGTCAGCTACCCTTGCCCGTGGCTTGAAATGCAAAGCGCACGCCAATATGACGTCATGGATTTTTATTTCCAACCTGAAGCCCGTTGCTCATGTGTAGCGTACCTAACGATCTGTTGCATGAGTGAGAGTTGTAGACACAATTGTAGGGCTGAATAGCGCCATCTTAGTGCAAGAGAAAATGCCTGATTCTATGGAAGAGTACGTGCTCGTACGATTACTTCAACAAGAGACTGTGACGCCCGGCCCCGTTCCGTAAATAGAATCACATACGGGTACTTCCTGATTGAACATCTCACGCGCTTTGGGTCCAGACAGACAAGACAAAACTAAACGTGTGGTATTTTTGGTATTAACTGGAATTATCTAGAACTCCATGGGTACATATCATATGACAGTGTAACCGCCAGTGAGGGTATCAATCTTCGCGTCTTTCTGTGCTCCTAAAATTACAACTCCTCTCATCCCCTCGCGAACGTTTTATCATCAGAGACCAAAGAGGCCATCGTAAGTTTCTTATAATCAGACCGAAGCCAAAAAATTCGTGGGCATTCTCCCAAGCTCTGTGCTCCAAGTCGATGGCCCCGTCAGGGACAGCCGGATTAGAGCCCTAAGCTTGGATAGGCAATGCACCAGCCTTAGACACGGCTGCTGCGATACCAGCGGCGGCGGTGGTGGGTCGCAACCGGGGTTGTCTTCCGGTGGACCCAGTAGATCCCGAGCAAGGCGGAAACTAGCCACAAGAGCGCCGACAGGAAGACGAAGGCAATGTCGGCCTTCCACACGGGGCAGGTGTTGGCCCCTTTGAACCCGATGTTGCCCCAGTTGAAGACATTTCTTCATATCTTGTTAGCATTGGGGAATCGAACCAGGGGGCGGAGAAGACCATATAAAGGACTGTACATACCCACACCCGCCGTTCAGGTAGTTGACCAGCAGACCGAAGGACGCCCACCAGCAAATGGAGATGATGAGATCGACAGGCCAGTGGATGAAGGAGCCGCTGAAGGGGAACAGCCAGATGATGGACAAGAGAATGCTGAGGCCAGCAACAACTTCGGTGTAGATAAACCGTCCCTGGGACCACGAAGAGGCGCCCTTAACCGAGTGAAGGTAGTAGCCCGTAAGGCCGGCCACGATAGCGGCGAAAGCCAACTCCGCGAGGCGGAGGATCATCGAAAAGAGGTCGACGAGAATCATATTTGCGACCTTAGGGTGTTCGCGGGGGTGAGTCGCTTGTAGGCGATGAGATGATGAGCGTCAAGAGGCTAGTCTTCAAATAATCGGAACTTAGTTGTGGTGTGAATAGTAGGAGAGGGACAATACTTCGAGAACAGGAGGCATCTCCAGGTATTTATTTCCCAAGGGGGAGAATCATTAGCACCTCATGCACACTGAGCATCATCAATCTGCGTGCCTTGTTTGGTTCGCAACAACGCTTGCAGCCGGATTTGATACGTCGTCATCGACCGTGTCTGCTTCCCACCCAGATAGCGAAACCAGGCACAATGGCTTGGGCAGTAACGCCACTGATGACACCCCCTTTCAACGCATCGTACATACAAGCATTAGATTTGCCTGCGACCTCATGTGATTAGTTCTTTGGCGCGTCTCGGCATGGAGGCATGGGAGGCTTACAGCCAACGGGCATTGAGTATCTCGGCCTTCTAGATCCGCCTGATATGGCGGGAAGGGACGCCCCCGTCAATATGTGTACACTACACTAGGACGGGAGCCTGCGAGAAAGGGAGCCACCCAAGCGAGAGATGATGCAGCCCGCAGAAAACCAGCTTTCCTGCAATCTCGTCCAACCAAAGCCGTAACAAGGGTCCCGGGCCCATGACATGCACTGTCGATCTTGAAGTTAGCCTCTGTCAGTTGGTCTCATCTGTGGTCTCGGCTGTGGTGTTGCGCGTGGTCGTAAACGGATGACATCATGTTAAAGATTTCAACCAGTTCCCGCGCGGCACCAGCCATGCCAAGAAACAACATGTTGTCCTATTGGCTGGAGGCTCTACTTGGTACTTCTGCACTGTAAAATCAGGGTCCACGGTGTCTCGCACATTCTAGAATGACATACCTCGTCTCTAGCTGCCTACAGATCGGTAATTCTGGGCCTGCTTCGACCTGGATATTGCGGCAATTGACTCGATTGAGAGCTAGAGCCGTCCCTACCCGCAGGAAGGGGGCGTCTGAACTCGAACGAGCGACTAGTCTCGCCTGTAATGCTGTCTGTCTGTCTAAAGGAATAAAAAGAGGGAAAAAACATAAACGCCCACGAGACAGGCCCGGCGATAGCGCAGACGCATTGTCGCTAGTTTCAGTCTCAGTCCAGTACGCCGTCCCAGCGATGGCGTAGAAGCACTTTCGCTGTCGAGTAACCAAAATCTCGGAGGCAACAGCGTATCCAAACACGGATGGGGTATCATAAAAGCCAAACCAAAAACCAAAAACTAAAGAAAACTCGCCCATTACCACAGCCTTTCCATCCACCTTTTTGTTGTGTTGTTTCTTAAAACACACCGTCCCATGGCCCGGGCCAGAGCGATAGCGTAGAAGCATTGTCGATGACCTTGTCCCTGAGTCCCCAATACGCCATTTCCAAGCGATGGCGTAGAAGCACTGTCGCCGTCGAGGAGTCCAGCTTCTCAAAAATAATCCCGCCTCCTTGTCTGCCCCGTAGCGCTAAGCAGTCAAAGAGCCGGGATGGTGCCTTTCCTCGAGTAAAAGGCATAACTGAAATGCTCGATAGGGTTTATGTTTCGCCCACCCCCCATCTTCGATACCGAGAAAATTACGCGGATTGCTGAGTAGAATGAGAGTGAAGAAGAGGAAATTTTCGAATGGCAGGTTGTGCTGCCCATGGAGGAGAAATAAAACGGCTCGTCGTCGCCAAGATTGTCTCGATTGTTGAAGATCGCAGGACAGCTCGCACCAAAAACCCCCACCCCTTTCGATCGTGGGTTCGTCCTTAGTTCTTCCGGCCCCACCGCAGGTTCCGGAAGCCGCGTTGTTGCACTTCTCGGCGGGCGGCGCCGTCCTGGAACTCGTCGGAGGACTCGACGGCCGAGCTGCCGCTGCTTGCCGATTTCTGGCCTGGAGTGTCACCCCAGAATTTGAGCAGGAAAGTCATCATGAAGCTGCTCAAGATGCTCATGCAGAGGATCCCAATCATAACCAGGTTGCTTCGGCGGAACTGGTGCGGGCCCTTAGCCGCGTCCGAGGGCCAGCCCGTGTAGAGGGCATATGTGGTTGTGATGCTGCCCAGATTGCCCAAGCCCGAGACAAGGGCAGACGCAGATGCGACGCCGACTTCACGATGGCGGCGCTGGAAGATCTCGCTGGTCCAGGTCATGCATATTGGCACGGTGGGACCGAGCCCGAAGCCGACCATCAGCAGACCGCCATATCTTGCCCAGGGGTTCGACAAGGCGAATGTGACCGTCAGAAGCCCGGCGATCTGGATGCACACTGCCGCGGAGAAGAAGAGCGCGCGGTGGTGATGGAAGCGGTCAGAGATAGGGGTAACGATGAGGATAGCGCACAAGTCCATCTTCACCAAATCGGTTAGCACAGCTGATTATATGGTCCCAGGATGACACTTACGATCCAGATTGGCGCAAACAGCAAGCTGATTTGGATGCCAGTGAAGTTTGGATTGATCGAGGCGATGATCACGTTCCCGTACAGCTGCGTCCCGATACCCACGCCCACAACTCCAAAGTACATCAGCACAAGTGGCCAAAGGCGCAGGTCGATGAGGACGTAGCCAAGGTCCTTGAGAGTCCAGGGGCGGGGATGGTAGACGCGCTTGAGGTCGTGGTAGTGGACCACCGCATCTTCACCCTTGAGGGCTTCGGGAGGGGCTGGGAGCCACTTCATCCACCGGCTGCGCGGGCGCTCCTCGCCAGGGGGCAGAGGTCGTTCCGGAAGCCACCAAAGGAGGGCAACGCCGAGGACTATGGCGAAAAGACCATAGAGAAGGAACATCCACCGGAAACCCACCAGGCCTCCCAGGCCGTCCATCTCCTGGAACCCGGCTGACACCAGCCCGACCACCGCAGCCGAGACTTGGGCGGCAGTGTAGTACATGCCGATCCGCTTGCCCATGCGCGACGGAGGGTAGAACAGGGTAAGGTAATACGCCATGCCCGGCCACATACCGGCAGTGACAACTCCGAGGAGGAAACGCAGAAGCCTGTCTCCAGTCAGCCATCCGCCTGAAGGATAGGTTGGCAGGAATCTCGGCCTCCACTTACTTGACGCTCCAGGCATCCCCGACGGCGGTGAAGCAAGTGCCGATGATGCCGACAGCCAGGACGATCCGCGCCATCCAGACGCGGGGGCTGAGCTTGCTCATGATCAGATTAGATGGGAAATCGAAGGTGACGTAGGACACATAGAACAGGGCCAGTGCCGTCGACGTATCCCGTGGCGTCAGCTTAAGGACAGCCGTCAAGTTGTGGCCCACATCGGCATTCATGGTCTGGGCAATTCCAATATTAGACCTGATGGCCGAGCAGAGAAAGTACAGGACCCAGAAAGCTGTTGAGAAGGTTAGTACGGGGTTGGAGTGGTTCCGACACTTGGATGCTTACCTGGTATGATTCGCAAGTCGAGTTTCCTGTGGGAAGAGTTAGAAACCGTAACGAGGGCCTCTTAACAAAGTATTCAGAGCACGCTGAGGGGCTTACCTGTAGACTTGCTCGACCCTCTCGATCGAATAGTCACCATCGCCTGCCAAGCCTTCTTCACTCCGCCGGGCCGAGTCATTGGACTCGGAATTGACCTCGGTACCGGCCTTTCCATCCCCCAATGGGGCTTCTTGACTCTTATGAGCCATACTCCGACTGAGAAGCAATGGGAGCGCGTGCTAATAGTCTTTTCTGGCCCAGAGCAGTTGTATCCCACGTTGGCGGTTTTTTGAGGTCGGTGAATTTGGATTGGTCTTGGAAAGACGGATTTTAAATTCAGGGGGCTTGGGGACAAGAGTGACGGGAGGTTAATTGAAAGAGAGAATCAACCAAAAAGAAGGTAAAGGGGAAGGGGGGAAGAAAAAGAAAAAGTTGCGATAAAAGTTGCAACTCAACCTTTATGGTGTGGGTCAACAAATTTGCTTGACGGTAAAAGGCGGTTGGCGATGCCTCTTTGACTTAGCGCACCACCCAGCATCAGTACACCCCCACTGTCAAGCTTAAGAAGCTTGCAGATATAAGAAACTCTAATAGCTCTTGTGAATCACGCAAATAGAAGCTGCGCTCTCTCCTCAACAAACTACGTAACATCCAGGCTTGCCATTGATTGTTAATTGACTGCCAAGGTCAAGGTTCAAGATGACTAACAGGTCCCTAGGGATCGTCTCTTCAGTTTCGTCGAGATGCATCAGAACCCATAGATCCCACCAGGTCCGCGATGGGTGCTCATATCTAGCCCGATATGAAACTGGTCGTCCAGATTCTAGATAAACACAATCTTACTACGAGGTCTCCGGCTCACATCCCACTGGCGATGTAAATGGATGTAAACTCCCCGGTGTAAGCCGCCTTGAACCGGTGCCAGCAACTCTTTCGGCCCCTCAACAGCTTGTTATCAAACTGGGTTAACGATATATTTCCAGCCGCACCGTAGCCGGATATCATGTTCCTGCACAAAGGTTGTCTTGAGACCCACCTTGGCAGTCACTTGGCTAGGTAGGTACCCATGGTTGAGCCAGACGCATCGAGGCATCGAGGCATCGATGCTCAACGAGCGTGACAGGTGAGCCCTACGTTGTAGTGGGGCATGGAGGGTCCTGGGGAGCCGGTTTCGGCGATCCTGGGTGTATCTGGTGAGTTGTCACAAGATTGAGACAGTTGTTGCTGGCAAGGAACTGCAATCCTCTCTTTTGCGGAGTCATTGGGAAACCCGCCAAAGGCTTGGGAGCGCGAGCTTGGGGTCGTGACTACCGAGCGATGTCAAATTCCCTCCTTGACTACGTCTTTGGTCTACAGAAGCGAATATTGAACTCTGGCAATCCAGGACTCCGAGGCACAATACTTGCGACCACATTTCCCCGACGAAGCAAGAGGAAGTACGGAAGTATGCGTTTTCGAAATTTACCAGAAAACCTTTGTGCACTGACTGGCTCGAGGCCCGCTTTCAGTTGACGATGGTGGGTGTCCCCATTAAGTTTGCCTGAGGATAAATATAAGGATAGAAACCAATCGACTTACAACCTCATAATTCCGGAATCAATGCAATCCTGCCTGGTTCGACATGTCATCCCAATCATAAAAGACCTCCGCTCCAAATTTCAATTTCCCCCTCATTGCCCGCAGTCCATCGACAATTGAGTCTTTTATGTTTGCCGCATCAGTCGAGAATTGGAATCCTATGTTCCTACTACGACTCGATCAGTGTTATGCTCGCCTCCTCCTGCAGTCTGGGTTCAAATGCGACGACCGCATTTGATCTTTGAGCAGCTGCATGCCAATCAAGTATATGGACTCTCCCAGCCCGGATTGATATGGAAATATCCAGCAATCCCACGGTTCGCGTTCTGTCCCGCCAAATCTAGAGTGTATTTCGCACCTTTGACAGAGCTCTCTGTGCTACCAGTTCACTTTCAGAAGCCCATACTCTTCCAATTGACCTACCAAACTGATGTCTGTTGGAAGCGTGTGTCATGGCCCGCGCACCAACATCCCATATGCCTCTCACCGCGAAGCAAGTTGGCTTTGGGTGTCTCTATTGATGCGCTCGATTCTTCAAAGTCAAAAGAATCGATTCGCTCCCCATAAGTCTCATTTTCCTAGACAACCCAGGGAACGTCTGCTTTCCCTCGATGCCGGCTCAGAATGGCCTAATGGCTAGCTTGGTCTCTCCAGGCCCCCAATGCGTTCACCCTGAACCTGAGACGGGTAGAGGGAACTCTGCCTAGTCATATCTTGGGTTGCAAACTCCGTCACCTGCGTTGGGATTTTGGGAGGGGTCATTGACTCAATGGCCTGGCCAAAGAGATCAGTCATGATATGCCCGGGGAACCTCGAATGCTCTGCTGGTGTCTGTCATCTCCTTATGCCTATCCATAACCAGTCCTCCTTGTCTCGCATCTATTCCACCTGTTCGAAAATCCCCCTACCTTGGACCTCCGTGGAGGTGCTCTCTGACAAAGCTTGGTCAGACATGGCATTCTCCCAAGCTGATGAATGGCTTGGAACCTTGCCGTCATCCTTGGGCTGGAAGTTAGCCGCTGGGGGGCACAGAAACACCAACGGTGCAAACTAACTCTCGGAGTGTTGGCCGCATGCATCCAAGGTTAGTTCGAAGGCACCAGCCCCAACATACCCTTTGGCGACTATCGAGGCTAACTATATATACTCGCAGTGGGCTGTCTTGTTGACCCGCGGATGCGACCTCAGGTGTGTTGGCAACCTGGCCAGCGAGCCTTGTTCACAAGTCGATGGCCGAAATTCGCCAACGACGCCTAAACTGCAGGGCGGGCAAGAGGTCGCGTTTCAATGAAGCCGTGGCTGTAGCCTTGCCAAACCAATCACGGACCCCGGTGAGTCATCGTTGTGCCACAAATACCCCTGTCAGGTTTTGGGCAGCTGTCGAGTTCGAGTCATCAGCCTAGGTCCGGGGAAAGATACTAAAAGGGCTTGCAGTTCTCTGTCATGGAGTCGGACCACAACAAGTGAAGGCGTGGATGGACATTTATCTTGCTTCGCATTGCCATCCGATTTCCAAGCTTCCTTAGGTTTCGATGATCGGCGCGATTCGATATCCTCCGAGATTTCCGCATCATCACGTGCCTACGCTCGGATCACCACGCTAGCCTTTTGCGTCGTTCACATTGTGGCGACCTTATTTAAGCTCCCGTTGTTGCCTGTCGAGTCCCGCCTTGTACACCTCAATTTTCAGGCCGCTTTTTCCATTGCGCACGCGAACTCGAGCTATCGCGCATCATCCTCATAAAGTGCTGGCCTCGCATTGCGGGCCGTGGTCTCGCATCGAATCTTATTGTTTCTTACTTCTTCGGAAGCTCACTCGTCCTTTCACCGTTGTTCACTTCCCATTATTAGCTTTGCAACAGCTGTTTTGCCAGCGGATATATCATATCCTGATAACCTTACCTTCCGATCGAGATTCCCAACTCCATCGTCGCACAGAACCGGCACCTTCTCTGGAAAGATGAGTGTGGTCTACGAACCCAGAAATTTCATCCACGATGGAAATTATCCGCCCATCGATGATCACCACGATCCCAACCCAGACGACCGGTTCAACGACCCAAACGATGCCGTCGTCACCGAGCTGGCTACCTATGCCGGCCCGCCCTCTAACTTTGTCGATTCTGAGCCTCGTCTTGACCTAGATCCCCCGTCACTGCCAAAGGAGGACTCGCCCACCGCCTCTACTCCTCAGCGCATCAAGGCTATCCCGAAACCTGAGCGTGATGTCACAAAGACCTTGGAGGGCAAATTCGTCTGTACCTGGCCGGGTTGCAACGAGGAGATCAAGGAGTTCCAGCGGAAGTGCGAGTGGAAGTCAGTATCTGCCCCAACCCCCCTCCTTCTACATCCAAAATGGCCCCCGCTAACCATCATCTACAACAGCAAGCATATGGACAAACACGATCGACCCTACAAGTGCGGGGCGGAAGGATGTGGGAAGCTCCCCGGCTTCACTTATTCGGGCGGACTGCTACGACATGAGCGCGAAGTCCACGGAAAGCACGGTGGACCCAAGAACTCATTCAACTGCCCGCATGTCAACTGCAAGCGACACACCGGCAAGGGCTTTTCCCGACTTGAGAATCTTAACGAACATCTCCGCAGGGTCCATTCCCCTATGAATGGTATCGTGAACGGCACCGAAGGCGACACGGATGATGGCGGGAGCGAGACAGCAGGACAAAAGCGCAAGCGCGATGACGAGGGTGATCTGCACGAAGAGATCAAGCGGGTGCGGCAGGAGAACAGCGAACTTCGGCGCCAGGTCGATGCGCAGAACCGCCAAACCGTGGCCATGATGCAGCAGATTGCGCAGCTCCAAGAAGCCCTGCAGCTCCAGCCACGGATTGCGCCGACCGCGCCGATGATTTAGGAGAGATTCGGCATGGAGCAGTACGACCTGGACCAGGACGACCATGCTCAAATCAACGCTCAGGCTTACGCGGCTGAGCAGTGGGCCCCTGGACAGGACGCTCCCGAACAGAACAGCCCCCTCGCGTCCATTACCTGGCCATGAGCTTACGGGCCTGCATATCTATCTGCACGCATTTCCCTTTTTCTCTACACTCTCGTCTGACCCGCATTTACACTCGATGATTCCCCTCCGCTTAGGCATGGTTTCGCATAGCTGAGGAGTTCTGGAATCCGGATGGCTGAACATAGATCTGCTTTTTTTCCCCCTACATTTTTCTTCTTCTTCTTGGTTCATGGGAATAGCATTAGGAGATACCACACAAGGCGCTTGTGAAAGCGACCGAAGGCGATTTGGAGTTGGTTTTGGAACGGCATATTGATAGGGGCGGTGGGGGTGTTAGCGCTGGGTTGCCTAGGTATTTTGGTCACCACTCTCTTCTCGTCTCTGGGCTTGGTTTAACTGGACAAAGGAAGGACTATTGGAAGGTGTACCATGTGACTATACTGTGTCGCGTTATGATGGAAATGTAGAAGCACATCTCATTCTGCCTTTGCGACAGTAATTACGCATGTTCCCCCCCCAACCCCCCCCAAAAGCCCCCAGGTTGCACCGCCCCTGACCGACGATGAGACCGCCCTCCTTCGCAAAAGCTACTTCCAGCTCCGATCAGCCCTCGATCGAGAAATCTCAATCGCCGCTACTACAGGTGAGCTAGAAATAGCGAAAGGATCGATTCTCGGCTCAGCTTTGTCGACGATCCTGCGATCACGAGAGGCTGCCTAACTCAGCCACAACGGGAATCAGGGAGCGCTTTTCGAATGGAGTTGAATCAGCGGGATCTACGGACTAATTACAGGTTACGAATCCGCTGTCTCCGTAGAGCGAGCAACTATGGGAAGTATCGTGGCAAGGCTTACGAGGCTGGAAGCGAAGGGAAGGTCCCATTGGTCTTGGCTCCGAGCCGATGTGACCAAGCCTCGGGATGACGTTGTCTCGATGCTGGGGGGACCTACATAGCTGCCTCCCCGCGTGTACTGTACAACTGCCTCAGGCCATTAGTTTGTATTGATGCCTAAAGCTCAACTAGCGCCCCGTACCGTACCTCCGGGAGGCTCGTTGAAGGTCAACTTTAGTCCTTGATGGCCAAATCCTCCTTGGCGATCCAGCACAGTGTCGGCTTCAGAGAGTCAAGTCTGGAACCTAGCCTCAGTATAAGTACGTAGAGAAGATGTAATGAGGGTCTTTTCTACCCAGAATTGTTCGGGGCCGCAATACAAGCAGGGTCAGTATCGAAGACCCACGGATATCAAGATTTAGAAGCGGTGGAGTTAGTGGAGACCTCGGATGTACAGTAAATGTATTGTGATGCAGGTATACCGTAACAATACCTCCCGGAGGAAAACCAAACTCCAAAGGTCAAAATAGAGTCAAGAAATCAGAAAGACCGAAATCAAAAACCAAAAGCGAAAGTAAAAAAGGGAAGAAATAAAAGGCAACCCACAACCATGTCCGCCCCCAACCCGATAGAGGCCCTCCCGCCCCCGCCCTCCGTCTCCAAGGAGACGATCCACATGTCGGGCATCCTAGTCGACGTCTACGGTCTAGCCGAGCTAGGCCCGGGCCCGGGCCCGGACGGTCCCCCACCGGCCCGCGTGTCCTGCCTCTGGCTACACCACCCGCGCGGCCAGTCCAAGGAGGACATGGCCGACATTGCGGCGCGGTGCGTGGCGGCCTGGAACGGGAACGGGAACAGGGACAGGGGCCTGATCGCGGCGGCGTTCGACCAGCGCAACCACGGGGGCAGGCTCGTGCGCGGCCCGGCGAACGCGGCGTGGCGGGCGGGCAACCCGACGCACGCGCAGGACATGTTCGGCGTCGTGGCGGGGACGGTGGCGGACCAGGTCGGGCTGGTGGACGCGGTTGGGGGTTACCTGTTCCGGGACCGGGGCCGGGGGGAGGGTGGGAAGGCGGTGATCGATCAGCACCTCGCGCTGGGGGTGTCGCTTGGCGGGCATAGCGTTTGGCAGCTCATGTTTGCGGACCCGAGGGTGCGTGCTGGGGTGGTGGTTATTGGGTGTCCTGATTATATGGGTGAGTGTCTGTTTCGTCGTCTTCTTCCTTTTATTCCTATTGCTGCTCGCAACCTCAGCTTCGTGGGATCCGTATCAAGGTTGAAGCAGAGGAGGAAAGGTGGAGGGGCCGGGGGGGGAATGTTGCCATGTGTGCCCAGGGCAGAAACATGCTGACTGAGAGAAACTAGGTCTGATGTCTGACCGCGCCCGCCTATCCAAGCTACCCACCTACTTGGCAGCCGATGACGGCGCCTCGTTCATCGGGAGCAAGGACTTCCCGACGGCGCTTGTCGAGGCCTGCAAGAAATCCGACCCAAAGGCCATCTGTTTTGGAACGGATCCCGTTCCGTCGCCGTCGACGCCGTTGCCCGAGGCTGAGAGGCAGCGTCTCGGGTTGATCCTCGGCCAGCGGGTCCTCGGAAAGAGGTTCTTGCTCTGCTCCGGCGGTGACGACAAGCTAGTGCCCTACAAGTGTGCACAGCCCTTCGTCGACTGGTTCAGGGATGCCACCGCGACATGGCTCAGTCACGGGAGCGTGCATGTTGATGACAAGGTCTACCCTGCGGTCGGCCATGTGTTCAGCGCAGACATGGTCAAGGATGCCGTACAATTTGTGCTTGATGCTGTGTCCGATGCGGACGGGCCCAATTCCGCACATGATACGAACAGCGAGGGGGACCAAGCCATGTCAAAGATATAGTTCTGGGAAGGAGCAGAAGACAGTTAAACAACAGCATTTCCCGCCCAGGGCATAGTTCCGCCTTCAGCTAGCGCCTCTCCCCCGCCATCAAGCAGCCTTGTCTTGACCTTGCTTCGCGACCTCTCGTCGTCGCTCAGGAACAGCCTCTGGTCCACCTTCCACGGATTCCTCTTCCTCCTCTTCCCGGCCAGAACCTCGCCCACCCCATGCGGGTCCTCGGTCCAGTGGTCGACGGCCTCGCTGACACCGCGCATCGCCTCGGCCTTCTCGCCGGTCACCTGGCCGCTCAGCGCGAAGCCGCCACCTTCTTTTGAGGGGTTCCCGGACGAGCCGATCCCGGGCGGGTCTATGCCCACAAATCTCACGCGGTCGAGCGGGAAGGCGATCGCCGCGCAGTGGGCGTCAACAAGGCGGGCGCGTTTGAAGGCGTGGCTGACCAGCGTGATGTGCTTGGGCCAGACGTGGTGGACACGCCAGAAGAGCATGATGGAAAAGAGGATGTTGTAGTAGGAATCTAGAGCGCGCTCTTCCAGCAGCACGCGGGATGAGGAGACAGGATCTGGGGAATCAGGAGGCAGTAAGCTGAAATATGCGTTGGCGGCAGCAAGATTCGCATAGCTGGCGGCTTCAGAGACTGGGGTTTCGTCGCGTGTTGGGCCACTGGATCCGGAAGAGGGTTGGTTAATCCGGCGCTGCAAGACTACGCAACGTTTGCCGAGGAAAGAAGAGGCTTCTCGGCGAGGCGGGTTATAGGTTATGAAATCGGGAAAGAAAGCAGCGCAAAAATAGGTCGATGTGACTGACTGGGTGAAACTACCGATACATGGGCAATACAATACACCAGGTGATGAGGCGAAGAGACTTGGGCGTTCCACTTACCCTGAAAACACCAAGACAGCATCTTGATCCTCGGCCAAAGTCTTTATGCCAGCACGAATGTGCTCAATGAATGTCGGGGTTTCGCCGGACTTGTAGCTTTCAATCAGCCATTCAGACTCGTCCCAGCCGTTTTTTGGCCCTCCCAGCCAGATACCGTGACCACAGACAATGACGAGATGGTTCGGCGGATTCATCCTTGCTAAGGCAAAGAGTCCCTGTCGAACCTATGTTTTGGATTTGGATTGGTCATTTTTCAGAGATCAGGACAATGCGGTTGGCCCAGTTCCTAAGATCGGCGAGATCATGTGATGCAAAACGCAAAACAGCTGCGTCTGTGGTGCAATAAACATCTCTTATGGCATCGAATAGGTCTTAAACCGCCTTGCTCTCACGGAGGAGTCGCAAGACGTCCGAAACTAGATAGAGGCTCCCGGCAATAACAAGAGGGCCACCGCCGGCCGTGGCCGATGCCCAGTTTAAGGTGCCTCGAAGATCGTCCGATCCATCCCTTTGCTGGGCTTTCTCAACGCCATGTTGAGCTGCGAGGGCAAGAATCGACGATGGGTCTGAAGGCTTGACCCAGGGCATCCCGTCGACAGGTCCGAACCGCACTGCTGCAACCCTGTCGCCAGGCCGAAGTAACAGCCCCAAGATACCGCCCATGTCTTTTCCTTGGGAGGCAGCCAATATCCAGGTGACTGCCTGGTCTCCCTGGAGACGGAGGTGTTTCTGAACAAATGCTGCCAGGGCTTCAGCTGACTGTGTGTTGTGGGCCCCGTCTAGGAGAACCGGCTGCGGGCGACCAGTGATGCTGCCAAGGTCGAGCATTTGCAGCCTCCCCGGCCACCAGGCATCTCTGACTGCTTTGCTGAGGCGGGCCAACGAAACATCGTGGTCGGGTCGTGCAAGGTGAAAAGCCAGGCGGGCGCAGGCCAGGTTCTGGATCTGGTGTGGCTCGTATCCCTCTTCTGAGAGCACACTTGCCAGTTCGGAGGTTGAGGGGTAATGAATCTCTGCCCCGACGTCCCTGGCATGGTCCTCTATAACCCGGAGCACGGCGGGTGGATTGGATCCGTCAACCACACAAGGAACGCCTCGTCGCATGATGCCAGCCTTTTGCAGGGCAATCTCTTCCAGTGTGTTTCCAAGAAACGACTGGTGATCCAGCCCTATTTTGGCGATGACTGTCACGGTCTTCTGCCTCAACGTATTTGTTGCATCTAGTTTACCACCAAGACCAACTTCTACAACACCAAACTCGACCTTCTGGCGGTTGAAGATCTCAAAGGCAGTAGCGGTCAGGAGCTCAAACTCGGTGGCCTCAACATAATCCTCTTGGTCTCTCCGCTTGACCAGCTTCTCAGCATCTCGAAACACAGTTTCAGAGACCGGATTTCCATTCACATTGATACAGTCCCAGCGGTCGATGAGATGAGGAGAAGTGAAGCGGCCACAGGACGCGCCGGTGGAGTGTAAGATGGCTGAGAGATAGGCACAGATCGAGCCCTTGCCGTTTGTCCCAGCAACGTGGATGGCCTTCCATGCCTGTGGGGTGTTTTGAAGCAGGCGGTTGATACGTGCAAGCCCTAGATCAATCATGATGTATAAATATGCATGACAATCAACCAGGTATCATCGTGCCCAGCGTTGGATTGGTTGCCAGGTTCCGTGGCCGAGTTTTGCGGCCGATAGGTGAGGTCAAGAAGGTTTGGTTGCCACGGTAGTCAGTTTTGTGGGCTTTGTTTGTTGGGATGTACAGGATCAGGGGTGACTCATATTGGTGATTGGGGATGAAGGAATATGAGAGATTCACGCAGTTTCACTCGTCATCTAGACTGACAAGGAATTGACTGAAAATCTGGCTTGGCATGTCCAGGGGTAGGTTGTCCAAAAGGCTAAAAAGAGCCGCGAGATAAAGTCTGTTGAACAGGTACTTAGTCCACCGCTTTAGTTGATATGCTTGTTAGGTAGAGCCTTATTGCCCACTAGCGTGACCAGGGGACACTCCGCCCTTTATGCAAGGCGGCCAGTCAAAAAGGTCCCCTTCTCCGCCCCTCGCATTTTCTCTTCTTTCAAATCCTCCACCACCCCACAACTCGTGAGTGTGAGCGCGAGGGTCCGAACAACATCAAGTTCTGGCCCATCACCACGTCGGGGCACCATTCAATAACCCTTCGCATTATCAGTTCCATAGTCGCCTCCAATCGGCCATTCTGATCGCGACAATTTTCTGAGCATTCCCGAGTCCGCTCTGCGCATTGTCCAGGATTTCAGGAAAAGATGGGTCTCCGGTAAGCCTCCCCTGTTTCCCGCCAACAACTGTCGCGGTCGCGTACCGAGTCGTGTGCCGAGTCGCGCATTTGCAGCTGCCAAACAGCACTTGATTATTGGCGTCATCGTCATTCTCATCTCCGCCTACCATCATGTCGATACCCGGCTTTGTTTTCAATTTTTAATTATTCTTTTTTGTCATTGTCATTTTCGTGCTAGATCTCTTCCACTGACTTTGCATTTCTCCTCCACCAGATTGTATCAAGCCCCGGCAGCCGAATCCCAGGCCAAGCCGCAGCCGCCTGCCGAGAAAAGCCCCGCGCATGGCCGATCGCAGATTCGGCGACGACCTTTGTCCCAGATGCCTGAGCATCTTCGCGAACGGCGTCGTCGTATCCTCTCTAGCAGCGTTGCACCTGTCCGCTCTGGGGGGCCGCGACGGAGTTCGTCCTCGTATGACCCAACCATCCCTGGCCAGGCGCCGCCCGTTATCCCTAATCCCTATCCCAACCCTCCGGAATCGGGTCGCATTGCCCTGCGCGACATGGCGAGGGGCCTGCTAGATGATCGCGGAGTGGCCCAGACTGGAGAGCGGTGGGCCAACCTTCATGCCTTCAATGCGTCCCCATCAGGTGGTTTAGAACTGGACCCGCCGCCGTATTTGCCTTCGGATATGCAACCGACGGCCGACTCGCAGTCGCTCCGCCGCCGAAGAACTGGTGTGCCGACCCAGCCGATCCCCACGTCGGACCTGAGAATGACCCTGGGTCCCAACTTCGTTAGTTATCCCTATTTGCGCGGCACTCTTATCCTTCCCTTCCTCTGCACCTTTCCAACAAGCAGCTGGCACTAACATCCTGCAGACCGGCGTCGCTAGATTCACGGCTGAACCCGCACCCATATCTCGCGCAAATGCTACCAATGCTCCGAGACACGACCCGCGACGCGAGCTGGAGGAGCTCATCCATCACTATCAACCGTCCATGCTCTGGCGCCGCCCCGTGCTCAACCCTCGCCTCGCCGATGATGACCAGGCAAACCAGATCGACGGGCTCGGTGACCGGAACAGGAGCCTCAGTCCTGAGGGTGACCACGTCTGGGATACCTTGCTCAGCACGGTCACCCCGGACCCGCAGCCGCCTAGCGTTGGATCTTCATTCGCTTCCGCGTCTGCGTCTGCCTCGGCCGCCACATCGCAGAGCACTGCTGCTGGGTCGGCCGGCACGTCCTTGACCTCGCCGGACGTGGTCGATGGCCCTGTTCTCGAGCAGCCTTGCGAATCGGAATGTGATAATTCCGACAGCGAGGCCGATGACGACGTCCATGACGAGGACGAGGATGAAGATGATGAAGATATCGAGATGGACGAAAACACCTGGATCCGCTTCTCCAATGCCATGGCCCGCGTTGGCCGTTCTTATGCCGACGCCGCACGTAGCAACGGCAATGAGGAGTCTCTGGAGCTTCTAGGTGGCATTGGAGGCATGCAGCATATTGTGCGCAGCCTCGCACGACGAGAAGATATTCCAGACGAGTGGTGGGCTGAAGCCGGCCTCAGCCGAACCCTCCCACGCGAGGATTCGGCTAACTAAAGACGCCGCTCTAGCGTTACTGATTTTCATGAGCCATGGTTGATGGGGCGTCGGATAAAAAGCATGGAAGGAGTATTGTGTAATCTGTTTAATTTTTGGGGGCGTTTTGGAGCGGCTCGAGGCGGCATGGCGTTTGCGATGCGTTCTGGGGTTGGTATACCTTGGCCTAGTCCAACCAACTTACACCCGGCCTCCAGGTGGAAGAGGCCTTGGCAGGGGGGACATAATGGGCTTGCAATAGTTGCAAGAGGTGCAAGAGGTGCACTATCATGTTTATCGGCCACGGCTGGCTGATATATCGGATCATTGAGACAAAAAGGGGAGAAGGGAAAAGGGGGACGGGTTAGCTCCCAATCTGGTACTTGCGCTCTATTTGAGTCAGTACCTGTGTATAATATAGTTGTAAGCTGTCTCTTTAGATCCGAGGTTTCTTACCTTGCCTACCTATCTGGCTAGGTAGGTGATGGGAACCTTGCATAGGAACAATTCAAGTTTCCTAACCCGGATCGATGTCGCGATGCATCGCTTTGTTGATGGAGTAGATGCAAAAGTATAGGAAGCATGGAAGGTTTGGATTACGGATATATCCGTGCTGATTGCCCTGAATCCAGGATGATTGTCCCTAGGGGCACTTCGAATGAGCTGCATTAGTGCGTGCGGAAGACCCATTCATGATTCAGCTCTCGGGTCATCATTTTCATTTTGCCATGTACTGTACGTACACCCTCCTGGATCAGATCAGGGAAGGCATTGACCATTCTGGGAGGTAGCTAGGAAAGTGTGGTTTTTTGGTTCGCGTCACTGCCCAACACCTGCACCAAGCAACTACCTACGCATATTACCAGCTGCAGCACGAGAAAAGGCAGCCCCGACTGAGCTGCGCTGCTGCACTGCTGCACCGGGAATCTGCAAGGCATCTTGCGGGCCGTTTCGCAGTGGGATCCGCATGCCCAAATAACCAACCCTGACCCGACCTTATTAGCAGTTCCAGCTCCTTACCTCTCTGCCTCGACCACGACCCCAATACCCCGCGGTACGGTACGGTTCGCGACGTGAAACGAGGGACGCCCTGATTATTTATTTTCTTTAGCCTTACCACCGACCCGACCCATACTTTACCCGAAGAATTATTGCGATCTTCCGTCACGACTAATCCGTCTCCCTGCTGGTGAGGCTCCACCAGCTGGACCTCTTGTCTGCCAAGCTCTTCACCCTGCTGTCGACTCGACCCGATACCGAGCTGCAAAAGCAATCCCGACCCAGACCCATCCCCGTGGCCAGGAATGAGAGGCAGCATTCCTTCCCGGGCATTTCCTCCCGCTTCCGGATTACCCTGCGTCTCGACTCCATAGCCTGCCCACTTCATCGAGTCGACATCCCTCCCTGAGAACGAACGACGCAAAATAAAGCCGGGGAGGGAGAGATTGGTTTGTGTGCGCGTGCGTGTGTGTGTGCCCTCTGAAGTCTGGTGCTACCAGCAGGTGTCGGAACCATGGCGCCCAACCCGCCAGGCAGCTCCGCCGAGCGGCCGTACCACGCTGCTGCTGCTGCCAACGGCAAGGCCATCGTCGCGGGCAAGCCTCCTGGACCCGCCCGGAGGGACACGGGACATACAAGAGAGAGAGCTCTGCAGGACCCGGGGCTCAAGGACTATGTATGTTTCAGACCCTGTCTTGTTTGTCCAGTTTGCAAGGCGGCCATTTTCCGGTTTTTTTTTTCCTTTCCTCCTCCCGCCGTTGTTCTTTTGCTCTTGCCTTTCCTTCCTGGGTTCGGCTGCGGTGACATAGCTCAAAGCACAAGGACGTGCCACGGCAGACAGAGTTCCAGGCGTGGGGTTGGGGCTTCTTTGTTGTGCTCGAATGCTTGCATTGTATCCATTGTTCAACACGGCCACAACGGCGTGGCAGATCCACATGGGACGTGGCTAATCATGGCGTTTTTGGCTGGTTATAGCGTCTTGGAGATTGCATCGGCAAGGGAGCCTTCGGCTCCGTCTACAAGGCCTTCAATTGGGGCACCGGCGAGGCGGTTGCCGTGAAGCAGATCAAGCTCGCAGACTTGCCTAAGAGCGAGCTGCGAATGATTGAGGTATGAAATCTGCCTTAGGACCCTTGAGGGGGGCTAGGCAGACGAGGTGCTGACACCAAATAGGCCGAGATTGATCTCCTCAAGAATCTCCATGTAAGACAAATCCTGGATGGACGACCAGCTAGAAGACAGGAAGTTAATGTGCTTGCTCTCGGCTAGCACGACAATATTGTCAAGTACATCGGCTTCGTGAAGTCTGCAGACTGCCTAAACATCATCCTAGAGTGCGTTCTCCTCCCTCCTTCCTGGCCCCTTCCTGGCCCCTTCCTGCCCCCCTTAAACACAGACTAATGAGATGGCAGATATTGCGAGAATGGCTCTCTCCACTCCATTTGCAAAGCCTATGGCAAGTTCCCCGAGAATCTCGTGGGCGTATACATGACCCAGGTGCTTCAGGGTCTGCATTACCTACACGACCAGGGTGTGATCCACAGGGACATCAAGGGCGCAAACATATTGACAACCAAGGATGGCACTGTCAAACTGGCCGACTTTGGCGTCTCGACAAGCACCCTTTCTGGCCCAGACAAGGAGGCTCAAGTGGTGGGAACTCCGTACTGGATGGCCCCAGAGATCATCCAGCTTTCCGGTGCAACTTCAGCCTCAGATATTTGGAGTGTGGGCTGCACAGTTATTGAACTGCTGCAAGGGAGGCCCCCCTATCACAACTTGGCCGCGATGCCTGCTCTATTTGCCATTGTCAATGATGACCACCCGCCCCTGCCTGAGGGTGTCTCTCCAGTAAGCCATCGACAATCCAACATGCCCGAGGCAAAAGTAGAAAGCCAACACTGACAATGCCAAACAGGCCGCACGCGATTTCTTGATGCAATGTTTCCAAAAGGATCCGAATCTTCGAGTCTCGGCCAGGAAGCTCCTGAAGCACGCGTGGATCGTAGGCAGTAGAAGAAGCGACGCCCCTGTTGCTAAAGCCCCATCGAACTTCAGCCAAGCAGTAGAGGAGGTGAAACAGTGGAACAAAGCCCTGAAGTCGTCCGAGAATAACCTCAGAGCTTCTACTGGATCCGATAACAGCGGTCCCCCTCTGCAAGGGCACCCTTACAGCCGCTTTAATCCACCTTCAACCACCCCAGCAAAGGGACCCCTTGTCCTAGCGAAACCGAGACCTACGGCCGAGGCTTTCAGGTCTCCTGAATTGGCTGGTTAGCTATCCGAGTTCTGGTCTAGCATATGCAGAAGCTAACTAACATCTCCAGATGATGACAATTGGGACAATGACTTCGCAACAACAATATCACCCAGCGCACTTCATCTTCCCCATGTCAAAGGGCAGGACAATTTCGGGGGTCTCCTCTCAGCTGACCGTCTGAAGGCATTTGCCTCCATTGACGACTCCCGGCATCATTTGGAGAGTTGGGATGACAGCTTCGAAGGCGAGCTCTTGACTATCAAGGGCCCACGAGACTTGTCTGAGGTGGACATTCAGGAACAGACCATCCGGCCTCTTCAAAAGAAGACGGACAAGGCAGCAGATCCAAAGACGCAGCAGGCTCATAGACGCCAGCGGAGCAAGCCTTCCTCTAGCCATGGACCTTCCCAGACAAAGTCACCCGTCAAAGCCCACTTTGGTGGGAAGTTTGAGCTTCCACCCCGTCCTGATCTTATCTACAGAGAGCAGTCTATTGAGGACTACTCGGATCTTCTCGCTGACAACGACAATGTCTTCCACAGCAGATTGAGCCCTGTTGTCAAGGTATGGCAAACAGGACAACCCCCCTCAAAGAATGACCTAGCCTGACCGTGGTATAGGACACCCCTCAGCTCTTCCATCCCTCCGACCTCACCAGCTTGCCGCGATCCATGCAGTCTCCTGCCGGTGGAAGCATGAGAAGGCAGGCGACATCTCGGCCCTCGGTCTTGCCAGATCGTCCGATGAAAAGAGCCAGATCGACCGTCGAGATCCAAAGGTTTGCCGAGGATGAGGGCGACGAGGACTTCTCCGACATTTTCGGCGCGGAAGACGGCTTTACGGAGAAGGAAGAGAGTGACCGCGGTTCCGAGGACGGCAACCTCATGCTTCTCTCGAAGCTCTCCAACAACTCTTGGCTAGGAGACGACGAAGACGAGGACGATCCCTTCGCTATGATGGACCCCGGCTGGGACGACATGGATCTCGAGGCCAACATTGCGAGGGATAGGCACGCAAGATTGGCCGAGAAGGTGGAAGAGCTGGTGAGGTCATTAAAGACTACTGAAGGGGATGACAAACTGTCGATCCTGTCGGAAGACTTGGTGAGCCTCCCTCGGTATCTAGCAGACCCTTTGTTTGACTGCCTGGCTAACCAGCGCCTCTCTCTACAGCTCAATCTCCTGTGGGAAAGCAACGAAGTCAAGGATCTGATTATTACTGCCCATGGTCTGCTGCCGATATTGGAGATTCTTGAGCCGTGTACAGTGAAGAGTCGCCAACACATGATCCTGCAACTCCTGAAGATTGTCAATGCCGTAAGTTTGTTGCCGTTATATATAATAATACTCGGTACTCTCACTTTGTCTTCTTTCTCGCTAACCCTAGACTACTAGATCATTCTTGATGATGTCGAGCTGCAGGAGAACCTATGCTTCGTTGGCGGCATCCCTATCATCACCAAGTTTGCCGCCAGACAGTACTCTAACGAGATCCGCCTCGAGGCGGCGGCTTTTGTCCGGCAGATGTACCAGACATCTACACTGACACTCCAGATGTTTGTTAGCGCCGGAGGTTTGAATGTGTTGGTGGAGTTCCTGGACGAAGACTACGATTCCTCCCAAGGTTTGGTCCTCATTGGAGTCAACGGGATCTGGAACGTTTTCGAGCTCCAGGTAAGGGACTTGTCCCGCAAATATGGGCTTCAGACTTGCTGATCTTCTCAACAGGGGCCGACTCCGAAGAACGACTTCTGTCGAATCTTCTCGCGGAGCAAAATCCTGGATCCGCTAGCGACCGTCCTCCATAAAGTCTTAGATGAAGACGACAAGAACGAGTTATCGGAACTCATTGAGGGGCGGATCGTGAACATTTTCTATCTCTTCTCACAGGCGGAGAACTACGTCAAGGAGGTCGTGGCTGATCGACAGGTCCTCAAGAGTATGCCCTCCTCCCTCCTCCCTTCTCCACCCGCGACTTGTATCCAAATTAACTTTTCCCCCAGCCGTGCTCCGGGACCTCAGACGGATGACTCCAGCACATCAGATCACCATGCTGAAGTTCATCAAGAATCTGTCCATGCTCTCAACAACTCTCGAGTCGTTGCACTCGGCCGATGCCATCGACTTCCTGATCGACATCCTTAGCCATTCAATGAAGCGTGGGCAGCAGCAGTTCCGCGAAATCTCCAACCAGGTACTGAACACTATGTTTAACCTCTGTCGCCTCAGCAAGGAGCGGCAGGAGTATGCTGCTGGCAACGGCATTATCCCGCTCCTACTCAAGATACTCAAAACAGACCGGCCGCCGAAGGAGTTTGTCCTGCCCATCCTTTGCGACATGGCGCATTCTGGGAAGAAGGGTAGGCGTTATCTCTGGCAGAACACCGGCCTGGACTTCTACGTCTCTCTGCTTGCGGACCAGTACTGGCAGGTCACAGCGCTGGATGCCATCTTTGTTTGGCTCCAGGAGGAAACCGCAAAAGTTGAGAGCCACTTGCTCAACGGCAAGTTTACGGCGGCAATTACATCCTGCTTTGCCTCTACGAAAATTAACGCATTCGATTCGAACCTCCTCGAGCCGCTCCTCAAGGTTCTCCGCCTTAGCCCGGCATTGGCAGCTTCTCTTTCCAAGCCGGACATGTACGCCGGAATCGCCCAGAAGCTGGGCCACAAGAAGGCGATTGTGCGGCTGAACCTCCTTCGGCTCGTCCGCAACATCATGGACGGTTGTGAGGCAGATGGCGTGTCTATAGCCGCTGCTAGGACTTCCAGCGCCGGGCGGCAGCTTCGTGTCCTCTTCGACGCCATCCAGACCCTGGCAGATAAGGATTCGGCAGTGCTGGTACGAAACCTGGCCTCTGAGCTTGTACGGAGCCACATCGATGTCGAGCTCCAGCACGACACAATGGCGCTCGGTTCGCTCGGCCTCGGCGGCGGGAGCAGGCCAAGCTCCAACGCCGGCTCGGGTCCCCGTTCGCGCTCCGGCCCCAGACGGTCGAGCTACACACCCCCAAGCCTGCACTCCAGCGTCTCGATGCCCCCGACCCCGACCCACTCGCGCCCGTACCACCGGCCGTCCCAGTCGTCGGCCTTCATCGAGGTCGCAGCCACGCCGAGGCGGGGGACCATCGGCATCGGACTCGGCCATCACGAGCGCGACGCGGCCCTGTACCGGCCGCGCAGCACGACGGACGGGCCGGGCATCCCCAGGCGAGTCAGCGGGGAGGTAGGCGGCGGCACCTCGACGTCGTCGTTCACCGGGTCGGTGGCGGCGAACGGGTCCGCGCCGCCGTCGTCGTCTAAGAGTAGCAGTAGTAGCAGGCTCCCGCGCACCTCCTCAACGACGCACTACGGGCGGCCGAGCCTCTCGGGCGGCGGCGTGGCGGTCGTCCGGAGCGAGAGCTCGCTGAGCAACAAGGAGAATGTCGTGGGGCGCGCTGCTGCCGCTGCCGCAGCCGGGGGAGTGGGCGCCATGTCGTCGTCGTCGTCTTCGGCCGCAGGGCCGGGCCCGTCCGGCCCGGTGGCTGGCCTCAGGAGTCGAGAGGCTTCGATCAGTGGCGGGGGTGGTAGTAAGCGGAGGGCCAGGGCGCCGAGCTCAGATGTTCGTTGGTCTTAGGAGGGCCCGTCTGGTTCCGCGCGGGGGTCGGGGCGGTTGCGGCCTAGGAGAGGGGGGCGCGGTTAAGGATTGGCGCATCCGTGACCTCCTTTCCGCCGTGGGTTTCCGGCTCCCCTTTTCTATTTGGTCCCTTTCTTTTTTTTTTTTTTGCTGGTTGCTAAACATTTGCATTTGACTGGCGTTGACAGGCATCTCACATTCCTAAAAATGTGATGGATGGGAAAAAAGAAGCGGGTATGGCACGATAGAGGGCCCCGTTTGTTGCTTTGCATTGCGTTTGGATTTGGCCACTTGCTGTGTGCTAAGACGGGCTGGTTGGCAGCTATGATTATAATAGAATCTAGCAGTACGGCTTCCGGCCATTGAGAGTTGTGCAATCATGGTTAGATAATATATCTACGAAGTTCTCATGCCAGTTGTTGGGGGGCTCGGGGCATATCAGAAGTGAGTTGACAACTGGAAGCTATCCTGCTACCTACCTGTGGATAACTAGTTATTAGGCATGTCGACAGGTGCACCTGCAATCCAACAATGGACCAACCAACCAGCTTTGAAACGGTGAGATGTCGAGCTGACTCAGTAAGGGGTGTGTCGTGCCAGAGGGATATTTGGATGCCTGGAGCCGTTACGCAGCGCTCGTTACGCAGCGCCTACGTGGCATTTCCCAGGGGGCACGTGGTTCTCTTTCTACGGTATCCAGAAAACGTTAGCACTGGAGAGTGTTGAGCATCTTTCGATCTATCAGTTAAAGTTCGGTGGATCTCTTGTTCACTCCGACAGCGATTCACCAGGTAATTGATTAATAACATTTGAGGAGGTCTCCAATTGCTGCACACTTGAACCCCACCTGATCAACGCGACCGCAGCACACCACCTGCAGCGAACTTGAGTGATAGGCAGCCCATTTCTCGATCTCAAATTCCGGGTTGGGACCTGCCGTCTTTTCCTTTCCCATCCTAATTCTCTCAACAACCATCCCAACCCCACCGCCTATCTACCTGTCATACATCACCGCCTCAGGCAGTCGAAGAGTGGGCTTTATACAGATTGCTGCTGCCTTCGCGACGAGGACAGAATGACGCGGGTCGGCGTTTACAGCGCGGCGCTTGTCGCCTTTGTTGCGGGTGAGTTCAAGCCTCCTTTTCTCTAGTCCATTCGCTACGTCATCAATTTTTGGAACCGCGATTCCATTCCCGCCCGCACTCTGAAACTAGCCGTATCAAGGCTCAACCATCACGACCTGTCGCGGCTCTCGCGATGTCTCCCGAGCCATAGTCTTCTTGGCTCGGGCAACAAGATGGGCCACTCACTCATCCTCAATGCCATCTCCGTTGATCCCCAACCCTTCTGCCACCATCCTCTAATCTCGTCATATAACCGCTAACCTCCACCGTCCCCCCCCCTCCCCTCCAAAACACAGCAACGGCAATGACCCTCGCCTCAATCCTGACCCCCAACTGGGTCTCATACAGCGTCTCCACGGCCTCGGGCGGCGTCTTCTCGCGCAGCGTCGGCCTACACCGGAGCTGCAGCTCGGTAGCGGACCCGCCCTGCCGGCCCTTCCCCTCGGCGGAGGAGTGCGGGGACGGCGGCGGGGAGGGGCGGCACTTCTGCTCGGCGTGGCGGACGACGGGCTTCCTCATGAACCTCGCCGCCGTCGCCGAGCTGGCCGCCCTCGTCGGCTTCCTCGTCACCATGGCCGGCGGGAGGGCCAAGCGCGAGGCCGGGTGGCGCGTCGTGGCGACCTTGCTCGTGCTGGTCGCCGCGGCGCAGCTCGTGGCTGTTGCTATTGTTGTATGTTTCTGGTTCGCTTTTGGCTTCCCCCTCTCCCGCCCCTCTTTTTTTGGTTCATGTTCCTTTTTTCCCGTATTAGAATCCATGGCTAATCCAAGGTGCGCAGGCATATTTGTTCGACAACAATGACAAGTTCCTCGTCCCCGGCTGGCGACTGGATACCTCGTGGGTTCTCTGCACCGTCAGCGCGTCGGTCGCGCTGCTCAGCGGACTTGGCTTGGCCGTCTCGGCCTTTGCCCTCCCGCCGGAAGACGGGTACGAGTTCTTGGCCGACCCCGCGGGAGTCTGATATTTGGCTCGGCGGCCTCTGGAGGCAGGGACGTCCGTCTCAGTCGGGGGTGCTTTTGCCCGTTGCGGAAAGTCTACACATGCTACATCTGGCGTTGGAGGAGTTGAGTGGTGGGACACCATATAATAATAACCACGGGGCCTTCTTCTTTCTTTTCTGCATCCTGGGGTTTGGACATATGTATCACCTTATTGTATAAAATACGCTCGTTGTGGCTCAACCACAACTAGCGACAGTCACTTTCCAAGTCGAAAAAACGGCAGACACAACCAACGCTTTTCTCATCATAACCGAGTGAACAAGCACGCCTAGTCTAGCAGCAAGTTAGAAGAATAATGGATTAACTCCTCCAAAACCTGTCTCAACACACACACCACTCCACATGCCGCCCCTTTGCTACCCCGCAAAGATATCCTCCACCCCGTTCCACCCGCCCCTCGCCCTCTCCTCCCAGTACCCGTCCTTCCCGCCCTTGATCCTCCACACCTCCTCCCCGTCCTGCGCCGTCGCCGCCCGCACGAACCACCGCGGCCGGTACTCCTCTCCCTTTTCCTCCTGCGCCCGCCTCCGCGCCCTCTGCGCCTCCTCGAGCCGCGCCTTCCACTCCTCCGCCTCGTCCAGCCTCCCCTGCTCGGCGAGCCTCTGGTCCGGCCGCAGGCGCGTGTCCGTCGGCGGCAGCCTCCCCTCCTCGAGCACCGTCACCTCGTTCAGCCCCGCCGCGAACACGGTCAGGCCGTACGTGTCGGCCGCGCCGCCGACGAGCTGGCCGGGCCTCCAGATCTCCCGGCCCGCGCCCACGCTGCCGTGCTCCACCGTCTTGAGCCCGGCCGTCCACGTCCCCGCCAGCCCCGGCCCGGAGCGCGTCCCGTCGGGCCCGTACGCGTCGGCGAGCACGTCCTCGCCGCGCCCGCCGAACATGCCCTTGGAGCGGAACTCGACCGTCGCGCGGGCGCCCGTGCTGTCGTTGCACACGTGCATGGTGCCGACGGGCTCGACGTACTTCTCGCCCATGACCACGTTGCGCAGGAACACGGTCGCCACGTTCCAGCTGTAGCGCTCGTCCGACCCGTCCGGCAGCCGCAGCGAGACCCGCACCCGGCCCTCGGTCGTCAGCTCCGCCGACTTGCCCCAGAACCGCTGCGTAGGCGCGGGGGACTGCGCAAACGACCACGACGCGCTGTCGGCCTGCATCGCGAGCCGGACCGGCCGGTGCGTCACCTTCTCCACGAGCAGCCGGAACCCCCCGGGCGTCTCCTTGTCGGAGCGCACGAGCTCATACGTCTCGCCGAGGAGCGGGTTGAAGGGCTTGCGGATCGCGCGCTCCTTGGCCCGGCCGCTGCTGAACTGCGAGACGGCGAAGGCCGTCACGTACAGGAGCCGCTCCCCGGGGAGCTTCTGCTTGGCGGCCGTGTCCAGCAGGTTGGCGTACTCGAGCTGCTCGGCGACCCGCTGGAGGAGCGACGTCGGCTCGTTGGCGGACACGGGCATGCTGATGGTGCTGAGGTCCTTGCCGACGTTCTTGCGCACAAAGGCGATGAGGCTCGGCGGCAGGACGGTGGCCTTGGGGATGGTGGTGCGGCGGGCCACGGCTTCGGTGATAGGGAGCGGGGTGAGCGACTTGGGCTTCACCGGGTAGAGGTTGCTGGATCCGTCGGCGGAGTATATGTCATCTTCGTCAGCCGCCGAGGACACGGACGACGAGGAGTGTATGGAGCCTTCATCCGCGTCTGACGTGGGCATGTCTTCTTCGCTCTGATGCTTGATCATCACCAACTGAGATCTGTCCATGTCACCGACCTCGGCGTCGAAGAACTCCTCCGTCGACGTGGAGGACTCGAAGCTCGTCCGTGGTGCTGTCAAAGTGGGCACGGGCAAGCGGCGGCGCTTGCTCGTAGAGAGTAGGTTGGAGAACTCCTGTACTACCGAATCCAGGTCGCCTAGGAGCGCGGTGCAATGATCATGGGCAGTCTGCCCCTCGGGCACTTGGCCTCTCGAATTTCGGTGTACGGATTCGCGACCGTTAGCTGTGGCATTGGGAGCACTTGTCACCGGTGCCTGAGGCGTGAGATATGAACCGCTGGTCTTGCGTTTCCAAAATGGTCTCTTCTCGGTCTGTAGAGCCGAGGTGCTGTCCCAGTCTTCCGGTATAGGAGGCGGGGAGCCATTGAGGTGGGCCTGCTTCTGTGCTGCCATATCCTTGACTAGCCGTCGTAATGCGTCCCTCGTGCCCACGATCCTGCTGACAAGAGCCTCGACCTGCTGCCACTCCCTGTCCTCCTCTTGCTGCATGTTAGGCGCGGGTTTTGCCGGGCGAGCCACCTGCGCTCCTCCCAGGCCCGGCTCGACGGGCTGTGCCTCCAAACCCCGGGCCACCCGGCTCGCTCTCTCCAATGCGCGGGCCCATTCGTTGAACTCCTTGTCGCTGGAGGCTTTCAGGTGCCATACCTCGGCTCCCGAGTCGATGTTGATCTCTCGCCGCCGCTCATCTGCTGCAATGGCGGCCAAACTCAGAGGGATCGCGCCTCTTAAGGCCGAGCTGTTGCGATTGTGGTAATAGGAGAGCGTGCAAGTGGCGTAGTCGAGAGAGAAGAACCGGCGCGCGTAGCCCTGGCCCTTCTTCCGTCTCCTCTTCAGCAGGGTCCCAACATGGTATGAGGCAGGCGTAGTGGCCCCTTCACTGCGCCCCGCCTTGGACAAAGGCCGCCCTCCGGTTTTGTGACTATGCAAGCTGTCAACCGAGTCCGAGCCGACTGCGCCCAGCCGTGGGCTGTTGTGCTTTCCTAGACTAGTCCTGCTCGCGCTAGCTATGGGTCCGGCTTGAAGATTAGGAAGGTGGTGTGCTGTCTGGGGCGGAGCACCAGTAGGATATGTGAGGACAACGAAGGTCGCCGTCTTGGAGGTCTGCTTAGAGAAAGTGTTGTCGAATACGAGGCCAAACATGCCTCCGTCGGTGACGTCGTAGGTCCCTATCGAGACCTTGTCGGCCTCGCATTTCCCATGCCATTTTATCGGGATAAACCCCTTCTTTGCGAGCTGAGCTTGCGCGGTGCTGTTGTCTTTCTTGGAAAAGAGGCCGGCCTTGCCGTCTTGGGCGTTGTCGGATTGGAGGTCGGGCGAAACGGCGCCTTCGGATTGCGACGTAAGATTCGTCCCGCCTGTGCCTGGATGCTTGACGATGCCGAAATTTCTGGAGTATTCTCAAGTTAGGGTTCTAACGTTCTCAACGATGAGGCTGGTACGAAGAGGCTTGCTGGTTCCTTACATGGACTTCTTATGTGGCTGGACACTCCACGATATGCTGTGTCCTGCGTCCACTCTCACCCATCGGACGATGTAGGACTAGATGGCGCGGATAGCATCGTGTTAGCCTGCGTAGTTACGTGGAAGGCTCTCTCGTCAACAGGAACAATGGTGACGTACCTTGCTGTGAATCTCCAACTGCTCGATGCCCGCCATGATGCGCAGTCAGCCGAGAGACGGACGATGTACCAAGAAGAAGATGGTCGAGGTCAACTCATAGCGGCATCTCAGCCGGATTTTACCCTGCTTGTTATTTTTTATCGTTGTCCACGGAGTTCGGAGTAATCGGTACGTTTAGTGTCGAGATTTGTGGTTGTGGTCAAAACTGTAAATCATAGGCTCCTCCTGTTCAGCCTTATGAGGGGGACCCCGTTCGTCCCGTTCGCAGCGTCCCGTTTAGCTGGTTACGGGAACCCCTGTTGTGTGTTGTGGGGGCTGAGAACTGCACCTCGGCAACCTACTGTACCTATCTCGTACCGCTCTCGCACTCGCTCTCGGACAGCTCGTACTGCATAGGTAGTCAGAAATCCCAAATCAGGGAAGTTGATGACGTGTTTACTTCACGCCAGCAAGGACGGGGGGGTTTCTGTTTTCAACTTTTAACTGGCTGTTTCAATGTCTTAAATTTATTCTGCACGATCCTCAACGCGGCCTTCATGCGGCCACCAAGCAGGCGCATGTAATCTTTGTCGTGTTTTCGTCTCCGCGAATCAGCTGGGGGCATCTAACCATCTGCCCGTCTGCTATCGTCCAATCTCAACCTTGCCCATCCGTCCTAAACTGCCCAGACGCTTAGATTACCTTACGGCTGAACAAAGGCAATAAATAGTATACAAACAATGTGCGTTACAAATCCAGCCTCCGTTCATCGTCCTCCGGCTTGCATTTTCAACAGCTCGCTCTGGTATCTCATCTTGAACCCGTTGCAGAGCGCCCTCATGTCGGGGTACTGGCTCTTCATCAACTCATAGGCATGCGGTACTACCCGGACCATCCAGGCGTTGACCCTCGAGCTCCGATTGGCCTTGAAGCAGAGGTAGAAGTAACCAGGGTGTTTGGTGTCGATGCAGAACGCATAAGTAGACCGATTCGGGTTGGCATCCATATAGGTGGTCAGCCACCTCTCTGTAGTTCCATGTTAGCATCCTGTCTCATGGTATTCCAATTCGGGGGGGTGTTAGCCGGCATCCACAGACGTACCTAGGTCTGCGCGGGAGCCCTTCTGGAACTTCTCGTGCTGCATCAACTCATCCACCTTCTTGGCCATGGCCTTGACGTGGTCCACGATCAGTTCGTCAAGATCGGTGTAAGTATACTTCCCACCAACGCGGAGGGTGCGGCCGACCGAGAACTCGTTCTCCTTCTGCAGCTCCAACACGTCGATGTGCTGGTAGACTCCATCCGCGACCTTCCAGGTAATAGCAAGATGGTCATTCCCCTTGGATGATGGCCGGATAACCACCTCGCCGGGCGCCTGCCCGCCCAGGTACTCTTCGGCCTGGGTGCTATTGAAAGGCTTGAAGAGCGGGTGCTTGATCACCCTCTGCGTGCGGCCGGTTGTCTTGTCCTTCTCGCGCAGTTCCTCCTTGTCGAGATCTTCCTGCCTGAAATCCCATGTCGAGTTGTCATGGTCCCTGTGCTTGCGATATGGCCGCCGAAGTTCGTCCTCTCTCATCGACAGCTTCCCTATGAAGTCCTTTCGGTTCAGCTCGAGAAGCTTCGCCTGAACCGTCTGCCCGACGTGGAGGACATCCTTGATGGAATGCCGGCTTGACACCTCGTGTGACTCGACGCGGCCTTCGATCCCGCAGTCCAGCTTCACAATGGCAAAGTCATCCTTTACGAGCCTGACATTGACGGGGATGATCATGCCCTCGCAGAGCGAGTCCCTTGTCTCGCCAGTCAACATGGTAAATATCTGGTCCGCGAAGAGCGGCGCGAAGTTCTTGCGCAGTTCCTCGTAAGGAGCCTGCAGTTCTGCCCGGATCGTCTCCAGAGTAGCTCGCTTCCGCTGTTGGTAATTGCGCTCCAGCTGCTCGGCGTACTCTTCAAGAATGAGTTCGTTGACTTTGTCCTGCTCCTCCTCCTTGAAGAGCTTGCGAACGATTGCACCAACACCGTTCTCGTCGGTCTCTGCCTTGACGTCTTCTTCATCCAACGCCAGTGCATCGGCAGCTACCTTCCGGGCCAAATCGTAGTCTTCTGGGTGGATACGTGTATTGTCAAGAGGGTCTGAGTGAGGATTGGTGGTGTCGTACTCGATGAAGAGGAAGCTGGCGCAGTTATTCCACACGCGCGGGCCAAGGACTTGGAGCTTGCCAACGTCGGGATCTCCAACCAGCTCGTCACGGGAGTTGACAGCTCCGCCATTGGCATTGATGCCCTTGATTACCAGAGTCGCCTTCCGTGGACCCAGACCAGCTACATAAGGCAGTAGATGCGCCGTGTAAGGGTCACTGACTGCCTCGTTAATGTCCACGCCGCACAGATTCACCATATCGACCATGGCCGTCTCGAGGTGCTTGTAAAGCTTGTCGTGTGGCAGCAGGTGCTGGTAGGGGTGGATCAGCAACGAGGTGATGTCCTTGCCAAGAGCGGCGTACTCCTTCATCGGATTCTGCAAATACCGGCAGAGGGCGACACAGTATCGTGTGAGTGGGTTCAGAGTAGGATGGTCCGCAACAGCCCGAGGGCTATCCTTGTACAGTCTAGCCACCTCATCATTGACCACGACGACGTCCAGCAGATCATGGCGATACGCGCTAGTCTCGGGGTCTTCGTATTCTGGTCCCATCAATCCTTTCTCATGGATCAGGTTCTCGACGTCTTTGATCAGTTTGGACGTGTCTGCAGAGAAGCCAGAAATACCGATCACATCGGGTTTCCGGCGCTGGACCAGTTCCGAAAACAGCTCGCGTTGCTCTTCGTCTCGAGCCAGATTGCCAAACTTGCCGTGTTCGAGGATCCTCCCATCTTCCTCCACCCAGGTCCAGGAGATGGGGTCCCGGTTTGGATCGCCCATGCCGTTCGAGAGGGCCAGAACACGGGGCATGGTGCCGAGGACCATACCCTTGGGCTTATAGGGAGCCTGATCGAGCCGCTTAAAGTATTCCTCGCGGCACGTCTTGAGGAGCTCCTCCTGGCAGGCAGTCCGGAGGGAATCCTTGACCCCCTTTGTGATGACCTTCTCGAGCTTCGCGAATGAAAGATCAAGCACTTTCTGGCGCTCTTCATTCCATGCATCGGCCAGCTCGCTAAAGTTGTCTGATGCGAACTCGGAGTAGAGGCTACGTCTGAATTCCCGCTCGTTCTCTAGCCTCAACCGAACCTCGACGAGACCCTCTTCCTCGGCCCTCATCATCTTTAGGAAAACTTCGGGCTGTCTCGCCAGATCTCTTATGGTCTGGTTAACGAGATATTTGACTTCGTAGTAAGGGTGCGACTCGTCAATCTTTCGAAGTCCCTTTTCGGTTCGGCGGCAGCTGACCAGCCCCATCTCGTAGTAATTCATTCTGAAGTACCTGCGCATCCGGGGGCTGACGAAAAGCTCCTCGGCGTACATTTGCCGGGCAGCGTTCATCACCTCGTCCGCCGTGAGGAAGTCTCCATCGGTAAGGCTGTCGGCGAGATCCACCGGAAGTTTCGCATCGTCATCCGACGACACCTTGGCCTCTCTCATGGCATTTTGCGCTAGCCGATCTGGAGATATGCCGTAGGCACGGACGAAGCCGTATGCTTTACATCTCCTGATCCTCTCAAAGACGCCCGATTTCGCGCCCGGGCGCTTGGTCTCCTTCGACGCGCCATTCCCCATTGCCGCGAGGTCCTTCAGTTGCGCCGAATACTGGAAGTTGACGTAGTCCTGCAGGTCTTGCAGATCCTCCATCGTCTCCGCCTTGGGGATCATGTCTGCGAGCATTTTGTCTTCGACGTCAGCACCGGACTTGAGGTTGTCGACGGTTCTCTCGAGAACATTCCGCTTCTCAACCAACGAGCGGAACTTTATGTCAAGCTCCAGGATTCGCCACAGATCGTCCTGGGTCAGCAGCTTCTCGGCGTCGACGGTATATTCAAGTGCCTCGGGGTCGTCGTCCTGGTGGGTGGGGTTCCTCGTCTTCCTCGCGTGGATAAGGTAGTCCCTACGATGCTGGAAAATGTAGGGGACCTCAACACCGTCAATGACGAAAAACTCCAGGACCTTGCCGATCGCCTTCGTGAAGGGACCTTCGAGATCCTTGGAAAGCATTTTCTTGGGCCATATCAGGTTGGTAATCCACCTAGCCTCCTCCCTGAATTGCTCCGTCGTAATTTGCAGGTTCTTGAACGGCTTTCGATCGATCTGGAAGCGCTCGGGCTCGTCATTGAAGCGGATCTCGTTGTCCTCGTCGGTGAGAAGCTTCTCTGTAAGCTGGGACGGTTCGAAGACGTCTTTGAGTTCAATAGACTGCTCCTCCCGCTCGCGATCCTCTTCCTCTTCCTCGAGTTGTAAGGCCCAGTCGTACTCTTCGCCATTGCCGAAGATCGCTTCCATGTCATCAAGGGCATCCTTGTCTAGCCCGGCCGCGTCCACAACAGTGCCCGCGAGACCCTTGGCTCGGGCAACTTCCATATCCTCCTGGCGCTGAATACGTTCTTCCTCGTCCTCGGGGAAGTCTTCCTCGATGAAATCTTCGAATTCATCAGCTTGAGCCCGGTGGCCGGGACGGCCATAGGGCCTGTCGTCATTCGCCTCCTCATCCTCGTCGGAAAAGATCTCGGCAAGACCACGACGTTCGGGAGCTCGGTCTTCGTCGCGGTGTCCACGCTTGAGACGTTTAAACTTGGTCTGGCGTAGATACCAGGGTCAGCATGACAAGTTGAAGTTCGATGGGAGGATTCGTACCTGGGTTGTAGTTTTGCGCTCCCAGTCGGGGATAGCTTCTCCGATGAGATCAAGATCTTCCTCGTCTAGCCGTTCTTCCTCCTCGCGTTCGGCGCGACGGCGCTTCTTCTTCTTTCGGCGCTCCCGCTCGTCCGAGTCTTCGGCTTCATCCTCTTCTTCATCTTCGACAATGAATCCTTCTCGGATCTGGTAGCGCCATCAGTTCTGCAGCCCCGCACACTGCCAAAGGAGGGGGTTTCAGGGGCCTCGATCATACTCTTCTAGCTTCTTCCTCGTCATCATCGTCTTCATCTTCCTCGCTTGAATCATCGATATGGGCGCCCTTGTTAGCTCTCCGGTGAATTTCGCCAGTTTCTTCATCGAATGACTCGTCATCTTCCTCGTCATCGAGTTCGGCCTCCCCATCAATCAGATTCTTCAGGGCGGTGCTCATTTTGGCAGGATATTGCAGTGAACGTGCAACAAGCAGGAATCCGATTATGTAGAGGGAGAGAAAGAAAGAGGGAGTGGAAATTCGAATCAGCCGCTCTCGGGGATTTTTTTTCAGTCGGTTTAAATTCTCCCAATCCCTAGGGGGTTTGGCCAGATCAAGCAAAGCAAGGGCAGCGCAGCTTCGAATAGCTCTTAGTTTGGTTGTTTTGCCTTTTTGAGGCTGAGAATTGGAGGTGGATTTTTGGAGAGAAACGCGCCCAGCCACATCCGCCACGCCACGCCACACGGTGTGAGGTGAAGGCGCGCGTCAATGTCATTCACCGTAGGTGGTCCAAGCTCAGGGGCTTTCTGAGAGACCGTACCAGGGACCGTTTTTTGAGGGTCCAAACGTCTGCAGCTAGAAAACTATACATGGTACACCGCAAGGTAAAGGCCGTGAGTGTATGCGTACGGTCCGTGGCTAACAAAAGCTGCCTGTGTGAGTAATGATCTTGCTAATACTGACCGTTTCTCGAGGGAAAGCGTAGACTCTGTTTTGGACGTGCTAGGAGTCAAATGCGTCTTACAGTAGGAAACGCATCTTGAGGCAAGCATCGTTTGATGCAAGCCACACCATCTTGGGCCGAGATCCACTTATGTGCAAAAGCCATCTTTGAAGAATATGGTGAGGGCGTCAATGAGTGTATTCATCTAAGCTGGTCGGTTCCCTTGCAAACGGACCGTAACTGAGAACAACTCTGTTTCAGTGGCAGTCCTCCTGCCCAGTGGCAGTTTTTCACAGCAGTGGTTGTAGGCCCAGTATTAGTTGTAGGCCCAGTATTAGTTGTAGGCCCAGTATTAGTTGTAGGCCCAGTATTAGTTGTAGGCCCAGTATTAGTTGTAGGCTCAGTATTAGTTGTAGGCCCCAATATGTGTCTGGGACCAGCTGGATTGATGGTAGGGCTATCATGTGCACCCTCTAGGTAGGTAGCTTCCATGTGGATGTGGAGCTAGAAGTACCAGAAGCCTCACCACTTGCCTTCAGTATTTCTAGGACCGAGAAAACAAGCAACGCCCTTTTCCACCAGCCCATCTAGTGCCGACCACAGCTCCTGCTAAGGGAGCCATGCTTAAGCCCCATATCAACCCGCCCCCAAAGTACCTGACATTCGCTATGGATGTAAACGCCTATCCAGACGATAACAATGGTACGTGCATCAACCCCCTTCAATCGGATCTAACCGCGACCGCCACGGCGCCATTCGTTACCCCGTGCCAGGGAGCTGCTTACATGTTCCCCTACAATAATAAGGCCAATAGCTAGGGCATACAGTGCTATAACGTGTAACATGATGCATATGCTATTTGATTATGACAAGCGGCCCAAGATGACCTCCAGAGACGATCCTTGAGTGAATGCTATTGTGCACAAGCCGAGTCTTCTGATGTGCACTCACATGGAGTTCTGGCTCTGGTAGGTTTCTCAGATCCGAATTGCGCATACACTGGAATAAATTACTTATATTTGTCACCTAGAAGAGTGGTAACTCTAAGAGGTTAAAGTATCAAGTCTGCATATAACAACAACCTCCTGTGGTGTAGTTGGTTATCACATTTGATTCTCTTTTTTACTTTGTTGTTGTTGATATGAGTGAATTTGATAAGCCAACCTACCCTCCCACACACCACGTCTTGCGCAAAAGAATTAAACCCTGTCTAAGGACAATAGATGGAGATAGAGTTTGTTTCGGAAAAAGGTTTTGCAGCACATTAAGAGCGACGGGATCGCGCTTGAAGTTGGCAAGACAATCCATCTCATCTCTCTCTGAAACCATGACTAGCTTGGTTTTCAGTTGGAGAGCACCACGAGAAGATGTTTAATGAAGTATAGTAGCATCTGTAGGGTGAGCGAGACATAGTTTAGTGTAGAAGGGCAAAATGCTCCAATGATAGGAACGTTGAAAGTCGGAGACGTGAGTGTCAAATCAGATTTGTAGATAGCTAATTAATTAGAGTGACAAGACTCATGCTTCGCTCGGGCATCGGTCTATTTACATGTATCATCTAGTCCGCGTTTCTCTCTTCCCGTAGATTTGCACGGGTGGATGTTGGGGAGGTGAGAATGGGCAATTTGGGGCGCCGGGAGGGGGGGAGGGGGGTTGCTCAGGTCCTTGTTCGTCATCGGCGCCTACCTTGTTCAACCGTTACGAACCGTGACTAACTCTAAGTGAAATCCTTGTCCAGACGATGACTGCTTCTAGTCCTTAGTGGCGCCTATTGGCTGGACGGAGCTTCTGCTTAGTTTGGTGACAAGGCATACACCGCGAATCTAACTTTACGAGACACTTCTATGCCTATTGGTTATAGTCTAACCAACCGTAGCAGAAGAGCTGACGCCACATCTTTAGATTTTACCCAGACATCATAGCTACTGAAAAAGATATTTTTATACCAGCCATCAAGCGGGGTTTGAAGGTAGTTAACCAGATCTTGGACACTTTAAAAGCGACGATTATTCATCACAGCCGAGAAGAGTCAGATATTCAAAAGGAGAGGTACAGATTATTTGGTATTTGGGTCAGATTTATACCTTGGGACGGGCTTCGTCACCTCGTATCCACGAGATTCCTTCGGTCACAAAATGTTGACTCATGTGTAGCGTTATACGTCTGAGCTGACGTGCGGTAATTTTGCTATTGGTTGGAATATGGACGGTCGAATCGAAGTGAAATGGAAGAAAAGGAGAGGAAGGGAAGGAGGATCGAGGGGCCAGGGCATAATGTACCTGGTATTTATCAAGAAGAGTTGACCTTGAGATCAAGGGGTTCTGGTAGGAAGCTTCTGATTGGAGAAGATGGTGAGAGAGTCACGTGGGGCGCGTGGAGGAATCAGAAGCGTACTCGACCCCGACACACGGATTGTTTAGGGAATTCGTTCCACGAGCTATTCATAGGTATTGGCCGGGGGGGGGTCTTACATGTTGTCCACCTACATATATATCTAAATATGTACAGATAACCTGTTGTTTGGTACCTTTTTAACCCTGTAACCAGGAGGAGCCAGGAAAGTGCGTCTTGCTCACAAAGTACTAGGTACAAAAAGCACGGTCCACAAACGCCAGGTAAAATCCCCATCCGTAGTTAAATAGTACCCTCTACCTACCTCCAGTAGAGGGCCCAGCTGGACATCAAGAATGGAGCTTTTCTGGACCTACACAAATGACCCAACCTTAGGTTGGTAGGTACCTATTTGACCTGGCACCTACCTACCTACGGATTACTGTCTAGGTACGTCGTACCTATTTGCAGTGGAGAGAGGACGGTGTCCTGCTAGGATTGCCCCGCCTCCAACAGTTATTCTTAGGTTATTAGCAGAAAGCTGACATCCATGTAATTAGTCGGGCTGTCTAGGAGACCTGGAAGTGACGGAACAAACCTGAAGCTTTACATATTATCAGGGGCCACGGGTCAGCGGCTAGCAGTGTAGCAGTACAGAAGAAGTGTTTTGATTGTGCCCGATGCCCAGCCCGTGATGTCCATCCACTGCCCTGGCTGGCTGCCAGAAACCCCTCTTTGTCATCCGGTTGTTCTGGCCCAAGGCCCAAAACCCCACCTTGACCACGGAGGTGCAGTTGCACAGCTGCGACACCCTGAAGAGGACTTTGGATTTCTCAAAAAAAATCCCGTCTCCCTTCGTAACCCCTTTTCCATATCTTGCATGTTCGGAGTCTTACATCCACGACCCTGCCAATCCCCATTGTGACTCCAGAACACGACCGAAGTGCCCCTCCTGCAGGTCTCAAAGCCGCCATCCGCTACTCCCTGGCAACCCGTTCTCTCCCATCACTTGCAGACGTCCGTATTCCTCAATCGATCCTCCACCGCCACTTTGGTATAACAGCCTTCTTCGGGAGACCTGAAAGTCCTGCTGATAGCTTTTTTCTCTTCACTTAGGACTCGGCGTGTCACAGCACACGGTAGGCCGGTTTCAAAACAAATAAGGATACCCTGGACGCTAGGGCGTTGGGAACTACATCGACCTATCTCCTCTTCACTACGCCAATCTCCAAATCTTCCGGCGGGATATGCCAAATCACTTGCCTTGATTCTAGTAGCCCAGTTTGCTCTTCACATTCGAGCTACGTCCAGGCGCCGAGATATCTCGTCGAGTTCGATTAGATCGTTGGCCCCACGAAACAGCCCACCATGGCCGACGGGGGGTTCGCACCCCGCTCTATGAAGCGCAAGAACGTCAAAGGCCTCGCCTTGACTCCAGCAGCTCCCAAGCCTCCCCCAACAGCCGAGACCGCGAGGCTAGGGAACGACTTTGGTGCGAAAGGCGACGACAATAGCGCCCAGCTCGAGATCGGTATCGAGTTCAATCTAGACCTGAAACCCGAGGATCTCGAGATCATCAAGGATCTCGGGGCCGGAAATGGAGGTACTGTCAGCAAGGTCAGGCACATACCGACGAATACCGTCATGGCTCGAAAGGTAAGCGTCTATCCTCTCTCTGCTGTTGTAGGCCCGGTGGCCGGACCGCGTTCGTGTTGGCTGACTAGCAACTGGCAACAGATTATCCACGTCGAGGCGAAGAAGGAAATGCGCAAGCGCATAGTTCGTGAGCTCCAGATCATGCATGGATGCCATTCCGACTATATCGTCACTTTCTACGGCGCCTTCCTCAACGACAATCACGATGTGATCATGTGTATGGAGTACATGGATGTCGGGTGAGCAGTTCCGGGGTTCCCGGGGGGGAAGGGGGGTTATCTACGTACATGGGCTGTGATACTAACGCGCAGTTCTCCAGATCCCTTGACAGGGTGTCGCGAGTCTTTGGCCCCGTCCGAGTCGACGTCCTAGGCAAGATTGCAGAGGCCACCCTTGGCGGCTTGACATACCTCTATGCGAAGCACCACATCATGCATCGAGACATCAAACCATCCAACATCCTAGTCAACTCCCGCGGCTCGATCAAGCTATGCGATTTTGGCGTCTCCGGCGAGCTCGTCAACTCCATTGCCGACACCTTCGTCGGCACATCGACTTACATGGCACCAGAGAGAATCCAGGGTGAGAAGTACACGGTCAAGTCGGACGTGTGGAGCTTTGGCCTCAGTATAATGGAGCTTGCTATTGGCAAGTTCCCTTTCGCCGCCAGCGAGCAGCTGTCCGATGCAGAGAGTGCCCCCGCCGGCATCCTAGATCTGCTTCAGCAAATCGTGCATGAGCCGGCTCCGAAGCTGCCCAAGAGCGATGCTTTCCCGTCCATCCTTGAGGACATGATCCAGAAATGCCTGTATAAGAGTCCCGATGAGCGGCCGACTCCCCAAGACCTATACGTAAGCACACCCTCCTCCTTCAGGGTCGTTGTATAAAGACCGGGGCTAACCTAGACTTCAGGAGCACGACCCCTTCGTCCAAGCGGCGAAGAGGACTCCTGTCGACTTGAGGGAGTGGGCCTGTGGCTTGATGGACCGAGACAATCGCAAGTCTCATCTTGCCCCCCAGCTCTCCCCGGCGACGCAGGAACTCTTACGTTCGAGCGACTCCCCTACCTTTCTAAACCAAGCAGATGACCGAACTCTGCAAACACCCACTTCAGGTGAGATACCCATCGTGGGACATATGGTGTCACCTCGTGACCAATATGGCAGCCTATCGAATCGATCCCCGACGCGGGGCGGAACCTTCAGCAACCTTGGCCGCCCAAGTGGATCGACTGTACATCCGGGATTGGGATCAAGAGTAGTCGCCGCCCACCCGAGTCCCAGTCTCGCACAACAAGTGGCATCCGGCAGCTCTACCCCCGGCTTGTCCGGTTCCCGAAGCGCGAGCAGGCCCACATTTTCTCTCCCTGTCCGACCCGGCCCGCCGGGAGCGCCTCTCCCCACCCCGCCCGTTCGACGAGAGACGTCCGAAGACATCAGAAAGGAGAGCCGACGACAGGCGACTTTCGGCCTACCCCCAAATGGCAGCTACAGCGCAGGCTATCCCGCCCAATGAGTTTTGAAAAAAAATAAATCGCCTGGGCGGATCTTGAAGTCCAACGTCTTCACGACAATCCGCCGATTTCCTAGATTTCCTACCCGCTATTGTTTCCTATCACTAATTTTTTTCCTTGAAGAGAAAAAAAGAGAGATAGTCTCTCCATCAGATTCGCAGGCAGGCTCTTATTTCTCGTCAATCCGGCCACCCCTTGGTTGTCTCCTGATTCGAGAGGCATGCATCGTTACTCGAGCATCTGCAGCATTTGTTGGCGTAACCATGGTGGAGTCATCTTCGTCTTACACTTGACAGTGCCAGTCTTTGTGGCAACGTTCTGATTCACGCAGGCCATGGGCAGTATTGGCACAGCACACGGCACTTTTACGTTTGACCTGAGGGATTATTACGCGGGTGGGGAGAGGAAGTGAGCAAGGCTCATTGATTGATGGATACATGTACGTAGCAATGCCATGGAGCATCGTAGGCGCCATGTTCTGCTATTAAGCTTGCTCGGAACCCCCATTTGGTCCCTCGAATGGATACCCAATCTCAATGTCCTCAATCATATCAGAGATCCAACCTTCCCCGCGAGACGTGACCTTGTTCAGTGCCCATCTCGGAGTCACTCCAAAGACTCGCCACAGTTCTAACTCCATTCTAAAGCTACCCATGCGTGCCGTCGCCTATTCCCCAACGCACTCGATTCTAAAACTCTCGCCCCTCAAAGCCATGCTCCAGCACGTCGATCAACTCATCGAGCCTCGAGATAACCAGGTCGGTATGCTCATGCTCGGCAAGATGCCGGTTTATGTCATTGACGAGCAAGACAGTCGCAGCCCCGGCCCTCCTGCCAGCCGTCATGTCGTCGATCGAGTCACCGACCATGAGCAGGCCGCTCGCATCCGCAACCTCCTCCCCGGCCTCGGTGGGCAGCAGTTGATTCCCGTCCACCTCCCTATCCTCCGCCGCCGGGATGCCCGCCTCGCCGGCGCGGGCCCCCCTCGTCAGCCCCCAGCTGAGGGCGATGTGCAGGATGCCGGCCGGGTCCGGTTTCGGCGGCCTAAAGTCGCGGGTGACGACGGGCTCGAAGAGGACCCCCTCGAGGAACCTCGTCAGCAGGTGGGCCACGGGCTGCTCGAAGTTGCGGGTGCAGATGCCCTTGCGCAGGCCGCGGGCGTCGAGGTAGCTCATCAGCTCCGCCAGCCCCGGCTGCGCCACCTGCCGGGTCATGGCCTCGCGCTCGATGGCGCGGACCGCCTCCATCGCCGTCGTCTGTGCCTCCGGCGTCGGGAGGCTGTAGATGTGCTCTAGGATGTCTACCGACTTGGGGATGCCGAGGGCGGCGCGCATCTGGGCGAACATGTAGTTCTGCGGCTGGCTGTGTGGTGCGGGAGGGTGAGCATGGTCATGGGGGGAAATGGCGATATTTTGGAGTTAGGATAAAGGGGATGTAAAAGGGGCCAAGTAAACATCATGGACATGGAAGAGAAAAGTAAAATGGTGGTATGATATCATGGCCCGGATAGGTATGGTTCCACGGGGGACGAGCGGGAGAAGAAGCAAGAGTAACGTACCACAATGTGCCATCTACATCAAACACCACTCCTTGCAGCCTGGGCGCATTCGAGCTATTCCCGGCCCCCTCTCTTAAGGGGGCGAACCTTCGGGGCTTGAGGCCTGTTGACGACGCCATGACCGACAGGAATCTCCGCATTCGATCTCGCTGCACGTTTCTTCTATGCACTCTAACGGCCCAAAAAAATGAGCCTGGCCTTACAGTCTGTACTTCTTGTTAGAGGAGATTCCTTATCAGTCAACCAAGCGGTCCTGTCACGACTGTAGCTGCATGTGCATGATTGGTTGGCGAGCATTGGCCATGGAGATGCGCAAAACGAGAAGCAGATCGCAGATCGCTGGGGAGGTTGGACGCCACCCCGCTTATATGCATAGGTAGCTCTCCGCATGCTGTACACCAGCTTTTTACACGAGCTCCGCCATCCCGCAATACCCAACCAACTCCAGGTTATAATAAGCAAAGCCCTTGTCGGATTATCAAGGAGCGGTGAAACCGCATCTTTCTCGACTTGAGTACACCACGCGGGTGGCGGCGAAGAACAAGGGGAAAATGATACGAAATCCGAACGGTTACATCACCGCGGAGCTGTTTGCCAGCTGTTAGTAGCGCGGATGCAAAGCTATGAGCAGCTTAAGCTATCTAAGATAGGTAGGTAGGAACTTGTCGGCTCCAGGACATCCAGTCCCATGACGCCCAGTCCCACGACACCACCAAATGGTGGTGGCCAGTGGCCGCCGCGGCGGCCCTCGAAACGCAGTGTAAGTAACATACCTAATAATGTGAAAGCTTTCGCCGGCGAGCTCTGGGTCTCTCAAGCTGACGCGCGGCCCTCACAGAAACTGCGCAACGGCACCTTCATCATCCCCACCACTGGCGAGCGTTCGCGCCGCCAGTTCACCCTCCGACACCCCCGGGAACAAGCCGACGAGCCCGAAGTCGGCACCACGCGGCCGCCCATCTTCTCCCGCGAGTCCATGTCCCGACGACTGCCCGCCCTGGGCCACGGCGCGAGGGCCGCCCTCGTCCGCTTCGGCAATTGGCTGAACTCGCCGACGGGCAGGGGCATCCTCAAGTGCACCCTGGCCTACACGCTGGCGAGCCTGGCCACCTTCCTGTCGCCGCTCTCGACCTTCCTCGGCAGGCCGGACGGCAAGCATGTGGTGGCTACGATAACGGTGTATTTCCATCCCGCCCGCTCGGCCGGTTCCATGATCGAAGCTATCTTGATCGCCCTCGTCGCCGTAGCGTACGGCCTGGTCATGTCGGTGTTGTCCATGGCCGTCTCGGTGCTCGTCGGCTCAGTGTGGAACCAGGTCATGCTCGCCCACATCCTGGTATTGGCCGTCTTTGTCGGTGGAGGCTTTGGCTTCATTGGCTGGGTCAAGCAGAAGATGAACAACCCGCTGGTCAACGTCGGCAGCACCCTGGCCTCCCTGGCCATAATCGGCGTGGTCACCAAGGAGAGCGCTGTGGTTTCTAACGTCTTCTCCGACCAGAAGATCGTCCAGATCCTCAAGATGCTCATCATGGGCGTCTCCATCACCACCGCCGTCAACCTCCTAGTCTGGAGAGTTGCCGCCGTGGCACTCGTGAGGGAGTCCATGACTAAGGCGTCGGGCTCTCTGGGAGACATGCTCGCCATGATCACGCGCGGGTTTCTGAGCGGCTCTGAGGAAGACGTCCTCTCGGCCGAGTTCTCGGCGGCTTCGGCCTCGTATTCGTCGGTTTACCCCCAGATGTTGAAGGACTTGCGCGACGCAAAGTTCGAGCGCTACTTCGTCGGGCACGAAACGCTGTATCAGCTAGACAGGGCAGTAGTGAAGTCGATAGAGACCCTCTCCCAGTCCATAGGCGGCCTGAGGAGCGCGGCGAACACCCAATTTGCTCTCTTGAAGGAAACCGGGCCGCCCTCCGGCATGTTCTCTCCTGGCACCTCGCCATTCCCCCCGGGGCTAAGCCCCGGTACCTCGAGCTTGCTCAGGAGCGGCAAGGACCGCTTGCCCGTCCTATCTTCCATCGACGAGGCCTCCGAGGAGAGCGCCGAGGATGATACAAACCGGTCCCGTGGCAAGGACCCGGTCGAGGCGCCGTCCTTCCGTAGCCCGTCAGACATTTTCGAGCTCTTCATCGCTCTCCTAGGCCCGTCCATGAAGTCCTTGGCCTACACGCTTTCAGAGATCCTCCGCGAGCCACCGTTCGGGGCCGCACCAGATTACGAGATTACGATCAATGAGAATTTCCGCCAGAGTCTCTCAGATGCGCTCGGGCTCTTCAACACAGCCAGGGCCAATGCACTGGAAGAATTGTATTCACACCTCGAGCTGAAGCGGGCCAGGACGGAGCAGATACAGGCGGACTTTGAGGAGGTCGCCGCTGCCTGTGGACATTTCTCCTTCAGCCTCCAAGCCTTTGGGGAGGAAATGCAGAAGTATCTCGACGTCCTCGATGACCTGAAGTTTGCCAACCAGTATAAGAAGCGGAGTTGGCGATGGCTGCTCTGGTGGAAGCAAGGGAGACGCGGCTACCCTTGGTCTATCTCGGCGCTGCCGTACGACACCACGGACGAGAGTGAGAGCTTGATCAAGCCGATCAAGAAGACGGCAATGCCTCGAGGCATTCCCGATAGCATGGTTGAGCGACGGGATACCTACAACTGGCAGGCCGCCGCCGCGGACCACAGAATCATCGCGACCATCTCACAAAAGCTGCTCAGAATGGTCAGGAAGCTGGGTAGACATGACAGTAAGTCGGTCGTCAATTCAAGGCAAAGAGCCCCCGTTTTCCGACGAGTGCTAACCCCCCTGACAGTCCGATTTGGTCTCAAGGTCGGCCTAGGAGCCGCACTCTGGGCCATGTTCGCGTTCATCCCGCAGACTAGGGCCTCGTACCAGCACTGGAGAGGCGAGTGGGGTCTTCTGTCCTTTATGATTGTCTGCTCTATGGTGAGTTTGTCTCCTGTCTCGAAGGGCAACGCTGGGAGCAACGATGCTGACACTGTTACGATCCAGACTGTCGGAGCTTCGAATACGACCGGGTGGTCTCGGTTCCTCGGCACCCTCGTCGGCGCCGCTGCATCCACCGTAAACTGGACGCTCACCCAAGGCAACGCTCTCGGCCTGATCCTGCTCGGCGGGCTTGTCGCCTTCTCGAGCTTCTGGGTGATCCTGGCACGCGGCATGGCACCAATGGGCCGCATAACGCTCCTGGCCTACAACGTGTCGACGCTGTATGCGTATAGCCTCTCCCAGAGCGACAACGACGACGGCGACGACGAGGGCGGCGTCAACCCCCTCATCTTGCAGATCGTGAAGCACCGCACCATCTCCGTCACCGTCGGCATCCTCTGGGGCCTGATCGTCTGCCGCGTCATCTGGCCGCTCTCGGCGCGCAAGAAGTTCAAGGAGGGCCTGTCGGTGCTGTACCTGCAGCTGGGCCTGGTCTGGAAGCGGGGCCCGCTCGCCGTCCTGCTCAGCAGCGACTGCACGCGCTCGTACCTCAAGTCGGGCGAGCAGGTGGCGCTGCAGAAGTACGCGGGCCGGCTGGCGGCGCTCCGGCTCAGCGCCAACTCGGAGTTTGAGCTGCGCGGGCCCTTCCCTTTCGCGGCGACGGGCCGGCTGATGGCGAGCACGAACCGCATCCTCGACGCCTTCTACGCCATGAGCCTCGTGACGCAGCGCAAGGGCCGGCTGACGCGCGGGGAGCGGGCGCTGCTGCAGTTCACGGCGCCCGAGAGGGCCATGCTGTGCGACCGCATCTGCCACGTCTTCCAGGTGCTGGCCAGCTCCATGATGCTCGAGTACCCGCTCACCGATGCCGTCCCCAGCGTCACGGGCCTGCGCGACAGGCTGCTCGGGAAGATCTTCCAGTTCCGGAAGGAGCACGTCCCCCGGGGCTACATCGATGGCGCCCACGGCGGCGGCGGCGGCGGCGGCGACGATGAGGGCAGTAGCGGGGCGGGTTCCAGCCCGGCGTTTTCGAACCCGCTGCACGTCGTGGTGGAGGAGAGGGACTACGCCTTGCTGTATGCCTACGCCCTTGTCACGGGCCAGGTCGCCGACGAGCTGAAGATTGTGGAGAAGGAGATCGAGGGCCTGTTCGGCGTCTTGCACGAGGAGGCACTGTTACTCCAGTGAGGCTTCTTCGTTCCTCGGGCCTGTCGCTGCGGGGGAGGTTGGGATATAAAAATCAGAATGGGCATATTAGGGGGTTATCATGAATGGTTTCAATTAGCCGTTTTGCAGGCGTACATGGAGCGGACTTGTGTCTTTGGCAGTCTGGACCGTATGGGGGATACCACTATGCATCTGGAATTATGGCGTGACCATGAAACATATACACACTAGAGGATGGAGCTTTGGACGGTCCTGTTTTTAACTGCCTTACTTTCAGGAGCCAGGTTATTCGAAGGTCATACACTGGTTTTATCGCCGTGATCTCTGCCATGGGTTTCCAAAAGCGTTGTGCTAGATTCAACGACTGGTCTTGTTCGGCTGAGCACCTTCTGGCTGGTTATAGCAAAAGAGACAAACTTGTCCTCCCTCCATGTTCTGGTGGCCTTACATTAGGAGTGAACGTGCGTAGTCCACTGACTTATATCCGATGGTTGCTCCGTTTCTGGGATCGAAAGGTCAGGGGCAGAGTTTGAAGATTCGCCCGTGATATTGGTGTAGGTATATCTTACAAATCAGGAGACCTAAGCTTCCCTATTGATCACTCACACTCCATGCCCCTTGCCCCTAGACGTTCAAGTTTCACAGACTCTTTCCTTCTGGTACTTAGAAGCTCACCCAGTGAGTATAGATAGAATAGCAACATTGAGTATCCGTATCCCGGTCTCCTTCCAATTGCCAGGCCTCGCTCATATTCATGGACAGTTTATGGCGAAATCCGCCGTCTATGTACAGGCCTTTCCACCCATCCCATGGTCCTGGTATCCCTAAAGCACAACGACTAAAGCCAAAAGAAAGACTCCCCCCAAAAACAAGAAATATGAAGACGAGAGAAGACAGAAAACAGCTCACTGCCCCCCGCGGAACCCGCGCGCGAACCTCTTTCTGGCAAGGTTATACTCGACGGCCCGCTTCTTGGCAGCGGCGCTCTGCGTGAAGGCGACGGAGCCCCCAAACGGCCCCGCGAGGGCCGAGTTGCGCAGGCGCGCGACGCAGACGCCCTCGGCGCCGCCGACGGAGCCCCGGCACGTCATGCCCGCGGGCATCCGCACGGCGACGGGGAAGTCGGTGGTCGTGGCCAGCGAGAGGCCGCCGAACCCGGCGCCGGGGACGTCGGCGGTCACCTCGGCGTCCCGGAAGGCCGACGGGTCGGTCCCGCCCGACGTGGCGTCGATGGACGCCGTCAGCGGGCCCGCGCCGTCCTGGTTCACCTGGTGGTACACCATGGAGAGGGTGCCGTCGTCGGCCGTCGTGGGGAGGCCGTCGGACGCCGCGGCGCCGGTGGCGGCGCCCACGGACGCCTCGACCGTGCCCTTGGGGGTCTTGGTGCCGCCGCGGCCCCCGCCGGCGCCGAGGCCGAGGCCGAGGCCGAAGCCGGTGGTGGCGGCTCTGGCGGCGAGGTTGGCGGCGTGCAGGTCGCGAGCCCGGCGGGCCGCCGTGGAGTTGGCGCCCGCGCCGTCCATGAACAGGGCGATCATGGCGGCGGCGTCGACGGGCCCGCCGCCGACGGTGCGGCCCAGAGCCGAGGCCCGGGAGGTGCCGAGCTCGCGGTCGCGGATGATGGACGTGTCGGCCTCGGAGCCGCAGCGCGGGGAGGCGCAGTCGCGAGGGGTGCCGTCGATGAGGGAGAGGCCGGGGAGGTTGACGCCGTTGGCGCCCTGGACCTCGGTGACGACGCCGTGGGCGGAGACTTGGGCGACGGCTAGGGCCGCCATGATGATGGTTCCGGAGTATTTCATATTGAATTTAGAGGGGGAGCGGGATGGGAAGAGATGGGAATGAGACGCCAAGTGTCGGTTAGTTGTAGGAAGCTCCGGGCTCTAAGAAGGAAAGCCAAGTCTGAGCTGGGCAAGATGGCTGATTGTGAGGAACGAAGTTGACATCTTGGGCGAGAGGCTTGCATCCTCTTATAGTTCTCAAATGTGGTTGAAGCTCACTCGCCTCTCGAGCAGCTAGGTGCAAGCTTCTTGCCCTCCTAGAAGCCATGAAACATCCGGCTCCCTCAAACCGCCTTAGACTTCGTGTTCGGAGGGCCGGACACTGGGCTGTGCGTGTTCAACAAAGATCAGGTGAAGCAGTGCTCCGACCATGGTGTTGAGGCCGTGAGGCCGTAAAGCTTGTCTTCCCCATCGACCACTGCCCTAAGCAGCGAAGGCGAAGCCTTGCGATTGGATGGACGTGAAACGCACGGGAAGTCGAGAAAAGGAGGTTATTAAATAGATACCGGAGAGGAAGGGTAGACTCCCCGGGGGGGGCCCTGCTCCATGGAGGAGGAGCGGGATAGGTAGATCCTAGAACTGCCCCCGGTGGCGGGGTTTGGCTGGGGACGACGGCGGTACTCGAGGCCCACGATGTTTGAGCGTCTGTGCCAATCACGATTGAGTGGTGTCCTAGCAGGTTGTGAGAAACAGTGTCCAAGCCTCGCGCCGAGGTCCAAGCATTTGAGACTTGCACCAGGATGTCGTCGATCTTGATACACGAGCCGTCCGGGCCCCCTGCAACTCCACACGCAGGCCATGAAACACAGAAGATATGTTAGGAATATGATGTCGAATTTTTGAAGTTCCTTTCCAGGAAGCACATGCTGTACGCATGTATGTAGCCCAGTCATTCTAGAAGAAAGGGAGGCTTGTAGGGGTCGGATTGAGCGGGGGTTGCAAAACAGCACCTGCAGCCTATCGTCTAGCAAGAGCATCCTCACATCGGTAGATTTCTTGGCTGGTACGACTTCGACCAGCTGAGCCATTGCAATGGTTCTAAGAAGCGAGACGGCCAATGCCACTGGGCTGGGATATACATATCATGTGTAAGGTTAGGAGGGAATGTTTTGTCAGTCACAGAGAAGGACTACCCATCAGTGTGAAGTTTCAGAGCGATGAGAGTTGTGTTAGCGATATAGCTGGCGAGGTTCAACGTGGTACCTAAATTTGGGCAGCCCTCGAGCGGGTTCTTCAAGGACAGCATGGCAAGTCGGCGGCTTGCCACCTTCTCGTACGACGTTCATTGTCGCCGCCTGCGCCTATGGTGTGTGGCTCCATTACACTGGTGTCACCTGGAGAGCCAGAAATATGATCGAGGTTGATTAGGTGAACAGTACTTAAGCAGATAGGCCGTGTGTTTGATTGTTGATTGTTGCAAGAGGATGGCGGTAGAAGAAAAGAAGGGTATGACCGACTGCCCGGGACGCAAACATGTTGCAGGCTCGAGATCTGATGGTGACGAGACGAACCGTGCCGTCGCTTCGCTAATGCGGGTCGTCGCCTACCAACAACCTACACACATGTTGCGGCGAAGCGGAGGGAACTGTATCAAAAGGCTAGGAAAGAGTGGAAGGTGCGAAGTATGGACTTGGCGGGGACTACCAACCAACGGCTTCTCAGGCGGGCCGGGCTCGGGGCGGGGGCCGATTGACCCGTGTCTTGGAACAGAACGGGACTCGATCGACGGGCCAGTCCAAAGGTCACCAGTCAGTCCAGGAGCCGGTTGAGAGCCGATGGATACGGAGCTCATCCACCGGACATCGGCGCGGCCTGTAAGGGTGGCGAGCCAAGTGCAGGCATGGAAATTGCCCGTTCCACGGATCTCGCAGAAAACAGCCGTTCAATGTAGTGAACCCCGATCGCTGGGACTAGCGGGGCCGACAGCGGCTCTTCGTGCACCTCCTTCCAGTGCAGTGCTTGCACAGTAGCAAGTCGTTGAATCGCAGGCTCATAAACCCCCAGCCTCCCTCCTTGGCAAGCCTCTTCGGTAAACATGGCTGAGATAGGAAACGGTGCCCCTAGTTTCGGTGCCTCGGCACGCCCATAGAAATGTCCGGGGACGCCGGGGAATAACGTCCCCTACCCCAGTTACACTGAAAATGGACCAATTGGCGCGCCGAGAGAGCTCCGCTCACAGCTGAATGCCTTGGCATCGATTTAACAACCACACAGCTCGATACCACCTTTAGCTGACGATCCCGGACCCCTCATGCTAGGGCAATCGACCGAGTTGGCGACAGAGCAAGAAGGATCCATCCCTTCCCTTCCCTTCCATTCCCTCATTATGTCCTGTCTGTGATGTTTCTCCGCTGGTGATTCTGGTGTGTTAGTTAGCTCCATCATTATTAGCCCCTTTGTCTCCCCCGGATACCTCGTTTGGGGGGTTCCTGTCTATTCCTGCAAGTTCCTTCGGTTCAAGCACGTTCGGGGTTACCTAGACGCCGTTTCTCTCACTGGTATAACCCCCGTCAGATCAAGCCATAATTACCTACCTTTACCTACTCGCAAATCCAAGAAGGCACCCTCATCATGACTATCGAGTCCAGGTGGAAAACGCCGGTGCCGCGCAGCTCTCTGCAGCAATGGGTATTCGGCTCGTGTCGCGACCCATTGCCTGACAAGAAGGCTTTCATCGATCCCGAGCGGCCCGACACGCACTTCCTCACGTTCGCAGACTACCGGCTCGTCGCCAAGCGGGTGGCACTGGGCCTCCAAGCCGAGGGGCTGAAGCCCGGCGACAGGGTGCTCCTCTTCTCTGGCAACAACATCTTCTTCCCTTCCTTCTTCATGGGCGTTCTCATGGCCGGCGGCGTCTTTACTGGCGCGAACCCAACCTTTGTAGCCCGCGAGCTGGCCTACCAGCTGCGGGACAGCGGCGCCTCATTCCTGGTCGTCGCCGAGGCCGCCCTCCAAACAGCCCTCGAGGCCGCAGCGGAGGTCGGCCTGCCGCGCGACAAGATCTTCGTCTTCGGCGCTGACACGCCGAGGACCGAGGCCGCGCACGCGAACCAACCAAAGCCGGGCAGGGCCGGCCGGAGCGGAGGCGTCCGGCACTGGACCGAGCTGCTGGCGGGCAACCCGGGCAGGGCCGAGGCGTGGGACTGGGTGGAGCCGGCGGACGCGGAGAACACGACGTGCTGCCTGAACTACAGCAGCGGCACGACGGGCGTGCCCAAGGGCGTCGAGATCAGCCACTTCTCGTACGTCGCCAACGGGGTCGGCGTGGTGTACGTCAACGACCTCAACCCCGACGTCGAGGCGACGCGGGCGCGGGCTAGCGGGCTCTGCTTCCTCCCCATGTACCACGCCTACGCGCAGACCTACTTCATCGCCAACATGCCGCGCGTCGGCAACCCCGTCTACGTGATGCCGAGCTTCGACTTCGTCAAGATGCTGACGTACATCCAGCGGTACCGCATCACCATGCTGACCTGCGTGCCGCCCATCGTCGTCGCCCTGGCCAAGCACCCGCTCGTGTCAAAGTTCGACCTCAGCAGCGTCGAGGCCATCGGCTGCGGCGCCGCGCCGCTCGGCCACGAGGTCGGCGAGGAGGTCGAGAAGCTGTGGCCGTCGGGCGAGGTCCTCGTGCGCCAGGGCTGGGGCATGACCGAGGTGACGTGCACCTCGCTGGCCTGGGACCCCAACGACCGTCGCCGCAGCTCGGGCGTCGGCGAGATGATGCCCAACTGCTCGGCGCGCATCGTTGACCTCGCCACGGGCCGGCCCATCGCCGAGACCGGCAAGCCCGGCGAGCTGTGGGTCACGGGCCCGACGCTGATGCGCGGCTACTGGGGCAAGCCCGAGGCGACGCGCGAGACGCTCTCCGTCGACGCCGACGGCACGCGCTGGCTCCGCACGGGGGACATCGCCTACGTCAGCGGCGTCTACGGGCCGGGCGCCATCTTCCACATCGTCGACCGGCTCAAGGAGCTGATCAAGGTCAAGGGGAACCAGGTGGCGCCCGCCGAGCTTGAGGCCCTCCTGCTCGAGCGGCCCGACGTCGCTGACGCCGCCGTCGTGGGCGTCACCATCGACGGCGAGGAGCGGCCCCGCGCCTACGTCGTCAGGGCACCCGGGTCGGATGCCGGGGAGCGCGACGTCGCCGCGTGGTTGGCAGGCAAGGTGGCGCCGCATAAGCAGCTCAGGGGCGGCGTGGTGTTTACTGACGAGATTCCGAAGAACCCGGTGAGTTTTTTCGACCCCTTGCGCGATGTACACCCGTTTGTTACCGCGAGACCGACCCCGGACCGAAATAGTGCTGACATCGAACACAGTCTGGCAAAATCCTCCGTAAGATTCTGAGAGAGCGCGCGCGGAATGAGGTCGGCGATCGTACGCCACCGGCGTCGAAGATCGCTTGAGTGAGTCTCGCCACAGGACAGAGAGAGAGAGAGAGAGAACATCTTCGCTGGCATGGCATGCATCGTGTAGCAACATATGGAGATCCATATTTGCCAACAAGATCGAGATCGAATCTCGTCGAAATCGGGGGCCCTCGGTAACTCTATTGTATCTAGCTGTCTAGCATGTGGGCGCAATCGGGTGTCCATATTGCAAAATAAACGCAATCACATCTGCTGTCAACCTGTGCAACCGTCTAATTGATATTTTGGCGGCAGAGACATGTGGCTACCTACTGGATGTTGTCTGTTCCTTCTGCTTCCAGGAATGACGAGAGATATCACCTGCCACTCCTCTCAGCCGATTGCTCACTTGAGTTGTTTGCATATGTTACTTGGGCCATTCACTATTTTCACCATCTCGACAATTTTTTTGGGCGGCATCATCACAGGGTATCCATATCAGGCATCGGCAGTTACGACAGACAATATCTCGGTAATGACAGTGGTGTTTATTCTGCTATGGCGCACATTTCTGAACGAGTGAATGCCAAGCACATTTGATCAAGCGGACTGGTCCCCTTCAAAACGGACGTGAAAAGAAGGAGCGGCCAGAAAGAGGCTTCCCAATTTCCCCAATCTCGCCCGGAAAGCAGTTCACTCCCTTAGAAGAGCTTGTGCTCCAGGGTCATGTCGGACTCGGGCTCCAGGCCGACGCAGGCGCGGAAGATGTTGGTCAGGGCGCCGCGCTGCTTGGCGAGCGAGTTGATGACGGGGGTCCCGGGCGGGGTCAGAGGGGCCTTGAGCATGTAGCTGAGGATGCTGAGCACGCTGTGGAAGCTCTTGTACTCCCCAGCGGCGGTCTCGCCCGACTGAGCCTTCCACTGGATGCGCGTCATCATCTCGGCGACCACGACGAGGTCGATGATCAGCGGCGAGGCGAGGAGGGAGTCCTCGCAGACGTTGAAGATCCTATTTGCGAGAACGGGTTAACAAAAAGCCCCAACTGCGGAGAAGGGTGGTGAAAGAGAGAGTGAGTGAGGGGAGGGTGGTTAAAAGAGGGGAATAACTCACGAGATGGTCTGGTGACCGCCCATGAAGATCTCGGCATAGTACTCGTCCAGGGCGCGCTTGTTGTCGCCGACCGCGGGCATGTACTTGATGACGACGGTGTGGTCCGGGTGCTCGCCCTTCTTGTAGAGGACAGTGTTGGCCTCGACCATGTCGTCCACGACGGTAGACTTTGAGATCTCCTTGGAGCGGAACTGCCTCTGGGAGCTCAGGTTCTTGCCGTCGTTGTTGCCCAGATGGTTGTAGCTCGCAATCGAGGTCAGCTTGATGCCGGCGTTGATCAGGAAGTCGACCAGGGCCGACTTCATCTTGGTCTGGCCCGACTTGAAGTCGTCGCCGCCGATGAAGGCGTTGTGCTTCTCCGCCAGCTGGATGGCGCCCGGAACAAAGGTGTTCTGGGGGGATCCGTTGATGAAGGGAGCATTCTCAAGGATACTGGCAACGGCGAAGATGGTCGAAGGCGAAACCTCCTCGTGGCTGTTCTCAATGGCCTTGAGCAGGTTATCGGCCGTGTCGTTGACTCCAACGACGAGGTCGGCATATCGCTCGGTGTTGGCAGTCCACATGATGATGACCTTGTCAAGGCCGTTGCTGGACTTGAAGTCACTGGGAGGCGCGAGTTAGCTCTCTGTCTCTTGCATGGCTCCGAGGAGCCCCATCTTACCGGATATCCTTTCGGATTTGTTCAACATGGGCATTGCAGGCCTTAGAGCCGGGGAGGATATTGTCGGCCCGGTCTTCCTGGTTGGCAGCAATGAAGTCGGGGTAGTAGATGCTAGGCAGAGGGACCATGGTGGCCATCTCCTTCTTGATCTGGTCCTTCAAGGTCGGCTCTAGGACGGCGGCGCGATCCATGGCCTCGGCAAGGTTCATGCCGCTGATGTCCCAGCCACCGATGACGAAGTCGTTGGGATGGATCATGGGGAGAACATCATGGAAGGGGATGTTCACGTCCTTGTGGGTCTTCGCATCCGTGCCGAGCTTCATGGTCGACCCCATGATGACGGAGCCATAGTAGTTGGCGGCGCGGGGGCCCTCTCGGGTCTCCCAGGAGAGGCCACGCCTGTTGGCAATGATGCCAGCCGTGACCGTGGTTCCGTTGTTGCCGCCCCAACCGACGAGCATGACGCCGACCTTGGGGACCTTGCGGTCCACCTTGAAGTCGTAGACCGTCTCGGAGGGGGTCGCAACGTACTTCCCATCGCCACCCTGGGTGACGGAGGTGGTGCGGTACGTGTACTTGGAGCGGATCTCCGAGTCGGTATACGCCACATTGGGCGAGCTGACGGTGAAGAGGTCCTTGGCCGCGGGAGTCGCGTGGCCATTCGTCGCATAACCATTCCCGTTCGCGGAGCCCACGCTTACCTCGGCGTGTGGTGCCATTTTTTGTGCTTTGCTTAGCTTAGCTTGGGTGAGGGCCTTTTATCTGGTAGGGGCCGAATCCGCTGAGCTTCCTGGGGAGGCAGAGCAACGGACTCCTGCGAACGGGTGGTGGACCCTGGAATCATCCAAGTCAGTAAGGGGGCCCGGTCTCGTCAATGAGGGGGGAGTTGGACACTTACGAGTTGAGGAGATTAGAAAACGTTTTTGCGGATTTCACTGATCGCAACTCGAGAGCGCGATCGACAACGGTGTTGCTATTGGTGTCTGTGGGTGGAAAATTGTCTGAAAAGCTTGAACTGCAGGAGAGAAGGAGGGAGGGAAAAGGAATGGAACTAGGGATTATATAGGTAGGTAGGTATGCACCTCACGGCCCCGGAATATTGCTAGTGCAATGGGGATAGTGCTGAACGGCGGTGAGTCTATCTCTACCCACTCTAGGGGCACCTCCCTCCACTGGAGACGAGACTACGCCGGGTATCGGATGACAACTGTCTACGATCATCGCTATGAGGTTTCCATTGCATTGCGCTAGATACATGCACTAGATAATAGCGGTGGGACGTTTAATAGCAGACTGCAAAGTCGCTGAGCGATGCAACAGGTGAAAGTCTGCAATATCATGAGTGCTGCCCCACCATGGTGCAAAAGTGGGAAGTGCAAAGTGTGCAATCACTAGCGGGGAAGCAACCTGGCGGGGTCAATATCGCGCAGGGTCCAGCAGGTGGAAGGCGCAGCACTTGCCTCGGGAAGCGTGATTCGCTGCCCGGAGACTTCGGCCGGTGGAGTCCGCCGCAATAACCCGGGTCAGTGCGATACCGGCTTACAAGCCGGAATACTCCCCGATGATTTGTGAAAATGCCATGGAACAGCGAGCAAAGAAATGGTCCACTATACAACCAATCACTACCCAACACATCCCTAACTCTCGGCTGCGGCGGAACAACATACTGAGTACTACAGTAGAGCGGATATACCTACGGACTGTGTATAGCGGTTTCTTTGCACTGCCTTTTGTCCCTCATTTCATCTACTTAGTAGGTGCAGCTATTGGCCTTAGTGGGAGGTGGGTATGTATTCTTGCACTTCGGCGATTCGCCGAACAACTGCTGCCTGAAGTAGGTAGGTAGGTAGTCGTTGGGGTGATATCCATGTGTTGAACCCCTCGACCCCGCTTCATATCCTCCTCATGTGCCAAGGCTTCCTTTGCAGTCTACGCCTGTCCACTTCTTGTTTTTTTGCACCTTTCGCTCTAGTCCTGTTGAACTGTTGAACCGCGGCAGCCACTAATAAACATACTGCGGTACTGACCAATTGCTTATCAAGTTATTGGCTCTTTTGGAAGTCCGTTCGATTTGCAATGGTCCTTGTGGAGAGATGGACACTTATCTGCGCGGGCAGCATTGAGGCTTCTGGTTCACATCAATTCAGGTAGAAAGGAAGGCTTGAGTTTTTCTAGGGGGTTTAATGGGCAAGTGAACAAACATTGCTGTTCACAACCAGCGCAAACTCACCATCTCTCGCAGAATATGTATACACCACAGCGAATAGAGATCAGGCACGTTGACTTGGGGATTCCTCTCTGAGTGATACTAGGAGGGAGCGTTTCGAAAGGGCCACTTCTAGACGTAGACAGCACTGGAGCTCGCCAGCGTAAATTCTCTAGGGAAAGGGAGCCCCCCCTAACGACAGTGATGGCCTTTGAGAAATGGGCTTGAAGCAACCCGCAGGTGATTCGGATTGTTAAACATTGAGGAGGTGTCTCATCGTCGCAGCTTCGCAGCAATCTTGTCGACTAATTAAGAGACCATCCGTTGTCCTCAAAAGGAATCTGCATTCGGAAGAATCACCATCGCGAAGCATCCCATCTCGCGTTGGTTCGCGCCCAGCCTCCTGCATGGTAAGCGCGAGACAATACGATTCAATGCCGCGCTGGGACATATAAGGTAGATTTTAGGCACGGTGCCAGTCATGTGGCAGCCATGGGTCCGGCACGAGTTTGGTGCTTCCATAGGTTGTCGATCATGCTATGCGAGGACGGGACCTGGAATTTGTGCTTTCCGGAATGGAGACAAGGTTATATGTGTAGTAGGGCCTTGTTGCGGCTCCAAAATGGAACTTGAAACTTGGACGGCTACCTAGGCTAGGTAGACGGAGATGCACGTGTCGCGTGAGCACCAGAACAGGAGCCAGCTGGTTGGCTCTATTTCGTTACTCACGAACCAGTCGCCCAGGACAGACAAACGGCCGGCTCATCCAGAGACAATGGGATGTGGTAGGTACAGTGGTGTAAATATGTACATACATACTGCCTACTCCGTATGGCGTTTGAAGAAGGCGGCCTGTCCTGAGTGTGGGTGTTCTATGTAGTACGCAGTACAAGTGCGTTTCGGCTTGCCCGATATGTACCCCCGCTTAAGAGGTTCAGGGTCCCCCCAAGTTTCACGAGAGAATCAGGAGGACGCATCGGCATGTCGTAATCAGAAAACCAGATTGGCGAACAATCCAAGCTGTTGATCGTCATGTCTGGAGGCAGATCGCTCTGGAGAATGGAATCCATCCCCAGTATTTCGGTTTTCAGTATTTCAGTTTTCCACACGATCTCGGGGGGTGCACGGGACACTGATGGTAAATGACGATGAATGTTGCCGCACTCAGCCGCGTCTTGGAGTTGCGACCTTATCTGCAAGCACTTCCGCACTTTCCGTGCCAAAAAACCTGGAACTTTGGTAGGAAGCTCGTAGTGTCGTATATGGGATACGCTAGTGGGTGTTCTGCAACGTTAGAGTCCAAGCTTCGTCTGGTGTTTGTGTTGTTTGTGTGTGCCACCAACCGAAACAGTCGTGTGCAGCTGGCCACAGTGTCAGTCAGCTATTGGTATGCGGTATTGATCACCACAGGCTTCTAGTAATGTCTATACGGTCCGTAGAAACCAAAGAATGGAATGAAGAATCTACCTAGTGTACTACAGTACATATGGACACGCTGTCTGGGGTAGATGCGAGTAGAGCAAGGGTTCCATGAGAGGAACATGGGTGGTGGGGTACCCCTGGACCAGCGCCAAGCTCATCCGTTCTCCACGGCAACCTCGAAAATCGCCGAACCATTGGGTGTCGTGTATTTACAGCCAATCTCTTCAGAGTTCGATGTGGCCCCCGCCGAGCCAGTGATGGTCAATTTAATCAACAACCGAGAATTGTCGAGATGAGACAATCATCATCGCTGACTGCCCTTGGACAACTCGATCATTGAACAATTTGGCCTTCATTATTCGCAAACCTCACAGAGCCTGATGAGACAGTGCTGCCAAGGCTCCGAGGGAACGCTGTTGCATCCTTCCAATTCTGGAAAAATAAGAGGGTTATGTACCATCGTCCAGTAAGGTAGCAGAGATGCAAAGCTGTCTCCAGGACAACTAGCGAAGTGATAGCCGAGCGAAGAGGCTGAATGGGGGAGGGAGTCCTGAAATCAGCGATGATCGGCCGCGCCCATGGAATTTACTTTCCCGATGGATTCCGAAATGCAACGCCGAGGGAGTTTGGGAGTTGGATATTTGGAAGCAACCGGTTCATTCGGTGCAATAGTAGGTGATGATCGTGAAGAAGGACGGGTCTTTCCTGATCTGTATGCCCGAGTTTGACGGCGTTTAATATTGGATGGTATCTTCCCTGCTAAATAAATCACCGACAGCCTGCAAGGTACCCGTCCATTGCTCCACCCTCTCTCCACCCATCATTTACCCTGCACCAGCGAGTGGCAGCCGCTTATATTGGGGCCATTGTACGCCACACCGCACTACTGTTGTTGACTAGCAGTTGAAGAGTGGAGAATCTGCTGGAGATAATTACGCAGTAGCCTGATAAGAGCTGACGACTTGGCGGGGGTCTTCAAAAAGAAAGGGGCAAGGGCTGTCTGTCACTTGTACTGCGGTATTCAATCTCAGTCGAGTGTCGACCAACTGCGATTTGTTGAATTGGCGATAATATAGGAAATAGAAATCCAATTGACAAGTCTCCTTTCTTTATCCGGATCGTTAGGCGGTTTGAGGTCATGGCTCACTCGTCGAAAATAAGCTCTAAACAATCGCCAATGCATCTTTAATCAATGCATTAAAGACCTCGAGCCTTCTCCTCCATCCGTGCACATCTCACCGTGCTGATACAACGCCGCAGCCTATCATACCCCGTATACGAACTTAGCATCTTACCCCTGTCGACGAACCCCCAGGGTCTGGGGCCGGGGTCTGTGGGCCAGGGTCGTCGGCCTCGAGCTGGCCGGCCGATACACACCACACCGCTTAAGGGACAAGGCCCCTCGGTTCGAGACCTGCCCCCCAGATCTTGTTTCCTTGGTCCACAACCTCCCTGTATCAAACAACCTGTGTGTGTCCTGACGAGTGACAACGGTCGGGTGCTTGGGCTTCCTCAGAATCCTCACTCACCACATCCCTCAGGCAGCGAGAAGACCAGCGTCGGTCTTGTGCTGGAAGTGCCATCATCACAGGATCCGGCATTTCTTGACCCTGTTTACGCCAAATGAGGAGAAGAAGCCAGACCGTACCCTCACAATACGAGTCACGGGCTGCCTACTCCGAAGGCGCCATCTAAACGATCTCGAAGGGGAACGAAAGCCACGATTGCCGCATGCTGGCCTGACGGGGATATCGTGGAGACGACTAGGACGAGGATTCCGAGCGGGAAGTAACAGAGATGTCGGGAATGATAAGGGAGTCGAGCTTCATGCCGACAATAAAATGTTCGACATGTGGATTACAAGTCGAAATCTCCTTGATGGGAGAGCACGAGTGCGGAGGGCCGGGCCCAGAGCGTATGATAATGGCACAGCACACACAAACAAGGTGGTACTCTTGCTAATTGTCCCTTCAGTAACGCCGCCATCGTCATTCGACCAGTTCCAACCCGAGAAGCTGGGTCGGATGATGCCGCCGCGGGTAGACACATCTGCTGCTAGTAAGTCTGAGGACGCTCGACATCCTACTCCATGACCGGTACCTGACCTGAATCTCCAGACCGATCCTACATGGGACAAGGGCAGCAGCTCACACCCGTGAGTCTGTCGAGCGGCTCCATTAGCGTCTCACCGAGGACGCCAAATGGACGGCCAGGAGCCGGAAGGACAGATGACTACATGCCCCAAATTGCAAACGATTCGCCCCCAGGACCGCAGACGAGGCGACCTGGCGGATATGGATCCTTCGAAGACAGCTATGACGTGGACCCCATGTTCGCCCCAAGCAGCGAGAAAAAACAAGCGCCAAACCTTTTGCAGCGAATGGACTCGATTGCTCCGGGCCCCTTCAACGCCGGACGACGACCTTCGACGAGGAATGGGGTCCCAGCGAGGAACTCCCCCGAAGACTCGATGAATGAGGTCTTTATTATGGATCGTCCTGGCACTGCCACGTCCAATGGCAGCAGCGGCTATGGAAGTTTGAGGGCACCAAGGGTGCAGAGGAAAAACGATTACGGTGGTTTCGGCCCGCCCCAACGAGCTCAACAAGATTTGGAGTCCGAGAGGTTCGGCATGAATCGGGCTGATACCTTCCCTACCCCAAGCCAGATCATGGATGCTCCAGCGCGGACACCATCAGCCCCTGGTCCTCGGCCGGATAGGCTCCGCAAACCATCAAATGACTCTGCTGGGCGGACACCAATGACATCGGAGAGATTGCGGCGGCCGAGCAGGGATCCGGACACATCAAGACCTCCGCCTCCTCGGGCAAGTCTCATGCGTCCAAGAACCGCCGGCCAAGCAGATAGTCCCGCCATCCCCTCGATCAACCTCGCGACGGAATTTGGCGTCGGCAACCCCTACCATACTCCCTCTGATTCTATGTCTTCGAGCCTCTCGGGATACAGCCAGTCGGCGGTGTCGACCCAGCCAAGCTCCCGATCGAGTCCCTCACGCTCCTTGAGGTCTAGGCCTGACCGGAAGCCGTCGGACACGTCGAAATTCGATAACCTCATGTCCGATCTCCAATCATCCATGGACGAACTCAAATCCAAGGATTCGCGGACCCCCGCCACCACGCGCCCTCGCTTCGATAACCCCTTTACCATGTCCTCCTTATCCGCTCGACCGCCGCCACCCTCGCGAGGATACGATCCCCGTATTGACCCTGCCGTGCAGAACCCTCGCGAGGGGCGGTCCAGATCACCTCTGGCCTCTCCCGCCGAAGCCACCTTCCAGGACACTACCGTCCAAGGAAGCAGCGACAGGGACCCATCCCCGCGGTCCCGCGTGGGCCGCTCTCCTCCCCGCTTCACCCCGTCCCCCGACCGGGGCAAGCCGCGGTCCCGCTCGCGCTCGCGAGCACGCGACCCGTTCGCGCAGCCGCCCAGCCGCGGCGACTGCAAGTCGTGCGGGCTCGCGATCACGGGCAAGTCCATCTCGAGCGCCGACGGCCGCCTGACGGGGCGGTACCACAAGGCGTGCTTCGTGTGCACCACCTGCCAGGAGGCCTTCTCGTCGGCGACCTTCTACGTCCTCGGCGACAAGCCGTACTGCGAGCTGCACTACCACGAGCTGAACGGCAGCCTCTGCGGCAGCTGTGGCGGCGGCATCGAGGGCCAGTACCTCGAGGACGAGGCCACCAAGAAGCACCACCCCAGCTGCTTCCGGTGCGGCGACTGCGGCATCGTGCTGAAGGACGGGTACTTCGAGGTCAACGGCAAGGCGTTCTGCGAGAAGGATGCGTGGAGGCGCGTCCAGCAGCCTTTGTTGCCCGGCGGTGGTGGCCCGCGGAAGGGCTCGATTGGTCCAGGTGTCGGACTCGGGCCTGGACTCGGGCCTGCACCCAGCCCCAGCCCTTTCCGCGGATCCAGTCGCGGATCCAGTCCCGGCCCTGCCATGGGCCTCCCCTCCGGTCCCGTCATGGGCCTCCCCTCGCGTCCCGGCGGCGGACCCCGCAGCGGCGGCTTCGCTGGCGGCTTCGGCTTACCCAGCAGCACCCGACTGGGCCCGGGCGCTTTTGGCCCGCGGCCGAGGATGGAGAAGCGGATGACGAGACTGGGGATTATGTGATGATGCGGCCGCGACATTGCACGACCTACGATACCCTCACGCGCCCTCATCGAACCGATTAATTGCCGATTTCGCGGCGTATTTTTTCACTTCTCAACGAATCTTCTTTTTTTTGGTATCACCTCGACTGTACGCCCTCCATTTTGTAATACCATGCCGCTACATACCACACCGGAGCTGCCCCGGTCTTATGACATTTGCGACTGTTTATTATGTAACCGAGGGGAGTTTGTGCGATTCGCGGAGGGCACTTTGTTTCACCCTTTATACCCGTTGATGACGTTTTCTCTTCATATACCCATTTTTCTGTTTCTCCGGACGACCCTTTATAATTATCATGGCTTACCACTATGAAGGGATCATGAACCTTCCCTTCAGCCAAACACTGTATTGGCGAACAATTTTTTTTTAATTTGTCTACCGTGTTTGTTTTCGGAGTATCGGGGACGAGCATCTGGGCATGGAGACGAGGTTATCTATCATCTCTACCTTGTAGACCGGCGGATGGCCGTGCTTCTACTTAATATCACGGCGTTTGCGGTGTGATCTGTTTCCACAGTGGGGGGTGCGGAGGGGGATGGGGACGGGGATGGTTGCCTCCCGAAGAAGGGAGCTCGTTGGCGACCTGCGTCCTCCAACACCTTCTCCATATGGAGCAAAGTGGACGGGTTCTTGCAGTCGGGCACCCCTGATCTGTGATCTTGAGGGGGTTGCGCCCTGCTGGAGTTGTACAATAAGAATGTCGCAGATGGTTGCAGCGAAGAACGCCGAAACGGCGTCTTGTTCACAGGACCTGTCTTGCTTCACTCCCCGGGTTCTAACGTGACGGTATCATCAACTGAAAAATGCCTCTCTTGCGGTGTCTCTGGCTTTGCGCTAAGTTACACGGAGACTCCATGCAGCGATCAGCAGCTGCACATCGGCAGTGAAATTGCAATTTCTCGGCCTCCGTCATAGGGGAGGTGTGTTTGTTCTACGGACCGTTTGGGTCTGGGCTGACCGCCTCCAATGACCGGGTTCAGGGCCCGACATCTTGCAACAACTTTTTCAGAGTGGCGGGCTGGCGGCCAAGATCCAGAGCGGCAGTAATAGAGATCATCGAGAGAAAATTAACGGCGTCTCGCAGATCAACATTGGCCGACTCAGCGGGCCCCACCCCTTCCGTGGATACGTTTCAGGCCCAGGCGCAACCTCAGCCAATTATTTCGCAACGTTCCTCTGCGGCTCCATTTCCTTGGCAGGCTGGCCTTGTCGGCTACACGTCACTCTACTTGACACGGATGATACCGACTGATGTTGGTCGCCACTTGCGGTTGCCCTCGCCAGCAACTGCGGCGGCGCGAGCGTTTGTGAGATGCAGAACTGCGAACCCGCATGCTTGCGTGTCCCTGGGGTGAAAGTCCAGGTACAGGGTCTCGCCGCTGCACCATCCTCACGGCTCAATTCGCCATTGCCCCCCTTTTTTTCCTTCCTCGGAATCGGTGTCGGTTGATGGGCTGCACTTGCCTCGCCAGACATTCTGCTGTTAGCGATATGTCACTCATATCATTCGTTCATGTGTGATGTCACAGGCCGAGCGGTAAGAGCAAGTGATTACCTAGGCGGGTAGGTGACTCCTGCCTCGTTTGATTCCTCAAATCACCATGTCCCCCGGATCCCGTCTACTTGTCTTTCCATATGGCATTTGCCTTGTGTGCCCTACTAGTCCTACCTGCCTAGCTTGAAGCTATTTCTCCTACCACGATGATGTCTCTTTGACACGATTTTTCGTCCGAGAGGTTCAACTACTCTAGTTCACTTCTCACCTACATATCACCTGCCTCTACTGCTAGGAGCGAAAAGTGGTCTTCGGAAGAACCCTTCTCGCCCCTTCCTTTGAGACTCTCACTCTGACTTCACTATTGCATCGCTCACAACCTGGAACCTGAGTCGAAAATTCGCACCCAAGGCTCTTGAGTTTCGACTACGTCCCATTTCGATTCACACACTCCTTCATATCTGATTATCATGCCGTTTGGCGACGATTGATCCCCTGGATTCCCCGGCTTTGAGAGTCGGCCCAAATTCCAACCCCGAGTCTCTCTTGTTGGTGCTGTCTCCTCTTGGACAAACCTCCCGTTCCCTCCTACCAAACATGTTGAAGATCTCGCCACGACGCATCCTATCCAGGCAAAGGACCACTGTGTATCTTGCTATAGCCACAGTGGTGTTGCTGTATTGGTTCCTACTCCAGAGCAAAGAAGCAGGCTATCATTTTACGCCATGGCGAGGGTTCCGTTGGAGCAGACATGGCGATGATGCCTACAGGCCTAATGGTAACGACAGGGAGCGAGAATCGAAGATGAAGTTGCTGTTTCGACAGGAATATGAGAAACTTGGACAGTAAGTGTCCCGCAACCCCTGATTATCTTCACTTTCCTGACACAGCAGCCAGAGCGCCTGGCGCCGGTGGGATATACGGGAGCACCTTGACGAATGTTGTTGATAAAGACCCGAAGAGAAAGTCGGGACATAAGGATGCCCTCAGTCCATCCGAGCGAGCAACTCTCTTCACTTCTGATCAACCCTACCTCTTCAACCCTTACCCGAAGTACAACAGCCCGGAATGGAGAGCTTCGCACGCTGAATATGCCCCATGCATCGGCCCCACTGGCGCGGAGGTTGAGGATATTGCCGTATTTAGGGGACATCCTCGCAACTTCCCGGCGCCGAGCTTTGGCAGTTATGCCTTACTCGACATCGATCCAAATCTCTGCTTTGAGCGGGAGACCAGATTGGGCCAATATGGTCTGGCAAACGTGCTCGACAAACACAGTCAGTTGATTGACTGGGACAGGGTCAACTGGGGAGATCTTCAAAGGAATTGCGCCGACAAGAATAGGGCACGATTTGACTTGAAGGGGGGTCCGAACGAGTTGCTTTCAGTCTATCACCCTTATCAACCCGCCGAGACCAGAGTCCCAGAGTTTGCTACTCAGCCACTAGCAAGGCAGAATTCCCAGGAAGAGTTGAAGCGGCAAGAACACCGGGAGAGGCGGATTGGATCCCCCAGGCTGGAGACAGTCAAGCCTGAGTCAAGGACCGCACTTCTGCTGCGCTCTTATACTGGCAAACAATACAATGACAACGACAAGCAGGTCATACGCTCTCTCATCACAGAGCTCAGCTTGAGGACCGGCGGGGAGTTTCAGGTCTTCCTTCTCGTCCACACCAAAGTGTCTTCTGACATTTGGGCTAATAAGGAGACTTACCGTCGCACGATAGAAAACGAGGTGCCGCAGGAGTTCTGGGACATCACCGTACTTTGGAATGACGCTGCCGTACGGCAGATGTATCCAGAAATGGACTCGAAAGCTTCCACGGTTCACAATTCCCAGTGGCTCTCTGTACAGAAGTTCATGCAGGAGCACCGGGAGTTCGACTATGTTTGGAACTGGGAGTTGGACTCCCGCCTGATAGGGCAGCACTACGACATTCTGACCAAACTGGGGGGATTTGCCAAAAAGCAGCCACGAAAGGGGATGTGGGAGCGAAACGAACGCTTCTATATCCCGTCCGTTCATGGCGAGTATGATAGGGACTTTCGAAAGGCAGTTGAGGCCGTGCACCGGGATGACTCGGTTTGGGGACCTCCAAATCTCCCGTTCATTCGCCCCGTAGGCCCGGTGCCCCCGGCGAGGTCACCGAAATACGACAACTACGACTGGGGTGTTGGCGAAGAAGCCGATCTCATCACGCTTTCTCCAATGTTCAACCCCGTCAACAGCACTTGGATCTTGGGAAACCAGGTTTGGGGGTACCATTATTCGCATCATCCGTCAAAAAAGCTGCCCCGGCGAGCAACCATCGTTACTCAGTCTCGAGTCTCTAGGAAATTGCTTGATATCATGCACGTGGAGAACTTGAGGGGCAACCACGTTGGTTCAGAGATGACCCCCCAAACTGTCGCTTTGCTCCACGGTCTGAAAGCTGTGTATACGCCCATGCCAGTGTTCTTCGACCGACCGTGGGAAGGCCCCCAGCTAGCGAAGTGGTTTAATGGGGGGCCCAAGGGCCAGAGCGGGAGCTTCGGGAGTGCGATGGGTTGGGGACGGGAGGGACGATTTCAAGGAAGCACTTGGTATTACCGCGCAGATCCGCCCCAACGACTGTACAACAACTGGATGGGATATGAGGACACAGGCATCGGGGGACCCAAGTGGGAAGAAGTCCACGGCCGACCCTGCCTCCCAGCAATGTTTCTGCATCCCGTAAAGGATGTCCAACCGACAGATCCGGGCCATTCAAGCAAATCGAGCCTACCCTACTCTTGAATGGCTTAATGATACTCGGGACACTTTCATCACAGACGCTTCTAGGATCCGAAGGCGATTTAGAAGTCTGTTTCCAGAAACCTTTTTGGGGCTGGGTCAGCACATGAGTCTTCTCCGGCAGCATGTACACCGGATTTTGGGGCTTGGTTCTGGCTGCGAATACGTCACTTGCCGAAAGGCATGCATATGCTACGCTGAAGCTGGGGAGCCATTGTCCGCCGTGTGCGAGAGTTTCGGATGCACCTCGGATGCACACAATGCCCTGTGCCCTTCCTTGCATCTTGGTCACATCGATGAGAACTTTCCGGTCTCGATAACACGGCGGATCAATGGCGGTCTACCCAGGACGCCCTGGAAGGATATGTATAATAGTCTGCAAGATTTATCCGTCTGATGCCGGCCATCTGATGCCGGCCGTCTGTTGCCGGCCGATGCTGTGGGGCGCTATCTTCCAAGCATTTGAATAATTGAAGAATTACCCATGTACCTTAACGAACCTGAAGAGCCTGAAGAACCTTCCAAGTTCTCTTTTGGAGAGATGATATGCACAGTTTCTGAGCGTAAGCTCACCACGGAAACCAATCAAGCGGTTGGCCCGTTCACTTTGTCTGTGAGAACTTCTTTATCTGGAAGCATCGCTTCATCGATCCCGCTAGCAACACTGAGCCCTTGTCTGTCACTGGCTTCTGATCCAGATTACTTGTTGAAGCCTCATGTTGCCAGACGCTTCTCTCTGTGACAAGTCAAATTCTCCATGGGCTAGTCTTTACTAATAGGTATTGGGTTGGGCTGGGTAAGACGGACGTATCCGTGAGAGTCTAGCCACGACACCCACCTTCATGCAGCGTTATCCTAGAGCAGTAACTCGATGCGATGTCTGGTTTTGATGGTTGGAGATAACTGGTTTGCAAGGCATCAGCACTTGCATGTCCAGGTGGTCAAATTTAACTGCATTGGGACGGTGGCTTGTAGGAAGGCAGCACTGGCCATTTGTTGGGCTGTTCAGCAGGCGCACTGACCAACAAGGTGCTTCGTACCTGGTGGATTCTCGGCTCTGGAAGCGGGGCAGGTGGCGCGATTCGCTGTCTTCCGGCACAGGTCCTCCCATTCCATGCTGCGACGATCATGCCAGAACGACAAGCCACACTATGGCTGAGCAACGTTTTCTTGCCAATTGGTAAGCGTTGATTGGTTGATCAAGTGTTGCGCCATGAGGCCGTATGACTTCTTATGAATGACTTGCTCAAGGAGGCATGGTGGGCATGGATGGCGCGAGGAGGTAGCTTAAAATGCAGGATCGAATAAATAGAACTGACCTGCTGTCCCTTGCTACCACTTTCCCAATCTGTGTCTGACTCCCCATCCCCTGTGCAAAGCAAACCCATCCACCAGCCTTTCTCATCACCATCTGCCGCCTCGAGTCTTCAACCGGAACTTATACTAGAAACGCGCTTACACAAAGTCCCGCTCTTTCTCTCTCTTTCTCTCTCTCTCTCTCTCCTCTCCGTCGCGGCAGTATAGCACCACAGCAAACCAACAACCGGCACTGACGATGTCACCAACATACACCATGTCTGCACATCTGTGCAAGCAGATCTACTCCTCATGGCGCCAGACACGACAGACCTCACCGGAAGCTCCCCTCTCGCCGCCCACGACCAACATCACCCAACCATCCTACTTCCGCCGCTCCCCCTCACCCGAGAAGCGCTCCATGGACAGCGACCGCAGCGATTCAGGCGACTCTAGCTGGAAATCCTCGTCGTCTTCATCGAATAGCCGGTCCTAGAAGGGCTGGAGGGGAAAGGGGCTGGTTGCCTAGGAGGGAGATAGACGAAAAGGTTCGCGACACATAAATCACAACATACCCACCGCATATAGACGACACACACACACACACACCACTTTACAACGAGACCAATTCGGCCAGAGAATTTGGGGCGGAAATATACCGGTCTCGTGAAGCTAGAGTTGGGATGATTTCACCTGCCAAATCACCGACTGGATAGCTGAGTTGGCAACCTCGCACGACAGGGACAGCCGCGCCTACCCCGCCATACCCGAAACCTTAGAGCGAACCCCCACCAAAACAAATAAGGCTTATTCACCAGGCTTATTCACCACGAGTCCACCACGAGGTTCTTTTTTTGTTTAATCGAAACGGGAAGCTTTTCGCACCATCACCCCGGATATGTCGTCATCACCATAGGGCGCGCGGTCCACCCACGGATCCGGCTGTTTTGCAGTTCTGCGCATACGAATATCGCGTGAGACATGGAACATCCCCTGCCCTGCAGCGGGTGTCGGAACGTGAACCAGAAAGGGGGATGAGAAGGAAGGGGGGGTGTTGTGCCGGGGGGGGAAAGGTAGTTCCTTGGATGGCGGGGGCGTTGGGTTGGGTCATCATCGTTGGGTTTGGCACTAGACCACGCCCTAGGTCGTCGGCAGTCGGTCGAAGCAAGGCTCGCTGCGCACCGTGCAACGAAAACCCGGAAAAGGGCACATGCATGTCTCTTCCAGCTTGGGGGAGCTTGATCCAAGCTTGGTTCGAGTGTGTTTTCTTTTTCCTTGCCCAGTGGTGGGGTGGGTTGCCCAGAAGCGGTCAACTGGTGGGGGGAGGGGCGGTGGAAGCTTGATTGGATTGGCGTTTCTGGAGTCGGCATTTCCCAAGCTTTGAGGGGTTTTGTATTTCTCCCAGACTGTAGCAACACACGACCGAAGGTCAGCATGGAATGGGGGGGGATTTCGCAGTTTGATACCCTTTACCCCTCGGTACTTAGGAACCCCAGCGCAGAATACAAGAATACAGTCTGACGTACTACTATTATTACAATGATCCTAAGTTTGAACTGAAGGTAGTGGTGGTCTGGAATCCGATTACAATGACTATGACACCATCGCTGATGGCAGCAAAGCTCCACAGACTTGCACCATCGTGGAGCCCTGCCGACAACCCGGGAAACAATACCATCTGGCCATGGAATGGGACGATTTCCGGCGGGTCGGCCCAGCAGCCCCATCCGGACAGTTCCTGGCGCCCCCAACAAAATATACCACCACGGCAACAGGTTGGCAGCCTGAAAGGTACCTCGATCTGGCCTTGACCCTAAAAGTATTAGATAGCATGGTACTACTACCGCATATGATCAATGTAGTAGGTGGCCGTTTGAAGGAGCCGAACAAGAGAAGAAAGATCAAGGACTAAGAGAGAGTTGGTAAAACAACACCCAGCAAATCCCCGCTCGTCAATGTCTCTCTCTCTTCCTCTCTCCATCCTCCTCCAGACACCTCCTGCCTGCACAATTCCACCTCCTGGCAGCGGTTGACGCTTGCCAGCTCTCTCTAAATACCGCCAGTATTTTCCATTTCCATCTCCTCTCTCTCTATCTCTCGCTCTCTCTGTGTTTTTGTACCCACAAAACGCCCTTCTAACAATTCAGGATAATCCGAAAAAAAGAAGATAAATGGCGGCGGGGAGGGGGGGGGGACCCGTCACGAGGATGTCTCAGGACGCTAGTTGAGTAGCTGCCACGCTCGACGTAACCGGGGTGATATCGTCACCGCCGCTCTCGTCCGGCGACTCCTCGGCTATGTTCCCTTGGATCCTGCGCTTTGCCTCCCTCTTGTCCTCCTCCGTGACCTCATTCTCATCCTTGCGCATGTCCGGCGCGTGCTGTGAGATGTGGGGTGAATGACCAACGGACATGCCTACTCGGATCTGGGACGGGGCCAGTGTTAGCTATCATCTCCAATGCTTGAGAGAGAGACAGGTGGTCAGATTAGGGGCAAGGTCTTACCAGAGTCTCCAGGGCGCCGTTCGAATTGTCCACCAGGTCGTCGTCAAACTTCATCCTCCCCTCCTCGAAGAGCAGGACGATGGTGCTGCCGCCGAACTTGAAGTAGCCGAGCTCCTCTCCGCGTTTCACCTCCTCTCCTTCCTGCCTCGTGATGACCGTGCTGCCAACCATCATGGCGCCGACACAAATCACCATGACCCGGCCGTGCGCCACGCTGTCGATGGGCACAATGACTCTGACGTTCTCGCCATAGACATCCAGGGCCGACCGGACGGCCATGGGATTGACGGTGTAGTAGTTGCCCGCGATCAGCTTCGGCTTGAGCATGGTGCCGTCGACGGGGATGTGGAAACGATGGTAATCCTGCGGGGCGAGCCGGAAAATACCCAGGGCACCCCCGTTGTCGTACCGTTTGACATCCTCCGGATACGCTTCCCCCAGCAGTCTCTTGACCGAGAACTCGCGCCCCTTGACCCACACCTTGGTGGCCACGTCGATGCGGTTGAATACCACAGATCGGCAATCGGCGGGCGAGACGATGACATGGGGGTTGTCGGGGGCCGAGGCCGGGCGGGCTCCCGGCTTGAGTGCTCGGTAGAAGAATTCGTTAAAGTTCCTGAACTCCTCGACGGGCAAGAGGACCTCAGACATGTCGAGCCGGTGGAACTCGATGAACTTCTGGATCTCCGACTTGGACGCCGGGTCGTCAAACTTCTTGCCCTGCTTAATGCTGAGGCCCTTGAGGAGCTTGCGGACTGTTTCCGAGTCGGTTAGTTGGCAATCGCGGGAGAGCATGGGATTGGCCGGCGTCTTTGACTTACTCCTCTTGTTCTCCATGTTGTTCGACTTCAGGCCCTTGTACAGCAGCCGGATACCCAACCTCACATACACGCTCATCTTCTCCTCGTTGATCTGGCCGGTGATGCGGTCTTGCACGAGGATATTGGCCGAGTTGGCGCCCAGTTTGTAGCCTCCGTACGAGATCTTGGTGATGATCTTGGAGTACCACTTCCGCTGGGCCTGGCTGGCGGTCACGAACCCGCCCATCATGAGATTATTTACTTGGCGCCAGTCCTGGCTGGCACAGGTGGCAATGTGGGTGATTATATCGGCATCCTTACGTTTGTTAAGGCGAGGCTGGTGACAGATTGGACACTCGCGGATTTCTACAACATGTTCCTCCCCACTGCCGGTGTTGAGGTCGTCTCGGTCCACAACCTCGCCTTCATCGCCGGGGGTGCTGAGCTCGGGCACCGCAATGGTCGAGGGGCCAGTTTGCGAGGATTCGCTCGAATCTTCGCTCGGGCTCGTGGCGCTTGCGCTGGGGCCTGCGGCAGCACTGGTGCCAACACCCGGAATGAGATTCCTGATCTTATCGGCATCGGGCAGCATGCCCTTGACCCGATCGGTCACGGTGGAAAGCTTGGGTTTGGTCTCTAGCTGATCCTCCAGGCAGAGTACCGCCTCGTCCATGGATAGATCCCAGCTATCGTCCCCATTATTGTCCGCCTTGTGGGGGAATCGCTGGAAGAAGCTGTCGATTGTCGATTCGCGGAGAGTGGAACCCAGAGTGTCGAGCATGGTGCTCAGCTCGACCTTGCTGATGCGGCCGCTCTCGTCGGTATCGTACTGCTTTAGCATTGCCCGCCAGAACTGTTGCCTCAGCGCGGGATACGGCATGTATTTGGCCCGCACAACGAGCTGCGGGTTGTGTTTATCCTCCCATTTTTCTAGATTCTTCATTTTGAGTGGCAAGCCGACCGTGTTGAAGCCTGGATCGTCCACCTCGACAGCCGCGGCGGGCTCCCCGGCCGTAGGAGGAGCTGCCAAGGCGTTGTCGCCGGGGGTCAACAATCCGGGACTAGGAACCTGGGGAGTCGGATCGGCGGTGGTGTTGCCATCTTCTGGAAGCTGAGAGGGCGCAGCGGGTGAGGGGTTGGACGAGGACGGGTTTAAAGTAGGTACCGACGTTGGCGTAGCGTTCTTGGAAAGTGGGGGGCGGCTCATCTTGCTTAAGCTCTGGGCTGACGACGTCCGTGACATGCCAAGCCTCATAAATCTGGGCCGCTGCTGGACCGGGACGTATTCCGGAGGGTCCCGTAGGTTATACAACCCGGTCTCGGGATCGGCCTTGGGAGACTTCTCGATGAGTTCCTTGATGGGCAGGGCGGCGGACGCGATAAAATCGTTGCCGGAATACTTGTCGTGGTCAATCACAGTGAAGACAAAAGAATAGGCTTGTTCGTGGTTAAGGACGTGGAAGATCATCTTCTCGTTGAAGACGGGATTGAGGTTGTGGCGGATCGTCTTGGTGCGGTATGTCTTCTTTCCGAGGGACGCCACGACGAACGGATCCATGTCGAAGCTGGTCTTTGTGAAATTGGATTCCGGGGGCAAGTCGGTGATGTTGCAGATCTCGAGGAAGATGATGCCGACGACATCGCTCCCCCCACTGGTGAGCTCGTATGGGTTGTCCCTCTTCTTACGCTTCAGGCCCCTGATCCTCAGCCTTCTCTTCCTCTTCTCGATAGCCTCGGGTTTGGTTGGATCCTCGTCTTCCGGAGTTTCATCTCCGTAGACGTCGTAATCCTCATCATCGTCGTCATCGGTTGTCCTACGACTGAGCGTAGGAGGCGTGGGTGCGCCGGGGGCCTTCGCTTGAGCAGGGGGTTGAACAGGCGCGATAAGGGGGGTCATGGTTGGGGTCGGGGTTTGGGAGGAAGGCTCGGCGGGAACGGATCTCGCAATGGCGGAGAATCGCTCATATACCTGCGGCGGCGTGGCGTCTCTGTTTGAGAAATCGCAAAGGGTGAACTGCAGGAGAACCTCACCAGACACGACCCCGGTCTTCTTGCCTGGCCTCTTGCTCTTTAGGGGGAACCACATCGGTTCTTGCTCCGTCTGTCCGTTGGCAAATATCTCCTCCAGGGCGAGGTCGAACTCGCCGAGGTAGTCTTTCCCGAACCTGTCCTTGTCCCAGCAGCAGACATCGAGGATGAGGCTTTGGGCGCCGGCAACAGGCATGTGGCATTGTTCGTTCCATACGGGGTGCAGCGTCTTCGGTACGGCGTGGGTGACATGCTTCGAGTCACCAAGGCTCAATACGAGGTACTAAGGGGGGTTTATCAGCTTTCACGATGCTCCTTAGATGGCAAGGGGAGGCGGTGGAAGCGTAGCTAGGCAAATGCTCACAGGGTCGGATGTGCCGCCTCTATCCTTTGCTGCCAGGTTGCGTGCCTGTCGACAGCGTTAGTATCTTCCGCAATCTGTATTCTGGCTGGTTATTCTGGGCCTCGCCGTACCCGCATTATCATGATGCTGAGGGCCAGGCCAGTGTCCTTCTGCCTCTCGGGGCTTGCGGAATCCCCTTTGCTCCTCATTGGGCTAGTGCCGCGGCTGGCTGCTGCAGAATTGCAATTGGAATTGGAATTGGAATTCGACGTGTGTGGTTTCAATCGACTGGGTATAATGCGGACCATGTCGGTAATCGAGAGCAGATATATGGTGGGCGTGCCCTTGAAGTCGGTCAGTCTCGTGAGCTGGAGCAGCTAGGGCAGCTAGGGAGAATGCGGCAGGTTGGAGGGACGATGTTAGGGGGTGAGCTAGGTAGGCAGGTTGGATGGATGGTCGGAGGATTCGGCAATTGCGTCAACAATGGTGTCCTAGACACCGTAGACCAAGAGGCTGTGCCGGGCTGCCAGAGCGGAGACGGATTCGATCGCTAGGTAGGTATCAGGCGGGTAGGTAGGAAGGTGAGAAGGGGGGCGGCGTCATTCAGGTCCAGTCCAGACTCCAGAGCGAGGCACCGAAGCTACACTATATATCGCACCCCACTGAGGCGGAGATACTAGGCGTGGCCCGTGTGGGGCGTGAATTGATGGGAATGAATGTAGCGGTAGTGTATTATGGATCAAGACATTACTACTCCGTATTTGCTCAGAAACTGGCAGGCGGATTGTGCAACTTGGCGAGGTTTCATAGCTGAGATCGGAAGGAGGATAGAAGAGAGAGGAGGGTGGAAATCGGTATAATCAAATCCATCTTTCCATGACTTCCAGTTCTGCTGGCAGAGCTGAACAGAAGAAAAGTGGCCATGAGCCAGTTGTTAGTTCCCAGCTTTCCAACTCATAGGGCTCCCTGGTCATCAGCTTCAGAAGCTTGGCTGACATCTTGCAACCTTATTCGTGGTCACGGATATTGGCTGGAGGCTGGGGAGGCTGCTCAGGGTGTGGATTGGGGAACTTATTAGTCGCGCACATTATTAACACAGGCCCGAAACTGGCCATTTTCTGCGCAGGCATTCATTCCCACACAGACTCGCACCCCGATCGCAGGATCGTCACAAGGAATTTTACCACAGTAAAGGGGAATTTCTCCAGAGAAGCGCCACGCTATCCATAAATACACTTGGCGGTCTGCCAGCCAAGTACACACTACATGTAGCACCACGTCGGCCCGCGCCTTGACTTTGGTCGCTTGTCAACTTTGCCAAGTCTAGGTAGTTAGCATGTGAGTGTGTGCGTGCCAGGGGGCCATCAAGCTTTATTCATTCACATCCCGTTCCATCGCATCGCCAACCGAGGCGGAGGTTTCCACAGTCTATTTGAACAAGTCGGTCCTTCAGAGACATCGCCTCCGCCTGGAAGTTGGAACCCCCCCAATGAAAGTAGCCCTCGTTGCAGCGGCGTAGAGTACCTCGTGAGCTAATAACGCAGCCATCCCAAACCAGCGCGAATCGCCTGGTCTAAAAGTGTGGGACATGCAGCAACGGTGTCAGGAGAAGTCGGGGAGGAAGTCAGCATCAATTTGCTGCATACGCGCCATATCCCGCTGCTGACCAGCCCACTGAGTGTCTATTCCTGTTTCAATTAATATGTAGTAATCAGGTACCTAATGTCAATCATGTATGTCCCCCCCACACCACATGAACATCATGTTCAACGTAGGTGGTGGCGAGCATTTCGACTGAAGGTGTTCCGTTTTGTCCGTTCTGTTTCTACCGCTTCCTACGTTCCTGACTCGTGGCGACCGAACGAGCCGAGCTTTTTAGCCGCCTTCCATTCCTCCTCGTCCGTGATCTTTTTGCGGATACTCGGTCGACTGATTGCTACCGGCTATGCGGGGACAGACAAGCACTGCTCAGACTTGCAGCAACCTGTCCCCATGGGGCAAGACGACAGGACGGGAGCAGTGTTTAGAGAGGGAGATGCCTGCAGGAGTCCTTATGAATCTCGGCAATGCACCAACGGAATAAGTGAAACGTAGCGTCTCCAATGGAGGGTTAAGGTAGAAGGAAACTGAGCTGGATCGAAAGGTAACCAAACGAATAAGGAGACTCTGGAGCCTCGATCGAGACTGTGAATATATCGTCATGATATTGTGCCTGCAGACCGATTCTAACCCGCATTGGAAACCGGGATACTTCTTTTTCCTGAGCCAGACCCCAACCTGTCATATCACTTGCACCATGGGCCTCCAAGGACATATGACATCTATCTATCCCGGTTACGGCTGTACAAGCACTGCCACTCAAGCCGCAACTTTTGCCTTGTATTTTGAGGCTGCCTTGTCAAATAAATCACTCTTCTCTGCCAAATCCACCAAGAGAGGATGTTGCGAATCAACCTTTGCAAGCGAACTGTTTCACGCAACATTTAGCAAAACTTGGGCAAAAGCAACGTTCGCTGGGAAACATTTGGGGGGCCAACTTACCTCGCGAGCTCCGTAGGGTCCTTGCCAGTAATGACTGTCAAGACAAGCAGATTGGCAATGGCCTCAGCAAACTCTGGCTCCTTCTTTATCGCCTGGTCCAGTGCAGCCTGTGCCTCCTCTGTCCGTCCAAGGTGTACCTCTGCAACTGCTTGCGACACAAGACTTCGCACCGACGAGGTTGATGGTGCTTGTGCCAGCTCTTCGAATACGTAGAAAGCCTGCTGGTATTTTTCGCCTCCCTAAACGATTAACCACCCTCGCGTTAGCATAATGAATGATACAGCACCAGCGCAGCGGGAGTTTGCCCAGACGTACCAGCCTCAAGCCAAGCCAGGCCTCTGCCAAGTTCACCAGTAGACTGTCTTGGGCCCACCTCCGTGCAGAGGCAACCTCCTTCAGGGCGAGGTCGTTGCGGTTCTGCTGTAGATGGATCTGGGCGATCAATGCGACAGCCTCGACTAAGCCACCACGAACCACACGTCAGCGGGGCTTGGCCCAACGATCGGTTTCTCCCAAGTCAGCGGGATGACCTACGGTTCCCCTGGTGCTGCGAAAGCAATGCCAGCGCCTCCTCCGACTTCCCGGCCGCTTGTAGAACGGCGCCTCCGACGGCCTGCACGACGGCGTTGTCTGCGGAGGAGGCGGCGAGCTTCTCGACCGTCCGGACGGCCGAGTCCGTCTTGCCCAGGCTGAGCTCGGCCAGGGCGCCTACGGCTGCGAGCTCGGGCTCATCCTCTCCCTGCACGTCGGCGACAACATCCTCTGCCTGGCCGAGGGCGATGCGGGCGCGGAGCTGGAGCACCCGGGCAGGGAGCGAGTTCTCGGGGGAGAGGGAGGAGGTGTCGAAATCGACCACTTCCTGGTATTGGCCTTGGTGAAAGTGGTTGTGAATGTTGATCAGCTCGCCTTCTGCCGAGTAGGGATCCATCTTGCAATTGTGAGCCGGAACGTGTTGGTGGTGAAGACGACGACAACCAAAGCTACGTGGGCGGTTTAGAGTGTGCGGAAGATGCCGAGATGATACGGTTACAGATTTGATAAGCCTGCCAGGTGGCTTGGCTGCCAGCCACCTGCCAGGCTTGATTCTCAACCGTCGGGGGGCTTTCTTCAACCTCTCAGCTCAATTGCACCGCGGAAGGACATTTCAAAGAACATTGCACTGGTCCAGTGTCTGTTATCAAGGTATCGTGTGGGAGGTGCCTTAGGGGTTCAGGTGTCAATATTGACGACCTTGAAGTTCCAACGACATTCTAATGTGATTGTGGCACACTGTAACCGCCTCATTCCTGCTTTACTCGGATATCTAGTGTACACACCAACTGCTCCAAGAGCCAACCGTCAAGAGAATCTTGCCGCTGTTAGGCATATATGCGTATGCATGGATCATACGGCCTGGTCAATGGCAGGCCAACCCAACCAGGCTCTGGATAGAATCTTGTCCTGTGTGAGTACATCATTGATCAATGATATATCTGTTCATGCCACCTTTGCCAAGGTCAGAGATCCTGCATCTCGCGCACCGTTCCTTCCACCCAGCCTCTTCCAATTGTCAAGTTGTTTGCCAGTGTCTTTTCAGCACCTCGCATAGCGACATTCTACGAGAATTCAGCTTGAAATTCTATCAGACGCCATGGCCACTGAACAAGGCCTTGCCGAAACACCCTCTTCGTCTGGACAGCCCGTGGAGAATTTGGGACAGGATCCAACGAGGGCCTACGAGTATACGCGACTCCCGAACAAACATGGTGTGTTCCGTCTCCTGTGCAGGGGAGATTTTGGGACCCCAAGCAGCCTCATCACCTCGAATCTCAAAGAATGGACCAGTCGTCACTCTGGTTATGCAGCAATTTCGTACACCTGGGGAGGGCCGGAGAGAGTACCGTATGAACTGGACAATGGAGTGGTTGAGATTCCATTGTCACTTTCCGAAGCCCTTGCTGATATTGATGCACGCTATATATGGGCTGATTCGATTTGCATCAACCAGCGGGATGACGTCGAGAAGTCTTTCCAAGTTCAACAAATGGCTGAGATATACAAGTCGGCCTTGTCGGTCATCATCTACCTGTACCCGCAGGAGCCTGAATACTTCGACATCAATTTCAAATCCCGCTTACCGAACTCCGGGATCCTTGTGTCGTCGGTCAGACCTATACTTGGCCATGCATGGTTCACAAGGGCGTGGATATTTCAGGAACTATATCATGGCGGCCGTCGTGCGATGGTACAATGTGGCCAGAAGAAGATGGATTGGGATTCACTTAGTTCGCATCCTGCGTTGCCCAATCAACGAGACGCCAATCCGGGGACTTCTGAGACGTGGTGGGCCAGATGGGATGCAAGCTATTCAAAAATGGCTGTCGAAAGAGGATTTGAAACATTGGCGCGAATATCCCGTTCTATCAAGAAATGCTAAATCATACAGACATCAGATGAGAGACATGCAGGCGAAGAGGTCTCCGAGAGAGAACAGCTTAGCCCGAGCGAGGGTGAGAACGACAACACCGGAAGACCTGGAAGAAGTCATGTCAAGGGCGACCCCGGAGGAGAAGGAAGGCGAGAGGGCAAGGGCCTTGGAGGGGATTCAACTTCTTGAGAAGATGGATGCAATCGGCCACCCTCCAAAGGAAGATGACGGAAACAACTGGTGGCTCCTCAAAGTTCTACAACTCCGCCGTGGAGCCCGATGCTTCTTGGCTTGCGATATCGTTTATGCACACCTGCAGCTTGCGGATTTTCCGGATTTAAATAGGGATATGATTGACTACGCGGCATCATATAACACTGCCTTTCACACTGTGGCGGAGTGTTTTATGCGCAGAGTGACTGGCCTTCAGATCTTGGCCTTCGTGGAGGACATTCCGCTCGCAGAACGGCAATACGGAGTAGGCGTCCCGGATCCAGCCGTGAAAAGCAAACCCATCATAGGGATAGGAGGACGCTATGAGAGATTGGCTTCCTGGGCACCAAACTGGACCCGATGTCTACCCGCAGAACAAAACGGCTTCCTGAACGACTTGATGAGGACGGAGGACAGTAACCGATTCCTTAATCGCGAATGGAAATGGCGCTACTGCGCCATGCGCAACTTCTTTCAACTCGGCGACGGAGTCATCGGCTGCATCGCACGTCTACTCCAACATCGAGTTCTAACAAGCGATTATGAGACAACTAGTAACGCTGCTGTTCTAGAGGAAATCGATGACATCTCGATGGTCCTCAGCGAAGCTCGTTTATCCCTGCCCAGAGCCTACATGCCTGGGGACATCGCTGTTTTGATTGCGGATGCGCCAGACGCGGTTCACTTCGTTCGACCCCAGATGGACTGTTGGATGGTAGCCAGGAGCTCGAAAGTGGAAAAGTCATCGAAATGTGCACCCAGAAAAGAGATGCTCGGGGCATTACAAAGTGTGACTCTTGTCAAAGTGGAGAGGTGAGAACAGATCCGGATTGTGACGAATTGCTGAGTACGGAGCTGACTTGTTGTGTAGTTACTCAGTAGCAGTAGTTGCATTCCCAGCCTTGGATGCAACGCCAGTAAGTAAAGAGGACTTCCGTTACTCCCGCTAGATTGAACTTCGTCAGCTGACCCTTATGCCGAAGGTCGGCTTCTGCCCCTCGAAGGACTTGATATTAGCTACTGTGTGTATATCGGGCAATCCAAGCTTCCACATCTCACTGGACATCATGTGGATAATATATTCCTCGGGGGCGGAGACGCTGGAAACGCTGGAAACGCTGGAAACGAACTTCTTGTGATGAGATAGCGGAATCTAAAGAAGGAAGAGGACTGGCTACCTAGTTTCGGCGTGGCGGACATAATGAGTGTGCACGTTCTTCATCTGAAAGTTGCGGAACTCTGGCTTCGTGTTGATAGGACAACGACAGTTGAGTAATAGTATCAAGTTCCATGACAGAAACTGCCGTGTTCGTATTTCCCTCCTTCTCGGCTACCAGGATAATGAACACGGGGCAATGACCAAGCTATGGCAAGTGCCATTCTGCGGACCACTCCTTCCTACATCATCTTCCCAGAAGGAAGCACAAAAAGTTCTGAAATCTTCCGGGCTGGGTCGGTTCATCTTCTCTCGCTGGAGATACCGAGCTCGAGTCCACCTTCCCTCGCCCATCGGCTCGATCAACCCGCGCGGCCGCAGTTCAAGGATGCCCTCGCCTTGGCCCGGGATTCAGTTCCCGCCGACATGACCTCTCACCTTCCTCGACCGAAAACGCGGCTTTGGGCAATGCGTTCCCCCTTGCCGAACCAGGGCATCGCGATTCAAGGACGTTCTCGCCCCCAAGTGACCCTGGAATCCGATCCGCTCCCACCGGCACGACCTCTCTCCTTCCTCGATCGGGAACGCCTCCTTGGGCAATGCGGCCCCCCCCACCACCCTTTCCCCTCTGTCTCCATGTCGCCGTGAGTCCCTGGGCAAGCGCCTGCGCAGGTTCCTGCCTTTCCAAGTGGCCCGGTCAGCGGACATAGTAACCCGAAAGCCGAAAGTTCGCTCGGTCTGCCTTCGGTGTTGCCGTCTTCGATAGTTCCGTTCGGCAAGTCCACCCACTTCCTTCCTCGTCGTATTCCGTCTTGCGTGTTTGTTCCGCATCACGGCCGTAGGGATGCGATCGTACGATGTCTCGGGTTCCCTTCTGCCTCGGATTCAGAATTTGGGAAAGCGCTTCCCCCAGTCGTCAATCTCTGTCTGCTCCGGTCGTGTATATATATGGCTTGTGCCCCCGCCAGATTCTGACCCTCTTCTTCCCTTTCTCTTCTCTACAGATAGTAGCTCGACCACAGGGAGATCAAGATCACCTTGTGGTACTTTCTAGCATTGCACACCGCTGAAAGTGTGTGGCCCCCGCCGCCCGAGTACAATTTTTGATTCTATCTCTTCGGAGAACACTCTTTTAATTGAGCTCACTGGCTGGTCCAGTGACTCGAAGAAGAGAGTCCCCTGTTTGGTTAGCACCATGTGGTAAGTGTGTGGGCCCGCTGCTCTTTGTTTTTATTTATTTCGAGATAATTCTTTTCGTCGAGTTCACTGACTGATTCCAGCGACTCGAAGACGAGAGAGAGTCCCCTATTCTGTTAGTACCCCGTGGTATTCAACGTGCCGCTGCCCTAGTCAACAGCCTATCCCGCCGGATTTGACATGTCTGATCCATCCGCTCCATGGTTTCGCCTCATCGTTGTCGACGCCTGTCGGTTACACGTTCTTCGGAAATTCCCAACACGTTCTCCGCCGCTGTACGCCCTGGTCCGGGTGCTGTTCGAGTTAGGGTGGAGAGAGAAGGAGGGCACAGAGAAGGAGGGCACAGAGAAGGAGGGCACAGAGAAGGAGGGCACAGAGAAGGAGGGCACAGAGAAGGAGGGCACAGAGAAGGAGGGCACAGGGGCGGAGGGGGAGGGCGGGAGGGAGTGTGAGAAGGTTGGGGCCGTGAGAGGGCGAAGGGCGTGAGAAGGCGCAGGGCGTGAGAGGGTGGGCGGTTGGAGAGGATAGCGGACGAGAGGGGGCAAGAAGGGGAGGCAGTGGGAGACAGCGGGGAGAGAGGTGCAGGGGAAGAGACTGAGAAGGAAATCGAGGGAGAGGATGGTCTCTTTATAGTTGTGGTTGATTACGCTCCTGAATCATAACCAGGTAACTTGAGCTTGATTTGGGTTCGGGCTGGTTTAAAGTATAGCATTCTGCCTGGCATTATACGTCACGAACCTTGATTTGGTAAAAGTGAAACGCTTCCACGCCGCCTTCTTCCGCTTCACGGCGATGAGGGCCTTTCGCCACCAAATCCTAGTTTGACCTCCCTTGAATCTTGTTCCGCGCAAAGGTAAAGTCGTAAAGTAAGGTAGGTAGGTGTTGACTCTATGCCGTGGCCGAGATAGGCGCGGATACTTCGCCATCGGCGAGCTTATCGGCTACGAGTTGGAACGCCACACCCTTCAGGAGGCACCAGTATGGTCGTTCGTAATTGATGAACGATAAATACTGATAACTATCACACCAGGCCTGTGCGAGCCTGTCACGCGATCCCACCCAACGCAGGTGCCGTTGTAGCAGCCCCTAATACCCAAAGGCCAATCTCAGGATGAAAACCTACACCAGCCATGATGGCCCTGTATCCCTTGACAAAGCCATATTTAAAGTCAGCACAGGCTTCCCAACACCAACCTGTCCTTGCCGCTCAATCCCCCCCAAAACTAAAGCAAATCCTTCGAATACCCTTTCCAATTGGATACCCTGTAATCGCCAGTAGCCCCTAGAGCAGAGTAAACACCGCACTAGTCCCCTCAAACGCCGTGATCTTGCCTCCCAGGCTCTTCGAATCGCCAAAGTACCGCAAGCGATACACCCCCGGCTCCGCCCACTCCTCCGTCTCCCACACGACCTCGGCCTCGCTGTTGCCCAGGATTTCGCTCGTCCTCCGCCAGCGGAACACGAGGTCCCAGTCCGCGTCGTCCCGCACCGTCCGCCACACGCCGCCGGCGCGGATGTCGAGCTTCTCGACGGCCGCGAACGTCCCCTCGAGCCTGAGGTTGTTGCGCGGGTTCGCGCCCACGAAGCGCGCCGCCGCGGTGGCCCCGCGCCGGTACGCGCGCGCGGCGTCGGCGACCACGTCGCCGAAGGACTTGAAGATGGGCGCCGCGTCGAAGACGACGGGCGAGATGAAGCTGAGGGACCGGTTCGCGTTGTCCGGGGGCAGGGACCCGCCGTGCGTCGGCGGGGTCGGGGGCGCGTCCGCTGCGAGGTGCGGGAGGAGCGAGAGCGTGACGTTGATGTACGCCGCCAGCGTGTGGGGCCCGTAGAGCGTGGACGCGCCTTCGTAGCGCTGGATGGAGTACTCCTCCTCGGTGGTGATGTAGTGGGCGTAGCTGTTAGCTGGACCCCCAAGTACGACCACTGGCTGTGCCGCCGCGGGAGAAGAAGTTGACTTCTGGGACTCGAAAAAACGCTCCGAGGCGCCCCGTACGGCCTCCTTCCAGCGTCGACCCGCCATGGTAGTTGCCTCGCCAGGGCTGACGACGATGACGAGCTGCCCGACACGGAACGCCTGGATATCGACAATGTTTGGCGTCCACTGGTACGGTTTGTGCATCTCGCCAACGTCTAGTAATATAGGTTTCGGACTGTGACAGGCTTGCTGCCCCTCGGTCGGCTCCTTCAACAGACGGGACACAACCCGCCACACTGGGGACGTTTTATTCGCATCGGGGTCATGCTGCGTGAAGTCGAAAGCCCCCGGACCGTCTGAGGTGCCCGCTGCGAAGGAATAACCCAGCGCTGCAGGGCATGTGCGGGCCTCGGAGCCGTTCGGAAGGCGGAAGGTGAAGTTTGACATGTCGTGAAAGGTGTGGAAAGATTTGACCCAGTGTCCTCGTACCGGGTTTGGATTTCGCTCAAGACGGTCATACAAAGCCCGCGCCGGCTCGAACTGCCGTCTCCCGATCTCGAAGCACGACGACGCCCCGTTATCGCTGACTCGAAAGAGCGGACCTCTGGCGTGGCAGTGCTGGGACCTGCCATCGCTGCAGGTGCTATTCTCGAAGTCGCACATCTTCCCTGAGCCATCTTCGCACCAAGCACCCAGAACATTTGGGCTGGTATCGCCAACATTGGCTTGTGAGAAGCCTGCTACAAAAGTGTCTGATGCCATCTTATCACCGCGAACGCTCCGTTCGAACAAGTAAGCCGCCACACCCTTGTTGTCTCCTGCAATGAGAGTGTTATTCCCAAGCAGGGACGTGCCATGTGTAGGGAACCATGTTAGCACTCCGATGTTCTTGCCATCCGATGCCCGTTGGAACTTGAGCAATGTCAGGTCTTTCTCCACCGAGCCGTCGGTATTGGTGCTGACATTATACTTTGCACGCTCGGCCTCTGGATTGGCGAGATAGGCAAATAAGCTGCGATTGATGTTGGCCCCATCCACACTCGTGGTTCCGATGCTCAAGAATCCGGGCTGCAGGCTCTCGTGCGCCCGGCGGATAGACAAAACTGCCCCGTCAACTATCGCGCGGTAACTCTGGTGGTCGAAGCCCTTGCTTGTGATCTGCGGCAGTAGGTAATTCAACCATCCCCCGGGACCTGCATGCGAATGTGTGCCCGTGACAGCCAGGTTGCGGTGGCCATACACATCGTATGCTGGACCAAGCTGTCCAAGGGCTTCCAGGATGCCGTATCTCACGGCCGTATCGCCGGACTGAGTGTCGAGGACGAGATAGACGAACCTATCCCTCGGGTTGTTGACGTCGCCAACGATGAAGGCTCGCGAGTACAGCCGTTGGCGTAAGCCGGAGCCTACCTGGCTCGGATCGGCATAGCCCATCATGTTGATTTCAACAACCGGACCCGTGATATCTGCTTTCCCCGTGCCGAGCAGATACACATTCCCGAGCTTCAAGTCGAGAGATTGGGGCCCATGCTTGGCGCTCCAAGGCGCCACCCAGGAAGGAAGGAAGTCCTCCGAAACCATACATCTGAGCACTAAAGCGAAGACAAAAAGCGAGGCGAAGGCTAGTAGATGGAACTTTGTCACGGAACGTCTCGGAGGTGAGTGAGAGAGGTGATCGCTGGTCTTCCGTTGATTCTCGTCAAGAAAACTAGCTCCTTCTTCACAATCATCTTGTTCAGGACTCATCTTGCGAGAAGAGAAGCACGGAAGGAGATGGCAAATTCAAGCTTGGTAGAGGAACTTGGTCCCAACGACAACCATAAGCCTTCACATGCCGTCCCGTGACGACATGGCTGGCTAGGGTGTCGACACCTATCATTCCAGGAAACCAAAGAAACACCCGATTCGATGCAGGGGTAACTCCGATGAAGGGTAAGAGCTCCACCTATCTTCTCCAAATACACTAGGTACAATACCACAGCACACTGTTTCGCAACCATGCATAGTCTTTGCACCTGTCAAGGTTAGTAGATTGTGGGCATCCCACCCAAAGGCGACAGTTGTCAAGTTTGAGTTTGAAGTCGACAAGATTTGATGAGATACGCGTGCTTCGATGTCTATAGGGTCTCCGCTAATCTTAGAAGGCTGAGGTGCCTACCTATCTAACTAAATAGGTTACTTGTTCCGCAAGTACCCTTTTAGTCCTCGATGATGGTCGTCAACCACCGTAATATGCCCTCATGTGCGGACTTCCCTATTGGCTGAGGTTCGACTCGGAACTGAGATGGAGAAGAATGAAAGAGGGAGTTGAAGACGGGCAGGGAGGGAAGGGATGCGGTGTACTTATAAGGACCGGTGACTTGGTGAGTGAAGGGCCCAGTACCAGAGGCTTGCTGGTCGAGGTACAAAATGGTAATCCGAGCGTGGGCTCTGATTGGCTAGGCTTGGTGGAGTAAGCGGTGAGAACGAAGCAGAGGGCACCTGTTTTCCACCCAGTCTATGTTGCCCCGCAGTGGAGAAACAGGAACCTCTATTTATACTGTGTACTACCAAAGTACCGACAGAGCCAGGTTATTTTTGTGCTTGACTCCACATCAGATTCAATATCGCGGCGATTGATCTTAACGCAGCACAAAGAACGTCAAGGGGCCTGAACTGGTCCTACCGACATACAGAGACCTCTTCACCATGTCTGCGATCACCACAGTCCACGAGTCATTGCCATGTGAGTTTGCCCCCAGCCCCAGCTGCCTTCGGATCCCCCCAAAACTGACTTTTGACCCCCAGACATCGACTCGGAGCCCACCCCAGCCGAGCGCGCCGCCGCCGAGGCCCTCATAACCTCGGAGCGGGCCCTCGTCCCCGACGACCCCCACCACGCGCTCCTCCCGCCCGCCGCGACACCAAACTTCTCGCCGGCGATCCAGGCAGAGCTAGACCGCGCCGCCGCCAAGCAGCCCCTATCCGCGATCGACCTCTCGCGCTACGAGGAGCAAGACGACGGCCTCCCCACCCCCGCCGAGGTCTCCTCCGACCCGGCCGCCGCGCGCGCCCGCCTGGAGACGGCCCTGTCGCGGGCGGGCGCGTCGGCGACGTACCTGGCGGGGCGGCGGGCCCACCTGGCGCTGCTGGACAGCCACGGGCGGAACGCGTGGCTGGTCGGCAACTGGCAGCTGGAGGGGGAGCTGCGGGCGCTGGAGCGCGAGCTGGCGGCCGCGAGGCGCGAGGTCGACGTTGTCACCGTGGAGCGGAGGGCCGCGCAGGACGGGGTCGCCGCCGAGCTGAGGGGTCTGGAGGAGACATGGAGGAGGAGCGTCGGGAGGGTCCTCGAGACCGAGGTCGCTGCCGAGGGATTGAGGCGGGAGGTGTTGGAGCAGAGGAGGAGAATGGCTTGAAGTGCATACGCACTTTCCCCGCGGTTCGCCCTTCTGCTGGCACCGCGTCCGTCTTGGGAGAGGTGGGACGCGGGACGCGACATGGATACATTGTCACGGGTCGCGAGAGAGCACGCAAATACCGGGAGCCCCCGGGGTCGGCATGGTATATCTACCACCCACCCCCTGGATATCGCTCAATTCCACATACAGGCGTTCTAAAAGGGAATGGAAGAAAACGGACTCGGTTTATGCAGCATATATTTTTTCAGAGACTACAATCCCCTGTATTTTCCATAGGTATCTTAATCTCGACAAGGAAATGCCTTCGTGCAAATGAAGGTGGTGTGAATCCGTGAACGCCATCCAACAATGAGCAACACGACCTTCCCATTTAAACCCCGTAGCCCGGCCCCCGGTAGGCGTCTAATCAACCCAACCGTGGGCCATGTCTCATCAGATCCCTCGAGTTCATGCGGCAACATGTAGCGGATCTACATCCTCAACCCCCGATTTCACGCCCTCGTACTTGGTTCGTCTCATGATGCCCTCGACGGGACCGAGAAGCCTCTGGAACGCGGGCTTGCCCAGCGTCGCGACCTTGACTTGGGTCTTGCTGACCACACTGGCAGCGCGGGGGGCGTCGTTGAGAAGCGCGAGTTCGCCGAAGAAGTCCCCCTTTCCGTAATGCATCACCGGCTGAGGATTCCCACTCTTATATGCCTCAGCCTCGCCATCCTCCAGCAGGTAGAAAGAGGTCCCTGGTTCGCCCTCTCTTATGATGACGGTACCGGGAGGGAACTTCTGGCTCTCGAGAGCATCGGCAATCTTGGATCTCTCGTACGGGGTAAGCGTCGACAGCAGGGGCACTTCCTCGAGGAAGTTCTCGTACATGCGCCGGCGCGCGAATGTGGATTCCATGAGGATACGACGGAAGGTGAGTCTGTCAAGCGCCCACAGGGTGCAGTTCGCCTCGGTAGACACGACAGTTGCCGCACGGGGCGCGTTGTACATCAGGGCCAGCTCGCCAAACGATCCACCCGCCTCTATCGTGGCGACTATCTGGCCCAAGCCGTCGGGCCCAGGCTGTAGCATGCCGGAGGGGTTGACGTAGCAGTTGAAGCTCCCCTTCTCAACGACGTAGAAGTAGTCACCAGCATCACCTTGGGTAATAACCTGCGTGCAAAGGTTCAGCGCACAGCCGAACATGGCAAGTCGGAGCAACGTCGGCAGGGGTACTCCACCGGACGTGACTCACCTTGATATCTTTCGTGGGGATTGGCTTCTCTACAAGCGCTCCAAGAATCTGAGCGCTCTGCTCGTCATCGAGATGGCTGAAGAGGAAATTGCCTCCAATTGCCTTTTTCAGCCGCTCTATCTGCTCCGGCGTCTTGGGATGTACGGGCGGCGACCAATTATCGTAGGTATCGGCGACGGGCTTGAGTGATTCTGCCGAGACCGACGTACGGCGGGCAAAATTATACTGCGCCGGATAGCTCTCCGGGTTGGGAGGCCCCCTGAGCCGAGATGACAGCCCGCCGGACGCAGCATCGCCACCAAAGGCGCCGGACAAGACAGCACGGGAGGTTGGGGGCGGTTCTACCCCAAAGGTCGTCGCCGTGGGCGAGGCGACTGTGTCGTTCTCTTCCTCTTCGATGACATTCTGCATACCGCCAGTGTGAAGTCTGCCCGAACCAAAGGGGTTCGAGTTCGCTCCAAAGGGGCTTGTGAAGCCGGGGCTTGACATGTTTCTAGAAGCCGCGAGCAGGCGTGCTTCAGCAAGTTTCGAGACTGAAAAGACGGCAGAGAGGTGTCCGATGCGAAGCGGAGAAGAAGGGATGGGCAGCCGGTTCGCTTCGAATCGAGAGAAGGTGTCGGTCGAAAACTTGTATCTGCCCTGAGTAAGCTTCTGGGGAAGACGTTTGAGTTCCAGCTGAAGGGCCGAGTGAGAATCTGGTGGAATGTGTTGTGGTGTCTGTTTCAAAAAGGATGATGAAAGGGAGAGACCAAATGGCCGACAGTGCTAACCCAGCTGGGATGAGTGTTGGGCAGGTAGATACCTACCTAGTTGCGTTTCTTTGTCTCTTCGACGTTGGACCTTACGGTTGGACCTGCCGAAAGTTAGCAAAGGAAGGCCGACATATGGAACGCACAAGAGATGAGGATCATCGCAAGAGACTGGGCAGAAGCCACGAAGAAACCGAGGTGAGGGTGGTAACACAGGCATTTACAACAGACAAAGAATATCGATTGTGTTTCGCTGCTAGAGCTACGGGTATATCTGGGACGACGAGACGCGAAGCTGGATGCTAGAGTTTTGGGAGTTTGGGATTTTGAAAGCCAACCAAGTCATTCGCAAGCGAGCTCCACAGGGAATGTCAAAGAAGCAAAGACGTAGGTAGATCGAGAATACACCTTACCTGCTGGGCGGCTTGCTGTCGAAATAGCACAGGCGGTCGAGATTACAGCTAGGTCAGCCGGTTTCAATAACAAAGACTCGGGAGGAGATAATGGCACTCGCGGCTGCCAAGAGTGAGTTCCAGATAATGGAGCGGTGGGCAAGCGCAAGATTGAGGGGTGCCGAATATAGGAGGAATGCGACCAGTGACAAAGTATGTGCAGGAGGAGGGCAGGAGCAGGTCAGGAGGAGGGTGATGATGATGAAGAGGGCAGGCCGGGGGCGAGGGGTTTGGGTAGGAAGCTTAGTGTCGTTGACAGGAGACAGAGAGATCGCTGTGGGTGGGCAATCAAATGACGGAAGAAGCGATGGAATTCTGAGCCAGTCGAGAGTGAAGCTTCGACTGCACTACGTCGAAGGTGGGGAAGTTGCCCAGCTAGCAGCAAACCCCAGCCTTCCCCCCCTGCCAGTCATCTCGCCATCGAACACTTCTAGAAGACGCACGGTCCGTTTTGTGGCCCTGTTCCACACCCGGCACACCCGCCTTATCTTCGATGGTCAGAGCTTCGCAACGTCTTCTGAGTGCTTCCGTTGCAGTGCGGCTGCCCTTTCCAGGAGTCTCGTCATCCGAAAACTTAACTGGTCTGGTCTTAGCTCAACCCCGCCGCCATCGCCAGCAGCTGTCAATCTTAATCTTCTATGCTCAATCTTCAGCCGTCAATTCAGTCCGATTGCCTGACAAAAGACCGCTAAGTCCCACCGTAGGTATCCTTGAACGTAGGTATTCCGTACTGTACCTAGACATCCCTATTTGGGTGTTACGGAGATCATTTCAAACCCTGCACCTCGAAACAGGTTTGATTTGTGCACATTGAATACCTACTGTGTGGTAGGTAGGTACCTAGCCGTCGAGGTTGTGTGCCACCAGTGGCACACGACGTTTGCCCCCACAACTTACTCTACAAGAGTGCGCCATTGGCGTCCGTCCCACCTTGGTTGAATCGATGAAACGAAGCTACGCATACGTAGTATTGTACATAGAAGAGGATATTTAGGTATCCGGCGTATCGGAGTATGCCGTATCGCGTCCCCAAGCACGGCACAGACCATTAAACCACGTGACTTCCTCGTAATCCAAAGGGGAAAACGAAACTGCGACAGTGGCTTAGCTCCGTGCGCTGAATAACACCCTGGATCCTCGCCACACCTATTGCGCATCTCCCCAGGGTTCAGAATGGTGTTCATGGATTGACTGAACTCCGACTTTCGCGCCAAACACGGTCTCCTCACATCCTCTCCATCAACCTAAGTCGCCATGGCCGATACTCCGCCGCGAGGAGGTCACGCTGACTCCATCACATCCCAAGATTCCGGCCCTAAACAGGATGAGAAGAAGAAGAGTCGCAGGCCTGCGAGTACGTCCTCCGGAGATGCCGCCAGGGGCTGTCCTGGCCACCAGCCTGCAGAACCAACTAACCATTGCTTTTCTTTACTATAGATAATGCATTCCGACAGCAGAGATTGAAGGCATGGCAGTATGTTTTCCCCTCCTAACGGTCTCCCCTCCCTTCCGCTTTTGCTCGTCGGAGGATACTGACCCTGTTGAAAGACCGATCCTGACGCCTAAGACTGTCCTACCGCTGTTCTTCACAATCGGCATCATATTCGCACCGATAGGAGGATTGCTTCTGTACGCGAGTGCTCAAGTATGTTGCATCCCAAGTTCGTCAGGCGAAGAAGACGCTGATCATAGTTGGTTTCCAGGTCAGAGAGATCAAGCTCGACTACACGACATGCACCACGGATGCACCGAGGGACGAATTCAAGCCTATGCCAGACGGCAATGTCTTCTCGGCATTCAAGACATCTGGGAATGACACTGATTGGCTGCCTCCGAGGTGGCGCGCGAGCGATGTCAACCTCACGTTCGACGGCGTTGAGAATACATATAATCAGTGCACCCTCGAGTTTTCGATACCCGAAGACATGGGCCCCCCGGTACTCTTCTATTATCAGCTCACGAACTTCTACCAGAACCACCGTCGATATGTCAAGAGCTTCAATGACAAGCAGCTGAAGGGTGATGCGGTCAGTTCGGGTACCATCAACGGGTCGGACTGCACTCCTCTCACCCACGACCTTTCGGGCAGCGGGAAACCCATCTATCCATGCGGTCTGATTGCCAACTCGATGTTCAATGACACCTTCTCGAACCCGCTTTTGCTGTCTGTTCCAGTCAGCGGTGATAGTGGCAAATTGGACAACCAGACATATCCCATGAACAACAACTCCGGCATAGCCTGGTCCTCTGACGCTGCTCTGTATGGGAAGACCAAGTACAACCTCTCTGAGATTGTTCCACCTCCAAACTGGGCCGTACGGTTTCCGAATGGCTATACTGAGTCAAACCCACCCCCTGACCTCGAAACGTGGGAGGCGTTCATGGTATGGATGCGGACCGCGGGCCTTCCGACTTTCAGCAAGCTTTATCAGCGCAACGACGACAAGGCCATGATTGCTGGCAGGTACCAAATTGAGATCGTCAATCGTAAGTATAAGCAGGATAGAATGCATTGCCACCCCCTACCCCCAGCGCTGAGGCTAATACAGCGGCGCAGATTTCCCCTCTGAGGTGTTCCACGGGACCAAGTCCATCGTCATCTCGACCCGCACAGTCATGGGCGGCCGAAACCCCTTCCTTGGCATTGCTTATATTGTTGTCGGCGGTATCTGCATTGTGTTAGGTGTCGTGTTCACAGTGACTCATCTCCTCAAGCCCAGGTATGTTGCCTATGGTATTCCTTCTTTATTCTTCTTGTGCTTCCTAGCCCCGTTTCCCGGCCAGTGCTGACTTGGATGCCTTACAGAAAACTGGGTGATCACACCTACCTCTCCTGGAACAACGCTCCTGGTGCAACCAAGCAACCTGGTGGCTCCGGCGGCGCAATTGCTTCTGGCCGTGATCTTGGGCGTCCTGGCGAGGCGTAGGATTCCCGTGATTATGCCCCTAAACATGGTCAAGACAGCTTGCGTCGGCCCCTTCGGCCCCTGGCTACCTCTATTGTGTCACAGTCCTTTGACGGTATCGCTAGCACAAGCCCGATTCTGTCTCCTCGCCCCTGTGCACGTCCTGGCATTCTAAGAGATGATGGGCTGCGGAGTGGACTGCGGAGCGTGTCGGAAAGTACTACAGGACCCTCGTCTGACGGGAGCATGGGCCCAATCATCACACCCTTTGACATCCTACAACGTAAGTAGGAATCAAACCCCCTGGCCTGGTGGCACCTCGAGGCCAGCCAGCCTCGGCAGGGAAAAACGATCTTGGGAACTAGCCAACACCATGTTTTTGTATGATTATGCTGTCCTCGGACAGGACTCTTTTTCCTTGGCTTCCAACGCCCGGCAATACCCAAGGGTAGGAAGCTCCAACAAGCATGAATTGTGGTATTTTATGGATATGGTCATTTTCAAACAATTTCCTTGCTTCTTTCCTTGTTCAATCATGTGTTTGTGTTCCGCTCTGAACACCAAGAAAGGAGACGGTGTTGGGCAGGGCAACGGGGTTTGGGTCCAAGTGATGTTGTGTCTCTAGCGTACGGAGTTATATGGTATTTCTCAAAAAACGAACAGTCTTCTAAACGTGCTTCTCCATCAATCAATCGCACCGCCTACCTAGATACCTACTCTATCTATTGCCCTTGGCCCCCGAAGGCGCATCGACCCGCCGCTTCTGGAGCGACTTCCCAAGCGCATCCCGCACCATCGGATCTGCGCGAATCGTGTTCTGAACCAGCCATTCCTTGACCGTGCCCCTCATGTTACTCAGGGCCTCGTCATCGCCGGCGAAGGGGGCCATCTCCATCTGCAGAAGCCGCTCCGTGTCGGCATCCAGCCCCTTCGCCGACGCCTCTACCCTGTCCAGGGCTTGCCTGAGCAGTAGCTCCTCGTCCTGCCCCTTCTGGCTGACCACGATCTTGCCCTCTGACGTGTCCGCGCCAAGGAGGGGACCAATCTGCGAGAAGGCGATGTAGATGGTGATGCAGAGCTTCCTGGCGAGGGCGATGATCTGGAAGGGCAGGTACGGTGTCCGCGCCGGGGTGACGAGCCGGAGCAAGGGGTTGACGACACGCTCGAAGAGGGCGGGCCTGCCGGGGCGGGTGACGGTGTGCAGCTCAAAGACGAACAGCGAGGCGAGGACGAGCCAGCGCTCGTGGCGGGCCCAGTCGAGGTAGCCGAACAGGCCGAGGCCGTACATGGCGGCGGCGGCGACGGCGTAGTAGGGGACCAGGTTCTGGGCCCCGCGGATGACGAAGTCGCGGACCGTCCGACACCGGTCCCACGACACGACGGCCGGGCCGAAGCGCTCGTAGGCGAAGCGCCGGGCCGGGTCGGTGAGCGTCTCGCTTGCAGTCTTGAGGTGGACGAAGTAGGCGTTGACGTCGGCCGGGTCGGAGCCAGGGGTGTTGGAGGCTTTGTCCGGGTGGTAGAGGGCGGCGAGACGCCGGAAGCGGCTCTTGATGTCGCGCTCCGAGGCGTCGGGCGAGACGCCCAGGTCGCCGTAGTAGGTGCCCGCGCGCCGGAGCTCGTAGTCGGCCTCGTAGATGGTGTAGAGCAGGTAGAGCGACACCACGAGGATGTGGATGCGCCGCCGGTGCTCGGCGAAGCGTGGGCTGCCCGGGCGCGGCTTCGGGTCGCCGGCTCGGATGGCTATGCCGTAGTAGATGGTCTGGACCCAACCGGTGACGAGCTGTTGCGGGAGCGGGAAATGGGTTGTTAGCCTGGTCTGCCATTATTCTCGAGACAGACGGGAACTTGTAAGGGACAAGAGGAAACTCACGTTGGGCAGAAAACTCCAGCCTATCAAGGAAAGGAAGTCAGACATGATGAGCGCGCTATAATGTCATGACAGAAAAGGAAGAAATGAAAGGCTGAAGGGAAAGAGGGAGGCCGTTTTGCGAAGGTAAGGTCGGTTGGTTGCTCTGCATCGCTGTCGCAAGGTGTCATTGTCTACTTCTGGCGAAAGTTAATCATCCTGGCGGGGTGGCAGTTAGGGGCACAGGCGCCTGGGGGACCAGGGGGGACCACAGTTAGGTATGTACCTAGGCACAGTACCTACCTCCTGTATTGGCCTGAATCTAAAAGTATTTCTACGACATACTCATATTCCTATTTTATTCGAAGGTTCTCAAGGCGAATCAGTTGCCCAACAGACTCCAAATTCGAAGACACCTGACTGCACACCCCCCAGCCAATGGCATTGATGTTTCGGGAGAATCAACATTGTTCTTTTGTTCATTGGTTTTCGAGCGCACAGACGGTTCCTGGCTTCGCACGTCGCGGGTGGTCGCAGGTACTTGGCGCGCTGGAGCCAAGTCGCGTCCACGCGTGTCAATACGCGCTTTCGTTATCAGTAAAGTGCCACGCCCCATCCCGCCTCACAGTTTGGTCCTTCTCCAACTTGACCACGCCTTCTGTTTGAGTCTATTATCTGCTGCTCTGCACTTGCCTTTTGTCTGCCCAATTGTCAGAGCTTCCATTTGAAACTACCACCTACTCTCGTCGTTACTGCCAACCGAGTTTTAATCCTGCACAATGCCTACCGCCGTCTCGCGTCAGGTACGGGCGAGCCGCGGCAAGAGCAACTTACTCTCGAAGCAGAGCTCCACGAATATAACCAACTTTGCCCGTGTTTCGAAACTTCAGACCTTTGGCAAGGAAGCCGCAAAGCAGGCGTCACTCCTTGGAGCAGGAGGCTTTACCTCATCCATCGAAGTAGTCCTCAGCTCAAGGAAGAGGAAGGCAGATAGCGACCTCGACTCCCCACAAACAACCCAAAGAATAGACCTTCCGCCTTCATCAACAAGATCATCAAAGCGTCCGTGTCGGGAGGTCTCAGACATACAATCGATACCGAGTTTATTCGTCGCTTCCAAGAAGAGAAAGGCCATCAGCTCGGACGACGACAAGGAGAACGTGAGCGAGGTAATCTCGGCTGATCTTTCATTGCTCGACTCCCTAAGCACGAAGCAACTCCACCAGAAGCGTCCTCGAGGGTCGGATTCCGGGGCGTCAGCTGCAGCCCAGGCTGAGGCGCTTCTTGAACGCCTGAATTTGCAGTCATCTCCACGCAAGCGATCGCGGGTCCTCGACTCAAAAATCCGAGAGCGGCTGCCTGACGAAATCCTTCACCTGATTAGTCTTCAAGCCTCATTCTTGAAGGCTCTCAGCCTTCACCACGCACACAATGGCGCCCACGTCCCCGTCGATTTGCGGGCCATCTGCCCCAACGTTGCCCAGTCGTGGGGGCGACGGAAGGTTGTCCTGGAAGATATCAGCCGCTGCGTCGGTGTCGTAGCCTGGGAGCGCCCGGACAAGAGCGACACTACGTCTTTCCGGAACCCACTCCTCCTATCGGACTACGGACAAGGGAAGATATGCATTGAGCTGGACCCGGGTGCAGAAGCAGGTCCCCTGAAGGAGGAAAAAATCAATGCCAGATTTGAGGAGAATCTCCGGCTGCTCTGGTCTGCTCGCAAGGAGTCGGACGTCAAGTCATTTATTGCCAACTTGCCGAAGGCCATCCCGCGTGCTTCCGCCACGAAGAAACTACCATTGCTCTCCAAGGGCCAGAAAACATTAGACGAGTTCAAGAAGGATATTGTCAAGAAACAGCAGGAGAAGGAGGAAGCTAAGGCACGAACGGAACCAGCTCTCAATTCGGACGGGTCGAAGATGAGCCTTATCGACCGAATCCGATTCAAGGAGCTCCAGCTTTCACAGGCTGCCCAGCCTCCCTCCGCGGCCGAACTACAGCGGCGAGCGGCACTCCAGAGGGCGGACGATGTCGCGGGAGTCATCGGCATGCTCAGCATGGCGACGGCGGGGGGCCGGGCGCGCATCTCCTTCACCATGGCCGCGGTCCTAATCAAGCTGAAGGACTCTCTCCGGATCCCTATCTCGCACGAGGAAGGCGCCTGTTGTGTCAGGCTTCTCGCCACCGAAGTTGCCCCCCAATGGTTGAGAGTGGTGACGATCGGTGGGAAGGAGAATGTGGTGATCCAGATGGCTTCTCAGCCTAGCAAGGCAGCGATTCAGGACAGGGTCAATGTTCTTTCTACATAGGGGCGGCATGCTTTTCTTCCGTACATGGGATTTGTTGTGTCTTGGTGTTGGATGGCAACCAGATTCAAGTCGGTCACCGTAGGGCTGCCACAACTGCACAATGGGAAATAGGAGTAGTAGTTTGGGAAGGGAAAGAAATGTCTAGTTGTTTTTTTTTTGCCCGTCACACATCTATATGATCGTTATCCGTGAGACCCGTTTCCGCCATGCAACTGCAATAAAAAGCCATTTCCCCAAGGTCGAAGCTAAAATGTCGAAGGGTGTTCCGCAACTGCGTTCGCACAGCCGCTTTTAGCTCAACCTCAAAATCATCCCCCCCGTTCCCTGTCCTTCCCCCCCCCGGAGAGAGAAACCAGATCACTTCTTCGCAAACCTGGGCTGCCCGATGTCGCTACCCCTCAGCTTGACGTTGAGGACGCGCTCCATGGCGGACAGGACCTTCTGGTCAGGGGTGGCGGTGCCGCGCTCGAAGTCGGCGACGATGGCAGGGGTGGTGTTGCACTTTGTGGCGAGATCCTTCTGGGTCAGGGCCTTGGGCTGGAAGTCGGCGCGCGCCTTGGAGATGGCGTTGCCGACCTCCTTGCCGATCGTCTTAGGCTTGACGATATCGTCGGACCGGTCCACCTTTGTCAGGCGCTGGCCCTCGACGCCGGGTTTGGAGGCCTGTGGGGGAGGAGATTGGTCAGCACGTTGTACGGGATGTCATGCCCCGAGGTAGTAGGAACGGGGGGCAGTGGCAGTAGCAGGGAGAGGCAAATTGCATGGGGAATTGGGACTTACTGTGTTGCCTGCTCCAAACTTCTTCTCTGTGCCGATGATGGAGCCGCTCCGCTGGGCGGCATTGAGTGCGCTCTTTCCCTTGACGACGGTCTCGCGCTGCGAGGCGCCACCTCGGGCTTTGCTTCCAATCTTGGTGACGGATTCCCAATCGTCAGACATGTTGGATGTCGGTGTGGCGGGGGCTGAGGTTTGAGTGGTTAGATGGTATGGGTGTCGAGAGATGTTCAGGTTCGGATTGATCTGAGTTTCTGCTGAATTCTGAAGACCAGGAGGGTGATTTCGGCGGATTTATATATCTCAGTTCTTTGTCAAGTCAATATCTTTGGTAACAGAGAGTAAGGATGAAAGATAAAGGATAAATAATATTCACAGAACGTGATGGTTGGCTATCGAAGTTCGCCCGATTTAGGCCAATGACTCAATCGGAGAACCAATATTAGGTAAGGTAGGCTGAGCACCGAAAGCCGGGGGCCGCCACTTGGCAAAATCTTGACCCCTGTGTGGGGTTTAGGGGGCCAGGGGCTCTTCATGGTCGCCCTTTGCTTAGTAATGCCTGTCTCACAACATCAGCTATCAGCTCCTGAGTCCTTCCTTTCACAGCTCCAGGCGAGAAGAGAAGGAATGCAGCCAGGGAATCAGCTGGGTCCGTTTTTATGCGAAAATGACGACCGGTTCGTCATCCCTCTTCAATTTTGCTCTTGCTGCTTTTGGATACCTAGCACTCTTTCAAGGCGTACTCGATATTGTCCTATTAGTCGGACTCTGTGCCGTGAGGAGCAGTCCTTTGATCCAACAGTTGCTTGAGACACAATTCCTCGTGTACTTCCCTCGGGCTCTCGAGGGCATCTTTGTTTCCTTTGCCCTCCTCCAAGTTTGTCGAGTCTTCTGGTCAAGATCCCCAACCCCAAAATGGAGTGGCATTGGCAAGGTGCTCCTGTTCCCTTGCCAGACTACCCATTCAAGGTTCTTCCCTGAGAAACATTCATTTACACACTCGTATCTCGTTGTTGGAATTCCCGTGGGTTGGGAAGGTGCCGCTGGCGGCTTAGTCTCAGCGGGAGTCAAGCAGAAGGGGAACAGTGGGATCTTGGCATGGTTTTCTTTGAACCAGAGTCAAAGGAAAGGGTGGTACGATACGGATGCTGGAGATTACCTCGATCGGGGAAAGTCTCATCTCGGGCTGCGAGGCAAGCTAGATGAGTTCCTCAAAACTCAGGTGGGTGTTTGGTGTGCTTGAGCATGTGCATGTGTATGTGTTGATATTAACTAACCTGTTCCAAGGGTGTTGATCCGGCTAGCTTTCCACATGCCTATCTGATCACGGCTGCCAGGTTTCTTGGCTATCACTTCAATCCCGTTTCTTTTTGGTACCTGTACGACTCAGACAAGTCCCTGGCAGCTATGATATTAGAAGTCAACAACACATTCGATGAGAGGCGGATGTATTTCCTGACGCCTGCAGATGAAGACGCGATGGCCGAAGTTGAAGGATCCCCCACCTCGAGCCACACCGTTGCATCAGGCAAGATCCCACGCACGGTAATGAAACAGGTCTGGCCAAAAGAACTACACGTCTCTCCGTTTAACTCGCGGAAGGGGTCTTACTCTTTGGTTGCGTATGACCCCCTCCGCCCCTCCGAGCCTGGCTCTCGGTTGATCAACAACACCATTACGCTGAAATCCTCGAAAGGCCATGGGAAGATCGTTGCTCGGCTCTTCTCCGATGGCCCTCCCATTGACCCAGCGTCTCTTAGCTGGTGGCAGAAACTCAAATTCCTGGCGTCTTGGTGGTGGGTCGGCTTTGTGACTTTCCCTCGAATTGTCAGCCAAGCTTGGGTCTTATTCTTCCGGCGCAAACTCCATGTGTGGTACCGGCCCGAGCCCCTCAAGGAGAGCATCGGCCGCAGGGCGGATGGAACCGAGCGCCGTTTGGAGCTTGTTTTCAGGAGGTATTTGCGACATCTGGTTGAGACATCTGACATACCCGTCGCTGTGAAATACATTCCAAGTGGACTATCAGACGGCGCGGAGGAGTTGATGCTACCAAGGGTGCTACGCGACTCAGCCTCAGATATCCAGGCCCTAGACTTCAAGGTCTTGACTCCGGTGTTCTACTCGAGGTTCGCCTGTTACGCTCACGATCTTGAGGCAATCTTCTGCGAGTTCAGGGAGAACTGCACAGTGTGGATCTCCCATCCGGAGATGATACCAAGGCTATTCTTGAAGGCACCCTTGCCTCCGCTGAAGACATCCAACTACGTCGACTTTGCCTACTTTAAAGCAATCCAAAGGCTGCGACGGAATCCGGAGAAAATCGAGAGGCCCCTCACATCTAGCGCTGCAGCTACGGCGAGGGGCCAGGAGGCTGACATACGAGGCTTTCGCATGTCTTCGATGGACAGTTACGTTCTGACAAGAGAGGAAACCGAGACCAAAAACACATACAGAAGCGCCGTCCTAAAACTGTTTATCGCAGATAGGATGTCCCTTGGCTTTATGCCCTTGCTCGAGACTCAGCGCCTCGCGATACAGATGTGTATGGCGTGGATCATATCAAGTGCTGTCAAGCAGGCGATCTTGCAGGCATCCTGGTACGGAAAAAGCCAGCTCACAGCTTGATTCACCGAAAGACAAGCGCACGCCAGCACCCATATCGTCACATCCAACATTCCGGATTCGGCCTGGCAGGCGGAAGTTCCCATTCGGCGGATTGCGGGAGGTTCTGACTCGAAGCTCCAACCCCCACAGGTGCTGATGGCGAAGAGTTGCAGTGTGTATATTACATGCTATATAGGAGACTCCGGGGAATACGGGGATTTGGAAATGCGCCCATGAACTGTTATATTCCAAATATCAGAGGCCTCTCGGCGGAGTGGGCATTTATTACCTGATCTCCGCGGGCATCCAGCACCAACACGGTATCAATTGGCAGCCCGGTCAACCAGATGTGATTGCGTGAGCTGTCCGAACGCCGAGATCCCGGAATGATGTCATGCCAAATACCGCCCAGACAGTTGGGTCCCAACTCCCCAACAAGTATCTCTAATAAGACGGTAAGACTAAAAAGTGTGTTTTGGTGTTGGGTCATGCAGGGCTGTCTTGTCACTGCATTAGCCCAACAGCCGAAGTGGTGTGTACTACCTATGTCAGAATTACCATATTCCAAATACCATACATACGCACGAGCATGGATGTAGCGGAGATGAGCTCAGACAAGTACAATGACAAATAGGCTTACCCGACGCCTGTACAGTACACCCGACATTACGTACAGACTCCGCTAACGTTGCTTTGAATTATTGTTAAGAAACTTGAATCCTGGGAAGACTTGCAACATGTGATGGATCCTTGTTGCGGCACACCTTTTAAGTTTGATCTTCTCAACACATCACTACAGACCTGTATTATTCTGTCTGTACAGAGCGATAAACCTTCGTATACGTATGTAATGTATAATGGACTTTGGATTGGCCCCCAGCATTTCCGCGGGGCCAAAGTTTGGATGGAGGGGCGGGTGGGACAAGGAACAAAGTGAGATCTGACAGAACCTAGAATGCATGTAGTGTCCGTTATCAGTGTCCCTCCCTTGAGCTATCAGCGCCCCCGGTTGGCCCAAGATTGCAACCCGATCGCTTGCATGCTGCAGCTCACAAAAAAATAACCGCCTACCCACTCATGGCAAGGAAGCTAAGCTTTGTCGCGCCTCCATCGAGTCTCGGGTGCCCTCTCAAGTACTTAAATGAGAACCCCGCGTCCGCTCCCTCACGTATGAGCTTCCTGGTCTTCCAAATATCATCCAAATACCCAATCGAAAGCTCTATTTGATTTGTCGGCCTCTCTTGGTTCTGGTTATCTGCCCCGGAACAACAAACACACAAACAGAACCCAGAACACCGTAACATCCCTTCCCGTCGTTGCCAACATGGTTCTCACCGGACACTGCCTCTGCAAGGCCGTCACCTACACTGTCGATGTTGATGCGCCCTTGATCACTGGGTACGATCATTGCGATGATTGCCAGCGTCAATCGGGCTCGACCTACTGTGAGTTGCCTTTCTGAATTACCCCTCCACAGCTTAGGGCTCGAAGAACCGCAGCGTAACAACCCCGCCCCCGCGTTTCACCACCTATCAAATTGTCAAACCACGACGTCACAAATTTCTGGCAGAAGGAGCAACTCGTGCAATTCGTCCCCTCTCCGTTTTGGTTTTCCCCCGTACAGAACAGTTATGCTGATCTATAAATTGCAACAGCCCTCGTGTGCGTCGTCCCAAAGGACAAATTGACTCTGAACGGCCCGGTCAAGAAGTGGAAGGGTGTGGGCTCCTCGGGCCAAGCCGTCTGGCGACTGTTCTGCTCCGACTGCGGATCCCCAATTGCCCACGACCCCGATGCCGCACCCGAGATCATTGCCCTCAAGGGTGGCACCCTCGACTCTGAGATCAAGAAGAACCTGAAGCCTGTAAGATATTTTTTGTCTTTGTGTCCCCTTCTCGACTCCCGCTCGGCCGCCTTCCGAGAGCAGGGTGAAGTTTGAAAGTTATGAAAATTATAGCCACATGCTAACCTGGCGTCTTCAATCAGGACACCGAGATCTGGACTGTCGGCAAGCTGCCCTTCTGCCAGGAGAAGCTTGCGAAGCCATTCGAACACATGCCGCAATAGAAGCCTCCACAACAGTAGCGGTGCTTGTGAATTGAAACTGGTATCAAGAGAACTGGTCGTCCCACAAGGCAAAAATGATGAAAAATGGAAAATACAGAAAGGTACATTATATAGGCTTCAACCAAGACAACTCCGTCCCCTTTCTCTAAGCCCTTCTGTTGCAACCATCGATGCTACTACCTGCGTGACTGCCAAACTCATTCGTGCCCCCTGGTGCTGCGAGACCAAAGTGGCCGTCCCAGCGCGCGCCAAATTGGTCCATCATAAAACGAGCGCAACGATTGCCCCCGCGGTCCCGACTAGGAAGCACCAGTCCATCGCCCTCCCGAACAAGGCGGCGTTGGACTCCGTAGACGAGGACGGCCCGCTGGCAGCCGGAGTCGCGGTCGTCGAAGCCGGACCACCTTTCCCCCCTACGCCCACGGTGCCGGACCCCTTCGCCGACTTTGTGCCGAGCGGGGAGTCGTCGGCGGCGTCTTGCGCCGAGGTCGGGGCCCTGGTGGCGGTGAGCAGGGCGGTGGCGGTGGCGAGGGCGGCGTCGCCGGTGATGCGGCCGGGCCCCTGGCGGGCGGTGGCGGTGTAGTAGAGGCTGACGGCGGTCTGGCCGGGGGCGCGGTCGGAGGCGACGGTGGCTCCCGTGGCGGGCGGCGCGGCGGTGGCCTGGACGGCGGCGAAGACGCTGGCGAACTCGGCGGTTGGGGCGGCGGCCGCGTCGCAGAAGGAGCTCGAGGCCGCGGCCAGGACGCCCATGTACTGGCCGACGTCGCGCTCGGTGCGCTGGCCGTGCAGGAACAGGCACGACAGGCAGGCGGGCCAGTCGGCGAAGTAGGAGCCCCGGCACATGCACTGCTGGTGTGCAGCAAGGAAGAGCGGGCCCGTGCCGTTAGGCGTGCACATGGTCTCGATGGTCTCGATCTCGACGCACGGAGGCACCGTGTCGCCCACCTGCCGCGTCGCGGGCTTGCACACCGAGTCCTGGTAGTCGCGCCGGAGGATGGCCGCCGCCACGGGCGCCAGGGGTGCCGCCCACCTCGCCGCCGCCCGCCCTGGTGCCGCCGGGGCCGGATGGTGTGACGCCGCGGCCGCGGGGGAGGAGATGCCGACGACCGTGAGTAGGAGGAGGACGACGAGGCGGCGGAGGATGTTAGGTGTGGCTGAGTATGCCGGCGGCATACTGCCAGCCAGCATTGCGGATCGGGCCATGACGGGCAAAAAAAAAGGGGGCCCCGAGAGAGGCGTGGGAACCGGCGAGAGAGCAACGTCAACGGGCGCCTTCCCAAGCTGAGGGTAAGAGGCGCGAGCTTGGGAGTAGGGATTCTGCAATGCAGCCAAGAGGCAACCGCGAGAATATGTCTCGGAAACGAGCGCCTCTTCGCGCCGCCAAGCTCGCGAAAACAGGCAATAAATCAGAAACGAGCTCTCTCCCTTGGACACTAGTCGATACTCGATTACGGGGTCTCGCGTGCGGGCATTCGCAGAGCAAACGAAAAGTTCCACGAGCCTACATTTGGATGATACCGCGGCAACTTCGGGCCTGAATTGTCATTGGCTTAGTTAATTGTTAGTCGGCGGGAGGAGTGGCAGAAGCGTGAGAGAGAGACGCGCGTGAGCGACGGAGGAAGGACGAGACGAGGGAAGACGGCCATTTTACCCGCATTGAGAGTTGCGGAGTAGAGATTCCGTCTGGCCGAATCTTGCCCAGCCCTGCCTGAGCTATAAAGCAATGATGTTTCCCGCTGTCCCTGGGGTTTTTGTCATCTGACTGTCGACCCGCCAGGGTTATGGCTAATATATATATGATATCGCAGGACCCCGGAGCTTCAACCGCGCGGGAAGCAGTGTGAGAGGAAGAGAAAAAGAGTACGAATTGGCCGTTGTCTTAGAATGCCACCAATTCCAGTCTGACCGCAATAATTACCAAGCAGTCGGTCAGAGCCCGTCGTCCACGGGAAGTATTGTTTTTTTCTTAATATATCGACGTGGTAGCGGTCAACGCCAACGGTCTTCAATGCCACCCTAGCCAGAGCCTCAACCTTGGAGAGTCGGCTGCCAGCGGGATGCCCAAGAGAAGCAAACAAGTTCAGGTTCCAAGTAAATTCAACTTAAATGGGGGTTACGGGGTGTATAGTCGCGTCCCTGAACTCCATCGTTATTAGACATAGTCGTGAAAGTAGATGCAGGTTTTGGTGGCCTCTCTCGAAGTCAGGATATATGACTATTCTTATATACCCCAGGGGTCACCAAGGGAAGGGGCCTGAATAGGATAGGTATATCGTTGTAGCCCTAATAGGCTAGGACCTACTACTATGCAGGTAGGTCGTCAATACAGAGATAGCCTCAGTTTTGCCAAAAAGGGCCGACTGCACATGTTTGCGCATGTTGCACGTCAAAGTGTACCATGCCGTGTTTGAATCGGCCTGCACAATTAGATGTTTAACATCAGACTCCTGCCTTGACGCTGCTTGTCCCCGACACGGCCAACAATCCCTCAGGGGCTGACAGTAGAAATTGCCCCGAGGACCAATGCCATGTCATACACCCCATGTCCTCTGGAGAAGGTCCACCAATGTTTCCCCGACATCAAGAAAGGAAGACCCCGTTCATTCAGGTGGCCTATTGCGTCAAGAGGCTTCTGGCCCACGAAAGGCGCGGGCTGTCGGGGCTGAAAGAGGTGGCTTGGAGCTACTTCGCGATCCCCCCATGTCCCTCACGTAAGCTTTGTTGTGCCACCTGGGAGCTTCAGCAGCTATGAGGCCCATAAATGTCGGCAGACTCGATGGGATCAGTGACTTGGTCTCATACCCGGAGGCATCAGAACTCTCGCTTGCTTCGAAATGCGAGTCTTCAGCTGTCTAGTCCTTGCGCTGGGCCTCGCCCACTCTGGTCTTTGCCAGGACCTTGTCTCGGCACTATCCAAGTATCCAGAGCTCTCTTCCTTCTCACAGCTTCTTAGCAACTTGCCCGGGGGTGTGGAATCAATCCTCCCCAGCGGACTCGTTCCAAATTCCACGGAGCGAGTTACTATCTTGGCACCAAACAACGCGGCCTTGCTGAGTTTCGCCAACTCAACCGGTGGGCCAAACATTGCTGACCTTCCCGCCGACCAGCTTCTGGCAGTCTTGAAGTACCATGTCTTGGCGGCTAAGCTGACCGGCAAGGAACTGACTGCCACGGAAAGCCTCATTGTGCCGACCTTGCTCCGGGATCAACAGTACAACAACAGGTCAGCCGGTGCTGACCTGGTCAACGCATACGGCCCCGAGGCTGCGCTTGGGCAGGTCATCTTTGCCTCCAAGGACCCGATCAACGCGGTCAAGGCCAGACGGCGCCAGACTGTTAGCGTGTACCTCCGCGGTGGCAATGGCCGAGGCGCCGGACTAAACGCCGTCGATGCCCAGTGGGCTTTAGGCTACTTGCAGATTGTTGATTCGTGAGTCCCCAATGCAGGAACAGAGTCTTGGCCTTCGAGAAGTCGCAGAGAATGAATGCCTAACCTAAGCCGACCCCTGACTCAGTGTCCTCGTGCCTCCTCAGCCATGCGATGTCACCATCAAGGGCCAAGACACATTGTCATCTCTCGACGATGCATTGGACAAGACCGACCTGTACCCAGCGCTTGATACAACTCCCAATGTCACTTGTCTGGCGCCGACCAACAATGCTTTCAAGTCCGCGGGCCATCCCGAGGATATGCTCAACAAGACTGACCTGACCGGGGCACTCCTGTCAGTTCACAATCCCAGTTTGTCGCTGATGACCCGGCGCTAACCTTGCTCTCCTACATGGGCAGTTTCCACACGCTTCCTTTCCCCCTATACACCCCTTACATCGTTTCCGGCATGAAGGTAGCCTCGCTGGCCGACGGGCTCGACGTCACGGTCGTCAAGGTGGGCGAGGACATCTACTTCAACGATGCCAAGCTCATCAGTCCCAACGTCCTGACCAACAACGGCCTGATCCATGTGCTGGACAGGATCATGACGCCCGACGGGAAGCCCCCGGTCTCGCCGTCCCCGACGGCATCCCCATCCCCGACAGGGCCTAGTCAGAGCCCGAAGCCGGATGCTGCTAACTCGCTGTCCGGAAAGGTCTGGGTTGGGCTGTTGACTTGCTTCGCGGCCGTTGCCTTGCTGTTGTAATGGGAGTCTCGGTGTTGTGGACTGTAATTTGGGTTTATTCGCGCTCGTGCTCGTGCTCGTGCTGGAGTGTCTGGCATTGGCGACAGGGACATGGAAATCGATCCGGTTATTGAATGAGATGTATCCTCCATTACTAGATTGCTAGTCAATCTATCACTTCGAAATCCACGAAATCTATTCATAGGACCGGGTGAATCCCTTCTCCCCTCTATGCTCGATGCTCGAAGACCACAAACGCCTGCCAATGCGAATTGAACGCCCATAAGTCATAAATATGCCACAAGTAGACAGAGAGGGCCTGCGAAGTAACAACCATGCAACCGCAAATGCAAATTAAAAAGCTCAAGGTCCACCCCCTTTTCATACCATGGTGATAAAGGCCACCGCAACCACCCAACCCACCAACCCCCAGGTCCGCGCCCCATTCCCCCTCCCCGCCCCGCTGCTGCTGCCGCCAGGCAAGTCCTTCGCAACGCTCGCCGTCGCCCCGTCGCGGACGAGCATGCAGCTCGCGGTGCCGCAGCCGTACCCGGAGGGGCAGCAGCCCGGCCTTAGCCCGGCATCGGCGTCGTCGCCGTCGCAGAGATACCAGCCCGAGGCGCAGGTGGCCGTCGTGGAGGCGGGGACGGCGGCCGCGGGCACGACGACGGTGACGCCGTTGCCGTCCACGACGGTCGTCGGGCGGGCGGGCGGCGGGCACGAGGTCGTCTTGCAGTCGCGCCCCGTCTGGCAGCAGCCGCCGCCGGCGGAGGCGAGGCAGGCGTAGAAGCCTGTTGGGCAGTAGGTGTTGGTGCCGCTGGGTTCTGAGGTGGAGGAGGAGGAGGTTGGGCGGACGGGGGCGGAGATGCCGTTGTCGGTTGTGGAGGTGGTGGTGCTGCCTGTTGCTGGGGTGTTGGTCGGGCTGACGATTCTGGTTGTGGTGCTTGTCTGGGGCTTGGATTGGGATTGGGTCTGCGTGATGATGACGGTCACAATGATGGTGGATGGCGTGGGCGCTGAGACGATGCTGGTGGAAGTGGTGGTCATTGTTGTCATGACCGGGGCGCTGGGGACGCCTAGAAGGAAGGGTTATGCTTCGTTAGCAAGACTACCCTCTCGTGATGATTATGCTTGATAGGGGGGAGGAACAGGGTAAGAGTCAACAACTTACAGCCTACTCCCTCGCACACGAAGCCGGGAATACAGCAACCACCCCCAATTTCAGATGAACAGGCCGTGTTGCCCGAGGCGCATCCCGATATCGACCCCCCGCACGTCGACCCAGACGGACAGCATCCAACCGGCCCCAAGCCCGTATCTTCGATCTCAACACACGTCTCTCCGCTCTGGCAGCAGCTATTCGGGTAGCCGATGCCCGCGCAACTGCTGGTGTCTCCGGGACAGGCCCACTCCCTCCCCTTCAGGCGCGCCAGCTCCCCGGCAGCCGCCCGCCTCAGCAGCCGCCAGCCATACCCCCTGCCGTCCACATCTCCGCCGCTTCGAGGTATCTGGCCGGGGTACTGCGAGCGTTCGTCGTGCGGGGCGAACGGCGGGCGGTACGGCAGCGGGGCCGAGGCATTGGCAGCGAGGAGGGGGGCGGCCCGCCCGGCCAGTGCCCCTTCCTCGGCGAAGGCGCAGTACTCGTGGTGGAACTTCTCGCCGGCGTCGGGGGGCATCTTCCGGACGGCGGTGGGGAGTTGGGCCTGCGCGTCAATCTGCGCGGCGATGAGGAGCCACAATGGCGGCGGGAGGAGTTGCATCTTGTCCTGGGACGAAAAAGGAGCTTCGAGACTCGAGAAATTTTGGTTTGTTGGAGGGTACGGAGGGACCGAGGGTAACACGCACGACGAATTGGTGAGGCTGGGAAAGACAGATTAGATTGTCGTGGCAACGCAGCCCTGCCCAACTAGAAATGAAACAGTGATAAGGTTTGTTGTCCGTGTGGAAGGAAGTCTGAAGAAAAGAGCCCAAAGTCATCGTAGCTACCCCTGCCCGGAGCGACCCCATTGGAACGGCTCACGGGTAGCTAATCCTTGTTGGTGGGGGGGATCGTCGGGATCTTTCTGCAGTCGTCTGCACAGTCGTGGTTCCAATTAGGTACCTACCAAGTGCTTGAATACCTATGTACACGCCCTCCCAGTTCTAATGATACAAGTACGGAGTACAGGCTATGAAATACACGATACATATAGTTGTACAAACACAAATGGAAATACATTCCGAGCATTACCAAAGCCCAGGCTCTTCAGATTTCTCCGCCAACTTGCTAAATTGTGACCTCTCCTTGCCTCGGAGAAATGCGGAACAGAGCAAGCCAGTCGCGACACTGACGTTGAGGCTGTCGACGACATTGGACCCGGACAAGTTCGGGATGTTCACCACAACGTCGGCCTTGCTCCTGAGCTGCCGCGAAAGCCCGTCGCCCTCGCTCCCCATCAGGAGGATGCATGGATCTTTGGAAAGAGGATCCAGGTCCGCGAGTTCGTGCATATCCACCTGCCGATGCTGTCTCGACCTGGCCGCCCCAGGCACGGCTGCGTAGACCTGCCACCCGTTCTCTTTCGACTCGGTCAGGAAGGGGGCGAGCGACTCGACAGAGAAGAGGGTCAGCGCCTCCGAGGCGCCTGCTGAGGCCTTTAGCGCGACGGGTGTCAGCGATGCAGAGTTACGCTTCGTGACCGCCACAGCAGTGGCTCCAAGGAAGCTGGCTGTCCGCAGAATCGCGCCAAAGTTCCCAGGGTCCAGTATCTGATCCAGCACGAGGACCAATGGCTTGTAGTTGCTGTTGCGCGGCGATGGGAAGAAGTCGGAGCTGCCATTGATCTTGGCGTCCTCAACTGACTGGTGGGCCATGTTGACGTGAAAGCCGGGGTTGTTCTCGTCTTCCGACATTGGCCCAAGGCTCGTCAGAGGCAGCTGTGGCAAGGGCGACGCCTCAAGGACATAGCCGTTGTGTGGGCGTCCCGCGCTCATTTTCTCCATGAGGCGCAAACCATCCTCCCCGACGATCTGGACGTCGACTCCTTTTCGTTCCGCCTGTCGTTGGATACCGATGTCCTGCGAGACGTTCTGTCGATTGGCTCCGCCATAGATGTACAGCTTGTACAGTTTGCGCTGCGATGCCTGCAGAGCCGCCTCGACGACCGACTTCCCATATAAAAACTGCGATGCCGCCGTTGTATAGGGAATCGACAGCGGTTGTCGTTCAGCAACTGCTGTTTGAAATGGCTCGTCCCGACGTGTCGCGCCTCCGTAACCTGGCACATCATCCCGTCTATGTTCTCGTCCTTGCCGAGATCGAATAGGTCTCTCGTTACGTCCTCTTCTGTCTCTCGCGCCATCTGCGCGTCTCTCGCCCTCGCGGCCTCCTCTTCTGCCTCTCTCGTCCTCGCTGCCTCGTTTGCTCCCACTCTTCTCCTCGCTGTATGCTACAAGCGCTTCCCACGATGTTCCGGCCTCCTCGCTACCCTCAGATCTGGCCGCAGCTCCGGTCCTATCTGAGCGTCGACCCTCGCTGTCGTCAGCCCTGCCGTTCTCCCACCGCCTGGGCGTATCTCTTCTCGAGTACGATGATGATGCTGGTTCCGGCCTGGCAGGGGATCTCAGGGGCCGCCTTGGCATGGTGCTCTTGTCATCCAGAGCCCCAAATTGCTCCTTCAAGTTTCCTGCCTTTGCTTGGTATACAAGACTTTTCTTGCCAAAGGAGTCTTTGGGGTCGTAGAATCGTGCCTGCCTAGACATAGCCCTTGGCCCATCCTTATGGGTGATGTCCTTCTTTCCCTTTCGGATGCGGAATGTCGGCGCTGGTGCAGCTGCCCTGGCTCTGCGCCTTTCAGCAAAGGTCAAAGGCTGTGATGTTTCCGTAGCACCACTGTCCCGCGTGCCCTGTCGTGAAGACCTGAACCCCTGAGGCCTAGATCTCTCCTCCCGACGCCGACCTTGGTGAATAGCAGAGAGTGAAGCCCACCGCCTCAGAGTTGAGGCATCCCATCCAGCCCTGGGAGCTACCTTGGGGAGTGCCTGAGAAAGCAGCGGAGCACCCTGGAGGGGCCACATCATGGCCTTTCTGAATTCTTCTCCCAATCCTCTCCTGATCACCACTCCTTATCAACACTCCTATCTTTGAGATTCCTTGCCTGTCCTCTCCTCAAAGTCTCAAAAAGCAGGAAGGAAACAGGGGTAGGTAGGTGTTGGTTGAATGATATCCGTCTTGATCATCCGGCAGCTCTCTTACTCAAAGAAGAGCAAAGAAACAGTTGTGAGGAAATACAGGAAAGAACCCCAGTAGAGGGCTGCAGGTCATTGACTTTCTATCAGGCGTTTTTGCTACACTGCTTGGGATTCTGGAGATCCCCAAGCTCAGTTGAGAATGAGATATGTCCAACCCGTTTTTCTTTCACTCTCAGATTGCAGATTGGCGATTGGCGCACATGCAGGGGAGTGACGCCACAGTTGTGTTGTGGCTTGACCCCTGCGTCTGCTCGCACTGGCTATCCCACTTTAACAAGCTCGACGCGTGCCCACTGTGGCCGTCGCGTTTCGCTCTATAATTCCGATTTCAAAAGATACTCGGGGTCGAGTCGCAAGACTTCACCGCCACCGAAAATTATTTGTCACGGCATGAATTTTCCAGTGACATACGATTCGGACTTGCCCCTGTCTGTGCAAGTGGAAAACTGTTAACTAACTCCACCTTCCACTCCTGCAGACCAGTTGCGATACCATTCACACATGTATGCCGAGCCCGAGGCAGCTTTTGCGCTGCCATCGGCGTCCTCGAAGCCCGACGCGAAGCCCGATGATATGGCCTTCGATTTCCGGTCTGAGCTGTCAAGCAACTCGTCATCCTCCTCGAAACGCAAGCGGTGCCACTCTCCAGACGTGGTGGATACAAGAATCGAAGTTCAGATTCCCTGGATCCCCCCCAAGAAGCGAGAACTGTTTGATGTTGTTGATGTTGATGATTACGAATCGGAAACCGAATATGGCTGGAGATATGGACGCTCAAGGCTGCGGCGTGCTGTCAAGGTACGTTTTGTTGGGATGTCACGCTTCCCTTGATCGTCTTGTTCGAATATCGACGTCCTCCCGTGGATAGTACGAAAGTGAGCTCGGCTTCAGGTGCTCCAACTGGCCCATTTAGGCAAGAGAGAAGGCCTTCCAACTCTTTTCATCTCAGTATCTTGCCTGGCTTGCTAGATAGTTGCTACTTGCCTTCCTCAAAAAGAGCCATCTACAACCGCAAGGCGGTCCAGATCCACCTATCAATTCATCTCTCTACCACCCACCTTCGTTACCTCTAATCCTCCTGTCTCGCCCACATCGGTCTCACCAGTATTGCCTCACACAAATCTACCAACTGTTTCCTTTCTTTCCTGGATGCCGCGCTCTCTCTACCTACTTGGCCTGGCTATACGTGGGTGAGGCACTTTATCTCTCCAGGCACATTCACAGAGGAGATTCTCACGGATCCGGTTTTCCGCGGGAAGGCGTTACCAACACAAGCCAGGAATCCAACAGTCGCAGCTCTCTTTTCTATCTTCCATGGGTATCCACCAGATCACTTCAGCTTAAGAAACTCATCTTACTGGTAGCCGGAGCCAGGTTCAGTATGGTATGAGGAGCATTATGCCTTCCTTGGCTTACCCCGAGAACCGCCCCTTCCCCTTCCCCTTCCCCTTCCCCTTCCTCTTCCCTTTGCCTAGTGGTTCCGACTGTATGACTACCTAGGTAGACACTGGCGGTTTGTCTGCCATGTTGCCTAGCAGTCACACACCTCTCACTTCCCTTGCCCTCTTGTCAGCAGGCCCTTTCCACTGATCACGGTCACCTGCTGTTCACTTATTTTCACCCAAGTTGAAGGCTACCTAGGTTTTTTAGCTCGGCCTTGCTCTCTTTATGACCTCTCAATCTCTCACATATGTCTCTTATCTTCTCTCCTGCTGCCTCCCATCAATACAACTAACTCGGCAATTAGGGCGCGTACGACGAAACACAGCGCAAGAGCATGGGGGCGGCATTTTCCCGATCCAAGCGCAGATGGGCGGATCTGGATTACTCCGATGACGACGACCTGGTTGAGGACCGTGGGGTTATTTCTGAATCTACCGACCAGCTCGCTGAACATGACGACGATGACGAGGATGATGATGAGGAGGAAGATGGTGGGGCTGGTAGTGGTCGTCCGGCTCTGAGGCGAGCTAGAATCCGGCAGTCCAAACTGTCCTTTTCCTTCCGGCCCACCTCCCATACAAGAACTCGGACCAGCTCAAGAGTGGCCTCCACCGGGGTTGGAGATGACCAGCTCATGGAGGACTCGGACGGTGTCCACGGTGGCTCCCGCAGTCTGAGATCCCGCCGCCAGAATGCTCCATCCAGCATCAGCCAACATGACGATGATCTGGACGAGTTGGCTCAGGACCCCGAGGATGATGATGACAGCGACGGTTACCCTCCACTTGTGAGATCCGATCTCCAACCTCAGAAGATGAAGAGGCGGAGGAAGAAGCGCTCTGGATGGATGAAGAGGGCTTCAGGCAACGTGGCTGATTCCCGGGATGATTCAATTGGCTATGAGCCTCCTCGACGTTCTGGACGATCAAACAAGAACATGAGCAACATGAGAGAGCTGGGCATGGGAGATGATGAGAGCTTCATCCAGGATGAGGAGAAGGCACCAGCAGCCCCAAAGATATCGAGTGTGAAGGAAGTCTTCCAACCCCTCATGCCGGAAGAGACGGCGTTCAAGGACACGCACAGCCAAATTTGCGATACGTGCAACAGCAACGCCAACGGTACCGCCTCGAACAGGGGGCCACTCATTTATTGCCAAGGGTGTTCCAACTCATACCACAAGGGGTGCCTCGGTCAGCGAGCCATGCGGGATCATCTCGTCACCAAGATTGGCCCGGAATATTTCGTCTTGCAATGTCGCTTCTGCATCGGGGTCTACCAGAAGAAGGACAGCCTGGCCCCCGACCATGCCCTTTGCCAGACCTGTCATGAGAAGGGCGCTTCGTGCATGCCCTTCTCAGTCAAGAAAACCTCCAAGCAGGAAGAGCAGCTCCGCCTAAACAATGGCGGCGAGGACCCCATCACCCCCGTCGACCGCCAAGTTATCAACAACCATAAGAACGTGCTCTTCCGCTGCACTAATTGCCGCCGGGGATACCATATCGAGCACCTTCCCAAGCCCGATTCGCAGGACTTCATGGTCGACGGCAACGACTGCGAGAAGCTCCGCACCATGCTTCTCCAGGAATACTCGATCGAGTGGAAATGCAAGGAATGCATTGAGATCCCGGCCAAGGTCCAATCATTGGTCGCGTGGCGGCCAAAGGACCGTGACAGCTATCGGACTGGCCAGACCTTTGCGGATTTCAACCAGGATGCCATCGAGTATCTGGTCAAGTACGACGGGCTCTCTTACGTCCACTGTGCCTGGCAGCCTGGCAGCTGGGCCTGGGGTGCGACCCGCGGGTCGATGCGCCACTCGTTCGCAAGACGCAACGAAGGCGAGAACATGCTTCCCAGGTTCGACGAGAAAGATGCCATCCCCGAGGAATACCTCGTGCCAGACGTCATCCTTGCCGTGACCTACGCCGATTACCGGCCTTCTACCAAAGTAAATGATCGGGCTAACGTGCACAAGGTCCGGAAGATCTACGTCAAGTTTCTCGGCCTCGGCTATGATGCCGTCGTTTGGGATGCCCCGCCCAAAGCCAGCTCGGGGTATCTCTACGAAGCCTTCCTCGGCGCCTACGACGAGTACTTGACCGGCAAGTATTTCCGAGACGACGCACCACTGAAGATGAGAGAGCGTCTCAAGGAGTTCCGCCGCCTGCATTTCGAAACCGGTGTCGAGTACAAAGCCCAGCCAGCCTGCCTTCAGGGCGGGTCGCTCATGGGATACCAGGTCGAGGGTCTCAACTGGCTTCTTTACAACTTCCACCTCCAGCGCAACGCCATCCTTGCTGACGAGATGGGCCTGGGCAAGACGGTGCAGATTGTCTCCCTCCTCGTCAGCCTGGTGCAGGAACAGCCAAAGGTCTGGCCTTTCCTGGTTGTCGTCCCGAATGCAACATGCGCCAACTGGCGCCGCGAGCTCAAGAAATGGGCGCCAGAGCTTCGCGTGGTCACCTACTACGGTGGCAAGGTGCCGCAGACTCTTTCTTACCAGTTCGAGCTGTTCCCGGATAATACCAGCAAGATGAAGGCACATGTCGTCGTCATGTCGTACGACTCGGCTCAGGATGATCAGACCAGAACGCTCTTCAAGTCGGTGCAGTGGCAGGGCCTCATTGTGGACGAGGGTCAGCGGCTCAAGAATGAAGATAATCTTCTATACGGCGCCCTCCGACTGATGAACATTCCCTTCAGAGTCCTCCTTACCGGAACTCCCTTGCAGAACAACAAGCGGGAGCTCTTCAATCTGCTGCAGTTTGTCGACTCGAGCAGGAACGCTAGGCTACTCGATGAAGAGTACCAAGAGCTCACTGCGGAGAACATACCGAAGCTCCACAACCTGATCCGGCCGTATTTCCTGAGGAGGACCAAGGCTGCGACGTTGAAGTTCCTACCTCCCATTACCCGGGTCATCGTGCCGGTGACAATGTCGGTGCTGCAGGAGAAGCTGTGCAAGTCCATCATCTCCAAGAACAGCCAGTTGATCAGTGCCATCCTGGCCAAGGGCAAGACAAAGGTGACGGAGCGGGGCAGCCTGAACAACATCCTCATGCAGCTCCGCAAGTGTCTCTGCCACCCTTTCCTCTACAGCGAGGCGGTCGAGCACAGGGTGGATGACGCACAGACCGAGTTTGCCAACCTGGTCGAGGCATCCTCGAAACTGCTCCTCCTGAGCATCATGCTTCCGAAGCTGAAGGAACGAGGCCACCGTGTGCTCATGTTCAGCCAGTTTCTGGGCCAGCTCACCATCATGGAAGACTTCTTGACCGGCCTCGGCATGGTCTTCTCGCGCCTCGATGGGAACATGTCCAGCCTGGAGAAGCAACGACGCATCGATGCCTTCAACGCCCCCGATTCCCCGCTCTTTGCCATGCTGCTGTCCACCCGCGCTGGTGGAGTCGGCATTAACCTGGCGACGGCAGACACGGTCATCATCCTAGACCCGGATTTCAACCCACACCAGGACTTGCAGGCAGTCTCGCGCTCTCATCGTATCGGCCAGAAGAATAAGGTTCTCTGCTTTCAGCTGATGACCAAGGACAGCGTCGAGGAGAAAATCATGGAGATCGGCCGCAAAAAGATGGCCTTAGACCACGCCCTGATCGAGAGCATGGACGAGAAAGAGGGCGAGGCGGGCAACGACCTCGAGTCGATCCTGAAGCACGGAGCCGGAGCCCTGTTTAGCAATGATAAAAGGGACAGGATCAACTATGACTCGGCCTCGGTTGACAAGCTCCTAGACAGGTCGGATAAGCAGCGCGCTGAAGAGGTCGAGACCCAGGGTGAGACTCGGTCTGCCGAGTCGGCCTTCTCATTTGCCCGCGTATGGGCCAACGACGAGGGCATGATCACCGAGAAGGTCGATGACGTACCGGAGCCCGCCATTAACCAGGGCGTCTGGGAGAGCATCCTCAAGGAGCGAGAGGAGGAGGCACGTCGCGAGGCTGAGGCTAACAAGGAAATCCTCGGTCGGGGAGGCCGTCGGCGCAAGGTATGTCCCTCCAGCATTATGGATTTGCGGGATGAGATTCCTTCTTTTCTGTAGCATATTGACCATTGATCATCATCACCGTAGGCTGTGAAGTACGGGCCCCGCGAGATATTCGGCCCCGACGAGGGGCCCGCTGTCGATGACGAGCTGTCGGCGGTCGACGATGACTTCGTCAATGCGGGCTCTGGCGGGGAGAGCGAAGGAGAGTCCAGCGACGACGGGGCGAGGTCGCGTGCCGGCGATTCGGCCGTTAGCGGACCCCGCTCGAGGAAATCCCAGAGCATGGGTCCTCCAGGTACGGCAGCAAAGAAGTCCCCAAGACAGCCAGCCGCCTCTAAAAGGGCATGCAAGGCATCTGGGAATGGCGTTGACAATACCAACCCTCAGAGACCGAAGTCGAGCGGCAAGTCGGGCAGCCAGTCGGGCAGCCAGTCGAGTGGCCGGCCAAGAGGCGTCGTCGCAAACAAGACGTCGACTCCGAAGAAGGCCAAGGCAAGCCGAGGACGACGGCTCCCAAGCCCACAGTCAAGCCAGCCCATGCTGCCCACCCCAGTCCTAACCCCATCATCCAGCGAGATCCCCGAACAGTCGCAGTCCCATCGCAGCAGCGAGGTATGCAGCCAGGAGGGGTATGGCTCCCAGCAAGAGGAATGCCGATGATTTGGGAAGGGATTCCCGCCCTCCGGCCCCTGCCCGCAATGCATCAGGCCTCCGTTCTCTCAAGCGGACCTGCTCCCCCTGCGGTTCTGGCGAGACAGGGCATCGCTAATAATCTAGTTTTGGAACCCTGCATTGTTTGCAACGTCGTGCATCCCCCTTACTATTCGTGCCCGGCGTTGGCCTCACACGTCTGTTTGAGATTGGCACTCGATGCTCTCAAGCCAGAGTCAGGCAATGGAGGAGAGGCTCTTGCCATCAGGAGGGCCCGTTTGCTCACCCAACTTCGGAAGGTAACCATGCAGGGCGGTCAACAAAGGATGCACTGAATCAGTGGCATATCGCGTATTTCAGACGTGCAGCAGCCAGGCAGCGGCTGGCTTGGAGCACTTCCCCTACAACACGTTTGCGATGACCAGAAGGGTCATGCATGCATTTATCATTATTTTTGTCATCCCATATCGGCATTCTGCTGCGGAGGGCATGGCGTTGATTTGAGTGGCCGTGGATTTTGCCCCAAAGGGAGCAGGGGGCCGGAGCAAGCACCCTTCTTTCTTCTCTTGCCTTCTTCTTCTCTTCCCTTTTGCATTTCCATTTTGCATTTTGGCAAGCAGGCTGGCATTGCCGCTGCCTCCCAGGGACAGGAAAATCTCGGTAGACTTTCGAGCTAGGTTTGGTAGACCAGGAATGGCTCCCCCAACAAGCAAGCCCCTATGGACATGTTAGAGTATCTAATTTTGCATTGGCCATCCATCTCCGACTCTTGATGGCCAGAATAACGAATAAGACTCCCCTGATCACTGTTCCCAGCGTCAGTGACAGCTCACTGACAGCTTATTTGTCACGTGGGAAACACAAGCTGGATGCAGGTATCCGCTCCATGCAGTGAACCTTATTTGAGAGATCCGGCGTTTGCTCTTTTAGAGCCCAGCTGTTGCCGCGACCAAGAGGTCCGATAAAAGGGCCTCATATCTGCTGCATGAAAGCTCTCCATGTCTGGACTGCTGCTGTCTCAACTGGCGTTGACCCCCTTCTAAGTTGTCGCAGGAGCCTGAGATTCCAAGTTCACCTTTGTCCCCCCCCCCCTTCCCGGCCGATGCGGTGTTGACGATCCAGGTTGAATGCAGATATAAATATCAGCCTTGTCCAGGGAGCCAAACCCCCGTTTGCAAAGCTCATTTCTCACCCGGCCTGTCTCTTCCTCTTCACTATGGATTCAATTTTCAGGAGCGGTTTTCCTCTCAACTGTCCCCCTTCCACCTCCATGTTTCCCTCCGACTTCTCCAGCTCCTCCGGCCCTTCCAGCTCTTCCACCCGCGACACTTCTCCTGACTCCCAGAATCACCATCTTGACTCACACCTGACCTCCACTATAGACCCCTCCGGCAGCCTTCTGGACCCTCCCCAGCTCTTGAGGATGGACCGCAACCCTTTTGAATCCGCCAACAGTCGGCGATCCAAGATATATTTCGATCGCGCTGGCAACTTCCAGAGCCACGATTTGCGCCAGCATATTCCGAATTCAACTCCACGACACGACTCGCGCGGTCTCATTTCTGCGAACTGGCGTCACTCCGGCTCTAGCATGGATAGCTCATCTCTCACTCCCCCCTCAACTTCTGCCCCTCTAACCAACGCCCTGGCCACGGCCTCGCCGACCAGATATGGCGGCTATGGCACTGTAGGAGGGCCGTCGGGGCCCGGTGGGGTAGGCACGAACGACCCGTCGTCGCTGTTTCCCCGGGCCCTGGGGCAGGTGCAGCTCGGGGACAACGAGCTGGACGAGATATATGCCTACTGCTTCGACCGCGGCAACGGGCAGTATACGAGACTCATCCCGGCCGACATGCTGCCGCCTCTCCAGGACATCCCGGCCCTCCAGCAGGGCTGTGTCGGAATGAAGGTCTTGCCCGTGCCACGGGGTCTTGCTCCAAACGGCCGTTCCAGCAACTCAGAGCGAGTTGCTCTTCAGGTGCGCCTCAGAGTTGCGAGTTTCGCCAAAAGTAAAGGATCCCCATGTGCTAACTGACCTGCGTGATAGCCGCGACCGAACCCTCTTGTTAACAACCCTGGCGACCCCATCCAGGTGAGTCGTCCTACTCACGTCTACCCGGTATTTTCCGCTCCAAAATTTGTTTTTCTCTCCTCCCTAACTGTTCCTTCCGGGCTGTCTGTCCCCTTTCCCAGGAAGCAAACACAAACCGCTAACACCCGAGATACAAAATAGTCTCACATCGACAGCATCATCGCGCTGTCTCCACCACCCGCCTCGCAGAAGCGACCGAAGATCTACTGCGACAAATGGGTGCACGAAGGCGTCTGCGCTTTCACGCAACAGGGCTGCAAGTACAAGCATGAGATGCCCTTCGACAAGGCGACCCAACACTCACTCGGCCTCTTCCACGGCCTGCCTGCCTGGTGGAAGAAGCACCAGGCCGAGTTGGCACGCCAGCGAGACCTAGTGGATGCATCGGACCAGCCGGTCGCGGTGAGCAGCCGCGACCGCAGCCTGTCGGGGCCAAATCGGCTCACTGCGAACCCTTGGAGACGCATCCCCAGTGTTGGGCCTAACCGTATGTGAAGCCTATTCACTCCTGTCTCACCCCACTCCCACCCAACCTCCGCAACCACCCCCCTGATAAGTGGGAAAGACGATAACTAACCCGGTTTCAGCAATCCAATACTCCTCGCCATTCGGCCCCATCGGACCGCCGCCCCGCAAACCAGCCGATGAGTCCAGCCCTGACCGGCTCACGCGCGGGATCGCGGACATGAACCCCTTCTCCATGCTCCGACATGTGGATGAGAACGGGGATGACGACAACGAGGAGGGCGTGAGACTCGCCTGAAGCAAGCCCCCCACTCCTCATCCTCCCTCTCCCCCCTCGGGCGGGGCGGGGCCCCTTTTTCTTGCCTTTGGACCTATTTCTATTGGACATACCAGCTCCCGGTGACAAACGGTCTCCCCCGCTGGGCTGCTCGCTAGCGCTGGAGGTGTGTCTACCTGACGACTTGCTTGGACCCATGACGATGATTGCGCCGGTTTGGTTGGAAAAGGGACATACACGGGAAAGGAAAATGAAGGGGGGAATCACGTTTGAATTTCTCTGCTACGACATAGTTTTGCTGACGTTCTGCGCCTGGGTTTTCCTTTATTCTTGCTAGATTCTCTTTTTTTTTTGCGGCCCTCCTTAGAGAGAGAAGTCACGGGAAGAAGACCTCTGGTTCGCACAGAGGATATGGTATTGCTTTGCCTGTACTATAGACCCGCCCGAAAAGACAAAAACAAGGAAGGAGCAGCGGAAAGAGGAAAGAGGAAACGGAAACGGAGTTATGATGGATTTGATTCGGATGGATTCCAATGGACATTGCCCAACGACGAGACGAAGAATGGCAATGGCGGACGAAAAGGAAACCCGGGTGTTTTCACGCGCGTGCGCATCTCTATGTTTGCTTGTTTGCTTGCTTGCTTGCTTCGTCGTCTCTTCTTTCATATCCAATCGGTATGCCGAGTCTCTTGCTCTGGTAATAGAGCGGAATGAAACTGGATCTCGATGCCCTGTTGTGTAATGAGTGGCTTCCTCACCGCACGCCTGTGACTCGTCGTCTTCGGGGTCATTAGTACTTCTGGTTCGTATATGTGGTGCAAAATCGCATCTCGAAGTTCTCTTGCTTCACGTTTCTGCATCCCACCATCCTGACAGTGAACTCATGTTGGATCCTGACAATATCCTTGCAGTTCGCCGCCGATCTTCGTTACTACATATTCTCTACTCTGTATCTTACCGGGCCATCATCAATCTCAGTGCGTTCAGGCTGGTGGCTGGTTAAGGGATGGGCTAGAGTCCGCCGTTTGTCTTTCTTCCTGGCTAGTCTTGCTGAACCTTCGCCTCCCTAGCTTGTCATGTAGGTAAGTAGGTAGTCAGTGGGGAGAACCGTTTCGCCATCCTGGGCTGGCAGGTAGTCGAGTAATAAGTCGGTTGTTAATATATGGCCAAGTCACAGTGGAATGTAGCGAGAAGACCGACAGCACCAGCAGCAGCAGGAGTGTTTTTGCTAAGCCTTGGCGCTATTTCAGGTCCCAAAACGGAAGCAGATAGCTCCCTGCAGCCAATCAGCGAGGAGTGGGGTTCCTGGACAAGAGTGTTGCCGGCAGAACCACGGCAAAACCTTAACCCCACCCATCACCAACGAAGCTCCGACGCGCGGGGAGAGCTCGGTTTCCCAGTCCGTACACAGTGAACCATGACTGCCTAAGAGCTGCACTTACTCACATGCCTTATAAAGCCACATAAAGAGTCAAAGACTGGCCCCCTCGACAACTCTACTCTACACCTCCATTTGCCAACCGTTTTTATCTAGTCTGCCCTCGTGTGTTCAAGATCCTTCTGGCCGGCGCCTGCCCTGAAGCCGCCCTAACGGCTCGACGTTCTGGTCTTGTCGATCTTCCAAACCTCGATTGTCCGCACAGCAGCCTGGCATGGATCAATGCGCATCAGTCCTTCTGGCCTTCCCGCCGGACCAGGAGCTGGCCGACGATGAGCAGTATGACAAGGCTGTCAAGGCCCACGTCCAGAGACTTGGACGGCTACTGAAGGAGCAGGCTGCCGTCCTCTCCGCCAATGCTGGTCTACTTCTTGATGTGAGTTCATCCCAGCCATTTCAGACGTCAATACTGACAGCTTTCAGCACATAGATGTAACCCTAAACTCAATATCGTACCTCGTCCTGCTACAGTCTGCTTTCGATCCCGATTCGAAGCCCTCACAAGCGACCAAAGACTTCATTGGGCGCACCATAAGCTTCCTTCTCAAATTCGATCCCCGCCAGATACGATATGCCGGTGTGCCGTTCTCAAATCTGCTTACCGTGCTGCTATCTGGAGATATCTTTCCTGTATGCGCCACTGAGAGGGTTAGTTCTAGGGAAGCCATGCTGACCACCATTGAAACCAGGGATCCGTTGCTGTTGCTGCCGCATCCATTGCCCTGCGTAGGCTCGACCCGACGGGCTCCATGTTCACTTCGCACCACCTACCTTTGGTCAGGCTAGCCTATGAGGTAGACAATATCCGCGACGTGCTCGAAGTCATCAACAGCGACATATTGTTTTACCCCGGCATGAGAACCCACAACGATTCACGCCCCCTTTGCGACTCACAGCTTCCGCCCCCGGCGTTTATCAACGTGGAATCGGGGCTCACCAACAAAGTTACCCCCTCCGAGGTCCTAGAATATGATATGCTTTGCGGCCTATGTAATCTGTCCCTTGGGGATTGGCGGGTAGCACTCGATGCCTTTGAGCGGGCTCTTACTACCCCCACCCGAGACAACGGGTGTAGTAAGATCATGGTAGACGCACACAACAAATGGGTCTTGGTTAGTCTCCTCCTCAAGGGAAAGGCCTCGCCGATTCCTTCGCGCGCAGGGCAAGGCGCCCAGAAGACCTTTGCGACTCTGGGGAGCCCATATATTGCCGTTGCCAAGGCATTTGAGATGCACGAGGGCGGCGCGGTGGCACTCAAGGCCGAGTTCGAGAGACTAGGCGAGCAGTTCTGGGCCGACGACGGCAACCTCGGCCTGATGCGCATGGTGATGGCGTATTACCAGCGCTGGCAGATTATCAACCTTCAGGATGTATACTCGAAGATCAGTCTCGAGGAGATCCGGCAACGCACACAGAGTGCCGAGACCGGCAGGGAGCTTGAACATGCAGGCGACGTGGAGGAGTTGGTCCACGGCATAATCAGTGCGGGCACGCTCAGCGGCGCGATCGAGAAGCCGGATGGAGCGATATTCCGCGATGGTCGGGGATACTTGGCCTTCATCCAGCCGGCGGAGGAGCTGTCCGAGTCCAAGTTTGCCGCGGAACTTCTTGCCTCGGTACAGCGCATCAAAGAGCTGGAGCCGGTCTTGAAGGCTACGAACGAGCGCCTGGCCGCGAGCCGGGAGTACGCAAGGTTCCTGATTAAGGAGCAGAGGCTAGAGAGGGAGAACGCGAGGGACCCTGGCATTGGGTTTGATTCGCAAATCGAAGACGAGGACTTGATGACTGGCATCATTGCGCCCCGTTAGGGATGGTCAGGACGGACTTGGGAAGCGGGCAAGGCTAGGTAGCTCCGCCTTCTCAGGGACTTCCTACTCCCTCTTAGAATATTCCCCAGACGGTCACTCACCCCCTCTTGCGAAAGCCACACTCTAGGAAGTGTCCTTTCGCTGCTGAAACCCGCCGGAAAGTCTATCTATACACTCTAGGTTGTCTGCGGCGGCGGGGGAATCGCAGGAGAAAGCGGAAGCATGGGCGTTTGGAAAAGGGGCGTTCCCACTCGAACTTGCTATTGCATAGAATACCTACTTAGCTCAGGTCAATCAATGATGATAATGACGCAGACTAGGCAGATAGTGATACATTCATGATAGACGTTGGTTGTATAGATGGCCGGCGAAGCAGATCATCACAGCAAATAGTATTGAATAGTCTGGCCACATTATCTCCCATGCCCACTCTACCGTCTGTCCCGTAGGAAGTAGCCCTGCATCCGCGCCCGATCCGTGTGGCCGGTACTCCTTTTCGTCTTCCCTCACCTCACATCTTGACCCCTGTCCATCTTCCGTGGTTTGAACAACATATAGAGATACATTCAGCTCGAGAGTGCCCGAGGGGCAACAGGAGGCTCTTTCAGCAATACCAAGAGGAGCGGCTCCGGCAGAAAACACCCAGGCAAAGAGAGAGAGAGAGAGAGGGCATCATGTATGCTTCATCCGATTACAACCCCCAAACCCTCACAGCACTTCAACATCAGTCATCACACGCTCATCTCCTTGATGAGCTCGGACAACCTGGCGGCTTCGGATTTGTAGTCCAGGGGCGTGGCACCCATGACCTGGTAACGAATACTGTGGAGAGGCTCGTCAGTTAAACCCGATCTCGGCATACATTGCGGGGGGGGTTACGGGGAGGATGGGAGGAGAGAGAGAGAGAGACAAAGAAAGAAAGCTTACCGCTGGGTGTCGCCAAAGGTGTCCATCTTGGCCCTGACCCTGAAGCTCAGCTTCCGGCAGTTGGCGGCCTCGAACTCGGCGGTCAGGCGGGCGTCTTCGTCGTTCGCGCGCAGCTCCATCAGCTCGTCGGCGGACTTGCCGCCCATGACGATGCGGCCGACGTCGTCGAAGCAGCTGAGGTACAGCTGGCCCGTGTGGTCGGCGACGCTGACGGTCATGATGTAGCGGTACTCGGGCCGCGGGTGGGAGACGTCGCACTTCTCGCAGCGCCAGGTGCCGTCCTGCATGTCCGTCACCTTCTTGCTGCAGCCCTCGTTGCGGCAGGCCGGGTAGGAGAAGGTGTCCTGCTTGATGTACACGATGGTCGCCTTGAGGGTGAAGTAATCGACGTCCTCCATGCCCAGGTTCTCGTCCCGCACCTGGCTGATGTGCTTGACCTGGTCCGTCCGGCCCGTGGCCCCACCCATGGACGCCATGCCGCTGTGCGTCGCGAAGTTGTCGTTGCGGCCCGACGCGTCGTACCAGCCCTTGAGCGTGTGCGCCTCGGGGATGTCGGGGTCTACCGCCATGGTGCCCGACGAGAGGAGCGACAGGCTGCGGCCCCCAAAGTCGCCGACCCGCATGCCCTTGAAGGCCACGACCGACTCGGGTTTCGCGTCGAAGCTGTTCGCCGTCTTCCCCCAGATGGTGGCGCGGACCGAGAAGTTGGTGTCGTCCACGAGGGTGAGCTCGCGCTTGTCGTATGGCTTGCCCGTGGACTTGGACACGATTTGGGAGATTTCCCCAACCTCCTTCAGGACGCCGATGATATCCACCGTGGCGTCCTTCTCAACATCTTGCAGTTCCTGGATGTTGCAGAAGTTGAAGCGCACCTGCGGAACGGCGCTCTGGTCCTCGGCTTTCTCAATTACCGTGTCCCGCTCAAAGACCAGCTCGTAGTCGTTTGGGAGGTTGGTGAATTGTTTCTTGGCCAGGGACACCCGGCAAGGGCTGGAGATGTAGTAGACAGACCCCTCCTGGAGCATCTCGTAGTACTGGTCGCACTGGTCGTTGAATCCAGTCGCCTTGATCTCGCCGCTTTCGTCGAGCAGGTTCACGCTGAACAGCTTCCCGTCGCTGCTTGCCTTGTGCCATGTCCGGATATCCGACTTACTCGTTACCCGCGCCTTGATGGTCCACTTATGTGCATACGGCGAGAGCGCCTCGATAGGGTAGATGGTGCTATTGCCGCTGGGGCCACCACCTCCACTTGGACGGCTGGCGACTTGTTTCTGGACGGCCGGCTTAGACTCCTGTGTCTCGGTCTTCACACCGTAGAATCCGGCTCCGCCGATCATCGTGTTGCCATTATTCTGCTTTATTTCCACGTTGACGGGCTCGCCGATCTTGTCTGGTTGTCCCAGCGAGTCTATGACTTCAAGATCCAGGATGATCAGGATGCTGGTAGTCATCGGTCAGCAAAGGATGCGTCCGACCCAAACTAGAGAAGGTGGAAAAGGGGCAGGATGGCTTTCGCCCGGGAAAGGAAAGGGGAGCAGGGGGTACCAACTTTTTACCCTTCACAGAGTTCGCCTGGTATTGCTTCAGGCGCACAATGCACCCTCGCAGGAGCTTGCCATCATGGACGACGTGGTTCGCCTGCGTCGCTAACATACACTGGACATAGTTATGGATATCGCTAAGGACGACTCTATATCGCTCTGATGCGCCAGCTGCCGGTGCCTTGGCTTCGAGGGTCTTGATCTGAAGGCATTGCAGTATAGGGACCGGAAATTCGCTGTTTGCCCTCTCAGGGTCATTGAAGATGGCGCTGTCAGGCTGTTAGCCAGTGTGGCCCCTGATATATATATAAAACACGCGTGGGAGTCTGTAAACTTACTCTATGGCCCCTCGAGTGATCTGTTGCGCAGCCATGTTGTGCGTGAGCTCTGGTCCTGGTCTCAGTCTCTTAGGAACTTGGGCGGTTGTAGAATCCTGAAGGTGGCAATGATGGAAGACGCGTCGGTCGCGTTGAGTGGAAGTGGGTATCTATTTTCGTCGCGGGGTATCCTACCAGGAGGTGTGGTCTAATTGGACACCTGCCCAACCCCACTAACTTGGTTGTCTTGGCTGTGTGGCACAGCAGTGAGCACCTTATGAATGGAGTACTGGCATGTTACACTTTCAAAGCCTCGACTCGACATGCCATTGTGTTCGCTGCACCTTGGCACCCTCCCTCACAACTACCATTATTCCCAAGTCAAGCCATTCGGTTTCATAGCCTTGCAATATGGCTGAACCCGAGGTCGCAACCAAAGCTCCGGAGAGCGATGCAGAGGAGACCGCTCCTCTCCAAGACACGCCTGCTCAGACAGGTCCGGCGATGGGGGAGCACTGCACCACTGATAGACCAACTCGTACGCCTAACCCTCGTTCCATCTCCCCTGATAGTGATCCTTGATTAACCCAAACCTCAGCCAGTGGCCAAGCTCCCACAGGCGAGATCTCCAACCTCGGAGGCGTTGACGTAAGCTAGCCATATACTTTATCGTCGTATTTGGTATTTGAGAAGAGCGCTCACACGCCACTAGGCCTATGTATCCAAACCGACAGACTACCCGCACGCCCCTGCCCGCTTGCTTCTACTCCTCACCGGCGGGACCGGCCTCCACTCCACAAACAACCAGATCCAGGCTGATACGTGGGCCAGCGAGGGCTTTGTCGTCGTCATGCCCGACCTCTTCACCGGGGATCCAGCTCCGAACTCCCGCACGTTGATTCCCGAAGATGCTGGCGGCGGGTCCTTCCTGGACACCTTCAAAATCAAGGCGGCCGAGGCGGCCAAGAGCTTCCTGATCGACATGTGGCTAGCCCGACATACGGAAGAGAAGGTACTCCCGCTTTTGCACAAAGTGATGGACGCGTGCAAGGACGAGTTCGCCGACGCCGTGAGCAACGGTGGCGGCATCTATGCCGTGGGATACTGCTTCGGTGGCCGATATGTGCTGTTGCTGGCCGCGGAGCGGAGCCCGCACCAGCAGGGCATTCCGTCGCCGTGGGGGCAGAAGCCAACAGATGAGGAGGAGAACCTGCCGAAGACCGTTGGCCCCTATATCAAGGCCGGAGCCATTGCGCATGCCACTTTGGTGTCGAGAGACGATTTCGTCGGCTTGAAAGCGCCCATTAGTCTGGCTTGTGTGGAGAGCGATCCCATGTTCCCAGATGATGTTCGGACGGCAGGAGAGGATTATATGAGCAAGAACAATGTCGAGCACGAGGTCCAGGTATATCCTGGCGTGCCGCATGGTGAGTTTCTCCCCTATCGTCTGCCCGCCTCTTCCTTGGATACTGACCGAGTCAAAAAGGCTTTGCGGTTGTCGGGGACTATGAGAATGAAAATATCAAGCTGGCACAAACTACTGCCTTTGAGCAAATGTTAAACTGGATCAAGGAGCATTGAGCTGGGTTGGAACAGTACGGCGTTCGAGGTTAGGCTTTGAATTTATGCAGTCCTGGGCACAATACCTATTCTATCATCAATCGCAGAGGTGGTCATTGTAATGGACCCTAGCTAATTGTGCAGATGATCTTTCCCATTGTCTTGCTTCCCTCCATCAATTGGTGTGCCTTCTGGATCTCCTCCCAGGGCAAAACTGTGTCTACGAATATCTTGAACTCTCCGCTCTCAAATAGCGGCAGGTACTCCTCGAGTTTGTCACGTAGTCTTCCTTGGTAGTTTTCATCTCGACTCCTCAAGGTGCTGCCCTCGATGCGGATTCGCTTGCCCAAGATCGGCCTGATGTCGAGGTTGCTCACCTGGGAGCCGCCCATCATGCCTAGACAGACAATCCGGCCGTCCCTGGCTGCCACGTTCAGATTATGTTGGAGATAGTTCGCGCCAATGAAGTCGACCACCACGTCGACCCCCTTGCCATCAGTCAGCTTCAGGATCTCCTGGGACCAGTCCTGCTCCTTGTAGTTGAAGGCAGCCGTGGCACCCAGTTCACCGACAACGAAGTCGCACTTCTCCTTGGAGCCCGCCGTCGCGTAAATCTGCGAGGCGCCGGCCCTCCTGGACAGCTGGATGCCGGCGATGGAGACGCCGGATGCGCCGGCGTGCCACAGAACGGCCTCGCCCTTCGCCACCTGACCCACAAAGTGGAGGGCTTGCGTGGCCGTGATCCACGTCTCAGGGATGCCGGCGGCCTGCTCAAAGCTGAGGTGCGCCGGCTTGTGCAGGAGCATCTTGGAGCTGACGGCGATGTACTCGGCATAGGCGCCCCCGTAGGCGAGGCCGAAGACCTCGTCCCCCCGCTTGAAGCTGCCGTGCTCGCCCGGCCCGAAGGACTCGATGGTCCCGCTGAACTCGACGCCTAGGGTCGCGGGCGCCTGGGGTGGGAGTGGGTAGTGGCCTTCCCGTTGGATCAGGTCCATGCGATTGAGCCCGAACGCTTTAATCTTGACAATGGCCTGCCCGGAAGCGGCCGTGGGCTTGGGGGTTCTCTCGTTGATGAACAGCGCATCGGAGTGGCCCTTGCCTCCCTTGATATCTTGGTTTGTGTCAGTAGCTTCTTGGCGGCACCCAGACGAGTCAGCTCGACTACCGAGACTCACCAACTGCTCTCATGAATTCCGCCATGGTGACCAGGGATATATATGATAGGAAGAATTTCTCGGTATTCAAGATTCCTTCCTTGGCCTACGATGTACAAAGCTCGTTTCACGATAGGAAGCCGGGGAAGCACATCATAGTACATACATGGAGCCTTCGGCTTTTGGGGCGCATGACGTCGGCGGATGTCGGGGTTATGAGGAGTACATGCGGGACGTTATAGCCACTATGGCCTAACCTGGAAACAACAAATTGACAATTGACGTGCCGGGTTTGCGCTCGACTCTAGCGACTTCCAACGACATCTTTTGAGCTGATGTTTGGTTCCACTTATAATTAGCAACAAACTACCTGAAGTCATGGAACCTATAAAGCTGAAGATAGATAGACCGAGATTCAAAGTGGGAAGGTCTGAGTGGCAAATGTGGGAGAGCTCCCTAGAGGACTCGATAAGGACGGGACTCGGCAAGGAACAACCTCCAAGCCCCCATCATGCCCACCCCACCGTATGATTCATATCAGACAGATTGGCAGGTAGGTACCCTGACCTCAAACCCGCGATGCCGGCTCTTAACGGGAGATGCAAGAGACGGTGAGGACATCCGTGGTTCTGGCTTGGCAATTTCACGCATTGCAACTATTCACTGTTGCTCTCGTTACGCTTCGTAAGCTCACATCGCGTTGGCTTTATTGGTAATTAACATTGGCGATGATAACATTGCACTAGTGGCGTTGTAAACACCTCGTAATCCTGGCAACTTTGGGGAGCCATTTGATTGTTGGAAGTAGTCTTATTGGACATATCACATATCCGAATGATCCTCGTCCGGATGTCTTGCCCGCCAGCGAATACCCCTTCGGGCCGTTCCAGCCTTCCAGGCGTGCTGGACCGGAAGCCAGCCGCCCAAGATTGGGAGCTGTTTAAAGCTTCGAAAGACTTTTCCAACCAGATTGGCATTGGTACATAACTGCCTATTTCGCTTGCTGGAAATCAGCTTTTCCAATACGAGCGAGTTTAGCGCATCTAAATCTACAGTGCGGCGGGCCCACTCTGCAAAGCACCTATGGATACGGATTACATAGGTAGTATTGTATGTTGCCACGCGAGCTTCGGAGGTACACCTCGAACATGACTCTCTCTCACCCCTGGAAAATCTCGTTACCGACCCGTGCTCGTGTTGCGGCCCATCCTGGATCTGGGCAGCATATTAAAAGATCAGTCTCTATATTGGGAACATTAGGTAGGTAACATGTGTGTCTCGGCCAAACTTTGTGTGCAGGACCAACAAAGCAGAGCTCACCATCGTAGAGCGGGAAAACAAATAAATAAAAACGAAAAAAGGAAATGGAAAATACAAAAAAATGGGTCGCTAATCTCATCTGTGTTGCTCTCAGCCGTACCTGCAGCAGGGTGCAGACTTAACCGCGTACCGAAGGCACGTACCGTCGTCGGTCAAATCGGCCCACCCCTCCCCCTGTCAATCCTCGTGTCGATGTTTTCCTTGTTTCCTCCTCACTCCTTGATGTGTGAGAGAGCACTTTTCACAGTGCTTCAGTTCCAGGCTCAGTACGTTCTGAATAATCTACTATGTAGGGATTTGCAGAGACTTACGAAGACGGAGCCACCAGAGAAGAAGAAGACTAGTGGATTTAGCTTCGATTGTTTCGTGTGTGGTGTGCGAGACATGGCAGCTCTAAGGAAACGCCCCTCGTTGTATTATTGTGACCCCGGTCAAGCCACCCGCCCACAAGATTTGTCCCTTCCATCCAATCCTTTTCACATCCCCTTTTGCTGACCGTATTTTTACGTGGCCCACCCCCCCTTTTCACCCTGAGGCCTGTCAACAAGAATCCAGACTCCACCACCCATGCCCAGTGCCAGGTCCCAGTTCCCTGCTAGCCAGTTCCAACATGATTTGACTGATTTTAAAATAACATGCAAGCTAGGGTAAAGGCTAGAAGGGCTAGGTCCAAGCTGCCAAGCAAGCTGGGCGCTATCTGGATTCCCATCAGGGGGTCCCATGGCCCATGCAGAGCATCCAGTATATAAAAACAAATGGTGCCAGGCTCTCATTCTCTTCCCTTTCCCTTCCTCACCCACACACATTCGCTCGATAACCAAACCCTGACTTTTTAGTCAATTTCACTCGTTACAGACCTCACAGCGCCTCAACTCGCCTACCAGCCTCAATCCTCACCAACGCCTACTCTCCCAACCAAATCAGTCAAGATGAAGTTCTCCGCTGCCGCCGTTCTCGCTGCCGTTGCCGGCGCCCAGGCTTATAGCAATGTCACCTACACCACCGAGGTCGTCACTGCCGTGACCACCTACTGCCCGGGACCCACTGAGATCGTCCACGGTGACAAGACTTACACCATCACTGAGGTACGGCACTTTACGACGCGAGACGGATAGTCGGGTTGGTCTGGGGGGTTGAGGCTTTTGGAGGACAACGACCGGCTGCTTGAGCCAGGGCCACCTCGTCACGGGCATTATCACTCAATCACCCGCAGAACCACCCGATTCGACTCCTCGACGTCCTCCCAATTGAAGATGAGGAATGTTGCTGACATGAATAAACCGCAGGCCACGACTTACACCATCACCGACTGCCCGTGCACCGTCACCAAGCCCGTCTACTACACCTCGTCAGTGATCTGCAACACCTGGTGAGCTCATACGAGTGTTTTGAGAAGCCCCTTATTAACATGAAAACACAGCAGCACCAGCTACCCCAACAACACCGCCACCTACGTCCCGGTCGGCCCCACCGGAACTGGCAGCTACACCCCGACCAGCCCCCCCACCAGCGTTCCCACGGCTGGTGCCGGGAAGGCCGCCGCCCTCACCGGCGCTGGCCTTGCTGGTATCGTTGGCCTCGCTGCCTTCATCCTCTAAATTTCTTGCGACTAGTCGCGTCCAGCTCATGACCTACGATCTCTTTTCTGTCGATAATACCCTAATTCGTGGGGAGCATGCCAATATAGTGACTGGAGCCAGTTGGTTGTGATGTAATTTAGAAGATGGGTGTCGTTAGAGGGGGAGGATAGACGGGAATGGAGTCCTTTGGAGACCAAACCGGAGTCTTAGCATTGCACTATGGAGTTCTGTTTTAACATTACGGCCACGCGATGTCTCGGCTTCGGCTCTGGGTTTCTCAAGACACTTCTTGTCCGGTTACTTTCGGCGCGTTGGCATGCGACCAAGCCATCGCAGAGGATTCATCAAATTACGGTGTGTGCGGTCTTGCCTTCGCAACCTGGGTTTTGGAAAGCATTCAAAGGAGACTTGGATTATTGTCTTTCTCGTTTCACTTGAAAGATGGTTTGACAGGTCTCGACAAATATCAATGCCTTTCAATTCCCACCATATCATGTTATATTCTCATGTGCTCTGCCTGTGCCACTTGCCATAACTCGTCCAATTACCAGGGCAAGTGACGACAAGCACAGTATTGTTATCCATAGCCCAAGAGGGGCCTGTTTCCAAGTTTATTGATCCAAGTGATAAACACGAACGCTATCTCTTGTCCTGTTGGCAGCTTGAAGGACTTGAGCACCGCACGACTAAAATCATGGACTATCACTCAGACATCCTGCCATCCATCTCTCGCGACAGACGTGAAGTTTGCCTAACCATACCGTTTGATGAGCTCCTCGCATTCCTTCAGCGAAATTTCCGCCAAACGTCGGTGGAGATGGGTCTTACCGTTCAGGTATGACCTACCGTAATACAGCCAGCCACTGTGGCGCTATGTGACAACAACAGCGCGTCTTGAGAACTTCCCCTCTCAGAGTGCGCCACTTACAAGCTCAATATGGGATCTCAATCTCTCGATATCCCATACAGCGGGCCCCGAAGCCGGCTTAATCGTTGCCCGAAGCCTCTCTCGATGGCAAGCTGCCCTTCGCCTTGCAGAGTCGGCGGCAGGCATTCCGCGCGCCAGCCTCAACCTCGAAACTGTCCTCTCCCGAACACCCTCACTACCTCCCCAAATTCCCAATGATCTCGCTTGGGTTGAGGGTTATTCTACATGGACAAATACCGACTCAGCATGTTGCCTCGCAACAAAGACTGAGCGCATCCATAGTTTCGATCTCAGGATTCGTCACCCTACAATATGAAGAGCATCGTCACTGCCCAACTTTGTGGATTGGGAGGGAAAGCCAAACAACGGTATTGCCATTTTGGTTCTAGGTTGGGCATACATCTTAACTGCCAGCCTTGCGGAGAGGCAGAATCTTGCCATGGAGTACGCTTCAACCTCTGACAACCCTTCTCGTGGGCCAGAAATCAACCTTGACTATGCCTCGCCGCATGAAATTGCCTGGTGGAAGGCCATTACTGCTCCTGGAATTGGATGGTCTATTTCTGGCGGTCAGATATCACCATGGGCACTGCAAGTTGACGATATCGGCCTTAGTATTAGGGGCAAACTTGATGTTAGCCAGCGCCTTCCAAGATCTAGAGAAGCTGCACACTACCTCTCAAGGCTATACCATGCCTATGATCTTGGAAGTCAGTGCTCTGCAGCACTTGCAGCAGCTCTCGCCCTCCCGTCTCACACAGTATACCACAAGCCTGCCACAATCGAGCTTCCCAGGCCCTCGTTCCCGATTCCTGCTCACTCTCCAGGTCAGCAAGGGTACCCCATTGAGTTTGACAACCTTGGTTACTACATGTCATTCAGTCTTAGCGAGTCGATTTTCGGTCCCTCTCTATGGAGCATCTTTTTAAGAGCCAGGAGCACCTTGCAATTTTGCAGGCGCCTGGCTAGGACCCATTGTGACTATTCTTGAACCCATAATCCGGAACAACAACCTAGAGCTGCTGGCAAAGGTCTTATCTTTCACAAGAGCTCGCGCCTCTATGGCTTGGCGTTGCGCTCTGCGGGCCGCAGGGCCTCGTGAGGTTAATCCTATCCTCACTTGAAAAAGCATACTACTATCCACAGGTGGTCAATGATATAAACTCTGCCGCATGGACTGGCATGGCCCAGTCATTTATGCATATCCATCCTCCAGGCCCCTATCTTCGTAAAGGGATGGTATCAAGAGCAGATGTATGGCGCTTGCGCCACGACTGCACTGCCGAGTACGAAAAGAGCGCATGATTTGACCACACTCCGACATATGGATGGCCACCTTTTGGCCAGATGCGGGAGGAGGACGTCGAGCTTGAGATCCGCAACCATTTGCAATGCTCTGTGCATAGGTGGAAGTACGCGTGGTGGACTTGGTTGCCGGGCGGAATCAAGGATGTTGGATATTTGCCTGATGGCAAGATTTCGCTACCACCGGAAAAGTTGCCCGGAGAAGGCGACGGGATGCAGCAAGGCCAAGCCCCGGAGACGATGAACCTCTGCCATGTATCGAAGCGCGTCACGGAAATGGCGTTCTGGTACTGTTGTACCCAGGTTGAGGAGGGCTTCGGCGGCACTCTGGTGAGACGATTTGGGGGAGGGCCCGATCAGCCGCCCAGGGAGAGTGGCCAAGGTATGAAATCACTTGACAGGAAGGCCATCCGTGAGTGGTTGCGAAGTGTTGAGAGGGAAAAGGAAGAAAACGCCATGGCCGAAAACTGTGGCATGGAGGGCGGGGATGGCTCGCCCTGTCACACGCTATCGTCTTCGCCAGCCAGCTCCATATCAGCGTCACTTTCCTCAACCGCGGGCATGGATCATGCGCCAGAAGTATCGGACGGGCTGGGAGGAAAAGGTCCCAAGAAGTTCCACAGTGTTGCCAGTAGTTCTCAATGAAGCGGCGAGTCTTTGATACGTTCAGAAGCTCGGCTTGGCCTAGGTTGCGTAGTTGTATGGTAGATTTAAAGACGAATTTTCGCTCTTCTACTTCAATCCCTCTTGCGATTACTTGTGGCTGTTCGTACATAGCGTACTGAGGTTATCTACTGATAACGGTTCTGCCCAATCGGCATGGTGGTGGATCCAAAATCCCGGGCCGTTACCGAAGGTTTTGGTTACTGCTGTCGGGGAAACGGAATGAGGGGTGTGACAACCACACGTCAGCCTCCATATGGGGATCTGGGGGGTTGTGGAGGGGCGCTATGGTCTCACAACCGAGGATCAGAGTACTCGATGCGAACGACCGATGAAACTAGATATGCTGATTTAAGTTCCAAGATTATCCCATTGTCCCATTCTCTCCCCCTTCTTCCCGAATCCGTTGAGGTCAAAAGTGTATGCTATTGGTTGTCAAGTGACTACCCAGTGAGGCAGTCTTCCAAGTTCGGACAAGATGGATCACCCACAAGACGAAGTCCAACACCACTCGCTCAGTGACCCGGAGGGTTTCTGGGCCCACCAAGCCGAGCACTTGTACTGGCATAAGAAGCCGTCCGCGGTCCTCTCGCGGAGGGCGAAGACGCTGAAGAGCGGTGAGACCCACGACCACTGGGAGTGGTTCCCAGATGGCGAGATATCGACCTGCTACAACTGCGTCGACCGCCATGTCCACGCCGGCCACGGCGACCTGCCCGCCATCCTGTACGACAGCCCCGTCACCAAAACCAAGCAGAGGATCACGTACAAGCAGCTCCTCGACGAGGTCGAGACCTTCGCCGGCGTCCTCCGCCAAGAGGGCGTCAAAAAGGGGGATGTGGTCCTCGTCTACAGTAAGTACCAAGCCCACCCGACGTAGCTCCCCCCTTCCCACCGCCCTCCGGAAGGAGCAGGAGTAGGAGCAGGAGCAGGAACAGGGACGCCCAATGCCAACTCCCATCTCTACCAGTGCCCATGGTCCCCGCCGCGCTGATCGGCATCCTCGCCGTCAACCGGCTCGGGGCGATCCACGCCGTCGTCTTCGGCGGCTTCGCGGCCGGCGCGCTGGCGCAGCGCATCGAGGCGTCGCGGCCGGCGGCCATCCTGACGGCGTCGTGCGGCATCGACGGCGGCAAGCCGCCCATCCCGTACCGCGACCTCGTCGCCGAGGCCGTCCGCCTCAGCCCCTGGAAGCCCCCACGCACCGTCATCTGGCAGCGCGAGCAGCTCGGCTGGCACCCGATCCGCAAGACCGAGGGCGAGCGCAGCTGGCAGAACCTGGTCAAGAGCGCGAGGGCGAGGGGCGTCAAGGCCGACTGTGTCCCCGTTAGGTCGACTGACGGCATCTACATCATTTATACGAGCGGCACGACGGGCCTGCCGAAGGGGGTGGTGAGGGATAGCGGCGGGCATGCCGTGGGGTTGCATCTGTCCATCAGCTATTTGTTTGGTATCCACGGGCCGGGCGACGTGGTGAGTCTGTCTCTGTTGCGACGGGGGAGAGCCAACATGAGGAGAACGGCGTGGTTATGGCTAACAGAAAATCCCGCGGCAAGATGGGCTGCTTCAGCGATATCGGCTGGGTAGTCTCCCACAGCTACACGCTCTACGGGCCGCTGTTGACCGGTGCCGCCACCGTCCTCTACGAGGGTAAGCCGGTCGGGACACCCGACGCCTCCGCGTTCTGGAGGCTCATCGAGGAGTACAAGATCAACACCATGTTCACGGCGCCGACGGCTCTGAGAGCCATCCGCAAAGACGACCCGGAGAACAAGGCGCTTGCGGCGGTAGCGGAACGCGGGGGGCTCAAAAGCCTGAAGGCCATCTTTCTGGCTGGCGAGAGGTCCGAGCCCGCCATAATAACCATGTACCAGGATCTCCTGAAGAAGTACGCCGCCGAGAACGCACACGTCATCGACAACTGGTGGTCTTCTGAGTCCGGCTCGCCCATCTCGGGCATCGCCCTGGTACCGCACGCGGGCAAGGACCGGAAGACAAGCCAGAAGGGGCATCCGCCCTTGGAGATCAGACCCGGCAGCGCGGGCAAGGCCATGCCGGGCTTCGACGTGCGGGCCGTCGATGATGACGGCAACGAGGTACCCAGGGGCAAGATGGGCAACATCGTGCTGGCCGCGCCCCTGGCCCCGACGGCGTTCCGCACGCTCTGGGAGGACGAGGAACGCTTCTACAAGGGATACCTGCGGCGCTTCGGTGGCAGGTGGGTGGATACCGGCGATGCTGGCTTTGTCGATGAGAAGGGGTATATCCATATTATGGCACGGTCTGGTAAGAGATTTCTTCGAAATGACAGTTGATGGGTATGTTTACTAATTGGGATGGCAGATGATATCATCAACGTCGCAGCGCATCGACTGAGTACCGGTAGGCAACATACATGCAGGCAGGCATCTGTCTGCTCACTTGAATAACCTACTAAAACATTATAGGTACCCTTGAGCAAGCGATAACAAGCCACCCGGAGGTCACAGAGGCGTGCGTGGTAGGCATCCCCGACGCCCTCAAGGGCCAGATGCCGTTCGCGTTCGTCGGGGCGGGCGGCGACGTGTCGGACGAGCGGCTCCTGGCCGAGATACAGGGACTCGTGCGCGGGCAGGTCGGGGCGATCGCGACGCTGGGGGGCATGATCCGCGGGCCCGGCATGATCCCCAAGACGCGGTCGGGCAAGACGCTGCGCCGGGTGCTGCGCGAGCTGCTCGAGAACGCCGTCAACGGCGAGTTCGACAAGCCCGTCAACGTGCCCTCCACCGTCGAGGACGCCTCCGTGGCGGACGTGGCGAGGGAGAGGGTCAGGGCATACTTTGCCGAGAGGGGAGACCGGCATAGGTCGATCGAGGCGAAGGCTAAGCTGTGAGGGGGAGGGGCCGCCCTGTTGTCTTTGTGGAAATGCGATGTACCTCTTGGGTGTTTTATGAAGCAATACTCCGACAGGATGATTAGTGTAGTCGTGAGGCTAGGAATCTGGAATAACACCATCTTGAACATCTTCCTGTGAGCTCTATACAGTCTATCGTGTACATCGATATCCTCGCCTTCATTCTCCACCCTATCGGCGTGATCATTGGCTACGCTGCTCCAACCGATCACCTTGACCAAACTGTATTTATCTATATCTTTGCTTGACTGCTGCCCTTTAGCATGGGCTTTATAGGGATCTTAGGGTGGCCGCCCGCTAACTTGAGGCCGGTGACCCTCTCTAGCTGCTCTACACCCTCAAATGCCTTCCCAAGCGGCACCTTGATGGTCTGGAACCCGACCTTACTCGCGGCCTTTAGATTCTCCCCGATGTCATCCAAGAAAACGACGTCTTCCGCCCTAACCCCGTCGCCCCACGCGGCCGCCCTTCCCCGTTCCGTGCCCGAGTTGGACCTGGCAAACTGGTCAACCAATTCCAGGGCCAGCTGGTAGATCTTCGGGTCTGGTTTCCTCAGCCCGACGTGCGCGGACGAGACAAATACGTCGAACAGGCTCCGCACGGGGTCGTCGAGGAAGTCCTTCCGCGAGTACTCGTGGTCGGGCGGGAAGATGACGGTGTTGCTCAGCGCCGCCACGATGTACTCGCCGCTGGCCTTCAGGCGCTGCAGGGCCGGGAACATCCACGGGTCGGGGGCCCTTGCCGCGGCCATCATGTCGAAGAACATCCACTCGCCGTCGAGCCGCGGAACCGGAGGGACGGCGGCCGGAAGGTCGGGGTTCTTGTCCCGCTGTGCCTGGTAGAAGGCCTCCCACCGTACAGGATCATGGAGGTCTCTGTTGAAGCCGGAAAAGAACGCGGCATCCATTGGGATCTTCCCGGTTTCGAGACGGTGCCAGAATCCATCCGGCGCGGTCTTTGAGATGGAGTAGTTTACCCATCCAGGGGGGATGCCAAGGCTGAGCTCATAATCTAAGATTGATTGGAAAGGAGATACCACCTGTGAGGAGTTAGTTTTGGCTTCAGGAAGCTGACGCCCCTAGGCTGTCTGTCTCGAGATAGGAATGGAGATTGTTGTGACAGGGGGCAACGAGCGGACTGGCACTTACACAGACACCACCAATGTCGAAAAGGATGACTTTTGGTCGCCGTTGGGCCGCCATAATTGTATCGACGGTGTCTAAAATATATTCTACGGGATGATCTTCATCAAGCATCTCAGTAGGTCGGCTTTGAAGTTGTTTTGACTACATGTCGCAAGATACCTATTGACCGTTGGCAAGCCCAGCTCGGGTTTCGAGGCGGATGATGGGACCCGCTTGCTGGACCTCGGCTTCAATTCGGGGAAGTCAAGTAGGAGGAGTGTGAATTTGGACGCCAAGTCACATGACTAGTCAGCAGACTCGTCGCCCACCAGTCTCGCTTCCAGCTTGGACCAGGCGATTTAGGGCTGCGGGGCAGTTTTCCACCCACTATTTAGAAATTTGCAACAATAATTTCCAACACAACGCCAACTCGACCCTTGCTGAGTAGAATCGCCCAGCAACAACCGTCAAGATGGTAAGTTGAGAGAATCCCGCCCGGAGCCTCGGGTGAAAGTGCAATTCGCACTCTGCATGAAAATGGAAATGCCACGAGATTGAGAGTCAATGCAAGATGCTTCGGCTGGTTGGCATACACTGAAGCGCAAATTGCTGACTCGGGGTTCTTTTCGTACACAGCCGTTCCACAAGTTGGTGAAGAACAGCGCGTACTACAGGTGAGTATTCCTATCTCGTTGCATTTGACTGCCTCCTCTGACGATTCCCCCCCGTCTGCAGTCGCTTCCAGACCAAGTACAAGCGCAGAAGGTCTGGCAAGACCGACTACTATGCCCGCAAGAGGCTCATCACCCAGGCCAAGAACAAGTACGGCGCTCCCAAGTACAGACTGGTCGTCCGCTTCACCAACCGCGACATCATCACCCAGATCGTGACCTCTGAGATCGGCGGCGACAAGGTCTTCTCCTCCGCCTACTCTCACGAGCTGCCAGCCTACGGCATCGAGCACGGACTTACCAACTGGTCTGCCGCTTATGCCACCGGTCTGCTCCTTGCCCGCCGTACCCTCAAGAAGCTCGGCCTCGACGAGGATTTCGCCGGTGTCGAGGAGGCCGATGGCGAGTTCTCCCTGACCGAGGCTGCCGAGACTGATGATGGCGAGCGCCGCCCCTTCAAGGCGTTCCTCGACGTTGGTCTTCACCGGACCTCGACTGGTGCGCGCATCTTCGCCGCCATGAAGGGTGCTTCCGACGGTGGTATCCTCGTTCCCCACTCGGAGAACCGATTCCCCGGCTTCGACATTGAGTCCAAGGAGCTGGACGCCGATACCCTCAAGAAGTACATCTTCGGCGGCCACGTTGCCGAGTACATGGAGTACCTCGCCGACGACGACGAGGAGCGCTACAACAGCCAGTTCCAGAAGTACGTCGAGGACGACATCGAGGCTGACGGTCTCGAGGACCTGTTTGCCGAGGCCCACAAGGCCATCCGCGAGGATCCCTTCAAGAAGCACGAGAGCGATGCCCCCAAGAAGACCAAGGAGGAGTGGAAGAAGGAGTCCCTGAAGTACCGGACCAAGAAGCTCACTTACGCCGAGCGCCAGGAGAGGATCCAGGCCAGGATTGCCGAGTTCCGGGAGGAGTAAGGTACCTGTTACGGTGGAAGGAATGTTCACACGGCTGGTTTCTCGTTAGGAGTTCTCATGCATATCAGGGCACGGTCAAAATGAATGAATGGGGTTACTCAAAAGCCAATCCTTGTGACTTATGCGAATGCAAAGTGTTCAGGGTCCTTTTTGTGTGGCGCCAAGAACCGCGATATGTGGATCAATGTCGTCATCGCTGGACAATCTTCCCACATCTTCCCACAGACGCCTCACGCCACATACATAGAGCACTTGTCACGTTGCCCAATAGTTCCTCACCCCAACCCTAGCATGTGCCGACCTCCTATTACACTGCCAGTACTCGTACGGACGTATGAACTACGGTCACACGATTTTAACTGACGTCTTGTCTTATGTGCTGTGAGTATGCGTACGTCGTACCAAACATATTTGATTCCTAAAAGTACCGAGTGTGTTGGTATCCCACTAGCCCGACATAGGCTGGGCACTAACGATATGCGGAGTGATTGAGTGACTGCCGAGTTGGTCAGCCATGGTCAGCCAGAACCTAGGTAAACAGATGGAAAGGAAGAGAATGTTCCGTAGGTCCGTACACAATGAAGGTACTCCCAATGCAACTGAGGCAATCCGAGAGTTCTGCAAGGGTTTGCCGGAAAACGTTTGCCAGGTCGATTGGACATGGGAGCGGGATTTTCAAGGCTTAGTAAGACCAGTCAGAATGTCAAGTCCGTCCCGTCCCCAAGTCTAGGGTCCATTTCCCCAGCTCCCATCTTGCAGCGATCCTTTCCTGTGTATTCCGTAGACGCACCACTTTGGGCAAGCCCCGGGCACACCCTACAGTAGCTAAAACCAAGCATATGACCTACTACTTGTCTAAAAGCTAAAGGGTATCAGTCTCACGAGCCGGACCCTCCCTTTTTGTCTAACGACTCCCCGACTTCCTACCCTATTTCCCTGTTATTGCAGGCGCGACGGGAAGCTTCACGTCCACTCCCGACGCTATGGCTTTCAGCTCGCTCGCCATATGTCACCAATGACGGAACCCCCACCTTGAAGTTCCAGCTGAACAACCATCCCGCACACTTTTTGCCTCCTTGGAACTGGCACAACGCCGGATATTTGCATATCCTTCGCATGCGAACGGAGGAACTGCCGGACTGCTTCTTGAATCCTAGAACTCCACCACCTTGGTGGGTGTTATCACGAGATGGAACACATCCACGGTATTGACGTTAGCTGGATGACCCATGGTAATCCGAAAGGTGTGCTTCATCTTGGGGCCTACTTCTTGTCGCCACCCTCATCCCTTGGGAATAGCTACTCGGCCCATTCGAACGTATTAATTGACACAGCTGCTAAGAACAATCCCTTTTCTAGACACAGCAATCAAGGCGGCAAATCGCCAAAGATCGCAATCACAACAGGCTCGAGAATCACAAGCTAGAGGATCACAAGCTCAAGAATCACCCGTGCCGAGTCCTGCCCCGTCTTCGCCCACCCCATCCGCCACCAATGGCCAGAAGGCCACACCTCCTGCTCCCACGGCCAGTACAACCGCTCCGAAACCGGTCCCTCTTTCGCGACCTAGCAGCTACCCAAGACCTGCATCTGGCGAGAAGAACGCGTCTCCAACAGGAGCATCGCCTCAACGGCGAAATTCCTGGTTCTCCAGCCTTTCCTCCAAGTTCTCCAGCAACGCGGGTGGCCAGAGTCCTCCACAGGCCAATAATGCACCCGCGAAACAGGCCGAGCTCTCTGTCCCGAAAGCGAGTCCCATCAAGAATGCCGTTCTGCAGCCTGCCGCGAAGTATGAAGGAGAGGGGCCGTATACACCAGCGCCGCCAAAGTCGACGCCGGCCGGTCTCTTACAGGTCTTTCGTCGATTGTCAACAAGCAGTAATCTTGCCCCCAGCATGAGGGGGATCAATCATGGGCTCGTGGAGAGGAGAGTGCTCAACGTCAACCGTGACAGAGAGCGATGTTCTATATCGGACCTGAAGCAATCCAAGCTTCGGAGGGTCGCCTTCTGTGTTGATGTTGAGGTTGCTCCAATGCCAAAATACGCAGACGCAGACGGAAACGGGGCTGGTGTGTCGGAGAAGACCTGGCCCAAAGACGATAAGTCTCAGAAGCGGAAGATAGCCGAGAAGGGCGAGGGTGAGGCCCTCAAGCACCCAAAGGCTGTCGAGGAGCAGAAAGAGGACGATGGGGAAGTAAAGGCGACGGGGGAACGACTTCCCAAGGAGCCGGAGAAGGAGGGGACCGAGCCGTGCAAAGAGGCACCTGCGGCAGAGGCTAAGGGTCCTGTCTCAGAGGCTGTTCCAACACAGAAGACTACAGACACCAAGAAGAAGGACAAGAAGAAAAAGAGCGAAGAGGAAAGAAAAACGAGGAAAGAGAAGAAGCGGAGGCTTGCAGAAGCTAATGGCACGATTCCGATGGAAATCCACTTCGACAGTGACTCGTCCGAGTCGTCTACACCTACTTCAGAGGGGCCGAGACCGCAGAACATGCCGACGACAAACCCCGTTCGGATATACCGCCGATGCTGCCAGCTCCGCGAAACACCCATCCTCAAGAAAATAACTGAGCAGCTTATGGACACTGCCAACTTCTCTGCCGAGTCTGGTATGGTGGAGAAGCTGGATCTCACCGGATATTGGATGCAGCTCGCCGACCTTGTTACTCTAGGAGACTACCTGGCTGTCGTTCCTGTCAAGGAGGTTATCCTAGAAAACTGTGGCCTCACAGACGAGGGCCTTAGGGTTGTCCTCGCAGGGCTCTTAGCAGTCAGGAAGTCGGAGAGCAGGAGGCGAAAGAAACCCATCAGCCCGGACGATCTCTCGTCGCAAGGCGGAGTCGTGGAACGGCTTGTTTTGAAGAACAACAAGTTCGGGCCCGAGGGGTGGAAGCATCTCTCTCTCTTCATCTATCTCTGTCGGTCTCTGAAAATCCTGGACCTGTCGAGCATACCTTTTCCCCAACCGTCGAAGCGTGCAGGCACCCAAGCAAACGGAACGCCTAGCCATCCGAACCTCTGCCAGCTTTTCGCAAGATCATTACGTGATCGTCTAGGCGGCTCGACGCTTGGCCTCCTCAGTCTAGGAGAGACCGGCCTAAGCACTGAACAGTTGGGTTCTGTGGTTGACGGCGTTATCGAGTGCGGAGTCAAGAGACTAGGCGTGGCACATAACAACATCGACGCCGAAGGAGTCCAGCATATAGCTAAATATCTCCGCAGCGGCAAATGTGAGGGGCTTGACCTGGGCGGTAACGACATGCGAGATCAGCTAGAAGTTCTTGCAGACGCCCTCACCGAGTCATGTCATCTTGGGGCTCTGAGCCTAGCCGAGTGCAATCTCGAGCCATCCTCGCTGAGCAGGTTGCTTCCGAAGCTTGCCAAGCTCCAAAACTTCCGCTTCCTCGATCTCTCACACAATCGCGAACTATTTGACTCGGGCCGCGGCGCGATTTCGGCTTTAAGAAGGTTGGTTGTTGCAATCTCCACCTGTTTTGTCGACCGCTGCCTTTCCGCTAACTTATCATCTGTAGATATCTGCCAAAGTTCGCCACTCTGAAGCGTATCCACCTTGCCGACTGTGCTATGAGTCCCGAGCAGGCAATCGCCCTGGCCGAGGTCTTGCCAGAGATTCCAGGCCTCGCCCACATCAGCTTCCTGCAGAACCCCAAGATTGCCCACCTGACGAACACGAAGACGGAAGAGGCCCAGGAGGAAGCGTTCGCACTGTTCGCCTCCCTCCTTGCAGCAACGAGGTTATCAACCGGCATTGTATGCATCGACATTGAGGTTCCTGGCGAACAGTCGAGTGATCTCCTCAAAGCGATGGCTAAACAAGTCGTTGCGTACTGCCTGCGCAACATGGAACGTCTTCCCGTGTCCGAACTTGCTGCAGCCACGCTGGCTCAGACCGAGGCGTCTGCGAGGCATGATGCGCAATATCCAGACGTGCTCCAGCACTTGGTTGGCCGCGATGTAAATGGGCCGCCTGAGCTCGACACCGACCTTGAGGTTGCACCTGACGACGACTATGTCATCGGAGGCACCGGTGTCGTCAAGGCCCTGACTTGTTGCTTACAGAATAGGGGCGATGAGTCGAGGAGACAGTCTGGAGAATTCACAAAGGACCTGGAGAACGGCACACCGATATCGAAGCCAAGGGTGTCACCAGGTAAAGCAAAGGATATGTCCAAACACCTTCTCTCGACCGCGAGGAAGATCAGGCTGCGGTTGCAACCGGCCCTCGTAAAGGCAAAGGAGACGCCTGGCGAGGATGCGCACGCCTACCGTAAGTCGTGGACCCTAGGTTGATGGTCTGCCAATATCTGCTAACGGTCTAGCACAGAACGTCTACTCTTCCTCGACAACATCCTCAAGGGGATTATCAAACGATTCGAGGATGAATTCCCCGAGACTCGGGAACCTACCGATAGCGCCGTCGCCATATCACTGGAGGCCCAACCCGGCCAGGTGCTCGGGTCTTCACCATCCTCGACCGATGCTGACTTGTTCCCCCCCGCGATTTTGTCCGACGCGGAGGACGAACCGGACTACACCATCAAGTCCCCGTCCCTGTCACGGTCAAACTCTGTCATCAGCACGACGTCCAAGGCCCTTGCCAACGAGGAAGGCAGGGTTCTGCGGGCCGGTCACAAGTTCCGCTCCGGCATCGTCAAGCCCGAGGCCTACATGCTGCTGTCGGGCGTGGAGATGGTCGGCGCCGACCCCAACCACGTGCGTGTGCTGCACGAGATGCTGGGCGAGCTGGGCGACGAGGAGCTCCTCCGGAAGGCGGACGAGATAGGGCCTGTGCGTGTCTTCCAGGAAGACAAGGACCTCATCTTGCATCAACTCCGGGAAGCGGACCCGGAGCACTGGGAGCGCTTCGCGGAGAGCCAGGAGATGGCGAGGAAGAACGTCAAGTTGGACGAGGACAAATGCCCAAAATCCCCGGTCAACGGTGCCGCGGTTATGGAGGGGGACAAGCCAGATCAAGTCAGCGAGGAGGCAGTTGTGGTGGACTGAGGTGGCCCGCTCGGTTTTTTGGGACACGCGCCTCGAATACTGCTTGGTTTGTGGTGCACTGTACATAGTTTCGGGTTGCAAGTCATGTTTTAATTGGCGGGGGCGTCTCTGGATGAAAGGCGCCGCGTTCGAAGGCGACCCTTCTTTTTTGCGATTTCTTGGGAAAGGCGATCATTACTGCCGCGAGTCACGGCATGTCAAGAATACCACTGCGTTGCTTTCGCCACGCTTCTGGAAGGAGCTGCTGCTGCAGAGCAGTTGATGGGGTATAATATTCATTTAGCGTTTTAGCCTACCTATGTACTGTCGGAAATGAGAATTGACGGCTCTTGGATTGTCCCAGGGGCAGTGATACTCGTCTTGCTCGCACGAAGGTCTGATGTACGGAGGCAAATGTGACTTCGACATAGTGTAGGTAGGTGGTAGGTAGGTAGGCATTCGCACAGGACATTGGACTGAAGATCGGGTAAGCAGGCAGACAGCACACCACCGATGAGGTGAGGTAGGATTGCAGCATCATCAACATGCGTGATCAGCGGCACTGAGAGCCGCTTCTGAGGCAGGCGACGGGAGGTGGGTGCGGTTCCCGGTCCGATCCCATTCCGCAAGCACACTTTTTCAACTTCTTATCCAGCATCCTGAAGTGGATTTTGTTCTATTTGCTTGACTTTCCTTCTATCTCCCTCGTTTTCTTTTACCCCTTCTACTTACTTAAAATTTGCCGTATGGCATCCAGAGTGTGCGCTGCTTGGTCCTGTGGGACTTTACTGTGCAGACTGTAGAAGGTGTGCGCCGAAGACTTCTGGAACACAAGGACTAAGATTCTAACTTCGAAACCCACATCTAACCCGTCTCCTGAGAGACAACGAAACCACGGAACGGAAACCACGAAGAAAGTTAAGAATATGGGACGCAGCCAAGCTTCAGAAACTAGCAGGCAGGGGAGAATATGTTCACGAGTAAATGGTTCGCACTGCGGATCATTTTAGTCCAGAAGGATACCTGTAGCTAGCAGTAGTCCCGCGGTTGAGAATACCAGATCTCTGTGGCTGCGCGAGGGGGAAAATAGAAGAAAAAAAGAAGTAACCAAAGTCGGTCATCGGCGGCGCCATCCAAGGACGGGCGGCATTGCTCGACCCAGAGAGACAGCCAGAGCGAAACAGCAGAGCCAGGATACTGTCTTCCCCGGTTGCTCTTACTCCAACCTGGCCGGCCAACCCCTCCCCGTAGGACGAGGCTCAGCATCGTTAGAAGGAGGTTGAGTTCAGAGGAGAAAACTTGTCTCCCTTTCATTTCGAGACCGTGGCTCCGCAAGCTAGATGTAGTACTTAATTATATAGCCAACAGTGAGTGCGTGGCGGTGAAGCCCTTCCATTCTCCCACCTTCCCCAAGACTGCCTCTCAACGGATTCTGGTAAGCAGGCCTGAAACATTCCACACCCAGTCCCCGCAAGGCATGAAATGTCTCGGCAACTGGCCTGGTCGCCACGAGGTAGAAACCGGGTCAGTCGAAATCGGGCGGCCCAGGTTGGCAGTTTTAGCGGACCCGGGATAGCGATAGCTTCGCATGAATGATTGAGGTCAGGAAGGCTGGAGACATTCCGGGCTGGAGGAGGCACTTGCAAGTCAGAGCTCGCGGGAAGAACAGGCTAAAGGGGGAGAGGGATGGTTTGTTGGGTGCATGAATTGATCCCCTTCATCTAAAGATTGCCCTCCCCTGGTGGGTTTCAAGTGTGACTTTCGTCACGATGGCCCACATTACCCTGGGTGAGAAGAAGGGGAAATCCTCGTTTGCCATCATAAGTGGCTCATTGGCGACCGAGTTCTTGGCCAACGTTGAGGCGTTTTCCTACCTTCCCTGTCCCGTGTTTCCCGAGATAGGAAAAGGGGCCCAAGTGACTGTCAACTAAATCGAAATTTGCCGATTGGCGCGACCTGCCGCCAAACGTGCAGCGACTGCCGACCGTTTTTTTTCTAAAGATACCTACCGGCCGTGGGGTTGCAATCTACTCTGTCGGCGGCTAGGTGGAAGTTCGTCTCTCCGGTGCACGCTGCACTGCACGCTGCAAGCTATTTTGAGATGAAATCCTGGTAACTGTTTGGCGCAATCCTGATTATGGTTGCCTTGTCAAGCAGCTATGAAGGCACGATGGTTAGTTAGGTCGGAGTCCTGGGGAGTGTCTCTTCAGGAAGGCAAGTGAGGATGGAAGAAGAAAGCTTCGCGGTGGTGGCTGAGTTTGGGCTGACTTGCAACAAGCTTTCAGGGTCTCTAATCCATACCCCGGCCCCCCGCGCATCTGAAGGCGAGCTGCGGGTTGGGTGGGTGCTGGGTCAAACCGTTGGCTAGGCAGACCCCTGGATCATAGAGGTGTAATTATAGACACCCGCAGCAGCTGTATGGAATACTCCGTACTCGGGCGCGGCTCAGCTTGGCCCACGGCCCAGCCTTGAGCAAGGGTCATCCGCTGTCCCAACTTCCTCTCCTTCGGCGGCAGCGAATGCCTGATCCTCGGAAGATCCTCCATCTTCGCCAGGTCTGAGCTGGGCCTGGTCAAACCAACCTCGCAGCCGTACATAATGACGCCTCCCCCCGATCCCTGCCTGAGACCCCCGGCCTCATGTGTAATGCTTCTCTCCAAGTATAGACGACAATCAGGTTGAGCTTCTTTTCAGTCATTCTTCTTCGAGCTTTCTTTCCTTCGTTCGTTCGTCTCTCACGCAGCTCTCCTTATGTCGCTTGTGCTTGGGCCTTATTAAGGCAGCCCTGCTTCTTCCCTTGGGATGGAGGTAGTCATACCTCCCAGAGACCATGGCCCGTCCACTTACAGGTATACGTGGGACGAGAATGGAGAGGTGATGCAGGTTACGAGGTTTGCAATCCCAGCCGTGCCCCTTGCCCCTCTCTTGATGAACGGAGGCACTGACACCTACACCATCTCAGGGTCGCGGGCCAGCAGCAGCAACAGCTTCAACAGCCGCCCATGTCCGAACAGTTCAGGGTAGGCAGGCAGACGGTGCAATGGCCCTTTGAAAGCATGGCGACCGAGACCGATGTCTCGAGCACCGTCGTGTCGCACTTCGCCCGAAGGGCCACCTGGGAGCCGCGGCCCCTCCTGAGCAGGGGCTCTGACTCGTCCACCATCGCCAAGGATCTGGTCCCGGACTACGTCATCAACTATCTCCGCGGGGAGACCCCGGAGACATTGGCGAAGCGGAGACAGAACGGGGGGCGGCAGGGCCAGCGAGGCGTCGACCTCGCCCACCCGCATGGACTGCGGCGGTCCCGGGCGGCAGAGTTTGAGAGCTTCTACGACGACACTTCTAGTCGGTCTGGGTTCTCGAGAGCGGGTTCTATAGGAGACGAGGAGCAACATATTCTGCCGGGATTCCGAAATCCGAACGGCGGATGGAAGATGCTGTTGATAGGGTGGCGCGCCGGGGTCACACTGAACGTCCTCATGTCGTTTCTCATATTGGTTGCTGGATTCGTGTGCTTGATCCTGGCCATCTCGAAGGCCTCCATCTCCGCCGGCGAGTCAGTCCTCTACACGGGATCCTGCGCCACCGCATCCCACATCAACTGGGGACTGCATGCGGCTATCAGTGTGTTTGTCGTGGCCCTGGTTGCCGGCGGCAACTACGTTTTCCAGGTGCTGAGCAGCCCAACACGGGGCGAGGTGGACAGGGCCCACGAGAAGAGGAAATGGTTGGATATTGGGATTCCTTCCGTGAGGAATTTCGCCCACATCGCAAGTAGCCGGGTGTTTCTAGCCGTCACGATCCTCCTGGCGGCGGTGATTACCCAAGTAATGTGAGTTTTATGCCTTTCGACGTGCCCATCGCAGAACTAACCATGGCGCCACACAGATATAATGCCGTAATCTTCACATCCCAGACAGTGGTCAACTACAACTTGGTCTTTGTTACGCGGCCCTTCTTGAGCGGCGCCCCCTTCAGCAACGCAACCGCGAACAATAAGGGGGGCTTGAGCCGACTCGACATCCTCTCTCTGCAAGATCTTGCAAGGCGGGATGCGCTGGTCAACCTGACGAGTGCCGACTGCCTCGGTCGGCTCAGCAGTGTTTTTGAATCAGAGTACAAATCAGTGTTGCTGGTTACAGACATCGACTCTCCAGCCGGCAGCGCCCTCATCCAGACGGCGCGAGCAAGCTCCTCTCTCCCCCGGTCCGGCACAATCAGGGGTAGCCTCCCAGACGCGGCACTGGACGAGAGAGCAGTCCAGTTCTGCCTCGCCCAGCGAGCCGATGCGCAGACCTGCGGCGTCAGCATGAACGGCTCGCTCCTGGGCATCGTCTCCCTGCTCAACCTGGTCAGCGTCATTTCCGTCGCCATCGTCCTCTTCAAGCCCTCCTTCGATCCGCTCGTGTCGTTGGGCGACGCAGTGGCGTCATTCCTCCAGCGCCCAGACCCGACGACGAGGGGATCCTGCCTCATGACCAAGGCAGATGTCTGGCAAGGCAGGTGGGGGTTCCACGAGCCCAAGTACTGGATCCCCCGCGACCTCTTCTGGCTCCGCGTCCCGTCCTTCCCGCGCTGGTGCCTACCCATCTTCTTCTGGACCGCGCTCACGGCTCTCGCGGCCCTGGCCTTCGCCTTCGCCGTCAGCGCCGACCCCACGGGCCCGCTCTCCGGGTACGGCTCGGCGTCCGCCCGCGCCGTGTACCTCCTCCCGCCCTCCACGCCCGCCTCCGCCGCCGCCCTCGTCGCCAGCCTCCCGCAGCTCCTCCTCGGGGCCCTCTACCTCGCCACCAACAGCGTGCTGAGCACATATTACCTCTCCCACGAGTCCTCGCTCTTCGCCCTGGGCGAGCCCCGACCCCTGCGCGTCTCCTCCCGCCCCGAGGGCCACCAGACCACGTCCCTCTACCTCACCCTCCCGCGGCCCTGGTCCTGGTACCTCTCCATCCTCTTCGCAGCAATGGCCTTCGTCCTCAGCCAAAGCGTCTTCGTCGTCGCCATCCGCCTAGTCGACCCCCCCTCCTCCTCCTCCTCCTCCTCCTCCTCTTCCCCTTCAACCACCCCTCCACCCGCGCTAGTCGGCCTAGGCCTAAGCACCGCCGCCCTCCTCACCCTCCTGACCCTTCTCCTCCTCCTCGCGACCTCAACCCTCGTCCCGGGCCTCCGCCGCTGCCCCGCCTCCCCGCGAAACCTGACCCCCTCGGAATTCGACCCCACCGACCCCGACCCCGCCGCGGCCCCCGTCGGCAACCCGCTCGCCCTTCCCGGGGGCGCCTGCAGCGCCGTCATCGCCGCCCGCTGCCACCCCGTCCCCGGGGAGCCGGCCCCCTGGCGGGCGAGGCTGGTCTGGGGCGTCGTGCGGCGCGGGGCCGGCGGCGCGGACATGGGCCGGTGCGCTTATACGGGGAGGGCGGCTGCGCCGTTGGATGTGGGGGCGAGTTATGCGTAGTAGGCCTTTTCGTGGGCTCGATGGGGGGTGTTTAGATATTTTTCTTTGGTTTTGGCACATGGGTTGGGGAGGTGGGGGGGACCGGCCTGTACAAGGTTGGTTTTGTATTGTTCAAACAAAACACTGTCGGCGGGATTTTCGAGTTTGGGCGTTCATGATATTGGGAAACCTGGGAACTGTATCACTTTACCCTCAAGGGGCGGGGATTTATTTGGGATGTCATCCCTGGACATGGATGGGAGTTTTGGAGTATGAGCACTGGTCCAAGGCAGAAGGGGCGTCTATAAGCCGCATTTTGGTGCCGCATCGAGGTCTTAGGAATTATACCCTTTTTACTTTTAGAACCCTTGACCATGGCTGTCAACAGTGACGCTACTAGAACCCCATTTATCCCATGTCGTTGTGTTTATAAGGCGTGCTGCAAACTTAGATGGAAGATCTCACTCTGGCGGTAACTGCACAATAAGTAAGGCAGAACCTTGCCTCATATTCCCCGGGATGTTATTACAAGTCGACTATTAAATCCTGGCATCACCCATCTCCAATCAAGGCACATGACAAGTAGAATATTGGTGGTAGAGTTGGATCATCAGAGTAATCCCAAAACCCCAGACCTGCTTTGAGCCTGTGGGTTATGCCATTGCGCTCTGCTCAAACCCCCTTTCGCCCAAGATACTTCTCAGACGGACGATTATCTTCTACAATCATCACACGCATCTTCAGAACGCGAATTCGCAAATTCATGGGTCATATCGGTCGTGAAACATGATGCCAGCCACCATTCTCCTCCGCTTCCTCCGTTTCCTCTCTCCTCATTCCCCCTCTTTTTTTTTCTTCATTTCTTTGTCTTCCATGTGTAGGCCTGTGCTCCTCCAATGTTTCTTCTTGCACCATCAACAACGCGTGCCAATCCTCCCCCCAGTCTGGACTTAGACGATCTGCGGCGGGCATATCGTCAAGCCGTGATTACAGCGCAGAATTCTATACTCGCCTGGTGGGCAAGTTGATCATAACGGAGGAAACCTTGGACCCCTTGATCCGATCTTGTGAATGTGAAAAAGAAATCTCCTTGAAGAGACGGTACAATCCACGCATTCCTGCTCCTATTAATATAACGATCGAGTAGTGCAGGCTATCCAGTAGCCATAGATGTATAGCAAGCCAGTGGCTGAGGCTGCCGCGTCCGAGGGCTTTTCTTCGAGATTCCCAAGTGGACTTGTGTCCCCTGAGGATCTCGGGGTGTTCAAGTGCCCTAGAAGGTATCCGTGTCTTGGGACGTGATGGTGCCAAATGTATCTGTACCTTAAGATTAGTAACCCAATTTCTCTCATCCAACGCCTCTGGCAGTCTACTGACCTCTCTTCCGCCGACGGTCAGCGTCACCTTCCTCACTACCGACACTCTTCGGCGTCATGGCCCGCGGTCCACTGGGCCTTCGCATGGGAACGCCCAGGGCGCTGCTCAAGTTGCGGTTCTCCGGGCGTGGGCTGCTGCCGTCCCCACTATGGGTGTGGGCGTGGCTCACGTAGCTCGCGCTCGGCGCGCCGTGCGTCATCGTTCCGTATCCACTCTCGACGCTGTGATATGGGAGTGGGCTCTGCTTCTGCAGCTTGCTGATCCTGTTGCTCTTTGGCGGTGTCCCTCTAGCCACTGCCCCTGGGCTGGATGTACGATCCAGGGGCTCCTTTGGCGGCCGCGGAGGGCCTGCCGTGGTCATGACGTTGCCGGCAGAAGGGGAAGACGTCCAGTACCGCTGCTGACCCGCCTGGTCTGTTGCTGACCCATAACTGTCTCGGTTCGCATTGCGCGGAAGTCGGTGCAGGCTCGTGGCTGAGCCTGCCCATTCGGCCGATCTTGGGCTCCTGGGAGAATCAAACTCGTGAGCTTGCGACTCGAGCGTCGCCTTGAAGAGATCGCTCTGGCCGGGGCGCGGTTGCGGGTGTTGCAAGTTGAGAGAATTGCGGTGTGCTTTGTACTTGGGTACCTCGGGAGTCATGCTCACGAAGTTCATGGCCGGGGGGGGAGGCTGGTGCTGCATGTGTTGGCGAGCTGCAGTTTCGCGGTTGTTGCCGGGGGAGCCCCCCTGACGATCCAAGTCGCCATGTATGAGGTCGGCCTCGGAGAAGCCCGTGTGGAGCTTGTCATCCCCATAAGGATCAGTGCCTGGGTACCCGTCATCATAGGGAATGAGGTCAGATCCCGACCGGGACGTCGCGCCCTGGCGGTTGCCATCATCGTCGTTCTTCCGTGACTGGCCGCTACGCCTGAAAGCCTGCGCCACGCTTGAAGTTGTCGTTTCGGACCATCGAGAGATCTTCGGGAACCAGCTCGAGGAGCTGCTCGACTTCTGTTTCTTGCCCTTCTCAGAGCGAGGTGTGTTGTCATTGCTCACGGAAGCTTGCGTTGCCGTCGTCGGTTGTGGCGGGGTGCCGAGCGGCACCGAGCTGCCTCGTTGAGGTTCGCAAGCAGGCGTCATCAACATGTCAGGGTTGCTCTGATACGTGTGATCATGGGCAGGTTCGTGATCATAATCGTCCTCGTTGGCCTCTGGGACGGTGCTGATGCGGTGGTCCGAGTACTTGCGATCGTACCCGAGCTTGGCAGAGGCACCACGCGATTGAGGAATCGACAGGTGGCCGGATTGGCTTGCGTGGCTCGCCGTGGAAGTCCCGGCGTGTCCCTCAGGCTCGTAGCCGCGATCCTGCTCGTACGGGATCTGAGACTGGAGATTCTCAAGAGACTGGCCGTCCTGGTGGCTCGCGCTGATCACTCCTTGAGCCGTCTGGGACTTCAGGACATCTACCTCGGTGAGGAGTTGCATGAGCATCTCCTCAATCCTCCCGAGATCGTTGGTCCCCTTGGCGCTGAGTCCCTTCAGCGCTCTTCGGAAGAGGCTGCGTCGCTTGGCGGGAAGATCGTCGTAATTCATGGTGCCCGCCTGAGACCCGCCTTGCAACGATCGAGCGCCGCTGCCCGGGAACGGCCGGGGTCCCCCTATGGCTCGCTGAACCGTCTTCTCCGTGTTGTCTTTGACCTCGGTGATTATGACATCCTCCGTATCGGCGAGGAGCCGCTTGATGTCCTCGAATGAGTTACGCATCTCCGCCGCAGATCGGACAAGGGTGACCAGGATCTCCGTGTCCCGGGCGCTGCGTTGGGCATCTCTGACCGTCAGATGCTGCATCAATGCAATAATATCCTTGGATTCAATGCGGTCGATACCAGTACCCGTAGCCCCATCGTAGAACGGCGAAGCCATGCCCTGAGACATACCGCTGAGGTGCCTGGTGTGCTTTGGCGTATAGAAGGGGTCTTCCTGATTAGCCAAGCTAGTCCGTGGGTCAAAGTCGACACCTTTGACTTTACCAGACTGAACATCGGGCGTTTTATTAGGTCCTTGAGAGATGTACCCTTCGTCGACTTTGTGGCCCAGAGGACTATGTGTGGTATAGCCGTTGCTGAATTCGCCATTCCCGTAGCCCTGCCCTCCGCCCAGAATATTGTCGTTGAGATCGGGCAGGTTGACAATGGGACTGGTGCCTTCGTAAGGGTTCGTCACAAGGGTGTCACGTTTCCTATCGTCAGAAGTTCGATGCCACTCCTCGACTTGCTCTTGGCTTGGCTGGCGGCTGTGATTCGCAGAACTTGCCATGGCCGCCGCCGCCGCCGCAGCAGCAGCAGCAGCACCGCCGATAAGAAGACCTCGGCCATGGCCACTCCCCTTCTCATGGATGTCGTGGGCGTTGTGGCCGTCGTGGTATTCGTATTGCATCGGCGTCAGCTGCCTCGGGGTAGCGTCGCCATGCCACTCCTCGTCGGCAGGTCGCTGATGGCCATCGGTGACAGACTCCGTGTCCTCCTCATGCCAGTTTCCTATCTCGGGCATTGGGTCATTCGCGTTGGGAATGGCATGGAAGCCCATCTTTGGCTGCTGCTCATAATCATCCATCATCCGATCGGCACTGTGAGTTGGCGAGTTCAGGGGCCCGGCGCCGTTCATTGCGCGTTCCTTGAACGACCTATTCCGCTGAACACCGGCAGGGGTAAACTCCTCGGCAGCTTCCTCCTCGGTCGAGGTCTGCTTCCCTCGGCTCTGTGCGGCCTTGAGAGCGGCGGCAGCGGCGATGGCTGCGGGTACCGTAATGGCAGCCTCGGAGGCAGTGGGTGACTGCCGATATTTCGACCGCGGCACCTTGTTTCCGTAGTCATCGACTTCATACTCATCCATAAACTCGCGCGACCTCAGGCTGTCAGAGCCTGGTGTGCCTTCCCTTCCCTCCACAGCTCGTCCATGGCTCTCGACGGACCTCTTGGCAGGGCTACCACGGTGATGCGACCGTTCTTCTTCGAGAGTTTCCATCGACTCCCGCGGGCTGAACGCTTGATTTCCTCCGCGCCCGGACTCGCCCGTCACCACGGAATCGTCGAGCATCGACCCGTCAACTAGGGAGGCCACATTTGACTCCAGGGTGATTGGCGGGTCGACGAACTGCGGATTCGCCGCAATAGCTCGAACGGCTTGCCCAGAGCTGGGGCGATCGAGCTCGCTGTCCTCTGTATAGGCCGGGTTTCTGTACTCCAGACCAGGGCTCCTCAAGCTGCCGTCGTCGTCTCCAAACTCCCTGCCCATGATGTTGCTTGGAATAGAGTTCGGGGAATGCATGGTAGCATCGTGGCGAGGAGAATTTTCGGCGGAAGAAACCGAACCACTTGTATGGGTGACTCGAGAATCTCGGTTGGGCGCCTCGCTGCCTCCTTCCGTATACCCCGAGACGCTGGGAATAGGGCTTAGACCGCGTCGTTCTGGCTGATAAGGCTCATACTTCAACGGTGGCGGGACATCCTGGGTGTTGTAGTAATCGTAGACTCCCGGGCCGCCAGTGTAGGCCATGTCATGGCCGCCATCATCCTCATAATCTTCCTCATCAAATTGCCGGTCTGTATATGCGGGGTTCTTCCGCCCGTAGTTCGTCGCGTCTAAGGCATCGTCGCCAAAGTCGCCCGTCCTCCTCCGAGGCAGCTCTTTCAGATCGCCATGCGAGATGTTGGCGTGCTGCGTCCCCAGGCTCCCCTGCAGCGTCCTAGTTGGAGTCGTGCTGTCCGATCCAGCGGATGGCCCGCCCCGTTGGACTTCCTGGACAGGGGTCAGCTCTTCGCTCGCGGAGCGAGGCCGATCGGTATCGGCCGACAGGATTGACGTTCTTGTCACATCTGACGGATTGATCTCGCTCATCAGTGGCATTGGCGGAGCAGGCGCAACGTCCGAGTCCCCATAGTCCTCGGCAACATGGTCGGAGCTCCGATTTCTCAACTCGGCTCTCCTGCGCCTTCTAGTTCTCTTATCCTCCGAGGGCGATTTCCCGCCCATTGCGGCGGCGGCAGCGGCTGCACCGACCGCGCCGAGGACACCGCCAGCAGCAGCAGCTCGAAGTCGATCACCGCTTCGCTTGGGAGTCTGTTCGATATCGAGAACCGAGTCGTCTCCCAAGTCGCGGCTGAGTTCATTTTGCGGCGGGCTGTAGTCGAAGTCGTTCCGGGCTTCCCTGTCCCTCCTCTCCTTCTTGAGGGCTTCACGGGGAGTCTCGACAGCCCTATCGGTGGCAGAAGAACGGCGTCTATCGCTCGCATGCTCGTCTCGAGAAATCGAGGTTGTGCTGGATGTAGCAGAGTCCCGGCGGCTCTTGTGTTTACTCTGTTCCCTCTTTAGAGCATTGAGCTCAGGCAGAATAAGCCGCCTGATCACATCCTCGACAGTCTCGAGCAGCTTTGGATTGTTGATCGACGAGGTCTTCGAGGCTAGAGAGCGCACGGAATGTTGGTCGGCCGAGCGATGACTGGGCGAGAGGTTTGATGACATGACACTTGAATCCGCGACCGAGACAAGTGACTCCTGGTGGCCTCCACTCGACCTCTTGCGCGGGGTCTTTGAGCGGTCTGTGTGCCTATCCCGCTCGCCGCCGCTGCTCGAGCGACTCTTGCCTGACTTGGATTTGCGTTCAGACTTGTCCTTATCCCTCGATTTGGACACCGTGATCCTGTCCTTCTCTCGGTCGCGGCTCTTGGTTCGCAGCTTATCAGCGACAGTCGCCGCGGCCAGTCCAGCAGCAGCACCAGCCAGCACATCTCCAGTTCTAGATGGACTCCTGCTTCTGCTATGCTTGGCTTCGGACATTCTGTAGGACGTGGTGTGGCCAGAGCCGTCAAGGAAGCTGTCCGTGGGGATCGCTGATATATCGCTCATTGCCGGAGGCTGATAGCTGGCCGCGCTGCTGCCAGCTGCGGGAATAAGGGGGCTGGCCGGGCGGCGACGGCGAACGTGGCCGCCGCGGTCGATCTCGATATCGATGGGATTGCGGCTCACGTTGGACTCCTCCGTTGCAGAAGCGTACGAACTCATGTCCTCGAAGTCACCACTGAGAGCCGAGAGTGCCTCGCCCTCGCTGTGATGTATGGCGCCGACCGGTGTCGTGGATCGCCGGCTAAGGCTTGCTTTCCGTGGCTTGCTCTCGGTGATCTGGATATGGTCCCGTTCGGATGTGCTCTTTCCTCTGCTCTTTCTGCTTGGCGTCAGACGAACTCGGACACTGGGCTTGCGCTGGTCGCCAGACTTTGAGCTACTAGACGGCTTGCCGCCCTCAAAGTACTCGATCAATAAGGAGGTTTGGGAGTGATTCGACTTGTGGCCACGGGTCTTGATCGTGACTGGCGTACCGTCCTCGGGGAGTGAGTAGGAGGACTTGGTAGCGACTGACTTGGACACATCGGTGGCCAGCTCTGTCGGGGTAACGCTGGTTGATTCGGTCTCTGTTGGGGCGGGCAGCGGGGGTACAGCGGATTTCTTTTTACTGTCAACACCACCCATCGTGGTGCGGATGCCGGTGGGGCCGTCGTCGCAGGAACCTCGACAGCCCACACTGTCTTTGCCCGATAACTCCCGTCCAGGACTTGAATTGATCCCTTCCCCCACGGTGTGAGAGGGAAAGGGAAGCGAGGACGACTGACGGTGTCGGTGGGGAGTTGGGGAGCTGGCCGTTGCTTATGGTTTGGTCGAAGACATCAGGTGCGGGAAAAGCTGCAGGTGGCAGAGAGCGTGTAAGCTGCGAGTATGTAGGTATGGAGTGGTGGATGCAATGGCTGGTAGGCCGTTGGCCGATCGATACGTACGCAGGAGCAGGAGGGAAAGGAAAACAGTGCTGAACCGTCGCCTGTGGTGCGAAATGCGCAAATGGGAGCGGAAAAAAAAATAACAACCTCCCCTCGGGTAGCGGTCAGGTGCTGCGGCTGGGCAACGGGCTGGGATGCGACCATAGGCTATTGCCAAAGCCACGATCGTCGCAACAACTGGGAATGGATGAGAGGGGGAATGGGACCTGGTGATGTCGAGAGGAATTGAGGCTTGGAGACGCAGAGATGCAGGAGGCAAAATCTACGAGGACAGGGTTGACCGCAGACTGAAAGTGCGGCCTCTGGGCGACAATAGGCTTATGAGGCTTTGTTATTGTTCAAAAGCGGCTGGGATGGGACTGATGAGTTGGCTCTGCTGATGGTTGGGGCCAATTAGACTGCGTTGCCGGGGTCTGCCAACCAAGCGGGCTGCAGACACTCTGCAGGCCGAACAAGTGTGCGGGAAAGAGCGACGACCTTATTAGTTTACTTGGTAGTCTCTCGTTTCCATCTCACTGTGTCCCCCTTCTTTCACCCCTTCTTTTTAGTTAATGGACATAATTTCGGCACCAGTAGTAGCCTCGATCCTTTCCGAAACAATCGAGCAGATGCGTTTACCTTTCGTTTCTACGACGTGGCAGGCAGAGTGAATTGGGAACACTCAGTGAGGAGGCAAATCGGGTTTGTTGACATTGGGCAGAAAAGAGCGGGGGCTGGGGCGACAAACTACCACAGTAACTATAACTACTAGCGCAGGTCAGGGTACCAACCTATATCTAGGTACGTTGTAGGTAGGTACTTTTAGTTACAGCGATACGGTAGGTAAATAAAACAAAATCAAATACAATGAAATACGATGACAGCACAAGCCCCGTTTGCTACCCTTGGACTATACTCGATCTTGCTTCCCCGGACTATTTATTTGCCAGCTGTACACTGGTTGACAACTCCCAGGTTGACATGGAACCAAGATAGTCTCGAGACGGGCCTTGCCAGCCTGGCAGGGCTCAGAACTTGGGTCAAACATTCCGTAGAAGCCGCGGGCTTGTATCCATTCCAACCGAACAACGCCAGCCACAACGCTGTGGGACAGGTACCGCCTGAATCAGCTCTTGTCGTCACCGATATGACACTAGTGCCACCCTCCCGTCACCCCACTGGGTAGTGTGCGCTCACCTTTCGGGACGTGCCGTTGGGCCAACGCAAACTCTGTCCCTCTTCGTACTCGTCCATCCTGACTTGGTCTCACTCTGGATCCCAAGCTTCAAACGGCTGCATGCATTTCATCACACACTACTGTTAACCTATTGTACCTTCATGTCAAGGGGTGCGTTTGACTCTCCCGGGGCAACGAGAGCAAGTGCGCAACCCAACTGGTGGAAGTCCCATCCCATCACCGCAGAAACAGAGTACTTGCTGCAGGGCGCCGTCGACTACCTGCAGGAGCATGTCACATCGTAAGCGTAAGTGCTAGGATCGGGAAACAAATCTGGACAGAATTCTGCTATGGTAGTGCAGGCCCCTTGCACAACGCCGCCGTGTTTCCGCTGGTCCGATGCAATGCCTTCGCGCACCCGAACTCCAAGTGTGACTGACTGAATCAAGATGAAGCAGACCGGCAAACAGAAAAACATTGAAAAAAGAAAATGATGCTGGAACTGTGCTCATCCAAATGTCAAGCCGGCCGCACCAGAATCTCCGCTAATTACATAGAGATGCCCTGCTCGATCACGGAAGTCTTAGGCATCCCCGGTACCCTCAGTAGAATCTTTAACAGGCTCATCGCTCTCTTCAGGCAAGCTTTCCCCAGCGTTTCTAAGCCTCTTCGCTGCACCTGGGCCCAAAACCTGTTGCACCTGGGCCGACTCAAGCATCTCCTGAACCAACGGGTTCTCCAGGAAATGTACGCCAAACCCAGACCGAAGGTGCGTTTTGAGGGCTTGTACTCTTGTCTGAAGAGCCCAGGTGTCAATGGTAATGAACTGGTCGTGCACACGGACTTTCTCCCGATATCCAAACTCCTGGAATTCGCTCGCCCCATCCATCTTCCGCCCGCCAGTGTGAGGGTTGACTCCTCCTCGACCGGCCGTCGAGTATCCCGGTCCCAAGCCTCGCTCAAGCGACGTGGAAATGCTCAAGAAACTCGACCGCAGGTGTTTCCGGTCTTTCCTCGAGACGCTCTTTGGTGACATTCGAACGGCTTCCGACATGCGTGCCGAAATCTTGTGATGGTCATACTGAAGATTCATCGGCGTCCCGGTTTCCTCCTCATAATCACGCGCTGCTTCGAATAGAAGCGCGATGTTGGATCCGGCGCTTGTCTGAACGCTTACATCGGTGCTGTCCAGCTGTTCCATAAACACGTCCATTGCTTGCTCGCTCTGTTCTGTCAGATCCTCGACGTAAGTCGCAACGAGAGCCCATGCCTGGAGTGCTGCCGTCACCACAGGCCCACTGTCCTCTGCCTCTGCCGCGACGCCATCGCTCTCGACGATGGTCATGAAAAAGTCCAAGACATCGTCATAATCAGTCGTAGAGCCGCCTCCGTAGAGGACCGAGATGCTCAGCGCATGGATTGCCTCGACTTTCACCTTCTCTTCTTCCTCATCCTGACACAATCCTTTCAAAGTCTGGAAGACATGGTCGAATACCGTTTCCGACGGGTAGGTAAGGGCCGTAACAGTGATCGCTCTCACAGCGAGCAAACGCTCTCCCGTGCTGCCGCCGGCGGTGACGCCCCTCAAGAGGGCCGGGATGATGTCTGAAATGTAGTCACTCATATATTCTTCGGGAACAAAGTGACGGCGCAAAAGCTCGATATAGCCTATCAACGTGTCTTCGCGGTCCTGTACACTGCGTTTGCGAGTCTTTAATTCGTCCACCCGGGATTGCAGCCGTTCCGTCCAAGCAGTACCATGATCGCTGTCTAACGGGTCGTCGGAACGCGTGCTGGCATCGTCGTCCTCGGAATCACTGGCGCCGTCTTCTTCCTCCGACGCATAGCGGCTTGGAGCGCGCGAACTGGTTTGCGAGGTAGCGCGCGAATTGTTAGAAGAATGGGCTGGCGTGTAGTCCGCCAACCCTTGCTTTGTCCGCGCCTTGCGCGAGAGCGTCTTCCCACTCTCTAGCAGAATCTTCTTCCGTAGGTCGCGCATTTTGTCGGCTTCTCGGGTATTGGATATATGCGACGGCAAGCCAGATGTCGATAGTGTTTGGCGAAGACGCTGTTGGATTTGGATGACAGCCGTCGGGTCAGGTTTGGGGTAACGGGTTAAATGTGGAAATCGTGTCAATGCGGAGGTTCCGTCTGGCTTTATACGAAAATAGATGCAGGGCCATCGCTGAGGTTGTTCGATAGGGCTATGGTTAGCGTTTTATACTTGGACATTCGCCGGATGTTGGCATCATATCATCCAAGACATTGGGGAGGCGCCTGGCGGCGTGGCAAAATGCAGGGCTAGGGCCTGACGTATGCCAATGATTCCCCAGGCCACTATGCTAGTATCCACATAGGGGTGGGGAAGAGAGGTGTCTCAGCACATATGGGGTCTGTGCGCTCCAGATGGCAAACGGGCCGGCGACTCATTTCCGCCAGATGTCAGATGCCCAACAACTTCAACTCTAATAAGCAACTGTAACGGCAAAAGAAGCCGCGGCCGCTTTGGCAACGATCTTAGCGGCAGCGACAACAGCGATATTGCTGTTTTAGCCCCGGCGATTCTGCTTTGGCAACAGTGACCCTGCTTGGCAATAGCGACAGCTTCGACCCCAGCAAAGGCCCTGGCGGGTCTGCCAATAAATTAGCACCTGGCAATTACCTGCTGGTGTCTGCCCCTGCACGCGAAGACTTGATCCTGGGGAATCCCTGGTAATCTTGGCAGGCCCAGTTGGTGGGTCCGGTCCTTATTAACCCTTGCTATGTAGGTACTTGGCGAATGACTAACACAAGGCGTGGATGACTGTACCTGAGACACATATCTACTGGCACCTAAAGGACAGGAATGCACCAAGGCATGGTAGAATAGCGATGAGAGCAGTGGTTGCAACTTTGTGGTGATCCGGAATGGGATGCACTTTTCGGAGATACCTACGCATTGAACTCTCCCAGAGAAGGAGGGAGGCCTCGAGGTTCGAAGGTTTGAAGTGGGGCATATGTGCGGGTAGCTCTTAACCGCTGCAACCTGAACAGCTGACGCTGCTACAGGGAGGCAGCCTCGAAGCTGAAGTCTTTGAGCGGCGGATTTGGAAACAGATTGCCGCGTTTACCATCCAATCTAAGGGTCATGTCTGTACTTATAGTAGGTAGGTAGGTAGGTGGGTAGTGGTAAGAAGCAAAGGACGAGACAAGCTTCGATGTTTCTTACCTACCTAGCTCGCAGTGCTGCCCCTCTTCGAGATCCCGTTTGTAGCACCCCCCTTGACGTATCTAACCCCGCACCTCGAGTTGCGAAAGATGACTTGAGAGTGAGTTTAGTTTGGGCTTGTGAAACAAAGGTGCCTAAGGTTTGGTAAGGGCAATACCTCAGTTATTCCACCCTTACCTCGAATCCGCTTCCAAACCTACCTGGGTATTCCGTATCTATTCATGCGCTCTTCGGTGTCACCTGTCTTCCTTCTGAACCTTTTGCAGCTGAAGTGACCCCAACCAACCCCGATAAGCCACCTGCCCAGGTACCTTACCTTTTATCGGATGCCCGCCGTCTGCCTAGACCAACCCCACCTTCGCGCACTTCACCAACCCATTCATACCTCCCTTCCTCGTCCTGGCACAGCTTCCTCCCAACAAAACACATCTTCCAAACTCGCCCACTTAGAGTCCTCCGAGTCCTCCGAATCCTCCGAGCCATCGAGCACCTATCGAGCCGCATCCCGACTGCCAGTCACGGCGGTCCAACGTTATTGGGGCCACCGTCTGCTTCCTTCAAGCGAGCTCGAGTCTGAGTCGCCTGAGTCGCCCGAGTTGGCCGAGCCGGCCATCCTGTCTGACCTGCACCTTGAGTCCTCGACCGCAACCTAAGACCTTCCCTAGTTCTCAACATATTCGACAAAGTAAGCAACATGGAAACTTGCGAGCCCGTGGCTAATGGTAAGTCCTACGCTTGTCCTATCCGCCGCCGCGTCTCCTCTCCGCCGTTGCCTACCACTATGCCGGAATCATCTACTAACCAGTTCAAAGTCATCGTCAACCTCATCGTGCAGGGCCATAACTGCATCGAGATCCCCCACCGCAGCATCCGCCTCGACCGAACCAATAATTCTGTATCTCTTGGTCGGGCTAGCAAGGACCATGCAAAGGGATTTATAGCGACAGAAGAGAACGGCTGGCTCGATTCACCGGTCATGTCAAGAGAGCACGCCGAAATTGTTGCCGACTTCAATAATCAGGTACACTTCACCTCCTCGCCGCCCGCCTACCCCCAATAGACAGCTACTGACTATGTTTCAGGTTGTCAATCTCCGTGACCTTGGGTCACTTCACGGGACATATATCAACGATGAGGACGAGCGCCTCCCCGTAAAGGAACCCCGCGAAGTCCACGACGGCGATCGCATCAGATTTGGAGTGCCAATCTTGCGTAACGGGGAGGCTTTTACCCCAGCGAAAGTGAAGGTTGGCATCGCGTTCAATAGAAGGTATTACCCTGACTAGCAATATCCCACCATTCAAGTTAGACATGCTAACTCACACCTACAGCCGTGTCCAAAGTGCGGGGTGTTCCACCTTCGCGGTTCCGGAGGGTTCAGATGTGGAAGAGGGCTACTCGAGCGATGATGGCAAGGAGAACCCCAAGCCTGAAGCCATGGTCAGATCACTCGATGGCCTTGTTGATCTTGCTCGCTACGCCCCGGGAAATGTTGCGGACCTTACGGGCCACTACGCCAGCCCTCCGATAAGGATCAGTGACAGGGCCGACGACAGGATCGATGACAAGACTACCGGACGCATTCTCGTCCTCACGTCTTCCGAAGCGCGCAGTCCTGCATCCGTGGCTGAAGATCGATCTGAACGGAACATGTATGGGTCGAGCATCCCTAGGCGTGATGCTCGGTCACCACCGTACTCGATCTCCGAAGACGAAGATGAAGGAGACAGCGATATCAGCGATATCAGCGATATCAGCGATGTCAGCGATATCAGTGACGGTGAGATGAGTAGACTCAGCGACACCGATAGCCACTTGTATCTGGTACAAGATCCCTTCGATACCGATCTGGAAGATCTGGAAGATGATCTTGACTTTGAGCCGATGTATTCTTCCGAGGACGGATTGATTGACGAAGGTAAGAAATCGCTCCGGCTTATTATGTGCCAGATGGGCTTACCTGGCGACTGGGTAGATGATCCGGACGCAGCGATTTGGGACGATGCGCCGGCCGAAGAGACCACAGCTAGGGAAGCTGAGCAAGTCTCAGTCCATGACCAGCCGACTACAGAGGTCCTAGCCGATGACAAGGCCGGTGATTCGTCCCCCATGGAACTCGAGCCTCACAATTCCGAACCCACTTACGTTACGGCTTCTTCTCGCGTTAGCGTTCCCTCTATCTTGAACCCGCTCGAGAATCCAGTCGAGAATCCAGGAAGCTCATCTGGCTTGGCGGTTCCCAAGCCCCTTCAAATCGAAACCTCTACCACCGACAAGTCGTCTGCAGACGTACTGGGGCCCGAGACTGGCGCTGTCGAAGCCAGTGAAAATGGCTCGGGGCCCAAGGGAAACAACAACGTTACGGAATCCTCATCGGCGCATCACCAACCGGTGGCAATGTTCCCATTGCTCAAGGCTGGAGATGATTTCCTGAATAGCGCGAAGAGTGTTCCCGACAATGTTTGGCAGCCTTTGCCAACCGCGCCCGAGGCTGCGGATGGCATCGATGGCATCAGCGCGTTCGAGTTTCAGCAAAAGAAAAAGGCCCTGCAGGCTGTCCTCGAGGGCGAGCCCAGCCAGAGCCGCAGAACCCATGTTGGTATTGCCGACATCGTTGACAACTGCCCAGCACAGCCTGATGAGCCTGCGGCTACCGACCGGAAGGGCAAGCGGAAGGCAGCTGATATCTCCAAGGTCTCTAAGGCAGAGCGGCGCTGGGCGACTGCGCTTTACCCAACTTGGTCTACTGGTGTGCCTCATCAATCCGTAGCCGATGTCATGAGTGGCACTTCTCCTGGTTTCCAGCCAGCTTTCCCAAGCTGGCCACAGGGGACGATCATTCAGACTCGGAGCCGGCCGGATCCTGCCAGGCCAGCGAAGCGAATGCGCCTGCGACAGGTCGCAGAGAAGATTGGTTACGCGGCCCTCGGCGGCGCGACAGTTGCTGCGACCATTATGACCACTCTTATTTATACTGCCCCATCTTTTACCTGAACTTGTCTAGGCAAAGACTGGACATTGGGTCGCCTTCCAGATATTCTGATGTTAACCCCGTTGATGACCTGAACTCCGGTACACGATTATCGATTTGATTTTTGCATTTCCTTTTCCTTTTCTTTTTCCTTTTCTTTTTTTTTCGTTACATGAATCCCTCGTTCGGTCATGACAAGGAAAGGGGTAACTAGGTTGGCGTCTGGGTATGCATAGGGAGGGGGAATGGGCTTGCTGAGGAGTTCCAAGCCTAGACGACCTATCTATCCAAAGGTAGCTCTCGCGGCGCATGATGTTAATGACGAGGATCAGAAACCATGGAAGGGAAGACCGGAAAGCCCGTTGTCTTGGCAAATTGGGGTGCGTGACCTATTCTGAGTTGTATTTCTTGATGGAAAATGGCTTCGCTTCGGGCTCTCTTGTTCGTTCCATGCAAAAGAAGTGGTGAACCACACTTTACGTGATCATTTTGGTTGTAGTGGCCATTTCCCCCTCTGTTCGTGAAGGATGGAGCATGTTCAACCGCGTAGATCTGCACCCTAGCGCCCCTACGTCCGGAGGAAAGCCGGAGGAAAGCCGGTATTCATGTGTCACTTGGTTGCCAGACCTGAGTCTTGGCAACCCGAATGGAGAAGGTTTGAAAGCGCCTCCACTTCTTGCTTGAGACCTCGGGCGGGGCATTGTCGGGTACTGCCTACATATGACTGACCCTAAGGTTAGGTAGGTATGTGTATGTAAGTAAGGAAGCACCTATATAGGTTATATCCTCCTGCCTGGGAATTTCGGTTATTGGTTGTCTTCTGAAGTTACAGGTCCTTCGCTCTTCCTAGAGATTTTGTATAACCACGGAATATCCAAGCTTGCGCTGCAAACATGCCCCTGACAACTGCCTCTGTGTTCCCCCCGCCGTCGGCCCCTGGCGTGAAATGGCCCGGCTCGAGAAGCGTCGTTCACAGCACGAAAGGTATCGTCTCCTGCACGCAGCCTCTGGCGGCGAAGTGCGGAATCGACATCCTCAATGCGGGGGGCAACGCGGCTGTAAGCTACTTACCTACCTTACCTACTTTACCCCCGCTCCCCGCTGGTCAACGTAGCTTCCTTGCTAACACTGGGACCAGGACGCCGCCGTGGCTGTGGGTATGATGAACTCCGTTATTTTGTCGATGACAGTTCGCGGAGATGAGGGTTGAAAGTTGCCTACTAACATCTCTTCGCAGCGGCCGGCATGAACATGACCGAGCCGTGCTCCACCGGTATCGGCGGAGATATGTTCTGTTTGTATTACGACGCCTCGACCGGCAAGGTTTCAGCCATGAACGGCTCTGGCCGGGCCGGGGGCAAGTGCACCCTTGAGGCGGTCAGGAAGAGTCTCCAGATTCCGGACGGCTCAGTGGGCAAGATTCCCATGACCAGTGTCCATGCAGTGACGGTCCCCGGCGCGGCTGCCGGCTGGGTTGACACCATCGAGCGATTCGGCAGCGGGAAGCTCTCCATGGAGCAAATCCTGGCTCCGGCAATCGAGCTGGGCGAGAAAGGGTTTCCTGTCTCTGAGTTGACAGCCTACTATGTAAGAATACCCTCAATCTCCCAGACAAAGCGTGTGCTCTGGAAGCAGGAGGGCGAGGAAGAGACTGACAACCAGCGGGTAGTGGGGTCGAACAGAAAGACTGATGCGCTCGGCATCTCCCAACTTCGCGGAGATGCTCAAGGCAGACCCCGCGGGCGAGGGCGGAGTGAGAGCGCCCCGCGCAGGTGATATCATGAAGCTCCCGGCGCTGGCGAACACGTTCCGTACGCTCGCAAAGGAAGGTAAGAAAGGCTTCTACACGGGCAGAATAGCCGAGGAGCTGGTGAGGGTTGTCCAAGACCTCGGCGGGCATCTCGAGCTGGACGACCTCAAGAACCACCTGGAGGTCGGCAGCGAGCCCGTCGAGCCCATCTCCCTGAAGTTCCGGGGCCAGAACGCGGCTGGGGGTCCCGACGGGGCCGACGGCGTCGAGCTGTGGGAGCACCCGCCCAACGGGCAGGGGATCGTCGCCTTGATGGCGCTGGGCATCGTCCAGGAGCTCGAGTCGCAGGGTAAGATCCCCACCTTTGGGCCGCAGGACCACAACACGGCGCCCTACCTGCACGCCATCCTTGAGGCGCTGCGCATCGCCTTCGCCGACGCGAGCTGGTTCGTGACAGACCCCAACGTCGTCAAGGTCCCGACGGCCGAGCTCGTCTCGCAGGCCTACCTCGCCGAGCGGGCCCAGCTCTTCGACCCGGGCCGCGCGTCGGGCGTGCTGCAGCACGGCGACCCGCACCGCCGGTCCCCCGCGCTCGGCAGCAGCGACACGGTCTACTTTGCGTGCTCGGACGCCCAGGGCAACGCCGTGTCCTTCATCAACTCCAACTATGGCGGCTTCGGCACCTGCATCATCCCCAGGGGGTGCGGCTTCACGCTGCAGAACCGAGCCGCGAACTTCAGCCTGGACGCCGGGCACCCCAACGCGCTGGCGCCCCGCAAGCGGCCCTACCACACCATCATCCCGGGCCTGGTGACCAACCTGCCGGACGGGTCGCTGCACTCCGTGTTCGGCGTCATGGGCGGGTTCATGCAGCCGCAGGGCCAGGTGCAGGTGCTGCTGGGCCAGCTGGTGGGCGGGCTGAACCCGCAGCAGGCGCTGGACGCGCCGCGCGTGTGCATCGGCGCGGGGATGCCCGACGAGGGCGACGTCTTCGACCTGACCGTCTACGTCGAGGACGGCATGCCCGAGGAGACGGTCGAGGGCCTGCGCAGGCTGGGCCACAGGGTCGGCGTCGTCACCGGTATGCGCAGGGACCTGTTCGGGCGCGGCCAGATCATCCGCTATGCCGTTGACTCGGTCGACAAGGGGGCCGGGCTGTGGTCGGCTGGTAGCGACTTTAGAGGGGACGGCGCTGCGTATCCTGCTTAGCAGTCGTGGGAGGGTCTTCAGCGGCTTGTATTAGGAACGTCATGATACTCTCGTATACACATTTACATATAATAACATAAACATCGAGATTGAAATCCAGTCTATATTCAGCCTGCTTTCAGTGCCATCATGCTTGCGCATGTCCAGATAGGGGAGGTATTATAATATACAAAGGCATGCGTCAGTCGTACACCCGGGTCCGGTTTTCGTCTTCTCTTCCTCTCTTCCCTCTAGCAACCCCGATCATTGTGGGCTCATTCCTTCGCCGGCTCTGACTCGCTTGCCTCCGCAGCGGCCAGGACCTTCTTCTCCTCGAGCAGCTTGGCCAGCTCGCCGTTCTGGTGCATCGAGACGAGGATGTCGCATCCGCCGACGAACTCCTTGTTAATGTACAGCTGTGGAATCGTGGGCCAGTCGGAGTACTCCTTGATACCTGTAGACTCGCGCATTCTCGTTAGAGCCACACATCCCCCAAAAATAACCTAGTCCACACCCCCTACAAGAAGGGACGCAGACGGCGTTAAAGACGGAGAAGAAGAGAGGGAGGCACCTACCCGACCGCAGGTCCGCGTCCTCGAGGACGTTGAACGCCGCAAACTTTGCCGGGTCGACGCCCTGCAGGCCGAGGATCTGGACGCTGGCGCGCGAGAAGCCGCACTGCGGCGTCTCGGGCGTGCCCTTCATGAACAGCACCACCGGCGCCGAGCCCACGGCCTGGTCGATCGCCCGCCGCGTCTGGTCCGACAGGAACCGCCGCTGTTGCTGTTGGAACTGCTGCTGCTGCCACTGGCGGAGCTGGGCCGTCGCCGCGGATATCAGGCTCGGAGGCGCCGGTCGGGCGGTTCGGAGGGCTGGGGAGGCGGCTGAGGCCGCGGACGGGAGCTGGCGGAGGAGGAGGTTCTGGTCGGGGGGCGAACATTGGGAGTTAGCTACCTGTTGCTCGCGGGCGGAAACGGGGGTAAGGCGTGGGGATGGGGAGGGTTGTGGACTGGACGTACCCTCGAGAGCAGCGACCCTGAAAACATGTCGGGCGGTGTTTGGCTTTGCAGACAAATGGTGGTTGTGAACGTGGCTAGGGAGCCCTTTTTCGAGATTTTTAATCAACGGCTTCAAGAGGAATGATGTAACTAACTCGCACGACCTTCGCCTACACTGCGGACCCTAACCCGCTCTGACCAGTAAGGTGGAGGGGATTGATTCACAAGTTGGTGGGAGACTCTAAGGTGGGTCCAGAGGCGTGTGCTGTACGTAGCAGTGAAATCCGTTTGTTTGTCAACACAAACACGAAATTGACAGTATAAGGTGTTCCTTTTTGTTGTCATATCGCTATACGACTTCATGGTACTCGCCATGTGGCAATTGTGCCAGTCGGTGTTCTAAGATGTCATCTACTGCCAAGTAGAAATACCACAACAAGGCACTCAGGTTTGTGGGAAATGCGAAAAGTCATGGCTAAGGGGTCTGCGATGAACGCGAAACTTGCAATCTGGGCATGCCTGGAAGCTCACACGGCCACGCCTATTGCAAGCATGGAGTTCATACTCATATGAAGGAGTTTAGCTGGTCTAATATTCACAGGAACTAAAAAAGATTTCCATCTATGTGAGAAGTATAACACCAAGCTGATCTGTTCCGCCACTTGAGGTTTGTTAAAAATTAAAAAAGCCCTCCTACAGAACCAAACCAAGGACCGCGCCGAGGGCGACGAGCCCAAAGCTGACACCGGCCTTGACTCCGCCGCTGACGATGACGGGGCCGCAGTCGGCGCCGGTGCACCCGCCCGGAAGAGTCACCTCAGTGCCCTGAGGCGCGGGCGGGTAGGAGACGGTGCCGTTGTTGTAGCCGCTGGGCGTGGCGCTGGGCTGCGGGACCACGGTGGCGGTCTTCTCGATGACGACGACGGACGAGGGGATGTAGGGCTCGATCGCCGAGGACGTCGGCTTGGGCAGGTGTTTGGTCGTAGTCTTTTGGACGGTCGAGTAGACTGTCGTCACGGAGGTATCACTGCCACCGCCGATGGGGCAGACAGTTGTGTAGGCCGGGACGACTTCGGTTGTCACCTGGCTGATCTTGGCCGGGCAGTCGGTCACTTCCGACTTGCAGCTCGTGATGGTGTACGTGGCTGTTGTGTAGACGGTCGACGTGGTCCAGCCGGCAGGGAGATACACGGATGGGCTCGCCGTCTCGGTTTCTGTCGCGGTGACGGCGCAGACGGTTGTGCCGACGGCGTAAGTCCGAGTTACCACATCTGGCTTCTCTGGGCTCCATGGGCAGTCGGTAACCTCTGGTGGGCACGAGTCCACGATGTAGGTGGTCGTTGAGTAGATGGTGGACGTGGTTAGGTACTCTGATAAAGTCGTGACTGGAGCCTCAGTTGGGTAGATGGAATCCTCGGGTGAAGACGTCTCAGTGGCAGAATCTTCACATTCAGTCTCCGATGACGAAGGGGCATCCTTGGCTGGGGAGGCATCCTCCGATGGAGTAGACCCCGAAGCACCCCGAGTGGCATCTGCCAAGATGGGCAGTTTGACGCTGGACTTGCTAGTGGTGGTCGTCTTTGATGAGGTCGTGGGCTTCGAGGTCGTCGTTGTCGGCTTCGAAGTGGTGGTTGGCTTTGAAGTGGTGGTCGGCTTCGAAGTGGTGGTTGGCTTCGAAGTGGTGGTCGGCTTCGAGGTTGTCGTTGGCTTCGAAGTGGTGGTTGGCTTTGAAGTGGTAGTTGGCTTCGAAGTGGTGGTTGGCTTCGACGTGGTGGTTGGCTTTGAAGTGGTGGTCGGCTTCGAGGTGGTGGTCGGCTTTGAAGTGGTGGTCGGCTTCGAGGTGGTGGTTGGCTTTGAGGTGGTGGTTGGCTTTGAAGTGGTGGTCGGCTTCGAGGTGGTGGTTGGCTTTGAAGTGGTGGTCGGCTTCGAGGTTGTCGTTGGCTTCGAAGTGGTGGTTGGCTTCGAGGTTGTCGTTGGCTTCGAAGTGGTGGTTGGCTTTGAAGTGGTAGTTGGCTTCGAAGTGGTGGTTGGCTTCGACGTGGTGGTTGGCTTTGAAGTGGTAGTCGGCTTTGAGGTGGTGGTTGGCTTTGAGGTGGTGGTTGGCTTCGAGGTGGTGGTCGGCTTCGAAGTGGTTGTCACAACGGTTCCCATCTGGAAGACATTGATGTAGTTGATCTTGAAGTTCACGTCATTGAAGGCATGGGGATTGTTGGCGACGAAATCCGCGCAGGTCGGCGCGCTCTTCGTAGCACAGTGAGACCAGAAATATGGGTCGCCGGCCACGCCGCAGAAATCGATGTTGAGGACAAGGCTCTGCTTCGCGAATACCTTCTTGATGTTGCAGTTCTTGTTGCTGACCTTGAAGTGAGGTTTACCCCACTTGGATGGGTCAGGATTCTTCTCAAGGTCGGATGGCGCCTGTGCTGACGACCAGCTCCAGATGCTGATAGCCTCCTCAGTCCATTCGGTGGCATCTGTTGGACAAGTCAGCAAGAGTGCCTATGACTTTGCACACGACGGAGATGACATGGCCGAGATGAGGATGCGAGCAACTTACAGACACCGCCCTTCGAATTTCCCCACTGGCCCCCAGCCTCGTTGGCAGAACATCCCTGGTTCGACGACTGGCCGGGCGCGTTGATGTCGCAGTTCTTAGAAACGAGTGGGCTGCTGAAATCGGCCTGGTTCAGCGTGCAGCTCCCAACTTTGGAGGCGGCATCGGTGTGGAAGGCCATGGAGTTGACGGTAGCGTCGTTCCAGTTCTCGTAGATGTCGATCTCGCCATTACTCGGCCAGTCATCGCCGTACATCCAGAAAGCAGGCCAGGTACCGCAGACGGGCTTGGGCAGATGGGAGAACTTGGCGATGAACAGGCCATGGTTGTACTTGGATTTGCTCTCAATTCTGACGCTACTCCGGCCCTTGTCATTGGGGTTGGTGATGGTGGTATTGTCGACACCGATATAGACTTCAGACCCCTGAGTCGCGATCATACCCATCCTCTGAGCATCCGCCCTGTTTCGATATTGGACGTAGCCACTGGTCGGGTCAACATCGTTGTAGTTGCCGGTACCATATTTGCTCTACGGGAAACAAGTTAGCCCCCAACAAAGGATGTCCGTGATGCCATACCCGGCGGAGCTCACCTCGAAGAAGTTGAACTTGTCGAAGAAGTTGCTGGGGCTATACGACTCGGAGAGTAGATATGCCTGAGCTGCGGAAACGCCAGTGGTGTAAGCCAGTGCGGCCGCACCCAACTTGAACAACGAAGGTGCCATGTCTATATATTACGCGATAATGAATGACGGAGAAGAAGAAAAAAACGAGTGACTTGACGTGCGATACGTCACGGGACGAGCAAGACAACGATGCTCTGGTGTTGCTGGACGGCTAGCAAACAGGTGCTTGGCGTGGGAAGGCCAGACAGGAAAGTGAGGCGGCGCCCCAGGGTTTTAAACGCGACATCCATCACGATGGCTCACGATGGGCTCGAGCCTCATGGGGCTGCATGCTGCATGGGGTGGGCATCATTTCCTCACAGAACAACCTGGACAAGGGTCATGGGCATGGCTGCCCAGGAAGGATGCTAATTGCTACCTTGTCGTCAATAAACAGGACACTAGTGGGCGCTTGCTAGGGGTGAGAGGTATTTTAGGACGGGGGAAGGATGCATCTCGACCCGGGAACCGAATGAGGTGGCCGCGTTAGCGACCATCCCAGGCGGCCAACCCAAACGCCGCAGTAGTGCATATATTAGATGACCTGCCTGCCATGTTCACAACATTGTGGCCAGCTCCACGACTTTGTTTTCGAAGGCTGGCTCTGCTCGGCGTGCCGATGCCCTGTTGCCCTGTTGGTTCCTGGCATAACGGAAGAAAGCCACCCCCTGACTTATGGCGTAGGACCCTTCGTTAGTTGGTTGGTTTGCCGGAGAAGATTATTGGGCCGTGCCATCCGTAGTCAGCCCTGGGGTTAGGCTGGTTCGGGCTAGGCGGCCATCCACAACCCCCTGACCCGGAAGGTGTTCCTGCAGATTCTACCACCAACAAGAGCAAAAGTCGTACTGCCGAAATTTTCGATTGGCCCGTTTCCGGGTGTCCTCTGTCAACTAATTGCTCTAATTTCTTCCTGCTGAGCTGCCTGGCTGCCAAGCTGCCCAAAATGACCCTTGCCAAGAGGCCCAGAGGCCCATGCGCTAGGTGTCCCTCTTCTCCACGTGTTGTCCACAAGATCATCCAGATCATCTCCAACTTGGGATAAGAGGATATCGACTCAGCACGGGGCTTTGCAAAGGTTGTCACTCGCACTCAGCCTTAAGAGACGACCGACCAGTTCAACCTGTCTTTGGAAAAGGCCAACAGTCGATCTGCCTGTCAGTCACCTGCATTGAGTGCCCCACCAGCCAACTAGGGAGTGTACTTATACGCAGTAGTACGGATTCTGCGTACTGCGTAGGTAGTGACAAATAATAATTAGATCAAGACCAGGATCGGTCCAGAGAGTGGCCTTTCATGTATTTCGTTACCTCTCCTGCCAACACATCTGGCTATCCGAGTTCGACATTCATGGCGTATATTTTTTATATATAGTGACGATGGAATATCAAATGCTTGTGTTGCACTCTACTTACGCCCACAGAAATGTCGCCTAGATTTTGCCTTTCAAGCCTCGTAACAGTCCAGTGAACCCCTCTCTGTCTAAAGCAGTAGCAGATACCAGGACCAGCTCAGGTCGATCGAGGGCTTCACGTGGAGCGGTAGCGGGAGCGCATTATTATGGTAGTTCCGCAGGAGAGAGTCTACAAACCCCTCGGCGTGGTTGAGGCAAGGAATATATTGTCCCTGGGACTCATGCTTGACAGGAAGTTGATGGCAGATTTCAAGTATGAGGCCAACAGAGGAGCCTTCCATGGATTTGGCCAGCCCAAGCTGCCTGTCAGAGGGGAGGTACGTTCAATAGGTACCTGGGCAGCTCATACTTTTGTAACTGTCTCACAGACAAGATATAGACCTACCTAATCATTCATATTTCGGTCGGCTGAGTACGGTGCCGTTTGCTGGGGAGCCGTGGTGATCTTGTGAAAAGGGGTAAAAGGGGGTGGCCCGTGCGTACTGACTATTCTGACCAGTTCAAACGATATTTTTCGCGTCTTCGTTCCAGACCAGTATGACTTCTAATATATGGTATAGCACCACGCCTAGCTCTTTGATTTCCCGGGAGACCAGTGGGCCATTACTATTCCCTGTTTTCTATCTTCCAATCTCAATCTACTTGATTATTACGCCGGCCTAGCAGAACCACAGTTTAACAAGCTCTTCGACAAAAGTATGGCTTGGGCGATGAGCTAGATGGGGACCCGAAGGTTAGGGATTATCCTCACCTACTATAATGTCTCTCGTTCTTAGGGGATTGACTACGCCCGTTAGTATGGATGCTTAGACACCAGCCAGCCTTAGAGGACAATATGCCCTTGAACGGCTTTCCCGAAGTCAAGGCAGCTGCCCAGGAGTATGGCTTCAAACCAGAGCTAGATGCGAGGACGAAGATTAGGTTGCTGCAACTTTATTGACAGTTGCTCGACAAAAGGCGACCCGCTCGACGTCCGTGAGGCTAGGCATTGTGGTAAATTGCTCGAGTACGCGAAGAGCTGCATCGGAGATATTGACGAAGGGTCCCCTACGTGCTGCAGAAGCTTGGCCCAGTACTCTAAATATCTAACAGCCCGAAGAGATCGGTGATGAAAGCTGATTAGCGTCTGAGGAAGCCTGCACAGAAGCTGCGATGGGCTACGATGGGGTGCAGTCGTCTAGATCCGTCTCTTCTGGCAGCGAGTAGGCAAGGGGTTCTTTCGAATTGAAGCAGTAAGACCACGAAGGCACTACGCATGACAAGGGGCTGGTATTCATTCCATGGGGATATCATTACCACCGCAGTACCGACACAGGGCAGTTCTTACGGCATATCTACCCTCACCGAGAACAAGATAACGGCCATGGTCTCGCTATCGGACGCAAAGTCGGCGGCCTGGAGCAGTCCGCAGAATAGAAAGCTTGTGCCCGAAGACCGCCACTTGTTCGTCCCATGTTTGGACACCTCGACACAGGACCTCCTCGTCAACCTTGCCGACATTTGCGACTTCATAGACGACAATCGCCAATGCCCTGGCGAGCACGGCAACGTCCTCGTCCACTGCGCGTTTGGAGTCTCGCGCTCCGCCATGGTCGCCGTAGCCTATCTCATGTGGAGGCAAGGCACCGCCAGTCCCTGGATGCTACTTTGGCCGCGGTCAGGAGGAGTCGCAAGGTTAAACCCAACTCAAATTTCATGGAACAACTCGCAGTATGGGCCGAGGTCGAGCACGGGATACGGGCCGACCCTGACAAGAAGACTCCGAAGGGGCCCTACGCGGCCTATCTCGCTAGGAGGGCCGAGAGATTAAGAGGAAAAGGCCTGACCGGGGATGAGCCCACCTTTCCGGACTTCTAATAGCTATTTTTGCATCTTTCACCGGTTTTTGGGGAACCTTGCGAGCAATGGTTTGGGGGCTTTTGATGAATACAGTCGTGTGAGGTACCAGTTGATCGGATGTAAGTGACACTAATGTAGGCCAGCTGTAGCACTCAAAAGCGCCATTTCTCCGCGAAAGTTAGCTCTTGTGTTGGCCTTTTTGATGCGTGATATGTTGCATGCGGTTTCACAAGCAATGGTCTTCTTGCTCCGGTTCATCTTCCGAGACGAACCCGTTCTGGGTTGATCTTATTCTTAGTTCCCGGCATCTTCATTTTGGTTCCAAGTGGTGGGTTTGAGATGGCGTACCTGCGTCGAAAGTGGGATGCCAGGTGCCAAGGCGGGACCCCACTTTGTGCCGGAGCTCAGCGACAACAGCTTCAACCCTTGATTGACCCCGTGTCTTCCGAGACCAACAAATCCTTCCGCTGCAGCTGTGCCCAGATGAATTGATGACGCCTATAAGGCGCATCTCCAGAGCAGTTAGAATAGGATAGGCATGGTCCATTAGGGGAGCTGCCTGCCCGCCCATCTCGCGCCCTTTCTGCTGCGATGCTATCCCGTCGGCTCCTCGTCTTAGCCCGGCAATCGGCGTTCGGCCGCCTCCCATTCCGAGCGCCGTCGCCGATCATCTCCGCCGAATCCGTCTTCTTCTCGAAGCTCCGACCGAACTCTCGGCGGCCCGGCGCGCCGTTCGTCCTCCTCCCGCTCCTCGGCGGCCGCAGGCTCTACACTGAGGACCCGCGGTTCCGCAATGCGCGGCCGCTCTTCTCCAACGGGCAGCTGCGGCGCATCGTGCGCAGCCCGAGCACGCACACCATAATAGTGGCGGCCGTCGTGGCCGCGTGCATCTTCTACTTCAGCAACCTGGAGACGGTGCCGGTCAGCGGCCGGACGAGGTTCAACTGCTACAGCGCCGAGAGCGTGCGCGAGGTCGGCGAGTCGCAGGCCAAGATGGTCCTGTACGACCTAGAGAGGAATGGCGGGAGGATACTACCGGATTGGGATCCGAGGTAGGTCATATAAGAAGATTGGGCTCGGAGGCGGGGGCTGACGCTACCTTGGTCACGTCTAGGACAAGGATGGTCAAGCGGGTCATGGACAAGCTGATCCCCTTCAGCGGTATGGCAGACGAGACTTGGGAGGTCTTTGTCATCGAGGACCCTCGTAAGTAGCCTGGGCTGGGCTGGCCCTTTGGAACACACATTGCCAGCAGTCTTGTTCGCTAACTAGACGCTCTCCCTCCCCGCTTCCCAGATACGGCCAACGCCTTCGTCTTGCCGGGGGGCAAGGTCTTCGTCTACAGTGGCATACTACCCCTCGTCCGCAACGACAGCGGTCTGGCGGCGGTCCTTGGCCACGAGATCGCCCATAACGTCGCCGACCACGTCGGCGAGCGCCTATCCCAATCCATCGGGGTCAATGTGCTTATGTACAGCCTAATAATTCTCTTCGGGGCCATTGGTGCCGCACCGTTTGCCATACATCTGTTCGGCGGCGCCATGATGGACATCGCCTTCGGCAAGCCGATGAGCCGCCTGCAGGAGTCTGAGGCAGACTATATTGGCGTCATGATGATGGCCGAGGCTTGCTACGATCCGAAGGAGGCGGCGAGCTTCTGGGGTAGGATGGATAAGGCGCAACAGGCCCAGCCGCCAGAGTGGATGAGCACACACCCGTCGGTAAGTTCTTGTCTACAGCTGACGTAGCCTACGACCGAAGCTAAAACCAAGGAATGCAGAACCAAACAAGGATAGAGAAGATCCAAGAATGGCTACCAAAGGCTATAGAGAAGAGAGAGGCCAGCGATTGCAGGACCACTACCGCATTTGCGGATCTATTCAAGAGGGCGATGGAGAAAGGCATCGTGATACAGGCGCTGTGATGCACCTGCCATGTGGTGCTTTGGCGTTCGGGGTACCATACATGAAATACTTTCAGATATGCCAGTGTTTTGGCAGGCTGGTGGGCATGTTCCTTTCTACAATACGTTGAGTTGCAATGTTTACTGAGTAGAGGTTGTCAACAGTTGGACTCTTTGAAGTGACAAATGAGATACCTAGGTAGGCATTGATTGATAAAAGTTCACAGCTGCCGAAATAACCTTGAGTACGTGCTAGACTGATCACGGCAAGGGGCAGAAAATAATTAATTTTTGGAGAAGAAACCAGCCATCAAGACATTATCTAGTACCATACAACTCCATATGAACTAAAAATCTCACCCTGATTCATTAAATACACAAGAACAAGAACAAGCACAAGCACAAGCACAAGCACACGTCAGGCGGCGGCCTTGTCCTGTCGTCTAAAGAACGGGGTGGTCAGGGATTTCCACAGACCCATCTTCCGCTTCAGTGGCACCGGCCCGTTCTGCCTCGACTTCTTTTCCAACCTGCCCTGTTTCAACATCTTTTCCGACCTGTCCTGCTCGACCCGCTGTTGGCCGAGCCACTTGAGCCTCAGCACCTCCTTGCCCAGCACTGGGAAGAGGTTCGCGACGTTCTCGCCCGTCTTGGCCGACACCTCCATGAAGGAGCAGGTCGAGCCGGTCAGCTTGAGGGCGGCGGCGGTCTTGGAGGCCTGGGACCACGAGACGGCGCGGTCCTCGTCGTCGACGTCGCTCTTGTTCCCGACCAGCATCAGCACGTACTCGCGGCTGCCGACCGTGTCGCGGACGAACTCGGCCAGGCCCTTGGCGAGGGTCAGCGAGCCGGCGTCGGCGACGTCGTAGACGAGCACGGCGCCCTCGGTGATGTTCAGGGCCTGCTCGAGCATCGGGTTGCTAGAAAGGTGCTTGGATGGCATCTCGAGAGCGTCTATCACGAAGAGCTGCCCGTCAACCTCGGTCCTGTGCCGGCACCCGCGCTCGTAGAACGGGTCTGGGGGCTCGTCCTCGCCGCGGAAAGTTCCCTCGGCGAACTGCAGAGCTAGCGTTAGAAAGGGGGAGGAGGGACAAAGAGGAATAAAAGACGAATCAAAATCGGCAAAATCGGCACTTCCGCCACGCGGCTGCGCAGGCGGATCATCTGGGAGGGACCTCTCACCCTCGTCAGTATAGACGTCTTTCCGACCCCCTTTGCGCCGGCGACGAGGATCCTGAACTCGCCCACGGGCTGCTTCATCCTCGCATCGGCTTCGCCGTTGAGCTTGCTCCTCCTCCTCTCGTTGTCGAGGATGGGATCCTGCCAACCCAGCATGGCCTTGATGTACCGGGCTTCCTCATCGGTGAAGATTACTGAGCCCATGATGAAGAGCGAGATGAAGAGAAAGATGGCGGCGGCGGTGGTGACGATGACATCGAGAGCTAGGCGGGGAATCGGGGTAAGGGTCTAGGAACAAGAGCCCATCGATTGGATCAAATGGGAGAGAGGCTGACCGGAACTGAGATATATGGGGATATATGGGCTTGGACCGAACCCGAAGGATCTGCCAGAGCATTAACAATGACGCTATGCCTGGGAGACGTCGATACGACTCCTGACGGGTAGACGGATTCTGGCAAATATCAACTTGTAACAGATGCTTGTCCGGGGTTCAAGCAATAGCGAATGGCGATATCAGCTCTTCTAAGGGGGTTCCCCTCCGAACCAACGAGCCGCTTGACTGGGTGCCACAGATGGGCCACAGATGGGCCACAGCAGGCTAATATCAGCCGGAATGGCTCCTCTGGTTCGGCTCATTGCGACCGATGGTTGACCCTGTATCAGACCATCCAACCTAAATAGAGAGAAGGCCCCCTTAAAAGGTGATCATTTTGCATGTCTCCTCCCGCGATAGAATGGCTCTGTACTGTGGTAACTCAGGGTCGGGTTTGGCAAATCTCTTCTACTTCCTGGAATCGAGGCATGCTGGATCGAGGCACCACGACGGCAGCATCCGACCTTGTGGGGCCCGTTGATCGCCCAAACAGGGCCCATCATGGCCGTGCGGCTACACCCGCTACACGCCGAAGTCGCTCATCGCAGCGTTATTCATCAACACTGAATGACTACGAATTTCGTAGCCGCCTGCAAATGCAGTGCAGAGTGCCCCTCCTCTTGCGGAACGTGGTGGCCCAGGACTCCAAGGTGGCCCTCCCTGTTGTCCCACCCACCTCCAAGGTACAGTACATAAGGTACCTATTAATAGTGGCTTGGCTGGTGCAGCGAGATGGTCGCCCTGTGATTGGCCCAATGCACTGTCGCCCCACGAGGATGGGAGTCCTCCCATTCTATTGGGATACCGACGGCCAGCCGGGCACGGGACTGGTGGAGACCCATTCTCTCCACCAGCATCCAGCTCGTCAAGCGCCTCCTAAATCGTTACCTGTTTTACTACCTTCCTACTTACCGAGCAACTCTCGTTCTCTCTGACCGACGGGTCTTCACTAATGATGTGGCTGTCTGCCGATTATTAACCATCGTTGTAGTTTCCTAATTTTCTAATCAACTCTCCTTCTCTCGTCGTTTCTTCTCTCTAATTTTCCCGTTTCTTTTTTTCCCTGGCTAGTGTTGCAACGTGTTCAGCCTTATCACCCCTTGTCCTGCTCCGTTGTTGGTCCCCCTGGCTCAGCCGCAAGTAGCCCCGCGAGCGAGTGGATTTGGATAAGACCTGCCAGGATCCATCCCCTTCAGCTGCCCGGATGCCCTCCTTTTCACAACATATGGTCGCACTTTGAAAAAAAGCGCTTGTTCCGCTTGATAATTATAATATGGTCTGAAACTTCGTTGTTCTGCTGTTCACTTGCTGCCACCCGTGGTTCTCCTCGACATCCTCATTTCCAACCTTCGTTTCCGACCCTCGTTCCCGAAATATGGTATAGTTCTGGGGCATGGATTACAGTAACCCGCAGCGGCGGCAACCACCATTGCATACAAGCACCTCCTCGGGCGCGCTCAGCCGTATATCTACCGTCTCCGATATCTCCGACTTCCCTAACTACGGGCATGATCCGTACGGCAGCCCGATCACACCTAGACGCGAATCTCTGGTGTCGCTCCAGACGATCGACGATGCGCCGCCCCGCGCAGGTTCACCAGATGCCGGAACTACGTCCCGGGACGGCCCCTCGGGGTGGTCATCGTTTACGGGCTATCTCGGCGGCGGCGGCGGCTATGAGCAGGTTCCCGTGACTGGAGGCCAGCTGCCGCCAGCCAGGAGACACAGCCGGAGCTACGTCCAGGAGAGGAGGTCGCTCAGGAGGACACACGGTGCGATCGCGGAGGAAGAAGACGGCATTGACCTGGGCCTGATCAACAATGCCGCGGCGATGGGATCTACAGACAGAGCCGATCCTGTCGAGCCCGCGTTCGACCTCTCACATGCCCTCGGCCCAAGCACATGGCACGACGAACAGTTCATGAAGAAACTCCAGGAACAAGAGGCGAGAGGGAAGCTTACGGGGGGCTTGGGGTTGGGCATCAGGGCGGACACCAAGATGAGCCAGTCGGAACTGTTTGCAACGAGTCCCGTTTTGGAGCGCGCGCCTCCATTGCGGTCCTTCTCGCTTGCGCGACAACACTCGGCCCCGCGCAGGAGTCCTACCGTGAAACAGCTAGGTCAGATCGAAGCCAACAAGAGAGGAGAGGTAATCGAGGTCATAATGGAAGAAGAGCCTCGTGGCCAGTCTGAAGTTGACCTCAGCCTAATGGCCGGTCCAAATACCTCTATCTCGAACGAGCCTGGAATGCGACAGTCTACGTATCCCATGAAACCCCAGAGGACAGAAGTGTTCTATCCACAACCTGACTGGAAACCCTTCTCGATGAGGCCGCCCTATCTCTTAGCTCTAATACTGCTCTCTCTCGGCCTCGGTGGTACCCAGGAAGTAGTTTACCAGATGTCTGCGAGACAGCCGCTTCTCAAATTCCACACCCCCTCGGAAATCCCGCCTATCGAATACTTTGCCTTCAAGTTCTTACCAACGCTCATTACCGTGTCCTTCGGCGTCCTGTGGCAGATCACCGATTTCGAGGTGAAGCGCCTCGAGGCCTTTTACCAGCTATCCAAGGAGAGAGGCGCACTGGCTGCCGAGTCCATCAACGTCGACTATATCACCTACTTCAGCTTTCTGCGACCCTTCAGGGCTCTCCACTGCAAACATTATGCCGTCGCCGTGTCTTCGGTGGCTACGCTGCTAGCGAATGCTCTTGTTCCGACCCTAGGAGCGGCTTCGATCAACCTCTCCCCGGGCCGCAACGAGCGCATGGCCAATCCATTGGGCGAGAAGAGCATCGCCATCGACCCGCTCTGGTCGCGTTTTCTCACCGTCACTTTGCTCATCATCGCGCTGCTGGGATGCGTGCTCTTTTATCAGCTCCAGACTCGGAGATCGGGTCTCCTTGCCGACGTCAAGGGCATTGCTGGGCTGGCCTCGATGGCCGTGGTGAGCCACATCCTCATGGACTTCAAAGACATGGATGTCGCAACCCACAAAGATATTCACCACAAGCTCAAGAACCATCGTTACGTGCTGCGCAATTCGTCACTCGCCCCCGACGACGACAACCCGCCAACGAAGCAGGAGCGGGACAGATATATCAAGGACCACCTGTCCGAAAACCCGCACCCCAGGATGCTCCGTACCTGGGGCGCCGTCCCGTTCCTCATTGGCATCATGCTCTTCCTCGGGCTCATACCCACCTTCCTCTTCACGCGGGCCACTGTGGTCACCGACAGGGCCCCCTGGATCCCCACGGCCCTCGCTGTCTGCATCAAGCTGAGCTGGGGCGGGCTCGAGACCGACGTGCGCATGATGGAGCCCTACTACATCCTCTCGCGGCGGCACGCCCCGCCCCGCACCCTGACGCTGGACTACACGGCCATGCCCTTCGGCTGGGTGGCCATCCGCGCCTTCCTGAACCGCCACTGGCTCGTCTTCTTCGTCGGACTCGGCACCGTCATGGCCGAGTTCCTGACGGTGCTGGTGACGTCGCTCGCCTCGGTCGACGGCCGGGATTTTGTCGCCGGGGTGCGGGCCGGCGCCGCGGGTGGTGGCGCCTGCGCCGCCGGGGGGAGTGGCGGCGATGACGGCGCGGAGGCGTGCGATGCGGGCGAGATCAACGCGGGCCAGGAGACGGAGCTGTCGTTCTGGGTGTCGCTGGGGCTCGCGGCGTTCGTGCTGCTGTACATGTGGCTGGTGGCGTCGGTGGCGTTCGGGCGGCGCAGGAGGGTGTTCCTGCCGCGGCAGCCCAACACGATCGCGTCGGTGCTGGCCTTCATCCACCAGTCCAAGATGCTGTACGACTTTGTGGGCGCGGCCAAGCTGAGCAACGCCGAGATGGGCAGGCGGCTGGACGGCGTCGGCAAGACGTACGGCCTCGGGTGGTTCCAGGGGCGCGACGGCCAGCCGCACTGCGGCGTCGACGAAGAGGAGCTGCTAAGCAGGTACAAGTTTGGGTATGACTACTCCAAGGCTACCAATCCGTGGGAGGAGCGACACGTCGACTGGTTGTGAGATGGGCGCGCAGGGGTTTGTTTGTGTGTTTCATGTGTTTACTGTTTTGGCTTTCTAGGCGCATATGGTTGGCGCAACATAATGTTCTGGACCATGGTTCTATACCCATAATCCCATGTATTTTCTCGGCGTATACCCTTTGCTTGTCGAGACATCATGGAGGGGTGCATAGGGGGTTAGAGGTTGGCTACTATCATTCAGGATCTACAGATAGATTACTGTAGGGGCCGTCGAGCTGTTGGACTACTTAGAGAAGCCTAGTTTACAAGTTTACACCGCCAATTAGTTACCTTTGTACAAGTTCTGTATGACGTTGGCTGCCCCATGATTTCCCGAGTATCAAGCCGGTATTGTTGATCGGCGCTTGCTCTGACAGGTATCTGGCAGGTAAGGCCAGGGCCAGCCAGCGCTTAAATCTTGCAACGACGATAATAAATGATCCTCGCCACATCATGGGTCAGTCAATCATTGGTTATGAGAGCCGCATCGAGTGGTTGGCCCAGTTACACAGCATCGCAAGTCCCGGGGAAGCCAACAGGTGGTAGGGACATGTGGGGAGCATGATGACGTTACTGGATCGACATGAGACACTTTGGGGCTGGGCGTTTAAAAATCTGTCTTGTGGTCTAGAAAAGTAAAGAATTGGAGCACCACGTTCACTAACGGCTGACTTAGTGATGCTGTTTCGTCTCACTGCTGGGGATTCCGGGTCGCGCTGAAAGTGATTTTCATGTCGTTTTTCTTGGGAGTTACTGGTGCGACAAACAGGGGCAGCAGTCGTCTGAATCTAGAAAACCTACCTGCCCAAAAAGGTGAAGAACAAAAAGAGGGAAAAAAGGGACGAGCGGATATGATCAGACCCTACCTGTTTTTCCCCACATTGAGGAATCGTAGATTCGTATTCGCTGGCTAGAGCGTGGCTGTGCAGGGTGCGATAATTTTAACTTTGAAAACTTGGGCCGGTTACAGAGGCAGAGTTGGGTGCAGGAGGTGCAGCAGAAACAAAGGACACCGGGTCTGTGATTGGCTGACAGCGTCGGTGCGCTGATCTCCATCTCTTGGGCTTCCAGCTTAGCTGGGGAGGGCCTGGACCTCAATCCATAGCTGGTGCATGCTGGGAGCAGCGACGACTCAGGATCGATGTCTCCCTGGAACGTAGTGCATTGGTACCGATATGGCATGACATGTATCCGTATTGTACGGAATATGGCTTCTCTCATTGCTACCCGCCCAGCTAGTACATCAGGTACTTTATAATTCATTGGAATTTAATGCCTGAGGCAGCTTTGAAGCATGAATGCTGAGCCTTTTCCATTGTCAGTCAGTCATTTACAGCAATTTAACGCGTCGGGAGTGACGGAATGGACTGGGGAAAAGTGACAGCTCCGCTTTCCCAGTTTGGATAACTGGATAACTTTCGAACTTAGCGTGGTATAAAGTCTTCCGTATTCTGTACTTGCTTCCAGTCTTGAAGGGATGTTGCTCACGAAGCAAGAGGCCGGGAGTCGGCTTGAACTTGAGTGCCCAGTAATCCGCCGTATCGTATTGACCTGCACCTCCCTGGAATGCCAATGAACACGAACTCCAGCGCAGTGGGGTGAGTTACGAAGTGCATACATGGGCTGGTCATTCCGGTTAGAGGAGGCCCAAACACAGGCCTTGATTCACGTTGCAGGCAACCTCGAGAGTACTCATTCAGAACATGATTTTTGGTGGACCTTAGTGTACCATAAAGTACCTCGCCTAGCCTGGGTGATCTCATTTCGCCAAATATTCTAGGATCCAATACTTCCATAACAGGTCACGTCTGTGGTTTACTAGGTACCTTATGTATGGGTCCCTTCATGCCAGCCCGTTCACTCCTCCACCCCCAAAAGGGATCCCAGTTTTCCCCCTTTCATTACGCCTGCACCGCCTCCCAGAGCTATCCTCTCGTTCCCTGCCCACCCGCTCTCTTCCGTCATCTACAGAAGTGCAGCCCCTAATCAAGACAATCGGCACCGCTCATCTTCACCACCATCATTTGCATCTCGAGGCGGTTTGGTCGATTTTCTTTTTTTCGTGAATCGGACGCGCACCTACTCGTTGGCAGACTTCCCTCGCTTTCTTCATTCCTGCCACGACCCGCCAAGCTCGTTCCGAATCGAACCCCCCCTGTGCCAAGCCTCTTGATTCAATTCGAGAGTTGACTTCGCCATTAAAGCCTTAACTGAACCAGTTTCTGTTCCGACAAGTCGTTCCAGTTCAGCCAGCTTCTCTTGCGATCCGTCGAACCACCGGTCCCCCAATCTCGCGTCGATATTCCCATGATCTGACCGACTCGTCTCGCGTCATCGCCAAAGAATCAACGACCGACCGGAACGCGAATCCAAAACCCCCAGGAGGGGTCAAGAACGTCGTCAGCATCTAGCAGTCATGTGGTCGTCAATAGCGAAGCCCCTAGCGCTCCTCTCAGTCGTCGCCTCGCTCGCGTCGCCTGCCGCCGCTAAGGAAGATCATCTACTCAAGTCGAATTCGTTGAACACATGTCAGGACAACTCGGGGTTCACCGCGAGTTTGTTTAATGTCGTCTTCACGCCGAACAATCTTTCGGCATCCATCAATATCGTCGCCGTCTCCTCTATCCAGGGAAATGCCGTCTTCGATGTCCAGATTTCTGCGTATGGCTACAACATCATCAGGACGACCGTCAATCCCTGCGATGCCGATTTGGCCGGTCTGTGCCCCATGGTGGCAGGAAAGATTCCCTTGAGATTCAACCTCGACGTCGCGCCAGATGCCGTCAATCAAATCCCCGGCATTGCCTACACCATGCCGGATCTCGACGCCAAGGTCAGGGTCTTCATCAACTTGACCAACCCCGACGGTTCCCCGTCACAGAATAGTGTTGCTTGTGTCGAGGCTGATGTCTCCAACGGCAAGACGGTTGACCTCATCGGTGTCAAATGGGCAACGGCTATTGTTGCTGGCCTCGCCCTGGCCTCGTCTGCCGTTGTCTCTGGTCTCGGCCATTCGAATGCTGCTGCTCACGTCGCTGCCAACGCCCTGTCCCTGTTTGGTTACTTCCAGGCCCAAGCCATCATCGGACTGACGGGCATTCCTCTTCCCCCAGCTGTCCAGGCTTGGACCCAGGATTTCCAGTGGAGCATGGGGATTATCAGGGTGGGTTTCATGCAGAACATCTTCACTTGGTACCAGCGAGCGACTGGCGGGACCCCTTCGACCATCTTCGACTCCCTGACCACGGTCTCTGTTCAGGTCGAAAAGCGAGCGCTGCAGGTTGCAGCTCCAGCTGTAGACCTTTTCAGGCGCTCCATTGCCATGATGCCCCGCAGCGTTGTCGACGGCGCTTCAAGCCTCATGAAGCGAGGGAACATTCAGACCGGCTCTGGCAGTTATGTGGTCTTCGGCATTCAGCGTGTGGCTTTCCGGGCCAAGATTGAGTCGACGAACCTCTTCATGACTGGCCTCAGCTTCTTCTGTATCTTCGTCGTCCTCACAGTGCTCTGTGTCGCCGCCTTCAAGGGCTTCTGCGAACTTGCAGCCAAGCAGAGGTGGATGAAGAGTGACACGTTCCTCGAATTCCGCAATGGCTGGTTCACCGTCCTCAAGGGCATTCTCTTCCGACTGACGCTCATCGGATTCCCCCAGATGGTTATTCTCTGCCTGTGGGAGTTCACCCAGAACGACTCGGCCGCCGAGATGGTTCTCGCTGTCTTCTTCTTCTTCGGCATGGCCATCACCCTTGGCTGGGCCGCGTCCAAGGTCATCCGCATTGCCCGCCGCTCCGTGGCCATGCATAGAAACCCGGCATACATCCTCTTCTCCGATCCTCAGGCACTGAACAAGTGGGGCTTCCTCTACGTCCAGTTCCGCGCCTCGGCTTACTACTTTATTGTTCCGGTCCTCGGGTACCATCTCGCCAAGGGGATGTTCCTCGCCTTTGCTCAGCGTAAGGGCATCGTCCAGGCCATCGGCTTGATCCTGATCGAGGCCGGCGCTTTGATTGCGGCCAGTGTGTTGCGACCTTGGATGGACAAGAGCACCAACTCGTTCAATATCGCCATCTGCGTCATCAACTTCCTCAACGCCATCTTCCTGCTGATCTTCACCGATGTCTTCAACCAGCCTCCGCTGGTCACCGGCGTTGTTGGTGTCGTTCTATGGATTGCCAATGCCGCTTTCTCCCTGGTTCTACTGATCATGCTCATTGTCACCACCGTCATCGTCTTCTTCCGCGAGAACCCTGATGCCCGGTACCAGTACATGGCGGATGACCGTGCCTCGTTCATGAAGTCTCAGACCCAGTTGAACACTACCACCGAGCTCGACGCCTTGGCCGCCACTGCTCGAGGTGACAAGGCGGGGTACAAGCCCGGCCTTGACCTCGAGGACGATGCCGACTCGATCTCCTCGGACTCCCTGCGCCGCCGGAACGATCCCGCCCACCATCCCCTGCCGGCATCCACGTCAAACTCCATGAGTAACAACTCATACCGAGACCCGCCACGGTCGCCAGTTGATCCGTCCATGCCTTTGTTCCCTGCAGATAACCGATCTCCGTCGCCGTACGGTTATCCGCGCAATCAGCAGGGTGGTAACATGCCGAGGGACCCGAGCCCGTACAATGGCTCCGCATCGAACCTTTCGTCCGGATACCGATCACAACATAATGCTAGTCCAGCCGGAGGATTCAGGTCACAGAACAATGCCAGGTAAGTGGTGGTAGCACCGTACAATGTGCCCGAGTCCGTAACTAACTCGCTATGCAGCCCGTGGCAACGTGGTGCTGGCTACGACCATTAGAGAGCGCTAGGCAGATGAGGTGCCATAATCCGGCCCTGTCCTGCAGCAACTCATAAAACCATTCTCTCGGCGTACGGCCGCAAATCCCGACGAAGCAGCATCTCGGTTCAGCGACCAAGATATGTATGTTGGGTAGCCCGTCGAGAGACCCACCCCATGCCCCCAGATTACAGCTCTTAGAAGTAGGGGTTAGCCCACTTCGGTGTTTTGAGCTCAGGGTTAGCACCAAGCATTTATATAGTGGTCTATCCTATGCACCGGCTATACCTTTTTCTTATTCGGCACAGCTGCACTCATATTTTCTATTTGTCAATCAGGGAATGAATCAGGCGTCATAGAGGGAGAGATCAAGGGTGATGGGGTCTACTGAATTATTCTTCCACTTATGTAAAACCACATCAACTACCGAGTCCAATTCGATCCGGCCAACCAATCGATACTTGTCGCGTATATACATACCGCGAGGGAGGGGTTTTCGAAACTATTCCTAGAACCAACAGCTGGACTGGGGATACGGGAAAGGTTGGCCGGTTCAGAGACATCACTCATGCCAGGACTGGCCTCCTTTTGTTCTCCTTGGGATCGGGATAGCGGCTCTGGGGCGAACAGAGATAGCTAATTGATTTTTCCGTTATTTATTATTGACCTCGTGAACATGTTCGGCTCAGGATTAGAGCCCATGCCAATCCACAATTGCGTTGTACGGCTCTGCTTGTCTTCACAACGAGTTCCCAGGAAGTATGGTTGCTGATTAACATGGAGAGCGATATTCTAGCAACAGGAATCGGTAAGTTGATTATAATATTACATGGCTCAAAACTCCAAGAGCTCCCTTTACAAACATAGAAACAGATTGCCTGAGACTTGTGAAAATAACCAAACCAGACCAAACAAAATAGACCAAAGCAAAACAAAGCACCCACTGCGTTCAAAGGCAGAACAGAAGCAGATCCGAGTATCTCAAAGCAAGAACCCCAAGAGCTGGCTAGACGAGGCCAAATTAGTAACTCCGCAAGAGTGGCCACCTCGTACAAACAAAACACCTTTTCGGTTCACAAGTATCAGACACAACAAAGCTTCCCAGCCAAAACCAAACCTTGCCTCTTCTCTAACTATCCCGCTCGCCCATCTCCGATCTCCATCCCTCATCACCCAACCTCCCCTCCACAACCCCTTCACACCCCAAGCGCCAACCTCTCCCTCAGACTCGACAGGTCCCCGCCCGACGCCGCGACCGCCTTCATGACGGCCTCGTTGAGCCGGCGCTGGCGCTCCGCGGCCTCCCTCTCGCGCCGCGCCTTGGTCTTGCTGCTCCCGCTGGGCGCCACCCCGGCCATGAGGATGCCGTGGTCGTCGGGCGTGTAGTTGACGAACCCGATGCCACCGCCGCCTCCCCCTCCTCCCCCTCCTCCGCCTCCGCCGCCGCTAGCGGCACCGGGGCCTTCGCCCTCGCTGGCCCGCCGCCGGTCGGGCGGCGTCATGGGGGCTGTCGAGTCGCCCGCCGCCCCGGCGGCGGCGGAGGACATGGCCATCATGGACATGTTGTTGAAAGACGAGGTGCGCCGCGCGTGGGACCAGGACTTGCGCTTGCGGATGGCGTGCGCCGGCGCGGCGGTGGTCGGGGGTTTCGCCTGGTGGTGGTGGTGGTGGTGGTTGGGGTGATGCTTGGGCATGTGCCCCCCCAACGCGGCGGCGGCCTGGATAGAGGCGGTCGACGAGAGCGACGACGACGACCGCGTAGCTATGCCGGGCCCGGCCAGCGAGGGGGGCCCCGCCAGCGGCGGCGGCGGTAGGGACGGCGGCGGAGGAGGAGGAGGGGCGGCGTGGCTCGAGGCGGCGCGCCGGCGGTGGTGCTGGTGTTGGCGGGAGGCGGCGCGCGAGGCGCGCGGGGCCGCGGCAGAGGGCTGGGTCGGCGACGGGGACGACGAGGATGTCGAGCGGTCGCGGATCTTGCGCGGGCTGGTCAGCGCGCCGGACTGGTGGTAGCGTGCGCCGGATGAGGGGGCGCGGGGCTTGGGCCGACGGAAGGAGGTGGTGGGCTGGTCCTGTTGCGCCGGCGGATGGGGCGGCAGGTGGTGGTGGTGGAGGTGTTGTTGCTGCTGCTGGAGCTGCAGGTGCTGGTGCTGGTGCATGACTTGGTGATGATGAGAGGGGTCGCCGCCGGGCGGCGGAAAATACGTCTGACTGTCTAGGGTGAAGCCGTTGCCAAGGAGCGACGCCGGCGGCGGTTGTCGCGGCTGCGGCATGTGGAGAGTCCGGCCGCCGCCGTCACCACCGCCGCCATTAGCGAGCTCGCCCGGGATGAGACCGTTGGAGAGCCCATAATCGTACCCGAGCCCCGTGCTGTTGTCCATCTGCATGACCAGGTTGAGCGTTGCGTTCTGGGCGTTCTGCGTCTGGTAGGCCGCGGCCGCCGCTGCGTCAAAAGCCGGCTGCCCCCTCGGCGTCAGAGGAACCCACCAGTTCCCGTTCCTGGCGTCCAGACTGCCCCCGGGCGTGAAGGCCGCGTTCCAGTGCAGGCCTTCTTCCCCGGCTTGCGGCGCGGCGCCGTGGCTTACGGCGTCTCCGCCGTACATCCAGTCCGTCGGTTGAGAGCCCGACGGGGCGTCCCCACCGGCTGCGGTTCCCCCGTGGACGAGAGTGTTAGGGGTGGACAGCGCCGAAAGGTCAGACATGCAGAAGGGATCGTCGAGATAGCCGTTGACGAAGGCCATGGCGTTGGGGTCCTCTTGGGTCAGACCTGCCACGGGGCCACTTGTCAGCGCGGGGCCACTTGCCGGCGGGCGGCACGAGGGCAGATGCGTCTCTGCAACGTTCAGCTCTTCGGCTTTTATGGGGCTTGTCGGCCCGGTGGTGGGCACGCGAGGCACTCGTGGACGGCGGGTGGTCGCCTTGCGAATGGTCGAGCAGATGGCGTCTAAACGGCTCGTCTTCTTATTCTCTGACTGCAGGCGAGGCGAGGATGGAGCGGAAGGGGTGGTGGAAGGCGGCACGACGACTCTGGGGGACCTCATTGTCAAGCCATCTAGCCTCAGCAGCTCTGGGTCTGGGATGGAACGCCCTCCTCCAGAGGGCTCATGGGCGGTTAGCTGTGCATCCGCTTTGTTCTTCAGTCTTGAGCTACCTTGTGTATTGATTCCGAGTGTACTGCCAGGTGGTGCGGGTACTGAGCATGTTGGGACGGATGGCTTGGTATCGACCTGGCGTGCGAGGCGCTTTGCGCAGAATCAGACATGGCATCCTGGCCGTGAATCGAGGAAGCTATCGAATGCGGCGCTAGGTCTGTCGAGCTCGGTGGCGAGATAACGACCTCTGCTGGGCCGAACTGGGCATAGCTGTTGCTCTCCCCTCCCCTGAAGCTGGTCGAATCTGGCCCGTCGGCCACGGTAAACTGATCAAAGAAGTCGGTCGGCACGTCCGAATCGTCCCAGGCCATGGAGACTTCTTTGTCTTGGGACGAGAGCTCGGCGGAGGTAAAAGGCAGCATTTGGACCCTGACCATCGTTCACAAAGAAAACGGGCTAGGAAGATGGTTGAGGGTGAGGGTGGGAGCCGTTGATGGCTTTCCGAGACTCGCCCATTGTGAGAAGTCGTTGGATGCCTTCCTTCTGTGTTGTAAGCCACCACAACAGACCGAATGCCACGGCAACAGAAGGTATGAAAGAAACATGCTGGTACGTATTTGGGACGCCAACCGGCAGAGCCAGCGCGGATCTATTAGTTTGGCTAGGACTGGTATGTGGCTAGAAACCCTCCCATGCTTGGCGGCTTTCACTCGGTTCAACCGTTCATTCCTTCGTATATGATTCCTGATCATCCACACAAACAAACACCTAGAAGGGGTGATCAAGCTGATAATCTCCCAATTCAACAAAGAAACACACCCCCCCCCCCCTTTTCTTTGTATTCGAGATCACAAAGTTCAAGGGAACAGGGGGTAAAGGGAGGGGGATTCGGGACGAGTCCAGTTCAGTGTTGCGAGGAAGACAATGCCGGCATGGCTGGTATGCAGCTTCACATATTTTTGGCAAAGTGTCCCACTTGGAAAACACCAGGCTCTGGCATTTCATCTCGGCGCGGAGAAAATCATCAGGTCTCATGACGAGACACGGTTCCTTCGGCCAACAAACAAACATCGCTAGAAGACTGCAAGAGATATGAGAGAAAAGCACAGCTACTCACAAGGAGGGCCGCTTTTCTCGATCGATTTCGTATCTCTAAGCCTAAAAAACCTTCTTTTCTCTCCCGTATATCACCTCACATGCGATTCCCAAACAGACAAAGTTCTCCAAGACCAGCGAGGTCAATAGGTAGTCTCTCGACTGAAATCTAGATGCCAGATCTTCCCAAAATGAAGGAAGGAGGGAAAAAACGAATAATGCTGCTGCTCTGAAATCTCCCTAGTGCTTCATTGCATATAGAACGCCGATATATGCTCCGCAAAGAACGCCGTCTATTTGTGCGCCCATCGCCCTTCCCCAATGGCAATGAATGATAACTGCTATGCACTTGGTGCCGAAATTGCCCCAGAACGAACACCATATGCGATGAGACCTTCGCAGACGGGGGCGGGGGCGGGGGGTATATTGTGCCAATGCAACGATAAAGAACGAAACGAAAACGATACAAAAGACAAAGTTTAATGGCCAAGCTCGTCTGGCAGAGACGGGGGAATGACGGGTGACGATATGGGCGACGATATGGCAGACGACGCCTTGCTGTTTGGTCCCAGCTTCTTCCTCCTTCGCATCCTCGGCCGGTTCCTCACCACATTGGCGCAGCGCATGCCCGCGTCAGCCGAGGGTCGATAGGGGAGGTATCTGTTCTTTCTGATGCCTCCCGGGGTGCTTGCCCGGCGAAGGGACATGACGCTCTCAATCCAAGCCATCTCGTCACCATCTGGAAGATTCCCTGCGCAGTATGCCTCGTCAACCTCCAGGTCCACACACGGGGGGTCGAAGTTGAGGTTGTCGTCGGGTTCAATGATAGGGTCCAGCCACATCGCAGATGTCGGGGTTGGGAGTGGCCCGCTGCGCACATTACATTGCGATCCGCTGGATATCATGCCCTCGACAACGGTCTGGGGCGTTCGCGAGCTGGTGGGATTGTTGGGATCGGTGTTGAAATGGGTGCTCTGCTGCCGACGGAACGCCCTGCTAGTGTTACCCGGGACAAGACTGCCAAGACTGCGGTGTGTGTCCATGGCATGAGACGAAGAGGCCAGCGGCAGTATTATAGAGTCTAGCTTGCGTCGCCCAAGCAGCGACGCATTGTCTAGCCGAGGGTCGTGGCCAGTCTCAAGGGTAGGGCAGGGCTGTCGGTGCGGTATGTCGGGGAGTATGGGTGGTGATGATGGTGACGGTTGAGGTGGTACAAAGGCAGAACCATCCAATCGCAGATCCTGCCTGCTCAGTTTGTGTGCCAGGCTATCGATGCTCGTCGGTCCCGGGATTGATTTGGTGTCGACGTTCGCGGACGGGTTCGTTGGTGATAATGCAGGGGAGTGACATTGCGGCCGCTCGGGTGCCGTGTCTCTGAGGCGGGTGTCCGACTCCCGCTCCTCTGGAGCCGCCTCTTCGGCACGCTCTGTCTGCCTTCCGAAGACAAAATGCTCCATCATTGTGGATTCGCGATGGGGCAAACCCAGCTGATAGAGGACGGAAGGGATGGGGAAATGGAATGTTTGGGGAAGGGCCACCACTTATTGAAGGCATCGGCGGCGGTGCTTTGCGCTAATCCTTAGGCTAGAGGCGCCGTGGCGGCCTCGAGGGGACCGACGTCGCAGGATAGTTGATGTTTGGCAGAAGGACGGCGAAGAAGAATGATATTAATTAATATGGTAAGGTGTTGCGACTGAGAGCAGTGAGCTCCTTATGCATTGGTAACTTGGAGTGTGGTCCATGTCAGAGGACGCAAACCGGTTCAGTCGTATGTACGGATTACGAAGAGTTGAGTGTGCTCTCTCTCTTCTCGCTCTCAAACGTCCAGGTTCAAGGGCACCTCGACCATCGTTCACGTTGCAGTCTGGCTGGAGACATCAGCTTCCCTCGTACCGAGTACAATATTTTATTCGGTACTGGGATGCGGCAAGGGCGGCGACTCTCCGTTCACACTGTGTGCATTCTTAACGAACCTCATGTAGGCATCGAACTGCCAGCTGGCCAAGTCTCGAGGCAATAGGGAAATGCACAGGCCTTTTTGGGAGATTCAATGGGCTTGGAATTAGAAAACGGGAAACGAGAGTCAGGCTGGATCAATCCCATATCGCACTGTACGATTTGTGTATAGGCTACAAGCGAGCTGACGGCGTGTCCAGGAAAGGAGTGGGCCGTCAAACCCGACATGGTACCGACTGTCTGGCTTGGGTGTTCTCCAGCGCTGTTGTGTGAGTGGAAGGGTCCGTCAGGTCACTCCGCCATTCATACGCGAGTGGCGTTCCTCCACTAGCGTTGCGCAGTGACCTGAACAAGGATGTTCCTGCCACAAGTGGACTTTCCCCGGCCCCGGGTCACTCCGTCTGTCCAATCATGCCGATGTAAAAGCCTGCCAAGAAATGCCAGCTCCCCACCAGACGGACCCTCTCAAATCCCAGAGGGTCGGGTCCTTGTCCTTTGGTGTGACTGTGGGGCTTCTCGCGGGACTTTTTCGCAGCAGATTGTCCTTTGCCTCCGTGTGAAAACGAGACTCGACAATACCTCGGTACCCTACAGCATAATTAATGGGGTAGCTAAACGGAGTCGCTACTCCGTAAAGAAGAAAACCATTATCCCGATTCCAGATTCTGAATAATTAGGGAGTATTCCTGAAATACAGTCCCATTCCTCAGGCAGCGACAAACAAATATTGCAGCAGGCCAGCCTGGCATACAGGAAATTGGCACCACTAAATCCCAGGACTGAACCGCCAAAAAGGGTCTTAGTTTCCTTTCGCCGTCCTCCTTGCAGGGCAAACCGTTCAGACGTTCAGAGGACGCAAAGCGGTAGGACCGAACCCCCCTTCAGCCCCCACCCTAGTGCCCTAATGCGATGGCTGCAAACCAATGCCTTCATTTCGGCTCCACACCCGCAAGTTGCAACCGGCACCCCTGGGAGTACGACGGTGACAGAATTTCAGAAGTACATGTCTCCATCTCTTCTCCCCTATCCCGTATCATGGAAGCTTTCCATCTCCCTTCTTCGTCGACAAAGGCGACAAGCACACTTCGGGATGCATCCGGCCGGCTTACGGTACTTGTGTAACTGAGATGTGTCAGGGGACTTGCAGTTCCCGACAAACTGGCACGCGTTTCACGTGCCCGAAACCGTGAAACAAGCGCCACCCTGCACTGGATGTACTTACATAGTAGGTATAGTACATATGATTCCTGCCATTCATACGAGGACAACAAACTTGCTGCCTCTGTAGTGCAGAATGAGTTTCCGTGTGAACCAGCAGGTCTCACCTTTCTGAGAAGAATATCTGGTCGCTTTCGGCTGTCGCTTGCCAATCGTCATTTTATCTCAGCTCTCAGCACAGGCATTCTATCAGCACCCTTGCCTTAGGTGTTTCCTTTGGCAGGCCTGTCCCCGGTTAGTGTATAGTAAGAATCCCAGGGCTGGCCTGTCAGGTGGTTCCCTGTTCATTACTCCTGAGAAGCGCCCCTGTCAGCGCGCTGCCTTGCTGTGCAGACTTTGGTTTGGAAGGCGGCTGGCTAGGATGTTGTGGAAAGGGCACCCGATATCAAACTCTACGTCCTGCTAAAGGGCCGAAGAGGCTATTTCGTTGCATCAGAGCACGGTTGGCTGACGTGTTTCATGCCGAGTGTGTTTGCGCAGGCCCAAGGGGAAGCTCGGAAACCTCGCGACAAATCATCACGCCAAAACACGGAACTACATCACTGACGAAAGTCCAAGCATAATAATCTAGTGTTGCAAATCGAGTACTGTAGTATACGGATAGGCGCAGAGGAGGCATCGGCGATGGGGAAAATTGGACAGTTATTACTCGATTGGCTGGATACCTAGATGAGACTGCTCACTGCTGCCTGAACAAAGGTGCCCGTGGACCGTGGACCGTGGACCGCATCCAACCGCATCCGTATATCTGCGCAACGCCGTGGATACGAACCTACATAAGAAGCTTAACCAGAATCCCCCATCCCCACTGAACTGTTTCCGTGAAGTACCACAGTACTGTTAGTGCGGTTCTTCAGGCCAGGGCTGGCAACAACAGCGACTAACAGCAACGGCAAAGCAACGGCAACAGCGACTAATGGCAGCAGCAATAGGTAGAATAGATAAGTACGGACGTAGGTAATTGCCTATTCGAGAGTTTCTGCCTTCGTCCAGCCTTGCCTTCTGCCTTGGCCGCCCAGTGGCTGTGTGTTTGGCGGGGTATGTCCTTCAGTACTGCAGTGGGACTTGGTACTTCAATACGAGGCTGAGCTGAACGGAATGGGTGCAGTTCAAGACCTTCTAATCCGAACATGTGAGTCCTTGGGGTACAATATGGCCAGAGAATTGTTCTGGGGGTATCGAGTGTTACTTCCTCAACTCGATTTATCCTTGGCCCCATCACCACGGACCCAGATTTGGCTTTGCAGTGATGTTGTTTACTCGAGGTATCGCTGGCCTCACATCAGATGATGACGTCTCAGAGCAGAGCAGAGTAAAAGACGAGGAGAGCGAGATTGAGGGATTGGGCCTTGTCCACATAAACTTCTCTAAAGACATTGTTCGGCCAGTCTTCGTCTACCCGTGTCCCCTCCATCCTACCAGTCCCTGCGACGAGGAGCTCCAACTGTATGATTGTCTCTAGCTCACCCGTGGATTAACACTGACAAGATCCCAGATGCGATGAATCCGCGCCTAGGATTCGGATAACGGTTGGGACAGAGCCGAGGCGGAGAGTGTTTTCAATACACAAGCTCCTCCTCTGCCATCACTCGGACTATTTCAAGGGTGCCTTCAGAGCTGGCCCCCTCCGGTTCGTCGAGGCGGAGACGGGAGAATTCGAATGGCCCGAGGACGATCCGGAGGAATTCCATCTATGGGTGAACTGGTTGTACTCGTGCACCGCCTGTCAGGGGTGGCCAAAGTATGACCCCAATCACCAGTGCATACAAGAGCCAGAAGAGGGCGGCTCCCGGAGCAGCTGGTGCATGGCCGAGCCGGAACAAGCGTTCACGTTCGGGGACCGGATCCTATCGTCCACGTACTGTATGGCGGCCCTGGCATCCTTCATCCAACACGTCCACCTTGCCGACTTCTCCAGGCTTGGGTGGACGTACGAAATTACCAGCGAGGGCTCGGGGCTCCACCGCTTCGTCCGCCACTGGATTGCCTGGCTCAAGTTTCGGGGATACGACAAGACGCCTGCCGATGAGCTCGAATACCCAACCTTGTTCAGCGGCATCGAGGGGTGGACGAGCTTGGATCCGCGGAAATACAAGCTACGCCACTGGCTGCAGGACTGTTCAAAACAGCTCTATATTCGATGCGAACACAGTAGACACCGACCGGCCTACCTTATTCGTCCGAAACGTCTGGATCATATGGTTCATCCAGTGGTCAGGGAGCCACGGCGTACTGTCCCGGCATGGATGTTATGCCTTTGGGTGAGTGGATGCATGGAAGGTTGAACAGGGAATCTCGCTAGACATGGCTGACCGATTCTCTCAAGTACGCCACTGTCATTGGCATGATGATCATTGCCCCGTACATCTTTGCAGGGGACGCAAAGGGCCTGATAGCCAAGCCGGCGAAGATACTGAGCATCGTCACAGCGTGCCTGGCATTTATCGGCGCCGTCTCGCGGGGCCTTACCCGGCCCTTGTTATGTATACTCATGGTTTTCCTCGCATTCGCAAGCGCTATCTTCTCCGCCTACCAGGCCGGAAAGTGCTTCAAGGTTAGTCGTCACCCATGAAATGGACACTCTAACTGCGTCTCCCCTACTAACAGCAGGTGGCATAGAACCACGGTACAAGAAAACTCATATGTAACTTGGAGATGGGTTTCACGTCGCTGGAGTTCTTCTATGTAGTGTTGTTGGTAACAGTGATATCCAACTGGCGGCTAAACCCAGTGATATATCATTAATGAGACTCGGCCAGTAAGTAATGCCAAGGTAGATGGCCCCTTGTAAGGAGTTAGAACAGTCAAGCTTGTTGCTGTTGAGTATGTGGAGGTCTAGGCGAATTGTTAAGGGAATAAACATACAGCGAGGAAGTTCTGGTATTGTTGGTGATGCAGCACCACTTGACGACAACTAACGATAAACACATCTCGGAAAGCATGGCGGCTTCCATGATCCTTCTTCCGCAGGATGGGTATGACAGTTCGGTGTGGAAGCAAGCCCACCTAGGTGTACTGGAGCTTCAATGGGCCTCGGTGCATTGTCCAATCAGGTTCACTTAAAGTCCCTGTGTCGGCACCCCAAAACACCCCTGGCAAGAGTACATTTTCGGCAGGGCATATGTAAACTTAACAAGTTTACTGCACATACACACACAGTACGTTCAACGCACACTACAGCGTACGGCACAGGAGAAAGTAAACTTCGCTTCAGAAGCGCAGCACTATTGACGGGAATATGCCAGTGGGAGCCCAGGGCACCACTGACTCGGACCTTTTTTTGGCGGCGGCGGACTTGGGTCATTGCTCAACAAAGACGTCTTAGGGTAGGCAAGTGTTTAAGGGGTCAACCTTTGCAAGACCCCATCCATACCTTTCTCTCTACGCTGCGCTCAAGCAGCTTGTGTGTTGCGAATGCAACTCCCTCACTCCATCTTGCAACCCTTCCACTGCTCCCCAGTTCTCTGACCGAAACTATATCCATGCTGTATCCCGACCGAAAGAGCGAGTGCGACGCCTTCGTGCCATCGATCACACGTAGGTATCATGATCATTCGACGCGGAACCATGGTTGTTTCAGTAACTGAGAAGCAGAGGGTCGGTTTCGTGGATCAATCTGGAGAATATCTCTCAGCGGAGACACGATCTCTTTGACTTCCGCGTCGTTGATATCGGCTGGTTTGTACTCGTGGAACTTGTCCTCCAATGAAGGAAAGGGCATCGGCGAACCAGGGTCCGAGGACTTGTCAAAGCTTGAAGGACATGTGGCGAGCCGTTCTCCGTCTGGGCCGAAATACAGACTAGACCTGGACCATTGTACTCGCATGTCTTTCGGCAGAAGGCCGATAATTTCCGATAGCTGTATCAGATGGTCATCGTCGATAGCGTCTTTCTGGCGGCGGAACGTAAACACCTCGAACAGGGGGTAGTCGGTTAGTAGCTCAAAGATAAGACACCCAAAGCTCCAGATGTCGATGGCAGGGCCGACTCCGCAGTGGAAAATGGTCTCTGGCGCTCTGAGAGTGAGCGGGGTCACGATAGATTCTGGGGGATTATTAATCCAGAAAGCTTTAATATATGCTTGAGTCAGTAAAAGCATTAGAAACTGCGATATCATAGGGAGGCCTACCGCCACCAAAATCTGCCAGCTTGACAATTTCTTATCCTGCGGTACAGCCTCTTCAACGAGCGGCTTTGGAACTGCGAGGTACTTTGGGGCCCATCGATCGACTTTCCCATCGATCCGTAGCAATGGATCAAGCTTCGAATTCGTTTCGTTCTGCTCTAATTCTTGAGGGTTGAGGGCGGTTAATCCTTTGAGAGAAAACAAGAGGTTTCCTGAATGTAGATCACTGTGGACGATATGATTGCCGTGAATAAATCCTAGCCCGGTCAAGATATTTCTAAGAAAGTTTCTGGTCTGTAACGTAGGGAACCTATGACTTGAAGGGTTAACGGGGTCATAGAACTCAAGAGGTGCCCCCAAAACAGCCGAGACACTTGGACCCATAGGCTCAGTGACAAAACAATAATGCCTGCCGTTAGGGCCTTCGAATATGAAGGAGTCTAGCAACAAGAGGACGAAGTTCGAACAAGAGTCTTTTGAGTTGGCGGAGAGATGGTGTTGGATCGATAGCTCCTTGGACACATCCACGTTGGCAGCGTGAATCTTTAAAGCGACGTATGTGGACGATCTTACCATCCCCCCTACTATTAGTACTTTGCTTGTCGTGGGATTACCAGTCGGCCTTACACAGAATCCACTGCGAGCCAGACAGTCGCGAATGAGCCATATCCCAGCTTCCTTATCACGCGGTAGCGTGAGTTTAGCACGTCCTGGAGATGAACGGGGTGAAAACCGCCAGGTCGATAGGAATCTGCCCGCTCACAAGAAGTTCCTGTGTGCTTAAACCTTGAGTCTTTCAGCCGTGGCATCTCAGACGGCGGCGTTGATGGAGCAGACATTGTGGGAGAAGGGGTGTCGTGTGGCAGAACCAGACCGAGATTCGAGAAAGACAGGAATATCCGAGGTACGGGTAATGTAGAATACTGGGGGTTTCAGGCAGCGAGAGATGTTCGAGACCAGTCCTTAATATTCTGGGGAGTAGGACCTGCTCTCTGCCGCTACGAATAACATCAGACTGTTAACAGTCTGGTGGTAGACAGAGACTGCTTGGTGATCTGGTTAGGGCAGGAGGTTTTCCAACTTGCCTAGCTGGCAGGGCTAGGGCAGGAAGAAGTATACAGTGACAGAGTCTGCCTATATTCCGTTGCTTATATTGCCTCTGCTATCAAACGTCTTTGCTCAAGGAGTTGGGCAACGGAGCGGAGGGTACGGTTGTGGCTTGGAAACACTTCAGCCAATCAAATCACCCAATTAGAGGCACGGTCCACCATGGGAGTGCAAAGAGGGTGTTCAAGTGGAGCTCAATCAAAATGTTAAATGTTTAAGTGCATATGGCGACCACCTGGACCTTCATCGCCTCAGCTCCCGCTGATGCGCATCTTGTAACGACGCTCCCACAATGGCACTATCTTCTGCCAAACCACGTCTCCTTGGACCGGCTTCCATCCGATCAATGTTCGTCCGGGTCACGCCAGTACCGCGAAGCCTATCTGATCGAAGAGCTGTGCTTCGAGCGCTACAGAAATATGGAGAGGTCGAGGTCTTCAAGAGGCTCATTGTGTGTTATTCGTAGAAGTTACATCGATAAGATGGGTACTGATTGTCCTAGGATCCCGCGTCTTTCATCTCGACTGTAAAGCAATCTTCTACCGTCGACCGTCTTGTCGAGAACAGTCCCCTCCAGTTCGATGTCCTCCCGGAAAAAAGCGATAGCCTGGCCACTACCGCAGTGTCCGAACACATATTAAGAGGTAGCCTCCTGCCTAGCGACGCCGCCGAGACCCCGCCAGCGGGCCATCACCCCGGGGGACACAAGACGTTCATCCTACACATCTTCCCGACGCAGAGCTATAAGCACAAGACCATGATTCGGTATTCACCGCTACATGGCCCTTGGCCGGACGACAAGCCCTCGTCGTTTGTCACATCAGCACTGAGAGTAGTCGTGCCTAAGGACATGGCAGCCAAGGGCTTGTGGGACTGGGAGACCGGTGGTCAGGCCGAGAAGGCGACGCCTCGGATGCCTGACAAGATCGATCACATCCGGGAAAGGATGCAGCGCAGAGAAAACAGAACCCGCTCCAAGGGAATTCTCGGTCTTCAACCCATGGGCGGACGCCTGGAGGACAGCAGTTCGGGGAAGCCTAGGGGTGACGAACGGTAGAGCCTCAGCCGTCTCAATTTGGAACGATTTGGGCCTTCGGCGACGGTGACTCCCGAGACGAAGGGCAGAAATCATCCGGAGCGGTGCAACCCCCGTGCAACCCCAGTCTTGGGCAGCACCCTGGAGACATCGTGCGCGTTGGCTACGTTGTTCTCGTGGTTGCACACATGCTCAACCATTCAAGGATTCTTCTGCCTAAACCGTCTGACATCAGGCCATGGAAGGCCCTACGAAGATTCCTCTGGTTCCGGATTTACCTGGGGTCCAAGCTTCGCACACTTGGTGTTTCAGTGGGGCAGAGCTCTGACCAAGTTCGTTGCGATTTCCAAAAAAGGAACGCAGGGGCTGGCAAGGTTCATGGGGCTACGAGATTGGGCTGCCCGCTCCGCTCACACGAGTCACGAGAGGCCTCGAAGTTGGAGCTAATTACGACATGACATGTGGCTTGGGAAGCGAAGCTCAAGGACGCGGGTGTGAACTGCCATTTTTGTTTGTGTTGGGGCTTTGCTGTCGTCGCAATCCCGTCGCAACTGCCCAAGCCCCAAAAGGGCTGGGACCATGCATCTGCAGGTGCCGTTGGCCAGGCCACCAGGGAAGTGGGGCCTCAGCGCGACAGGGGCCTTTCCCCAGCTACGTCACCGCCAATTAGGGGTGGACACTGGACAGGGGGGGAAAACACGGAAAACAGGTGTGCTGCCCTTTTTTTTTCAGAATCATGTCGATGCGCACACGACCCTTGCAAGCTTGCAAGCCCTGCGGAAATTCTACAGTACAACCAAGAAACCTCATAGGTGGTTCCATGGGAGATTGGAAATGACGTCGCACGTTCCCTTCCCGCGTGGAAAGACGTTTGAAACCCCCGATCTCTGACCCTTTATATTCAGACGGTCCCCTCCCCTCGTCAGCCGTGTCTCTCCCTCCCTATATACTCAGTATTGACCTCGAGCGACCACCGTCCTCCAACTATCGTTTGTTATACCCCCCGTGTATACACCGGCATCCAATCATCTACAGCAACACTTGAACGAATCATCCCAAGATGGCGAGGACAGGCTTCTTCCATCACGTCGGCACGTTCCTGTTGTTTGCTGCAACCGTTTTGCTCATCATCACGTGCATCTCGGCGCCAGTTATAAAAGATATCGCCATCTTAAAGGTCGACCTTGGGGACAAGCAGTCCTCAGACCATTCGACGGTCACTTTCGGCACGTTTGGATACTGTGTCAACGAGCCTGGTGGTGGTCGGTACGTACCCCTGAGTGGCATGTCTGACTTGAAGAGAGACAATCAGCTAACGAGACGCAGAGATGGATGCTCCCGTAAAAAGTTGGGATACTCGCCAGCGGACGTCATGGCCAGCGCCGACGGGACCAACTACTCCGACCACGCCAAATCGACAACCAAGGCTCTCACCAAGGCCCTGGTCCTTCATCCGATCGCGTGCGGCATGAACTTCATCGCCTTCTTGCTCGCGCTCGGCGCCGGCGTGGTGGGCTCGCTGCTGGCCTCCCTCGTGGCTCTGTCCGCCTTCATCGTCACCGTGGTCGTCATGATCATCGACTTTGTCCTCTTCAGCATCATCAAGTCCAAGGTCAACAGCAGCGACGCCAGCGCCAACGCCCATTTCAGCACCGCCGCTTGGACCACGCTCGCCTCGGCCATCTGCGCGCTCCTCGGCACCATCGTCGTCTTCTTCACGTGCTGCTCGTCTCGTCTTCACAGCCGCCACCACTCGGCTAAGAGCAGCACGGGAGCATACGACGCCCCTCCCCGTCGGAGGAGGTGGTTCTAGGTTGGCTTGTTGCCCGGCACGAGTTAATGTGACGGAGCGAACAGGGGAGGTTTTGGGTGACGGTGATAATTGATATGAGCGGTGGTCGGTGGAGCATGTTACTCTGCCGTCAGGCGTTTCAGCACGGGCTGGCTTTGATTGAACGGGGTCTTTCCTTTAATTAATGATATCCCATGCTACCTACATAACAAAGGTGCGAATGAACATTTCAAGACTGAATTACTGCTCGTCCCTCCAACGATGCCGATGAGTTTCTTCGTGCGGAGTAGGTGCAGGATAGGATGCATTGCATGTTGATGAATTTTACGGTTCAAGTCTAGAGACCGAGTGAGTGGAAATCGTGACGACCGAGAATAACTACCTAACTTTTTCTTTGCCTTTCCTTCACTGCCCAACCCGGCTGCATAGGGTTCTTGAAGCTTCGCTTTGGGGTGGTGCTCGGGGCTTGGTTTTGTGGGGCCGGTCCGCGGGCGGGGTGGCGCCGTGTCCGGCCGGGTCTTTCAACATATTCGGTTTCCCCCCCGTGTATTACACTAATGTCTGGTCTGGCTATTGTTCATGATTGACAGGCCGCTATCTCTGTATCTTCCTTTCAACAATATGGACAGACTGGGACCGTTCAACGAACGACCTGTAGGATGTTGCGAAGCCAAGTATGATTGGAGAGACACATCACGTGGCTGATAGCAACAACAGTTAGCCGTTCCTCAGAGAGAGGGGAACAGCATCACAACCATACATCAGGAGCCTCCTTACACCTAATATCATCTTCTCAGCCCCGTCTTTAATATCCGGAAAATTAATTTTGGTGTGTGCGCGAGCGACTGGTGTTTTTCGGGCCCCACCCCGGTTAGTTGACAGTGATGGCCTTCAAGAACATCCGTCAACTCCACCGCAACAATGTCCAGACCCTCCGGAACTCGCCGGTGGCAGAAATATCCGGCGCGCTGGGAGACCTGGGCACTCTCCTGCCGCTGATGATAGCCCTTGCCCTCCAGGGCTCGATTTCGCTCTCCACAACCCTGGTCTTGACCGGCTTCTTCAACATCGCCACAGGTGTCGTCTTCGGCATACCACTGCCGGTCCAGCCCATGAAGGCAGGCTCCATCCAAAGACCTTAGCCTACCCTCCCCTTTGAAACGGCTTAAGTTAACCCGAGCATGCACGCGCAGGCAATCGCCGCCGCGGCAATAGCCTCAGGCTCCTCCCTGCCTGAGACCGTCGCGGCCGGCGCCTGGGTCAGCATCGCGGTGCTGCTCCTCAGCGCGACGGGCCTCATCGGCTGGCTGACGCGCCACATCCCCGTGCCGGTCGTCAAGGGGATCCAGATGGGCGCCGGCCTGACCCTCGTCGTCTCGGCGGGGACCTCGCTGCTCCGGCCCCTCGGCTGGGCCGCCCCGCCGCTCGACAACCGGCTCTGGGCCCTCGCCGCCTTCCTGGGCCTGGTCGCCACCCAGCGCCGACCCCGCTTCACCTACGCCCTGCTCGTCACCCTCGTCGCTGTCGCATCCGCCGTCGCCGCCGTCGCCGCCTCCCGGCCAGGGGGTCTGCCCGCCCTGACCCCCTGGCACCCGAGCGCCTACCTGCCGGCCTTCCTCTCCCCCGACGCCGCAGGCATGGCCGTCGCGCAGCTCCCGCTGACGGCCCTCAACAGCGTCGTGGCGGCGGCGGCGCTGGCGGCCGAGCTCTTCCCGTCGCTCCCCGGCGGGGCCACCCCGCCGTCGGCGACGGCGCTGGGCATCTCGGTGGCGGCCATGAACCTGCTGGGCTGCTGGCTGGGCGCCATGCCCGTGTGCCACGGCGCCGGGGGGCTGGCGGCGCAGCACCGCTTCGGGGCGCGCAGCGGCGCCAGCGTCGTCATGCTCGGCGCCGCCAAGGTCGTGCTCGGCCTCGCGTTTGGCGAGTCGCTGGCCGGCCTGCTGGGCGCGTTCCCGCGCGCGCTGCTTGGCGTCCTCGTGCTCGCCTCTGGGCTGGAGCTGGCGTGTGTCGGTGCGGGGCTGAATTACGGCGCTGCGGACCTGTGGGAGACGAGCGCCGCGGGGGCCGAGCTGGGTGGTGGCAGTGGCGGAGGGCTGGCTGGGCTGGTTAGGAAGCACAGGGAGCTTTCCGATCAGGAGAGGACGGAGAGGTGGACTGTGATGTTGATGACTACTGCCGGGATGCTGGCTTTCAAGAACACTGCCGTCGGCTTTGTGGCGGGGATGATCTGCCACTGGGCCTATTGGCTTGCGGACTTGGTTGAGATGAGAAGGGCTGGGAATCGCTTGCATGGCGAGAGTCGCCCTTTGCTACATTGACGAATTATTTGACTGTTGAGCTACCTAGGTAGTGGCTAACATATGTTACATTTGACGAGTTAAAGTACTTACGTCGCAGCTCTCCTCCCATTTTTCCAGTACCGAAAACATGTTTAGGGTATAACCAGGTTAGATGAGGAGAAATACATTAAAAGAAAGAGAAAGTAAAACATGGTGGGCCGTCATACTACACTTCCAGGGGCAACAGGAGGCTGTTTTGCTATATTCTCCAGCTTCGCCTTGAGGGTTGTGTCTTCAGACCTCCCCCTCATCTGTTCAAGATGCTCCTCCTTGACCTTGTTCAGGAGCAGGGTCTTATACACGAGGAACAAGACCAAGTACAGCACGAAGGTGACCGACTCCACCGAGACTGCCACCTTTGCCGTCACACCCCAAGTGCCACCATGCTGAGAATATATACTCGTGAGCGTGCTAATCAAGCCGGCGAGAGCGTTCAAGATCCCCGGCATGTACAGCCGGTTCAGCAGCCAGACGTAGTTGTTCCTCCATCGGATAGAAAGCCAGAGACTGCCTAGGTAGCCAATGCCGCAGCAGAGCGCCGCCAGGGCCAGCAGGGGCAGGCTCTGCACCCTGTCGAGGATGTCGCTCGCTGCCGCATTCTGCTGAATGACAGCACTATCTTGGAGCTTCTGTAAGCCGGTGAAGGTTCCCGGGAAGACGACGAAGCCCGCGAGTAGGATCCACCCGAAGAAGGAGGCGAGGATGTTGTGCAGGCGTGGGATTGTGTCTAGAGAGAGCAACATGTTCATGTACCGAGTCCGAAAGCTGTTTTCCCGGACGGGGGCGGCATAGGGGGTAACATCGGCGACCAGCGTGCTCTGTCGCGATGGCGGTGTTGATGGCGGGGGATTGCACTGCACGGTACTTGACTGTGAAGACGCCAAGGCCGAGGACGCGATCGGCGCGCTCGCCTTGTACCGAAGCTCGTCTGATTGCGATGTTCCTGGCCGGGGAGGTACCCCCGGAGGAGAGTTAAACGTGCCCTTGCGAGACGGGGGTCTCGAGTGGGCTTGTTGTTCTGGCCGAGGCATCTTTGTATGAAAGGTGCCCTGCCGTGACGGCGGTTCCCAGTACGCCCGCTCTTCCGGTGACCCTAAAACTCTCTGAGCCTCGTACATCCTAATTGGCTTCCCATTGCTCCTGCCGTCTCGCTGCTCTCGAGGTACTGGCCATGGACTTTTTGGAATTGGCGGTAGGGGTTTTGACCGAGGCGGGGGCCTTGAACCCCTTGCCCTCCTCCCCTGGAATGTCTTGGGGTCATAAACCGTGGGAGCCAAGGTGATAAGTCGCGACTGGCGATTATCAAGGTCCGATGCGTTTCGTGCTGGAGCCTGAGGTCTGTACAGGGACGGGTCTAAGGTGACGGGAATTGTGGAAATTCTGTTCATGGTGGATGGTATGATGGCAGACTGACCAGAAGTAAAATAATGAGGTGAGTAATACCACATAGAGACCCAAGGAAGCGATGCTATTCCCAAATCGCAAGGGAAGAGAAACGCAAGAGGGCAGGCGACAGAGACATATATATGACCGGCCGTCCATGAGGTCCAAGGTCTGTATAGGATAATAGAGACATGTGTGTTTACGAGGAAACGGCAAAGTCAAGAAACGAAACACACAGAAGTTTGGGACCGGTGTTTCGTCCTCATCAGCCATGGTAGGAGGCCGGCCCAGAAACATTCTCGAGAGGCATGCGACCAGCTAATGAACCTACGGCTTTCCAATACGCAAATGCTAGAGAGGAGGAAAGGGGCGGGCCAAGAGGGTCGTAAGCTCCGGAAGGTCACGAAAAAATTGACGAGTAATCAATGTGGTAACACAAGCTGGGTCCAGTGAAGACATATATAGAATGCCGAGGTAAGCGCCCGGGGCCCGAGGGCCGCCATAAGATGGACCCGAAACACGGACTAGTCGGCCTCGGGGGCGGCACGGCAACGGCCCAACAACCTCCAGCACGGCGGAGAAACAGACTTTGCCAAACATTTAGGATTCTAGGTGACCAGAATAGAACGGACCATCTGCTCATGTAAGAGAACTGCTGCGCGTGCATGTGAACGGGAGGTCTGCGCATCACAAGTGCCAACGGGCCGGTAAATCATTGTCAGGTGCTGATTTATTTTGGCAGGCCTGTCAAGGCCATTACCGTTGCTGTCAGTCGCTGTTGCCGTTCCCTTCAGTCGCTACTGCCGTCGCCTGTGGTCGCGACTGCCGTTTCTGTCAGTCGCAATACTGTCGCTGTCAGTTCGGCTACCAGGAATCGATATCGCTTTAACTTCTATCCCAACGTACAAGTTGAGCAAGTGAGCAGAGAGATCATTGATAAATAAGAATCTAGTAGTCCCACTTGTGGACAATCCAGCAGATGAACTCGATTTGAAGAGTAACCAGCAGAGTATGAAGATTGAAGAGAGTGTATTGCTGAGGAGCTTTTAGCCAAGGAGGTTCAAAGGTGGAGGTGCAAGGTGCTAGTCAAATCAGACACAGTCGCCAGCCAATCAGAGCTTGCAGATTCCTCCATCTGGGCAGGGGTCGCGGCAAACCGAAGTGTTGGCGGCCGGTCACCTAAACTTTTTTGGGCTCCCAGGAGGACGGGAACAGGCAGCGCATTGATTTCTTCAGACCTCAGTGACTGCATGCCCGCCTGTGAATTGCTTCATTGCACGGAATCGCCCTCCCTGCTAGACGAAGGAGCTGTTGCCCCGCAGACAGCGATGACTTCGTCCGACGATGACGATGGCCGCAATGGCCAGAGGAGGAGGCTGCTCTCCACCTCACCCGCCCCGCCCGTCATGTCACCGCTCACTCCTGCGAACGGTTACGACTCAGCATCGAACCACGACAACTTGAACCCCAACCACGGGGATGCCGCGCCCTCAGACCTCCCAATGCAACACTCTACGCCAGATCCCGATGCCCAACTCCCCCAACTCCCCCCTGCTTCCCGCTCCGGCGACACTGCTCTCACCCAGCAGACTGCCGCCGCCAACTCCAATAGCCAAGCCAAGCCGGATTCCGAATTCTTCACTGCGCCCGACCCGAGCACCCCGTTTTCGAACAACCATATCGACCTATTCCAGCAGCATGCCATGCCGCACAACATGAGCCTCATGATGGCCCTGGCGCAACTCTCGGCAAGCCGCATTTCCACAATCTCGACCCCCGGCCCTCCCCCTACTATTGCTCCCGCTCAAGTGTCCCTTCCAACTCCCCTCAACGAAGTTGGAGACCCTCTCGCGCATGGAAATGGCCATCATAACGGCGGTGCCTCGACGGCGGGCGCGCCGCTGGAGAGCTTCGCGCGAATAGAGTTCGCAGACAGCGTTTTCCAGATGACCACGTACGCCGTTATCATAGGCCGAGACCAGCGGGCTCTGGAGCAAGCGCGCCGAGATGGACGCCGTACCGAGGAATACCAGCGGAGAGTAGATCAGAATGCTGCCGCCGGTCTCCCGCCGCCCTCTCCGCCCTCCCAGGAACGTGGGAAATTTAGCAAATCGTACGTCAGTGAGGAGGGTGGGATGCTGGGCCCGGAATCGGATGGAGAAGACAACCCCCGCCCAGCCAAAAGGAGGAAAACGAGCACTGGCGATTCTGCCTCTTGGCCCCCGCAGCAGCAAGAGGCTGTCGCGGAGGAAGAAGGGGCAGGTGAGAGTGACACGAACCTCATCATAAACAGACAATACATCTGTCACACACCGGGTGCAGCAGCCGTGGATCTAACCTCGCTGCGACCGTCGCCATACCACGTACCTTTCATCGGCATCCACTCCCCCGGTCCCAATATCGCAAGCAAGACCAAGGCCATTTCAAGAGAACACTTGAAGATAGAATTTAACCAAGAGAAGGGCGTGTTCGAGGCAATACCCCTACACAAGAACGGCTTCTTCTGCGAAGATATCCACTACAAGGAGACCAAGGTTGTTCTAAGAAGCGGGGATCGGCTGCAAATCAAGGATGTCGACTTTGTCTTCATCATCAATGGGGTTCAGCCCGGTAAGACCGGAGCTGAAGAGTATTTTGACGAAGATGAGGTCGCGAACAGGAAGTACTCTGAAGGAGGAAAGGAAATGAGCTTCGAGTTTGAGAGCTCGCATGGTGCAGAGGTACAGACTTCGAGCGACGAGGAAGAGGAAGAGCTGGAACCTCCCAACCAGGAGAGTGACAGCGAGCTTTCCGACATAGGGGACGAGGAGAACGAGAACGAGGTCATGGAAACCATCGAGGATGACGCGGCGGGCCGGGAACATAAGATCAAGCCGGAGCCCCAGCCGGAGCTAGAGCTACCACCGCCGCTACCCAAGAAGCGGGGACCCGGCAGGCCGCCAAAGAACGGTATTATGTCCAAGAGAGAGGAGAGGCTACGGAAGAAGATGGCCATGGAGCTGGCCAAGAAGACGTTACCACAGCCGTCCCTTGGCGAACCTCCTATCAAAAGGAAGGTGGGCCGCCCACGGAAACACCCTCGCCCCGAAGATGGCACAGACAAGCCCGATAAGCGGAAGTATAAGCCGCGGAAGCCCAAGGGCGGCAAAGATGGCGCCGAAGGGTCTGATGCGGAAAAGGCTCCGAAGGAGAAGAGGAGAGAGAAGCCCAAGACCCCGCCCCTCGAGCTGAAGAAGGAGGACTTCACCGAGGAGCAACTACAAAAGCCGAACAAGAACTACGGCGTCCTGATCGACGAAGTTCTTACCGAGGCGGCTGGCGACGGGCTCACGCTGAAGCAGATCTACAAGAGAATCCAGAAGAAGTATCCCTACTACTTTTTCGTTGTCGACACCAAGGGATGGGAAAGCAGTGTTCGCCATAATCTTATCGGAAACGACGCTTTCAAGAAGAACGAAGAGACTCACCTGTGGAGTCGCGTTCCTGGAATTGAGCTCGATGCTGGTAAAAAGCGGAAGGCAACTTCCCCGGACCAACCTCCGGCACTCCATGGCTTTGGACAACATTATTCGTCGCAGATGCCACACCAAGCCATGTACCACGCCGAGCATCTGGCAGCACAGGGTTACCAGCCCGCCGCCGCAATGGCACCTCCCGGTTACCAGCGGAGTCCTCCAGCCCAACAAGCAGGGAGCAACCCCCCGCAGCAGCAGGCGAGCTACAGCGGGCAACATGTCGGTGTGCCCAGCCAACAACCTACCCGTCCGGCCTACCAAGTTCCTCCGCAAGCGCCGGCGCCCGCGCCGGCTCAAGTATCCGGCTATGTCCCCGCGGCACCACCCTCGCTACCACGACAGCTCGGCGCTCAATCGTCTTCGTACAGTTCTCCCTATGCAGCCAAACCCCCCCCGCCGCCAGTAGTTCCCCCCAACGGTGCTCCAGGCGTGGCTCAAAAACTTGCTTTGCCCGCTCCCGCAGCCAACTCCTTCGGCGGACTGCCTCGGCAGACTCCGCCTGCCTCCGTGCCGGGGCCTTCGGTCTCGACGCCTCAAGCCCAGCAGCAGCAATCCGCAACCAACGTGGCAACGGCCCCTCTTGAGCCGGCCGTGAAACCCGACGTGGTCAGTTTCATCAACAACTTCAAGAAGAACGTCATGGAGCATCTGTCAAAGCGCACCGACCAGGCCGAGGCGGTCACGTTGTCCGTTATCAACCGCGGCCTGGGACTCACGAACCAGAGCACGGTTCCGGATCAGGAGGGAATAGAGAAGGTGGTGCTCGGCGTCTTCGAGCAGACGAGGGACAAGGCGTACCCGAGCCATGTGCTCCCGCCGGGCCTCGTCCAGGTCCTCACCGGCTTCAAGACCAAATGGGTCGACACGCTGGGCACCAGGCTTGGCAAACCAAAGGCCGAGGCGCTGTTGCTCTCGGCGATCGACCGCTTCTTGGGCTTCTCGGAGGGGACCTCGTTACGGGGCACCGACACTGAGAAGAAGGAGTACGAGAATGCTGAGAACATGCTGATCCCGCAGCTCAGCAAGGACGTGACGAATTATCAGAGGGCGGTGGCGGCCGGTCGGCCATGATAGAATGGAGTTAAGTCCATTGCATGTTTTACCAGGTATGGGATGGGCGTGTTGGGAGACGCCTGGTTCGGCGCATTGTATGGTTAAGAGTGAACGAGCGTAACGACTTCATCTGATGGAGGTTGACCTAGCTATGTCAAGACGAGTATTAGCTACGAATATATCCCAACCCCTATCATGTCTGTTCGAGTCTCCTTTATGTCCCGCCCTTGCTGTAGAGGACCTAGCATTCCCTTATTAACAGCTGCTGGAAACTCGAATACCACCCAGCGAAGAGAGTCGCTTGAGACGTGGAGAGCATAGGCAACTACTACTCCCCTAGATCATATCAAGAACACGCATTAATGCCGTGTCGCTCGTTACCAGATACTGTACATTTTTTTGTGGCAGAAACGTTGAAGGTTTTGTGGGTATTCGAGGTAATGCATGTCTTACTCCGGAGACATCCCTGTGCAGAGCGGGTTGGATTCCGTTGGGCCATGCCTAAACTGGGTACGGCACCCCGCTCCGGGACCGGGCAGAAGTGCCGAGGCATCATGATGTTATCAAAGCAGGTGAAACTATGTAAGACGGTAGAACTGAGGGATGCAGCCAAAAAAAGTTATATTGTGTTTCTTTCTGCGGTGATCTCTGTCCACACTTCCCGGTAAACTTTGTCCCTGTCACACACGCAAATCATGTCTGATCCGGAGCGCCCTATCGTCCTGTACCACTATCCGTACTCCCCTTTCGCAAGGAGGGTCGTCTGGTACCTGCACCTTCGCGGGATTCCATATGCCCAATGCGTGAGTTGTTCCTGGCATTTCCACGACACACATGAGGCGAATTTGACGGTTAGTAACCTTGCCTACCTATAGATACAACCTCCCATACTACCTCGACCAGATCTTACCAGGCTAGGAATCAAATATCGGCGGATCCCCGTCCTGTCCATCGGAAGGGATGTCTACCTCGACACCCGCCTGATCATCCAGAAGCTCGAGGGCATCCACCCCTCCCTACCGAAACTCGGGGCCGAGGGTCCCGAGCAGAGGGCCATCGAGCGGCTCCTCGAGGCCCTGACCATCGACGCCGGCATCTTCACCCGGGCAAGCCAGCTCCTGCCCGCCGACCTCCCGCTGCTGCGGGACCCCAAGTTCCAGGCCGACCGTGCCGACTTCAGAGGGGTGAGGCTGTCGAGGGAGGCGGCCGCCGCGCTGAGGCCCGAGGCGCTCAACGAGATTGGCAACGCAATGGAGCTCCTGGAGACGACCCTGCTCGCCGACGGGCGCGACTGGATTCTTGGCACGGAGGGGCCCAGCCTGGCGGACATTGAGGCCGTCTGGCCCTTCCACTGGCTCGTGGGACTCCCTGGGGCGCTTCCCCCGGACCAGGTGTCCGCCGAGCGCTTCCCGAGGGTCTACGCGTGGGTGGCGAGGTTCCAGGGCGCCATCACCGCTGCCAAGGCGAAGCAGCCCAGGCCCAGGGATGTCTCTGGGGAGGAGGCGCAACGGATGATCGTCGAGGCGCCGTATCATGAGCCGGGCTGCGGGGTGGACGAGACCGAGCCGGTCGTCGGCTTCCACGGGCTGCGGAAGGGCAGCGCGGTTGCGGTGTGGCCGACTGATACTGGGTCATCCCATAAGGATACTGGGCGGCTTGTCGGGCTGAACAGTAAGGAGATTGTGCTGGAGACCGGGACCGGGACCGAGACCGAGACTCGGGGCCAAGGTGTACGGCTCCACGCTCCCAGACATGGCTTTAGAATGCGACCATCCCCTAATGCGGCATCAAGCTTGTGATGGTTGGTAGGACCTGTGGCGGTCTTCTCTCGCTACCGAGCTTGCAGCTGTATCGCGATGTCATTTGGAATTGCCAAACATTTTATGTAAAAAGTCGTTGCTCTACGCTCTAACAATTAAACCCCCGCACTATGATCTTACGTCGGCGGCTCTGCGTTGTCCATTGTCGGTTTGTCACGACTGGCTCCCCACAGGATCGCGCCTGGGATGGGTTACCCGACTTACAGACAAGGTTATTCAGACCTCCCCATGTGCCTTACCCATCGTCCATTAACACTTTACCGAACAGGCCGGCCTAGTCCCCACCACAACCAACCACCCATGCTGAACCGTTAAGTGAGCTTCGAATCAGAAATTTCCTTTTTTCTTCCCGCTTGCCTCGGGGAGACGGCCAAAATCTCCAGTTTATTCGTACCAGGCTAGTGGAAGTCAGAGCCTATTAGCGTGGGAGCAGGCTCTTGCTCGACCTAATAAACCGGGCCTCCCCGTCACTGATGCAACTCAGTCAGGCCATGGCGAGAGTAATGGAAGCGGCTCTGCCAGGGAAGAGCCAGACGCGACTTCCAACCGAAGGGGTCCGTCAAAGTTCTACGCAACATGCTGGTTTTGAAGCTATATTCACATCATGTCGCACTCCCTAGTGTTTCTACAGCGGCCCCCTAAGCGGTGCGCATTCCAGCTGCGTCATAGGGGCTCACCCTGACACTGTGGAGTCGAGACCGTGTCCTCCCCAGGTAAACAGCACCGTAGGAGGACAGCTTGCAGACGATGGCAGAAAAGCTCGCCTACAATTGGCCGCAAACAGTAGGAGTGGACATGGATAAAAGTCTGGAAGCAAACTGGGAGTCTATATTGGTGTGGGAGCTGCGATCCGAGTGGACAACCAAGTGAGCTGCCGTGTGTTGGGTACATACCACAGTGGTAGTTGCGACCTGGTCCGAAGACGTCCACAGTGCACAGTGCGTGGCCCACCCAATACATGACAAATTGACGTCGTCGTCCAGTCACAGTGCATTCACAATTACGTCATGACCAGGTTGATTAATCACACGAAATTATGGTCCGGACTTCTGATTCGAAAACGGCAAAACTCGATCCAGCTCCGCGCGATTCACGCGAATATGGAATCTTGACCCAGCATGCCTGCAACTGAATCAACAGAATTTGAATCAAGAGGGAGTCTTCGGAACCTCTTATGGGGCCTCGAATTAGATAGGCACCAAGGCAGGAATGGACGCTGGTTTGGTGAAGGATGCGGATACATACAGTGCAAAATGCCCACGTCTGAGTCGTTGACGCAATCGACTTTTGTTTTGCCTCAAATTCTTGGACAGGGGGATGGGTCTGAGGGGCCAGCCGTCGCTTTCATTCGACGGGGCTAATTACTTAAATACTTAAACTTCCTTTCCGACCTTCTCAGTGGTTACAGTTATGAAGATCTGCCCATGGACAGAAAGCCGAGACCCTTTTCGTCTTTTGTTTGACTTTGCTGATAGACAAATATTAGGAACCTAGCGCATGGGAACTTGAAGTAGATGGTGGCGAGCCCCACAACTGGGTAACTTAACTGTCACTTCGATATTAGCGTGCGCCCCCCGCTAGTATTGTGTCGAAACAACGCGACTACCGACTCATGTACACATGTACAGAGGAAGGGAGAATCCCACGCCGGCAATGCTGGTCTTGGTAGGTCTGACCCGGTCACAGTTAGCGAGGGCCAGCCGCGTCAATTTGGGAGAACGATAGCCTCCCCATGGTAGCCCATCATTGCCCTGAAGAAGCGGCTGTAATAATGAAGTATTGCGTAACACTGATTTGGGGGGGCCACTGACGCAGGGGGCGGCTCCTAACCCCCGGCTAGATGCCGAGTGAAAACGTTTTGGTCTACCTACACTGTATTGTCCACAGTGCAGGTACATCGGGTGGAGAGACGGTGATGGGGAAGGGGTGTGGGAACGCGCGAGGTTGGTCGGAAGAGCTGGCCACCAATCCTCGATCCGACTTGCCACCTGGCTACTAGACGGAGACAACTGGCACGTCGCACGAGGAAGATAAGAACTGTCAATCAAAGTGAGGAGGTGGTAGGGCACAAGAAACGAGGATGGCTGTAGCTGGGCATTCAAGCGAGGTCGAAAGAAGGATCTGTCCGTGATGAGGCGTCTGCCCTGTCCATCAGCCCATGCATGTTAATCCCTGGTGTGTGGGGGGGGGTATAGAGAAAAGGCGGAGGGAGACGAGTGATATGAGTGGGCGTTGCCAGAGGCCTGATCCTCCTCCGTGCCGTTTCGTGGCACTTTTGGTGCTTGCGGACTGTACAGTAACTGTGTTGTGGGGCTAGCATTTTTAATCATTTTATTGTAGTGAACCCGACCATCCCCCGGCCGTTTCTCTTTCTTAAACCAGACCTGCGTCATAGGCCGCTGTCTGACGTCTTTCCCCCCTTTCTGGCTTCTGCAACCCCCATCATCCCTCTTCACACACTCAGTTAATCGCAGGTGACGAAGTCGAACGTAACTACACCACTTTGCCATTCTGCCACTACGAGTCAGCAATAGCGTCGCAGCAGCTCTCTTTTTTGTATTGTGACCTCATCTCTTTTTCACATTGATTCCCCCCCCAGAATTCGCCTTCAGAGTTTGCGCAAGCCGCTCCCGAAAACCCACCGCCCAGGTTGCAGTGAGGCCCTGCAAGTTTTGATTGACATCATCAATGGCTTCGGCGGGCGACTCCCGAGGTGAGTCGAAGTCACCCAAGCAATCCAACAATTCCCCGCCACCTCAACTAGGTAAGGCGTTTTCGCATCTCAATCGCATTTTCATTCTCACATCGCCCTGTCACCCGCTAATGTGTGCAGAATCGCAAGCATCCGAACCAAAGCAAACCGACGTCACCCTGAAACCCGAATCATCGTCAACTAATGCGGAACCGACCAAACCGCTCGCCCCCCCTCCCCGTCCCGGCCAGCAACAAGGCGGCAACACGCCTGATTACTTCGCAAGCCAGCTCGGCGGCTCATTAAGTCTGGAGCCAAACCCCTTCGAACAGTCCTTTGGTGCTCCTACCCCAGAGACCCCCGGCGGCACCAAGCTCCCTTCGGTCGCCGCCCTGACGTCGCCATCGTCGCTCCTTCCCGGAAGCGGCGTGACACCCTTTGCGTGGGGAGGAGGCTCGCTCCGGACGGGGCCTCTCAGCCCGGCCATGTTGTCGGGTCCGACCAATGACTACTTCGGCGACACCCACCACATGCGTGGCGGTTTCCCTACGCCGAACGAGTCGTCGATGAGGACAGGCCTTACCCCCGGTGGAGGCGGATCCATGTTCCCTGCACCGAGTCCCAACTCGCAGGCCCTCTTCGCCCAGCTAGCAAGTAATGGCGCGACCCCGGGGACACTCGATTTCCATCGGACCGCCATGAATGCTGCTGCTGTCAAGCGCGACCAACAGTCTCAAGCACAGCAGCCGTCAGTGACCTCTCAACCCCAAGACATGCCCAACGGTGTCGCGCCCGCCAAACCCGAGGCCAAGGCGCCCGCGGGCCATTTCGATCCTCACGACAACGACGCCGCGAACGGTCTTTTCTTGTTGGCGCAAGGCCGCAATAATGCCCAATCGCAAACACAGTACACGATGGCGCCCCAACAACAGCTCCATGCGCAACCTGTTGCCGTCCCGGCACCCCAAGCCAACATGTCGCCGCAGATGGCAAACGGCAACCCGTCCCTTGCGGGAAGCTCAGCCCGCGGCGCCAGCGAGAGCGGGAGTGCGGGCTCGGACGAGAGCCAGCAAGCGCGTCCCAACACTCGTGGCAAGGGAAAGCGAAATTCCACCGCGGGGACTGCGACGACAAATGGCCGACGGAAGGCCGATGATGCACCGGCTAAGGGCCCTGCAAATAAGAAGGCCAAGACCAACGGTGCCAACGCCCCTCCGTCCGCTAATAGTATGGACTTTGATCACTCGGATGACGATGACGACGACGACGACGACGGGAACAAACACGATGAGGGTGGTTCTAAGAGTAAGATGACCGACGAAGAGAAGCGGAAGAATTTCCTCGAGCGTAACAGGTAAGAAAGCCGTCCTGGGTTCCGGGATAAATAGGTACACGGCTGCTGACGTTTTGCCAACACCAGGGTCGCTGCGCTGAAATGCCGCCAACGTAAAAAACAGTGGCTTGCAAACCTTCAGTCGAAGGTGGAGCTGTTCAGCACGGAGAACGATGCCTTGACCGCTCAGATCACCCAGCTTCGGGAAGAGGTCGTCAACCTGAAGACACTCCTCCTGGCTCATAAGGACTGCCCAGTCACGCAGCAACAGGGACTACACGGAGCCTTCATGCAGCAGCCCATGGAGGCCTTCAATCCTCAGATGAACCCTTACGGAATGGCCGCACCGCTTGCCAACCAGCAGGTCATGGCTGGACAAGGAGTTCAGCGACGATTCTCATAGGACCACTGTCCGCCACCACGATACGACTCGATGATAGGTACGACAACGCGTGATGAATGGCATCTTCTACCAGTCCCCTAATAGTGGTTCTTAGCGCTTGGGGTGATCGAGGCGTCGCCGAAAATGGGCCCGCCCGGGGATGACCACGGCCAAAAAGGCTTATGGTTTCGCCGCCAATTTTCTGGAGAGATGTTGGCTTCCTGCGCTCCCAAGGATGTCGGACTTTTTTTCTTTTCTATTTCATTTCGCTGGCTTTGTACTACTAACAATGAGTCTCTGGACGAAGGCCATAAAACGGTATACGGGTCCGGCTGTAAAGTAACAAGGACAGTCATGTTGCGATCGATGAAGGCTTTCTAACGCAGCCTCGGCTCAGGTCGGGCATTGGCCTTTTTTTCTCATCTGTACGTATTTGGCAAAAGGTATACACATCAAAAGTGGTGTTGGGAGGGGTGTTCCGGCTTGCTGCTGCTTTGGTCGGCGTTGGCAGGAATGAGGGTCTACTGACTGACGCCGGCATCATCTTTGCCTGGATGTCGGCTTGTTGGCTCTGAAACGAACTGGTGGTAGCTTTTGCCTAGCAAATAAACATGAAGGCGCATTCTCGCACGTATAAGATGGACCTTTTTTATTTTTAGTGTTACTTTCAAAACGAGTCGCGGAGTTGCTATTGATACCTCAGCATATATAACAGCTTGCTCAAGTCGGGAAGAGGCAGGCTTGGGCTTTGAGGCTCAAATGAAGCGGGCGATGACGATGATTGGGCAGGATCGTGGCTGGCTTCCGAAAACGGACTAGCGTGGCGGGCGCGGTAGATAAGATTCGTGGTGTAAACAATTGGGGCAATGAACTGTCGGACACCCACCTTGCTTGACCCGCCATCAATGACGACCTTTTTCCGAACGCGCGCGCCGCTACAGGTCTTGAATATGAGCAATCAGCCGGAGCGCCGAAAGAGTAAACGCATTGCTGGTGTGTTGCAGCTCGTTCCCTACCAAACTTCCCCAGAGGCCACTTGAGAGACTAACAGGTTGTCGAAGCGGCAGCAATCTACGACGAACAGGATGGAGATTTCCTTTTTACGCGTGGATCGAAGCGGGCAAAGACTACCGCGACAGACTCGGAGGGCGGGCCTGCCGCAAAATCACAACCCCCTAGGAAGGATGCCGGAAGGCAAGCAAAGCCGAGTAGCAGGAAGCGCGCCTCGTCGCCACCTGAGCAGCAGCCCGGGACTGCGTCTTCCGCACCACGGAGGACTTCGAGACGGATATCAAACCAGCCAGCCGCTCCGACCGCGCAAGATGAGGAGCTCGTCGTTCCCAAGATTCGTGGTACTCAGCGGAGGACGCGTCCGCCGACGGAGGCGGGGAAGAAAGGAAAGGAACCTGAACCGGCAAACGATCACGATGACCATGCCCTTGGCGTTAACGGACACCCTGGGACTCCTATGGACCTGGACAAGGCAGCACATGGCGACGACTCGTCATCACAGAAAATCGCGCTACCCTTTAGCGACACGCCGATCATCAATCGCAACAGGGAATTGAGGAGGGGGGGAGGCGGCGCGCGACGCAGCAGCTTGGGAATGCGCGGGAGACGCGCCAGCTCTCTCATCGAGAACGGACACAGCGCGATCCCGCACCGCGAAGTGGACCCGGCCGAGTTCTACAAGCACATAGAGGCCGAGAGCCTACTCGAGCCGCGCCGCATGCGGCAGCTGCTGACGTGGTGCGGAGAGCGCGCCCTCTCCGACAAGCCGCCGCACGGGAGCCGCGGGTCCAGCGCAATCTTGGGTGGTGAGTATACAGTTTTGCTCCTCCAAATGACTGGCTAGGCTCTGACTCTAACTGTTCGTAGCGCGGGCAATACAAGATCAACTATTGAAAGATTTCGGGGCGCGGTCGGAATTCTCGGATTGGTTTAGTCGGGAAGACGCGCCGAAGCCAGCCGTGGTCTTGAAGCCTAACCCCAGGAACATCGAACACGACGAGAAAATTGCCGAGTTGGAAGCTAAAGTTAAGAGGTAGGCCGCAACCATGCTCTCTCCGACCCTGCGTGCTTCAAACTGACATTATACAGGTTAAAGGAGGAAAAGAAAACATGGCAAGCGTTGGCAAAACCACTTCCCGACGTGCCTCCTCTCTATGCTTCCGATGATCCGTCTACGGAGCTACCCGATCTATCGCTCCTGGACGAGGAAGAAGCCAAGATGCTGCAATCCCTTACGGACCCGAGCACTAGTTTCGCACCACTAAGGAAACGGACGCAAGCTCGGCTCCAAGACATACAATCAACGCTGGAGTTCAAGGTCGACCATCTTGCGGATAGAGTACACAAGCTGGACCAGATGTCTGTCACTGCCGGGCGACAAGCGGATACCGTGCTTGGGTTGGCTGCCAAACGACTGAAGGAAAGAGAGACGAAGGAGAAGGCGGCCGTGGGGACGAAGGAGGTACCCGTAATGGAGGTCCTCCGGAGTCTGGGGCGGATATTACCAGAGGGCAGTTGAGCCACGCCTAGCCTGGGGAGGACCTAGGAGGTTGCTATTATGTACCAAGACAGGTAGATACCCAACGCTTTTTTGTTGCTACGGAGCTTGTCAGGTAGGCATAGGGAGGGGGGTCTTTGGGTTGGGAATTGTGGGAGTTTGCTCTTCCTACGACATGATGATTTGAGACGAGAGAAATTGGAGGGGTTTGGGTGTGCTGGGCGTTCTGGGAGCGAATTAATCTCGAGCGATTCTCAACCGGGCTTGCGTGTGTAGAACGAGATTGGAAGGTGTCCGTTTTGCGGAACGAGGAGACTGTTGGAGATGGGAGTTTCCTACAAACCTACCTAGTTGTTGTCCATAGTCGGGTCGAGGGAGACCCTTGTAAAGCCTATTTGTCAATCGCAAATTGTTCCGGCTCCTCTAGATCGAGCCTCTCTCTCTCGGGGACACAAAAAGGGGGTGGGTATATGTCCAGGCTCTCCCCCCTCCCCCATTCGCGCAATACTCGTCTTCCCCAATCCGTATATCCTTACATGATCTATCGTAACAGGACATCAGACTCCCTCTCATCTCGGCCTCCCATCCAGGCTGGGCATGAACGCCATGCCCCCCTTCCCCAGCCCGTTCTGCCGCACGTGCTCCCTCAGCATCTCCAGAACCTCGCTGTCCCGCCACCGCGCCGGCACGGGCCTATACGCGGGCTTGAAGGCGCCGACCGTCTGCGCCCACTCGCCTGGCGCCGGGCCAACCTCCTGCGGTTGCTGCTGCTGCTTCAGCAGCGCCGCCTCCTCGGCCTCCGAGCTAGGCGGTTCCTGCGTCGCCCAGTAGTAGATGTCCCAGTCGTTCTCGTCGAGGAACAGGTCCAGCTGCACCAGCTGGGCGGGGGACATGGACTGCAGGTGCGCGGCGGCGAAGGTGCTTAGGAGGAGGTCCGACTCGAGGGTTCCGCGCTTGCGGCACTGGTCTGTTCCCGGGGAAGGTTTCGCTGGTTAGCTATCGGTGAAGTTGAAGGAGAGGATGAGAGGATGGCTCAGGGGGTAGGTTGTCGTGGGAAGAACTCACATAACAACCTCGCGCGCATCGTGGCAGGGTCCTCGCCCGTCCGGCGAAGCGGCTCGATCTTGAACTTTGCACCCTGCAGCTCGCCGACCTCGAGGTCGCGCGGGGCTGCGGAGCTGTTGGGCCGCCGCGGGAGGGCGCGGTTGGACAGGCTGGCGTGCAGGCTCGCCGCCGCCGGGCGGAGGAGGGCGCATCCCCGGGTCGCCGGGCGGAGGGCTCGATGGACGGTTGCCATGGCTGTGCAGATATCGGACGGGGGCTTGATGGTCCGTCGATGGCAGATGGGGGCCGGACGATGCCGAATGATAGGACGATTTGCGAGACAGATCGAAAAAGAATATTCTATAATTAAAGAAAAGACTCGGGGAGAACAGGGTGTTTGGGCGCTATTGGAAAGAGGTGCGCTAAGACTTGATTGCCGGCGTTGACGTAAAGGCGGACCGAAGCCGAAAATTTACTGCCGTCGCATGCCGCTCCGGAGCTCTGTCGATATAATCCGTACAGGGAGCGAGAACATGCCAGGCATGGTAGAAACCTCGGTATGTGATGCATGCGAATTATCGCGATGGAATCTTATCGGCTACACCCACAGTGTCCTCTTACGATGGACGGCACAGCTTGACTCGGGCGAACATCGGTGCAAACACATTCAACACTTCGAATACCTGGCATGATCGTGTTCATGCTTTTGCCAACCATATAAATGTACCTAACAAGACAAAATGAAACCCATGGTCCCATCCGCGCTCGCCTGTATTGTCCGAATTCCAAAGAGGTTTCTCGAACTCCTCGTCCCCGAATACCATCCTCTACAGCAGTTCGCCAACTTAAATGAGATGCTTGGACCTAGAGGGCGTGTGGGTTAGCATTGCAACTAGAAAGAGAGCCCGATTGGCCACGAGGGGTTGCTTACCTGAAGTATGCCCGCAGATACATGATCTGCCAAACCCAAAGAGCAATTAGCAGGAAGGTCGTGGTGAAGCCAAACCACTTCACGCGGTTGTTCGTGCTCTCGTTCGTGTCTCGCAGTTTCTGTTCCCGGGTGCGCAGGTACTCCATCTCGCTGACGACCTCGGCAACCATCTCCTCGATGCGTCGGAGATCTGCCTCGACGGGCTTGAGCTTCTCGGTAGCCTGGATTGCGGACCAGTCCTTTGCGTCGGCGCCGATATCTATGTCGAGCTCGACTTGGCGGCTGGGGTTTTCGACGTATTTGGCTGGCGACATGTCAATACGGAAGACTCAAGTTCGCACAGAAAAGGTGGGGTGGGGGATTTCTTCATACATCCGGTCAGAATATTTTGGAAGCATACTTCGAACGCGGCGTCGGCATGAGACGTGAAGACTGTCCGCTGCTCGCCCGTGACGTCCTTGGGCTTCCCGTAATCGTTGCCGACCGTGTCCCGGATCTAGACGATCGAGTCAATATCATCCCGGTTCGCAATTGGGCTTCGATGTCCTTACGTGCATGTTGACAGTCATGCCGTCACCCTTGTGCCCGCTGATGGTAGCCGTGACGACCACCAACGTGTCCTTGGCGACGAAGTTCTGTATGCAGCGCCATGCCTTGTGCTCGTGTGCAGAGTGTGCCGGCATGTCGAATTTAAGAGCTTCGGAACAAGAAATGAGCAGCAGGAAGCTGCAGGCATATTGCAGCAGCCATCTTGGGAAGGCCATTGTAGCTGAGTGTGAGATTGTACGGACAATATCTCCCTCGAAGTCACCCGTGCAGGACAAGAAACGGGAGAATGTCGATATGTAAATCTGTCGCGTTCCGTTTGGGCTTAGCGGTGGCAGCTCAGGAGTTGGTGGGGCCTCTTGTCCAATATAGCCAATCAGTGTTCTCTAGCGGGTGGCCATTTACTGTGTCTCCCGCCGCTTGATTTCAGCCTCGCAACTACCTACAATAAATTGTTAGCTCGCCTGACAAGCTCAACGCGAAGAAAGGATTCGTATTTTTCCCAGAGTCCTCATCTGAAGGTCCAGGATACCAATACCGACATTCAAGATGCCGAAATGTCAGTGCCCCCTCCCAAAATTTCCATGACTTCATGATTTGCAGCTCTTGGGCCTTGGACTAACGCCAACCACTTCCAGTCTTCTGCGACTACTGCGATGTCTATCTCACGCACGACTCGATGAGCGTGCGCAAAGCCCACAACACTGGACGCAACCACCTGCGCAATGTGATCGACTACTACCAACGTGTGTCCGCCATCCTTCCCATACCACTCTAGTTTCCCTTTGCCTTCTCCTTCCACTCTCCCCCAAACCTTTCCCCCCCACAAGCTAACCATGTCTCTCTTCTCCCCGCCCGCAGAAATCGGCCACGAAAAAGCCCAATCAGTCATCGACTCCATCACCTCCTCCTACGCCGCCGAGGGCCAAGCCCACGCCAACCCCATGCTCCCACAGAACCAACCCGGCGGCGGCCTCAGCGGCATCGGCGCCTTCCCGCCTCCACTGCCCTTCGCCTTCCCCCCGGGCGGCATGCCCCCTCCCTTCCCAGGCATGCCCGGCGGCCTACCGCCCCCCCCGCCCGGCGCCTTCGCCCCCCACCCCGGCGGCCCCGGCGGTGCGCGCGGCATGCCGCCGATGCCGCCCTTCATGCCCAACCCTGCCGGCGGACCGCCCATCCCCGCCCCGCCGGGAGCGGCCGGCGGCATGCCGCCCTTCCCCCTGCCGCCCGGAATGCCGCCCTTCCCGCCACCGGGCGCCGCTGGCTCGCCGCCCGCCAACTTCCCGTTCCCGCCGCCCATGGCGCCTCACTTCGGCCATGGGGGGCCGCCGGGACAGGGGGACAGGGATAGGAGGTGAGGTGCTCTGCTCGGAGAGGAAGAGAAGGCTAGAATGGAAGAGGTCTGCTAGAGAGGTCTTGGGGGGGTGCGCCAGGTTTTGGCCAGCGGCGATTAAGGCGTTAAGAGGGGAAAAAAGAACTAGGGTTTTTTGTTCTTTCTTGCTGGGAGAGGTGTGTGTGATATTGATATGTATACCAACAACCCCGGTTTTCGCTCGAGTGTGGAGGGGAGGAAGCCTGCCTTGTACGAGCTGATACCCGCCGTGGAACGGTGTGCGCGGAGAAGCACATATTTTGCTAGCCATCAGGGCCCGCGACTGAGAGACGACGTTCCAGTTGCTTTGTTGAGGGAGGAGATTACAGCTAAAATCCTCGATTATAAAGCAATCTGCCACCATTCATCCATCCTTCTTTGGCGTTGGTCGCAGTCGATTACGGAGCTTTAATTCATAACTGACCTGGCTTGACTCACTACAAGGAAAGGAGAAAAAGCAAGCTCCTACGAGCTCCCATGGTTTAGATATCAATGGTATCATAACAAATCACTATCTATAGGGGTACAGCTTCTTGCATGTAGAGCGGCCTTGCCAGCCTTGCAGCTCTTCCTTCGGACCCGTCCGCCGCTGCTCGAAACAACAAAAATGGTCATGTCTCATTTGATATCCCGCGTGTGCGAACTCCTTCCCACCCAAAAGCCCGCCAGCAACCCGACCTCGCCTAAACCGGCTTCGTGCCCCAGCAGTTGTCTCCTCGTTATAGTCATCAGTCAGGTCTTCTTGGGGGCGGAAACCGTAGCAATTGTGTGTGAGAAAGGACATAAAAATGAAGCGAAATGTGCCACACCGCCTCGCCAACCCGGTCATTCGGTCATCATTGGTCATGACGGGATAGTATCCCGGTCGTCTCTTGGCTTGCTTTCCTTCTTGGTGAACCCTTCGAAACTGTTGGACGACGTCTTTTGAAAATGTAAGTGTCAAACATGTCGTGACTGATTGAAAGCATCCCGCCAGCTACTCCTCCTGATCACGTCTCCCACACCATCTCTAACCTCGCGGGGCCCGCTGATCTTCAGCCGCAATTCTCTGCTCCTCTTCTCCCGTTGCCGCTCGCTGATCCTGCGAGGAAGGTTGTGGAAGCCGTACTTGTCAATCTTGCTGCCCAGTCCTGGAAGAAAATTTGGGAATATTGCAGCATCGGCCCCGCCTTTTGGATAGCGCCTAGAAAGACTGTTCGATCGCCAGAATCGGGGGCCACGACTTCTCGTCTCTTGGTCGGGGGCGGTATATGGCCGTTCATCGAGAGCCCGCGCTTGGCGACGAAGAGAATCCAGGCTGCGTCGCTGTTTTACCACGCGGAGACTCCCGCTGGCCGTGCGTCGAATGGACCGTTGTGCTGTCACACCAGATTCGACTGGAGCATAGTGGTCATCGTATTCATCACGGATCGGTAGAATGGCGAATGTGCGCTTCATGCGAGCGCTGAGGCTACGCCGAGGCGCTGGGCGATTATCAACCGGTGGGAATCTCACCATCTCCTCATCAGAAACATCATAAACCCAGTCATTCTCGTCTCTTGGGTAGTCGAAATGTGCAGGCCGCCAGAATGGGTGCAGTCTATTCTCATCTGCCGGCTCATCATCCTCAGTTGGATATGCTGACGATGCCGGTTTTCTGCCGCCCCTGGCGGTCCCATTTTCAGGCCGCTGCTTCTTGACATTTCTCGACAATGAGAAAGTTCGAGTCAGAAGGCCTGGATTGCGTGAAGCTGAGGGGCCATACTCCGAATGTCGTCGCAGGCTGAAAGTCCTCCGCAGTAGGGAGATTGGCCGCTGAGGTTCCTGAGGTGCCTCCTCAAAGTAATTTCCGAGACGCTCCTGTTTCTCCTGGGCTGGGGTAAGGCCTGATGGTGTCGCGGGGATAAATGTAATGACGGGTGGCTTGGGTAGCTCGGGCGGTTCGGGTGGCGCTCGGGGATTCCGGAGGGGAGAATCGACATCATCCATGGAGAATGTTGGCTGTGGAGGCGTGACGGGTCCGGTGACGCCAGGCTCCGTCGACTTAATTATGGGGGATTCTTGCTCCGGCGTTGTCTGTGGTTGCTCTAGGGACGAGCTCTCGGAAGGCTTGTTGGAATGGTTGACCACAAGAACAGACTTGTTCTGGTGCGGATAGATATTCACGGCCAACGCCTCGGATACTTCGGCGTGGGAAGTCACTGTCGTTTCAAGTGAAGCCAGCGAGAACGGCGTCTTCTGAACTGACAGCCGTCTCCCATAGAAAGGATCACCGTATCCGTCCTCATGTGCTCCGTGGCTATGAGATTCCTTGCCAGACTTGTTGGATTCGAAAGATGGGATGAGCCGTATCGCGATCTCTGAGGATGCATGCTTTTGCTCCACCAGCCCAGGGTTTGTATGCAGAGGTTGTCGTCTTGCTGCTGCTCTCTCAGAAGCTTGTGGTTCTGTGGGGTCCTTCGGAGAAAGCGATTGCAGGGCCTTGCGAGTTTGTTGGGCTTGAAAGGCGTTGTGAGCTTCCAGGCTTTGCGCAGTGAGAGACCCTGCTCGAGAAGTGTTCCGGCTCGTGGGCGCTGACAATGAGGAAGAGCGAGCAGGCACAACAGGAGGATAATCGATTGTGCGCTGATCGCCGGGGCGAGATCCGTCCGACCCAGACAGCGTCCTACTACGCCGCGTCGGTCTCTCGAAGTGTGGAGTCGTGCCCTTCGACGATAGGGGAATAGGCGTGGAGCTCAAACTCTGGCTTCGTTTGGACCTCCTACTGCTTGTCGATCGAAGAGAAGGTTCTTTGCTATTCGACTTGACCGATGAGCTTCGACCCGGGATGACGATGACGGGGATGGCTCCATTCTTGTATATCTCTCGGCGCGCTTTACGACTAGATATCGAGTTGAAGGTTGCGGTAGAAGCGGTTCGTTCACGCCCAGCCTGACCACTCGGTCGCTCTTGATTCCTCGGATCGTCTGACGGTAGCGAAGTCGGGAATGAGCCTGTCGAGGACAGGTCTAGCCCGGAATCCCGTAACACAGCCTTCTTTTTCACATGCCTCAAGGTTTTACGGCGTTGGGGTGGTGCATCGACCAAGATCGCCTCCACGACTGTCGAAACAGTCGATCTTGTGGAAACGCCAGAGAACCTGCGGTGGTCCATGTTGGTTGAGGACTCGGAGACTGACGAGGCGGTCGACGGTTTGACTCGATCCGATACGACGCGGCGCGACGGATAGACGAGCGGGCTTTCCTGTAGTGATATGGATCGTAAGGCCTTCGTGGCATTTGTTTGGGCGACTGTAACATTTTCGACGACTTCTTGCTTGCTCCCGTTCATTCCAGGTTTTCGCTTCTTCACAGTCACATTCCTCATAAGATTATCGTCCCATTCCTGTTCGACCTCGCTCCCCGAAGCCCACCCTCCATCAAAACTTGCGAATTCCCGCCTGGTCCTTGGAGTCAAATCATCTTCAGCACCCGACTCAGGACCAAGACCCAAGCCCACAGTTTGCGGACCAGACTCCGCCTCCACATCTACCTGCCGAACAGTGTTCTGTGACGTACGAGCAGACGGCGGCTTTGGGCGTATGGTGGACTTTTCGTCTTCGTCCTCAGATGAATATGGGTTCTCCGGAGCTGTCCTGAAAGATTCTGTTCTCGAGTCAGTCGTCGTCTTCGACGGCATACGGTCGTAAATCGGGGGTCGCAGCTTTGGACGCCGATCTGCAGGGCCCGGCGGAGTCCTCTCGGGGGTGAGGTTCGGCGTGGGCGGGGTTCGTTGGTCGGTTGGTGTCACCGGGCTAGTTGCTTGAACGCGCTCGGTGTTCTGAATGGGACTTGCAACGTAAGTCGGACTCGAAGGGAGGGTGGAGTGGCTCGACGATGGGTTCCGGGAATGGACCGGTGGAGTTGGAGGGAGGTCTGGTCCTCCCACGGTTTTCCTCGACTGATGCTTCAGAGTAGGGATCGACGCCTGTGAGCCGGAGCTCTTCGGAGAGGTATCGATCTCCAAACCATACACTGGCGCCACAGAGCGGGGCGAACCATTCACGCCAACAGGCTTCCCTTTACTTGGATGTGGAAGAACCTTGTGTTTCTTGAATAGCCGTTGCCCAGCCAGGCCATTCAGAGTTGTAGATGACGCATAGTCGGCGGGCGGGAGGATGCCCATCACGGATGATGGGGTCGGCCTAGAGCCAGCACTTGCCGTCATCTTGATCGACAGCCTATATGGGGCATCAAGACTCGACCATTCCCAAGTCCGTTCCTAGGCTTTAATCGGCGAAGCCTTGTAGCAGAGAAAACATCGCATGTTGGGACCGTTGAACGGTAAAGGAGATAACGGCGTAGTGGGCGGGCCAGTGGGGGGAGGCCGATCCAAGTTCAAATCTCCTCTCTTTGTTCGGCGTTGGACGTTTGCGCTGAGTACGGCGGGTGGCAAGTCTGACTGTCGTGGTCAAAGATGTCGCGGGCAATGCCGTTCACCAGTCAAGCTGCCACAAAGGCCAAGTCGCACAATATCGCAGGTCCAGTCAGGTCTGGGCGCATGGCGCTGAGAGGCCAGCGACTCGATCCGAGGGGCTGGGTATTGTTAGAACGGAAACGTGGGCGACTGCTGCTTGGTGGGCTGGTGCAGCTGGCGACACCTGATACGGAATTCCACACGCTGAGGGCGAAGTGGGCTGTAGAATGGAAGTACGCAAGTCTTCGCGGATGAAGGGGGCGAGGTTGACGAAACAGCTGCTTTCCCGCACAACAGAGACGGATGGGGAGAGTGATTGGCGGTGATCCGCTCTAGGACTTCAGTGTCTAGCGCAGTACGGGCGAAATTGGACAGGCTGGGCAGGGCTCAGTAGGTAGGTGCCACCGGCTTGGTGGTAGGCAGTAACACCCATGCGGCGGGACAAGAGGGGCTGGGAGTTGGCGAGGTACCTCCTTGGCGGGGCAGAGTGACCCATCACCCGCCACCTCCTTGGGTTTAGCCCCCCACTATCACTGCCTGCCTCACAGAAACCTCCGTCTGGAAGACTCGAGGAGCAGCAATGTGTAACTCGATGCCGTCACAGAGACCAGTTACATCGCAAGGACAAGGGTCTGGCTCCGCTCTGCAGGATAGCCATTACTACAACCTGCGGCGTGCACGACGTGCCCGTTGTGTTACAAGGCAAGGAGAAGGGCACCATCCCATCCCTGCCATTCCCCCCTTTCCCTCCTCTCCAGGCTATTGGCCTATTGCAGCGGCAACCTCATGCTGCAGCGTCGGCCGGTCACCAGACAAATCAGCTCACGAGGGCCGGCACAAGGCTGTCCGCTCTCTGCAAGACCTGCATACTATAGTCTGCACAGAAGGCCGAGGCGAATCAGCGACTAGCATCGCTCTTTCCCGCAGGCCTTGGATGCTGCGAGCACAGGACTAATTTGGATTCTTTGCCCGTCGCACCTTCCTTCGAGATGTCCCTGATGTCTCTGGCATCCACTCCGATGTGGATTTGTGCAACTCCGCAGATCAGGACTCCGGTTCGGCACGGCGCCTGTTTCTACAGAGTCGGTCTTCGGACGAGGCAAACTCAATTTGCAACTCTACGGCCAAAGACCGCAATGCTGGCGATTGGGTAAGTTCCATGCTATTCTTGCCACATGGTGAAAGGAAGCTACAAGGCGCGCTTCACTCCTCCAAGCCCCTTATTAGAATGCCAACCAACCCAGGTCATGTTCTGCCACTTGGGATACTCAATATGAGGCATCTCGCTTTGCGAACAAATCCTGCAACCACTAGCAGTCAGCCATCCCCATGAAAGCCAACAGGCTACCAAGCAAGCTGCTTCATCGATGGAATAACCTTACCTGCGCCGTTTCATAGCTTCTACGACTGCTGGTCTCTACGCTGTGGCGGAATAAGTCGAGCCTGAAGCTCGAATGAATTCGCAGTCCCTCCCGATTGCCAACTGTATGCATTCCATTACTTTTGGGACTTCCCATGGTCGTTTTGCAATTGGTTCCCAGGCGCTGCGTCACCCAGCTCGGACAGCACAGATTGGCCAGCAGTCGTACACAAGAAAAATCTTGAGAATAAATTCCAACACGAACGTTTACCCTCTATTTTCTATAACAAGCCACCGAATCTTTCATCCTTACCTGGTTGAGCCAGTGCCACCAGTGGATAGCATTATTTGACTTTGGACACCAGCGCGTCGTATAAACAGACAGACCTTGTTCCCTCTGTTCCCCGCCTGGTATTTGCCAATGTTCTCCTCCCCTGAGACTCTGGTCGAGTCTTCACTACAAAACCGATGAGCAGGAGAATCACACCTAAATCTAAACTCATTCAATGGTACTGGAATGCGGCGACGTCCCAGTGAGCTCGTTAAGCATACTCCCCCCTCGGAATGCCCATCGTATCGAGACCCGCAAAGAGTCGCAGGAGATGGACCTCAGACGTTCGGCGGCCGCCATCAGGGCCGCGACCATCAACCATCATGCACTTCTACCATGTGTGCCAGAAATGTTGCACTCCTACGACACCCATATGTCATTCGATCCGGGGATGGTCTGAGTGACTAATGACGACTATGGGCCTGAGACCTAATGCAGAATCGGGCTTGCCGACGTTCGCGAGATTTGACATCATTGACACTGACGATGTCATAAAAAAAAAAAGATCAAGGAGTTAAACTTGGTGTATCTGTCCCTCGACATTGATACTATCGGCTCAGCTGGTGAGTGGTCCCTTCGGGCCGACCTGGAGGTATTGTACCCTATGGCCTGGGCAACACTGGTCTCTGCAAGCTAAATCCAGAAGTTAGTAGATAGTCGACAAGAAAACTCGCGAGTTCGAGGTCTTGGCAGCTATGGTCAATGAAAGCCTCCTCAGCCTTGTGGGGTGGCAAGGATAGGCTGCGCTTCCGAGCTCGCCGGCGCTTGCTGATCTCTGCCTAACGTACGATTGTCTTCAAGACTCCAGCACAATGGAGGACGGAGTAGCTCCTACGGCAAATACGACCGAGACTGCCCGAGGATCAGGACAACATGTCGACAAGTCAACGAGTCACCCATATCAAGATCAACTTTCCAAGGGGGTCTTGTCACCTCTCGTCTCCCGGCGTGAGATTTCGGGTGGTGTGCAGACCTTGTGTTTTCGGAAAGCGAAACTTCATCCTCTGGACCCCTTCCTCGCTATCACACTCGCTTTCTTCCCTCTTTTTAATTTCACATTTTCCTTCTTCGCCTTCGTCTTCTGATCTTCTGATCTCCTGCTTCTTCTTGACCACACCGGCACCGATATTAGGCGACCTGGTTCTAGAAGCCCGGGTTCTCTGTTTAAGCCTTCAGAACGGTCTTTGTCGGCACATTGCACGTGGGACTGTCTCACAAATCCAGGGCCAAGGAAGGAAAAGGGACGTCAAACTCCATCGCTAAAGAAGCTTACACGCTACGCTTAGTTATGCTTTTTATAGATTCTCCATTTCCATTTCCGGCCTCTGTATTATCCGCCTCAACCGCGTCATATTTCCGCAAACAGCGATATTCAGAGCCGCAATCTTAGAAGCTAAGGAGGGGAGTTTGGAGCAGGGTGAGTGATAATTTCGATGAATCAGTATATAGGTACTGTGTCGTGATTGGTTGTTAAAGCACCAGCCTCAGGGGTCTTCTCCAATCTTTTTGAGTTACAGCTACCTGCTATGTAGTGAGTGGCGTGTCAGGGCTCCAAACCCAACCTCAACCTTCATGGTTTTCACCCTGCTAATCCCTCCAGCTCTATTCCCAACAGGATCCAGACATGTGTGGAGGTGTGACTTGGTAGGTAATTATAATGTCTCTTCCACCGTGTATAAATGAACCATTTCCGGACCCTGCGTGCAGCGTCCTTGTTCTTTCCATTTTTCAGTGCCTGGCCTAGCCGTTACATCTCACATTGTGTTTATAAGTATCCGATCTGATCTCAAGATCACCCCTCGCTTGAATTAAGGTCAAGACATATTGTGTCTTAGCTTATACCTGTTCCTGTTCCTCGGCCTTCTCGTTCGTTATCCTCTTGGCTCAACGCGACAAATCAAGATGAAGAACGCCGTTGTCCTCAGCTTCCTCAGCGCCACTGTGGCCGTTGTCAGTGCCCAAGATAACGCGACACAGCCCTGTCTCAGGCCCAACGCCGCCTTCTGCGCGGGAGACTCCCTCAAGACCGATATCATCATCCGATGCGACTCCGAGGGCAGGGGCCAGGCCGGCCGATGCAGTGATGTATGTTGTTTGTTCACACCCAGTATCCCCATGACAGATAGGACTAACGCTGTTCGTCAGAATCTCGCCGGCGAGCCTCCTGTTGGCGACACGCCAGCTCTATGCTGGCAGACAGACAGCGAGAGGGGCGATGCTGCGTGTGAGAAGAACTGTGTGGTCTTCGGCAGCTCTGACAATGCCAATGGCACTTTCACCCTGCCGCCCGCAATCTGTACCCCGTCACGGACTGCGAACTTCACCGCTCTTCCAACCAAGGTCATTGGTGGCGGTGGGACCGGTGTTACCGGTCTCCCGACCCCATCGCCAAATAGGACAACCGTTAGCGAGACCTCCATCGGCCCCGTGACTAAAATCGGCGGCGCGACAGGCCAGCCGATCCCCCCGACGAGGACCGCCGAGGCCAGCATACTCCCGACTCGCGGATCTGGAGCCAGAGCCAAAGCCAACACGGCTGCTGGAGCCCTCGCTCTCGTCGGTCTGGCAGCTGTCTACCTTCTCTGAGTTCAGGGCGAGACGGTGACTCTCACGCCCGAATCAAGCTGTGCCGATTAATATTTTGTGGCCTGTTTGGAGTCACTTGAGCTGGGCACGGCATAAATGCATGCACATACTTTTAAAATGGAGGAGGCGGATTTTCTCATTTCTAGACAGTAAAGGGTGTACGTAGAATAATGGTATAGAGCACTACAAAAGGGAAACTGGTTAATGGGGTAAGAAAATAGGCGATGAGTCCCAGACAGAGAATGAAACTTATTAATATGTAAACTCCAACCTCTCGTTTTCTCCTGGTTGCCCCTGATGGAGGTGACTCGCCACACATTGGGGTTATTTATGCCTTCGGGGGATGGAGAGACTGGTGCCATGGGTATGACATGCCAAACAGGAAATAGGTGTCTTTCACGTTTGAGTTGGGAGATCTCATGGAGGTTTAACATGTTGATTTTTTAGGTTATTATCCTTTCCTCTTCAGAATGGATTCCCCATCACTTCTTGGCCAGGTCGGCAGATGCACCGGCTTCATCAACCCACCACTCTCGAAAGAGCCGAAGCCTCTCTGTTCGTTCCTTGATCAACCGTCTCCCAGGCTCCGTCTTAATCATCCCCTCCAGACGCACGAGCTTCTCATCAAGGTGATCCATCGACCCCGCCATGCTGCGGCCGGTCTTGGCGCCGCCGTAGGTGAACAGGCGGCCGATGCCGACGGCGCCGACGGCGTCGATGCGGTCTGCGTCCTGGACGACGGCTAGCTCGGGGTGTTCCGCGATCAGGGCCCTGGTGCGCTCCGGGTCGCGTACCTCGCCCGTGTAGCTGACGCCGAGGCAGACGGCCTGCACGGCGGCGGCCAGCTCCGGCGGGGCCCCGAGGTCGCAGAGGATGCTGGACACGGCCGTCGTCGGGTCCTCGCCGGGCCGCAGGTACTTCCTGTCGCCGACGTCGTGGAGCAGCGCCGAGAGGACGACGATGCGGGGGTCGAGGGCCGGCTCGACGGGACTCTCTGACGCGATGCGGCGCGCGAGGCCGACGACGCGCTCGATGTGGTCGAAGCTGTGTGACGCGTCGTAGTTGCTCATGTACGACTTTACGTACTCGGTCACGGACTTGACCAGGGGATCATTGTCTAAGAAATCCATGGCTGCTACCTGGTGCTGGACCCTTGAGGGCTGAGGAGGCCAAACCCCGTTGGTGGGGTGCAGCTGGAAGTCGGTGTAAGGCTCGGTGTGTTTTGCCCCGTTGCCATGATGACAATTGGGCAGAAAATCCGCTAGATTTGGCGGTGAGTCGGTCAACTACAGCCACTGCTTGGTTCTACAGATTCGCGGACTTTAGCAACCAATACGTCCTCATCTGAGGGATTGACGGGACGTCATCTCCGGGACACCTCTACTTTTCTGCCCGTACGGTTTTGCCCATGTGGTTCTGTCCATGTGGCTTGTTGGCGGCAACCGATCTGTTGGAGTTCTGGACAATCGGATCGGTCCGCCTAAGCGCCCAAAGATCTACAGCGATTCAGGCAAAACGCTACTGATTGCGATTACACAATATGAATGTTGTATTGCCGGCGCACGGGCAGTCAGACGCGAGCTTTGATGCAGGAGCTGGCGGCTATGGTCCAAGGGATGAGTAGGCGACATGAATAGGGCATCTAGCCTACCATCGCGTAGAGGTCGGCAGCCGAGAGTCGCATCTCAGCAGACATCAGCATATAGATACGGTCGCCAGCATCGAAATAGTGCCTGAATATGGCGTTGATACCCCTTGCCATGTCCCCGCAGAGCTACCCTCTACGAGTGAGGAGATGTGATGACCGATATCGAATATGACGGCGTTGTAGCCCAGCTCTCCAGCTCTCCTGCCTTCCTTCTTCGCGCTGGGAGAAGAAGCCTTGAGAGAGAGGTACTACTATGTACATACCACAGTATCACTTGAGCCAATTGGCGACCAGAGGTGAGTGTCACTGAAGCCCACCACACCATGCAGCGACAATCTGTGATTCGTTGCGGGTAGAATTCTGATTGGGCGACGGCCAGGAACTGGTCCATGCAAGACGCAGTGCGTGACAACCCGGAAGCTTGGAGGAAGAGACGACTTGCATGCGATTGGCGTCCTGCAAGCCTCCATTGGCCAATCGACACAGGGTTGTAGACGCCCAGCTATCCCGAGAAAGGCTTAGTGCAGTTATTGATGGCATCTAGTCGAGTCCCCCACTTAATTTAACCGCCCATCGCACAGTAGTGTGCCTTTGGAGAGGACTTGGATTGCAGCTTGGTCATGTTGATGACCAGGAGGCACCTGGGAAGACTGGTGGGAACCTGCAGCCTTTTCGATCTGTGATATTGATTACCTCCTGCAACGCCTGCAAGTCCCTCTCGGGATTGGATTGTTCAGTGATAGCAGCATGTGCCGGCTTGCAGTCCCCACCGGCGGTCCTCCGCTCGCCGAGGTGGACTGGGTCTCTCATGTGTGACCACCACCACCACCACCACCACCATGTTGCTGCCATCTCGTATAAGAGTTGTCGCCCTCTCCCTCCATATCCTCCCCTTCTTCTTTTCTCTTCTTCAGCAAGCACTCAAACTTCTAAGACCGGTCTCTGTTTTCCTCTGCCCCCCCTTTTTTTGCTATTCTTCTTCAAAGAGCTGTGCTCTTCTAATTCAACTTTTTTAATACCCAGAAAACCAAAAACTCCAAAATCACAGTAGTTGCTGGTCTCTACTGCCCCCCTAATTCACCACCGTCCATCCCTCAAAACAAATTCTGGTTTTACTTGCTCGCAAACCGCTCTTCAAACACCCAAGGATATCTCAAGTAGTTAAATTTCTGCATCCATTCATTGACAACAAGTCATCATGTCGGCTATTCAGATGTCATTCTCTCTCCGCGTCTCTTCTGGCGTCAAGTCTGTTCATCTTCTCGGTTCCTGGGACAACTACGTCGGTCAGCTCCCCCTTTCCAAGGACAAGACTTCCTCGAAGTCCGGCTCGTGGAAGGGCACGTTCCGCTTCCAGCCCACGACCCTTGAGGCCGGCCAGCGCTACTGGTACTACTACATCATCGACGGCTACCATGTCTCGCACAACCCCAGCGAGAAGTCCACCCTTGAGCCCACCACTGGCCGGGAGCTGAACATCCTCGATGTGCCCAAGTCTTCCTCCAAGTCATCTTCCTCTTCTTCCAAGAGCTCCTCGCGCCACTCTTCCAGCTCTTCCAAGTCCAGCAAGTCCAGCAAGTCCGGCTCTCGTCTCTCCGTCGAGATCCCTAAGGGTCGTCCCCTGTCTGTCTCCCAGATCAAGTCCCCCAGGCCGATCTTACCCAACGCGACTCACAAGGTTGTCAACTTCGACGAGGACGAGCTCAGCAACCACTTCGCTGCCACTGGCATCTACGAGGACGATGAGGACATCATCACCGACTTCGGCTCTCCCGTCTCCAGCACTGGCTCCAGCCTGTCCTACCGCTCCGACAGCTCCAGTCCCAGCAGCCAGCTCTCCGGCTACAGCACTCCCGCCTCGGACTGCAGCTCGTGCACCTGCGAGCGCTACGGCATCACCCGCAAAGGCGACCGCGTCCTCCTCGACTGCGGCGGCTCCCGCTGCGGCTACTCGGACTCGTGCTCCAGCTCCGAGGACGAGGAAGGCCACGTCCCCGGCAACTCCCGCCGCAACGGCATCATCGTCCGCCACTAGATGGCCATCACCCACTGCCTCGGGCGAGGAAGACGAGACCCAAAAAAATCGCGTGGAGACCTAGCAGGGGCTTCGGGATCACCGCCATCCAGAGAAACCTCGAGAACATTTTCACGACGTCCAGGCCGATTCGTTTGGAATGAAAGGCCGTTCACTCATTTCGACCGAGCTGGGAGAGACCTTCTTGGTCTCTCGGCACCAGTCTCGTGTCGCTTGTTGTTAATTCAACCCCCGCACCCAGCGTGCGCAACTGGTGTACAAACTGATGGCTTGGCCGGTTCTGGGCCATTCAGGGAGTCACCGTCACCCACGACGGGTCGATGCCACGACGCCGCGATTCCCATTCCGCACCTCTTGCGACCGGGTCTCGCGGCTGTCGTCTGCGCCTTGAGATAATAATTATTTTGTCAACCCAGAGTACCCGTCTCCGCCTGGTGGGGAGACGGGTCCTTGCTCTGAAAGTACTTCTGCGGAGGGATATTGGTCGGCTTCTGGGGATAGTTGAAGCTGCCAACATCATGTCAAGTAGTGGTCTTGGACCGGACTAATGTACGCAAGCAAGGAAAGTCTGAGCTAGCCATATTTGTGAAGGGGAAGAGGGGTTGAGGCAGAAAGTTCAACGTACTGCCGCCGTGGGTACAATCGGGTAGACGACTGTTGAATCTATTCATTGGACCTGATGCCTTCAATTTTCCGCGATTGAAATGTGATGATGCCTTGGATCATTGATATGATATGTGACTGCCAAGCTCTTATAGAGCCCAAACGAACGAGAATTCATTGAAGAAGTCCGAATTTGCAAGGCTCGACTTTTCCCGCCCTGCGCGTATTAACCAGCCGATGATCAACTGGAGATCTGGCTGTCCTTGCCTTCGAATTAACACCTTCGTATTTGCCAGGTGGGAATCACGTACAAATATCACATTACTGCACGTCTCTGCTAAAAGTAGCATATGTGGTTCAGTTGAGTTCTTTAACCGCCTCGCCTCAGGCACTAATAAGCCTGTGGAGGATTGACAGGGGTCGAATGTTGGGTATTCACGAATTACCTAATCCGTCGCATCAAATTCAGGTTGACTCAACTCAACTCAAGCTGCCCGCCTGGACCAGCCTCGACGACTCCGTTCGCACGACTCGCGAACAACTCAATTCTACTCGACCCGTCTTTAAGGCTCGCGTAAACCGAGTTACAAGCGCAAGATGCCTACCATCGCAGTAAACAAGTACGATCTCTTCGAGGAGCTCGGCGAGCGGTAAATCTACCCCACCATCCATCCCAATTGACCGTCAGGGTCTCTGCTAACTGGCTCCCAGCTTCACGCCCGAGAGCTTCCAAGCCCTCTGTTTCGATTTCGGCATCGAGCTCGACGAGGACACTGAGTTCGACGATCCCTCACGGCCGAAAGATGAGCCCCCTCAGCTCAAGATCGAGATCGGTGCGAACAGATACGACATGTTGTGCTTCGAGGGTATAAGCCAACATCTGAATATATTCCGCGGGACGGAAGAGCCGCCGAACTATCGGCTGCTTAAGGTGCCGGAGGACAAGATGCAGAGCATCACTGTGAGCAAGGAGACGGCCAGGGTTCGCCCGTACGTTGCTGGCGCCATCCTCCGGAACATCAAGTTCACCCAAGCATCCTATGACTCCTTTATGGCTCTCCAGGACAAGCTACACCAGAACCTGGCAAGGCAAAGAACGCTAGTATCCATTGGTACCCACGACCTCGATACTATCCAAGGGCCCTTCACGTATGAGGCCCTACCGCCGAAGGATATCAACTTCATCCCCTTGAACCAGACCCAAAAGATGAATGGCGAGGAATTGATGTCGTTCTACGAATCAGACAGGCATTTGAACCGGTATCTCCACATAATCCGCGATGCGCCCGTATATCCAGTCATCTACGATGCCAACAAGGTGGTCTGCTCCCTGCCCCCCATCATCAACGGAGAGCACTCCAAGATCACCACGGACACCACCAACGTGTTCATCGAGATTACGGCCACGGATCAGACGAAGCTGGATATAGTTTGCAACATCATGGTCGCAATGTTCTCTAGGCACTGTGCTGAGAAGTTCACTGTCGAACCAGTCAAGATCATCTCTGAGCACAACGGGTTGACCCGGATCACACCAAGCCTGGCACAGAGGACTATGGACGTTGAAGTGGACTATCTCAACCAGTGTTTGGGCCTCTCAGAATCCCCGGAAACCTTCTGCAAATTGTTGAAGAGGATGGCATTCACGGCTCAGCCATCCAAGGACAAGAATATCATTCAAGTCACTATCCCGCCAACTCGAGCAGACGTTTTGCACCCCTGTGATGTGGTGAGTTTCTCAATTTCTTGGCTCGGTAGAGCATTAAGATTCTACCCCCCATCCCCGCCGCGTGCCTTCTCTCTGGTGTCGGACGGGCCTCGAGTCGCCTAGAAAACATCGTGCTAACTGCGTATCGCACAGATGGAAGATGCTGGTGTTGCATATGGGTTCAACAGTCTCCCTCGCTCATCGCCAAACAAATCTGCAACTATCGGACAACCCCTGATGATAAACAAGCTCACCGATATTGTGCGTCATGAGTGCGCAATGGCAGGCTGGATCGAGGTTATGCCTCTCACTCTCTGCTCTCACGACGAAAACTTTGCGTGGCTGAACCGCACCGATGATGGTAAGACAGCCGTCAAGTTGGAAAACCCCAAGACGGCCGAGTATCAAGTCGTGCGGACATCCCTCTTGCCTGGGCTACTTAAAACCCTGCGCGGGAACTTGTCCGCGCGCCTCCCCTTGATGATAACGGAGGCTTCGGATATCGTCCTCAAGGATGACTCTCTCGAGCGACGCGTAAGTGCCAGGCGTGTCTAACAGTCACTGAATTGCGGGCTAACAATGACGTAAAGGCCAAGAATGTGAGACACTGGGCTGCCGCTTACTACGGCAAAACCAGCGGCTTCGAGGTTGTGCACGGGCTCCTTGACAGGGTCCTGTCGATGCTCCGCACTGCCTTCATCACACACGAGGAGGGTCTCGAGGGTAAGAGCGTCGATTACGACATTAAGGAGAACCCGACGAGGGCGAGCGGGTACTTCATCGAGGAAATCGACGAGCCCACCTTCTTCGGCGGGCGCGCAGCGGCCATCTACCTGCGACTTGACGGGAAGACGCAGCGGATTGGCGAGCTCGGAGTGCTGCATCCGACAGTGCTGGACAAGTTCGATTTGAAGTAAGTCGCGACCGTCTTGTTAACTCTAGCGATGAACGACACTAATCCGAGCGCAGATACCCCGTGAGCACCCTGGAGATCAACCTTGAGGTTCTGTTATAATCCTGTCAGACACCAGATAGAATTGCCGCCAGTATATGGTAGACAGCCGAAAACAATGAAAAAAAAGGGGTGACGAAATCTTTGGATCTACAGACCCTAGATACAAAATCAGCTAGCTTTTTTAACAAACCATTGATAGTGAAGATCATCGCTGTATACGCTCTTCTGAACATGTAACGGGACACTGTAGTCGGTAGCTGAGGAGCAACGTGGTCTCTGTCGCTCTTTGGCCCATTGAAATGGTCCTGGATCGATCATCTTCATTGTCTACTTCGTATGGCTGCCGAGGATGTTATTACCTAATAAGATATATCCGTCGGGTTAATTGGACAAGATAAGGTCTTCAAGGGACCTTGAAAGTCGGTGTAAGAACATGGCGATAATGTGGGGTCTGAGTGGCTTCAACCAACATGTTGACGCGGGGTTGAAAGGACCCCGCCATGCCCAATGGTTGGCAGAGACTTGGGGTCAGGGACTTTGCCCAGGGGAGGGCGAGACTAGCTTTCCCTCCTCTGTCACCTTCAATTCCCCTCGTGCTCGAAGCTAGGTTCTGAAACGGAGAGCTACCTACCTTCGACAAGCTCAACTGATTAATCCGGATCTCCCACACCACCAGCACTTCTTCCTCAGACACCTTTCTGCCTCACACCTTCACACCTTGCTTCCAGTACCCCCTCAAACCAGCCTCTCAAACGGCCATCTCCCAAAACAAAACAAAAAATGGCATCCTCCACACCAATCCCCATAATCGACTCCCACATCCACCTCTACCCAGAGGCTGAGCTCGACAGCCTCGCCTGGTACACGCCCGACAGCCCACTGGGGGGGCGACACTCGGTGGACGAGTTCCGCGCCGCCTCCGCGTCCGCCGCAACCTCGACGACGACGGCGGGCGGCTCGAGCCCGGGCAACGGCGACGGCACCGTCGGCCGGCTGGCGGGCTTCGTGTTCGTCGAGACGGACCGTCGCAACGGGGGCGGCCGCGACTGGGCGGGGCCCCTGGCCGAGGTGGCGTGGGCGGCGCGCCTGGTCACGGGCAGGCCGCGGCCCGGCGAGGGCCACGCCGCCGCCGACGCGCCAATGTGCCTCGCCGTCGTGCCGTGGGCGCCGCTGCCGCTCGGGGCGGACGAGTTGGAGGGGTATCTGGCGAGGGTGGAGGAGACGGCCGGGCCGGAGGCGTGGGGGCGGGTTAGGGGGTTTAGGTATCTTTTGCAGGATAAGCCTTTGGGTGTGGGGCTTGGGGACGGGTTCGTGGAGGGGTTGAAGGTGCTGGGGAGGAGGGGCTTCGCGTTTGATGTGGGCGTGGACCAGCACCGGAGGGGGAGGGCACAGTTGGAGGAGTGTGTCGAGATGATTGATCGGGCGCACGAGGGGGTTCCGGAGGAGGAGAAGGTGGTGTTCATCATAAGTAAGTCGGAGGAGGAAGAGACCCAGGCAGTGCAGTGCTCTTGCTAACCCCCGCAGACCACCTCTGCAAGCCCGACCTGACCATTATCAACTTCACCTCCGACGCGTCCTTCATCGCCTGGCGGACCGCCATGTTCACCCTCAGCAAGTGCAGCAAGACCTACATGAAGCTCAGCGGAGGCCTTGCCGAGCTGCCTGAGAGCCTCAAGAATCGCTCCGCCGAGGATATCTTCGAGGCCATGTACCCCTGGCTGGCCGTCGTGCTGGCCGCCTTCGGCCCGAGCAGGATCATGTTTGGCAGCGACTGGCCCGTCTGCACCGTCGGCGTCGGCGATGGCGCCTGGGAGAAGTGGAAGAAGATCGTCGAGCGGACCTGTTATATGGCATCCCTGAGCCACGAGGACCAGGCCATGATCTGGGGAGGAACGACCAAGAAGGCGTACGGAATCAAGGACGACTAAAAATGGCAGCAGGCCCACAAGTCCATTCCTTGGTTTGATCAAGGGGCAAGTGTGAGAATGGAATCAAAATTAACCGGGATTACAAAAAGACCGCTATCATGATGGAGTTAGGTTGTGTCTCCATAGAACTTTTATGGTCTATACCCTCAAAGTCAACTGCCTCGTTTCCATTGCAGGGTTTCCTCGGTCACCCGATACTAATCTCTAGCTTACATGCTGTTTAACCAGCCCGTTTGACCCGCCTCAGCCCGATCTTGATGTCTCGCCTCGAGGTGCAGCAGCATCCCAAGCCCGAGTGAATGGCAAAGGCCAGGAGGGCAAACCCAGAGGCAAGCCACATGAAAACCATCATTCTGACGCCGATATAGGCGTGGATGTTCAGGTCGGACTGCGACTCGGCCGCGTACTTGAACACTAGGCTGATGACGGTGGCAATGATGGAGGCGGCCACGATCAGGAGCACGGAGATGAAGGAGATGATAGCGAACGGCAGGCTCCACCAGCGGGAGTAGACGACGATGGGGGTGGCGAATATAAGGACGAAGGTGAGGACCGTCCCGGTGATGAAGAAGCCGAACATGAGCCGGGACACCAGACGCAGGATGTCGAGCAGCGTGACCACCTCGGTCGGAAGAGCGATGGTGGCGCCGGCCAGCAACTCGTCCATGATGATGCTCACTGGGTTGAACCAGTACAGACTCTCGGGTTCGGAACAGGATGTGACTCCCCTGGGTGAAGGTCAGCTCGACAATTCGAAAAGGAGAGGCATGCCATCAGTGGCTTTTCACAATGCCGAAGACAGGTAAATGATATGCGATCATTCCCCAGAGGGCAGTGAGCAGACTTACTCATTCTGATAGCCTTCACAGAAATTCCACAGCCCAACCTGATAGAAGTCATGCAGACCCAGAGTCCGCGCAATACTATTGATCAAGGTGGCATTGGGCACAGATAAGGGAAGAATATCTGCCAGGTCCAATTTGAAAAAGTAAATATCTCTCAATACTGGCTTGTTGCTAGTATTTCCGATGACGACCTGCCGAGCTGGTCAACGAGGTGGAACGCTGAGGGCAGCCAGAGGGCAATCTCGTCACTTACCAAAATGAGGAAGACAAACGCAAGTAGATAGGAGAGGGAAGCGATAATAATAAAGACACGACGTGACTTGGTGCTGCGTTTGATATCGGCCTGGCTGATGTCTGGAGCACCGGCCTCCTTTCGACGAGAGGCATGGTCCGACGAGGGCGAGCCGGCCTCAGGCGCCCGCTTGCGAACCCGGAGAATCGAAGGAAGTGCCATGGCTCCGGGCGCGAGATGCTGTCGCTCTCGGATCACGGCGAACTCGAACTCACCACTGATTTGGTGGTGAATGGGGATCTTGTTGTGATAAAGCAAATAATAAGGAGGGCATCCAGTACCCCACCGGAGAGGCCCCAAATAGGCAGATGAATAGGTAGATATCGATCTCTATCGCCGGATCGATGAATGTTGATAGCCTTTTCTTTTCGCTGTCAAGAGTCTAGGTCTTACCTAATTACCAGGCTACGTAGTGCATATGTATGCGTACGCCAAACTAATGGACTATCGGCACTGCCCCAACGCGTCGGGATTGATCATGCTTGGAAGTTGGAACCCTGCTAGCGGGTGTGGTTAAGTGGCACCCATTGCACCCTAGCGTATGCCACACAGCACCGTGGATGGCTTGTCCAGCATACACGCTACAACGCATACGAGCTCTACCACAGGACTTCCATAGTAAGTACCGAGCTTACTTGGCATGCACCAGGCTTGATGTCATACGTAAAAGTTGTGCCCGTCTGGAGAGCAGGTGAGCAAGATTCGTTTCCACCCAGGAACCTGTTAGGCTGCCTATCACTCTTATTAGTCGGGTCTTGGTGTCGGGTTTTCAATTTTTCACTATTATGCTTTCCTACCTTATTTCCACCCCTTTCCGATTTAAGGTGCTAGTAATTAGGTATAGAAGTGGAGCGACCAGGGTAGGATCTGTGTAAGCTCAAGCTTCGGTATCTGCTGCGTGAAGCTTCAACATTTCACACAAGTCCGGGCTTTGCGGAACATCGATGCATTTACCTGGCACCATCGACGACCGTCGACTCTGATTTCGAGCCCGCCGGAAGGATGGCGCTCTTGAAAAGGCTCGCATTCGCCTGTGTGGCCCTGAAATCCGTCGCTCGCGCCCAACTGCCGACAGGCAGCACGGATGGGATCACGTTTCTGACGGGGACGAACACGCTGGCGGTCACGGAATCAACCCCCACGGGACCATACCAGACCTTTTCCACTACTGTCACATTTTCGACAACCGACTTGTCGTCTCTTCTAGACTCTGTCGACTCCAATAGCACTGCCACAACCTCGTCGACCTCCAAGACAACCGTCACCTTCCTGACCGGCTCGGTCCGGTCGACGACAACTCTCACAGGAAACTTCTCGACTTCTACTTCGGCTGCCTCGTCGGCCCCCGAGCCGATCAACACGACGCCATGCAACAACTACCCCGAGTTCTGCGACCGCAAGTACGGCAATATCACCATGGTGGCTTGCCACAACAGCCCCTTTACACGTCCCGGGAGTGCTGCCTCGAACCAGCAATTCGATGTCACCACCCAACTCAACGACGGGGTCCGCTTCCTGCAGGGCCAGATCCAGTGGCCCGCCAATGACACCGTTCCTCACTTCTGTCACACCAGCTGCGATCTCCTCGACGCCGGCCCCATCACCGATTGGCTGGGCAAGGTGAAGGACTGGGTAGCTGCCCACCCGTACGACGTCGTGACCATCCTTCTGGGCAACGGCAACTACTCAACCCCCGACCATTACGTGCCGTACATCGAATCCACCGGCATCCTGCAGCACATTTACACGCCGCCGGTTCAGCCCATGTCTCTCAAGGACTGGCCCACCCTCGCCTCCATGATCCTCCGGGGCCAGCGAGTGGTCATGTTCCTCGACTACATGGCGAATCAGACGGCGTACCCCTGGCTGCTCGACCAGTTCAGCCAGATGTGGGAGACGCCCTTTGACCCGACGGACCGTGAGTTCCCCTGTACAGTGCAGCGGCCGCCGGACCTCGCCCCGGAAAAGGCCCGAGACCGGCTGTACCTCATGAACCACAACCTCAACGTCGAGGTTTCCCTGCTCGGCGCCTCGATCCTCGTGCCCGACGTCAGCTCCCTGAACCAGACCAACAACGTCTCGGGCCTGGGGAGCCTGGGACTTGCCGCGAACAACTGTCGTTCCGACTGGGGCCGCGCCCCATCCTTCTTGAACGTCGACTACGTAAGAACCCTAACCCCAACCCCAAGGGGCCCTTTTACATTCCTACCTTGAAATGGACTTCCAGCTGACATGGAAACAGTACAACTACGGAGGCTATCCCGGCTCGGTCTTTGAGGTTGCCGCATTAATGAATAATGTCACATATAACAGGCCCTGCTGCGGCATGAATTCGAACGGGGCCGGCCGCCTGCAATACCTGGGGTCTCTCCTCTTCGTTAGCTCAAGTTGGGTGGTTATGTGGCTCCTGATTTGATAAGTCCCTTTTCGGACGGAATCTTGATGGCGCGGCATAACATATCACCACCTCGACCGCCTCAAACGGCGAGATCCCTACCAGCGCCGCGCTCCTGTCCGGTGCAGCTTGCCTCGGCGGGATCAGTGTTGGAACTATAGTCCATCGCCTCGACAATTTGGCGACTCAACTAATAACTCTTAGAGTTGGAGGGCTGAATTTGAAGAAGGGCTTGAGAAGAAAGTTCCAATTTTGGAACGCAAGACTAGGTAGACAATGGTATGGAAAGCAGCTCTCAGAGAGCAGGCCTCACGCCCACACTCAACGCACTAAGTGAATATCCTGCCCACACTCAACGCACTAAGTGAATATCCTGCCCCTCTGAGTCATCCCCCTCCCAGTTGTTTCCCGTTCCTCTGATCTGACCTCCGTCAAGCGAACTTCCCACGTCTATGACCCGATTCCTCGCTCTAAGCCTAGGTATCGACTGTCCTGGGCCATCTCCCGGCTTCTACAAGGAAATATTTGGAAGCTGCTATGGGCTTTTACACACACTACCTGCACCTGGGTGCCAGAAGGAGCCGACCCCCCCTCCAGTACCATCGTCTTCCCCGATCAATTGTCGACTCCAGCGTGAGACATCGTCATTCTGGACAAGGCCCTCATCTAGCGGGCGAAAAGAGCTGTATCAGGGGGCAACAACGTTACCTTGCCACAACCTCGCTGCAGTTCGTCTCACAGGCAGCAGTGGAGCTGTCCTCCTCCTCACTCCACCTGATCAATCGTCTTCTCCAACGCGGGACATGGTCACTAGATGATGCCCTGCTCCAAGGCGCAATCGATGAGGTGCTAGCTCCTCGCCCTAAAGCAGCCCCCAGGTCAGAGAAAGCCGACTGTTCTTCGGAGCACCGTCGCCTCGTCCGATCAATCGTCGAGTCCAGCGTGGACATATTGACTCGTTTGGCCTCTTCTCGTGTAATTCTACCTTTCTCCACAAGGTCCTCGAGCGCCAGTTGGTATGTCCGCAAGTGCGCCCGGTAGAATGGGACGATGAGGATTCCGGTAGGATCAGACTTGTGGGCTTTGGTCAAGTCTGGGTTCTTGAGCGCAGTCACAACTTGGTTCATCACCCACTCCACATGGATGCTGTTATAGCTGGATGTGCCAAGCTTTTCGGTCTGGGAGCCCCAAAATTCCACGAGCAACCGACTAGAGTCTGGTCCGATATCAGGATAGATATTCTTGAGCCATGCTCTGAAGTTCTTCAAACTCTGCGGGAAATGCGCCCTGCCGATGTTCCCACTTCTCATGCTGTGACGGTAGAAGAGCTGAGAGGGAAGGTGACGCAGACGTCCTAGTTGCCGATGGTTGATGTACAAATACCCATCTGTGGCGATGGCCAGAACAGCGCGCTCCAGGATGGACGTACCCAACGCTGGGTAATATGGGTTATTCGATTTGACCGCGTTCTCTGCATCCTGCTGGATCACAATGGTCGGCTCATTCTGGCGATAATTGCCAACGGCGTTGACAGGTGCGTCGAATCAGGTGACTGGGATGTAGAACGACAGCTCTCGCAGTGGCATTTGAATCGTGCCACACGCGCTATGGCAAATGCAGAGGTCTTGCGACTGATCTTCCGAGATGAGGATTCGGAGGGGATACGCGCCTTAGACAGTGGAGCAGACGACGGGCTAGAAGACGATCCTGACCATTCCGTGATCACCCATACCCCTCATCTCTCCGAGTACCTCATTGATTGCGCCTTGGAGCAGGGGATCATCCAGTATGACCATGTCCCGCGCTGGAGGAGACGATTGATGAGGTGGAGTGAGGGTGAGGACAGCTCCTCTCAGGCTTCCGCCTCATCCACCTAGGAATGTTCGTTCTAGCAGAAAGATCTCCAAGCAGCACCCTCGTGGTAGCAGGTTCCAACTTGCAAACTGAGGGAACTACAACTTATATTGCAGAATAATTACCTACTCTTGATGTTGCCATTGCTGTCGCTGTCAGTGACTGTTGCTACAGATGTCAGTCACTCTTTGCTGTTGCTGCCAGTCACTCTTGCCGTTGCTGTCGGTCATTCTTGCCGTTGCTGTCAATCATCCTTGCCGTTGCTGTTAGTCACTCTTGCTGTTGCTGTCAATCATTCTTGCCGTGCTGTCAGTCACTCTTGCCGTTGCTGTCAGTCACTCTTGCCGTTGCTGTCAGTCACTATTGCTATAAATGCTAGTTGTAATTGCCACTCCTATTAGTCGTTATTTCCATTGCTGGCAGTCACTGTTGCTGTAAATGCCAGTTGCTATTGCCATTTCTGTTAGTCGTTATTGCCGTTACTGTCAGCAGACACTCGAGTCTGAAGAACCGCAATACCAGCATCCATTCAAGTATATATAATGAGAGCTCCGCTGCTTATCTGAAGAGGGTCTTCGCCGACGAGAAGCTTTTCAAGGTTAGGATTCGCCAGAGAATCTCTGACAAAACCCCCAGGGTCGAGATATCTGCGCTCAACGCCCTCATCCACCCGAAAGGTGCCGACATCCACCCAGGCCCAGGCTCCATAGAGAAGTATAAATACCTTCTTCGTTTTGATCGGTCGGCCGTCAGCACTCTTGATCTTTTCCAGCGGTTCAAAGCCCTTGGCATTCTCCAGCAAACACCGGCTGAAGCACCCGGATTCGTTCGGGGCAAGTTTTGACCGCCTGGACAAGGCTAAGAAGGAAGCGTTCGGACAACTTCAATCCATGTCTGCCGGTGTGAGCCATATAAACGGCGTTGCTGGCTACGGAAAGTCAACCCTGCTCGAGTGCATCACCCTTGCCACGTTCTATGGAGAGCTTGGCCCAGACGTCACGGTCAAGGATGCAGAGCCAGGAGGCCGGAAGATCCTCTACGTTGTGAATAACAACGATGGATTGGATACTTTTATCTCTAACGTTGTGGAGATGCAGCACGACCTAGGCCTTGGACACCCAATTGATGTCATCCGTCTTTACTCGACGGACAGCCTGGTAGAGACCATGGCTAAGAAGAGTAAAGCCAAACCTCCGCCCGACTCGTTCAAAGAAGAAGATGCGAAAAAAGCCGTCGTGTCTATTGACGAGGTGGACCATTTCACCGCTGCGGTGCAGCTGGCGAAGCTCGAGCTCCAGATGCACCAGGCTAGATCCGACACGCGCGCTCAGAAGTCCAAGTGCCGCAACCTCCCCCTTGCCCAGGCCGCTTCCGAGTTCTATTTGAAGAACAAGGACGGCTATCCGGACATCACGAAGGCCATCGAAGCGACACGGGGAAGTACGAAGCCATTAGCGCCAGAAGACATGACCAAGTTCAGAACGGACGTGAAGGCACTGTACGCCGATTTTCTCTGCCAGTTCAAAGGCCTGGTGTGCGCTACGCCAGTCGCGTGCAGCAATCACACATTTCGCTCAATATTCAAGCCTGATCTTGTTCTTGTCGATGAAGTTGGTCGCATGGAGTTCGAGTAGCCGACGATCTGGAAGTGGATACTTGCCAGCATCACACGTTGTCCATGGCCAGGGTTGCGGTAGTCAGACAGCCCTGTTTGCCTTGTTGGTAATCCAAGATCACGGTATTGGACTGATCGGAGTTCAACCACAGGAACTGCAACTGTAACTTGTCGAGGCTGGTTTCTCCAACAGGTCGCAGTGCAAATTGTGACTGGCCCCAAAGGTGATGGGCATCGCGGCTGAGAACCAGGAGGTTGAGCTTGACATGATCTGGTCCGCTCAGCAGTTGTTGCAATTGGAGAGCGTCTTGCTGCGACCAGAACAGTGCAAGTCCCGCCCAGAAACGTCTCGCTCGTTCTTCGTGTCTCAGGATGCAGTCGTCAGGTATGATGGCAAGCTTCGACAGAGAAACTCCTCGTTAAGATGCACTTGGCCCGTACCACGTGAGCTGTAATTGTCGGTTAGATTGTCAACAAACATTAGACACGGGAGAAGGCGTACCACAATTGCCTCAGCGGCTCGAGTCTCGTTTGTTCGTCCCGTTGCGCTCTTCTCTGTGCCTTTGACCAGCTTTTCGAGCCCTAACATACAAGTTAGCTGAAATGATATTCCACGAGGTAGAAGAACCAAACATACAACCATCCAACACATGCCGAACGTTTGAAAAATTTGCGACGAATGCCATGGTTATGTCGGGTGTGGATCCAAGACGTGCGACCCAATCTTCAAGCCATGCGTCGCTTAGCACGAAGAGAGACCCAATGCATGCTAGAATGTCCTGCTGCTCATCTGCCAGTTCCTCTCTCTAGCTTTTCCTCGAAAAGCTGATCCCAACACACTGCGTCGCTTTAGTTCGGCAAGTAGAGCTTTGTAGACCTGGAGCTTGTCAATAGAAAGCGTGTGGTCAGGGAGGCCGCGATTTTGGCCGTCTATGAGGACCGCGCTGATGGGGACAGGGTCGCTGTCAGTGGTAGAGCCGCTGCCAGTGAAAGTCTTCAGTCATTTGGGAGGTAAGCTTCCGCCGCCGTCCATGGAGCTGTGGTTGTCACCGTCGTGGTCGTCTGAGGACTGACGACGTTCGGAGTCGCGTGACGGGGGGTCCATTCCGTAGTCTTTCTGCTGGAGAAAGATCATGTCAGACGCAAAGCCAACCATTATGCAAGAGGGTATCTGACTTAGCTGGTGCTGGTAGGATGTTGGATGATCGTGATCGTTCGTGGTGTGATGTTGGCTATTCGTAACCGTTCGTCGGTGATCTGACCAGAGTCTGGCGCGGACGGACGGGAGGTAGGAGTTCGTTTTTAAGTAGACACAGCCCCACGACCGCCCTTCGAACTCAACCGTGGAAGGTTTGATATGTCGAGCTCTTGGCTAGGTAGGCAGTCATGGCTCATGACGTGGGAAGTTAAACCTTGATTTTAGGTACCTCGGACCTAGCGGAAGGTGCTGTGGGAAAGTTGAGAAGAAGGAAAAAGGAAGGTGCATGAGGTAATTGTCGTTCTCATCGCAACCGTTGGTCCACAGACTGGCTGTAAACCGCAGGCCGGATTGGGCTGGGCGTTCTGCAAAAGGATAGCATGGAAGCAGCTTGGATATTATTGACGAGACTCCGGAAAAAAGGGTTGTGAGAGAACTTTCGTTGGGAACTAGTCGACGGCAGGTTAGCAAGGTATCGAAGCATGTAGGGCAACTTGAATGACAACTTACTAGTAGAGATCCAATGTTATACATAGCTGTGCAACTAGAACGAGCCAACTGCCACAGCTGGGAGTTACCGTCAACCCCAGACGAGGCAGTTTACTGTCATGCCTTGGACGAGACATTTTATCGTCGTGCCCAGGACGAGGGAGCGTGTCGAGGACGCAAGAAGATGACCGCAGCAGCCCTGCGTGGTCTGGTGGTGCCTATAGATCCATGCCCGTTATACTGACACGAGACTGAGATCATTCAAAGCCCACTGTTGGTAGGCATTATGTCGAGCTCGGAGAAGTTCATGTATAATATATAGGACGTTTTGATCTGCTGGGGGAGCATGAATAAAGCTACCTATTAGAAAAAATAGGAAAAAAAAACAACTGGTCCAGGGCAGCAGTCCCAGAACAGTAGTCCCGGACGTGGAAGGCAGGAGCGACGGGCTCTCGACACCGATCCATATTGAGCCAGACTTGGTGGTTGGAATCTCGGCAGGGGGGAGTTTACGGATCAGGCCCTGTGAAAACGTTGGTTGGCGGCCGGCGGAGGGTCGGAGGGGCGGTCACTGTCAAAAGTCAGGATGAGTAATTCCGACAGCTGGAAATCAGAGATACCCACTGGCAGAGCGCGAAGTAGAGGAGGGGAATCATAGGTCAATATTTATGATAATTGTCCATACCACCTGGCAATACCTAGCCATGTTGTTGTATGTGATGCGTGGTCAGCGTGAGGGCTGACAACGCATGTGTTGCGAGGGCGGTCGGTTGAATTCTCTCGAGCGTAGGTAGATATGGAGATTATTAGGTAGAGGTAGGTAGAGGTAGGTAGGTGTACCTGATATATCGACATGGATGACTAACAATGGATTCTGGCCCTATGAGATCACTAGGTACCTACCTACCTGTTGACTTTTAATGCTGATAGGGCTGGGAAACCACTGGGTTAGAGATCTTGAGCTTAATCTGACCCCCACTTGATGGAAAAGCCACTCAGGTGCAAATGCGCTAATGACGTCGCTGATGACTCGGGGAGAACCCCACGACCCCTGTTTAGCCTCGCAGGTCAATGAGCCGAGGTCCAACTCGGTGAACGCAGCTTTAAACCAAGGATATTTCGAGGATTAGCAAGCATGGCCATTTCTCTCATCCACCCTCCTCCTCCTCTGTTACTCTCTTGTCGCCCTCTCGTCACTTTTAGACTGACTGCACGCTGATCGCAAGCTGACCACCCCATTTACACACACATTTCAAATCGACAACCCCCCGCCTGCCGCAACCATGTCCCAGACATTCACCGTCGCCGAGGTCGCCAAGCACAAGGACGAGAAGGAGGGCATGTACATCATTATTGATGGCGGAGTCTACGACGTTGCCAGTACGTCTATATGTCTTGAGCCTTTGACTCCTTTTGTTTTTCTTTTTTTACCGTTTCGGCTTCTCTTCGCATCTCTCCCGCTAGATTCGCTGCCTCGCTTCTAGCCCAGGTCGAAGTGAGGTCGAAGTGAGGTCGAAGTGTAACAAATGAAAACTGACGGCGGGGCAGATTTCCTCGAGGACCACCCTGGCGGCGCCAAGATCCTCAAGCGCGTGGCCGGTAAAGACGCCTCCAAGCAGTTCTGGAAGTACCACAACGACAAGGTCCTGGAGAAGTACGGCGGGAAGCTGAAGGTCGGGACCGTCGCCGAGAGCGCCAAACTGTGAGGAGGGGCTATTAGAAGGAATGGAGAAATCCCTCCCAACAAGGCTCTGCTTGCGAGGCTGTTTCGAGAGGGTGCCTGCGCGCTAGCGAGGCTGTTTGTACTACTAGGAAGCGAGGGCGCATAGTTGGAACGTCTGCAGAGTGAGAGTTGCATGAGCGGATTGTGAACTGGCTGACTGGAGAACGAGCTGATCGCGGGCAGTTCGGAGGAGTTGACTCTTTCTGTCGATTTCCTGCGAGCGCGAGGAGCATGGATACATTTATTTGGCGTTGGGGACGATAGAACATACAGGCAGACCTTTAGAGACACGAGGTGACTGCGTGGCAGTCCTGGGTTTGCGCATGTTGCTGAGGAGAGTGACCGTTGGACCCAGGGGGGAATGATAGGCATGTGAAGAGGGCAGTCGATAAAACATTGCGCAATGCTATGGAGCTCAAATCCAAGGCCTTTCTCGGCCATGCGCGAACACCACCGAGGTGACAAACCCTTGAAGCAACATGTGAGAGGCTAGGGACGGCGCTCTGAGGGGTTGGGAGCGTGGCATCCAACTCTTCTGTAGAGACGTGTTATCCAACCACCATCAATCCCGGCCCCGGGGGGGGGGGGGGGGGGGGGGGGGGGGACCCGACCGGCGGCCCCCCGGCCCGCCCGGGGCGGTGCCGGGGGGGGGCTTGCATGGTTGGGGGGGGGCGGCGGGGGGGCCGGCGGCCCCCCCCCCCCCCCCCCCCCCCCCCCCCCCCCCCCCCCCCCCCCCCCCCCGCCACAACAAGCTGTCACCCTGAATACCTGCAGCTGGAGCATATGGCATGATCAATATGTCTAGCGGGCAGCCTTGTGGCACCGGGCAACTCCACGCAGAAAAGGGAATTATCAGGCCAGTTGGGAACAAGAAAGATGCAATCAGCTAACAACTGTAGGGTTGCAGGTTGACATTGGCTGATTGTGAGCTGACTTCCGTAGCAGCAACTCCTCGCTAAAACCACACGCTCACATTGTTGGTAGGAGGAAGCAGCATCAAGACCGTCGTCTTCTGACTCTTGCCCATACAATACCTGATACCTGACTGTCCTCTTCTCCATCAGAGTGCCAACTGTCATTGATGTACTCTGCAGCCCCTGAGGCAGTAGCTTCTCGAAGGAGGTCCCGCTTGAGAAGATGGGACAGGCTATCAAGAATAGGTAGACACGGCCCTGGAAGGGATCAAGCAACTCGAAGCTGCTTTCGGCAGGTGCTCATTGCCATAGAAGGACCACAGTACGGCAAAGAGGCCTCAAAGCTCATCTTTGACGCAATCGTGGAAGGGAAGATGCGAGCTGCTTCCGGATCGAGGGCCCATGGACAATGCGGGCAATAGCTATTAACAGGATGGTAATAGGTATCAGCAGTGAGAGTAACAGCTACCAATAGCCACGGCAATGGCTACCTTTTAACAGTGACGGAAATGGCGATCAACAGCGATCGTAACAGCAGTGGTATCAGCGTCGTGGCACTTTGCCAGAAGCTTCCTATCACCACCCGCCCGGGCCCCTGCCCCCAGAGCGAAATACTCATGCCCGCGGAGCAATTCTCCTCATAATTTCGGCAGGAATTACGATCAGCTGATCTGGAAATTGCCTCGGAGAGATGTGGTTGCCTCGAAGACATACAGGACTGAGGGGAGAAATGGTAAATTACAGAGATGGAGGAAGAAGCGTGGGAGCTCAAGGGGAGGTGCCCCCGGACTATTATCCCGGGCGGTGATGCGGCGCATATTTGCTGGGGAACCTTTATTGGGCACAAACTCACTTGACTGGGATGATGGGGACTTGAGGCCAGTGACGGTGGATCACCTGTTACCTACCAGCACTGGATCACTCATCACAGCACCCATAAGCTACCTAGATATGCGCCTTGAGCGATGTGATTTACCTGCTCATTGGGCCTGTGTGATTTTATTCAGCTACCAAGTCTTATCACATTCCAGTGGGCGTAAATCAAACGAACGAGTAAACGTTTGCTTCCCTGCAAATTCTGTCGACAGTTGGCGTCTCAGAAGATGTTACCAGCCCAGCACCCGTAAGAAGTGGCTGACTGGCCTGAAAAGACCCTGAAAAGTATTTGAGAGGTACCCTCGCAACTGCCGCTATTTTGCGTGAGAAATGAGAACGGCAAGTGCAGTTTCAGCATTGGCCAGGGGACGGCTGCTCCCCGCGAATGGTTACGGACAAAGGCGAAATATGCTTGTGAGTGGAAGCGAACTGGGAAGCTAGTTACAGTCGGATATGTACAGCTCTCGGCAACGCCACGTTTTACCATTCACACCGCAAATACTTTTTGCTTTGTATGAACGGAAGCCTTGACGAATGCAGCAGGAAAGTCGATGCAGCCAGCCATGGATGCCAGTGGCAGCTGCTGAGTGTGTGAGGTGGGCGAAAAGTCCGGAATCAGGGGGTGGTCTGATGAGTCCAATGACGCGGCAAATCTGTGTGTGGGTGGATGTCCCAAGGTCCCAACAGACTGGGAAACCTGGGGAAAGCTATCATAAGAGGCGGGGGGGTAATTAAAGCCGTTGTGGAAGCGGCAAGATTATCCCGACACCCGGAGCCTGTCGAGATGTCAGGGGTTCCAGTTTCTGGCAGGTATTTGCCAAGGTTCCAGAAGACTCCCACCCGCATCAAACCGCAAACGGGAAAACGGGATAATTAGTGCCCGATTTTGCAAGTGAACGTAGCAGCGGATCCAGAGCATCCAGAGCGACCGGCGGGCCGACAATGGGCTGCTTGCTGTGTGCTGGACTATGATGCCGTCCGCGTCTTCGTTCGGCACGAATCAACAGCACGGCAGCCAGCATCCCGTTTGCCAATGAGATCCGATAGACGGTATATTGAGACAGATCGTCTTTGAAGGAATGTTTGCTGTTCTGCCGCCCTCGGACTGTCACAGAGAAGCGCCGAGAGAGGGCTACAAGCAGGGATCAAATTACGTTTGGGTTTCTGAAGTCCGTTACCGCTTATGATTACGGGAGCGAATTACGCAACCTAGGAGGGCCTAACAATTAATCGAGGGTTTCTCACCTACTTCTCTGATGCGAAGTTCTACATAGTACTTACATACCCTGCCTACTTTGCTGGGGCATCCTGGTATTTTGCGTCTTCTTCTGTCATGGAAAGCAGGTTAAAAACTGGCATGTCTACCTAGGTGTGCCTCACTTATAGGTATCCATTTTGCTGTTGGAAGGAGCAACGGGGAAATGAGGCCATAGCTGTTGTGATTCCTTCCTAATTGGAAACCGTAGATCCCACGTATTCAACGGGCCTCTCACAAAACTGCCAGGGGGCGGGAACACCCAGGAAATCGGCATTTTCCCGCCTTCTCCACACGCTGCCCCAGACAAACTGAGTCATCCCCACACACCCCATTGAACCCACGGTTTTATGCAGCCGGGGAACCGGGATCTCCAATAGGGCAAAGGGCCTCGGGAGACAGTCCGGGGAGCTCGGAAGCAGCCTGAGCCTGAGCCCTGATGAGACCTGCCAGATTGGCGCTGGACCTGGAAATTTCCATCTCAGCGGAGACAAACAGGGCTTTGAGAGACTGGGACTCAATGCGACCACGACAGCGACAGCGCCTGGCGATAGGGCAACTGGGCACGAATACCTTCATAGGTTAGGTAGGTAGGTACCTCCTGCCGAGGTGCACATACTACGTAGCAGCTCGGTCAAGCCGTTGAGGCAATGCCATGACCACCTTGCAAGCGGATATTGGCTGCCCTGATATTTTTTATTGTCAATCTGGCATCTGGCATCTGGCATCAGGCTCCAGGCTACATAGGTACCTAGGTAGGCAGGTCCTCCTGAGCGAAAGGAAGGAAGGAAGTCCTCCTCCCGCCCTGTTGTTTGTCACCGGGGGCTTCCCAACCCTTGAGCCGAAATAAGGTGACGGAGTAGGTACCTATACCTACCTTAGCAGAGAAATGGAGATGGGTACCCATGTACAGGACCCGTGGCATGGCATCCCTGGCAGGGGGAATTCTGCTTGTGCCTGGCCCAGGGCCCGCCAAGCAGTGCCAACATTTCCTGTTCCGATTGTGTGATTCGTGGTATGGGCCTGGACTTTTACACATGTCTCGCCGACGGAACTTAATAACGACCTGGGTAATACCCATCGCTCGAGCCAAACAAAAATTCCACAAAGCAGCTTCCCGCTCAGACACAACACGACCTTGGATCGTATTCTGCACGTACAAATAAATACCTAGGCCCCATTTCCTCTTCCTGTCTCCCTACCATTCCCGTCCCTCCACTCTTCGCAACTCACCTCCCTTCGGTCGATTTCTACCCGAGAACAGACATCCTAAGGTTCTGAACCTCCACTGATACCATATAACTCGCCGTCGCACCACTTAATACCGAAGACGAGCCTGAACATAATATCGACTGCATCCCTCAACTTAGTCTCAAGGACCACAACGTGCCTCAAGCACAGCCCAGAATCTTGAATCAACTCAAGCTCTACTCTTTTTGAGAGGTTTGTCATGTCCAATCGACGTGGATCGTGGCTATGGATATATAAGTGCTAACACCCTCCATAGGACCTCCTGCACAACATGCCGACCCAAATCGCATCTCCCATCCCGATCGCCCCCGGCCGCCGGGCCCTTCACCTGGTCATGCCGCAAGACCTCTTCGCGAGCCTCAACGCAACCCTGTCAGACAAGTCCAACCAGCTGGTGACGCCGTCCCGCGCCATTCAGGAGAACGATTACACCGTCCCGGCGCCGCCACCACCGAGCCCTGTCAGCTTCCGGCCCGATCACTGGTCCACGGCAAGTCGCCGCTAAGCAACACCCCCTTACTGGCATGTCGACTTTCCAGAGAATTTCGGCTCGACCGTGGCGGGGATCTGTATCGGGCTTCAATTACGCATTTTCATGGTTGGCGGGTTTGCATTTTCCTCGTTAGCTACCTATGGTTACGTAGCTATATCGGAGTTTCAAGGGGCATGTGAGATTGCGCGAGCGAAAAAAGAAAGAATAGACGGCGACAGTAATCGGCTAAAATGGGTCTTGGGATGAGGTCGCACCACTAGAGGAACCAGGTACAGACTGGACAAGTCTTGGAGTGTTGTTTTCGGGCTTGGTCTTCAAGCTGCTCTTTCATTTGTCTCTACATCGGTTATCGGGAGAGCGAGAGACGCAAGACGTGTTTGTCTCTTGGCACTGATTGTACACTACCTGCATTTTATATGCTAAGCAAAGGGTCCCCGGTTAGGCATGTGAAGCTACTGTATTGTTTTGGATCAGGGGCCCTCCGTCCCCCTGGAATCTCAGAAAATCCAAAAAAATTATAGCAAACTACCTCTTATTTTTTTCGCTGCACTCGGAGATGTTCACCGAGAGTCTGGCATCCCTGCCCGGATGCTGCCAATCAAGATGCCCAAAGGAGACGGCCAAGGCTAGTAGTAGTGGTGGAGCCGGAATCAGGTCTGCACTAGAAGGGAGCCAACAGTTCTAGAAGGCCTGCTCGATCATTAGCAGTGACCGAGACCATTTCGGGAATGCCTTTAGTGTATTGTCACAAGAGACTGGAGAAATGATTTCCCTGGATCCAACACCAAAACTTCCCCATTTTGCCGGCGTTACTCCGGCCTGCCACACGGGCCCTTCATCACGGATAGTCTGCCGAGTCCCGGGCCGGCCACAGCCCACCTAGTTCCGGCCCACCTTCCGGAGGCAGTAGGCTTTCATTCGCTTCTCAATTATATGCTCAAGGTTGCGAGAAGGGATTACCATAGTACACAATATAGCTCGTGCCCCCAAGCATAAGATCTGCCCCTTGGAAGTGGGCTGCCTAGAAATAACTGACCGGGGCTTCTTAGATGCTTTGTTTCAGCTCATGATTGCTGGACCGAGGGGGGGGAGGGAAAGCAATCCGATACCAGCCCCTTTCGGTGACCTGCTCGTACCAGATTCCTCTGCCGGCTCTTATTGCCTCTAATCGCTGTCACCCAGGCATGTTTATGATGGTGTTTTGTGAGGGTTCGATCAAGGTCATCCATACAACAACCAACAACAACAACAACCCTAACCCTTATCCGATTTCTTATCTCGCCATGGAGTTGGCAGGCAAAAATTCTTTGACGCGCTCTGCGGAACACGATTCGTGATGCACGGTTTGTCCGAGCTTCCTCGGTCGCAACTCATCCATGTTCGACTATGTTTGCAGCGCCATGGGTGTGTCGAAGCTGCTCGCAGTTGCTACCACGCGCTTCCGCGCAGTTTCTGCGTAGAGCTAGCACAAGTAAGTGTGATTCCTCGTCACTCGGTCCAAAAACCGCCATCGCCATCTCAAGCTAACTCGTGCGAACCTTGCAAAGACAGCCATGCGGCCCTCCCGGCAATTTTGCTGCAACGGGCGCGGAAACTCGCCACCGAACACGCACAATTGAGCACCTCCCTGGCGAGTAGCTACGACACCAAAACCGCGAAACGTGCCGGCGAACTCTCCGGCGTCGCCTCGGCCCTGAAGGAATGGGAGGCGGCCAAGGCGGCGCTCCTGGAGCTCGAGGGCTTGCTGGGCTCGGACGATGCCGAACTGCGAGATCTGGCCGAGGATGACCTCGAGGCGACGAATTCCCAGCTCGACGCGGTGGCCCGCAAGCTCTCCATGGCCCTCACGCCGAAGCACCCCTTCACCGAGATGCCGTGCCTGATCGAGTTCCGGCCGGGACCGGGCGGCCTCGAGAGCCGCTTCTTCACCGACACGCTGTTCGGCATGTACCAGAAGTACTGCGGGCGCAAGGGCTACCGGACGCGGGTGGTCAAGTACGAGCTGTCGGACAACGCCGGGGACGCGTCGGGGTCGGCGGGCGAGAGCCCCGTGCAGGAGGCGGTGCTGGAGGTGCAGGACGCGGGCTCGTACGAGGCGTTCCGCGGCGAGGCGGGCATGCACCGGGTGCAGCGGGTGCCCGCGACGGAGAAGAGCGGGCGCACTCACACGAGCGCCACGGCGGTCTGGGTGCTGCCGTCGTTCCCCGACGGCGGCGCCGAGGAGTCGTCGGGCGACTTTGACGACCCGGACAGCGACTTCTACATCAACCCGGCCGACGTCCGCGCCGAGACGATGCGCGCCCGCGGCGCCGGTGGGCAGCATGTCAACAAGACCGAGTCGGCCATCCGGCTGACCCACTTGCCGACGGGGACGACGGTCAGCATGCAGGACTCACGGTCGCAGCAGCGGAACCGCGAGTACGCGTGGCGGCTGCTGCGGTCGAGGATCGCGCAGCAGAGGCGCGAGGCCCGGGAGGAGCTGGCGAGGCAGCTGAGGAGCAGCGTCCTCTCCAAGGCGCAGGTGACCCGCGGGGACAAGATCCGGACGTACAACTACCAGCAGGACAGGTGCACGGATCACCGGTCGGGGGTCGACGTCCACAACCTCCCGGATGTGCTTGAGGGCGGCGAGACGCTGGACAGGCTCATGGGCAGCGTGAAGGAGTGGCTGGCCGAGACGGACATACAGGCGGCCATCGCCGAGGAGGAGGCCACGACGGCGCAGGCGGAGCCGAAGGGAAAGAGGGCCAAGAAGTGACCGAGCAGGGAGGCACCTTGTATATTTGCATGTAGTACTTCAGAATGTACAGTAACCGATAGACTAGACGATAGCTGACGTCCATGTACGATACTCAAATTACCCACTAAAGGCGCCACTTCGCAACATCGGTGTTTTTCGCCCCTGAACAGCAAGTTGAAGACAATACAACAACCTAGTGGTTGGAATCTTAGACCGATCCCCGACCCGTGTGTGTAGCAACGTTCCTCCTCGTTCAATAAGCCCCCGTTAGGATACTAGTGTACCCCCTTACATATTAGTGAAGCAAGTGAGAAGGACCTCGACCAGCAAATTACCTACAGACCTGAAGTCTTGAAAGACTATCCGCCTATGAAGGATAGATGAACGATTCGAAGCACGTTACGGGTCACTTATTGGTTATCGAGATACGGGTGAGCTTCGGGTGAGTGGCTGGGTGAGCAGGAACCACAGATGTTGCGGTGTGTTGGGCCACTACCTGATAGTTTGGGATATCTCTGCGTGGGATGAGCGGAAGAAACACCCATTACATCACTCCATTTGTGCCGAGAGATAGGTATTGAACACAAGGTTAGCATCTGCTAGTAGCCAAAAGCCCAAGACCATGAACTGCTGAGTCAGTTAGCACCAATTGACCTCGCTTTACCATAAAGGAACAAGGACGACCAGCTCTCTCTCGAGATCTCATTGCTTATTACATCATATCCTGTTTCTCGGATGGTACCAAAGCCAGTCCGATACGGTCATCACCCACAGCACCTTGGAATCCCCATTTTCACATCCACCAGTTCCACCATCCCCTTTAAGTGAGTGGCATCAGGCACAAACATGCCCCCAGCAGACAACCCCGCCACCTCCGCAGAGGAGACCCGCCGCCTGCAAGCAACCTTCCAGGACAGGCCCCTCTCCGCGCACGGCGCCCAGTGGGACAGCCTCTGGACAGCGTCGTACACGCCATGGGACCGCGGTGGCCCGAGCGCGGCACTAGACGACCTGCTCGCCGAGAGGGGGTCTGATCTCTTCTTCCAGGGGGCTGGCGAGGAGAAGACGACGGAGAAGAAGAGGAGGAGGGCCAGGGCCCTCGTCCCCGGCTGCGGGCGCGGCTACGACGCCCTCCTGCTCGCGGCGTACGGCTTCGACGTCGTCGGGCTGGACTACTCTGCCGCGGCGACGCGGGAGGCGGCCGGGGTGGAGGCCAGTGTGGGCGCCGAGGAGGCGTACCGGCCGCGCGGGGAGGAGGGGGAGAAGGGGACCGTCACTTGGCTGACGGGGGACTTCTTCGGCGACGAGTTTCTGGGCAAGGCTGGGACGGAAAGCTTCGATCTCATTTTCGACTATACGGTGAGTGTCCTCCTTCCCCCGCAGGGGAGGTCTACATACAGCACACTTCTTTCTCGCAGGTGCACTGATTGATAATCCAAAGTTCCTCTGCGCCCTCCCGCTAGAAGCCCGGCCCAAATGGGCCAAACGGATGTCCCAGCTCCTTGCCCGCGACGGCGGAAGGCTGGTGTGTCTAGAGTGGCCGCTCCACAAACCCGCATCCAGCGGCGGGCCCCCGTGGGGCCTGACTGCCGAGGTGTATGTAGCCCATCTCTCGAGGCCGGGCGAGGAAGTTCCCTACGGGCAGGACGGACGGCCGGTGGAGGACGACGCGGGTCAGCCGGCGGCGGACGGACTCAAGAGACTTGTCCGTGTCCAGCCTCGGCGGACGCACCGCGCGGGCTATGACAGGGAGGGTAACATCATCGACTTCATCTCCGTCTGGAGCCATTGAAGCCCCAGCAAGTCAACCCCCCTATTCTACTACTATTACTATTACTCGGTTTTCGACTTGCGTTATACCAAAGAACCATAGATGTACGGTATGGCACACGCGGAAAGCCAAGTAATAATAGTAATAATAGAATAGCAGAATTGGCCCAGTCCAAGTCCTGCTCCTCCCGCTAAATCAAACACACTCTTCCTCACGTCGCCGGTGCCGTCTTCCGCAGAGAGTTGTAGTGCTCCCCCAGGCCGTAGCCATGGCGATAGTAAGCCAGCCAAATCTTCTTCCTCTCCCCCTCCCCCTCCCCATCCGCCCCATTCGGGGTGATGACCTCGGTGCTCCCGTCCTGCACAACATGTATGTCGACCCCATACGCGCCCGCCAACGCCACGAGCTCCAGCTGCCCACCCCACTCAGCCGTATCCCTAATCTTCTCCACATAGCTCCTCAGCCCCTCCCCCTCCACAAACCCAGCAAAGTCATCCGCATGCGCCTCCATATACGCCGCCGCGGCCCGGCGCACGACCCTGTAAGGCTGCTCCTTCTGCCCATCCTCCCCCGCCCCGGCTCCGGCTCCGGCCGCCGCCGCCGACGACGAGAGCGCGACCCCGACCTGCCCCAGCTGGTCCGCCACCGCCGAGAACAGGCAGTGGCCGTCGGGCAGCACCTCGCGCTCCGACAGGCCCATGCGCCGGAACTCGCCGCGCATGTGCGCGCCCTCGTTGCCGCGCCGGTCCTCCATGCCCGCCGCCTCGGCCGACGCGGCGGCGGCGGCGGCCTCGGCCTCGGCCGCCCGGCGGGCGAGGCGCTCCTTTTGGCGGTTGCGCTTCTTATGGGGCTGCGCCTGCTGGGAGGCGGTCGGGGATGTGGGGGACGAGGGTTCCGTCCTGCTGGGGGTTGCCGGGTCAGTCAGCGTTGTGGAGCGCAGTGCGTCGGCGATGCCGTCGGCGGGGGCGTCGTCCGGCTCGTCCTCGTCCTTGTCGTCTTCGGCGGCGGCGTCCGCGTCCGGGGGCGCCGATTCGCCGTCGTCCAGACTCCGGAGCAGCAGCAGCTCGTCTCGCTGCCTCTGCTTGAGCAGGCGCTCCAGCTCGGCGCACTCGTCGTTGACGCCCTTCCTCGTCTTCTTGGTCGCGTTCTTCTTCTTGCTCGTGACGCGCGACTGGAGGTCCCGCTGCTCCTTCCTGTGGCGCGACTGCAGCTGCTCCAGGGTCTCCTCCATGGTGTCGGCGTGTTTCCCGGGATCTGGGAGAGCGAGGCAGGAAGGGTTTGCGGAGGGTCGAGAGGAATCGGAAACTTTTCGAGGTGCGATGAATATGTGGACTGTGAGGTGGTGTTGGGTGCTATTAAAAAAAAAAGTTGCAGGCACCGACCCGACCCACCAATGACCAAGCTCAGGCCTGCACACGAATTGCATCTGATGCCTCCCAGAATTGCAAGTGAACGCATTTTATATGTACTGCCATTTGTCGCGAAACTCTTTGTATCTACTGATTTGGGATGAGATGATGTTACAGCTGATCCAGTATGTAGACGATGAACAAGAGCCCCATTTTTGGAAAACCAGCGACTCCGTCAAGAAGCAATATCAAAACCCACTCTCCTCTCGTCGAGTGTTCCGCGAACCAAAGGTTCATAGAAAGCAAAACTGGCCGGTCGCTCCCAGGCAGTATAGTATACAGAAAGGGGGATCGTAGCCCCGGAGTAAGGAAATGGGAAGTCGTCAGTGACAGGACTCGTTGACTCCTGGTTGGTAAGAAAAACCAGTCATCGTCATGTAGAAGAAAAATAACCCCGAGTGAGATGAAAAAGGGATTGTACGCAGAACTCCAAGACTCCCCCCTTGGCTCTGTTCCCCTCCGCAACAAGCCTCGGCTCGCTGAAACATTGCCTAATAATATAACCATGATGACTGTCGAAATCATCACGAGCAAGATAGAAACGGACTCCGCCAAAACCTCCTGGTCTTTTCTTCTCCAGGCGCAATAGGCGTTACGTGTGAAGCGCTGAGCCGGGTGATAGCAGGCTCGAAAAGGCGAAGAGCACTGTGGTCTCCGATCAGAATCCCTTGAAAGGATCATCTCTCACGTACCACTCCTCCAGGTCGTCGGTTCCATTAGTCCCCTTGGTTCCCCTCGAGTGGTAACTGTCTCTGTGCCTGCTCCTGCTCGCCCTCCGCCTGAGCTCCTTGCTCCTCCTCCGTGCCAGGTGCCGCATGTCATCCTGCTCGTAGATGTTCTCCTCGAACGGCGTGAAGGCGAGCGGGCTGATGAAGGCCTCCATGCGGACCGTGCCGATGGCGTCGAAGAAGTTGTTCATGGCGGCGCCGCTGGGGCGCGAAGACGCCTCCGAGGTCCGCACCGACCCCGTAGTGCTCATGGCCCAGGTGATGTTGCCGCTCGACGCTTGGCTGTTGTTGTAGATGTCCGAGGAGCCCGCGGTACCGACACTGTTTCCTGCCGTGCTGTTGGTGGCGGCGTGGTGGGCTCCGCTGCCTACCGGCCCAGAGAAACCACGGAAGGAGAGCGGGGGAGGCACGTGTCCGCCCGTGTTGCTGCGCTTCCGACCGTGTAGCGTCACTTGGCTGGCGCGGTCGTGGAAACGCGGGATATGGGGAGGTTCCGCGGCATCGCGAGACGGCTCCCGCTGATGGAGAGGTAGGCTAGGGAAAGGTTCCGGTAGTGGTGGTCGATAGGTGGGAATGCTTGGTGGTACACTGTCGGTTTGGGACGACGCAACACTGACTGGGCCCGACCTGGTGACTGCCGACTTGCCCTTGGCCAGCCGTATCGAGTCACGGATCCCAGGCTTTCGGAGCTTCGCCGGTGGTGGTGGCCCGAATTCGGCCATGGGTTTTGGCGGATGGAGGACGGGGGCTACAATTTCGGGGATTGCCTGCTGTGAATGGGCAAGGAACGAGAGCGAGGTGAGCCAGACGTAATGGCGTTCGGGCGTGACAGCGGTGAACTTTAACGCTCGTTGGGGGGTCAAGATGAGAATGGACCGGTTGAAGAGAGGTCCGGAGCCCTTGGGCGGGGGATTATCATCCTTCACATCAAGAACAGATTGGATTGTCACTGGGAAAGTGTTCATGTTAGCGGGGTACTACACAGAGATAGCCGTTTTTGACGGAAAGGAAGCCCTTACGCTTGCGCCCCGACTTGCCCATCAAGGCACTTCCTGAAGATGGCTGCTTGCTGCTCCACAGAATAGCCCTCTCGTACGGAGCCAGCCAGACCCATCTCTTGTGACGGTCATTACTGCTGTCATCGCCTCCCTTGCCGTCGGCGACACCGAACGACTTGCGTCTTCGGACATACTTGAACATCCACTCTCCGATCATGGTCTGGGCAATGGCGTCAACGACGCTCGTGGCCTGGTGGCCGCTACCCGCCGAGCCGAAGCCGGTATCCCCCGTGTTCGCCGTGTTTGTGGACGGCTGGGATTGATGCGTCTTGTACCTGCCATTGGCATCCCGGTTCCGGGGTGTCGTGATGTCATTGTTTGGAAGAGGGGGGAGTTCCGGGGAAGCTGGAGACTCGATGGGGGAGAAGGGCGGTGGCGAGCGGCTGCCACGACGACGAGACTTGGGGTTCCGCGGCAAGACCGCTGCCGACCTGACTTTCCGGATGCTGTTGGCACGGTACTGGCTCCGACTACCGCCTCTCCTATGCCAGGCATCGGATCCCCTCGTGGGGCTTGCTCGTCCGTCGCTGGGGGCGCTGGCACTAATTGGTGGCTTCCTTGAACTGGCACGCGTGGGGATGGGGAACGGCGGCTCTTTTGGATCCGGCAGGCTTGGGCTCCGGGCGCGCTGATGGGTCGCAATGCTATTCTGGATCATCGCCGCCTTGCGCATCACCCCCGACCTGTTGGATGGGCCCGGGAGTGATGATCGAGACATGGATTTGGGGCCTGTGCCTGGTCGCACCGACGCCGACGAGTCTCGCATCTCCCTGCCCTCGGGGAGGACATAAGAGCTGTAGATTTCCGTGCCGCCCATGGGCCGCACCGAAATCCTCGCGCTGCCGATGCGTGGCGGAACCACCTGTTCGGGTGAGGTCGTGTGTCCTCCCGAACTACGCTTGCCCTGACGGGTCGCCCCGGTTTTGGGCCTCGGCGCGGATAGTGCAGTCCTGTACTCGGAATCGCTGAGCTCGACGTCACCAAACTCGTCGACTTCATCGGAGCTGCCATTATCAAAGCCTGCAAACAGGCTGCTGATCCGGTGCGGTCTGCGCATGGGCGCCTTCTGGCTCGACAAGGGGCCGTCGTCATTATTGCCCGGGTAGGCATCATGCGTTTCTTCCAGTGTTGCCGTGGGGCCAGGGGGCGATGAGGGCAACTCCGGGAAGCTCGACTTGGCGGCCAGGCGTCTCGGGTTCCGCGGCGGGACGTTTCCGGGCACGGGCGTGAACTGCTTGGCTTCGTCGGCGGCCGGTTCCTGCGGAGCAGCAGGAGAAGTTGGTCGCGAAGTAATTGAGGACGGGTGGAGATGAACCGGGAGCCTATCGAGTCGCTTATCAATGCGAATCTCGTCGGTCTGGGTCGCAACAGTCTCTGTCGCAACAGAGGTGAGGATAGACACTTGGCAGCCGAAATCTTTAAACTGCTGCGGAAGTCGGGGCTCCCTGGGAGTTGTTGGGCGGCTCGTCGGGGGGATTATGCTGATGCTGGGAATCGAAATGGCAGGCACGCCGAAGAAGGACGGATCCAACGGTGGGGGAATGTCGGTCTGTGTGGACGCAGAAACCATCACCGTTGGGAATAGTTCCAACCTCGGCGTCGGCGCTGTTTCCTGATACGGCGATTTTGGTGTCTTGGGGGGACTCAGAGGTTCTTCAGCAGCCGTCTGAGATGAGCTGCTGACCATGAGACTGCCCACGCTCACCGTCTCAATCGTCAGCGGCCGAGCAATGTGAACCCTCTTCCGCCTCTGGTTTGCCTCTATTTCCCATTCGCCACGTGGAGGGCTCTCAATCTCATAACCTCGTGCCTTCTGAGGGATGGCCGGAGGCTCTGGAGTCGAAGGCTTCGACGGTGCGAGCTTGGGCGACGGCGGCGGCGAGTACTGGATGCCGGTATCCGCATAAGTCACCCTGGTCGCGGGAAGCTGCGTCTCGTCATCCTCCTGAATGATATCACCCTCCAGTCTCTCCAACGTAGAGTGATGCAGTGCGAGCCTGCCCCGCGCGACGCTGGCTGGTCGCATCAAACTCTCGATGCTCTGGTTCCGTCGGTGCGTCCTGGACATGGCGCTGTCGCGGCTTGTATTCCTGATGTGCCTGGTGGTGTTGTTGGACAGCACACTCTCACGCCCAAAGTAATCCGTCTCCTCGTCATAGTCGCCGTCGAAATTGAGCTCATCGGCGAGAGAGTTCCCGATCGGCTTCCCGGCCCCATTGGTCACCGAGAATCGTATGCTGTTTGTCATGCTCATGCTTCGAGTGCTCGCCGCGTCGTTCTCCCTGGCACCCTCGTCAACTTCGCTTTCGGGCGCATCCTGTCCTCCGCCCAACTGATTGGCCTGATAGGCAGCGATCTCGTCGAGGAGCACCTTGAGGCGGCTCTCTGTGATGTGAATCTTGCGCTCATACTTCCGCCTCTCATCCTCCCACACATCCTTCTCTTTCGCCCACTGGTCATGCACGCGTTCGGAATCCTCTTCCTGACTCCGTATTTTCTTCTGGGCTCCCTCCAACCTCTTCCTGGTCTCCGACGCGCCATCAACCGCTTCGTCTCGTTCTCGGGCGAGCTCTCCAAGGGCGGATGACGTGCCACCTTCCAACAGCGCCAATTGGCGTTTTAATGACCGGCTTTCCTTGGCTGTTGTAAGCAATGTTTCCTGGAGACTCTCAGACTCCTCCCTGGTTGTGTGGAGAGAGGACTCGAGACTCTCGATGATCTTGATCTTCTCCTCTTGATCCCGACGAAGAGCCAATATCTCCGAGACCAAGTTCGCATGGAGAGTCGGAGTGAACCGCCGAGGGTCGAGGATGCTGATAGTCTCATCGTTGGTCACATCTCGGGATGACCGCTTTGAGCCCCTGTCGCTCGGCATGGGCGGAGGGGAGGAGCTCTTTCCAGGTGGCGTCACGGAGCGCCGGGACTTCCTCGAACTCCGCGATGGTGTCCTGTAAGGGGTATCTGCCGGGGTTGGTAGCGACACGACGGCAGGCGAGCTGCACTCGTCTTCGGTCTCCCAGACAGCCATTGCGACTGGTACAGAGGCCCGCTTGAATTATTTCCACAACCAGGTTTCAGAGGATCGAGTGGATTCTCATATCCTCTCTCGGCGGTAGACTTCGCCTAAATTGCTGCAGGCTTGAGGATTCTCTAGATGGATCGAATCTGTCGACTGCGCTGCAATGGTCCCTGCATGTACAGCGTCTCCAGTCTCAAGCTGAACTCAATCAGCCATTCAATCACAGCTGCATCGGCCGCACTACGCAAATCCCAGTGTTAGCATCTAAGTCGGGCAACTGAGGATCGTCGCGTTTCTCCCAGATTAACATGTAGCCAGACCACGACCATGAAGGGCAAGTCCAAATACAGGACAAAACCTCTCACTCGAGAAGCCCGAAACTCAATTCAGACCCAAAAGGCGTTCCCCTGAAGCTTGCGTGTGGTTCCTGGTATATACCAAACCTCTTTTAAGATGTTCGAGATGCTCGACGAGTCGGAACAAGCTGGATGGGTGATAGGCGCTCTCACCTTAATGCCCGCACTTATAGGGGGATAAATCCGGGTTTCAGATCGACGGCGTTCCAACCGAGGGCCCATCCAAAGGCCTCGACAATTTCCGATATGTTCAATACACACAACGTTGCTCGTCACCAGCGAGAAGGCGAAATTGCTGCCGCGAGCGTATCGATCGATAATCCTAGCTGGGCATTTCTCGGTCGTGGGCTCAACGCAACCGGTGGGTATCTTAGGAGCTTCGATAAGTGTACTATGTACGAGGCGAGACGACGGTTTTATGGACGGTGAATCGCCGCGGGAGATTCTCTGCAGGGACAGCAATTGGCGTGTTAGCAGCATACAGAAAAGCCGCGCGACTACCGCAACTAAAAGACTGATCCAGGGGAAGAGCGGGCAGGTTCACTTACAAGACGGGCGATAACCGGCAAACCAGCAGTAGACAAGCGTGAACAAGTAACCAAGGTCGAGAATTGTCTTGCTTAGGTGGGTATCGATTCGGAGAAAAAAAGTCAAGGGAAAGGGGGCCTGGTCTGGAGGCTCGCGCAAATGATTCGAGGTACTACCCGATGAATGAATGGCCCAGTTCGACGATGCTAAGACAACAAAACGAAAACTACACGATCGCAGATTCAGAGAGGACGCGCGCACGCAAAAGAGACTCGAGAGTCAAGAGTCGAAATGAAGAGCAGAAACAAAGCCGGCCAGGGGAATCCCAACATGGGATGGGTTCAAGATCTGAAAGCTCCAGGAGTGGCCAGAGCTGACCGGGGCAGGGTTCACTTCACGTATTATGCTGCAGGCTGCAGGCTGGAGACTGTAGTCAACACGGGCCAGCTGGGAGCTCTAGCTCGTCTGCTGTGCGCATAGTACACAGTACACTGGTACAGCATGGGCCAGCTTCATTACCCCGGTCGTCCAAGGCTCTGCGACTTGGAAGAGGCGGGCTTGATATTGACCGACCTGCAGTGTTTCTCGCCGGTTTCAACCAATGTAGGCTGAGCTAACTGCAATATTTTTCCCAGCCCATCTCCCTGCTGCAGCACCTCCAGTACATGCGTTTTCGAGTAACAACAAGAAGTCGGTACTTCACAGAGCCACTGGCTGATAACGAGTCAAAAATGGCCAAGCCTGGTGGACACCGGCAAGAATGGGCTTCAGGGCACCCTTGCAAGTCGGAGAACATCCCCAGACAATCACAGGACCCCGAGAGCACCTGCAAGTGATTGAAATGACAAGTTACGAGGTCTGCAGCAGTGGTCTCACCTGGCCCGGCTCAATTGACCTGGTTTCTCGTAATTTCAGCGGCCCAACTGGCTGCTGTGAATCCATGACTGGACGCGGGGCAAGAAAAAAATACTGTCACAATCACAATCGTTGCAACAGAGATTTCGGAAAATGCGACGTGAATCTGCAGCATTGGCACCGAGGCACCGGTGTCACGACAAGGGCAATGGCGCTAGACAGGGGGCCGCGGGGGACACAGTGGGGCAGTGGGATGCAGGAAACGGCCCTAGGCCTTCTTTGGAGTCAGTTGGTCGTTCGCTTGAAGGTGGATGGGGGTGGCCAATTTCCTTGCTGGTGCTGATCACCAACCAGTCCAAGGCATGACATCTTTCTTGAGGAAGGAGAGAGCCATCTATCCGCATCATGGAAGCTGAAGGAAGACAAATTCTCCCAATTCAGACAGGTAGGTACCAAGGTAGGTAACGGTAGACGCGGTACCGTGTAAATCGGGTTGCCGCATACAATGTATAACGGCGATTTAGTCGGGAACACGCAGCTGTCAAAATCTGCCAACTGCCATATTATCAAGTTCAGCCTAGTTGGAGGGGGCACGAGCGTCGCTGCATCCTGCAGTTCAACTCTTACCCGCAGCAGTAGTTTGCAGCTTGCAGCAGTATTGGTAGCATGCAGCGAACCAGTTCATCATATTGTGGTTTGATAGAGCCATCCCTCTTCCGCTCCCCTTTTCCTTTTTTTTTCTCGTCCGCTAAGAAGTTCTTTCGGTTCCGTCCCATGTTCAGGACCAGGACGGGAACGCCGTTGTTCACCGTACCGTGTTAGGAATCATTTGGTAACCAACTCCCCCTCTCCTCTCCACACATCCCGCGCCGGCCACAAGCCACTTGTTTTAGCTGCTACCCAGCTCAGCCCTGAAACCTGGTCAAATCATCACAACCACTCCTCCGGAACCCGCGAGTTGTGCTTTGACCCAAATCCCAACAATCGTCCCAGGGTCTCGGAAATTTGGCAAGAGGCGTCATTTGGAGCGTTCTTCTCTGGGCTCCGGGCCAGGGCATCCGGCCTATGAGAAGCCTGTGAACTGCCTTACCTAGTCGGTCCGCGCACTGTCCTTTGTCGATCTGCCATTTCTACCTGGTATGAAGAAGCCCAATATTTCGGCACAAGTCGGGAGGCTTAGAAGTTCAGCGGCGCCAAATACTCAAGTGGAACGCCGACCAGAGGTGTTCTTTCTTTTTTCTTCTCCTCCTATTACACAATACTGCAGTCGGTGTGTGCAAACTATGAACTAATCACGCAGAAGGCAATAGCTGACTGGTGCTATATGTGTACAGTCTACTGCGTACCTATGTTAGCCTGATACGGAGGCTGCATTGCGCAAGTACCACAGCGAATAGGGGTAGATTACGGATTACAAGCGCCAGAACAACTCTCAGCAATTTGGCTGGGCTTGGGGAGGAAATCCGAGAGGCTACCTATTTCCAGTTGGCCACCCGATGGCCTGTAAGCCCCATCAGTTGTAGTGCGCTAACAGACATTAGGGGTCGTACTGAACCCTCTCGGATCTGTCCCACCAATGCACCCTTGATGACGGGAAATGATAGCTCTGAAATTAGCGTATGTGCCCATGACGAAAGCAGAAAGGTACACGCTACTGGTCTGTCCCATTCCGTTTTCCTTTTTTTCGTTTCTTTTTTTCTTCTTTCCCCTTGTCCGCACAGCCAACTGAGATGGTAACCCGAGCTGGGGTTTTGTAAGCCCCTCAACGCGACCGGCCACAGGTCCATGCCCTGAACGCGGCCCGTCGAGTCAGCACGTAGGGGGTACTTGGAACATGACTAGTGGTGGGCAGCACTAGGAGCTCATCCGCCCCGGCCCGGCGCTTCTCTGTCTTGTCCGCCCGTCCCGCAGCCCCAACTAAATCGGCGGCTCCTGTCAGGGAAGAGCTTGTGATTGAGTGTGCCCCAATTCGTGGGCCGATCTTCTTGACTCGCCGCTGTGCGGGAAGAGAATGTAATCACCACGCGCTCGCGCCTTCAATTGTGGTCGCACTAGAAAAGGAACACAATTTAACATATTCCTTGCTTGCGAACCACTATTCTGGGGATGCCCCTGAAAACTTGAAACATATTGTTCAAGGGCCCCTGTACGGCAGTCCAGGGGAGGTGCGCTACGTAATCAGTAACCACTCAAGTCATTATCGCGTCCCAACGTTGGTGAAGGAAGCACTGACTTCCGCCCTCTTCCGCGGTAGTGTAGTACGCAGTATAGTGCAATGCAGTGCACGTGTGTCTTATCAGCCCTCAACGTTCATCGAGTTGTGTTGTCCCGGAGTTTCCGCCAGCTTCCGATACCATAGTAGAAGGAGGGACTCGCACTGTATCCCTCACAGATAAATGAACTCGGCGCTCTTCTTCGAATATATGTCACTCAAGACATAACCATGAGGAGGCCAATGACCGTAGATAACTGTGAACAATCAGGTTGGATCCACAACCCGGATGACCTGTATTTATCAAGCAACGTCGCCGCTGTAAGCTCCTTCACGTTGGGCAAATACCCCTTTTCAACCCCCGTGACCACATGTCCTTGCTATAAGTGAACCACCTTGTTTCATATCAGCTCGTCATTCATCACGAGTCAGTTGACGACATTGTCCTATTGGGGGATTCTTTCCTGGGGTCCGATAGATGTCAAGAAATACTCGCGATGGTGATATTATTCTTATTCTAGTTACCGTCCAGTATACAGTTGTGTCTATTTCACATAGGAAAGTCCGTGTGCGAGCTGCGTGAAGACCCAAGTGGTTCTGTCCCTTCGCGGCGGTTTCGCTGCTTGGTCGCTGCTCTACAGGGTTGTTGCTCACCGATCAACCTGGTGACAGAATGTGTAGTGCTCTTGTTGCTTGTTGTTAAGGGGGCGGTTATGTGAGACCGGTCCGGAGCCGGGCGAAGAGCTTTCGTTCCTTATTCGTTGGGGTTGGGTATGTTCTACCCACCAGCAGAGAAGGCAAGACGGTCGTCACCATACATATGAGCTAGTCGACTCCGTATCGACGGGTTTCTTTCTCCAGCTGTCTGGCCGAGTTCGGCCAAGGGAACCCGATCCCGACACAATGCAGCACTATATAGATCTGTGGGCCCCTAGTGTTCGCTCAGCGTGCCCTGGAGATGCAACGGTGGTGCAGACGGACCTTATGAACCACCTTCATTCGTCGATTTCACATTCCACCTCCCAAGAGGATCAAGCTAGAAGATCAAACAAGCACGTATATACCACGTAGATATCATCCGAGGTACAAATATGTAACTTTCCCCCTCTCCGTGGTCTCGGTTGCCATCCCCCCTTGCCGGGCTTCCCCGCTATCTGATAGCTAGGGATTCTCCTTCACTGACACTGGATACTTGTCGAGTGACTCAAACCACTGAATCACAGATCCTATCTGCACAAAGCGTCAGCGACATCAGTGATTTGCTTGCCCGAATTACGTGACAGGAGAACTGGAAGACTTGAGCATGCCCCTCAAACATCGTGTCCGAGGGAGCCTGCCTGTATGGAATGATACTCCACCTACCAAGAATGCCCAAGATCCAACGAAGGTGGACAGCGTCAAAGCATACTCCATACCCGGCTGACCAGAAGCAAAACCAAGGGCACCGCACAGGGTGAACCCAATAGCACCGACCAGGTTCCAGAGCCCGATATGCCAGCCAAGCGTCCTTGGTGCGGGGAGGTACCACTTCTCCTGGACCTCAATCATGAAGAGGAAGCTTGATACGATGAACCCTGTGCCTCCAACAACCTTCCTAGGACGTCAGCACAGGGCATCGCGCGGCGGGTTGCACGGACAAGAGCTTTCTCACCTGTGGAAGCCAAAACACGCCATACTCGGCCGGCTTGGACAGAGAATTGAGAATGGGAGGCAGGGCCGTGAATCCCGATATCCAGAAGACGGTGGCCCCTATCATCTGCGACAGGCAGGCCAGAAACCCGATCTCTCGTAAGTAGTGAGTCCTCAGCTCATACCAGCTGGGCATCCACAGCCAGCGCCGCCCAGTCCTAGGATCCTCCTCGCCCCGCCCATCCACGCCATCCTTAGGCCCTGCCACATCGCCGCCCTCTCCCCCGTCAGCCGCTCCATCGACACCAGGCGCCGGCCTCACCCTCCCGAGGAGCGACCGGCGGCACCCGTGGTGGTGGTGGCGGCACTCGGCGCGGACGGGGTGGGCGACCCAGCCTCCTCCTCCTCCTCCCCGCCTCCTGTCCTCCCAGGCCTCCTCGAGGGCCCAGCCGAAGCAGTCCGCGCGGTTCTCGTTGACGGCCTCGAGCATCAGCAGCACCGACCCGATCTCGAAGATGGTCGCGCCCACCAGGGCCGTCGCGCCGCTGCCGGTGCCGGTCTCGCCGGCGAACTCGGTCCACGGCGCCGAGACGGGCAGCCAGGAGAAGAAGCCGTTGATGACCCAGACTGCCGAGCCTAGGGTGGGGTGGTCAGTGGACGTGGAAGGTGGGTGCGTTGGAAGGAGGGGGTTTCCTTTAGGATGTGCACCATTGTTGGTTTCGGCGATGGAGCACCGGGTGGCAGCAAAGCAGGTTACGGATGTACGCACCAAGGGTAAACACAACAGCCACGTCGTAACTGACGTCCCAGACCGGATAGCGCACAAACATCTTCCAGATCCCTTCTCGGCACCCGGCCAGGTTCTCGGTCGCCCTCAGCGCCGCCGGCTCGCCCGCGTGGGGCTTCACGTGCTCGGGCGCCACCAGCAGGGCGTGGCGCCCCTTCCTGTTGTCCCTGCTGCGCCAGATGGGGTAGGCGCCGGTGGGGGGAGCCGGCTCCGGCCCCGGCTCCGGCCCCGGCTCTTGGCCCACACCAGGTGCTGCTGCGCCCAGCCGGGCCGCGGCCTTGGCGGCAGGGGTTGGCAGGGTGAATGTGCGCCTAGTGGGGTTGAAGAAGGGAAGGGGCCCGGCAGCGTCCCGCGCCGCATAATGGCGGCCGATGAAATGATCGTGAGGACGCATTGCTTGGATGAGAGGCTGGGTGCAACGGTGCTGGGAGAAACTAAAAGAGACACCACGCGACGAATGCGCGGGTTTTCGGAGGTTGTGAGGCGGTTTTTACGGCGACGGTCAGAATTCCTAGACCATGATGAATGGTGGCAGCTCCTTTGTGTGAAGCAAGTGGGTGACACGGGCGGAATGCGGAAGAGAGTATGAGAGACTTCTGATTCCAACTGAGTCTTGTTTACTTCTGTTCCTACTGTGGTCCTGTACCATAGTAAGTTTGTTTGTGGGTAATGTCTCAAAGTTTCTGGTTGTCATGCGGAGTCGATTGGTTCGCCTGGTCCCTGCATTCTTTCCCTGTTCGGATTGGCGCCCGTCGTGGGATACCTATGTCGTCACAGGGTCAACCTTCGGATCACCTAACGCCATTAAGGGGACAACACAACTGGCAGCGGGGAGGGAAGAGACTAGACTCGGGATCCCTAGCAACACCAGAAATATGACGGGTAAAGGACCTGAGCCCTGGCAGAACCAGATCAAGGCGCTCACCTTCGACGTATTCGGCACGTGCGTGGACTGGCGATCCTCGGTCCAGGAGGCTCTGAAAAAGGAGGCAGCAGCCAAGATCAGTTCAGCCGCGTTTGCGCACCTCCCAACCGACGTCCAGAGTCGTGCGAGGGGTCTTACCGACCAAGACTGGGCTGTCTTTGCCCAGGAATGGAGGAATTCCTACGGACGGTTCACTCGCAGCTTCGTCCCCGGAGAGACCGAGTGGAAGGACATCGACACCCACCACCGTGACAGTCTCGTCGAGATACTCATGCGCTGGCAGCTGGATGGATTCTACAGCCCCGAAGAGGTCGAAAGGTTGAGCAGAACCTGGCATTTTCTCAAGCCGTGGCCTGATACGTCCCAGGGAATTCACATGCTCGGGACAAAGCTTGTCACGGCGACTCTGTCAAATGGGAACAGGGCTCTGTTGAAGGACCTCAACGACCACGGGGACCTGGGTTTCCAGAGACTGATATCTGCCGAGGACTTCCGGGCGTACAAGCCGAACCGGGCGGTCTATCTCGGTGCCTGTGAGAGCCTGGGGCTGGCAACTCAGCAGGTGGCCATGGTTGCGGCCCATCTGGGGGACCTGGAGGCGGCACGAGCGTGCGGTCTACGAACTGTCTATGTCGAGAGGCCAGACGAAGAGGAGTGGAAGCCGGGAGAGGATCGTTACGAAGGAGCCAAGCAATGGGTGGATATCTGGGTTGCTGAGGGGGAGGGTGGTTTTGTGGGACTCGCCAAAAAGCTTCAGGTTGTATGATAACCTATTTATTGCTCCTGGTAGTTCCTCTCGGGAAAGCTTTTTATTATGCTACGACGATAGGTTGGGGATCTTGGCATCTGCTTGACGAGGAGCAACGATGTCACAAGCTGCAAATCCACTACTCCCCAGTCTCACCGACTAAGTTTAGTTTTCTTTCAACCGAACATGCCTGCATATCTCGATGTAACCGTGCTCTTGAAATCCGAGTTCCAAATGCCTCCACTTGTCAAACCACGACGAGCCATTTTTTCAACGGTTTCACTAACTACCAAGTACTAACCACCTACGTCAATAGGCGAGGGGAAGCGACCTGTGCACCTTCACTTCACCAGTGCCCCGATTCTTGTTTCTTGGCTCCTGCCTCTGTCGACATCATTACTTACCTCTCATCGCATTTTGATAGAAATCACGCAATATTGTCCGGTTACTAGAAAGAACTGGGCGGTTGGTACATCCGCGGTAGTTACAAGGTCACGTGGCTGGTCTATGACTGCCGCTAGGTAAGGTAGGTGTAGGGCTTCGCGACACTGCAAAAGACGGATACGGATGCCAATAAAGCAATAGACTGCGTAGGCAGAATGGTATTGGGTGTGTTGAGCAGGTCTTTCGCTAAGTGACCTTCCCGGGCGAGTTCCTAGCTGCAGTTCGGCTGGAACTACCTGACCAACATAGTAGCGGGAAATACTTAGCAGCTACTTTTATTGCCCGCCATTAGGGTACCTGAGAGCGGGTTCCTTCAGGTTCCTTTAGATATTAACCATGTTCCTGAGAGTTGGGGCATGCTTGGTTCACGGCCGTTTTGCAGTTCTAACTTCTAACTATCCACTGAACCCCTTCCCACACGTAGCACGGTTAGATTCCTGGTATTATCCGTAGAGGTAGGGTGTGTTCAACTACCTTTGGATAGTTGTTACCTACTTGATTGTAGCTACTGCCTACGGCCGCCCCTTTCTCACGGCTGTTTCGCCCACGATTTTGACACTTATCAGGATACTTATCAGGACCCAAGCCAAGCCGAATGGAATTACACTACAACGTACTTGCTGGCAAACCATGCCATCCATGCTAACAATTGATCCCTGTGCCGAACCGGGGGTATTAGGGGAGGGAGACCGCAAGTTGCAGGTGAACCAGCAAGAGGAACAGGGCGGTGGGAATTCCCGTTACCGGCAGCCGGCTCGCCTCCCCAAAAGTCCAGTTACATATACTAGTATGATCCCATCAGTTGTCAATTTTGTCACTTCAGTCGTTCCGCAGATCACCCTGGGTAGTTCGGCCACGGGGCAAGCTGCGACAGCGATCCGATCAGCACACCTCTCTTACGGTGGTTGGTTGCCGGCTGCTCCTTGCCGCCGCATAGGCAGCGGCCGCGTTGGTGGTGGTGCCGTCCTTATTTATGGTTTTTCGGGTTTATTCCTGTTTTTTGCTCTCGAGTCTTTCCGTTCAATAACGCAGTATTTATTCTTATTTAGCACCTACCAAGCGACCCCATCGACTGCGGAGTATTTTCACACACTACGTAGGTGTACTGACACTACCATCGCAGTACACGTACACTATGGAGACGCTGGCTCGAGTTGCCGCATTGGCTGTGGACTCTTGACGCTTGAGTGGATGGGGCTAGTGGTCGCTCCCCCCAAGCTAATAAAATCGGGTTGCGCCTCCGCTTTGCCTTTGCCTGTGATTCTCATTCCGGTATCAACCTCCCCCTGTATCTGCCCCCCTCCCCCCTCCCCCTCGCGGACCCCTCCCTGTCTGCTGTTACATACCTAAGAATCTTGGACCGAAGCCGCACATCTTGCCCTGTGCACCGACTCGCTCGAGCCACTTACTGGTAGGTACTTACCGACCTATGTAATGTCAGGCTGTTAGCTACCCACCTAAGGTACCCTACCTGCCTGCCTCCCTCTCCCACCGAACCCACTGTGTTTTGTTATTGTTGTTGCTGCTGCTACGACCCCCCCAACTCCCCCCATTTCAGCAAGCAACGAAAAAAGAAAGGCGATCATATCCGTATGCACAGCTTGTGACACCGACGACGAAGACACCGATCCTACCATCTCCAATCCTTCCGTGCTGCGAAAGATAGCAGCAGCCAACGGGCCAGACGGGCACTTCCCCTCAGCAGCATCGCTTATCTTCTATCACGTTTTAACTCTTTTTTTCCCTTCCGAGCGCCCCTCCCTCTTCCTTTTCCGTCTCCACCTAGCAGACATCTGCTCTCCAACACCATTCCCTGGTTGATCCGGCTTGGGCCACCACATTCTGCATCTCAACATGGCGGGAAAAATGGTGCTATATAAACTGGTGGTGCTGGGAGATGGTGGCGTGGGGAAGACGGCTCTGACCATTCAATTGTGTCTGCAACATTTCGTCGAGACTGTACGTTGTTGCCCATCTCTCCTGTCCCCGCAGCTGTTGCTGTTGTCCTTGCCGTGCGTCCTCGCGTGCTCCGTGTGACGGCCTTGCTGACGCAGAGCAATAACAGTACGACCCTACGATCGAAGACTCGTACCGGAAGCAAGTCGTCATAGACAACCAGGCCTGCATGCTGGAAGTGCTGGATACGGCCGGCCAGGAGGAGTACACCGCTCTGCGAGACCAGTGGATCCGAGATGGCGAGGGCTTCGTCCTCGTCTACAGCATTTCATCTCGGTCCTCCTTCTCGCGCATCAAGAGGTTCCACCACCAGATCCAGAGGGTCAAGGAGTCGTGCGCTTCGTCGCCGTCGTATCCGGGGTCGCCCATCACCGCAGTCACCCCTCAGGCGCCCGTCCCCATCATGCTGGTTGGAAACAAGAGCGACCGAGTCACGGAGCGGGAGGTATCCACACAGGAGGGACACGCCCTGGCGCGCGAGCTGGGATGCGAGTTCGTCGAGGCCTCGGCAAAGAACTGCATAAACGTGGAGAAGGCATTCTACGACGTCGTCAGGATTCTCCGGAGGCAGCGGCAGGCGGCCATGCGGCCCATCACTCAGACCAGCACGGGGCGGCCGCTGCGTTCGGGCAACGGGGACGGCGGCACTTCTCGGGAAAGCAACCGCCACCGGGGGAAAAGAGGCAGCAGCTCGTCGGGCAAATGCATCGTATTATGAGCTACGAGAGACAGTCTTCGTCTCCACCTACCCGTCGCTCCAGGCAGGGCCCGGTAGCGATCTCTTTTGGGAGCTTCCGATGCTTCCTCACTCCCTCACTCCCTCCACTTGACACGAGCTTCCGAGGGGCTCTCTGCGATAATCCAACACCAGCCAGCCGGATGGCCATATTGGAGAGTTCGCCGGATATTTGAACAGCGACATCCCTCACCCGATTTCTTGCGCATATTCTTCAATTACGATTCATCACCTGGTCTCGACACGGCGAATGGCGTATGAACAAAAAAGACTCATCATCATTGGGGCCGCCGGTATCTGCGTCTATTTTTATTTTTATTTTTATTTTATCGTGTCCTCTTTGTCTTCCAATGGTTCTCGACACTGGTAGAAGGTGGATCTCTATCTTGAGATTGCGAGACGGGCAGCTACAGGTGTTCTTGGAGTCCCGGGCTCGGGAAGCTGCTTGCTTAGTATCTCGCGACGTTCGACGCTGGGCTTTGCAATTCTATCGCCCCCCCTTTTTGCCTCCCTTCGAGTTCCCCCCTTCTTGGATGTATTTTTCATCCGACAAACAAAACGTATCCTACCTGGGCGGGGATAGGCCAGGGCTCACTTTCCATTTTGACCGGGATGTGGGCGAGACGGAAGCGGGGGAAAGGGAGAGAAGCGACGGACCCGTTGTCTCTAGTGGGCATGCATTATGTTTGTTCCATGCAGTCGGTCGGTCGGTCATTCAGTCAGCCAAGTGAAGTCAGAGTCAGTTCAGTCAGTACCTACTAGACTATCATAGGAAATCCACCAAGAAGGGCTCTCAATCCATGCTGGACACTGCCGATCTGTGGTATCTGTCCTGCAACATTATTAGGTGGTTGTCCATGAACTCTTTTCCCGCGCACCCCTCAGTGGGGACCTCCATCCCACATGCCTAGGTACCTACCTCCGTACCTCAGGTTGCCTACCTATTTAGTACGTCCTTTAAATTAGTCTCGACGACACGCCTTTTGCAGTGCTAGCAGCCAGCAGCCAACAGGCAACCGAGCCAGTCGGAGCCGAATTGTATCGAACAACTCATACACACATCACAAACGGGGTTCTGGAAAGAGATAGCTGATTGGCAAGACTCGTCGTCAAGTCCCTTACGGCCTTAGCATTCATTCATTACTTCGCTCGCTGTCGGACTCGGCCAGTTTTCGTCGCTACCTACTTTCCAGGTCCTTCCTTTCCTTACCGCCCCAATTATAATCCTTCCATCCAAACCACTGCCGTCTGAAACGGAACTGCACTGGGTCATCCGAAGACCCGCGCCAGGGAGGGGGAGGGGGTGTGGCTTCCATTTAAACTCGACTGCATCTCCTCACCACCTCTATCTACCCTCCGATACCCGTCCCATGGCGCGCATCTTCAGCCTGGCGGATACGCGCAGCTTCTGCAACTTGTCGGCCTCTTCGGCTCATGCCTGGCATTGAACCGGGCTGATGTCTTAAGTCGAGGGTAAATGAGCTATGATCTCTGTCGGCGGACGTCTCTTATGTGTTCCGACTTCAGTTGAGCCGCCAATCTTTTGTTTTTGCGGATTAACCTCGATCGCTCCCGCATACGCATGTATGCTCTCAGCAAAGATGGACACCCCTGGGCAACCATCCAAAAGGTGATTTGGGGGGATTTTCGTTCATCTGGTCTCAAAAGTTCTAGCCATCCGAACTCTCTGCCGTCCGCGGCATTCTCCGTCCCTTCGATCTCGCAAATCTCTTTTGCCTCTAAATCCATTTTCCTTTGTTCCCCAACTGCTAAGGACCAAGACCTGTCTGTCCCCCAATAGTTCTGCTGATATCGAATCACTTTTCCGTCGTTATTATTTTCTCCGAGATACACTTCCACCCAACAGTGCTTGAAGCACATCAAACAGACCGAGTTGCACGGCAGCAAGCGGCTCAACCAAAAAAAAGATGCGACTAGTAGACTTGCAAGATCGGCGACTGTTCCTCTTTTGTAGGTGTGTCGTCATTGCACACGACATTCTACGCAGCAATTAACCCTGAGGTGGGTAAATTGGATAGTCCATGCAGGATGAACCATGAACCTGGCAACAGAAGCGCCAACTGTGACAAATATAGATAGTTCTACCTAATGCGTACACTATTTGGAATATGAGGTCATTCCGAGGTCGCTTATAAGGAAGGTCGAGTACTACCTCTTGATTAGGAAAAGGGATACGCCCGATCAGATAAGGGAGGCTCGTTGGAGCACATCAAAGTGATAAGTACCAAGACGCAACAGAACTCAAACCCCGTTAGACCACAGAGGGAAAGACTCAATTAGTGATCATATATCCTTGTGGTGCGGAACATATGCGTCTTATCACATACATCTGCGCCGACAGCTTCCTATCCGGTTAAAAGAGACCGTCCCCCTGGTAGCAACCATATCAGGCCAGCCATTTCTCTCCGAGGAGCTATAAGAAGACAAGCGTCATTCACCAAACCCCCTTATATTGACCTTCGGTCCGTCAACGACTCCTAGTTTTCCTCCCGGCTGGCGTTTCCGCTCCCGATACTGCGTCGACGTCACAGGCGTTTAGAAGTGTCAAATTGTGGCTCCCAGAAGCCCAACTGCTGCGAGGGAGTTCAACGCAAGTGCGCGCGGACTCGCCGAATGTGCTTGCCCACGCCTTCTCATCCAGTCGACACCGCCACCCTTTTTTGGCCGGCTACGTGCGCGAGGCTAGCTCCATGGTCCATCCATACACACAGATCATCATGACACGCACGCCATTCGGCGTTCAGGCTCTCTCGGGGAATGCGAATTCGACCGGGGACCTGATAAACCCCGGCCGGGCCACTCAAGTTCTGGGTGATAGAGATACCGAAGACCAGAACCCGCGTCGAAACCCCCCACGCGAGCATGGTTTGCTACAAAAGGCTGCGCGATAGAGAAGGGTCCGTCAAGGTCCCTCAACCTTGGAGGGGAAGGGGGCCGGGGTGGCTCTGAGCCATCTGCAAGCGGTGTGATGAGCTCTCGAAAAGTTTTTCGTTGGTCCATCCACCATACGTACGCATGGGCGAAAAAAAAAAAGCTGTTGGCCCCTTTCGACATCAACTATTTTACTCCTCTTGCGTCCTCATAGGCAGAGCCCGGTGGGATGGGCGTTGCGACGGATTTTCCCTTTCCGGCCCGCATTGGGCGACCGCTCAGGCGGCCGGCCACTCAAGAGACGCCGCTTTGGTATGTACCAACCCACGGCCGGTTAAGTTGAGGCGGCCGATTGAGAATCCTACTGGATTTTGGAGGCGCTAATTACCCTCCTCCCCCCCTCCCGCTTCTCGCTTTCTCGTACGAGGTGAGTGGCTGCAGGGCTTGAGGGACAAGCGCCAGTGCGCTTCAGCATCCTGCATCCTGCATCCTTTCAATAATTACCTAACTAACTAGGTAGGCATTCGCGAATTGTAAGCCGGGGACATGTCCCAGCCGCGCAAATATGCGGCACTGGGCAGGGAGGGAAAAATTATGGATTTGAAAGCCTGCCCATGTTTCGCTTCCTACCTATTTGAGATGGAACAAGAGGACGGCAGAGACGGCAAACTCCGTATGCAAACCCAGCCCCTGGAGCTTTGGATCAGAATAGGGGTGGAACCGCGACGGGGGTGTTTACAGACGTCGAAGAGATGGCCCCTCTGCTATTCTACTCTCGCAGCTGATAAGGCTACTAATAAGGTAGGTACTGTAGGTACCCATGTGAAAAAGGGGGTAATTGATATGTGGGGGTTGTCTTCGGAGTAGACGCCCTCACTCATCTATCTCATCGTGGCTGCGAGATTAGGAAAGGTCCAGTATGGTGTGCTCATCTCCTCCTGCCCGTTCAAGATGAGTGAGTGAGTGATCCTGGTCATCGAATGCTTGCCGTCAGGAGCCCCTCGCCTCGCCTACCTTGCCCTACATCTTTCCTTTCCAACCAGCTTGATGCGTGGGGTGTTCTTTGGCTCACGGTGGTTTTTTCTTAGCTTTTCTTGCACCATGCAGTAGTCTGTCACGCGTCGCACACCACAACGCAAGGTGTCAGTCAACCGGGTGCCACAGGGGCAGAATCCACGGTTGCTTGCGCTTGCTCTCGCTCATCCCATCCTCTCCATGCTCGCGGCTAGCGGCATGACAGTATGCGCCCTCCCACCCGAGGTTCAACAAGGCCAGCGGCGCAAAAAGGCTGAGCCACCCCATAAATCCGCCCTGCGAGACATGCCATATGCCGTCTCCCGAGAACCGGACCGGCGACCGGCACCGGGACCTGCGGCCTGCCACCCAGCTGTGCCTGATGGAACCGTTCCAGCCGACAGCCCACCAGGTAGCCCCCTTCGAATTGGCTTCGCGAAGGTAGCCCCGGGTGTGACGCGGGGGTGTCGCACAAGGGTGGGGGGGGTTGGAATCTAGACATCATCAAGCAAGTGCTCAACACTGGAGCCCAACCGCGCAATCCAAGGGTGGGTCGTCTGTACCCATGGCGACAGCAGTGACCCGAGGACGAAAGGACTGTCGTTGCAGCGTTTAGATATCTGGAGCTCCAGCCCTTGGGTCCAGCTTCCTGCTTATCTGCATACCGCACAACGCAACTGATGCTCCGCACGGGAGCCGTCACGTCCGTCAAATGGAAGGTAAGGTAATGGCACCGGTCGAGGCCCGACCCCACACGAACCGCCCCCTTCGAACCCCGAACTTAAGGGAATGGTCAAATCCGTGTCCGCACACCTGACGAGAAGGAGGGTTCTCACGCCCGGAATTTGAGCGATGATGCTTGGAGGGAACGTCCTACCTAGCCTAGCCGGCCGTGGGGATCCTAGAACATACGGAACGAGACGGGAAGTTCGACCCCCTTTCCCGGGCGGGCCGAGGAGGAGGAAGGAAAGTTGGAGCGTAGAGAGCCAAGCAGTTGTGAACCCTCCGGTTGATCGAGGGGAGGTACGTGTGAGACGCAATCCACGACAGCAACAGGCCTTACAGTAGGGAGAGAAAAGGGGCGTTTGAATTTCTCAGGAAGCCTCGAGCGTATTCACTCAATACCAGACATTTGAAAGGAAGACATCACATCGAGTAGAATAAACCCTCCCTTATCAACTAGCTGAGCACATCCCAAACAAGGTAGGGAGAGGCGACCGAGTTAGAGATTGAGGACCTCGGGTCTCAACCCGGCTGAGGAGCGGCCCTTTAGATGCCATTACCTATATGTACACATAGTACCAGAAAGTTTCCATGTTGGGAATCGCCAATGTTCCTCTCTGCATGGAACATGGAAGGCATCTGTCCGGCAATAGCAGGGTGTCTCATCGAAAGGTAGTACTTCGCGATTCATTCACAAAAAGGTCTTGGCCACAAGATGAGGAGCAGTCAGGTCTATTCCCTAAAAAGGATTTTTTGCGTCCTTGAGGTTGCCGTGGTGAGCATCCCTCGCATATCTCATTCCGTGGTCTCTATCAGAGCCATATAACCATAGCCAGAGAACGCCACCCCAAACTGCTGTCGTCGGTTTCAAAAAGTCGTGCTACAATAACAGGACGACTCGGCCGAGCCCAGCTCAATGGGGCCCATACAGTGGACCGATCGTCTAGGAGAATCTTAAATAACAAGAAGATAAATGTGAGAGCGGGTGCCCGACATCGTAGAGATGGATAAATGATGGGGAACCTTGCATTCCCAGACATGCTTAGATCAGTCCTGGGTCGCGTGTTCATCTCCAAACGGACTCCTCTCCCGGCTCTTTGACGGAATAGTCGAGGTTCTTTGGGATGCTCGTCGGGTTGCATCTTCGATAACTGCACTCAAGCTTGTCGTGCTCCGGTGGTGGCCTCGGCCCTCTGGAGGATCAGAGAAAGGCCCTTGATCGGGCGAGGGCGAGTCATCGATGATGGTCTCGGCGGTGGATTCACGGATAGTGCTGGTTTCTCGTAGTGGAGTCGACGCTTCCTCGGGCGTCCTTAGCTTGTTCACATTTATTTGCTTTGAATGCCCACTCCCGACCCGGACAACTTGGGCGCGTACGGGCATAGCCGTGTGGGCACTGGCGTTGTTCAGGAAAGTCGAGCCGACGCTGAAGGTGCTGCCGGTGGGACTTGGGGGGCGTAGACCGCTGTATTTTTCGTAGTCCACGCTCGGCACCGGTGGGGTGCTACCTCCAGAGCACTTCGAGTTTATCGTCCTCACGCTAACCACCTCGGGCTTCGCACGCAGGCCGGTCTGCTGTGCTGCCACAATGACCGCATTCTTGCCATAGATGGTCGACGCAACGCTCGACCGGGGGGCGTAGGACGTACGAGCGTACGAGGTCCTGTCGCTATATCCTGAGAGGGCCGAGTAGGTGGAGTCGCGAAGGTCGCCCGGCACAAAGAAGTGTTGTTCATTGGGGCCAGCAGGGCTGTTGGCCTGCGACACAGCAATGGGAATCGGAGGTACTGGAGGGACGAGCACAGTGGGCGAGGTGGGAGTTGCTCGGTTCGTGACACCCGGGATGTAGGCGATCTGGATAATGTTCGAGGCCCTCGTCAAAACGGTCGAAGCTATCGAATGGACTGTGTGCGTTGATGACCGCTGGTCCCTTCTCTGAGCAAAGGCCTTCTCGGCATCTACCACAGACTGATCCTGCTCTTCATCTGGCACCTCCTGCTCCAGTGGTTGCCTCCTGGTCTTGATACAGAATCTCCAGACAAGGTAGGTAATTATGGCGATTGCAGCGACGCCACCGATCACGCCTCCTGCGATGGCGCCAACGCTGGGCGAGGACCTGTTCGAGTTTGCGTTGGAGCTCGGTGTAGGATCCGCGGGGGCGCAATATGCCCTCTGGCATTCGCTACAGTTGGTCGGGAAGAAGAATTGACATTGTTCGGTGGGTAGGCACGAGGGGCAGACGAGCTTCTGACTGGTATCACACTCGACGCACACCTCAGCCCTGGGAAGTAACTGCTCGTACGAGACTAGATAGCCAAATCAGTGAGCGAGGCTGTCCATGCCCATCTCGAAATCAAGAGTAAACGTACCTGCCGCGTGCCTCAGTGTGCTCGTCATTTTGCGTCTCTTCTTTTAGGTGTGCAACTGGGAGCAGCTAGATTGATGTCTCCAACTCGCGGTGGAGACCGGCGTGGTATCGAGTCAAAAGGCTGGACTGGGAGGCCTTCGACGAGGTTGTGTCCCTTGCTTTGAGCTTTGATGGCGATCGTGATCGTCGCGGGGCGCGCGGATCAAGGATCAAGGCACGAGTGTTGCTTCCGAATGGCGGAAACGAATTGCAATGTTGGCGCGATAGATCGAAATCGGAAATGGGAATGCAACTGGAATCGGGACCGGGACTTGGGAAATAGAAATGGAACTGGAGGATGGCGAAACTATAGGGAGCGTTATAAAGGAGAAACGAGTGACTGCGAGACTAGCTCAAAGAGAATGAAAAATAGAAATAGAAGAATCGATACGGCGTCGTCAGAGAGGCATCTATTAGATGATCCGACTGTTGGAAGACCCGCAGACGGCGAACGGCAGAGCGCTGTTTGTGATGTTGATGGTCGAGAATGAATTCGACTTTGACAGCAGGAAAGCTGACGGTGCCAGGACAATAGTCAGGAACCGACGAGGAAGAGCGGGGACAGAAGACCTTTACGGGAGGTCAAGGCCGGCGCAGCCAGCACTCATTTACGGGAGGAGCCAGTTGGAGGGCAGGCCGCAGTGACAAAGGACATACCAGGGGCCATTAGCGCACTGCTCACGGAATTTAGCGAAACGTACAGGATGCCCACACTCGCGTCTCATTCGCCCACCTGCCCGACCCCCCTGTAACCCAAGGAATCCACAAGAGAAACACCTCCGTTTCCCCTCTTTCAGCCAATCCCACCTGAAGTCACCAGTCCCTCCTGGCTCGTCCCTGAGCACGGTACTATTGCTTTGTTGCAGATGTATTACGCTGTATGTATTCCAGAACGCTGAGAGGAGTTGTTGCATCCGTCGAGGGCCAGAACAGCCATCCCGTGCTTGCATCACCACACCATAGGTACTCTCAAAGCGACGGGCGACGGGCTTGCTGAGCTTGGGACTGGGTTGCCAGCTGCCAGGGGCAGGCTGGAATTCCTGGTACGTACATCCGTACCTCTCCTGCAGGAGTCCACGTAACCAATGATTGCCCACATGCAGATTGCGGTCCCCATACAAGAGCAATCAATCGGGGGATGCAAGAGTAATAAAACCCCCTGCGCATTGACGACTTGATTTGCTGATTACCACCTTGGCAGCCTGCTGGTTAGTAGGTCTAGAATTAACACAAAGGCTAGCCTTTATTGCCGAGATTGCCTGCAGCCGCGTGTTCGCGGGTCCATCTCAGTTTAAGGAGAGATCATCGTGGCTTGCCGCTCTGCATTCTTTGTCTCTTCCATTAGAAGCTCTTGACGAAAAAGCAAGGCACAATGACATCAGTCCAGGGGATCAACATCATCCTCAGCATGAACCAAACTACAGTGTCTAGTGCAAACATGTTCTTTGTTCCTCTGCATGTAACGTATCGGCATCTGGCCCAAAGCATCTTTCCACTGATATCCTCCGTCCACCAGGAGTTGATCGTCCGGCTCCGCAGTTCCCCGCCTGCTCTCGGCCCCTGCTCTCTGATCTCCGGCCTCTGCAAGGGTGCTTGAGAGTTGCGGCTCCGGACCTTGGTTGGAATTTGCGATGCTATGTTTAGAGAACCCCTGGCACCTCGTGTCCCAAATGTAGAGACGACAATACTCACGATAGCAGCTATTATTGAGTAGCTGGGCGCCCAGCACGGGATCGGGGTGAATGATCCCCTGGCCATAGCAGGGGGATTATTAAGGGTTGAGAAAAAAACAAGTCGATGCGAGTGAATATAAAGTAGGGGACGATCCCGTCAACGCACTGAACTGGTAGAAATAGGGGACCATTAGGCTAAACGAACAAAACTTCTTCCCAAGAGAAGAGCCCGTCTCCAAATACGTCACTGGAGATGCGCACTCTGTCCTACCTCTGACGAATACTGACTGAGACATCGCAAACAGGTTCTCAAGTCTCGTATATGATTCGCTCCTGTCAGGAGTTAAAGAGCTGCCAGTCTTGTCTAGTGATCGGCGGAAAACGTCCCTGATATACAGTACAGAAGAACCAGGCTTTCGTCCATCGGGAGACCGCGATAATCTTCACGCCAGTGGTAGAGCTGGATTATATTAATTCTTGACCCGGGTTAAGAGCAACGTGTGATCAGGTTTCCTGAGACACCCATCGCGTGGAGGACTGTATCTTGGCGACAGCATAGCAATGCGACTCACGACTTGGTTGGAGCCTTGGAGGAGTGTGTGGCTGACTATGTCATTGTTTCCGGTGCCTACTGCCGGTGACGTGAACCACTTGGTCCTTTGCAACCTGGTGTTGAGGCTCTGATCGTAGAACGACGAGGGTTCGGGGAGAGGGATCTGGAAGCTCCTTTTCGAGGCCGTTTTGGCAGGTCATAGGGCATTGTAGCCGGCTGGCTACACGACCATCCACGCAATGATGCAAGGTATTTTGTTTGGAACCGCCGCCGGGTCCCGGTCATCCTCGTATCATACCTACACAACAGCTTCTGTTGTGCTGCTGTCGTGTCGCGAAGGCACGGTCAATTCCGGCCATCAATCGTGTTGAGTGGGTTCAGTGGCGGAGCACTGGCTGGTGTCGTGGTGCACAGCCTCAGCTGGCCATACGCTAAAAATTGGGCGGCCGCTTTCCTTTGGCATCCCTCATGAGTGGCGCCCCACGGTCTATTTTTGGAAGAGTTGTGAATCCCAGTGAGATCCTCTGACCAAAGGGATCAAGGTCTTATCCAATCCTTACGTTGGCAGAGTGTTCCGTGCCGACTGCGGATGAGGTGGGCAGCCGTATACACGAGAAATCTTTGTTGACGACGCCGTTACCAGCGACAAAAAGATGCCCTTATTTTGCGGGACAACGTTGGGCGGTTTGGCCAAATGGGTCGTCTGTGTTTCAGATGGGTTGTTGCGTGGAGAATCCCGCATTAGTTACTTTGTACTGTTTAACTGTGGCCGTATTCTGGGCTGTCTATCTAACTTTGTTCAAGTACCAGGCTAGCAGTCGACGGACGGGATTAGCTTGCTTGGAGCTGAGTGCCAGATCAGAGCTGGAATAGGGGGGCTGACTCTTGCCTAGGGGACCCGAGTGCGGTACTTCGCGCTCCACTAATGATATGCAAGTACCGGTACGGTGGACGCAGTATGCTACTGCGCCAAAGCCCACATCCTGTTCGGACCGGGCTTGGGTTGGCGATGTATTCGCAGTAGATACCTACCTAGGTAGGCACACCTGGATGTCCAGATGGTGAGGGCCTCCAATTGGAATGCGGGAAAAATTGGTCAGGGAGGCTGACCGCTGACGTGAATGTCAGAATATCAGGTATACACGTGTAGTACCTACCCAGGTAAGTACCCTGGCACCCAAAACATTTTGTGGCTCTAGCCTTTGGAGCGGATACGCAGTACTCCGTACAGCTCCCCAAATCCCTGCAAATAAGCCACACAGGGCTCATCACCTCAACTCTTGATCTCATGTCCGTCTCTCCCGATTATTTCCCTAACAAGACCGTATGTGTTTGGGCATCGTCTTCCACGCCTTAACTCTCTTTTACATTCACTCATCTTGAGGGTGGGCGAATCATCACCTGCCACCCTTCCTCCCCCTCTCGACCCTGCCAACCCTATCTCGCCCTGCCAACTTTCGGGGACCACCAACGCAACGCAAGGGGGAAATTTGGTCCAACTCTTTCCATTAGCAGCATCAACAGAGCAACAAACATCACCCTGTTTTGCAATCCGGGCGATTCTCTGGCAGGAATATCTACACCTCGCCCATTGGACATTCACAATACCCACCATTTCCGATCACTTTAACTTTCTCTAGCGGAGGCTCTCGCTGAGGCCAGCCTGCAGACGTCATGGCGTACAACGGCCGAGGAGGTGACTATGAAGGTCACCGCCTGCAAGACCTGAACCCCAACCCGCAGGTACGCTCCAGTTCCATCTTCTTCTGCCCTAACCATCTGAGCGGTTCCTGATCGTGTCTCCAGCAGTACCATAACCAGCCCGGTGAGGAATACGATGACGAGGCCCAAAGCTCTCTCCTTAACCAGAGTCATACCCCTTACGAGCACGATCGCCTGGGGGCCCACACTCCTCCTGTTCGCCCCGTCTCGGCCTACAGTCTGACAGAGTCGTACGCTCCGGGTGCGGCAACCACTCGCCCTGGAGTTGCTGTCGGCCCCAGCCCTCCGCCTCCTTTCCCCAACGAATATGGCCAGGCCCCGGCCCAGTTCCGTCATGAGCTCGAATCCGACCCGGCCTACAGGATGTCTTCGGTTGATGCAGATGAGGGCTGGATTCGGCGGCAGCAGCCCAATGCGGCGCCGGCCGGCGGCCTGAAACGCTACGCAACCCGGAAGATCAAGCTGGTTCAGGGCTCCGTGCTGAGCATCGACTACCCCGTCCCCAGCGCCATCAGAAATGCCGTTCAGCCCAAATACCGGGAGGCCGAGGGCAACAATGAGGAGTTTTTCAAGATGCGATACACGGCTGCCACCTGTGACCCCAATGACTTTACCCTCAAGAACGGCTACGATTTGCGTCCCCGGATGTATAACAGACACACCGAGCTTCTGATCGCCATCACATACTACAACGAAGACAAGGTCCTCCTCTCCAGAACGCTCCACGGCGTCATGCAGAACATTAGAGACATTGTGAACCTCAAGAAGTCGAGTTTCTGGAACAAGGGCGGCCCGGCCTGGCAAAAGATCGTTGTGTGTCTGGTCTTTGATGGCATTGATAACACTGACAAGAACGTCCTGGACGTGCTGGCAACCATCGGTATCTACCAGGACGGCGTGGTCAAGAAGGATGTCGACGGCAACGAGACCGTCGCCCACATCTTCGAATATACCACCCAGCTCTCGGTCACACCAAGCCAGCAGCTCATTCGCCCAATGGACGATAGCTCATCGACTCTTCCGCCCGTGCAGTTCATCTTCTGTTTGAAACAGAAAAACAGCAAGAAGATCAACTCTCACCGGTGGCTTTTCAATGCCTTTGGCAGGATCCTCAATCCCGAGATCTGTATCCTTCTGGACGCTGGTACCAAGCCGAGCCCCAAGTCGCTTCTCGCCCTGTGGGAGGGCTTCTACAACGACAAGGACCTCGGAGGTGCTTGCGGCGAGATCCACGCCATGCTGGGTAAAGGCGGCAAGAAGCTCATAAACCCCCTGGTTGCGGTGCAGAACTTCGAGTACAAGATCTCCAACATCCTCGACAAGCCTCTGGAGAGCTCGTTCGGATACGTTAGTGTGTTGCCCGGTGCCTTCTCCGCCTACAGATTCCGAGCCATCATGGGCCGCCCACTCGAGCAGTACTTCCATGGTGATCACACCCTGTCCAAGATCCTGGGCAAGAAGGGCATCGAGGGCATGAACATTTTCAAGAAGAACATGTTCTTGGCCGAAGATCGTATTCTCTGCTTCGAGCTGGTCGCAAAGGCTGGCCAAAAGTGGCATCTCAGCTACATCAAGGCTGCCAAGGGTGAGACCGATGTTCCCGAAGGAGCCCCTGAGTTCATCAGCCAGCGTCGACGATGGCTCAACGGTTCGTTCGCCGCCAGTCTGTACTCGCTCATGCACTTCGGGCGCATGTACAAGAGCGGTCATAACATCATCCGCATGTTCTTCTTCCATGTACAGCTGATCTACAACGTTCTTAACCTGCTCTTCACCTGGTTCTCCCTAGCTTCGTACTGGCTGACAACGACTGTCATTATGGATCTCGTCGGTACTCCGGTCACGCCCTCGGACTCTGCTTCCGAACATCATGGCTGGCCGTTCGGAGACACGGTGACCCCCATCTTCAACGCCGTCTTGAAGTACATCTACCTGGCATTCGTCATCCTCCAGTTCATCCTGGCTCTCGGCAACCGGCCCAAGGGATCAAAGTGGACCTACATAACCTCGTTCGTCGTCTTCTCGTTTATCCAGACATACATCCTTGTCCTCTCGGGCTACCTGGTCGCGCGCGCCTTCCAGACACCTCTTGAGCAGCAGATCTCGCTCGACAGCGCGAAGGACGCGATGCAGAGTCTCTTCGGCGGCACATCGGCGGCGGGTGTCATTCTCCTAGCGCTGGTGACCATCTACGGCCTCTACTTCGTTGCCTCGTTCCTCTACCTGGACCCGTGGCACATGTTCCACTCGTTCCCGTACTACATGGTGCTGATGTCCACCTACATCAACATTCTGATGGTGTACGCCTTCAACAACTGGCACGACGTCTCGTGGGGAACCAAGGGATCTGACAAGAACGAGGCCCTCCCGTCAGCCCATATCAGCAAGGGCGAGAAGGACGAGGCGGTGGTTGAAGAAATCGACAAGCCGCAAGAAGACATTGATGCCATCTTCGAGCAGACTGTGAAGCGCGCTCTTGAACCTTACAAACTTGACGAGAAGCCGGAGCCAAAAGATCTCGAGGATTCGTACAAGTCTTTCAGAACCATGCTGGTAGTCTTGTGGCTTTTCTCCAACTGCCTGCTGGCCGTTGTCATTACCAGCGATAACTTCGACTCGTTCGGCATCGGCGTAAGTATCGCCTGTTTTTACCCCCGCCATCTCTGGCCCGCAAGCTAACTCTTACGCGTTCTTTAGAACAATGCATCCGCGAGAACTGCTTGGTTCTTCAAGTTCTTGTTGTTTGCTACCGCCTTCCTCTCCATCATCCGCTTCATCGGCTTCCTCTGGTTCCTGGGCAAGACCGGCATCATGTGCTGCATCTCCCGGAGATAAGCCTTGTTCCGATCTCAAACGCTCCTGTCGTTGCCGAGTAGCCGATCCTCAACCTCGCCTTGGCTTAGTTAGGCCCTACGATAGAGGAAGGGATGGCCTCCGAATATTTTATTGGGAGGAAGGGGAAGGGGAAGGGGGAGAAGGGGTTAGAAAGACTGTACATCATATTGGGATGGGTTCCTCTCGGGCTATAAATGCCCAAGTTTGCATCAACATGTTGGCTTTGTATCAAAGGGAGGGATTACAGGATCAACGATCTCGACATACAAATCTTGGGGATTCGAGGTGGGAGCTGGTTAAAGCTTCTTGAGGCCAAGATTGATTGGCATTTGGTCACGGCGTATTTCCCTTGGTGCTCACGGTTTGTTTTTGTACCCGAAAAAGCAATAATGGGGCCTTTATCAGAAATTCCGACGGTTTGATCATATCGACCCCGATCCGCTACTCTGTCTCGGGTTCCTAGATAGCGGGAAAATAGAATACTAGAATACGACTCTGGCCGTGCACGTGCACGGTCCAACTCCTGGGCAGCCATGCCTGCAGCCATCAATTCCGATCTCGACTTCCGCCATTAATTTGGCGCCATGACTGACCTAACATCAGCGGCGACAAATCTACCTCGTTCTCGACTCTCTTCGTTCTTCTCTTTTGTTCGAGCTTGGTCTCCAAATAAATCACCTTTGCCTAGAATCCTCGTCTCCCTACTTATTGAAGCGCACCGAATAGATACCGAGCACCTAATCCTCCCGCCTACAGCGTTCACCCCCGCCACCACCTGTCACCCGTCACGTTATCCAGTTCCGGGTCCCCAAACCAACCGGCAAGATGTTGAAGATCTGGTCTATGGTAAGTGTCGCGCACAGTCTACGGGCCCGAAGCCTATGCCTGCAGATCCCGACTGACTCGTCTGCCTAGAAAAAAGAGCAGCAAAAGGCTGAGAACGCCGAGGGTGCTGCGGGTGGGAAGAAGAAGAAGGTCACGGCGGCGCAACTGCGAGTGCAAAAAGGTATGCAGAGCCCCATCCCACGCAACTCTTGTGCCCTTGCATCCCCGTCCCCGTCCCCGTCCCCGTCTGCGACGGCAAGATGCTCATCGCGGCTTCCGTCCCCACAGATCTCTCGGAGCTCTCCCTCGGCAACACGATGAAGACGGACTTCCCGGACCCCGACAACATCCTCCAGTTCATACTGTACATTGAGCCGGACGAGGGCATGTACCGCGGGGGCCGGTTCTCGTTCTCGTTCAACATCACTCCCAGCTTCCCGCACGAGCCGCCCAAGGTACTGTGCCGCGAGAAGATCTACCACCCCAACATCGACCTCGAGGGCAAGGTGTGCCTCAACATCCTGCGCGAGGACTGGAAGCCGGTGCTGAACCTCAACGCCGTCATCGTGGGCCTGCAGTTCCTGTTCCTCGAGCCGAACGCCAGCGACCCCCTCAACAAGGAGGCCGCCGACGACCTGCGCATGAACCGCGAGACGTTTAGGAGGAACGTGCGGACGGCCATGATGGGCGGCGTGGTGAGGGGCCAGAGCTTCGAGAAGGTGGCGACGAGGTGAGAGAGAAGGGGGAGCTGGGTGGGCCGGGGAGGGGTTCCCGCGTTCCACCCTTAAGGGGACCTACAGTCAAGGTCCTCGGTCCGTTACTTGCTAGATTTCTTGCCTAGTGATGGCATGGAAAGAGAGAGAGGTATGTGTGTGTGTCCCGAGGCTTGGACTGAAGGGAACAGTTTCGTCTCTCGGGAGTGAGGGTTATGATGGAAGGTAGAGGGAGGACGTGGTGGCATGGAAACGGGCAGGCATAGATGAGCATCTTCCGGCGTTTATGTTCGCACGATCACGAATATGGTTTATAGGCCGGCCCATGGGTCCGGGCCATTGCAGTTTGGTATGACATGTGCAATATTAAGGGAGGAGGAGGGTCGGTGGAAGGACCAGGGAAGCAAGTGGTGGTCATCAGCACCGCGGCGAGGTGCAGAACGTAATCTTGGTTATGCGATTGCTGCAAATAAACGGAAACATAATAGTCTCTGGAACATTTGACCTTGAGTCTACTATTACTATAGTAGAATCACCGATCACACATTGCTGCGTTACCTTTCCTGTTTCGACATCGGACCCCAAGAGGGATCAGCTCCCCGCATTTGGGCCGGCACTAGCGCTATGTCGGGTACGAGGTACTTTGGTCCGGGCAGCTTCCAGCCCAATTGAGCCTGGCCAGTCAGCGACAGCGGCTAAGTAATTGACAGGGACCGAAGTCGGTGTCTGGCCCCAGAGCTAGGAGCAAAAATAAAAATTTCAACCCGCAAACCGGTGAACCTGTATAAAGAGTCAACCGCATTTCCAGCACCTCCCCAACAAACCATCTCCACTCAATTCACATCATCATGTCCTCCCGAACCTTCTCCAGGGCTCTTCGCTCGCCGTTGGGCCGCCAATTGGCCTCGCCTGCCGTTCAGAGGCGCACCTTCGTCTCTGCCCTGAACGCTGTTCGGGCCACCGCCGTTTCTGGTCGTGCTACTGTGTCGGTCCCTGCCCAGCAGACCCGCGGTGTCAAGACCATCGACTTCGCCGGCTCGAAGGAGGAGGTTTATGGTACGAACCACCGTCGCAGCCACTGCTTTTGCTGCTGCTGCTGCTGCTGCTGTTGTGCTGGCGTCTCTTTGTTTTCGTTGCTAACATCATTGTTCAGAGCGTGAGGACTGGCCCAAGGAGAAGCTCTTGGTGAGTCATCACTAGATAGCAAGCACCCAGCTCGAGGCCTTCACCCCTGCTAACCCAGCCACGCAGGATTACTTCAAGAATGATACCCTCGCTCTGATCGGCTACGGCTCGCAAGGCCACGGCCAGGGTCTCAACCTCCGTGACAACGGCCTCAACGTGATCATTGGTGTCCGGAAGAGTGGCAAGTCGTGGAAGGATGCCGAGCAGGACGGCTGGGTCGCCGGAAAGAACCTCTTCGAGGTCGACGAGGCCATCTCCCGCGGCACCATCATCATGAACCTTCTCAGCGATGCCGCCCAGAGCGAGACATGGCCCGCCATCAAGCCGCAGATCACCGAGGGAAAGGTATGTATCCTTCAATTTGGCCCATTGGCGCTATTGGCCCTTCCGCCAGTCCACCTACAGACTTTACTAACAATATTTTGAAAGACTCTGTACTTCTCCCACGGCTTCTCGCCCGTCTTCAAGGATCTCACCAACGTCGACGTCCCCACCAACGTCGACGTTATCCTCGTCGCTCCCAAGGGTTCCGGCCGGACTGTCCGGTCTCTCTTCCGCGAGGGCCGTGGCATCAACTCGTCGGTCGCCGTCTACCAGGACGTCACCGGCAAGGCCGAGGAGAAGGCCGTCGCCTTGGGTGTTGCCGTCGGCAGTGGTTACCTCTACAAGACCACCTTCGAGAAGGAGGTCTACTCGGACCTGTACGGTGAGCGCGGCTGCCTGATGGGCGGCATCCACGGCATGTTCCTCGCCCAGTACGAGGTCCTCCGCGAGCGCGGCCACAGCCCCAGCGAGGCCTTCAACGAGACCGTCGAGGAGGCCACCCAGAGTCTCTACCCGCTCATCGGCGCCAACGGCATGGACTGGATGTACGAGGCCTGCTCCACCACCGCCCGCCGCGGCGCCATCGACTGGACCCCGCGGTTCAAGGATGCCCTGAAGCCCGTCTTCAACCAGCTGTACGACTCGGTCAAGAACGGCGAGGAGACGAAGCGGTCGCTCGAGTACAACAGCCAGCCGGACTACCGTGCCAGGTACGACGCCGAGATGGAGGAGATCCGCAACATGGAGATCTGGAGGGCAGGCAAAGCTGTCCGGTATGTCGAGTCCCCAAACCCCAGCCCTTTCTTTCTGTCTTCTAACGCAGCATGTCTCTAGTGGCCTCCGCCCCGAGAACCAGAAATAAGCGACCCTGGGGGGCGTTTTTAAATATGGAACGGTGAATTGAGCTCGCAGTTAATCACGGGGAACTTTGGCGTGTACTTGTATTCTAGATTCTCGGTCGGGAGAATCTGGGCCTTTGGCACCAAAAAGTCTTTGCGTTTGACATGGATGGCCCTTCGGTTTGCTTCTGGCTTGAGGAGGATCATCGCTTTCATACTACCATAACCTACCTACTTTCGTCATCAGATTCCCTAACCTATCTATCTCTACCTATCTTTGGGATGCCAAATTCAAGCTGCTTCTACTCTCCGTTATCGGACGGCCCCTCATTCCGCCATCTCATGTGAAGCTCTATTCTGCTTAGGTACTCAAATCGTTAACTGCCCGTCCAATCTTCAAAATTTTTAGCCAGTATTACTCATTCATTCATTCATCGCTTCTGCCAGCCATCCACCCATCTCACCAGTGTCAATCACTCCCGCCTCCGAGTTTCCTTATTTCTTTCTATTCCCTCTTTCCGGTAAACTGGCATGCCCACTTAACAACCTAACCCCACCTCCAACGCTCAAGCAAAACAAGAAAGGGGAAAAATGGCCGACCCCTCCACGGCGGCCCCCCTAACACGGGCCTCCGTCCAGGCGGCGCACGAGCTCATCAAGCGGCACGTGCACCGGACGCCGGTGCTGACGAACCGGACGCTGACGGCGCTCGCGTCGACGGCGCGGGACGGGGATGGGTCGAGCAGGCCGGTCATCCGGCTGTGGTTCAAGTGCGAGAACCTACAGCGGGTGGGCGCGTTCAAGGTCCGAGGCGCGTTCCACGCCGTCGGGAGGCTGCTGGCCGAGCCCGGTTGGGTGGAGGGGGGCGGGAGGGAGAGGGGGGTTGTTACGCATAGCTCGGGTGGGTTTAGCTTCTTACCCTTCTCCTTTCACTGTTCCTTTCTTTCATGCCAGACGGGAAGAGATGTGGGAAGAGGCTTGCTTGCAGATGTTTGCTCTTAGTCGGGAGCGAGCATTGGCCGTTGTGCAGAATGCCTGGTTGAGGAAGATCTCTCCTTTACTGGCATTGTCTCTTTCCCCAGGTGCCTCTTATCTCCTAGGAGTGAAGAGAAAATACCGTCTATCATTTACTGTTTCTGGCGCCCCCCACCTTTTATTCATCAACTCCCTCCCTAACACAAACCTCTCCTCCCCACTCTCAAGGCAACCACGCGCAGGCTCTCGCCCTCGCGGCCCGCACCCACGGCATCCCGGCGCACATCGTGATGCCCGAGATCTCGGCGGCGCCCAAGGTCGCGGCCACGCGGGGCTACGGCGCGCGGGTCGTGTTCAGCGGCTCCACGAGCGTCGAGCGCGAGGCCGTGACCGAGCGCGTCGTGGCCGAGACGGGCGCCCGCCTGGTCCCGCCCTACGACCACCCGGACATCATCCTCGGCCAGGGGACCATGGGGCTGGAGCTGCAGGAGCAGGTGGAGGAGGCCATGAGGATCGCCGCGGCCGAGGAGGGGGAGGAGGGAAGGCGGGGGCCCAAGAAGGGCCTCGACGCCATCATCACGCCCTGCGGCGGCGGCGGGATGCTTTCGGGCGTGGCGCTGTCGGCGGAGGCGACCGGCATCCGCGTCTTCGCGGCGGAGCCCGAGTTCGGCGGCGCCGACGACGCCCGCCGGGGCCTCCTGGCCGGCCGCCGCGTCGAGGCCGTCAGCTCGCTCACCGTCGCCGACGGCCTGCGCACGCCCGTCGGGAAGATCCCCTGGTCGGTCATCCACGACCGGCGCCTGGTCGAGGCCGTGTACGCCGTCTCCGAGGAGCAGATCCGGGCCGCCATGAGGCTCGTGTTTGAGCGCGCCAAGATGGTCGTCGAGCCGAGCGCCGTTGTCGGGTTGGCGGTCGCGCTCTATAACGAGGATTTTAGGCAGATGGTGGAGAGGGAGGCCGGCGAGGAGGGGTGGGATCTCGGCGTGGTGCTCAGTGGGGGGAACGTGGATCTGAATGCGCTTGGCGGCTTGCTTGCTGCTTGAACGGCACCTGGGCCTGCGTGTCTACGGAAGAAACCATGGCTAGTTAGGTGCCAACGGGTGGCGAAAGCGTCGTATTATGGGTATATATAAACTATAACTATGCAATCCTTATATATACATGGTGGTTGGTAAATATATGGCAGGTTCAAGCTCTTGGTGAATTCAGCTTCTCGTCCATATGTACCCTCCACCCGGGGCCCCATCTCCTCAATGCAAAAATGGCCATATTCCCCGTGATCCAGGCGAAGAGGCCAACCATGGTGCACAGCCATCCATCCCCCATGGCATTGATGAGCGGCTGGGCCACGATGGCGCCGACGCAGGAGAAGATATTCCGGACAAAGTTATTCACCGCGACGCCACCGGAGCTCCGCTGCGGCATGAACTCGGTCAACACCGTGGTAACGGCGCCGAAGACCAGCATACTCCCAAAGCCAAAGAAGAAGTTGGCGATGCACGGGACGATCCAGTGCACGCCCTTGTCGATCGCCCAGCCGTACCAGATTAGCGCCCCCGGGTACAGCGTCGCGGCCAGCCACATGTTCTCGCGCATGCGGTCCTCGGGCAGGAAGACGAGCTTCCCGTTCTCGTCGTACCTGCCGGCCTTGCGGGCCTCGCGCGCCATTATCTTGTCTATCCACGGGCCGCCGAGCACCGAGGCCAGGATGTAGCCGATGGACAGCGGGAAGTACAGCAGCCCGACGATGACCTCGGAAAAGTTGTACGGCGCGTGGGAGAAGGAGGACTGGATGGAGATGTTGAGCACGAAGAGCGAGCCGAACGCGATGGACGCAGAGTAAACGGCGATGAGGACCGCCGGGAAGCGCAGGTAGAGCAATACTTGGAGAGGCTCGACGATGAAGTGCTTGAATGCCACTTTAGTTGCCTTGCTTCGCTCCTTGATCGACTGCACTGTACTCGTCCGCACTAGAGTGTTTGGTGCGTTTTGCGCGTCGGCCGTTCCGGTGCCGTTAGTTTCCTGCGGCGAGGGCAAGACGGGTGGCTTCTTCCTCGCCAACGTCTCCGGCAGGCAGAAGAGAATCAGGAGAAGCATCAGCGCCCCGTAGATGACGAGGAACCACATGGTGCTCCTCCAGCCAAAGCCCTGGGCCAGGGCTCCACCGATGATGGGCGCGAAGAGCGGCCCGGTAAGGGGGCCGAGGTAGAATATCCCCATGGCTCGGCCTCTCTGGGCCGGCACCCAGATGTCGGCAATGGTCCCCGCTCCCACGGCCTGGACCGACGCCGAAGCACCGCCCGAGATTACGCGCATGATGATCAGCATGGTGATGTTCACGCTGACGGCGCTTAGGATGGTAAATATGAGATTCAATATGAAGGATATCACATAAATCGTGCGCCGTCCCAGTCTCTCAGAGAATGATGACCTTTTGCCGTGAGTGATATAACCAGGGCCTCATTTCGGGGGTATCTCCACTTACCACCATAGAGGGAAAATAGACATGGACAGCATATACAGCGCAACTGCCAGGTTGGTGATAGTTTGTGAGGTACTCAAGTCATCCGAGATTTGAGACAAGGCCGCTAAGACACACATGTTAGAATGCATTCGTAAGTCACGATATGTATTCCCGAGCGAACGTACGGTAGAATATGCCGGACCCCAACGGCGCAGCAGCTGCTGCCAGGGCGATGATGGCGGTAATGGCCCATTTCGTCTTGTCCGTGTACTCATAGGGCCGGTCGACCTCGGGGATGATAGCAAACCGTCCAAAGATGCCTCTCCTCTCCGACCTCGGTACTACCGACTGGGTCCGAGAGAAGACTGACGAGGCTCGGGAGGACCGCGGCCGTACTGGTTCCTCTTCAGGGTCTTGTTCATCCTCGTGATCATCGTCATGCTCATGCTCATTCTCATCTTCGGTCTCGTCCTGTCCAGCTTCGTGGGTCTCAGTTACTTCATCACCCTTGCTGGCCGGATTTCTCTTTTCATTACTGTAGTCTTCTGCGTCTGGATGAGATGCTCCTTTTTCATTGGACAGTTCGACCTTGTCCCGGACGGCGTCATCGGCTTTCTCCGCCATTGGGCTGTTAGTCCCCGATCGCGGCTCGGAGGAGGCGCTGAAAGTCACTTATGGGAGCAAGACGGGAACGAAGGAAGGGAAAATAGAAAACGAGCAGTAGTGTGGAGCATGAAAGGTATCAATAATATACAAAGTGTGACTCGATTAAGAGTTTGCGCACTGTTTAAGAGGAAGAGATGACTCGAAAGCATGATTCCGGGAATAAAACGGTCGGTCTCCGACGACGGAAAGAGCCCAATATAGCGGCAACCCGGCAGGCAGAGGCTCCAAAATCTACCAGTAGATTCCCAAAAATGTCCCAGGGAAATGCCCATTCCCGACAACCGGGAGTGGCCCACTGAGCACCCGGCACTTGGCGCCTTTACCAAGGGAATTACGTATAGGACTAGTAATAATCGCCATGCGTGCCTCGGAAGTATTTATGTCAAAAGAAACCATTACCGAAGTGTCCAGCTTCCGACCTGACACAAGAACCGGCCTTGTGGATTATGGAGTCACCGATGCAAATGCGGGATGCGCGCGAAGCTTGTCAAGGTACCCTAAGCAAGCATCTTTGTATGTAGTAAGGCAAGACGTACCCTAAGAAAACTGGCATTGCAGCAGGCCATCTGTCTGGATCGTGTCTGCCGTCGGGAGGACTCCCCTTTGGCTCGATTTTTGAGGCTCCAGAGCCGGCGAGGGAGCGGATTTTAGAGCCCACTCTGCATTCTTATGATTTGAGCTTTTCGTCTCATGCTTCTGCAGCACATTCCATGTCTACCATTTGAGGAGAAACCCGGCCCTGGATAGGCGAGTCGCTCAAGAGTATGCAATTTTGCAGGGGATGGACAAAGTTCCACGACCCTACTTACCGAGAGCAAGAAGATGACCGGCTATGATGAAGGGGAGCGTGTTGAGTACGCTGAGGACGGGTTCTATAAAACAGAGAGTAGAGAGGAAGGCCAAGAGGAGACTTCGGACACCGACTGAGACCTGAAAGACGCAGACATCATCTGGCGCTTCCTGAAAGCCCACAAGCCGATGAGCTCGAACATCTGGTAGCCCCTCAAGGGACAAACTCACCGAATCAACCTTTACTTCTCCGCGGTTGTTGTTTCCTGTCTCATGAACTGAGTTTTCGGTAGCAGGAGCCGCCCTGATTGCGACATTGGCGCCATTTCGCAATCGCCAACAAGGAGTTTGGTGTGTTGAACATCTAGGGCGCGACAGTGTGTAGAACAAACTGGAAGTTGACTAACATTTTGGCGAGGGCAGATGTTGTACACCCTGTGGGGCCGGTTGATTCACTTCTAAACTACGTGATTGGCTACCTGTTCTAAAACTGTGCCCCAGAAGTCCCCGAACCGGCTCCGGCTCCGGCCTCCATTCCACTTCTGACTCAACCAGCAAGTGAGAGAGAAGGAAGCCGAACAGGTGTCCACCTCAAATCCGGCCGATAAAGCCAAACCTATCTCTCGTGGAGCACTGGAAACCATCAACGCCCGCCAATGTCTCTAAGTAACTCGACCCCATTGGAGGCGGCCCAAGCCGCCAAGGAGGCATCTCATGTGCTGGCAGTGCTTCCCACATCCGCGCGCAACGATGCCTTGACGGCCGTTCACTCTGCACTAGACGCGGCAAGGGACGAGATCCTAGCCGCAAATGCCAGGGATCTGGAGGCGGCTCGGCAAGCCGCCGCTGACGGCTACTTGTCGCAGAGCCTGGTGTCTCGCCTTGACCTGGGCCGGAAGGGGAAGTGGGAGGACATGCTCAGAGGCATCTTGGACGTACGGGACTTGGAAGATCCGGGTACGTGCATCAAAATACCTAACAATATTATCCTTTCTACCCGATAGGGGTGCTGACAAGCTGCAGTTGGTAAGGTCACGCTGCGGACCAAGCTGGATGATGGCCTCGAGCTGGAGCGGGTAACCTGCCCCATCGGCGTGCTGCTGATCATCTTCGAGGCCCGGCCCGAAGTCATCGCCAACATCGCGTCGCTCGCCATCAAGTCGGGCAACGCGGCGATCCTGAAGGGCGGCAAGGAGTCGACCGAGTCCTTCATCGCCATCTCCACCATCATCTCGGCGGCGCTGGAGAAGACCCTGGTCCCTAATGCGGCCATCCAGCTGGTCACGACGCGCGACGTCATCCCGGAGCTCCTGGCCCTCGACCAGCACATCGACCTCGCCATCCCCCGCGGCTCCAACGAGCTCGTGCGCTACATCAAGTCCAACACAAAGATCCCCGTGCTGGGCCACGCCGACGGGCTCTGCCACGTCTACCTCGAGCAGTCCGCCGACCCGGCCATGGCCGCCGACGTCCTCGTCGACTCCAAGACCAGCTACCCGGCGGCGTGCAACAGCGTCGAGACCCTCCTCGTGCAGTCCTCGGCGCTGGAGACGGTCCTCCCCGTCGCGGCCAAGGCGCTCGTGGCCGCGGGCGTCGAGCTGCGCTGCGACGAGCGGTCCGCGGCGGCGCTGCGCGCGACCCTCCCCGCCGACCACCTCGCGGCCGTCGTGGACGCGCGGCCCGTCGACTTCGACTCGGAGCACCTGTCGCTGGTCCTGGGGGTCAAGACGGTCGACTCGGCCGAGGAGGCGATCCGGCACGTCAACGCGCACGGCTCGCACCACACCGACGTGGTCCTGACCTCGTCGCCCGAGCTGGCCGAGCGCTTCATGTCCGCCGTCGACTCGGCGGGGGTCTTCTGGAACGCGTCCACGCGCATGGCCGACGGCATGCGCTACGGCTTCGGCACCGAGGTCGGCATCAGCACCAACAAGATCCACGCCCGCGGGCCCGTCGGCCTCGAGGGTCTGATGATTTACAAGTACAAGATCCGCGGCGCGGGGCACGTCACGGCCGTCTACGGAGAGGGGGAGGGCAAGAAGAGGTTCAAGCACGAGAGGATGCCACTCTGAGAGAGGCATCCGGGGTTGACTCCGGGGTGAGTCTACAGATGGCCATTGTTGCGGACACGCATCCCTCTCACTGGGCTATAGCATGGCGTATCGGTCAGAGTTTCGGGGGGAGGGGAGCTTCTCAAAAGTGATTTTGCGTGTTGGTTCGTCAACCGGTCAAGAATAGATCCCGTTCAGAACAGGATCGTATTCGACTGTGATATCGATGGCTGATCAGATCTATGGCTTGATGTGATTTTAAGGAATGTCCGTGATACTGATTAGGTTCATGAAGCCTAGCCATAGTCTAGTAGCATACTCACACCCTGGCCCCCATAGCAGAAAGGAGGTATCCCAAACTCAAACCGAGGCTATGAGTAGAGTCATCTTGCCATTAGGTCGTCAAGCTGGCTACAGACACTAGACTTCCTATCAGATGAATAAATTCGACATAACAGCATTACTCGTACGCCTCTTGATGTCAGGCTCCTTGATCCCAAACAGAAACAGTAAAACATCATGCAATCAGAAAAGGAAGAGGAAAAAAGAACAAAACTCGGGGAAGAGTCTGAACGACATCCAAGGTCCCACGAGGCCGAATGAGGGTAACCAAGGATACCGGCAGTGTCAACCCCTTCCTCTTCTTCCTCGCGCCCCCGTCCCAAGACCACAAATGCCATGAGAGAGGGGCACCGTCCCAAATCAAGAAGAAGAGGAAGAAAAGATGAACAACCCTTCACTCTCCCCTCCGATAGCTACCCATCTTCTCAATCGAGCTCATAATCCCGCTCCTCACACCCATCCCGCTGCCCGGCCTCGCCGACCCGCCCCCGGTCCCGGACCCCGAGCTCCTCGTCCTCTCGTGCTGCGCCATCCTCCCGATCCGGCTCTCCCCCGCTGCCCGCGCCAGCCCGCTGGGTATCCCACCGGGCGCCCGCAGGCCCGACGGCCGCCCGGACATGCTGTTCCTGAAGCTACCGCCCTCCCCGCCGCCCGCCGCCGACCGCGCGGGCGAGGGGGGAACCCGCGCACCGGAGGAGGTGGAGGTAGAGGAGGAGGAAGACAGCGAGGTCCGCGCCGGCCGCCTGGTGCTCGCGTTCGCAGCCGTCGCCGCGGCTATCGCGACATCGCAGTCGTCGTCGTCGGCGTCCGCGGCGGCGGCTGCTGCTGCCGCCGCCGCCGCGGCGTTGGTGTTCGCGGCGAAGCTCTGTTGCTGCTGGATGCTCATCATCTCCTCGGCGAGGATGACGAGCTCGCCCTTCTCGACGCGCTCCTTCTCCAGCATGCGGCGCAGGTCGGCGTTGTCGCGCCTGACCGTACCGGCCATGGCCTCGAGCTTCTCCACCTCGGCCTCGAGCTCCCTGATCTGCGCCGCGTCGCGCGCCCGGTCGGCCTTGAGCTCCCCCTCCAGCTCCATCAGCCGGGCCGGGTCGACCCGCGTCATGGTGGCGTCGCGCCCGAGCCGGAGCTCCTCGTTCTCGCGCGCCAGCTCCTCCACCCGCGCCTCGAGCTCGCGCACCTTCTTCTCCCACCTGTTCTCGTAGCTCTTCTTGAGCGCCGCCACCTTGGTCTCATGCTTGCCCTTGTACAGCGCGTGCAGCTCCCGCGCCACCCTCTCGACCGCGATCTCGACCTCCTTGTTGGACCCGCCGGCCGCGCCGGGGCTCCTGATCCTGTCCGGCGTCGACGAACCCCCCGCCGCGGCCGCGGCTTCGGCGCTGGCCTTACCCGCGCGCATGCCGGCCATCTTGCTCTCGGCCTCCTGGGCCATCATCTCGGCGGCCTCGCGCCTCTTGTCGGCCTCGTCGAGCTTGGCCTCGAGCTCCTCGCGCTCGCGGTGGCCCAGCACAATCTCCCCCTTGACCTTGCGCAGCACCGCCTCCATCTCGCGCCCGCGCCGCTCCCAGCCCTCGCGCTCCGCCGCGAGCGCCTCGCGCTCGCCGCTCGATTCGCGCAGCTGCTCCAGGCACTCGCCCACCCGCTTCTCGGCGTCGCCCACGGCCGACTTGAGCGACGACACCTCGGCCTCCTTGCCGCTGAGCGACGCCTTGAGGCTGCTGATCTCGGAGAGGAAGCCCGACTTGAGCGACTCGAGCTCGCGCGGCGTGATGGTGGGAATGCTGCGCGGGGTGGGCAGCGGCGGTATGTCGAAGTCGAGGAGGTTGACCATGCTGCTCCGCTGGGGGGTGGCCGCGACGTTGGAATGTGAGGCGGCGTTGCCTCTCCGGGAGGGTGATTGGGGTTGGGGTTGGTAGGTACCGGTTCTGAACTGCTCGGTGAAGTCCATCAGGCTCGTCGTGTTTCCGGAATAGTCGTACTGCGCCGACCGATTGGGAAGCGGACCAGCTTGTGGTGTTCGAGAGGGTGTCGGGCCTGCCTTTGCCCGTGGCGTCGTCCCTCCAAAGTTGGAAAGCTTGGTAGGGCTGTTGGATCGCATATGTGCCAGCATGGTCAGGTTAGGCACGGCAGAAAACGTGCTGAAGGTGCTCATCATGGTATCGTCCGCGCCTGCTTGCTCGTCGTCATACGCCCTCTCGTCATCGTATGGCCGCTCATCATGTGCATCGATGCCAATCGTATTGTCTTCTGCGTCGGCGATAGGGTCGCCGCCGCCGCTCTCCAGGACACTGGCCTCGTCCTCGAAGATGCCAATCGCGTGCTTGAGGCCCTCATTCTCCCGCATGACGTCCTCAAGGCTCATCTGCCTCTCATGGCTTGGGCGGCTGGCACGAGGTGTTGCTTCGGAGGCACGAGGTGTTGCTTCGGAGGCACGGGCTGTTGCTTCGGAGGCATGGGGTGTGGCTTCGGAGGCACGGGGTGTGGCTTCGGAGACTGAGGTAGAGGCGGAGGCTGAGAATGAAGCTGGGGTGTAGGCGGCGTTGACCTTGATGGGAAACCGCCTATCGGGGGAAAATAACTTTCGGGGACTCCTTGGCGTGGAAGGAGGTGGCATGATTATAGAGGATGTGCGTATATTGTTTCCGGCTGGAGATGTCTGTTGTTGTTGCTGCTGCTGCTGTTGATCTTGCTGCTGCTGCTGCTGCTGGTGCTGCTGCTGTTGTTGCCTGTCCTGGAGGATCTTCAGGGGCGACAACTCGGTGCCAGAGAGGATACGGGAACCCGGTCGCGCTCTGGCAACAGAGGGGTTCTCTTGATCATCCTTGACCTGCGACATGAATGGAGAGCTATCGCCTTCTTCACTTTCGGGGTCTTCGATGGTGGAGTGCGTGGTATAGGTGCACACCTCGTACTTGTCGTTCCGATGGCTGGTTGGCGGTGTGGAAAAATTGAGCGCGGTACTCGGAGCAGGAGACAGTGGGGTGGCCATTGTGTGAATCAGCAAAACTATTACAACTCTGCCTCCAGAGGATCGTAACTGCAAAATGAAGGTGGTTTGGAGTTTGAGTCCAGCGAGATAAAATCTTATCTTGAGTGAACTTTGATTCCCGAAAGCATGGGGAAATCAATTGAACGCTTTGGCCATTCGCCCCTTGTTTTGTTTACCTTTTCAGTACCAAGCAACCGTCAAATCTCGTGATTGGTTGGACCCTCATTGTGGGTCAGACATGTACAGCCAATGGTGTAATACGGCTACAACTCAGCTGTGCATGCTGGTTTATTATTCCTTGCCTACTGCCACATGCTCCCCATTTCCCATATCTGCACCATAGGTATATTCAGATATTCATAAAACTTGAAAGCGTTGATCTGGAATGTGTTTCTAACAACTGGAAGTTTTACTATCCTAGCGTGTGTAGACAGTCAGTAGCCTAGCAAAAACTTCCTTCCTCTCAAGCAGCCGTACACTTTTTGGGGACGAAAAAAAAGGGTCATAAAGACGTCGTTAGGCTTGAAGACAGTTCATAATGATAACGGCCCACATAGGTCTCTCCATGCAGCCTCCCACTGGTCTTCACCCGCCCAACCATGCAAAGCTAAAAGCTGAGACGAAAGAAAACGGACCAGAATGAAAGTCAAGAGAAACAAACATATGGGAAAGGGAAAAACCACGGAGACCGTAGTTTCGACAAGGGGAGTTGGCGCGGAGAGGGATGGTTGGCGGTCGCGGTCGGCATCATCGTCGTTCCTCGTCGTTTCCCCACCTGAGTCTCATAACAGGTGGGTTTCTGCGAATGTCCAAAGTTTGAAGAAGAAAAAAATGTATGGCCGGTCGAAATCGGACAAGGAAAACGGACGTCGAGGTGTCTTTAGTCGATTAGATCCTCCCATGCAATCCCGTCATTCATTCAGCCATGTACATCTCAGGACATTGATAACAAAAGAGGTCATAAACTCATCAGCGTGTCCTTGGCAACAAGACAAGTGAGCCATCTCAACCAATACAGAATGGAATGGAAACGGTAGCAGTGTAACAATGAATGTGGGTGTGGGTTTGAGTGTGGGTGGGAGAGACCAGGTCCAGATCAGACTCCGACAAAAATAAAAACAAAGTCTGATCGGGAATGCAGCAACGCAATCATCAGGCGCATAAGAGAGACCAGCCCAGATGAAACCTCAAAAGCAAAAAAGGGTCTCATCGTGGAAGGCAGGAATACCATCTCTTAAGGATACTCGGGCGGGGGTATCATACGTTTGTTACCTGCGCCTTTGCGTCGCTATGGCAGAAGCAGGCCGGCTCATAGACGTATCATACGTAGGAGAAGGTATGGATCCATCGGTAAACGTTTTTCGGCGTTTAGGATCCAAGCCGCCCACACCGCCCGATCTGTCGTCTTCGTCATCACGACCGCGCTTCATCCCGCCCGAACTGCCGTTCAGGACTGGTTGCTGGGTAGCGTAGGCACTGGGAATCGAGCTCCCCATGTCGGCCTGTGGTGCGTACACGTCACCACTAGAAGTACCATTGGTCGGACCCCGGTCATTGCTCATTACATTATATAGGTTGCTCGACTGTGGTTGAGCCCGAGGCGGGGTGGTGTAGCCCTGTTGGCTGTAGTATGACTGCGGTGCCGGTGCCGTGCGGGGAGTTGCTCGCCCGGAACCGGCTTGGTGCGGAGAGCCCGTCATCTCGGGTGAGAGGTGGGCATGGTCGTTCGGCAACGAGGCAACCGGCGGGGCGTTGTAGTTGTACTGCGCTCGGCTGGCGTCGTACGCACCGCTGTCGTGCGTGTACTCGGCATCATGCTCGTGCTCGGCCTCTTCATCCGCACCGGGCTGAGGGCCACCTGGTTCAGGACCTTGGCCTGGATGCATCATGCCGTTTGCCGCCTTGCTGTCGCCTTGGTCCACAGAGCCCACCGGCCTGCTCGCAGGAGGTCCCATCTCGCTCTTCACATAATTAGTCTGTCCGTAGATGGACCGGTCCTGCGAAGGGCCATTGGAAGGCGGGTACGACGCGTGTTGGTTCGCCGGCGCACTGTAGAGCTGCCGGGAACTGTCGTACGGCTGGCTGCCGGGGGGGTTGCCGGGGGGGTACGATTGCATGCTCTGAATGCTCGCTCCTGGCGGCGTGCTGGCGGGAGTAGTGGGCATGGACCGGGCGTTGCTGAGACCCGTGTCAATTGACATGGGGTTCGCACTTTGAGCGCCATTCATTCCCTGTTGGCCCCATTGGAAGTTCTCAGAGGTGCCCATCCCACCCATGACGCTAGATGCGCTTGTTGGAGGAGTCGGGAAGGTGTGAGCCCGGTCCAAAGAGGGCCGACCCATGCCGGGGTGAGATGAGAGCGTAGGCTGCGGTCCAGGGAGCGTCATCGAGTGGTGGTGGTGCTGCTGCAAGGATGGCAAGCCACCGGGAGCCTGAGCATTGCGCATTTGATTCTGCTCCTGCTTCCGACGTTCTGCAGCAGCCATGACCTGGCTTGTGCGGGGTTGATTGGTCGGATGGTAGAGCAGAGAACCAATGTTGTGCACAAACAGGGGATAGAGTAGTTCAGTAATCTTCTCCTTATTTGCAAAATCCAGCGCTCGCTCGAACGGAATCCTATAGACTGAATCAGCACTGGTTATTGGAAGGACCAAGGCCCTAGGGCTCGTATTAGTCGTCGCTTACCAGACACCCTTCAAATGCATCGGTCCAATTTTGACGACGTGACGGACTTTCTCACTCTTGAGAATGCCATCCCGCCTACCTCGCGTCATGCCAGCAACATTCAGTAGCTTCGTGCCGTTGATCATATGATTATCTGACCGAACACAATTTTAGCTTTTCCCCCCATTTTGATCTGGAATTCTTTCGCAGTTAAAGAGGGGGGAGAAATTACCTTCTCTTCGAGCGACGCAGATCCCTCGAGCCTCCACCTGAAAGCACAAACTGCCTTCATCCTCCCATAACGTAGCTGTGACACGGGGCTTCATCCCAGGAGGTGCCACCTGTCCAGTAGTATCAAACCCGTGCTGATACGCACCCGTCATTCCTGGTTGACTGCCTGGGAGTGGCAAAACATTCTGCCCGCCGCCCATCTGGTTCGAGACCCCCGAAGTCGGCGGAGATGTAAGGCCGCCATTGGCATAGTTATATGCGGAGTAGGTACTTGGCGGGGGGTACTGTGCCGGACCAGGCTGGAGCAACGGCGGCTGCTGATGATGGTTATACGAGGTAACCGTCTGGGGAGGGGGCGCCTGGCCGGAGGTCATATGCTGGTAGTACATTTCTGATCCCGGCTGGTGCATCGCTGGATAGTTTTCGTATCCCGCAACGACCTGACTAGGCGGGCCAGAGTTCCCAGTGCCAGAGGGGGAGTATGTGCCAGGAGTCTTGGGTCCGTGGGAGGACGGGATTGAAGAGAAGGACGACTGCGAGCCTGCGTTGGAACTCGCGGCTGAGGAGATGGAGCTAACCCGGGGCGACAATGCACTCGATGAGTACGGTTGCGGCTGCGGGAGATGTAATGACGGCAACCTGTCGCTTCCACACGGACGCGGTGCGGCGTGGGCAGTATAATACGGCACGTCGGTCAGTCCCCGGGTTTGCACTTGGGAGATGGACGGGAGATCCAGCTTTTCGGCTTTACCCGCACAGTTCCCTTCCGTCTTCGACCGTCGACGGGAATGTCGGTGTCAGCACAGCACGTCTTTTCCGGTTGTCTCCCAGAGACCTCCGGGGATCAAATCCGGAGGAATGGGTGTTGGCGTCGGTGGGTTTGACGGGAAGGTATGGCGACAATTCAAGACGTCGGGAGACTTGGAAAACAGAGATGTCGCGGACCAGAAAGAGGGGAGGTCGAGGTGAGGTGGGGGAGGGTATGTATACCCTTTTGTCGTCCAAGTCGCCTTGCTGCAAACTAAAGGCAAATCGCAAAAGCCTTGCGAGACGACTTCGGCCGCCGTGGGTCTCCAAAGCCAGTTCTTGTGATTTGTCTTTCCACTCTGCCGATCTGGGCCACTTCTCACCATACGGGGTCGCTGTCCGGTGAATGTACCTTGGCTGAAGTGTATGACTTGTAAAGCTTCAGGATTTAGCAGCTGATCATGCAGGACAATATGTTAGCTTGAACCTAAGCCGGTGGACAATAATGAACATCGCCAAAGTAAATTGGGGGAGGGGGCCGAGGGGGAGGGGGGAGGATGGGCAGAGAGGTTCTTACCTTCCTCGCCACTCCAGTATTCCTTTCCTCTCCGCAACGAAAGAAGAGGGGAGAAAGAAAGAAAATGAGGAGGCAGGAGGGATCGCGATGGTGAGGAGAGAGAGGAAGGAGAGGAGATGGGAAGAGAGGTCAGGAAGCCGTACTTTGAGAAAACAGAACGGCAACCCTGGTCTGGTGTACAGTACAAGCCCAGACTCTGGTAAAGGTCTTAGATTGGAGGAAATGATGGGGCCTTGTACAGTACATTCGCTGGGGCTGGTCTCTTTCCCCCCCTTCCTCTTTTTTTTTTTTTGCACCAAGCAGGGGCTACTAGGCTACTTTGGGTATTGATACTGATTTCAACATCTGGGCCAGCCAGGACAAGGGCAAAAAAGCCTGGGCCGCCACGACTTGCTTGCCCTACCCTAGTAGTTGTAAATCTGACTGGCGAGGTTGGGATAGGCCCAGTCGGGCTGGAGCGGAGGATTTGAGGAGGGGTGTGGGAGGTACAGCTGCGCTAGTGCGTACAACTAGCCATCAGCTAGGCTGGGAGCTACCTCGGGTCAGTACTGTGCGCTAACAGAAAGTACCCACAGAGGCGGGGGTGCGTTTGCAGGGTTGCACCAGGGTTGCTTCTGGTGGACGGGAGGAGTGACTGGAAGGGACCGGGTTGTGATTGGCTGTAATCCAAGGCATCGTCCGTGGTCGGCTTCCATCGTGAGGGGGCGCCATGTACGTACTCTTTCGGCAACATCCATGCTGAGGGCGTTGATATAGTGGATTAGTGCCCGGACCACCAAAAAGAGGTGGCACGGCCGCCACGGCGCAAAACACCCTCAAGCGGGCGCTTGTTGGTCCTCGCCGAGTGGTCCGAGAGAGTAGGGGGCTGGTGCCCCTGTCAACTGTCCATGGTCCCGCACACAGGAAGAAGCATAGAAAGTCACGGCACAGTCGTCGTGTACATGATGAGGTGGTCTGTCCGACTCACTCCAAACCTAAGAAGAAATCCGATGATGACGCTGCTGTGTTTGTTTTTTTAAGAAAAAGGTTTGTCTCTGCCTTCGTAAAAATGGAACTCGGATTCTAATTTCCCCGCCGCATTATTCGTACACGGATATACTATGTAAGTAGGTAGGTACGTACCTAGTAGGACCATGGACGCCAAAACCCTGGTTAAAAGGATCTAACTTGGCGGAGGGTCTTGGATAATCCGCAAGCTTTAAGCTTCCACCTGTGCTCCATTTCTGTGGTTTATAATAGTGGCTAGGTAATCACTCTCAGTCCCATCAGCGATGGCCGTTGCACAAATGGCCGCTGTACAATACAGCCTGGAAGGTAAGGGGTCCTTGAGACACTGTGGCTTGATGGCAAGAGTCGTGGGCCGCGCCTTCTGTCATCTGTGCGACTATTCCATCCCGTCTACGAAGCACCTAACTTGATACCATTTACGGCTGGTGGCCTGTGTGTGTGCAATGACTTGGCTTTGACCTCGTCGCCCTATCATTTGAGCCCGAGCTCTCTACCCCTAGCTACCTTATTTGTATGCGTATTCGTACAGTACTTACATACTCCGTACAACGTACATAATAATAGTAGGCTTTTGCATTTCAAGACGACACAAACAACCCAAGGCCTATCCGCGCGCCAGTCAGTGGCGGCGGTTGCGCCGCTTTGTGTGGCATCATGTAGGCCTCTCATCTCCCCCCGCCCCCATCTCTCTCTCTAGGTTCCTCCTGGGGCCCCTTACTCCCCCTCTCGGCGACCACGGCCTACGTTAGAATTGACTCAATTGAGCCGATTGCGATTGCAAATAGCGGCCGCGGCTATGAAGGAAACATTTGAAAAATGGCTAGGGAGGCAGGAAGACCAAGGTTGAACCGTCAAGAATCATATTCTCGTGTTATTATGCTGGGGTGGCGAAGCGCGCCCAATAGAGTGTTAATATGGAAAATCCCCTCCCCCCCGGTTGGGTGGCGTGTCTCCATCATGGGCAAGCATCTTGCAGATTGCAGATTTTGCACAATCACACCCACGCCCCCACCCGACGACAGGGGACGAGAAAGTACGGATACGCTTCCCATCGTGAGCCGGCGTCGACTACATAGTACACAGGGTCTACACAGTACACAGTAAAGATAGCGAAGCGTCCTTGACCTTGATTGCTACTGCGCCGCCGGAATGTAAACTCGGCCAACAGCTCAATTCCAAGAGGGCAGGGCCGTAGCAGAAGAGCGCAAAACTCAGTCTATTTCTGGGGACACCGGTCGGCAACGGTCCCTTCTGCAGGAATGTATACGTAACACCGTATCGTGTGTGCTTTTCGACCCGCTACCTGCAGCCCAAAGCTTCTTGTCGTTCGTCCTTTGCCTCCGCTGCTTCACTCATAGTGGGAGTCGTTCACCACAGCTGCACGTTGAGGAGCTACGGGGGCTAGAGCGACAGCCATAACGGCAGTCAATGCATGCGCTCGCGTCGCTCGGCCAGGGCCAGCTTTGGAGGGGACAGGTGCATGTACTCATCCTGTCGTTTGGCTGGATCAGTCACGTAGCGGCTTCGTCGCCGCCCCGCCAACTCTCGTGAACAACACAGATAACTCAGCCCGCTGCGCTGGTCACTGGCCAGATCACACGACAGAAGCTAACCGCGGGTGTGTGGACCGTCCGTGTTGCGCTCAACGCCGAACGTTGTTCCTGGAAAGCTTCTATCTCAAACACTTTTCCCGATTAAACTTTGTGTTCTGCAGCAAGTACTATGTACGCAGTACATGCATCCGGTGGAGAATCTGGAGGTGCCTGGTCGGGATGCCGGTACCTGCTTTCGATGGCACAACCACAGACAACGACTGGTGCACAGGCAGGAAATATACTTCATACGTCCGGGCGCCGTGTGTCGGATGGAAAACGTCGGGCGGCCCCTACAAAACCCAGATCACTCTCCATTTCTGACAAGAGGGGCGGAACGCTGACGTGAAGAAGGAAGGCCATGATTACTTGTGAATTCGTACCTCACCAAACCGCCTTGGCCTTCAAGGTTTGGGTGCGCGGGGGTTATGAACTTGGCCGATGCAAGATTCCATCCATCTCCTGGTGCGTGCTGCTTCTGCACCCGCAATGCAGACGCAGCCGCTAATATCAGGCCAGGCACTCATGACGTGCCCATAGCTATCTTGCAGATTGACACCAGGCAGTATCCGTAGCGCAGGTTTATCTGCCAAAAAATATTCCACGTTTGGCCGAGGTCCCCCTCACCTCATTGTGCTGCCATTGAATAAAACCCCCGCCTCCTCCGCGTTTCATTTCAGCCACACTGCGCCATTGTTTCTATCCTCTGGTTTCTCACAAAATCCCCCCCCCCCTTCTCAATCTTTGATCCCCCGCCTCTTCTCGTCTCAGGCCCCCGTCGATCCACAAGGGCTCGCCTAAATGATGTCCCTCACCGCATTGACCAGCCCCAGCCGGATCAGATTTACCATTGGGATCTTCGAAACGACGAATAACCCAGCTTGGGAGACACGTTCCCGTGCGAGAAAACGGCGGGGTTTCGTGGCCCATTCCAACTACCTACCTACACCACAACCCGCTCACGGTGCGTGCGGGTTATTTTGGACTGCGGGTGAAGTGGCGCAAGCCCAGCCAGCAGTCAAGCAAGCCGTCACACTCTGCGACATTCTTTCCGCACCTATCCATCCCATCCGCACTTCCATGTGTGAGCGGGAGTGCACTTGAGCCTCATGCTTATGCACGACATGCGCTGGAAGCACTACACTGCGATCTAGTGTGCGAATGGCCATCGCCTTGGTGTCCCTCAGTCTCGAACATATGCGCTCCTAGCTTCCCACCGCGGCATTGTATACCCAAGTCTGCCGCTCTGTTGGGGGGTTGCACCGGGTTCGCCCTTGTTTCGATGCTGCGGGCGGCTTTTTTCCAACGCGGACGCGTTGGCCCTTGGGTCAGGTAAGGAGAAAGGTGTGATATAATTAATGTTCTACAAATCGCGGTTGCGAATTGGATTATCATCCACCAACTCACTCACGCTGAGCGTCCACCGCCCTGAACATCCTTGAGGGTTCTGCCACCAACTCACCTCTGTACATATACATCCGTACTGTCGAATTCCCGCTTCACAGACAGATCGAGACTCGTCTCCTCGAAGCACAGTCAAAGCCGTCCCGTTTTGAGGCGTCGAAGCCATGTGCATTTGCGTTTTTGCACACCGACCACTCACCTTTGCATATCGAGTTGTCCCTGCATTTTGAGCTAAAATTCTTCTTGCTGCTGCATAGAAGTTACACTGCCTGCTATGTAGGTACCTGCTGTACTTATCTGAAGTACCTACGCTAGTGTACACCGATTCATGCACAGCGGTTATGTGCTTGTGCGTCTTAAAAAAAGAAACCGGCCAACCAGACAGTCTCGTTTGCTTGAGGATTGACGTTTCAGCTGTTTCCTCGCAAGGGTCTAATCTTCCTACATTGTTGTACAGTAAGGTACGTATCTTGTACAGTATGCGTGCTTAGGTGCGCTAGTCTCTAAATACTGTGTGCGACAGGGGTCCTTGTTGCCTGCCCCCTCAGGCATAGTGAGGCATTTAACATTGAGTGGACCGTGCGTCGAGCTTCCAATTGAAGTCAATCCCCCGCCGGTTCCATCTCGAAGTAGGCCCCAGCGCTACCTAGGTACCTTGAGCTTATCTGGAGTTACTGCGTACAAATGCAAGAGACTTATAGAAACATTTTCATGTGAACGACATGAGAGAGATGATTCTCAACAAATTATACATAGACGTGGATTCTGCGTGGATGGGAGCAATGGACAGCCTGGCTGCAACGTTCCTCGCTCGGCTACCTTGGAGGAGTCCTGGAATCCTGGTCCAGGAACCTACCTGCCCTACGCACGTATGTGTGCGTGCGACTATGAGATGGGAAAACAAGCGAAGCATTGGGCACCTCAACTTTGTAGGAGTGGATAGTGGATAGTGTGCACCGTCCAACTCGACCGTTCGGGTTTGGCTTTATCGTCCCGCGCCAGCCTCCTGTCGATTGTGGTTCTGACCCAGTGGCCGAAAAATTAACCCAATCAACGAAAACCACGTCTTCCCAGCCCACACCACAATTCTCAATGGGTGGATTGCTGCTCGCTAGTCCCAGGCGATCATAGGACTGACTTACAACGTACTTGTGGGAAGAACGAAGGTGGGAGGGGGGCTGACTCCCGCGATCATCCGTTCCCTAGTTGCGAAGCGGCGAAGCCATCTGATGGAAATAGTCTTGTGTCTCAATTGCCCCTCACGACTCTCCTATCACCATCCCAGGTTTCTTCTTCTTCTCATGTACAACTACACCCTTTTCGGGGGTGGCAATTCGTTGTTCAGCAATGCGAATCATTGGGCATTGCAAGCCTCTGATTCGCCCGAGAAGCTGCATGGGCGGACCGTTTTCCGCCTTACATGGCAGCCAGGATCAGCCAGGATTTTCTCGATGGGGTGGAGGTAAGAGTGGAGCAATGGGCCTCTGGGGGCGGCGAGAACAACCCACTGTTGGCGGGCTAGGATATGGGAGGAGTTGCTGATGATTGAACGGGAGGTTGGCAGTCGGCCAACAAACTCAACAACGATTTGAAAACACCAATCCAATCGCAGCCGTCGACCCAGGTTTATCGGAGCCATGTATGTACGGATACTACGCAGTACCCTTACCTGCGGGGACGATCGTACACAACTATTTGGTCTCCACTTTGTCCATTTGTACACTATCTACAGACCTAACAGCCGGGGCCTCGACCCTCCCTCCCGCCTCGAGGGTTTTATCCTTTTTGCCGTCATTTGGCAGATATTGGTCCTGTCTCTAGACCCAGGATTCCTGACAGGCAGTTGCAGCCATCGAACGCAGCCCTTTGCCTCTGACCTGGCTGGAGACATGATATGTGGAGGATGTATGCAGTGAGTGATGCACACGACTGCGGACTGCACCTTAGCTGCTCCACCGGCGTGGGATGGAACTCCCCATGTCTCTCGATTCGGTGACACTTGGCAGTGGGACATAACCCCTACTGTAATCCGTAGTGCGTATGCCACGACCACGACCTGTCCACTGGGATCTTTGGGGCTCTCGAGTGGAACGGCGGAAGCCCTCGCAACTTCGCAAGCGCGAACAGAGACGGATAGCGAGCGTTGACCTCTTTAGGCCTGGCTTCGCTCCTCGATTTTCCCACACCGCTATTTCGATTTCCTATTTAAAGCAACCCCTCCCTTGGAGGTATCTTTGATAATGGCACCTCCAAACACTTCCGCGAGTCCAGCCACCCCACCTAACTTGAAAAATATCGCTTGATGGGCCACTAGGGGCCAATGGTTTCCCATTGCGCCAGGGCCAGGATTAAGACCACCTTTTTTTCGCCTGCCTGCACTGTGTCTGTACGAATACTCCGTAACTCCCTTGCTGTCCTGTTGGCAGAAGAAAACCCTTGTGGCCTCGCCCCCCGGCCCCTTGGATGGAATCAATAACTGGCTGGCGGCGCTGGCAGGCATATGTTGGTGTTGTCCCACTCGCTGAATTCTCGGATGCCCTGCTTTCGCGAGCCGTGCCATGGATGATTGTTCGCACCCCCGGCCCCCTTCGCGACCGCCTCTGTGCCGTCTTCCATTCCGGTTCCCCGTGTCCCCATATCCGCTCTCTAAACAGCAAAAGATGACCCAAGGGGTGTGAGACAAGGCCAAGAGAGAGAGAGAGAGAGAGAGAAATTCAAGGGCCCCCGTGCCCCCTCCTTGTGTCACTCCCCAACCCCCGTCGATAGATTACCTTTCCGTCCCACGACGGCCACTAAATTTTACATGATAGTCGCGCGGTGGCTGGTGTGCTACTTGGGCATGCGAGGGAGTGAGGGTGCCTGCGGTTGCGGTGGTGCTGCCGATCACGAAACGCCCAGCCAGCCTGGTGGGAAACAACAGAACCCCCTCCCCCCTCCCCCCCCCGGCCCCCGCCTCTTCTTAGGTAGGTAGGGAAGGGTAGGGGTGTAAGGTAGCAGCGTTAATGTGCGGATAGCCCGTACGTGGCATGCCATACCGCGCGCCATCGTCGGACTGCCGGAAAACTGCATCAGCTAGCTTCCAGACTTCATGTATGGAAGATCTGGCTCGCCCGATGCAAAATCGCTGTCCTACATTAGCTTCCAGCCAGCTGGCTGGCTAGCTGGTGGTTGCTGTTGCTGTGCATCATGAGGCTGTGGTTTGCTCCCCTCTTGACGTGGGTGAGTTGTCCAGGTACGAGGCAGGGAAGGGAGGAATGCCTCTATCGTACATGCATAGTACACTCACATAGCAGTCTGGGTACCGGGGGCGACCAACTGCAGTTCCGTTGAGGAGAAGTACTACCTGAGGTCCCCGTCCTCTGTTCAGTCAGAGAGTCCCGAGACCTCGATCAAGCAAAGGCCCGCGTTTGGTTCCAACAACACTCTTCCCAGCATACGGCGGCTTCCTCGGCGCACTGCATGGAAGCATTCCCAGAAGAGACTCCATCGATGTATATTTCTTTTCTTTCTTCTTTTCTTTTCCTGTTAGATTTTCTTTTTGCCAACTCTTATTTCTTCTTTTTGCCATAATCGACTGATTCTTGCGGAGACTTTCGTAAGACTTTCGTAGACTTTCCTAGCTCGTGCGCAATGTCGTCTCAGAAAAGTTCCTGTTCACCTGCCGTGATTGGCCCCTCCCATTTGTCTTTGGGCGGGAAACGTGTTCGGTCTAGGAACCGGTAGCGGGGTGGTGTCTTGGGCATGCAAGCCATGGTCGTAAACGGGGTGATTGACATCAATCCCAACCTTAGTACGCAGTAGCCACGATAAACCCAACCAAAGGATGAAACGATCGGCCAGAGTATGTTTCTCTCAACGCCTTGGCCCCCGCTTATGGCCCTCTAGTCGTGGCTATTCGTACTGGTAGGCTTTTACGGATACAGCGTACTGAACTAGGACTCCGTTGGAAGTAAGTGATACTCTCCCCGAGTACCAAGATCCAACTTGCGCATGCGACGGGACAGGGAAGCATCCGAAGGGCCGAGAGTTCGCACCCGTCGAACCCCGGGTCCCTGTCTCAGGCGGTTGTCATGCCCGCCACCCCCTTCATGCCTGCCTCCCCCTCTTATCTCGGACCAGGTGGGTGGTAAAAGAATACCATTTTATCCAGCAAATCCTCGACTCGGGAGTGCGGCAAAAGAGGGAAATGGAGATTGTGGGGGGGTGGATGGGATTGGCGGGGTGGGTGGGAAAGGGGACGAGTGGGAAGAATAAAAGGGGGCATGAAGGTGGCCTCAACGGATCCGGGTAGCTAAGCCGTCCCTTATGTTCCATCTCTTCGCCTACACACTGTATCGTACATAACATTCATTGCCCTGTCCAGCCCAGGCTGCGTCTAACTCCCGTGCATGAAAGTGAGGTCGAAGAGAAAGCCCAGAAAGTCTTAACCTGACAGGAACCTATCAGGGTTGGACTACGTCAAACGGCATGAATCGATCGACGACGGGCAGGCTTAGCTTAGGGCTGGGTCCCTCTCTGGATCTGGGTCCTGTCGTGAAATATAGCCATGGGGCAGGGGTGGCTTGTTCGACATTGCCTACCTTATGGGAAACCGAACTGGGGTCCGAGTCCACGTATGCTTAAAAGATTACAGGGCCGGGTAGTGCTGCGTCGCCGGTGGAGGTACGAGGGATGACGGAGCCATCTCGGTGGCACCTCTACCGACATGCTCCTGCTGATGATGATGATGATGATGATGATGATGTGCGTCGAACTCACGAAGCAGGTTCCATGTTACTGTTGCTGTAGATTGCTGTAGGTCGCTGGTACTGTGGGGTTCTGCCGTCGGTGTCGGTGTTGGGCCTATCTCATGATGGGTGAATGTTGGGAAGGTTTTAGGCAGGGGGAAAAGGTGCATTGAGTACCTATGCGTAGCACGGCAGCATGATTGAAGACACTCGTGTTATTACCGTTATTAACGGTCAGGATATGAAATTGAAATGTCTGCCGTCCCCCCCGTATCAATGACTTTTTCTGCCGTCTAGGCTCTTTCTCCCGGTCTCTCGCCTTTCCCTGCACTACCGGCCGAGAAAGCGCATTGGGGGGAGGGTACAGTAGTGCCATGTAATGTACATCATCGCCCAGAGCGATGCCGGGTAGATCTGGAGATGCCCCATGCACGTCACGCTGATTGACAGAAACAGCTTATGCGCGCGCCGCATTACCCTCCGTTGTAATCTGTACACTGCCTCCCTACCTGGACACAGGCACCCACACACCACACACCTCTTCTCTCTGTGCATGAGGCCCCCCAAATATGGGGTCCCTGATATTCCCCCCCATCCCTGTAGTGTTTCGGCGTCCTAAGAAAATGCCCGCTGCAGAACCATTTGCGCGATGCTGCGCGGTCGATCGTGCGCCCTGTTTCAGCGGACCCCTTGACAATAACGTAGCCAAACATCGATCCCTACTATCCCGGTAGATGGCAGGAAACATCGTCTCGCGCTGAGATACTTTCACCACGGCTTCAAACAGTCGGCTCACGTGACACCGCGTGTTTTTGGGGCTCCATGCCTGACTCGCCGTCGCTGATGGCAACGCGATGGAGTGAATCGTGCACACGCGCAACATGACGAAAGCCATTTAGCCATACTACCTAGCTAGTTACGACCTGGTCTGGTATTCACTTTTTTTTCCCCATTCTCGCAATCTTGCAAAATCTTCCCTTCCCTTCCCAAGGCCAGGACAAGCATCCAGGGCAAGAATGTTTACAGAAGTCCACAAGGCACCTCCTTTCTTGATCCCTTATTCTGCTTCTTCTGCTCCCCTTTCTACCCCGCCATCCACCTCGCCCGGATCACAGACACCCCCCACGCCATGGCGCCACCAGCACCGCCACCCCATGTCGAAAACAAAAAGCCGCCGGGCCCCGCCCCGCAGCGTGCCGCCGACGCCCACCACGGCCGGACGTTCGACCCCTGGCACTCGGTCGGGGCGGGCCACCAGCGCGCCGAGAGCAGCGGCGTGCGCGGCTGGCGCGAGTCGCGCAACGCGAAGCTGCGCGGCCAGTTTGCGGCGGGCTACTCGGGCGGCGAGCGCATGTCCGACGCCGTCGGCGCCGGGTCCGAGGACTTTGACGAGCGGCGAGGCGTCGTCGTCCCGCGGCATGTGCGGGCCAGCGCCGCGAATAGCGTCGCTGATATGCTGAGGGGGCAGGCCACCGGCAGCAACAGCAGCAGCAGTAGTAGTAGGAGTGGCACCTCCTCCTCTTCCTCTACGGCGGGTTCGTCGTCGGGTGAGGCTCAAGCTGCCGGCGCAGGCGGGACGACGGAGGGCGCATGCGGGGCCGAGGACCCGGCGGCGTCCCAAAGGAGGAAGATCTTCGATGGCCTGGTAGTGTACGTGAACGGCAGCACGCACCCCGCCGTCTCGGATCACCGGCTGAAGCACGTCCTGACCGAGAACGGGGCGCGCATGTCGCTGCACCTTGGTCGCAGGCAGGTCACGCACGTCATCCTAGGCAGGCCGGCCAGTTCCGGCGGCGGCGCCGGGGGCGGCCTTGCGGGCGGCAAGCTGGAGAAGGAGATCCGGCGGGTCGGCGGCTGCGGCGTGAAGTATGTCGACGTTGAATGGTATGGACGATCGTCATCATACCCTTTTTCCCTTGTCCAACCACCCCCCTTCCCATTCACCTCCATTCACCCCCCCACCTCCTCCCGACCCGGCCCGCAAACACACAACTCCGACCTCGGCTCACATGCTAATCCCCGAGCCAGGGTCCTCGAGAGCATCAAGGCTGGCAAGCGGCTGCCTGAAGCTAGGTTTTCCAACTTGAAGGTGGCGATGAAAGGCCAGCGGAGCGTCTACGGCCCCTTCTCAAAGGCCCAAGACAAGGATCCGGCTGTCTCGAGGGTTGTTTCTGGGCTCTAGATGGCGAAGTCTCTGTGACCTTCGACGACCTACCTGTGCTAAATATAGTCATAGAAGTGGCGATCTCATTTGGCCGCGAAAAGTTTGTAACGAGTACGATATTATGAGGACGCGTGAGCGCGTGAGGCTATACGAGGCCTCCTTGGGGAAATTCATACAGTCAACCGGGGCACAGTAAGGTGGTCAAGGTATCGCATTCCGGATTAGACCTTCGAAGCATGGCCCGGCGTACTGAAGGCACTTGAGAGAATGGCTTACGTACGTTACATGGGCAGGCCCATTGCTGCCTAGTCTTAATTAAGGTACACTGTGGTTAGAGTCATTGATGACGGTCTAAGTCGGTCTCCCTCGGTGGCTCTTGATGATTCCCTTTGGATGCTTGGCACGGATCTAGCCAGTGCGTTCTGTCTCGACTTCTGAACTGTATGCTGGAGCCGTTTCGTCTTGGGTGACAGTCTTTGAGGCATACATATGGCCATAGGTTCCCAGTAAAGGGCTTTGTGTCACTTGCACCCGTCCCGGTTCAACGACCACTTCCACAGGCACGTTTCCCAAAGGCTTTCCCTTATCTTACAACGGCTCTGCTCGGCTCAGACAACAACTCTCTTGGCAAGGCAGAGATGGAGTGTCGGAAAATTTAATATCACAGTCCCCTTCATGTCTCACCGATGCCACGATCCCATTTCCTTCCCGTTACTAGCCCCCTTTTCCCTTTTCTCTCTAGGACCCCTTTCTACCCTTCCCGACCCGGCCTTCCACCAAGGACCATCGTCGCCCTCCCCTCTTGTCGCACAACATGGCTGTGTCACGCTTCCCTCGAAAACCGCCCTCCAGACGAAACGAGAAACAAGGGTTCGATACTTACGTGACGGTAACATCTTGGCCTGGGGAGAAGAATCTTCCTCCCCAACCAACCAACCAACCACTACCGCCTAACTCTCAGGAGGCTGGCAAATGCCGCCAATACGATAAGGGGCGCGAATCAAGCATTCGTTGGCTTTGGGGAAGTGCACCAAGGGACAAACAACAAATGAGCCCCGGGGCGTCAGTCAGACAGAGAGCGTGGATGCTGTTGCTGTACACCCGTCGTGGGGCAACGATCAATATAATTTCCATAGACAAACCCTGACCCCCCTTCTTGCCCTCTTCCTTCCTTCCTTCCTGTCCTTTTTTATCGCTCTTCCTCTTTCTCTCCGTCGTATAATCACTCTCCCGTCCTTGATTTATCGTGTAAGACAACTAAGTATTTATTATATAAAGGATATAAAAACAACTCTTAGAACTCCTCCCACCTCAAACAATAGTCTCGCGCCCCCCTTCCGAGTTTGCGCCTACAATGGCCCAAGTGGTGAAACGAGTCCTGTGCTGCTGGCCCTCGCCCCGTCGCACGAGGCGAGGCAGCGAAGGCCCGACTTTGGGCGTGCAACGTCGGCAGCGCCGCCCCTCCCCCTCTCCCCGTTGTACGACGCTGAACGGTTCGAGGGTGGCCTTTTCTATTATTATCACTATTATTTGCTTTCGGAAGAGGGCTGGCGTGGATGAGATGGGGTTTGGCGCGAGGGAGCGAGCGAAAACGGTTTCGCGTACCATACGCCCCTTCGCTCGATGGCTTGCGGGCTGGGGGGGCGGGGGGGGCGGCGCCCTCGACGGCGAGCCACGCCTTGGACTGCACGGCGGCGCGCACGCGCGCGTCGTTGCGCGCCATGGTGTCCTCGGCGTGGCAGTTTGCGTTGGCAAGCAACGTATGCAACCGCATGCGCACCTCGCGCACCATCGCGTACCAGTTCCCCTAGTCCAGGCTCGGCGTCTGCACCTGCTGCTCCTGCTTAAACACTGTATAAATGCGCACCGGCTGCAGGTCTAGGAACGCGTCGGCTGCGCAGATCGCCAGGATCAGCTGCTGCCTAGGGGCCCCCCCTAGGCTTGGGGCGCTACGCCTGCAGCTGCAGCGCGAGAAGGGGCAGCGAAAGGCGTGATTGTGGCAAGGCGAGGGGTGGCGGCAGCGGCTAGAGTGTGTCTTGGGATGGAAGCTGTGGTAGGAGGGGCTTGGCTTTAGACAGGTATAGCATCTTCGTTGTCTGTTAGACTGTTATTATAGCCTAAGGAAAGGGGTTGCAGCAGCGAGTCTTGAACTGAAAGGCGCAAGGCAGGCAGGGCAGGCTTGGCCAAGGCAGCAAAAGTGCAAAAGCTAGGGCCCAATCTAGCAGCAGCGTTGCTTAGACAATATCTGTTGCCAGGCCAGGCTTTCCTAAGGCTTGGCTAGTTGAGTAAAGCCTAACTATCGGACAGAAAATACTAGACAACTATAGTTGTTGGCTTTAGTGAAAGCTTCCTCTTAAAGTGATTAAACAGGTCCTCATCGCTCTTGTCTAGCCTACTAGCTACAACCCCCTTTATATAGCTGCTGCTGCTAAAAGCCTATCTATTATTCATAACTATGTCGTCTTTATCTCCCTTAGTAACAGGGCTCTTATGCTTATTGACAGAGGCAAAGAGTCAAGCCTTGTGCTTAGCCTTGGTAGGTGGTAGGACGCCTAGTCTTGCAACTTCCTCGTCGCTGTGGCTCTAGTCTGCCTTAGGCTTGTTAACCAGGGCACGCAGCCGAGCTTCAATCCTGTTCTTCCGTTCGGGTGGGAGGGGGCTGTCTCTTGCATGCGGAGCTGGGATGCTGGGTGTATTGCCGTCCTCCCGTTGATAAGGAAGGGGGGATTTGTGGGTTGCTTGTTGCGGAGCAACGCTCCGGTTTCTCATGATGGTGGGGGGGGGGGGGGGGGGGAAGGGGGGGGGGGGTAGGGGGGTGGGGATGACAACGTAAAGGGCAGGGCAGCTGGG